GGACAGGGTCTCGGATATTGGCAGCAATAATGAAAAGTAACCTCCTTCGAGCCGGATTTGAACCAGCGACCTAAGGATATCTTTGTTATCAATCTACAGTCCTCCGCTCTACCAACTGAGCTATCGAAGGGGCTGACATGCATAAGTGGAACAAATAGCAAATAAAATTACGTGCCCAGTACCCCGCAGCTAACTCGAGACAAATCTGCATAACTGTTTCATCCAGCTTACCTTGAATAGCAAGGTTTAATACAATTCACCTGAAGGGGACACAGAAGTCTAAGATGAGAATCACGGGGTGCTTGAGTGTGTGTGTGTGTGTGTGTGTGTGTGTGTGTGTGTGTGTATTGCGGAGGCGGTGATTCACGTCGGAGTGGGCGGGGCACGTGCGGAAGTGTGTGTTTAAAGGTGTGCGCTTGCCTGTGACACAAATGAGAGCGTCAGGTATGGGTGGTAGCCGTAATTTTTGTTGACCGCCACGCGGCCGCTTTGCCACGCATGTGAGGGCTTCGCTACCGCTACCCACTCATTCATTCATCACCTTTTCATCTGTTTAATCCGCTGATCTTCCATTCATCCATTTTTGCTGCGCTGTGATAACTCTGTGCTGTTTGTTAAGTAAAAGCATCAAAAGCATCTCTGGATCTCAGCCTGTCAATCATCATAGCCTCCTGCAGTGCGTCACAAAGTTGCGAACTTTAGGACCCAACCTCATACTTTCTCAGCGGCTAAAAGGTTTGTTTGGAAGCCGCAACATCACCAGTAGGTTATATAGCCATATTATTTTTCCTGGGGTCGCCTGGCTTGAGAACTGGCTTACGTACAGGTTGCAAGAAATATGTGCATGCACTGAAATGAACTTCATTATATCCACCCTTTCTTTTTCGAGGTATCTTACTTTAGTCCAACTAGAAGAAATATAGTTTTCTGCGTGCATTCATGAGTTTAAAGTGTTTTTGATTGATTTCATATGCCTGTGGGATTTTAAAGTATCATTATTTATAATATTGAGTACAAACAGAAGAATATCTCAATTTAAACTAGAAAAATGCGTGGAAATGCTGAGTGCTGAAAGCTGAAAAAGCAATGCTAAACTGCTAATAAAAATGGAGGAACGTATGATTGTAAAAGCTGTTGAAGGGGTGAAGAAGAAATAAAAGTTGTATAACTGAAAATGGTTGAAGGACAAATAGTATGAATATGCTCCATAAATTGAAACTTAATCATGCTGAAAGAGGCTGCAAATTTTCTGAAGTAGCACAAGGTTTGAATGAAGAGGTAAATTACCTTGAAAGGCAGGAAGGTGAGAAGTGGCATAAGTTTAAAGTTGTAGTTCTAGTAGTAGTATGATAAGTAGTCATAGTAGTGATATTAGTAGTCATGTAAGCAGTAGAAGTAGTTTGAGAATAGAAGTAGAAGTCTAAGTAGTAGAGCTTTTGGTAGAAGTAGTAGTAGCAGTAGAGAAAGTAGAAATAGTAGCAATAATAGTTGAAGTGAAGTGAAAGTACTAGTTTAATGGATTTTAGCAGTAGTTGTAGTAGTAGAAGTGGGATTTTGTTTGAAGGGTTGAATAATGCATGAATATTAAAAGTAATTTAAAACAGAGAAAATTTAAATAATTACAAATCCTCAAGTATTAGAAAGTTTTGAAGTATCAGAAAGGTTGGAATCAGTTTGAATGAGTTTTAATTTGTTTGAAGAAATAAAGTAATGCATCATTTCAGTGATTATAAAATTAGAAATTTGAATGAATAAAAATCGTGAATACACCCCACAATGTCCTCCATGAGCTGAATTTTTGAAGCCCTGAATGGTTTCTGTAACTCAAAGTTTGTGGGAGGAGACAGGGGCTGAAGTTTGTCAAGTGTTCTAGTGAAAGGATTTAAATATAACCCCCAGTGCTCTGTGTGGCCTGGCTTCATGTGTCTCATATAACTGTTAGAAGCAGCTTTCCAGTCAGCTGTGTGTCTCCAGGTGCACTGGTTGGTTGCCATGGGGAAGGTAGATGCATCACTAAAGTAGGAGAAAGGAGGCTTGAAGCTGAGGAAACAGCTTTCCAACTAGGCCCTGATGCTCTTCTTCTGTAACGGCTATATTTATGATAAGGAGGTTGTGAGAATTGCAAGACTCTACTGAACATATTGATACAATTGATTAACAATATCCTAAATACACCCCATAATGTCCTCAATGAGCTGAATTGAGCTGTAGCTCAAAGTTTGTGGGAGAAGATAGGTGGTGAAGCAGACACATGTCAAAGTGTGTGCATTTAGGTCTCATCGAGAAAGACAGAGAGTCACGCACACACATATTTAATGTGTGTACATGCAGGTGTCATAGATGGAGATCAACGCAAACACATAGTCAGAGTGTGTGTGTGTGTCTGTTAATCAATGCATTCGAAACAGCTGTTAGAGATCAAAGGGACCAAACCGTTTGAATGATATGCTGTCTTGGCCCAATAAAATTGAAGCCTCTGAACTTCTTCACATAAAACGAATTCCTCAAATCCCAGCATAAAATTAAGAACATCGTAGGAATCCTGAGACCCTCACGAACACAATAATATATATTTCATGTCTGTACTTTAAGAAATGTGGCCACAACAGCGAGTTAAACAGTGTTGATTCTGAGTGATGATCAGGATTTTCTGGCCCAAAAATTACATTACGGTCAATGGGCAGAATTGCCGCCCACTTTGGACAGTTGGTCACCTGCTGGCTGAGGGGTACAATTAATGATTTGAAACCTCTGTTGTAACAAGCAGGAATAATATACTTCCATTTTGATGTATTTTTTTATGGCTGTGGAGTGAAATTTGTGGGCATGGGAGCGATATATTTGAGCTAGGTTTTGTCGATCAAAGATGATCTTCCCACCCAGCGATGATGTCACACACTCTAGCTCTTCCAATACACACTCATTGTAAAGCCATTGAAATTATTGAAATTTGCTGAAAACCATGAGGTGCTCAAAGCTAAATTGTGAAAAAACTGTAAAAGATTAAAAAAAAAATGAATACAACATTAATAGGTGACAAGATAGTGAACACTGGGTGAAAGTATGCTAAAGTCATAAGGCTTAGAAGGTGGAAGAATAAAAGGAAGAATTGGAAGATTTCCCCATTGACTTCCATGTTAAAATTTTGGCACAAAAAGTTAAAACAACAAAAAGTATAAAGGGTAGAAAGAAAAAAAATACACGCAATCATGTCCTGAAGGAGTGGAATAATTGAACGGTTGAAATAGCACAAAGTTTGAAGAAGGAGAAGAGGGCCAAAAAAGGTTCGGAAGAAAAAGAAGTTTAATAAAGAAACAGGAGAATAACAATAAGTGGAAATGCTTAATCAGCATTTCCACTTAATAATAAAAAAGCTACAAGTGGCCAACTGCAAACATCAACTGTATGTAAGGATAGGCATAATTGGTTTTCACTGATTATGAAGTTAAAAGAGTCAAAGCTTCCTCTACTGGCTGGTGGCAGGACAGGCCAAAAGCCAACAAAGACAAGAGTGTGAAGTAGATTTCTTGGACTCTATACAGACACTAATGTCTTGCAGAAACAGCACGAATAACATTATATGGAATTTCTCATATGAATTGCTTTAGTTTTGATCTGTTTCTTCCTTCTTTTAAAAATTCCACACAGGTCTATAAATATTTGGACATCAACACAATTCTAATCTCTTTGGCTGTATACACCACCACAATGGATTTGAACTGAAACAAACATGCTGTGCTTTGACTGCAGAAATTCAGCTTTAATATAAGGGTATTTACATCCAAATTAGGTAAACGGTGTAAGAATTACAACAGTTTCTATATGTGCCTCCCACTTTTAAAGGGACCAAAAGTAATGAGACGTCCATCTCAAATGCTATTTTATGGGGGTAGGTTAGGGCTATTCCCTCATTATTTTATCATTAATAAAGCAGGTAAAAGGTCTGGAGTTGATTCCAGGTGTGACGTTTGAAATCTGTTGCTGCCAACTCTCAATATGAGATCAAAAGAGCTGTCACTATCAGTGAGGTAAGCCATCATTAAGCTAAAAAATCAAAATGAACCCATCAGAGAGATAGCAAAAACATTATGTGTGGCCAAATCAAATGTTTGGAACATTCTTAAAAAGAAAGAACGCACCAGTGAGCTCAGCTTTACCAAAAGAGCCTGGTCGACCACAAAAAAAAAAAAAAAACCTTTGGTGGTGACAGAAGAATTATTTCCCTGGTGAAGAAAAACCCCTTCATAACAGTTTGCCAGATCAGGAACACTCTCCGGGGGGTTGGTGTATGTGTGTCAAAATCAACAACCAAGAGAAGACCTCACCAGAGTGAATACAGAGGGTTTACCACAAGATTTAAACCAATGGTGAGCCTCAAAATAAGGAAGACCGGATTAGAGTTTGCCAAACAACATCTAAAAGAGCCTTTACAGTTCTGGAACAACATCCTATGGACAGACAAGACAAAGATCAACATTTACCAGAGTGATGGGAAGAGAAGAGTATGGAGAAGGACAGTAACTGTTCATGATCCAGAACATACCACCTCATCAGTGAAGCATGCTGGTAGTAGTGTCATGTATGGTCATGTATGGCTGCCATTGGAACTGTTTCCCTTGTATTCATTAATGATGTTATGTAATGGAAAATGGTTCCTTGAAAAGCGGGAGGCACATATAAAAACTGTTATACTTCCTACATCGGTCACCTGATTTGGATGTAATTATCCTTAAATGAAAGCTGAATGTCTGCATTCAAAGAACATCTTGTTTGTTGCAATTCAAATTTATTGTGATGGTATTTACAGCCAGAGAGATGAGTATTGTGCTGATGTCCCAATATTTGTGGACCTGACTGTATATCAGCCATTGGCAGACCTGTTCTGTCATAATTGGTGTCATTGTCAACTTCTAGTTATAACAATGAAGGACTTAATCTGACATCCATGTTAGGCTGATTCTCTAGACAGCCCTGAAAAAAAAAGATAACAAAACAGCAACTAGGGTTGAAGTCTTTATTATAAATCATTTACATTACAAAGTAAGACATGTCATTGCCATATCCTTCCATCCATCCATATATCTTATTTAGAAGGAGAGTCTAATGAATCAGCTTGTTTAAATTGTTTGCCATGACCAGTGGAAAGGTTTATTCTTTTTTTTCTTCATATTTCAGCATACAGAAAGACATTGGCACAGGGTTAATCATGATCCCATTACTAAGAATTACTTTGTTGAGCCACTTAGGGATCACACACTAACATACACACACAGAATATCATCAGCCTTCAAGTATGAATAAATGACCGCAGCTCTGCTTAAGCTCTGGTTTGAGGAACTGATTGCAAATGAAAAAGTAAGAGAAACAGTTGACAGATCACGAAGCAGCAAAGACAAAATGTGCACAATAGACAAGACTTAAATTAATTTCTTCTTTTTCTGGAACTTTTTGATTCTTGTGTGACTCCTTGGATCCTGTTTTGTGTTGCGCTGCCCACTTGTTTTTTTGGAGTCAAACCAGCCGATGGTCCTTTCTCCACAATATCTTTCCTGTTTAAGGTCTGCCATTAACAAGCCTCTGACACACATACACAAAACCACCGCAACTGACTTCACGGTGAGTTGGACAAAGATTGGAAGATGAAGAAAATTTTAGCTGATGAGGTCTTCAGTGGCTTTGAGAAGTCTGGAATATGTCTTTTGGTCTTTTCCCTGCCCTTTTACCAAGTTTTTACATAACACTTTTTTTTTATATCTTTAAATAGAAATGGTTTATAAATCATCTACAAACCTACATTTTCTATAAATTACACAGTTTGTTTAACCCAAAAGGTTAACGCAATAGCTGACATTTGCTGTAGAAAACTCAGGGATAGAGAGAGAGAAAACTACCTCTGCATCCAGCAGTGACAAAAAGATTGGTAGAAAAACAACATTTTTACAACAGCAAATGGACTCTAAAAATTTAGCCAAAACAAGAGATAGAAGGGTCTTTTTTGAGTGACTTTGTTTGTCTGACCCCACAGTGTCCAATCACAACTTGAGAGGAGAGCTGGCACTTGGAGAGGCCGCCTCAAATTGGGTCAGTAAGTGTGTGTGTGTGTATAACTTTATTTGTGTGTATGTAAAATGAGTGTAAATAAGTCTTTGTCTCCAATGATCTCTTATCATGCTCGTGTTAGGAGCTCCTGAGCCCAGGTCTTGATGGCCGAAGTTGTATGTTGGAGCAGCTGCCACGTTGAGTTGGTGAAGGATATGACATGCTCCTGCAGACATGATACCGACACCTCGCCACTGCAGGAAAACACAGAAAGATCGTAGAATTTCTTTTAAGTTAGTGTCAGTTAACACTGAGTGCAGTTTTTGTGTTGGGATGCATCCATTAGAGGCTGAGGTCTTAGTGTTTTTAGGGTAAAATTCAAACACTTTGAAGGTACTTCCATTTTCCCTCAACCTAAATCTTACACCTATGAGTTCATACACTCTGTGCTACTGTGGAAACATGCAATACAGCGCCCTCTGTGGACAGACCCATTTCTTCTGCGGATTTAAAAGCCACATTTTTAGTTGACAACAAAAGCTTTGACATTTAGGTGATTCTGCACTTATTTAAAACATGCCCATCTGTACTATATTCTACTTTTATCAAGTCTGTTCAGCTGAAAGCCTCAAAAGTCTTCACACTGCACCTTTTAAGTATCCTAGCCTGTCATTAAAAAGCATTTAAATTAAGTGTCAGGTAAGATGTGTGGAGCTTATTTTATCTGGACCTTCCGGTTTCAGCAGGTCACATACGAACAAGCTCAATTAAATACAGCTGTCTTAGTGACTTTGTACTCATATCCCTTTGTGGTGAACTGCAAGGGCAAAGACAGAACCATAGAGAAGAGGGATGCATTAAGCACTGACTTGCAGGAGTCCTGTAAGTTGGTCCATGCTCTTTGTAGCAGCTCAGATATATAGGCCAGGGCTGGTAGGATGTAGTTCTGATGGAGGAGCAGGAGGAGCTCCCTTATATATGCCAAAAACTCGAACACACTGTCTGGGGTATTTTTGTTTACCTGAACAGAGACACAAGAGGACAGAGTGACATTTTAAGTTGATTTACCTTTGTTCGGTCTCTGACAGGATAAAATACAGTTTCATAAAATGTTCTGACAGTTATTAAACATCAAGAGGTAAAATTTTGTTTGTGTAAAGTCTTACCCATTCTATTGCAAGCGGCGCCTTTTCTTTGACCCACAGAATAAAATGTGTTGTGTTTTCAGAGATGAAGGTGACTGCCGTTTTTGCCTTTTCTAAACCTTTTTCCATTACTGGCCCCAAAACCCGCACGCATTCAGAGTAATAATAAGGGGTATTTGTTTCCAACCAGCTGCAGAGAAAAAGAAACACAAACAATTAAATCAAAGAGGTTGAGACAGTTATCAGCTGGCGTCTGACATAGGCTGGAAGTGTTAGAAGGTATGAATGATGTTTGAAGGTGTACCTGAAGCCCTGTTTGGAGTAGACAGTTATTTTTCCCCAGGCTTGCTGAGATACGGCTGTGATTCCCGAGTTATGCAGATGTCTGGCTGTGGTGGAATCTGATAACATACAACACAAAATGTAAGAGCTCAAAAACAAAAAGCTGCGCGTATACAGCCAGCCATGTTATGAAGAAAGGCCAGTGAATGCGAGGAGAAAAACAAGACAAAGTCAGACCTGCAAAGGAGCCCTGGGATCTGATGTCATGAGCGATGAAACCAGCAGCAAAGACGAGCAAAACCATGAGCAGTTTGGACCAGGGGAAGCCGCGACCGCGCATCTTTATCTGCAAATTCTGAGACAGGAAAGCAATCACTCATGATCTTTGATCAAGTGTTGATCTTTGACGAATTTCATCTTTTACACTATTGATATGTTTCACCTGGCACAGATTATTGCAATCCTGAAGTTCCTGAGATTCTATGGTTTCCTTCATCTCCTCATTCGTCACCCTAAAAGACTGGACTGTTTCTTCAAGATTTTTCCGGAGCTGAACATGCAAAAAAAAAAAAAATATATATATATTAAAAAAAAAAAAAAAAGAGACCTAAAACCTTTCTAGAGAGATCATAGTTCAACTCAACTATCCTGAAGGAATTAATATGGCAGGAGTCTTACCTTTGGTGGCAGGATATTCCAGGATTTTAATAAATGGTTCAGCAGCAGACTGCGGGGGAAAAAACCAATCCATCCGTCAGTTAACAGGACAGCTGAAATCCGTACATTTACCTGATTTAAATATAAAGTAATGGCCCTTTCTTTGTTACACTTAAAAAGAAAAAAGAGAATTAACTCACCTAGACTGTGCTAAGTGTTTGGTATAGAGCTGCCTCCACACTCCGAGACTCTGAACATCCACACACAAACACTCCGTCATACTGCTGAGCAACTGCAAACCAAAAACAAAGGGAGGGAGAAATGAGATGCAAGACATTACGCTCAGTTTTGGAGACCATTGATTTGTTGTGACTGTTAATCAGTTTAATAGCAGAATAGATTAAAAACAACATTGTACTCTTAAATTTGCTTTTCAGCTGGATTACATTAACAATGAAACCTGCACATTTGGAGTGTTTTTAAAGTAGTTCAGACTAAACCAATCGAAGCAGATTCCAAAGTGCTGAATTATAGGGCGGTCTCATTTCAGAGACCGCATCAGGCTGAGTGCGCTCAAGCGCGCTTAGCTGAGCACACTGCCGTTATGTGGACTTGAGTACCCTGAGTGAGATGGTCTGGTTTTTGTGAAATGGGAGAGGCTACCCTTCGGAGGACTCCCTGGTTGAGTCGCCAAATGTCCCTGCCCTCAGGCTCGCGTCACGACTGACTTGAAAAAAAGCCGCGGAGCGCAGCATTTATTTCTTAATTGTGTGACCTTACACAGACACAAAACAGTAGATACATACGAGCACAGATCATTTCCACAAAATTCATCCAGTGATTGCATGTTTTGTATGGAGTATGAGGCCATATTGAGAATTTTTTTTTAAGACCTCGAGATTTAAGTCGTGAATTTACGTGAATGAAGTCATTAATTTATGAGAATAAAGTCGTAAGGTTACCTGTTATTTCAGAGGAGAATTGTTAAAATTAGAGCCATGGAGCATTTGAAGGAAGTGTGCTTCAGTATAGGTTTCACAAACAAGGAGATACTTCATCCTTTGGCGCATCAGCATTACATTGTCACAAGTATAAAGACTTAAAAAAAGAATATATGAGAAATGCGTCTTTTCCATGGGGGAAAAAAAACAAAACAGATGGACTTGGAGGGAATCTCTGCTTTTGTGGAGGCAGTAATGAATATGCTGAGGATATATCCGTTTATGCAGCCGTAAATATCCGTGAATGACATTGAGCTTTAGTTTATGATATGAGTCCATACGCCATAATAAGGTGTTGGTGTCTCTGCAGGTGTAGGTTACCGCTGGTGTCAGAGACATGGTGCTCGTCGGCGCTCGACTCCCTCTGGATCACAAATGTTGATCATCAGTTGGATTGTTTCTTCAGAAACCACAAAATCTCTCTGAATGACGCGCTGATGTATCCACAGATAACCCTGCAGTCGACTAGCTTCAGCCATTTCCCCCTCCACAATAGCAGCTTTATGACTTTATTTACTTTATGACTTTATTCTCCTAAGTTTACAACTTTAATCTCTAAGTCTTAAAAAAAAAAAAAACTCGATGTGTCAATGATCCTCTGCTGTAGTTTTGGCAGCTTTCTTATTTCTAATGTTTTGATTGTGGTAGCAGAGCAGATCAGTTATTTTCTAAAGAGGATAATGTTTTCAGCTGCAGATTTAAGTGAGTTAAGAGATCATGCGCTCATGCAGCCTGAGCTGACTGTGTTTTTGGATTTCTTTTATTTTCTTTGAAGACGCGCTGTGTCTCCAAGCGAGTCCGGCTTCTCGCCCAAAATGCGCAGCTGTGCACCTGCACGAAAAGAATTCTGGGATACCAAGGCCACGAAAGCATGCATAAATGCACGCTTGAAAAAGGCGCGGGGGTAGTGTGGTTTTGAGACCTAATTTGAAGTGCGCTCAGCATTTCGAGCCAAATGGGACACCGTTCGCGCCACGTGATGACATCATGCACACTTCAAATGCGCCGTTCGACGGTGCGGTCTCTGAAATGAGACACAGCCATAGCCAGATAACAAGGGGAGTGAAATGATCAGCTTGTGAATATATTGGATATTTGATGATCATTAGGGAAGCAAGTGGACTATTTGCTATGCCAACTATCACGGTATGAATCATTTCAGTTCTGAATGATGCGTTTGCCTGTGAATAACTTCTTTGCCTCTTTGCAGCTGAACTACATCCAGACTTCTGTTGCTGGAGCATTCAAGAGGAAAAGATGCTCAAACATTCTTCCACACCGACATTCTTGTGTGTGTGTGTATACCTCTCTCTTCATGTCATCTGGGCAGTGTGGCGTGGCCCTGGACAGAAACGATGGCAAATATGTGTGTAATGTGCTCTCAGGTTTGGCTCCAAAGGCCAGGACCTTCAGTCGAGGGTACAAACGTCTCAGCTGCGCCTGTAGACTGAAAAGAAACACAAACAGATTCATGACTTCATGAAAACAGTCACTCTGATGGAAATGCATCAGAAACAGAACCATCTTAGTGCATCATAAGTGTCTGCTATTTCCCTTTTTCTAACAGAGCAGCACTCTAAAAAATAGGTGAGAAGAGATTAATCCCCCCAAATCAAACTGTTCCAACAATAAAATGTTAACAATATTCTTTATAATTGGCTTATTATGGCCTCAGTGCATGAGTAAGAACAAGCCAGTCACTCTGTTCTTTGAGATTAAAAATCTGGGTGAAAAAAAATCACTGTCCTCAAATCCCCACATCAATTTTTTCCATCAGTGTGTTCTCTCCCTGTACTTATTGATCCACTGAACCAACATCAACAAAAACTGACATGACCTAGTCGCAGAGAATACCATATGTTATATTTACTTTGACGGCAGGGCATTCTTGGGCATGTAGGCGAAATCCAGCAAAGGGAAGAACTCTTTTGGGCCCATGATGCCAAATCCCTTTGTCAGGTTTGCATGAAGCCTGGAAGGACATCGGACACAAGTGTTATCACAAATAATGAAATTATAATAAAGACACTGTGCCAAGATGCCACAACAATGAGTACAGAAATAAAATGTAAACTTTGATTTCTGGATGTTTCAGCCATTTTTTACTCAAAAATATTAAACATTTGGGTCTTTAAATTAAAGAGACTTTGCTTGTTCATGTCCTTTGTGGTGGCAGATGAAGACGATTTGAGTTTCGAATAGCAACAAGAGCAATTTGATAATATTTCATATAGGGTGAAAATCTATCAAAAACGTAATTCACTGAAGACATTTCACTCAGTGAATGGAGCAAAATATGTTTAATATGTTCACTCAGTGAATGGAGTAAGATATGTTTAAAAACACATCCTCTAACTATCAACACCCGATTGACAATGATACAATATAATTGGATAATGCGAACATATATTTCCCCTGTACAATTCAATAAATTTGATTCTAATGTACTTGATCTATGTTATAAGTGTAAAAATCACCAGGGTACATTGTTTCACTGTTTCTGCAAATGTGAAGAGATCCAAAAACTTTGGAGCTCAGTATTAAAGTATATCTTTCAAATCACAAAGAATAGAATAGAAGAATGTTTGTTCCCCCCCTCTGAATTTTATGACATTTGGAAGATGTTTCTGGAACTGTTGAGAGGTGGAGATATGGAGGAGATAGTGTGAGAATAAAATAATGAAAAATATTTAATTTGTTGTTGGGAGTGTACGATGTAACCTATATTAAAAATATTATTATTATTAATAGCAGTTGATTATTATTGCTATTATTTTAGATATACTTTTTAAATTATTTATGTATTTATTATTTATTGCTTAGTAATTTGTTGACTAATTTGTTGGTTTAATTTATCTTTTTTATTATTTATTTAGCTTTTCTGTATTACTCATATTTTCATTATTATTTTCATTTCTGCCGTATGTTTAAACTGTCGGATGTTGTTGTATGAATACAAAAACCAATAAAGATATGTAAAAAACAAAAAAAAGAACATAATTCACTGAATAATCTACAGTTTAATTCATTTTAAGTTGTGACAGCCCTAATTGTAACGACTGAACAAAATTTGCCGGAGTGTATTTACACAGAGCAAAATCAATAGATCAGATTTTTCTGGAACACTTACAGCAGAAGTCTCTCCAGGTATGCAATGGCATATGAAGACAAGGCCTTCACTCCTAGCACGGGGAGCATGATTCCCAGCCACACTGCAACACAAATAAAGAAGTTTATTCATGTAATTTGTACTTTTCGTTCTGACAGTAAATGTTGGCCTGTACAGCTCTCTGTTTTCCAAACGCCCCAAGCTACTGCAGCAGAAAAACACGACCTCTTCCTGCATGGTTTAATTATTTAAGAGGTACAGTGAAACAAAATTAGAAAAAGTGGTTAAGACTGAAATAGCATGAAGTATGGATGAGCACTGCAGGCATTCTTCAGTGTGTTATCCAAGACAGACAAATCGTCTCAGAGATATGTGCACGCAAGTCTGTGATGTTAAGAGTTCAAGTGTTGTTTTGTACTTCGCATGTTTACCGTTTTCAAGTCTGCTTGAATCAGAGAAAGAAGAAACTCTTTACCATAAACCATAAGCAGGAGACTCTTCACTCTCAGTTTTGTAAACTGCCATTAAATTAAGAGAAACATGTCTTTCCATGCTTCAAGGCACTGAAGCTCACAAAGTTTTTTTTTTTGTTTGTTTTTTTTTTACAGATGAAGGCTGTTATATAATCTTCCAAGAATATTTATTCTCTCATGCCCACATAATGACACCCACCTCTCTCCCACCTCAAAGCCTCACCAAATACCAGGCAAAGATCTGGAGTGGCAGCTGAGTTTTTGAAGGTGGCATGTGTTCAAGCTCACAGATGGCTGATGGTGAATGTGTTACTGCTCTAATGTGAACTGCTGCTTCTTTTAACTCCAGGACATAATGTAGGGACAGAACGCACAGGCACAGACACTGTAAGTGTTGACACATCCCAAGGGGTATATTGTTTGTTAGTTGTGTAATAACGTGTGTAAAGTATTTGTGCAATTGTTGGACAATCTTTTACCTCTGAGTCCCTGGCTCAAGTCGTAAAATCCAGCCTGGCCAAGTGCCCACATGATGGTCAAACACTTCACTGGTCGATTCTGAACTGACCGCAGCAACTCTAAATACTTTAGGGGAAAAAAGGGGGGAAGACAGGGTTGTTTCAACACATTCTTACAAAATCAAACGAACAACTAACAATTAAATTGAATCTGCACGAAGGACAATTCAGCGCAGACAGAAGCATGGGAGGCTGTCATTTGCCTGTTCTCTGCATGACTCAAGGACACACTCACTCACTCACCTCTGGCAGGTTTTGGGTTGCTATTCTGGGTTTGTCCTGTAGGATTGCTTGAATGCAAACTCTGTAGCCATGCAGGGGTTCTCCTAAAAACAAATTATTCAAATGATCTCACTGGAAAAACATAAACAAATGTAGTCTCCAGTTTATGATGGAGATTAACGCTACATTTTAATGTGCACATCTGGATTATGTACTCCCTAGTTATTATCATCACGAGCAAATCAAGGTATAATACTGATTTATGGAGTCCCAGTGGCCTTGTGGTCTAAAATGTTGACCTTGTAACCACTGTCCTTGTGCAAGTCCAGCTGGGTTCTTGTTTCACATCAACTCTTTACCCTGGTTTTGTGTAATAGTGCACACTCTTGTTCTCCTCTGTCCCTCCCTCCATGGTTTTGTAATGATGTGTTACCAAAACTACTTGTTGGATGACCCAAAATCTTGATGGCACAGCATTTGTTGAAAAATGGATGTAAAACCAAAACTGACCAAAGGGAAAACAAAACAGGGCTGCACAAAATGGAAAAAAAGAAACTTTTGTTACTATGATTCAACGATAACTCAAATTTAGTGGTAATAATCATTGTGCACATTTAATTTTAGAAGGAGAACTTTATTTATCCCCAAAGGGAAATTCAATAATTGAAATATATTTAAAGTTTATCCTGTGAAAAAGGTAGAATTATTCTGTTTAAGCTCTTAGGGTCATGATGATATACTTGTACACTTTACAGGGTCTAAAACAGTGATCTTGAGGAGGATGGTGTGGGATGTAGGCAGATTCAAAACATTTTAGTACAATACAGCACAAGCCATCCACACATACCTGACTGTCTGTCCAGCTCCCTGAGCATAGTATAAACACAGTGGTCGAAGAAATCTGGCAGGATTTCACTGCAACGTCCAATTAGGCCTTTGATTACACCTTTCAGCTCTTTTCCTGTAAGGCAGTAAGGGTAGTCTGGGGACAAAAAGACAAAAAAAAAAGGAGGACATGAAATCAGCACCATCTTTTAATGACAAGAGAACTGCCTTCATTCTGGGTTGTTGCACACATTTTAGATTTGGATTCAAGACTTTTTTTTAGACCTAGATAACAAAATTTAGGCCATTTCTGCATAAGTGATGTTGGATATTTGGACCATCAATCCCAAATTTAACACCATTTTTTTGTAAAAAGGGACTTTGTTCCACCCCCTGTACTTTTCATTTAACTGCTTTTTTCCCTCAACTTGCTCTTTCTCATCCCTCCTTCTTTTTTTCTCTTCGATTTGCAGTTTGTGAATGTATACAAGCAAAACTACTTCTTTAAAGACATTTTTTGACAGCACATCTCATAAAGTAGTCTGGGACTTTTTTATACTCTTTTTAGGGATCTGCAAAAGAAGAAAAAGCATTTTGACAGGATTAAGTATTTAGAAAGGTTGCAGTGCTTTAAAACAAAACGAAGTCTGAATGTGACCGACCATGAGGGTAGCTGCTGAGTGTGGGCTCAGTCTCTGGTGCAGTCAGATTGAGGTTAAGGTATCCTGCCAGGTCTTTGACCCACACTGATGGGTTATCTGGAAACAGGGTCTGACTACGAGCCAACTGCTGCTTCAGGTCTGCAACATCCAACTGAAAAAAGGACAAGATGGAGAAAACACTAAGGCCGTCTACTCAGAAACAACAGGTCTATTATGGATAGATGGAACCGTGTTACAGCATGTGATGGTGGTACTGAAGATCACACAGTGCAGCATTGTCTAAACAATGATATTGGCAGCTCTGAGAGGTGTTACAAGTATGATTAGATTTATTTTTTCTTCATAGTGTTAAAATAGTTCATTTTTTTTCCTTTTTATCTCTAAACTGCGACACATAAAAAGTTCTGTAATCAAAGTATTCACATAGTTTAACATCTCATTTTCTCAGCCAGTAAGAAGTTCTAAAAAAGGCCTGATTTGAGAGTTACAAACATTACTTACAGCTTTGAAGGCTTCCTCAAGGGTCCTCTGTGTTGTGGGGGTGGCTGTATTGCTGGAGTGTGATTTCTTTGATGGTTTATTTGATGACGGCTTCTTGTTTTCTGGCTCTGCTGGTGGTGGTACCTGCTCCTTGTTCTGTTTCTTTCCCATCTTTTCAAAACCCTCAAACAGAGTCTCTGACATCTTCAGGGGTGCTGCAGGAAACAAGGAGAGATTTAGTTATCCCCACTGCTCTGTTCAGATTTGAGTCTAAACTTTTGTTGCTCTTTTCAAACTCCAGTCTTCTCTAACACTATTTTCTCAGTGTTTTCAAAACCATGTTAAACCATGAAATCATGACATTCCCCTCCCTGGCTGCTCCCTCCCACCACATTCAGTGCTTGCACCCTCCCTCTATGGCTTGCGTAATGTTTTTTTCCCCAGAAAATATTCATGCAAAACTTACTATTCATAAAGGACCAGAGTTAAGTCCCAGCAGAATTTAAAGTATTCCTCTGTGTGTTAACTTAAGACCTTATCTGTAAACAAGTCCCTTCCACTAAATTTCAGACACAAAAAGTTAACTATTGCAGGGATGCGGGCTTTAAATATGTACTTCTTAAATGTCAAACTTCATACCCCAGAACCAGACAATATACTAATATAATCCTGGTAACAATGTGAGGGGTTTGGTTTCATCAATAAATATGATTTGAAATTTACAGAATGGAAAAACTGAGTTGAAATTAGGGATGCACCGAAAAGAAAATTCTTGGCTGAAACCGAAAATGAGGCCAGAAACTGGTATTTATTAGTACCATTGCATGTATGGCTATGACTGTGTACTAATCTTACTAAAATCAAGGCATTGCAATTGTATACATTCACATTAATTACTATTAAATATAAATTAATATTGATTTATGCAATTGCAATGTCAGTTTTGAGTTAGTGTGGTTGCTGCATGTTCTTTTTTCGTTTACACCTTTAGTTGGCGCCCACGAGGCAGAGGCAAAAATAACTCAAAAGTTTGAAGAGAAGAAGTGTTGTCAGCGGGAGAGAAACGGCTAAAAGGTAGTAGCGTCAGTGTGTTTACTTTCAGGCAGTCAAGAGCAGGAGTTGAGCATGAGTTTGCTTTGCAATGTTGATTTCTGTTAAAGTTATAAATAAAGGTGAGAAGAAGTTGACCTTCCCCAATGTCTGCAAATTTTAGCATTACACACTATGCTAATCCCTATCCGTAGTTCTCAGATATATTGAATTACGTCCATACCGCAGACATATCGGCTCTTAAGGTCCTTTCACACCGGAACTGTTTTTATCGTGCGATTATTTCGGACGTCAAATTTTTTTTTCAAAACCGTATCCTGTCAATACAAGCGTTCACATCAGCAACATTTTCCCATCCTGCGATATTGCGGCATTAATTTTTCGGATCATGTTCGGAAGTTTCGCATGCCGTGTGTCCACTTCTGACCAATCAGATTGCGTGTTGTTGCGATGTCTGATTCACCGGTATATCCAACATGGCCGACCGGCTGATTGTTTGTCGGAGAACAGAGTGCGTTTTGATAAAACACAAATATTACAAAGATAACGACATGAAAGACAACTTGTGGAGAGTTATAGCGTCGGATTTCTCATATGACGATGGTTTGTGTGCTTTAACAGTTTGCTAAACATCTTTGTTTTAACTTTCATCTGCGCTAAGTAACTTTAGCTCGTAAGCTAACCTGTTCAGATACAACATACCATATGTATTTTCACTGTCTCAAACTCAATCGCGTTGCTGTCACAGCACCGTTAGATCTTAGTTGTTACATTACGTTTATGGATTATAGTTTAATGTGCTTATCTGGTACTGGCCCTGACTCAGTACATGCTATCATGACAGACAGTCATCTCAACACTAGTGTCTAATCAGAACTGAAGAACAGTCAGTCTGGAGTTTTGTCAGTTTTCTCGCCTCCACCCGGGACGTGTCTTTTTTCCCCCTGGAAAGTCGCAAAATCGCATCGGGCTTGATGTGTATACTCAGGCGCATCAAAATTCGCCTCTGAATATTTTGTAATTTCATGTTCTATGTTCGCGTCAGCCCCGGTGTGTTAGGACCTTCACCCAGAAAAGCTCATTAACCTTAAACTTATAAAAGTTTATGCTTTAGTCAACACAACATCTGTATCAGTTGTGCTGTTTCAGTGAGAAAAAAAGTGTTTTTGGCAGAAAATGCCAGAAAACCAAAATGCAAATGTGCTCCTCAGGGTTCAGACCTGGGGCCCCTTCTATTTATCATTCATCTGTATTTTTTTGCCACATCTTCAACAAGTTTTAATTTTAGCACCCATTTCCATTGCTGTGCAGTTGGCGGTCAGCTTTACCTGTTACCTAAACCTACCTCTCCTCCCGTTCCCCTCTCTCACTCCCTACAGGAAATCAAATCCCGTTTTTTCTGGCAACTCTCTCAAGCTAAACTGATAAAACACAGGACCTTTTTTTCCCTTAACACCAATAGCTTTTTTGTATCTCCCTTACCCCAGGTTAGGAGTTTCGTCCATCCCTTATATTCAACAATGTCCCATTCTCATCCCACATTGATTATGCAGCAGTCTTCTCTTTGGTCCATCCACAAGTCTTGGCTGAACCAGAACTCCCACCAGACAGTCATAACTTTGATTTTCTCTCTTTGACTATTCAAACGTCCCTTCACAACATGCCCCTCTAGATTGCAGGTTCAGTTTGATCGTTTTCAACTGGTCGCCCAAATCCCCCTCACAATGTTTCTCTACATTGAACTTATCCTGCTAATTCTACCAATTTTCTGTAATATTGTTAGTTTTATTTTCTAAACTCTGCCTCATAAGGTCACTTTAAATGTTTTGAGATGTGTACAAAAATAAAACAATTTGTTATTATGACACTTCATTAGCTCATACATATTCTCTAACTTCCCCAAAGTGGCTGTGGCTTTTGATTTGATGCTGCCTTCCCACTAAAGAATCTTTAAAACATATCCAAAAATACAGTTCCTCTTTTTAAATGAGCAGCTTCCCTATAAAGCTTTCCAATGACAGCCTGAGGTGACAAAATTGAAACACAAGTACATGTCTTAAAAACTACAGCAGCCACAGCCACTGTCATGTATAAACATGTCGGCTAGTGAAAAATTTGTATGTAACTGTGTTTCAGAGTTTTTGGACAACAAAAGTTTATAAAAGAGATTGATAGCTAAATAAAATACTTACTTCTTACTAATGCTGTTTCTTAAAACTCTTGTTCTCTTCAAACTGTCTCACAGTTAGCTGCCCTGAGTGGGTCTAATTCTACCCACGGCAGTGAAGACAATTACTGAATACATTAGACGTCAAGTCTGCTCAAGAATCCCGGACAAGCCCACCCTCAGACCTGAGTCTGTGCTGGCAGAGGTCACCAGTTGTTCACTGATCATTCAGCTGTACAATTTGCTGACAAAACTAAATCTATATCTGGTCAGTGTATGCGCGTGTCGGCACAACGCAGGGCTGTGACGAAGAAGGGCTGTGTTTCACCACAGCTCTGGTACAAACTCGATGGCAGTGACTTCCCTGTTTTAATGTTGGATTATTCTTTGCTATTCTGAAATAAAACAAACTCCCTACAACAGAGAGACAAATTCAGACTCTCTTCTTTGTTCTGAAGCTTGATCTCACTTATAAATACCTCATCTTAATAAGCATAACCAGAACTAAACTGAGAATAAAGTACTGATGCATGATTTAGGTCTTTCGGTCAATTAAAGCCTCAAAAATATTGCTATTTTAAGTCACACGGAGCTGGTAATTTACAACAACAGCTTCTGGCATGACAAAACAATTGGTGCCACAGTTGAAGACAGTAACAGGAAAAGACAAGAGGCTGAGACAACAGGCAGTTGGAAAATTTTGACTTTTCTACAGATTTTCTCTGACACAAGGGACAGCTCTATCAAACCATGTTCATTCAAAGATGAATGCTAACCACTTTATTTTCTTTTTGATTCAAATTCTAGGTTTAAAATTTCTGACTCTATTACACATATTAAAGACCATGAACTGTGTTCGCTGCACCCCTGATGCCCTGGAAGAGTCTATAACTTCCGAAGATCAGGGGGTCAGTCCCTACAGACTCTTCATGTGAGAATACAAAGATTCTGAGTGACATGAGCTCTGGCGGTCATTCAGGATTCATAGAACCGTAGTTACATACGTAACTTTCGTTCTATTTTATTCCTGCTGACCGCCAGAGGCTGTGCTTAAAGCACTGAATGGCTAATACTAGCAAAGTCATGAGGAATCCGGTTATAAACCTCAGAGGGTAGAATTAGAGGACTCTGGGAGAAGGACCACATCCAATGAATGGGGGGTGGCAACATTTACTCTATAAAATCTCGAGAAAGTCCATGGCGATGCCCGCAGCGGCACAACTATCTTCCAAGGGTACCCCCTTCATTGCGGCCCACAACACTGAGACACTCCTGGTAGAGTGGCACTGTATACCAGATGGTACAGGGCGGTTTTGGTTTAAATACTTGGTATATACTTAAATACTTTGGTAGAAATACTCGAACTACGCATGCGTGAAGGGAATATTCAGTGCTTTCAGCAGGGATGAAATACTTAAGATCTTGAGACCTTGTGATTTCTTTTCCATGACATTAGTAAAGATAGTAAATCTCATTAGAGGCAAACTTTAAACCCTAAAATGTCTTACATGTTTCAGTCTGTTGTTGGTAACCACAAAGACAGGTCCAGATGCAGGCAATAAAAAAGAACCTGACAACATCTTACAGACTACATTCCTTCATAAAGAAGCTGTTTTGTCAGATATGCAATTGGTGCTTCCACCAAACAGGAGAAATATCACCCTCACAGCACCTCAAGCACAGTTTAAGAGATTCGTCAATATCGTTATGAAAAGGGGAACCACAGCACTCTGACAAACCAACTGGGGGTTTGCCACTCAATCAATTAAATGTCAAACATCACAAGACAAAGAAGAGTGCCGCACAAGCGCAACATGTTGAAGAAAGTTCAAGGAGGAAAAAAAAACTGAACTGAATGTAAATACATTACATGAAAACGACTGACCTGAGGACTTGTGTTATGACTGTTTGGATTAAGATGACAACGAGCAGCTGAAATTAAGTTGTCAGTATTGTTGTCATTATTATGATGCTGTGTGGACCATTATTAGAGCAAGTGTTTGATGACACAGGGAATTAACCAGACAGAACAGGATGCCCTCAGGGCTGAAGAAAGAAAGAAAGATTAAGCAGAGTGGATTCAGGATAGACCAATCAGCCTTGGCCGATTATCAGGCCAGTATCCCCCGCCTCCAATAACACTAGTTAACTAAAGAGGTGCCTTTTTGTCCTCTAGGGTTACCTATTCATATTCATATTTTCAGGTTACTGTTCTTAGAAAGTTGAGATTCATGGATTTTTTACATAAAGCTAAAAAATAGGTTGCACTAACTCTGCTTAATTTAAAATACAGCTAAACATTTAGTTTACACTGTTTACATTATAAGGGTTGCACCAGCTGAGACAGTTAAATACCAGTTTTCATGGCACACTGTTATGAAAGAGGATGACTTAGAGGTCAGGCCCTTTCACCCATTTTTTTCTTTTTGCACTTACCATAAAAACTGTATAAAAACAGAAAAAAGTACAAAAGGGACAAATTCTGACAGCAATCTATTAGGGGTGGGAAATCACAAAACAGCATAGTATCACGATATTTTGTCTGGTGATATATCGTATGTCTTATTGACCAAGTATCGATTTTTTCAAATTAATTGCTAATATGGAGTCAAATCTATGATAAGGGAAAAATAAAATCAACTGTTTGTCCAGTGAGCTTGGCAGAAGTGACATCATAGAGCAGGAAAAATTTAGTACAACAAATAAAGCAGCACCTGGGGAAAGACACTAGCAGAGCACAAATGAGATGGACCTGACACAGGAGGTTTGTCAGATGTGCTACATAAAAACAAAATACAGTGTAAATAAGACAAACATACAGGAAAGACAAATGCTAAATTAGCTAAAGAGTAAAAAAAAATTATAAATTGCAATATACTAGGGATGTTCCCAGGTTAAATTCACTGACGGTTAAACAACCATTTTGAAACCAAATCTTCGAATACACAAAAATTAACTCCCAGAAAATAGCCCAAAACTGAGCACGTCGATCTATATGGCCAGATATCATCTGAAATAAATATTAAGAGTACATGAAAGCCATGCTTATAATATTAAAATATGTTACAGAATCTTATTTTAGCGCTGGAGAATGACATAAAGTACGTGAAAGATCAAAGAAATTAAGCTCTGCTCCACTGCGCTCAAGCCAAGCAGCCTGCTGCGTAATTGGCCTGCCTCACACCATAAGCACAAAATGAAATCTTCAGAGTCAGACAACATTAATCAAAATACTCCCAAACTTTGCTCTTTTTTCTGACCGACAACGCTCTGGCTGATCGCATGTGTTGATTCACTGTAAGGAAGTTAACCCACGATGCCATGCATGCTGCAGGCCAGTGCTGTGAGCCCAGAGCAGCGAGACAGGCAGAAAGAGTCGCACGCAAATGATCCACAAATTTTAGCTTGTTTAATGCACTCTTTTATCAAGACACGATGGTAAAAACGAGATAAAAAAAGAGCTTTTTTCGCTTTTTTCTTTTTTTAATTTTATGGAATAAACAAATATTATTTACTAACCGGATATTAAGGACAGCCCCATTTACACGAATATCCGAATAACCGCGCACATCCCTACAATATACTGTATCGCAATACTCACTGTATTGCAAAATGTGAAAAAACCCAATAATGTAGTATTGTGGCCCAAGTATCACGATAATATCGTATCGTTGGGCCACTAGTGATTCCCACCCCTACAATCTATTAGAGTTCAAGTTCTCCACTCACAGCACTGCTCAGAGTCTAATGTAGAGAGATCTGTAAATGAGTAGATGTAGGAGAAACTCCAGACCAGCAGTCTGCAAACGGAGGTGTAATGTGAGTAGCTGTTCATTTCTCTGTAAAGCCCTGTTGCTGGGTTGGGTGGACTCTACTGGATTCTCACACCAGCAGAAGAATAGCTGACAGGATGCTTCACATACAGAAACAGAGCGAGGCATGTCTCAACAACACACAACAGTCAGCACAGGGCACAGCTTTCTAGGAAGATCAAGTTTTTGTTTCTGTATATACTGCAATGATAATCAAAATCCCATGTTCATGTCTGTTCTTATGAAGACATACCCAGGGCTCTCAAGTTTTGAACTAAGCTTAGAGTGAGATTTCCTTCCGTTTAAATACAACGGAGTATGAGGGCCACATTAAGAAAAAAAACGTTTTTAAATCTTCGAGAATAAAGTTATTATTTAGGAGAATAAAGTCATTAATATATAAGAATACAGTCGTAAAGTTACGTGTTGTGGAGGAGAGTTGTTAAAATCAGCACTGTGGAGCATTTAGATGAATTGTACTTTAGTATAGGTTTCACAAACATGGAGATACTCAATCCTTTGGTACATGCGTGTTACACTGTCATGAGTATCAGAACTTTAAAAAGAATATATGAGAAATGTTCCTTTGTGGGGGGGATGGCTGGAAATGTCTGTACAGAGGCTAAATTCATCAATGCAGCTGTTAATAGCAATAGCATAGGGCTTTAGTTTATCATATGAGTTTATCTGCCATGAGGTGTTGAGGTCTCTGCATGTGTAGGTTACTGACTTACTGTAATCATCGGTTCTTTCTCGTCCTTATAAAAACCTGCTCTAATTCGGCGAGTGTCTGTCAAAATCAAATCAAAATCTACCCGGATACAGCAATACTGCTTTTTGATTGGTTGTTCAGTAGATATACTTTATTTAATTGGCTTGCGCGTGGCACGCAGCTTCTGAACTCTTGGAGGAACTCACTTGATTCCTAGTTAAAGAGGTGCAACTTGGGGGAAGTCACCATGTTCATTTAAATGCGTGAGAAATACAATGTGTGGTGTGTGAGCGTGTGGGAATGCGTGAGACTTGAGAGCCCTGCATACTTATGACATGATAAAGAAAACTCCTGGAACATACTGCATGGTTTAACTGCAAGATTAAAAAAATATTGAGTTCATAGGTGCATCATGTTACAAATTTAATCAGAAACCCTGTATGATGATATCCTACCATATGATTCCTGCAGTGATTCTAACAGTAGACTTCAGAGTTTTAAAGTTTCTATTAAGTCAAAAGTCCATCAGCTCTTCATGTTAAAAAATACAGTTTGTAAATCATTGGACATCTTTTACCCTTTGTAAGCTAAGGTATCCTGAAAGTTTGCAGCATTGAAATAACTTATTGGACTTGAAAAATCGCCACTCTTTAAAGAGAAGCCCTTGTCAGATATATCCCATAACATGTCCAGACATGTAGTGTGAACCATGTCCAGTGGATACAGTATAATTACAGCTGTCTAACACATATGTCCTCTTGGAGGCATGGGTCTTCAACACACAACAAGAAAGGAAGATGTATTCAAGATTTTCTTTTATGTGTCTGAGTGATTTAAGAACAAGGATCATCTCAGCAGTTAAGTTATTTTATCTGAACAATTGGAAACTATTCCAATCAAAGTCAGACACTAAAAGGATCAAATTTGCTCTGTGCTGTCTACATGACACCAGGCATACAGATCTTAAAGCCTGCTCTCACAAACACAGAAGCCAGAAGATAAACTTATGGCTAGAGGCTTTTTCCCAACAGGAGAAAAACCACAAACTCAACAGTTACGGTCTCATGATCCAAGTGCTCAGGTTGTTTTAGAAGATGAAAAAAAAGCCTTATTGATTTTTAAATCAATCTTTTCTATCATTATAGTCTGGATCAAATATTTAAGAAGCATGTTGAAGCTGAAGAGCACTTTTAAAGTGAGAGCGGGAAGACTTAAAAACATATTATACAGCAGGGAAATTAAAGAGCCCGAAAGGAGAGAATTCATTTTAATCTAAACCTTAACACCACACTAGACATAGTTATGGTCATTGGGATCAGGCAGGAAGACTTTGGACGGGCTGACTTGCTGATAAAACCGGAGCATAAACAAACAGCAGTGGAAGAGTCAGATCTAATCTCCTCTGTCACCCATGATTTAGGTCTTAAACATACCTGTGGGGAGGGCGTAGTACTTGATGGTACTTTGCACCTAGTTCATCAAATGTCAAGTATGCTGAGTGTAAACCAAACTCTCCATCACGGATCTGTAATTGCACTAGGACAATAAGGCATCATCACAGTGTGCTGCCAGAGTTACTGAGGTTACTGACACTTTTTTAAACACACCTTTAAAAAAGTGACACCTTTAAGCACTTTCTTTATTAGCTGATATCAGATTATATTGGCAGCAAGTGGTGGTGCTGAATTAACTGGCACATGTTAGACCCAGACCTTCAAGGGGCATGTTGAGTTCAAGAACTAAAGGACAGTTGCACACTTTACCATGCAAGCAAAGCAGCCTAAATGTTTCGAAATAGCTTCTCTTGACCTAGAGTTTTGAACAGGAATATTCTGGAAGTTATTTTCTTTAATAATTTCATTAACAAAGGTAAACTTTCATATGAGTTAAATTATTTTGATGATTTTGGCTTTAAGGTCACGAGTCTAGAATCAAGTTTCTGAAAATATCAGAAAATTCTCTAAAATTATCCAGAAATGGATTCATAATACAGCAATATTAACTTCTGCCGAGTTCATTTATACACCCCTTTTTTGGGGGGGGGCTTCTACTTGACAAATCACTGCATTAGGGGATACGGCTTTGAGCTGATCCACCTTTATCTCTTCTTCGGTGTTACTGATTTCAAGGTTTTTCTGATAGAGGCCTGCGGTTGGTTGGTGCCCGGAGTGCTATTACCGTAATTCCGTCAAAGTTTGTCTGATCAGAAAGATTTAAGCGGTGTTGGAAAGCTGCGCCTATTAGGGCGAGGTGATATGGGAAAAGTTTTATCATAATATATTTTTTTCATATCAGTTGATATCGATATATATCACGATAAAAAAAAATTCTAATTTAACAGTCCTTATTAGTAGCATGTCTTTTGCAAAATAGTAAGCTACTGCATCTATGAGGTCTTTGTGTCTCTTCGACATTTTGTCTTAAGGTGTTGCGCTGGAGAAAGCAGACTGAAGGGTCGGCTGCTTAGGCGCCATGGGCTCCTTGCTCTGCTCTGGGTGCGCACGGGATGCACGTGCTCTGCTGTGTGGCATGGCTTCAGCTGGAAAAAAGAGATATTCCGACTCTGCCATAACATGCACTTGACATAATTTGCAGCGCACATTACATTTTCGTGCCAGTGTTTTCAAAGATATCATCATCTGTTTAGCCTTCATCTGCATTTCTGCTGGGAGTAGCACTCATTTTCTTTTTTTCTCACCAACAGTGCTGTCAGCTTCACATGTTAAATTGCTATGGTTGCATGCAGCTGCAGCCTGCTACTACGCAGTTGTTTGCTACTTGGTTCAACTTCAGCACATGACTGGTTCAGCAGGAAGTGGGCCTGGAGAAACTCTCCTTTTCATTGGCTATTTGAATAGTCTACCAAAAAATCGCAGAATGCCAACTATCGAAAAGCATATTGACCATGTTTTATATTGATATAGAGGGAAATTAAAATTCGATATATATATCGTTATCATTTTATTGCCCAGCCCTAGTGCCTATATAGGATCTACTACGGTAGTCGTAATCATATGAGGTAGGCAGTCATTGCAAACACAGGAAGTAACGGCAGAGCGCTACACAGCTTCTCAATACTGTAACTCCTTGAAAGTTTGCTCGATCTAAAAAATTCTAACACTGACAGATGGCTGAGCATCTGTGCTTTCTGTCAATATATGAAGTATGGTATTTATTATGGTAATCTTGAACGGTGCCACCAACACAGCAACTTTGCCAGGGGCGAGGGAGAAAAGAAGAGTCGAGTAAGAGAGTGAAATAAGACAGCAAGCAAAATAGAGGTTTTTTGTTTGTTTGTTTTAGAAATATGGTAATAATTGGAAGTAAATAGTAATGATAAAAAGGTGACCGCGAGAGATGGAAACACTTCTAACTTAAGGACGCATCTCCGAATCAACCACCCACTCACTGCTGCGAGGATGCATTTGGCCCCAAGTTCACTCCGTGCAGCAGTTTCTATGCCTTCCGCTGATATCGATGCAGGACCAACAACAACTCAGTCCACCACCACTTAGACACAGCCAACAATAAGGCTGTGATCATGTATTCTGTGAGGTAAGTATAGGGTATGTACACTTGTTTATACAATCTACAGCATACTAAAATGATTCTGATTTTAAATTGTGCTGGACAATTTACAGCTCACTAATTTGCAATGCCTATCAGGGCTCTGGTGAAAATGAATGATAAGAATATGAAGTTAAACAGGAAAAAATAAGAGGTAATACACAAGCAATCAAAGCAGTTACAAAGGTACAGGAAAGCATATACAAGCAAAGGTTTGTTGCTGAATAAACCAGAATTTGGCAGCTCACACAGCTGAGGTGTGCAAAAAGTCTCAAGTGATCAGGTAGCCACTGTCTAAATAACTTAGTCAAGCGATTTCAAACTCAGGAGCAAGCCTAAAAAAGAAATGTATGCTTCAAATTCAGTTCTAAATGAGTTGGGGCTGAAGAGTGAATAAAGTTTTACTTGAACTGGGGGAACAAGAGCACTATTAAGGAGTATTTTCAAGGGCAATATAATGCACATTTGCAGTTATCTTTATGGAAGCAGTAAATGTCTTGTATTTATCATAATGGGGTACACATATGAGTGCTTCGGAATTTACTCAATAGCTATTTATTCTTTTTGAGTCACGTTTAGTGACAACAAAACAGAAAAAATAATATCACCAACCTTTTTGGCGAGAGAAAACGTGGGATTTAAATCATCTGATCTTCAAATAATACTTCAGAAGGGTGACAGCTGTCTCTGAAGACTTAACTGACATCCTCATTGACCTTAAAAGACTTGACTGTGTAAAATGGCTCCGCTTTATACTAAAAACACTCTGGGAATATTTTTTGAAGTGTTACAGAAAGACATATCGGTCACTCAGCTGTTTATTCATGCTTCAGAGTTTCAGCTCCTCAGTGATGACGTTGCCTGTGTTGACACACCGCTTCAAAAGCTGCTAGCACATTTTAGCCTACTGACAATTTCACCCAACTTACCTCAAGCTCAGGACAGTATTTTTGAAATCATTTCTTAGGACTGGATACACAGCAAGAGACGGAACTATAATGGTAAAACACGAAACTGGACTCAAAAATTGTCGTAGGAAGTAAAGATTGTGCGCGATGCTATGCTACGCTTGCTAGCTTGTCAGATCAGGTGGCAGTAATGAGGCAACCTTACAGATATTATTTCACGAAAACACTAAAAGTCGAGCGTTAGCAAAGTGGGAAAATAACAGCACAGGTAGCCCTATCCTTCTCCTGTAAATTAACTCTTTCGGTGAGGTAAATGGGTCATAGAGCAGCAGTCTACACCGGGCCGTGTTCACTCACGTCTAGATGGCTGGTTAGACTCTCCCAGGGCTTTCCGTCCCCCGCTGCCACTCTTCTTCTCAGTCGGATTCTTGCCTCCTCCCGAGCTGCTGCTTTTCTTCCCTTTCCTTACGACCTCCCATTTGCCGACCGAGCCGTTATTTGAAGCCATTTTTCCTGGTCCTGAATAAGTGTAATTATTCCGCGGTGCCGTAACTTCCTCACTACTTCCTCCCCGTTGAATGAAACTGAGCGACAGCTCGCTCACCACCAACGGCTCTGATCATTTAACCGTCCGCGTGCCACGTCTCTTTGCCGGCCTGACGTCAGAGTGATGCGTTTGGGCCGTTAGTTTCGTACCTTTGGTTTGAATTTTTGACCTGCGCTGAAAAGTTCATACAGGTCCATATTCTTGAAGGAAGTTATCCTCAAGTAACTCTGTGTTTTCAAACCAGTTAATAATTTGTTCTTGATCTGAGTTCACAGTTAAGAATTAACCAGAAAATGAAGTCAGATGTTTTAGAGTACAGTCCAAGAAAGAGCCAAATATCAAAAGAATAATGTTCAAACGTCTTCCTTGTGGTCTCGGCCCGGAGCAGATATGCATCCATATCAAACAGCAGTCTTGTGACCTCCAGTCAGACAAATAAAGCCAATGCTAAAAACTGCAGTTCCCTAAGTGCCCATTAGGGGCTGGCTGCAGAAGCGCCATAGGCCACATACACACCAAACCCAAAAGGCCAATGACAGTGCCAAAATAGACACCTTTACAGCCTGGTTCCAAAAAAGGTTTTGATCTGAATAGTTCAGGGATCCCAATGGCATCCACAGGACAGGGAGTGAATTCTTTGTGAGTTTTCCATAGAGTTAAGGCAAAATTCTGATTATAAAATGTCATCTTTTACAAATGCCTCCTGGAGGCTGTTTTTTAATGGTGGGACAACAGAAATACAACCTTGGGGTTGCTGAAAAATGGCACATTACAGCAAGTGGCATTTTTTCATCAAACTTAGACTAAGGCCTACAAAAAAATATGTTTTAATGCACAAAAAGGTCCATCATTTAATGAGCATTGCAGTTTGTTGTATGATGTGCAAGTCCTGTCATATTATGGTTCATCACTATTATGGTCACGTTAAGTGCCAGGTTAAGTGTAACTGTGGGTCTGCTGCAGTTTTTGTCTGGCTGCGATCAATGGAACAGACGGTGAGTTTTGGCTGCAGTGTCTCTTAAATGAGGCGCTTAATGTCGCTCAGATGGGTCAACGAGTGTTTGGCCTGAACCTCTTGGATCCCTCTCAATACCTCCTCTATCCCAACTAAGTGGATTTTTTACTGCAGACCACAGTGGATGACATGAAGGGTCATTGTGTTAACCTGATTCCCTTGGGAGCAAACTTCTCTCAAGCCATCTATATAATTTTTATGAAAACTCAGAGTCTGCCTAACACTGTTGCATTGTCCTGGATGGGGAAAAGATGTTAAGCAATACGAGTAAGAGAGCTGCAAATTTGCAGATACAGAACACGAGGACATGCTTTTCTTTTACCACAGAGCTTTATTTCTTTGCAGCGGTAAATCTGAATGATGCAAGATGCATGATGTTTATTACATGGCTGCCATGGCAACAAACAGTGAGAGAGGGTTTGTTGTTTTGTTTTCTAGGCTGGTCCGATTACTGTCAATAATACTCAACCTGAAGGTCTGGATAAATCACAGCCGTGGTTCCTAAGCAGCCACGTGGCATTTTAACACCTTGAAACAAAACTCAATTAAATAGCAACAGAAAAATGATAGCAGCTACAATGTTTAACTCAATTAACACAGTCAAACATTAGTATTAAGTAGTGTCTGTTGGTAATCCTTTCTTATTTGTTCATTCATAGAATTCAAAGCCTGACACTAAGCTTATAAGTTGCTTTTACACTGATCCTACCTGACTTGGCCATTGAGGAATTCAATGCAAATAAAAAACAAACCTCTTTAAAACAAATCTACAAAATATAAAATAGCATCTTCCTGTTTCTTTCTGGCTGCAGCCAGTCACTGCATGTTGGCATTTTGGATCATTTCAGTCCATTTTGTGTATGCTACATTTAGTGCAAGATCTTCAATTTCCCCAAATCCAAAACCACATTCTCTATGAACCTGTACAGAATTGATTGAAAAAGGTCAATAAATAAAAAACATAAATTACATCATGCCTTCTCATTAACAAGCTTTAGAGAGTTTTTATGCGCAAACCTTCTCCTGTGGAACAACTTTAGGAGTAACAACCAGCTTTTGTTATGAAATTTCAACTTAGAAGTACTTATGAAAATGAACAGTTCAAAATTTTGTGATATGTTCATGGGCTAAATGTTTGTTCACACGTCATCATAAGCAGTTTGGTGAAAATGCATGTGCAGGTCTTTCTCAGAAGAGGCCAAACTCTTACCTCCTGAAATTTATCCAAAAGAAATTGTCACATTTTGTGGAAAATATTGTGATTTCATATATATATACACTCTGCATAAACCATGTGTGCATTTTGTGGTGGTCACCTATGAAAGTGCGTGGTGAGAGAAAGTGACCCACCTTATAATAAAACAGACAGAGTGCTTGCTCTTTTAGCTCCAGACTGTCAGTGCTGGGTTCCTGTAATCTCGTATCATTTCAGTTTAAACAGTCCACACAGTAGCAGGTTAGACAAGCCCTGCGGTGCATCTTCCCCTCTAGTAACAGGTTAGAGTGAAGCCAAGTCAGCCAAGTCAGGCTGCCAAGCCTTAGTCCAGACAGGTACAGGTTCAGTGTCCTTTGCTAGTAAGAGTTTGGGAGGCTAGGCTGTGCAACAAAGTCGTTGTGGCTATGAAAACACAGACAAGATGGGAGGAGTTGGGAGAGGTTGTAAAAAATAAAATAACGGGACAAGAGGGGAGTTATGACAGTAATTATCAGGTAGATTAAAGGGTGGGAGATGAAGAACAGAGGAAGAAGAGTTAAAACTCCTCCTGGTCCCCCTGCGCCCCTTCTTCAATATCATCATCCTCTGGTGGCGCAAATCCGTCCTGCAAGGAGAAAGCAGAGGTGAGGAAGAGCTGTCACCGTTTTTGTTTCATTTATTTATGTTTTTTGAAGGTTTTTGATTTCTGTGAGGCTGTTTACGTCACAACTTCTTCTCCTTCTTGAAACTTGCCCTAAATTCTTAAGACACTGCTCTGTATCATGCAGCATCATCCTACAGTGCAGAAGTAGAAATTAAAGCAGTGGCTGCCTGGGCCTCTTACACAACAGTAAATGTGTTGCTTGATTACCAGTGGTACTTCAAACGAAGCAACATTTGGAAACTGAACTGTTATTTCCATTTGAATATACCTTATTCAAATGAAAATATGATATCTCACAATATTATCTAATAGAGCAGGGGCTCTGTGTGTGATCTGCCTTGATTTACCTCTGTAGCATACAATGTCGCCATGATTTTCGCCAGGGAGGGGTTGTTTTCAGGTTCATGCTCCTGGCAGATGATCTCAATGTCTCTCAGCTTCCCGAAGTAGAAGTCCCTCTCCTTCTCCAGTCCTTCCACAGTCAACTTCAGATCCAGCAGCTATTAGCAAAGATAATGATAATAACTTAACGTAATAAACATGAACATACCTTGTTGAGAACTCAAAAGATGTCATGGTATATTTACTTACAGACCCCTTCAACAAAATTAAATAAAATCAGCCCTGGTTTATTTAGATTAAATAAAACTGCTAGTATATACTCATAAATAATCCTCCAGTGAAGGGTAAATTTCCACTATAAATATAACTGATAAATGTAGTATACTGCATCAAGCACAGCTTTAGTACTTGAAATGCTTACTAGTTGATTACCAAAGTGTTTGTGTCATGTTCTCTAAAATGATCCACAGTGCCTACGCAGGAATAGCTGAGTCACACCAAAAACTCTGTGTACACCATCAAGGGCACCGTGACCTTGAGTTTATATTTCATCATGAGAGGGAGCAGTTTGGGCCAGCTTGGGCCTGATAAGTATTCTTATCGTGGTATTGCTTGTGCCAAAAATGACTCTCAAAGTGGAGCAGTGTCAGAGTGAAATTTTGAAAACTTTCAGATCATGCGTGGCTAACCTAAACAAGCACTGAAGGGCGCCATCAAACCTGGTACTTACAGTGAGATCTGCAGCTGGAACTTTGTGGGGTTAAAAAGTTCTGTAACAATAGTTTTTTCATAGGTGAACAGGACACTTTAGTCGTGTTACCTGCTGGTTCAACTCTATAAGCTCAGCATCTCCTCCGTTGCGGGACACTGGAGCGCTCCTGCGGGCTGCTACGCTGATCTGCCTCTGAGAGGTGGGAACACTCTTGGGTGCTGTGGGGGATGTTCTCATAGGGCCTGAAAGACAGAAACATGCACAGACAGGTTATCTGTCTACATCAGTTTGGATAGATGTGTTTAGTCTGTTAAAGGTTTTTTTTTTGTGATCAATCTGTAGTAAACTAGCAGACATGGAGCTCATGCTTCATTGTCATAATGTTAACGTTTATGTTTTTTTTTTGCATTTTTTAAACTTCTGTAAGAAATTGCATTCTTTCAGATTGTGTTTTATGATCTGGATTGTGAATTATCAAGTAATTATAAATGCCACATCATGATCTATTTCAGTGAAGATTAAAATCACAGAGCAAAATCAGTCCTGTAAATCACTTAGATGCTTGGATATACTTGAGCAATATGATTTCTGTCCATGCTGTGTTGCTTCTGTAGACGCAGTTAGTCCTTACAGCTCATGTTATTGTTCAGTTCTGCTCATCTGACTGTCTTACTTATTGACTATTTTCAGCGTACTTTTGTGAGAGTGAATTTTGTTTTTATTAAGATAAGTTTTAGCTGATTGCTCAAGACACAGAATCGGACCCCTTAATAAAACAACAAACCAGAGTCAAACAAATCTACAGGATCTAGGTGAGGCATCATAAGCAATGAGAAGCTCACACACACACACACACACACACACACACACACACACACACACACACACACACACACACACACACACACACACACACACACACACACACACACACACATGCTCGATGCTAGGATGTTACCTGGGCGAGCAGGTCTTTTAGGTTTGTTGGGAATGGGGTCACCTGGGTTAAAAGGTGGGGATGCGGTTGCGTGAAGTGGTGAGCATAATGAAATGAAAGCTTTCAAGTTCCCACACAGCTGACATGATTTTCAGTTTGTGTTTCCATACCTTGGTTGGGTGGTGGTGTTCCTTCCTGGCCCTGCCGTATCATTATCGGGTCGTATTCTTTCCCGTCATAGTTGGCGTCAAAAAACTTCTTAAACCACTGAAGGAACTCAAAGTTGTCCTGGAACTTACCCTTCACCAGCCGCTCTACGGGGATGATCTACAAGTAGCACAGAAACAACAAGAAAGGGGTGAGACGAAGAGTGAGGGGTAGAAAGAGAAAGGGAGAGTAAAAGAGAGGAGATTGAAGTGGAGGAGAGAGACAAAACAGATAATGAAGGATTTTAAAAAGCTGCTATAGTTTAACCCATTTAAACCGGGACAGCATGCACGCATTTCAACCTTCAAAGCCGGGAGCGTGGCTGTGCATTTCTGCCCGGAAAGCCGGGTGCATGTAGGTATTTTAACCCTTCAAGCTGGGAGAAGCGTGTACGCATTTCAACCTTCCAAGCCGGTGGCGCTGCTGCGCATTTCTACCCTTCAAGCCAGGAGCGCGGATATGTCATTTTTTAACATTCGGTAGTATTTTAAGCATTTCTGGAGTTGTGACTAATAAAGCTTAATAAAGCTTAATAAAGCTTAATAAAGCGATCGGATTCATGCTCGGATCTTGCTATGTGCTTCGTGAAGATGGTAAACAATGACAAGACAGAGAGCAGCTTCGGAGGAGAAGTATCCAGCAGTGTGAACAACCTTTTCATATTGAGTGCTTTGGATCACACTATCAGCGATTTCTGTGAGTGTTGCATGACTTTGGATGAGTACAGAGATGGACACACTGTCAGACACTTATTTATTTTTTATTTTTCAGAGCTGCTTTTGTACTGGCACTATACTAGGGCAGCTGCATACCCTTTTAACACCTTATTTTTTATATATACATTTGTACTGAATGGACACTTTATCATGACTGCCACTTGTTTTACAGAAAGCAAATTGTTTGTTAGCCTCCAGTGCACAGCCTTTACTTTTATTTATACAGCTGCTTTATTTCATTTGAGTTTTTTTGTTCAAGGTTTTCAATGATTTGATGACGGTTCAGAAAAATAAAAGATAGTTATCCAGAAAGCCATGTGTGTAAGCTCTTAAATACTTTTTGAATTTTGTTTCTATCTGCAACAGAGGCCGAGATATCAGTTTTTTTTTGTAAACCTCAACACTTCAGAAAACCTCAGGATCTGGGAGCACTTCTCAAAATTGCCCTCAGGATTTCAGAGGCGTGTCTCAGACAGGGTTCAGATCTGCATGGGTTAAGAGGCAACCTGGGTCCAAAAGAAATGCTTATGTTTATGCATGGTAGACCAAAAATGCAACAAGGAAAGTAAGAGCTTGTAAGGGTCACAGTAATGGTTGAATGATTTAACATGTGGGGAAAACTTCCACTCAAGTTTTAATGAAACAATGAGCTTAATTTTGTAGCCCCTCAGCTGTGAGAGGTTTACTGACCCAAGAGCTTCAGTGTGGAGAAAGATAAAGCTGTATAGTGTGACACGTTGCGTTTACGTACACAAGTGCTGGAGGATTACTGTAAAATGGGTTCATGTGGGATATGTCTGGCCCAGTCAGACCTGTTTTCACATTTTTTGTCTTCTTAATGTGAGAATGATAGAAACATTTCAGGCTAAGCTCTACATAGGAAGAATAACACCCTTGATTGTTAATTTATGTTGAAACCACTTATCACTTTACATGGCACTGAGACCACAATGTACTGAAAGTGGAGTAACAAACTCGTGCTACATGTCACAAGAACCTTCACTGAAGATTCTTTTGTAAACAAAAGCAAACAGCAGATAGACCTGCATCTAAACTGTTTCTGAAACCTGGAGCACTTACATCCACAAAGACCTCCTGTGAAGGCTCAGAACCACAAACTGTAAGTCACATCATTACAGCAGCTAATTTAACAATATCATAAATAATGGGTGTGTGCAGTAAATCATGCAAAGCTTCACTACATGTGTTTCAGACTGACATTAAGAAAAGTAAGAACCAGTATGACAGGTCTCCTTTAATCCAATCTGTCAGGATAAGTCTGAGTGGGCTATGTGCGTTTATGTGAGGGTGGTCTCACCTTGTCCACATTCATTCTTTTGAATGCTGCCTGTAAGACCTTGAAATTGTGGATGTATTCATGTTCCAGTTTGGCATTGAATTTGACTTTCTTCAACAGTATGCAGCCTGGAAACAAGATGTCCATGAACTGACAGTAAGCTGCACCTAGAGAAAGAAAATGCAGTCATTTAGATCCACTTTTGGGTTGAATCAATTTTCAAGTCTTAATTACAGGCTCAACATTTAAGAAAGGTATGCATTACCCGAACAGAGCTGCTCGATCTTTGTGTAGGTGAGCTGTAGAGAGTCGTTGACCCACGCCAACATGTCATGGCGACTCAGGTTCTCTATGGTCATGGAGGTGGAGTAGACATTCACCGCCATCCTCCTGAACGCACACACACGCACGCACGCACACAAACACACACACACACACACACACACACACACACACACACACACACACACACACACACACACACACACACACACACACACATATTTTATGCTGCAAAACTTGAAGACAAAAAAAACATCCAGACCAAAGGTTTAAAACAAAAGAAAATCCTTTCCAGTGCCTTTTTGCTTCATTAATAATTTTGCAGATGACAGTTTGAAGTTTGGCACCTGGTGATTACTTTTAAGACCCAAACAATGTTGCTGACCAAATGACCCTCTTGAGTTCAAACACTTTGATTTCTAAGCAAGGCCCTTTTGTTGCTCAAGCCTCAAGACTAAATGTGACTGCACTGTTACTTTTAAGTGGTCTGTACTTTGGAGTGAGCTGCCTGAGGAATTTCAACGAGCCAATCAGTTTGATCTTTTCAATCCCTTTAAATATCACACTTTCATAAAGAGGCTTTTGTGTGAACTGTGTGCAGTGCTCTGCTGCTGCTCTGGAGTCTGGAATCACTGGAGGGTTTTTCCTGTTTCCTGCGCCTCTCTTGTATCACCCACAATGCCCATTTTCCCATGAACCTTTAGTTGTGATAGGTGATCTGCCGTGTAGTTGTATCAAGCTTACATTTAGCTGTTTTTTAGTAATGTAACTTTTTCTTATAAGATTTAAACATAAAAGCTATTATCGTTTTAATCATTTGAAAATTATATGTCAGTGTTGTGTCTTCATCTCAAGTTGTGGCCACGTATCTGTCATGAAAGGAGAGTCCATTTGAGTTATTTCAGGCTGCAAGGTTCTTGCCTCTTAAAGCTGTTGTACAAGACATGCTTGATAGAGTGCCCTGTGTGGATAATTGGATAGGTAAAAATACTTAACTCACCTGTGCTGGGTGTGTGTTTGGTGTGAACTGCTCAAACCAGGTTGTGGTGGACCACCTTATAAAAAAGACCTGGAAACACAAACAACAACATGTCAGTTTTGCTGATGAAAATGAATGATTTCCAAACCCCACGTTTGTATATGACTTCTTAATCAGCAACTCAAATATATTCTGTAGACTTTTACAGAAAACACAAAAAGTAGCTGTGTTTACAGTCATCAGAAAGTTTTTACTTCTGTTTAGTATCTGATAATGTGAAGAATGGAAAACTATTTAAATAGTTTATAAGGTAAATCCATTAGTTGTTTTGACTCAACAAGTTAACAGCAAGAGGCGTGCGACTGTAATTCAAAAAATGGATTTTGATTTTCCGTTCAATGGCTTTTTTCTTTTTCGATTTCTTCTTCAAATGAACTGTCTTTTTACCAAAAGCAGACAAATCCATTGGGGACAAGACTGACAATTTATATACACCAGTTTTTCATGCCTGGAACCTTTCTGAAGCAGTAGAGGTTAACTAAGCTGCTGAATCAACAGATATGACCACGATAGAAGACCCATTTGGATGTCAGAAGTCAGCAGGATAAGGGTTTTTTTGGTCAGAAGTCAGTCTCAAACGTAGAGGACAATGGGCATCAAAACTAGTACAAACATAAAGTTCTTTACAGGAGCTTTAAGAAACTTCATTACCAAAAAGCCTTGATGAAAATTATTGCTCATAAGGACTTATTCAAATCTGGAAAACTATACAGTACACTACAGAACTTGACCATATACATTTTTTTGTTTGGAAAACAAAAGCATTATCAATGTGAACATTTACATTAAATCTAGGTCAAAGATGATAATCCAATTCTGGTTAACATAATATAAATCTACAGTAAAATAATTACAGAATAATTACGGGTCATTAAGAAAAGCTAATATTAATGCTGTGTGTCCTATTAATGTTGGGACTGGATGTAGTTGAATGCTTTTAAGGCAATAAATATGTGATGTTTAAACAGGAAGACATTTAGTTCTTCATTTAAAAGATCTGTCATATTTTCTAATTTTTCCTCTACTTTTGCTCTCAAGTAACACTCAAGTGACTTTTTCATAAAAAAATCCCCATGTATGCAATATTTCTTGATTAATCACTGGGCAATTAAGACAATACTTGATCATTTAAATAACTGATCACTGCAACCTTATGCCTGTGTTTCAATTGAACGGAGAGAAAAGTGATCTGCTCTGGAGCCCCTCCACAGGGTTATCATGAGAGACACCAGAGATAAACCGGCATTCAGTCACAAGTTCACTCATTAGGCTACTAATCTCTGCCTCAGCTAATCCTTTTAGCACAGGTGAAACATGCTGTAACCGATCAGAGTTCACAAAGGCAGCTGAGCTCTCCAGCAGGGAAATGCAACTGATATAAAAACAAACAGCTTCAGATCATCACTCTGACAGCCTGCAATCACAAACAAATCCCACAACAGCAAAGCTTATTTTTGAATGGACTGCCTCTAACATAAACAGCATACAGGATGTTGTGCTAAACAGTCTCTTCCTGGCTGCAGGGCTTCACGGAGGCTACACTGGTCATCACTCAGGAAGCTGTTTTCATTTGATGATGGCCAGTGAAGCTACTGCTTTAGCTGGTCTTTATGTAGATGAATAGATTGAATTCTTAATTGTAGACATTGTAATAAAAACAACATGGACACTGAACTTCTTTTAATACATCAAACTTCATCCATGGACCTGAGTATTCCTCAGATTTTCAGAGTAATAACCCAACAGGAATAAAAATTCTCACATATGGTGTACAACTCTGTAAAGCACTTTAAACGACTCTGAGTGGTGATTCATAAATAAGCCTGCCTTGCCATACATATTACTAATATGATGGAAATAATCACAGATGTTGTTTGAAGTCACAAGTGTTGTTTGAAAAGTCTTCCTGTTATCTTCAGTGCATAACCTGTATTGCTGCATCCATCCCTTTTCATACGTTAAGCTGGTGAAGTAATATCCTTTCATTCCTTACAGATGCTGCTGCATCCCCCAAAGCCCAAACTGTTATATCACATATAATTTACACAGGCTTCAATTCATTTGAATAAATCATTGTATCATGTATTGAAAAGTTTTGAAAGAAACTGATAACTGTTAACAGTCTACCATAGTTGTCTTTAAGTTGTTCATGTTTTGATTTTTATGGTAACTCAAGCTGAAACTGCTTTATGCACTTTTTCCAGTATTGTAGTATTAGCGCAAATGTAGTGCATACTTTTTATGTAAATACTTTCATTTATATTTCACTTGCTTGGTATGTCTTCAACTTCACATTTAATACTTATGTACTTCTCGCTCTTCTTTACCCTTTTGCAAAATTTAATAGATTGTCATTTCAAAAGCTTGACTGACTGTTTGTTTGCAAATTTCTGTCTGTGTTTTTTTGCACTTTAGTATTGTGTAATGACTGTAAAGCTGAACATTGAACCTTGTTACAGCTTTATTACAATACTTCCGTCACAAACTGTGTAGTTGTTTATTAAAAACAAGCAGGAGGGAGTGAGAGATACATTCATCTAAAGACTGAGCCTCTTATGCTTATAAGAAAATAATGTTTTCTAATATTTTTATGTCATCACTCATTAATTGTGCCCCCCTATTCTTGTTGTGGGTACAACTTTTGTTTTGTGGTTTGGTTCTGGGTTAGTTTTACAGCTTGATTTCTTCTCACACCTCAGCTCTTTACAGCCACTGCATATACTGAACAAGGACAGTGGACTTAAAGGTCAACTGCAGGTCAACATTTCATGACTGTATTACACATTACATTCTTTATGTACAAGTATTTCACTGGATGCCAAAAACTTTAATCTGAAGGAAAAAACACCTGATAAAGTAAAAAAAAAAATATTTCATGAAATCCCCCAAATTCAAAAAAATATATAGAAATGTTCCGCGAAATACAAAAAAAATTGCACAAACCATTTTAGGAAGACATGAACGTTTGGTAAAACGGTCATTCCAGAAAACCCAAAGAGCCTTCATATAATAAAAAAGTTTTTTCACAAAAATGTGCAAATACTTCTCAAAATGCAATGCTTTACGAACAACACAAGAAGATTTCATGGAACACCAAAAAACAATGTAAAAATATTTCATGAAATGCAAAAATATTGCATAAATTTTTTTAATCCTCTCATTAGTTTTATGTAACATTTATTTTGTTGTCTGTATATTTCAAACGGGAAAGGTCAAGAAAAAAAGGTGTTGTAAAATGAAAGGTCTGGTTTAAGTGTTGAGTGACAGAAAAAAGATCAAATTCACAAAAAAAATGGAATGAAAAAACAAAACAAAAACAAACACATCCTTTCGGTCTCTTGACAGTTAAAATAATACAAAAATAATAATAGTTGCTGTAGAAAACACTAAAGCTGTTTCTTTTACAAACTTGCTTGACACCTACCCCCTGACATTGGTCAAACAACATTGAAAAAATAACTATAGACTGTATGAATAACCAACTGTTTTGCAGGTGGTTTAGATGGCTTCTGTATGTCTTAGAGAGAAATCATTTTAAATTTCATGAACAGTTGAAGCAAATTCACAGCAGCTTCAAGTTTTGAACTGCTATAAATTGTTGTGAGCACACATAAAATAACTATATTTAAAGACTGACAAATGTAAAAGAAGTAATGTTATAAAGCCTCTATCAGTGAACTTTTTTACTAAAGTAACTTTGGAGGATCAATCATGATTTGTGATCAAGTGAGAGAGAATTATCAATAAATGCATTAGGGCTGAAAGCCTCTGTATTACTCGAAGTCATCTGATGTTATAACGCTGCAGGGTCTGGTCGTTATAATCGTTTCGAGTCGGTTACTAGCCATAAAAACCTCTTAGTCAGTGGACCTCACAACCGTTAGTCGACACGGGTCAGCCGGGGTGTTTGACAGTTAACCGGTGGTCGGTACGACAGGCGCTGCTGCCACTGTGTGTGACTGCACTGTAACGCTAGTAGCTTCTAGCTAACTACTTACACTGCTAACACCTGGTGACTGTTGTTTTTTGTATAAACGTTAACCTCTTCCACTCAATTTAATTAAACTCAATGAGTAAAGGGAACTCAAAGTACCCTAGAGTGTAACTGAAAACGGGACTTTCTTCAGCTTGCTGTTACCGCTACCCCCCTCTGAAGGCCTTTTGGATAATACACACACGCACGTTACCGATAACAGAATAACTGTCACCAAAGGGACGATACAACAATTTCCTTGAGACGTAAATTAAACAAGCCGTTAAAAAAACTAGTTTTAATCGTAGCGAAGCACATTTAAAGTTAAACTGAATTTATATTACTCACAGAAGTGCGACAGCGTCCCTCTCTCAGCCGTCCCGTTGTGTCTGATGATGGGCTTTTCAGTTGCTATACCCCCAGACTGTTGCCTCGGCGAGCTGCGCGAGACTGCTCTCTGCTAAGCCGTTAGCAATGCGCATGCGTGGGACAGTTGCCGGTATTCCTCACTGTTTGTAGTGAGACTGGTGGTTCCGTAAGCTGCCATGATGGAGAAACGGGTCTGACTGTGGTCTGTTTGGTGATTAAAGTGACCTCTGGTGCCTCTTTCATCCTCTAAGTTTCCCTTTTTTTGACTCTTTTTTAAATTATTTTATCTCAGCCATCAAGATAAATCTGAGAACTTTTATTGTTGGTATTTTTCCCCCCACCTTTTTTGGCTCGTATTGTAGCAGGGTGCCCAAAGGAATTCGTTTAAGGTAACTGATATTTGCTATAATGTTTATAAACTAGTAATTGTGTCTGTACCTGAACTAAAGAAGAAATTTTCTTTAACTAAAATCTCAGCATATTTTGAAAATGAGCTATAATGGTGGAGGTAACATAAATCTGCTTTAGGTTTCAGTGTGCCAACCAGGGTTACCTGCCCTTTACAACATATAAAACAGTTTTTATCTTCCAGAAAACCTACCTGCAAGTTGAGCTCTGTAATTATGTTCCTTGCACATGTTTTTATGTATCCTAGTTTCTTCCTCATATGCACTTTTGATCCTCACCTTCTTTTCAGACATAACTTCTATTTTCCGTAGTAGGCTACTTCACTGTCTTCTACAAACAGTAAGTGTTTTAGTGTTTATCCATGTTTATGACCATATGTATAGAGAACGTTCAAGTCATATTATGGTTGGAAAAAAATGTTATTTTGCTTTTTCAAGTGTATCTTTAAAGTAATCGACTAATATTTTACAATGTCTTTTCACAACACAACACTGGCAACAAAGTTTGACACATAGGAACCAGGATTTTTTTTCTTACTTTATTCTTTTTTATCCTTATTTCTGATACTTTTGTGGTAAGAAACAAGCAGCCACTTCACAGATTCAACAGGTTCACTGTCCAACACAACAAGAATCTACAAACACACACAGCGCTGACCAGTCACAGTGCCTTCAAAACAACAAAACCATCCAACAGTAAAATAACGTCATCGTAGGTTATCGTAAAAAAACAGCACCAGTTGTTGTGAACCTGTGGTATTTCACTCCTCTGTCTCTGTCGTGTGGTGCTCTTCATGCATGGGTGTGGGGTGTGGCACGGGTGAATCACATTGGCACATTTAGTCTTTAACTAAAAACAAAACAAAACAGATATCCTAAATAGGGTTCACAGACAAGCAGACGTTATCAGGTATAAATATAATACTGATAGGCAGGAATGAGACTTCATCAAGAGGTAAGAGGGTCAGAGGGTTTCCTCAGCCTGTGCAGCTCAATCGTCCTGCTCTGAGACAATCCGACAACAATCCCACTTTATTTTCCAACAAATAGGAAGTTAACTTCGATGATATGCTTCTGAATAACTATCAAACTTTCATCTCTTTCAGTTACTTTCAAGTACTTTCATTTATAAGCTGTGTGTTCTGGCCATTGGTCAGGATTTGTGTTTTGTGCCAGCCAGTGCCAGCTTCACTTCCATATTACTATCCTTAATGTGAAGTGAAATCCAGTTCTCTCTACCTTCCATATAACAAACTGAACTCACTTTGCAGGGATTACGGTTTCTGGGATATGAGAGTGTTATTTCAAGTCAGAGGCAGTGAAAAAATAAGGATGGAAAAGTCTGACTCTTTTTAGAGAGTGGAGCTGTAAGATCACACGGTGTTTAGAAGCAGTTGGATTTCATCACCACACGGCACAGTTCATCCACTGGAAATAAAAACACAGTCGGAGGAACCCACAGCATGGCAGGAAGCCGAGCGCAGCGGGTGTTGAATCACAAACAGAATCCACACACGTCTTCATAAGTCTAAAGCTATGGTGTCTAAAGTGTACTGTATGGTGGTGGTGTGTGTGACGGGGTTTAATAGATATTTCACTGGATCCAGTTCTACTTTTTTAAATAATTCAATCGACATCACTTCAGATAAACCATCAAAAACTGTACTGGTTTTGATCTTTCACAGTTTAAGTTTTAGTTCCTTACGGGATACAAGCAGGGTGATAATGAGCACACTTTGTTAATGTTAGTATGATCAGCTTAAATTTGGTTAAATGTTTTAAAATTCAAAGGCAGCCCTTCACTCTTTTAATAATCAGGTCAGTCACTCCAATTAAGACACAATTTAGATTTTCAAAAGTCACCTTGGCAGATCACTGATCATCATTTAGGTCTTCACCAATCACAGAGACATGCTTGAATTTGCTTCCCCTTCAAAATGTAATCCTGTGATTGAAAATCAGTGCAGTTTTCCTGGTTGCTCTGAGTTTACAAAACGAGGAGTGTTGGACGGTTGAGGCTCCAGCGCTGGCAATTACCAGATACCACTGGAGCGACCACCAGGAGGAGCCAGGATCCGAGCCGAGGACCTCTTCGGGATGTGGTCATCAACCTGGGACCCTGAGAGGAAAACACAATTTCTTCACTTAACCAAAAGAAAAATCACAAAAAATTGGGCAAAGTGTTAGTTCAGGCAGGCGGGTTGAAATAGGCGTGCTATCTGACATGTTTCAGCCTGCTTACTCTCGCTGCTCCCTCTGCAAACCATGTGCAGAGCCATACCACCTAATATAACTATCACATGCAATTAAAATAATTCCCTTTGACATAAGTAGTCCAGACTAAACTACAATTATGAAGGGAATTTCAATACATATTACAAGTTGTTTTTATTCTTCTCCTACCTGAAAGGCTAAAAGAGGACTCATGGAGGTCCCGGACCCCCTGATGCACTCGGCTTGCAGAGAGCCCCCCCTTGGTGGGTGTCTCTCCATCAATGGGGCCCAAACCGAGCTCCTTCTTCATGGTGTTCGCCACCTTGGCAACATCACCAGAGTAGGGATCCCTGGCTACCCCTTTATAAACTTGAGCCTGGAAAAGAGGGCAAAAAGGAAAAGGTGGAAAATAAATATAAAGGACACATTGAGGAAAGCACAGAGTCAGGGTTTACACTTATTCTAATGTAAGAGTCATTAAAAGTTCAACTCTGGTTAGCTTTTTGGAGCTGCAATCCCACGCAAATCATCTGGTGCTATTGGCTGGAGGGAGTTTAAGCAATAGATATGATCATTATAGTGCCCTGAATAGACAATACACTGATTTTAAATCACAGCTTTGGTTCTTATCTTCGATGGTAACCTTTGAGAGCATGCTAAAGTTCAAAGTTGGTGTTCCTTGGAGTTATAAGGATCAGTGGTTTCTAAAAAAAGTAAACCAGTTTCTTCTGACTTGTTTAATCTGTCTTTCTGTATGTGAACATTTAACTAAACACTAAATATGATCATAAAACAGCCAGTATACCTGAAAAGCTCCAACATGACCTAAACTCAAGCATTAAACCATAAATGAAGAAAAACGATTAAGTTCCACATGTAAGTAAAGAAACTCAAGGTGAAAACAGACAATGCAATAAGACACATCAAGATTGACGTGTTTCAGCAGGTTTGCTGCTGGCTAACACTGCAGGAGTCCCCTCTGATTGAAAAAGATTACACACACGCTGTATGTACCTTCAGACATCTATATGAAAAAAGATTCCAATCTCACCTTTTCTCTCTGCACCATCTTCTTGTAGAGGTAGTCAGGGAAGGTGCGCTGTGGGTAGAACTTGCCAGAGCCCTCAGCACACATGAACACTCCGTTCTCACACACCAAACGCCCTCGGCTGATGGTCACCAAGGGAACACCGTGGCAGCGCTGCCCCTCATACAGGTTGAAGTCGCCACCCTGCACTTGGGTGCTCACAGAGATCGTCCTGCACAGACAGAGGAACTGTTTATCACCTGAGTATTTATTTGCACTAAAATGATAAGTGCATTGAAAATGACAAGCAATGCCTCCATGCTTTAAATATACAGGACTGTCTCAGAAAATTAGAATATTGTGATAAAGTCCTTTATTTTCTGTAATGCAACTAAAAACATGAAAATGTCATACATTCTGGATTCATTACACATCAACTGAAATATTGCAAGCCTTTTAATTTTTTTAATATTGCTGATTATGGCATACAGCTTAAGAAAACTCAAATATCCTATCTCAAAAAATTAGAATATCATGAAAAAGTATACTAATAGGCTATTTAACTAATCACTTGAGTCGCCTAATTAACTTGAAACACCTGCAAGGGTTTCCTGAGCCTTTAAAAACACTCAGCTTGGTTCAGTAAACTAAATCACAAGTATGGGGATCACTGCTGACCTGACTGCTGTCCAGAGGACCATCACTGACACCCTCCATCAGGAGGGTAAGACACAAAAAGAAATTTCTAAAAGAGCAGGCTGTTCACAGAGTGCAGTTTCAAAGCACATTCACAAAAAGTCTGTTGGAAGGGGGAAATGTGGCAGGAAACGCTGCACAACCAAGAGAGAGGACCGCAGCCTTAACAGCATTGTGAAAAAGAGCAGCTTCCAGAATTTGGGGGAGCTTCAAAGACAGTGGACTGAAGCTGGAGTCCAGGTATCAAAAGCCACTGTTCACAGACGTGTTCGGGAAATGGGCTACAATAGTCGTATTCCCATGGTCAAGCCACTCCTGAACTCAAGACAACGGAAGAAGCGTCTGACTTGGGTTATGGAAAAGAAGCACTGGACAGTTGCAGAGTGGTCCAAAGTCCTCTTTTCAGATGAAAGTTTTGTATTTCATTTGGAAGTCAAGGCGCCAGAGTCTGGAGGAAGGCTGGAGAGGAGCAAAATCCAAGTTGCTTGAAATCCAGTGTGAAGTTCCCACAGTCAGTGATGGTTTGGGGAGCCATGTCAGCTGCTGGTGTTGGTCCACTGTGTTTCATCAAGTCCAGAATCAATGCAGCTGTGTACCAAGAGATTTTAGAGCACTACATGCTTCCGTCTGCTGAAAAGCTCTATGGAGATGATGATTTCATTTTCCAGCATGATCTGGCACCTGCCCACAGTGCCAAAACCACCAGTAACTGGTGTACTGACCATGGCATTACTGTCCTTGATTGGCCTGCCAACTCCCCTGACCTGAACCCCATAGAGAATTTGTGGGGTATTGTGAAGAAGAAGCTGAAAGACACCAGACCCAACAATGCAAATGAGCTCAAGGCCACTATTGAAGCATCCTGGGCATCCATAACACCTCAGCAATGCCACAGGCTGATTGCCTCCATGCCACGCCGCATTGATGCAGTAATCCATGCAAAAGGATTCCCAACCAAGTACTGAGTGCATTAATTGACATTTTCAAATGTTTGATTTTGTTTTGCTCTTATAAACCTTTTTTTTTTACTTGGTCTGAGGAAGTATTCTAATTTTTTGAGATTCCCCATACTTGTGATTTAGTTTACTGAACCAAGCTGAGTGTTTTTAAAGGCTCAGGAAACCCTTGCAGGTGTTTCAAGTTAATTAGGCGACTCAAGTGATCAATTAAATAGCCTATTAGTATACTTTTTCATGATATTCTAATTTTTTGAGATAGGATTTTTGAGTTTTCTTAAGCTGTATGCCATAATCAGCAATATTTAAATAATAAAAGGCTTCCAATATTTCAGTTGATGTGTAATGAATCCAGAATGTATGACATTTTGTTTTTTTAATTGCATGACAGAAAATAAAGAACTTTATCACAATATTCTAATTTTCTGAGACAGTCGTGTAAATGCAAACCTTGTAGCATCTGGGTCCCACACCACCACGTCAGCGTCAGCCCCGGGGATGATGCGACCTTTGCGTGGGTACAGGTTGTAAATCTTTGCAGCATTGGAGCTTGTCACAGCCACAAAACGGTTCTCATCCATTTTCCCAGTAACCTGCAGATATAAAATTAAAGGAAAATGCTTACACCATATTGGACATGTTGATGTGGAGGTCTTAAATAATGATGCAACTTTATGTTATGAGACACACATGTAGACAACCCTTAAAATGAGACTATGGGCTCTCTTTTCGTGCCTCGCCGGAGACGTGCCACAGGCGCGGCGTAAGTCAGGTCCGCCGTGCCGACAAGGTGTTCCCAAGCACAATTTGGTCTTCTGGTGAGCGGCGCAGCCCGGCGCAAGTATCCCCCCTCCCTAACTCAGCTCCTCCCAGCGGCGTAAGTCGTAGGGAGGGAGGAGAGAGGGCATGGAGTGGGTTTAACACAGCTGAGACCTGTATTGACTAATAACATCAGCTCCTCTCCTCGCCTTTAAATCCGTCTCCGGCGAGGCGTATTATAATTTTCGTTAAGTAATCAAGGAGATCAAGAGATGTCTGAAGACAGTAATGCCACACAATGGCGACAGAAGGCAGCCCCTCAACAAGTGTCACTGTAATCGCTGCAGAGGGCGTCCTCCACACTGTCTCATATGAGCACAGATGGATTTGGTGTGTGTAAGGTTGGACCCACTGGTAAGACAAACACCCTTTTCCACAAATAAAGACTCACATAAAGTTGCACATATTCAAACCTCACGTGACAAAGTAGGTTGAGCGCACAGATCACAACATAAATTCCAATAATGGCATTAAAATAGGAACCATCTGTGCGTAAATGACGCATTGTGCTCCGTGGCCTGGCTCTTTCTTTCATAGATGTTGGCATATAAAATAAATTTGGCTCACAAAACGGAATATTATAATATTTTTATGTAGGCTTAAAGTAAAAAACTCATCTGATCACTGAAACAAAACATCTGTTCAGGACAGGAAGAGGACACAGGAATATGTCCAGGTCGAGCTGCGCGAGAAATAAGAGGAAGAGGAAGATAGAAAAAGAGGGAGACGAATTCCATATCTTGTTAATTTCATCATGTGTGTCTATTTACTAGATATTTATTTAATTTAATGCGGTTTCAGCTGTGTTGATTTGGTCAGGTTGTGTGTCCAAACGCGTGCCAAACGCGCTCATCAGATCAGATATAGATCAGAATATATCTATAGATCTAAATGTATGTGCTGACTCAGATTATTAGTTGTTGTTGATTTTTTATTGCACTGAAATGTGCCTGACACTGTGGAAACCTGCCAGTGAGGCATCGGTGACATATGCCAAACGCCGCCGGTCAACCAAAATACCACTAGACCAGCTGCGCTCCGCCTGTGCTGAAAGCTGACCAGGTTTTAATCGGTGAGCTTTCAGCGCACTTTATACACCACCGGCGAGCACGCAAATGTCACTGCGCCAGCTGATTCTGTCGACACCTCCCTCTGCCACGCTACCACACCCAGCTTGGCGGACCTCGAAAATACCAAACTGGCTGTACGCCGGGCTCCGCCAGAGGAAAATACCACTGCGCTGTGTCCGCCGGCGGAGGGTGGCGGACACGGCGCAGTGGTATAGAGCCCTATCTCTCTATAAAGTTACAGTTTGCATGCATGTCTGTCATGCAAAAGATGTTTTAAGATAAATTAATTCCTACATTTAATGTCCCCTTTCTATTCAACAATAACTCTGAGGGGACAGACTTGGTCTCTTCCTGTTATTGTAACCCAAATTCTGGTTGCAAACTTTCTCACAGGTTTGTTTGTATGATTATATTTCTTTTGAGCGTACATACCACTCCCCTCTCCCAGATGACACTCATCCTGTCCTGGACTCCAGGGACTCCATGAGGGATTTTTGTGAAGTCCTCCTTGCCCAAAGCTCTCTGCTTGATGCTAAATGGACGATGCTCTGATGCCACAACACTCAAAGTGTCACTAAATAAAGGATAAATATGTTCAGTTTACGGTAATAAAAAAGTTGATGTAAGTTTACAAGTAAAAGAACATTCTGCCTGTACAGATTGCTTACTTTCCCAACAGGCCCATGAGGTATCCAGGTGTGTTGGGGTCCAGGCGGAGAGGAGGGACGATGACGTGTGCAGCAGCATGAGACCAGTCCTGGTGGTAATACTGCATCCCATTCAGCACCGCGTGAGCAACTGTGGTCTCTGCATGGACCACCTTACCTGGAGTGGCAGAGAGAAAAACATCTATAACAAAACCCTCCGTCTACTTCATATCTACACCACTATCACATTCATCGATGTTTTCACCTTGCATCTTAGCAGCAGCAATCATGTCTCCAGCAGACATACTGGACACATTCACCAGGTAGATGGGACAGCGAGCCTGCAATCACAAGAGCATTCTTGTGTTTATCAACAACATACACCCCACTGTGCAAACAGGATATTAAAATCTAGTTTTGTTTACCCTGTTGGCGATAGTGACAGCTCTGTGGGTGGCTTCAGACTCCAGCTGTAAACAAAGTTTCATAAGTAATGAGTGAGTACTTCACAGAGATTACATTCTTGTTTAAGGTCCTTATTTATTGTAAATCTAGGAAGAATTATCCCTTTAAAAAAACGATACTTCTATCTATCAGATGTGTTTTTATTTAACACCTATTCATTATTATCATTGCACTGTGTAAACTGTGTGGTTATATGCAGGCTAGACTTGATAAATGGTGTTTGGATCAAGCCATACTGGTCTGTTTTTAACAACCTCTGTTACTTTGTACTCTTTTTGAAGAAACTCAATATGACTTCGCTTTAAATATTAAGTATTAAAATTGAGAATGGCAAGAAAGGACCAGAAAATCTCAAAGAAAATAAATAGATCGATATCTAACAAGTTCAACAATTACCTCCTCTGGTCGACTGATCTCGATACCCTCTGGTCCACTGATGCCCAAATCCAGAGCTTCTTTGGCACTCTAGCAACAGAAACACACAGACACACTTCAAAATAAGTCAACAAAAAGTAGATAGCTATCCCTAAAATGTCAAGCATACTAAAAGATAACCTTGGGAATAACATAGAGGACATTAATATGTTCATGTGTGGGTATTTGTGTGCTTGTGGGATGTGCACCTCTGCCACCAGCTCCCCGTTCTCGGCGTGGACACGTGCGATGGCCCCGATGTCCTTACAGGTCTGCAGTGTCTGGTAGAGCTCAGAATCCCTCAGCATCATCATGTCTTTATAGGCCATGTACATCTGGAAGGAGTTCACTCCATGCTCCCTCACCAGAGTCTCCATCTCATTACGCACCTGAGGACAGAGGACAAAGGTCAGAGGTGAAGGAACTGGAGTGATTGTGACAAGCAGTAAATGACTTTGAGGACTGAGATGGTTTAGGTTTATGTTGGCAAAGGCAGACAGGGAAGAGGATAATCCACCCTGAGTGTTGGCATGGAGAGTCAGAGAAACTGTGCGTGCAGACGTGTGTGTGTGTGTATTAGCTATATAGGGCATGAAATGAGCTTGGGGAGCAGCCAGAAAGATATCACATTGCATTGCAGTGTATACCACAGTTCCACAGAGACATTCACTGCATGGAGAAATCTATTTCATTCACTTAAAACATAGTCAATATTCTCATTAAACTGCAGTAAAGGGCTTTAGAGGTGGTTACTGCATAATACAAGTGGATACCCATGTCCTGTTGAAACAATGATGCTCGAGTAAAAATCTAAATCAAGTAGAACAGGATCAAATTCTTGCAAAACAGAAATCTAATATTAAAAATATCTAATATATTTGGTTTTAGATGACTGGCTGGAAAAAATGAAACACTTGAAAATGTAACTGTGGGATCTAAAGGTGCCGGGTGGGCAATAAAAAATATTTAAAGATATTCAAACGCCACAGAACTGAACAATTGTTTTGAAATGACCTTGACTGAAATGTTATCTTTGTGTGAAAAAATGTAATAAAAGACTTTTTACTGACTGGAATATTCTGTATGATGAAATGTGGCACATGCACCAAGTGAATAGATGATATAGAACAGATATTTAAGCCAGAGGCTGAATGAGCCACGTTGACTCATAGTGTCTGACTAATATGCCCACTGAGCAAATGTGTTAACCTACTTTGTGTAAGGTTCAATCTAGGTCAAAACACATTTCACCCACATATGAAAACTGTTTGGCTGCTTTATTAGTCATTCATTAAGGATAAAAGCTTGAGGAGCAGTAGAGCAAAAAGCGACATCTGTTTCTACCAGATCAGACTGAATTTGTTGCCATGCTGTTTTGGCACATTACACACATGGAGCTCTCTCTGCCTCTTACCTTTGGCCCCCACCAGGTCACCCCAACATGCAGAGCGTAGTCGCAGCACGCCTTGGCATCAGCCAGAGCCCGGCACTGCTCGTAGGCATCCAGCAGGGAGCAGTGTTGCTCAGGGAGTGCCAGAGCCAGAACCATGGTGGTGCCACCCATTAAGGCCGCCTAGGGGAAGAGAGGTGAGGAATGGTGGAAGGAAGGAAGGAGGGAAGGAAGGAGGAGGTGGGGGACATAGGAAGAGAAAAGAGAGATTGATTAGCGCTGAGAACAATGATCCCACTGTGGGGCTCATAGACACTGTTTGTCTGAGTGACAGTCCTGTCTAATGAACTGTTCCATCATCATCATCCAGTGGTCTGCTTGCAACCAACAGAGTAAACATTTGATCCCCACTCTCTCTTCTCCCAAAATGTGCATGCTGACTGAGAAAGCAATGCTTTTTTACATGAATTACAAGAACAAGAATTGACACATACTACATACACTCTCACAAATCTGTCCACAACTTTACAAAAACCTCAAGAAAACTCAGCTTTTCCTCTCTTTCCTAATCTAGCTTGTTCCTTAGAATGGCTTCCAAAGAGAGGCAGATATGTCAATGAAACGCAAGCAGAGAAGACGAGGGAGTGAGAATAAATGACAGATGAAGGCAAAAGAGTGAAGATTTAATGAGAGGTAGGGAACAAGAGGAGAGATGGTTTAAGGAAGAGGAAACAGTGTGAAGGTGAAGGTGAAAGGAGAAGGGAGTGATCTGTAGCAACTGATTTTGATGGACTGTGCAGTAAATACACTTTTTGTGTAGCCATGACAACAGATACTGCTCAGCCATGCCTGTCCTGTGTCCCAACCCTCCTCCTTCTCTTCTCTGCATCTACAGCAACCAATTCAGCATTATCTAAAAGGACATTGCACTGCGGCATGATGGGAAAACAAGCAATAACCATTTATAAAAAAGGAAATGAACAGAGAGATATAAAAATATGAATGATATGATGTCTCTACATACAAGACCATTGTGAGTTAATTTCCAGTCCATTTACTCCCAGTAAAACTGAAGCAGGTGTTCAGCAGTTTTCAATCATTATAAGAAAACAGCTTGAATGAAACATTCATGAATTCAAAAAGATCCTCAATGTTGCATCAGCATGGAGTCTCTGCTGCAGAGTCTAGACGTATCACAGACAGGGGTGGGGTCACCTTTTTAATGTGACAACTCCGCCATCCAATCAAATATCACATCTCCTATTACCATAGTAACCAATATGAATCATCTGCAGCATCAGCATCTTAGCTTTCTGTGTATGTCTGCATATGTACATTAAGAGCATGTAGAGTCATTGATCACTGTCAGTTTGTATGTGTGTGCGTGTCAGCAGACATGTGCACAGCTGTGGATTGTGGGATTTGCACTGTCTGTCTGCACAGCCTTAATTGAAATGTACTGCCACTGCAATACTAAAAAAAATGAGATCCTGAGAGCACAGACGAAGAGAGAAATGGCGTGAGAGAAACAGCTGAAGGGAAAAGAACATGGTTATTTCTTCTTCCTCCAGCCATTTGAAAATATAGCATTTTCATCAGCATGAAGGTTACAGAGGCCTGTAGCAGAGCAGGATTTCAGAATTTGTCTGCAGAGTGAGACATCTTTCATCCTGCCCTGTTTTCTCCTTTTAGTGTCTGCATCTGCAACATCGTCAAATACACACCCAAATTTAGACTGTTCCAAAGTACAAACCTGCTTAAGAAAGACATCTAAGAAATACCAGACCATCGGTATCACGCACTGACTATTGGTACTGCAGAAGGGGTCTGTTTGGTTCTGATGAAACCATTTGAAACTGGTGTTGCTAAGCAGAGTAATCACCTCATTTACGACCATGAGGAATCTGCACGTGCCAGGTTTGCCAGGGGCCAACATAAAATGGAATTAACATTGAAGTTGTAAGAAAACCTTGGTTAAGATTCTTTCTTTGGGAGTATCAGGTACGAGAAGAAATTGGAAATTTGCAAAAACAAAAATAAACACTATATAGACCTGCTCTTTTTTTGGAAAGCATCTTGGGATAACGGCTGTTGTGATTTGGAGTTATATAAATAAAATTTGATTGATTGATTGGAAAAGGTTTCATGAGGCATTTATGGCTTTACTGTAATCAATACCTTACATATACAACTTCATGTGTCAACATAAACTTCAACTGTATGCTTTAAGAAGATTCAGCACCTCTATATCTTGATTGTATTTTACATCTGCAGGATGCAAAATAATAATAATAAAAAAAACCAACAACAATAATTTTGCTGTGTTTCGATGAACCACAACATCATTGAACATACCTTTTTCCTATGGGGGAAATAAACAAAAGTGGGGAGTTATGTCAGTGATTTCATGGCAGACCCCATCATACCATCTTGATGGTTTTAATCTTAACACAGTTCAACCAACATGCTGCACTCCTCCTTTTTGGGTCTTTATCAGTATCACCAACCACTGACAGCAGAGATCAAGTGGATGGTGACATATAAACCCCAACGTGTACTTTAACATGAATACCCCACATTATTACAGACCCCAAACCCCTACTGTGAAGATAATCCACTGACAGGAAAGTAAAACTGACAGACAGACAGAAAGAATTAGAGGGGGGAAAGGAAGAGGAGAGAGAGAGGGTTGGATGTACATCTGTCACTTTGCGGACAGCAGAAAACAGCATGCCATGACTTAAGAGTCAATACAGGATAATACTGACAGAAATCTTGACGATATCTGAACCCAATTAACCCCCATGAACTGTCAGTAATGACAAAAATGTCAAACTTTGACTATTTTTCTCTGATTTTATATATATAAACATTTAGGGGAATAACAATGTTTACAGAACAAAGTTTGACATAAATGACATAATTGCAAAATAATGAATGACTGTATAACCATAAAATGCAGCCATAACATCAATATATTGTATTATTTCTGAACCTTTAGATTCAATTTGTGATAAAATAACCACAAGATCCCATAAAAAGCAATAAGCACAGAAAAACTTGATCAAATATGTGCAAGAAGCAAAAAAAGTCTACTTCTTCTGTATGTATGGCAGTGTGGGAAAGAAGGGAGGAGGAGGGGAGAGGGAGAAGACAGCATGAGTGAGACATGAGTGATGTGAGAGGGGGAGAGGAGCTCTGTTGCTGGCCCTCAGGAGAGACGATCAGTGTCAGATAGATTACCACTGCAGCCCTCTGATCAGCCTCTATCAGCTCCTCTCACACTGCACATACTGTAACATCTGAACACTTCACCTTCTTTCATCTTCAACACCCCCTCCTCATCCCCAACTCCTCGCCCACCTCCTCTTTCTCCTCACGCTCCCTCGCTTTGGCAGCCGGCAGAAACATAGAAATGTATGTCTGCCAAAATTTTACACAACTGGTCTGATCACATTTGAACTATTTTAATCTACTGTGGTCCTGTGCAGTAAATCTGAAATGATAGTTCAATTAATTTACGATAATGTGGATGTAATCAGTGGAGAACAGATCTAAACTAGAGCACACTGACATTAATTTATATTTGGTTTGCTGTTAAAAGAAAAACTGTTGGAGATATGAGGTTTCTACGTGGGTTATTATAGCAATGTGGAACACATTTTCTATTAGGTTTCAAACTACACTCTAAACGCAATAGCAAAATATATAATCAAATGAGAACATGTGAGGTAGAGGTCGCAGCTGTAGCGCTCTGTAACCTGCCTCTAGCTCAGCTCCTCACCCTATGCTGTGTCTGATTTGACCAGATTTAAATGCATTGCTACAGCTGTTCTGCACATTGTGGGTTTTACTGCTGCTCTCCCTGCAACTGAGGGGAAGTGTGCTCTGCCCACCTCCGGCTTTGGCACTGGCGTTCCACTTAGACATGTGGAAGGGCAGAGATCTTTGGCAACAGAGCCAAACTAACAAATCTAACTTATTACCCAGAAATAATTGGTTTTCTTTGACAAAAGCAGTCCTGACTGAACTTATGTATGTCTTTTCAGAATACCAGTGACAATTCAACTAAAAAATCCACCTTTCCTGTCTTAAACGACATTTCTGAAGAGAGCATTGCATCCTCCATAAATCCACTTGTGCAAAGACAATAAAATTCGACCTAATCTAACCTTACCTTATCTCCTTTTGTAAGGCCTTGGCTTATTAGCTCAAGGTAATGAATCCAATAAAACCAGCTTATGTTTAGTTCAAAAGTAAAAGTGTTTAGATATTTGTATGGTTACTTGCATGACTGTCTCTCGGCATGAAGCAGATATTATGTTGTAGTACATGAGTTGCTTGATAAATCCAAACTGCATCTTGATCACATTGTGAGCACTGGCAAATTACACATAACAAAAATCTGGATTTTTATCCATAAATCAAAAAAGCTATTTATTGTGAATGAGCAAAACTATCTTTCCCTTACAGAATAGAGGCCTACCAGCTACTTGCATAACAACTAGGGCTAACAAGATACATTCATGTGTGCATAAATAGCTCTTATTTGCATTCTATTTTCTGTTGACTACAGTTTTTGTTAAGTGCACTACCACTGTCAGGGCAATTCTGTTGTAGAAGGGGGTGACGGTGGGGCTGAGGCAGAGGGCAGAGTGGGAAAGGAAAAGAGGGAGAGGGGAGGCTTGAGACAGAGGAATGAAGAAGTGTGTGTGTGTGTGTGTGTGGGGGGGGGGTAGTTTTGGGGTTCATCACCATTTCACATGAGCTGTTGCCAAGGTAATGCCATCACATAATACCATCACCATGGAGATGACAAAATGCTTCCATGCCCATGCACACACACACACACACACACACACACACACACACACACACACACACACCCTCTAAGTGTGGGGGTTAGTTGTCATGGCAGCCGGGTCAGTGGGTAGGGGTTGGCAATTGGGGGTTGCTGGGATAAAGCTGGCATACAGACAATTCAATCCCCCCCAAATTCCTCTCACCCCCTCCTCAGCTGGTATTTTAATCAGCTTCAGACTTAATTTCACTAAGATACAATGCTGTGATCTCTATATGAAAAAAAAAAAACACTGAGACAACCTAAAAATAGAAAACCAAACTATAAATGACTATAAGGAAAGATCCATGACATATCCTTCCCCTGTTCACCAAAACCCCTCTCTTCAGTTGGTACTGACATATACACTCACCGGCCACTTTATTAGGTACACCATGCTAGTAACGGGTTGGACCCCCTTTTGCCTTCAGAACTGCCTCAATTCTTCGTGGCATAGATTCAACAAGGTGCTGGAAGCATTCCTCAGAGAGCTTGGTCCATATTGACATGATGGCATCACACAGTTGCCGCAGATTTGTCGGCTGCACATCCATGATGCGAATCTCCCGTTCCACCACATCCCAAAGATGCTCTATTGGATTGAGATCTGGTGACTGTGGAGGCCATTTGAGTACAGTGAACTCATTGTCATGTTCAAGAAACCAGTCTGAGATGATTCCAGCTTTATGACATGGCGCATTATCCTGCTGAAAGTAGCCATCAGAAGTTGGGTACATTGTGGTCATAAAGGGATGGACATGGTCAGCAACAATACTCAGGTAGGCTGTGGCGTTGCAACGATGCTCAATTGGTACCAAGGGGCCCAAAGAGTGCCAAAAAATATTCCCCACACCATGACACCACCACCACCAGCCTGAACCGTTGATACAAGGCAGGATGGATCCATGCTTTCATGTTGTTGACGCCAAATTCTGACCCTACCATCCGAATGTCGCAGCAGAAATCGAGACTCATCAGACCAGGCAACGTTTTTCCAATCTTCTATTGTCCAATTTCGATGAGCTTGTGCAAATTGTAGCCTCAGTTTCCTGTTCTTAGCTGAAAGGAGTGGCACCCGGCGTGGTCTTCTGCTGCTGTAGCCCATCTGCCTCAAAGTTCGACGTACTGTGCGTTCAGAGATGCTCTTCTGCCTACCTTGGTTGTAACGGGTGGTTATTTGAGTCACTGTTGCCTTTCTATCAGCTCGAACCAGTCTGGCCATTCTCCTCTGACCTCTGGCATCAACAAGGCATTTCCGCCCACAGAACTGCCGCTCACTGGATATTTTTTCTTTTTCGGACCATTCTCTGTAAACCCTAGAGATGGTTGTGCGTGAAAATCCCAGTAGATCAGCAGTTTCTGAAATACTCAGACCAGCCCTTCTGGCACCAACAACCATGCCACGTTCAAAGTCACTCAAATCACCTTTCTTCCCCATACTGATGCTCGGTTTGAACTGCAGGAGATTGTCTTGACCATGTCTACATGCCTAAATGCACTAAGTTGCCGCCATGTGATTGGCTGATTTGAAATTAAGTGTTAACGAGCAGTTGGACAGGTGTACCTAATAAAGTGGCCGGTGAGTGTATATCCATTTTGAAGCTGCTGGAGTCAGCTCATTTTGTATTCCATTGGAGAAACATACATCCCACCTTTACACCATTGTTTTCTGTTTTTACTTAGTTGTATACCTTTGGATTTACCAGAAGTAGTGAGTACTTCATTTCAAAATAAACTCATGTTTTACAATAATAATTCCATAATAATACTCTAAGTGGTACGTACATCTGCATAATGTCAACACATATATTTACACCAGCATACTCTACACATTTGGCTCATAACTGCTAGTCAATGGATGAATACAAACAATATATTAATGCCTAAATACAGTCCTGAAGTTGTGCTCTCCAAAAAAAGTGGCCTCACTGGTTCTTTAAAATGGTAAAATGATGGAATAATGGCATGAAAATGACCCTGACAGCATGCTTTATCCTCTCCAATAAGAAAGACTCGTTCAACTCATGAGGACACATAGGGAAAAAGATTATTTCTGAAGTTTAACCAGTTTTTAGACAAAGTTTAAAACCCAAATCACATAATTCATTTGTCCTTAACCTTTTCTTTTGACTGACTTTATAGACAAAGGGCTCTATTTTCATGTCTGCCGGCGACGCGGCAGAGGGTGGCGGACCCCACGCAGTGGTTTTTTTCTCGTCTGGCAAAGCCTGGCGCACAGCCAGTTTGGTATTTTCGGGGACTGAGGCGTACCGAGGTCCGCCAAGCTGGGCGTGGTGGCCCGGCAGGGGGAGGTGTTGACAGAATCAGCTGGCGCGGTGACATTTTCGTGCTCGCCATTGGCGTGTAAGGTGCGCTGAAAGCTTGCCGATTCAAACCTAAACTAGAGAGCTTAATGCCACATGATGGTTCTGATTTTAATGCCATTATTGGAATTTATGTTGTAATCTGTGCGCACAACCCACCTTTGTCACGTGAGGTTTAAATATGCAACTTTATGTGAGTGTCTTTATTTGTGGAAAAGGGTGTTTGCCTTACCAGTGGGTCCAACATTACACACACCAAATCCATCTGTGCTTATATGAGACAGTGTGCAGGACGCCCTCTACAGCGCTTACAGCGACACTTGTTGGGGGCTGCCTTCTGTCACTGTAGTGTGGCATTGCTGTCTTCAGACATCTCTTGATCTCTTTGACTACTTCACGAAAATTATAATACGCCTCGCCGGTGGCGGATTTAAAGGCGAGGAGAGGAGCTGATGTTATTGGTTATTACAGGTCTCGGCTGTGTTAAACCCACTTCACGCCCTCTCGCCTCCCTCCCTACGACTAACGCTGCTGGAGGGAGCTGAGTTAGGGAGGGGGGACACTTACGCCTGGCTGTGCCGCTCACCAAAATACCAAATTGTGCTTGGTAAAGCCTTGTCGGTGCGGCGGACCTGACTTGCGCCGCGCCTGCGCCACGTCTCTGACGAGGCACAAAAATATCTGTTATGTCTTACAGGCGATAAATTATGGAGGCCTCCGACACCCTGTTGATGCCTTGACTTAAACCCCCATGTTAGGAAAATATGTCAGACAAAAACAATCCACAACATCCTCCACCAGCCCCTGCTGCGGGTCACAATTACACTCCCTCTTTGAATTTTTAAGTCACCTAATTATAAAATCATCCTCTCTGCTCTGAGTCTCAGAGGATCAGCGGAAAACATGCCGAGCATTTGTTAGAAATGATCTATTAAACCAAGTACAAATGATGTCTGAGCAGCTGTGTGGAAAAAGACAAGACTGCTTTCAACCAGAAACTTGTGACAGCTGTTTGGGTTTGCTTCCTATAGGAGCAGGGTGAGAACACATGCAGCCATTAGTCTTGATGAACAGACAAAGCTTAAAACAGGGTGAGGGTGTGAGTGTGGACAAGACAGACAGTGAAAAAGAAGATGTGTGTTTGTTATATTACAGCTATCGATAAATGCTTAATGCCTTTAATGACAGGCATGATAACAAGCTTAGTAATAACACTACCCAAGCATGTATGGTTTGTGTGTTTGTGTGTGTACCTTGGTCCCGCTGTAGAAGTCATCCTGAATGCTGGCATTCATAAAGGTCTGCTGCAGATGTACACAGGTGTCTATTCCGCCTGGCATTACCAGCTTTCCAGAGGCGTCTATCACCTTAGCACCGCCTGGGATCATCAGCTCCTTCCCAACCTGTCCCAAGGATAAGAAACACAAATACACAATTTCATTATTGTATCATATATCCACATGAAGAAGAATAAGAACTTAATTGATCCCTGAAGGGAAATTCATATGTACCGTGAATGTGATTAAATGAATCATGAGCATATAAAAGAGTTCCATGCAAAGGTTTTGGCATCAACACTGAAATACTTCAGCTTCTTTACGTTATATATATATATACATAAACGATATGTATAAGGCTGAATTTTGCCAATGTGAGTGACACATCTTTTCATATCCTAAAAACAAAAATAAAAACAACGATATTTCTGGTTCCCTATCTGTTCTTCCCTCAAGCTAAACCAAAATGTCACTTGAAGTTAACATTGTATCTTTCCTACACAATAATTATATTAGTAATAATTATAATAATAATAAATGATTATAATAATAGGTATAATAATAAGAATAAGAACTTCATTAATCCCCGAAGGGAAATTCAACTGTCTGTTGTCTCACATAATATGTCTCTAAAAGTTATCTACTATTTACACAAGAGTTATAAAGCCTGATGGCTGATGGTACAAAAGATCTTCTGAATCTTTCCATCCTCCACTGGCCCTTTGGTCCATCAAGGTGTTATGAAGTGGGTGATCCATGTTCATGAGAATAGTCTCCACCTTCCTCATTGTAGATCTCTCCACCACATCCTACATTGAGTCCAGCTTGAGTCCTACCACAGAGCCAGCCTTTTTCACCAGTTTGTTAAGACGTCTTGCATCTTTGTGTTTGATGCAAAGTAAATAACAAAGCAAATTGAACAACATACAGTTAGAAAAATATAAAAAACATTTTAACTTAACAGTACTACATGCTCTATCCTGTATGAGGCTCTCTGATCATCTGTGCATGAAATACAGCGCTCTTTTATCCAAGGCTGCCCTGAACACATCACTCTCGCATATCTCGCATTTGTTTTCCTTTCATCGAAATGTTCATTTTGCAACAAACACTGCTTAACTATAGTTTACAGCTTAAACCAACCTGAATCATTCCAAACTGTAAAGTAAAAGTATTAATCCAGTGTCTGTGATGCTCAGCAGAAACACAGGACTATCTCCGGTTGTCTGGAAACTTAGGACAAATATAGTGATCCGATTCATGAATGAATGCGGACCATGCTACCAGAAATTCCCGGGAGAAATGACAATACGGGGGTGGGCGGGAGATAGGTCTGAAATACGGGAGAGTCTCTGGAATAACGGGAGTGTTGGCAGGTATGGATATGATTAATTGCTGCTTTGGTCTGGTGGCTGTACCGCTAGTTGTGGCTAACCTGCTAATGCTACTTGTGCCGTCAGCAGTGACAGGCTGTGCAGACTCCGCTTGCATTTTCATGCTCCCGCATAATCACTCGGGAAGAACTTCTTTAAATGATTAAACAGATTTGTTATGTTGCCGGTTTATCGGCTTAATTGCTCTGCGTCACTTTGGAGAGATGTTGAATAACTTCTCAACAATAACATCTTCGACTCAAAGTCACGGCTCACATCTATTTTGCTGCCCTCAGCTCCGCATTTAGCTCCATGTTCGGTCATTCTGTTTACTTCTCCGGTTAATTTACAGAAGTGAGCAGGAAAAGCTAGACTCTGATTGGCTGTTGTGACGCACATTTCTGCCATGTTTGATCAAGTAAATATGCTCACAGCTGATCACCGTGATCGAACTGAAATTTATCACGATCGTCGATCACGATCATATAATCGCCCAGTCCTAATTTGAAGTCTGACGTGTACAGTGTGAACAGGAATGGCGCCAGCACTGTCCCTTGTGGAGCCCCTGTACTGCTCATTAATGTCCCAGAAACACAGCTTCCCAGCCTGACAAACTGTGGCCTTCCTATCAGGTAATCAGCGATCCAGGAAACACAGGAAGGATCCACTCCCATCTCTGTGAGCTTGTCTTTTGAGTATGGTGGGTTGAATGGTGTTGAATGGACTTGAAAAGTCAAAGAACATGATCCTCACATAAACCCCAGGTTGCTCCAGATGAGACAGGGCACAGTGAAGCATGTAGAGGACAGCATCATCCACTCCAATATGTTCTTTTTATGCAAACTGCAGGGAGTCCAGTTTGTCTTTGACCCCAGACCTCAGAAGGCATAGAATCAGCGAAGTGAAGTGAGGGCCACTGGTCTATAGTCATTGAGTTCAGCAGGACATTTTGTTTTTGGTACTGGCACAATGCAGGATGTTTTCCACAGAGTAGGTACCCGCCCCAGCTGTAGACTCAGGTTGAAGATCCTGTGGAGAGGTTGACACAGTTCTGCAGCACAGTCTCTAAGCAGCCTTGGACACACACCATCTGGACCAGCTGCCTTCCCAGGACAAAGTCTTCCAAGCTCCATGCTCACCCCTGTTTCTGTGACAGACAAGGACTGGTGTTCTAGGAGGGAGGCAGTTGAAGTGGTTGAGACATTTGAACGAGATGCAGGAGGAACGGGAGAAGTTAGAGTGGGGATTTGTTGTGGAGAGGAAGGTGGAGTAGCAGTGGAAGTGGGAGTGACAGCAGTGTCAAATCTGTTGAAGAACAGGTTGAATTCATCAGCTCTTTCCAGATCACCCACCATTGTCTGTCTTTTCTTTTGACTGCTGTGTCCAGAGATGGTACTGATTCCTCTCCACACTTCATGGATGTTGCTGTGTTGTAGATTCTTCTCTATCTTCTTTTTGTACTCCAGCTTTGCCATCTTCAGTCTCCTCTTCAACTCTTGTTGCGCTTGTTTGAGTTGTTCTTTGTCACCATCTTTAAAAGCTTTCTTTTTCTGGTTAAGGATTGCTTTTATGTCACTTGTGATCCAGGGTTTGTTGTTGGGGAAACAGCAAACAGTCTTTGTCAGTATAACTGTGTCTCTACAGAAGTTGACATATTCAGTAAAGCAGTCAACCTGTCTGTCAATGTTCATACTATCCACATCTGTTTCCAGCAGCACATTACACTCTGTTGATTTAAAACAGTCCCTTAGAGCTTCACTGGCTTGAAGTGTCCATCTTCTAATTTTGACTTTGGTCACAGGCTGCCTCAGTACACAAGGTCTGTCACAGGTTTGGAGATAGACCAAGTTATGATCTGACTTGCCCAGTGGTGGTAAGGCAGTGGCTCTGTAGGCTTCTTTGACGATAGTTTACAGCAGATCCAGGGTCTTGTTTTCTTTGGTAGGACAGTTCACAAACTGTGTGAATCCATTCAGGTGAGAGGAGAGGGTGACATGGTTGAAGTCTCCTGATATTATCATTAGTGCCTCCAGGTGTTGAGTCTGTAGCCTGGCAACACTATTATGCAAAACATTGCACGGAATTTCCTCAGTTGATTTGGGTGGGATGTAAACAACTACTGTTATGATATGACTTAATTCTCTTGAAACATAATATGGCCGAAGAGAAACTGCCAACAGTTCAATATCTGGACAACACAACTTCTCCTCGACAGTTGTGTGTGAAGGGTTACACCATCTCTGGTTGACAAATAAAGCCAGACCTCCTCCTTTCTTCTTGCCAATATAATAATAATAATAATAATAACTAGAAAATTCCAAGGCAATTTTGATATGTGCCTGCCCGCTTGCCAACTAGCTGCTGCTTGTCGCTGATTTACTCACATTTAGGCCATGTTTTGGGTGGAGATACATGAGGGCATTAATGTGTTAAGGGCTACTTCCTGTTTGGGAAGGTGGAGTCATCCAAGATGGCCGCTGGCGGGCCATGTCTTCAGAGTGGGCTCATGAGGGGATGTGTCAAATAAGGTGCTGATATGTCAAAGCATTGATGATTTAGGGCCTTTGTCATGAATCTGACAATCTGACTGTGTCAGACTGTGTCAAGAGATATTGAAATGCGGTTTTCGCAGGTTGAAGGGTTTGGGCCTCATCTAAAGGTCATTGTTCAAATCACATTTCTAAGGCTTGTTGCTGACAAACTACATGTCATATCGGAAAAAACTCTGGACCGTGAGCTACTGCTCTGATACAGCTATGACATATCAGAAGGACAAGTTGCTACGCTTTACGGATTTGACGGGAGCGCGAGTTATTTGGAGAAAATGAGCATCAGTCAGATGTGGAGCATTTGTGTTCTTTTTGAATGGTGGTGAATGGAGGTGAAACAGGTACCTCCTCCCGAACAAAACCTCATAGCTTGAAAACTGAGTGTCTCACAGCTTCAAGGTTCACATTTTCTGTCTGGCTGGTAGATTTCCTACATTTTGATGTATAATTTGTGTGTGTCAAGTGAAGATTGTGGCCGTGGCAGCGATTTAAAATTAAAAATTGGGATAACACGTTCACTTTTCTTCGCTCTAAAATAATGAGTCTTCACTCTACAAAGCGGAAAATCAAGCTTCAAAGTATGGCGACAGGGTGAGGCGTCAAAATTATGCAAAAAATTGATCTTTTTCTTGCCCTCTCCCATCCGCTTACACGGGAAATCTTTGCCGCTTTTTGGCGTCTGGCGTTGCCGTGGAAACAGTAATGATAGAGGAAAATAGTACCCACCGTTGCACAATGGAGATGCACGTTTTGACATTTGCCATGCCTAGATTCACCTTATCGTTCGGGCCACATTAATTGCTGAAGATGAGTCTTTAATAATAAAAAAAACTAAACCCGCTGCCTAGGATACTAATATACGCCTTGGCATGCAATACACACTAATGGGGAATTTTTGGGGGGCATTTTATTTTATTTTTTTCATCACCCCCTCCCCATTTCAGGGGTGTATACCGCAGGGGGTGTGTTGATCTTCATTTTGGGTGTGTAACTGAACCTGCCCGGACATTAACAATATGTGCATGCCTTGCTCTTGACTTGGCAGGAACATAATAATTATAATAACAATAACAACAATAATAATAATAAATTTTATTTATAATGCGCTTTTACAAGTGCTCAAAGATGCTTTACAAGAAACACAATTAAAATACAGAAAATTTGGAGTAATAGACCAACAATGTAAATGGTTAAAAAACACATCACATGAAAGACAATAAACGAACAGGTTATAGGTTTAATTTAAAAAGGTGTGTTTTTAGGAGTGATTTGAAAGTATGGGGGTCTGTACAGTCTCTGATAGGTTTGGAGGGTGAATTCCAGAGGGTGGGGGTGGTAGCGGAAAAGGCTCTGTCTAGATACCACCATTTAGGTTTTGTCAAGGTGAGCTTGTTGTTGATCTCAGCATGATACAAGGTAAATGTAACATCTTCTTAGTGTCAGCCACAGTATCATTAATTCTTCAGAGCTATTTTATTCTAATCAAAGACCCTTAAGAGAAGGCTTTCCATCGTTGCATCATGCTGTTGTTGTAATCATTACCAGCTTGTTCACAGTCAAGTGTTTCAGTCAGAAAGCAGCTCAGCTTTCCAGGTTTCTGACTCAAACACACCCTTTTCACTTGAACCAATGCTTATTTCCATGACAACAGTCACTGAGCTAATTATACCATCCACTATAATCATCAAAAGCCACTGAGTTCACTGAGTGTATTGTTCTTTTTATACTGTGTTAATGTGAAATGAGTCAGTTTAACAGCTGACGATACACTGCACTGTGAATGTGTGCGTCAGCAAGGGTGTATAAGACAGACTGAGAGGGATTCAGGGAGGAAAAAGGGTATAGCTTATGCTAGATTGTGAAGTTTTACCTGCTGAATAATGCCATTCTCAATGTAGACGTCTGCCTCTTGGGTGACATCATCATTGACCACCTTCCCTCCTTTGATGAGGATGCGCATCGACCCCATGTTGGCAGACATTGTCCTACAGAAGAGAACACAAAAAACATGCATTAAACATTATAACTCAGTCAAATGGCTGTAAATGATACTGCTGATGATGTGAAGTTGAGCTGTGTACAAGCAGCTATTTGTGGGGAAAAAAAACTGAAGAAAGACGAAGAAGATACTGCTCCATGACTCATCCGGCATGGTTGAGACAGCCTGGCAAGGCGTCTATCTATTTTTCAGCTTTGACACTCAGTCAAAGCAAACACTGGGTCTTCCTTAAAATGGCCACGTTCACTCTTGCGTCTTACCACAAAGTTGATGATAACTACTCAGTGTCAATAATTGCATGCTCCTTTCTTCCTGCTCTACACTTCACACAAGTCAACCGTTTGTGAGACATCATGTAAATAGAGGGAAAAAAGAAAAATCCATTGATGTTTGAATGGAGATGAAACTGATCTATGCAGCCATTGAAAAACTTTTTTATGATATTAAAAACAAGTTGATTTGAGGTACTGCAAGTCTTATTGTAGACAGATAAAGAAAAGGTCAAATCTAGTTGCAGATTGGTCCGATTTTTCCTCTGTATTAACAGGATTCAAGAGGACAATTATCCATGACTACATCAGGCTTCTTAGCCTGTATTTACTGCTGAATTACAGTGTCTGGCACATATTCTGCCTTCTTTCTCAAGGGGCAGAAAACTTCCTGCAAGCTTCAAGTGTGTCAGCTCAGTCCATGAATTATTAAGAGGTGAACAGAGAATCTATAATTTAAAAATCTATTACAGTATCAGCAAGAATATGACAGATTCTTGGAGTTTTGCAAAGACCAATGGATTTACCTGCTTACTGAGCAGCTAACACAACTACTTCACTGACCTTATGAAAGCAGAAATCTACTACTATTTGCACTTTTTTTCAACTTAGAGGTCTATACTAGTGGAAGGGAACCTATCACAGCTTGAAGAAATAGTCATTTTGTCCTGAAAAATAACATTATCATAAAGTATTTTAAAGATTATATCGAGATCCTCTCTTATTCCTCAGCATGCAGAGTGAGACACTGCAGCTTTTCCTTGTCTTACACAAACAAAACTAAACTGTTTATTTAAACTTCAATTCTTAATCATTATTGATTAAACAAAAAGCAGACTAACAGAAAAAAACAACTGATGATAAAAACATTTGCTAGCTACAGCCTTTGTTTTTACAAATATACACTGCAGGAGTCTGGAGACATGGCTTGAGTCAACCTGATTTCATGCATTTATACAGTGCACTGTGTTGCACAGTAAGCATATTTCAAAGTGAATATGTGGTAGCATCTAAGGGCCCTTCTTGTCTCTACCCCCACTCTCTCCAAAGATAACGATAACTTCTGGCAATGAAAATATCAGGTTGTGCTACTCACTGTTCATGACACACTCAGTTTATGGTGCTTAGAAATTTTTCATGGACTCATGTTCAGTGACGGCTCTTTAGGTTCTGTTCTTCAAACATTGCAGTAGTAAAGCTACACTTTTTATATCTCCAACATTTGAGCAGTTTTGGATGCAAGTAAAAATGTTTGGTTTGAAGCTCCTGTGAGGAAGTCTTGGTTGGTTTAGAAAAGGATTGAAATCAATATAAATATAAATGCCACCTCTGGGCAATTGAAATTGATCCAAGATTGTAAACTGAGCTAAGTTTTTGGCACAACACAACCCAAGCAACTACGCATTAGCACACCTATTGCTAAAATGTCAGCAATGTGAAAATTCCACAGCTGTTTGAAAAATTTGCATTCAACCCTTTTGCAAGGTGGTAGCAGTAGAGCTGCATTCACAACTTACAAATTGATATGAGACTGCATTAAGTGCAGCAACAGAGAAAAGGCTGCTGCACCAAAGCAACAAAACCTGGACATCAAAGGGGAGGGTACAAACCCCTGAGACAGAGGAAACTAAAAAGGTTACAGAGAGAGAGAAGGGGGGTTCAATTTACCACTCTGGACAACAACCAGCCCAATTATTTTTAATTATTTTTGTTAACAAACAAACAAGGAAAAACTGTGCAGCTATATTATCCTGGTACGTACAAGCATCTTGTTGAACTGTTTCAGTGGTTATTGAGACAGGCGGCCTCAGCAGGTCTAATGGGATTGACAAACTGGGGACTTCCTCTACAAACACGCCTCTGTGTATATGTGTGTATTCTGCATGGATGGCTGTATGCAATGTGTTTGATGGTGGGACACAATGGCCTCCTAGTCACACAGAATAAACTCAAAGAGATGCAAGAGAATGGAGAGAGGAAGGAGAGGAGAGAGAGGAGGGGAGCGACAGAATAATGAGAAAGGGAAAGATCTAGAGCCTGAAATTTGTACAACAACCAATCAGATGAGGTTTAAATGAGCACAAAGAGGTGGAGAATGACTCCGTCTGAAACAATCCTCAGACAAAGGAGCAGTAGTATTTAGGTTTCATGTTGGTTAACCACTCTTAAAGTATTGAAGGACACTCTTGAATTATTTCCTACTCTGTCTGCATGATTGTCAGCCAGCCAGTTAGCTTTACTCTGAGCCATACTATAAGCCTATGGCCTGTGTCTTCAGCACTAAACAGAAAATCTTTTGGCAGTAGGTCAGACTCTAGAGGGGACTCTGTTCAGTCCATCTCACAGAAGATTGAGGAAAGAAATGAAGGCTAAAAGAAGAGATAAAAAAAAACTGAAAAAGAAAGGAGTAGGGGATTGATTGTGTAAAGATGAGGGATAAAGTGACGTGGTAAACATGGTGGAGGGTGGTGGGGGTTGCAGTATAGAAAGCAGTGCCCTAAAGGCCTGGCAGCCAGAATAAAAGACTGGTTTCCCAGGAGATGGAAACTGGAGTGCTTCAGTAGAAAAGGCCTACACACACACACACACACACACGCACACTTGCCAATCCCGTGGCTCAGTATGGTGAGGAATACTAAAAGGCTAACACTAGTTTTCTTTTTCAACTTATGGATACACTGAAACAAGCAGCAGTTGTTTAATTAAAAAACTCCCATTTCTCAAAGTTAACCAAAACTAGACTATCCAACTAACCAAAACTCAACTACACTGCCTCATCAGGAAAGCTGGTGTCAAACAACTTTCACTTTGCTGAGCTCAGAATACATCATTTTGTGTATGTCAGAGGTGGCAGTTCAGACTGCAAAAAAGCTGTTAGCTTACCAGATATCCACAACAGCTGTGTGCTAAATGTTTGAATTATTCAGTTCTACTGGGTAACGCACAAAAGAAAAATCACATCTATATACTGTAGGTCAGAAGGTTGGGATACAATTTGAATCAGTAACTTTGATTGTGATTCATAAAGTGCGATAATGATGCTAACATTACTGTATTTATGGCCTCTGTTGTTTGACTGACCTTTTATTCCTGCACTGAAATTGTTTTTCTTTGGCTGACACAATTCATTGTCACAGAAGTTGTTTCTGTTTAGACAAAGTTGCATCAAAGAACATTTAACACATTAGCTGTAAAAAAATAAATAAAAATCAGCATCAGTTTATAACAGCTTGGTAGGTATTCTTTGAAATGTGCTGTGTATGGTACTGCTTCTCAGAAAATGGTACACTGGCACTGTCCAGTCATCTGCTACTAAGAAACCCTGTAGAATAGTGTGAGCTTACAGCAGAGGAGGCTTACAGCACCAGCAGGCCTTGCAACAAATCAAAGGAATGACAGAGTTGAAATTTTGTACCCCAGCTTCTACACAGTAAATACAGTCCACGAGTTTTATCCAGTTGAGATTTTTGTTGGCATTAAATCCTGATGTTGTCAAAGGGAAACATGAAATTACAGCCCCAACCCTGCCTCTGGCAAAGACAAAAGAAAACAAAGACCTCGGGTGACATCAATCAATCTCATCCATTTACTTGACATGATGCATCCTCTGTTAAATGTAATGTTTTCTCTCCTGGTTCTCAGAGTCCTTATGTTAAAACAGTTCTGTATTTGAGCATTGGTTTGGATGCTGTGCAGTTACAGGAAGGAAAGAAAACAAGAGCAGAAAAATAAATTATGGAGTAGGATGAATGGTGTGGTGTCTACATGAAATTTATGGTCTCTATTCCTAAAACTTAAAGGCTGTTGTTGTCACAGTTTTCCAGTCACCTCCTTGCACACAGTTGACTGTGTGACTGTGTGAGTGGGAGCAGCAATGCTGACTAAACAGACCCTCTGCAGTGGACACTGGGAGCTTTGTGTGTCTGTGAGGACTGTAAAGCCAGAGGAAATGAAAATCAACTCATATAATTTACATTCTGGACATTAACACCTTCAATACTTGAAATAAAGTGAACCCCACCCTCAGCCAAGAAAAGGAACACAGACTCAACAACACTGTACCTGTTGCCTTGTCAGTGACCAAGGGTCGACTGTAGTTTTGGTGCATCCATTTTTTTTGTGTGTATTTTTTGTGGTCAGTAATGTCTGCGAAACCAAAGTTTCATTAATCTGACATCATTCTGTTTTTATTGAATTTAAAGCTTTTTTTTTTACCTTGTACCAAAACCTGCTTTTTTTGGAGAAATGTGGGGCAACTTGAAGTAATGAGAGCTGACATGAGATGTGATGCACAATGAGGTGACCCAAGATAAGATACTGGACAAAGAAGGTGTTGTGACATGATGCTCTGTGATACGGGACAATGCTGTATCATGATGTAATGTGAGGTGATGTGAGAAGTTGGGTTTTGGTCTTTGTCACAGATGTTTCTTTGAGTTAGCATGGAGGAGCTCTTATATCCATGCTACACGACAAGCAAAGTTGTCCAATGTAAAGGTCCTTTAAAACTAGGGATCTTCCATTGACATTGCAATTAGAATGTCCAAAATAATTCACAATAATGATAATTTCTCAACATTTACAGAGAAATTGGAGAGGGAAGTGCCTTATACACAATTCTGTGTTTTATTTTGATAAAATCAGACTTTAATTTTGAAAAGACATCTGAGCTTCTTCCAGTAGATCTTTAGTTACAGAAAAGAATGACAAAAACTGAAAGAGCTGTCAGAGAGTATAAATGTCCAACACATTACCAGAGGCATACACTGGTTTGGGTCCACTATAAATCAGACTTAGAAGTGTCTGACCAGCTTTCACACGGCTAGCTACTGGTCCTATCTCTGCACCTGCTTCCCTTTAGTCTCCATGTCATCCGTAGGTCGAACCCAAAATATTAGGAATCACTGTTGGTCCTTAGTGTTAACTAACAACTTAATTTGACAGTAAAATTTACAAAAGAACAGAAAGGAGAAGGGGTCTGTGACACAAGAGCAAAGGTACAGCCAGCTAGTGATGCAAACAGGAAATCCTCTACGGTGGTGGTCTATGAAAGACGCACTTTCAACAGCCTGCTGCTTCCCCCCAAAAAATGCAGCTCCTACATTGGAACACAACTGAGGTTAATTGTATACACTTGATTTACACTGGAGTTCTTAATGAGGAAGACAAATAACCAAATGTTTGTGGGGTACATTGGTCTGAATGTAATCTCAAATATGCCTTTACTTAAAAGAATTATGGATACACAATTTAGTCAGTGACTGGATAAAAACAGGTGCTACAAGGTAATTGTGATCTGGATATAAAATGAGCATCATCAGGGTATAGTTTTGCTGTTGCTGAAGTTAAAGTTAAGGAAAGGTGACGGTAGCTCAATGAGAAACTGCTGACTTTTTCATCATTTGACTTTGCCTCTTCACGGTAAATGTATCAAACAAATTTAACTCCAAAGGACCTTACAGACTTCTTTGAAGCAGGTGTACAGTGAGTGAGAGCGTGTATGCGATGTGGGTGTGTTCACTTTCTGCTGTGTCATCGTGGGTGTGACAGACACACCGGAGAGACAGACACTCAGACAAACAGTGACACACCAGGCAACATTTCTCACTCACCCTGTGACCAGCTGCTTCAATTGGACACACACACACACACACACACACACACACACACACACACACACACACACACACACACACACACACACACACATGCATGCACTGTAGACCTCATAATGGTACCAACACACACACACACACACACACACACACACACACACACACACACACACACTCTGCCATGTCCCCTCCCTCCATGCAGACCTTTTTTTAATGGGGGTGTTAATTAATAATGAATGAAGAGCAGAAGGCAGATCTATGACATTGGCACATGTTTTTTTTTTTGTCACAGAGACACTTAAAGATTTCTTCATTACTTTTTCTCTGTATTGGTTTTTTTTAGGGGCAAGGTAGAACTCTGACAATAATTCTATTAGTGTTATACAGAACTAATCCTTTATTTCTTTTTCAAGTAAGCTGGGATGTATAAGGCACTTGCCAAGAGTGAAATGGTAAGTAATGCTGTAATACCCACAGGAGATCCCAGTCTGCTTTGCCCCTTTGATGAGAAGCAGACTAGAGAACCAGAATGGATGCAAGGCAATCAGTCAGGGCTGACAGGGTCAAAAACACTACCACCTAATTTAGCTCGTGTTTTGGCAAATGCTCTGTCTCGAACATTTTTAAAGCTTTACTTTGCAGTCAGAGAGCCTGATTGTTATTTGCCGTATTCTGCATTGCAACATTATGCTGTATGTATTCATCGACCTGATTTCTCTACAAAGAGGCCAAGCTGAGCAGCATCCTCTGCTGGTAATACTCCAACCATTAAAAGTAGTTCATATTCAGCCCTAAAATTCCAAACTAGCCTTTTAAGAGGAAGATAATGTGAGTCCATTACAACTATGGTTGGCTGAAGTGCACGTGTTCTATGTTCTGGGAAAGAATATGGCTTTTCACAATAAAAAAGACCAGCGGTTTAGAAAAACAAACATTTTTTTTGCCTTAGGCTTTACTGGCAAGTCAATTTTAAATCAGTACTTTGAGAAGTTTTAAGTTGAGCCCACAAGCTCACAAAAAGCTCACATTACATAAAACTAGTCAAAAAACTGGTTAATGTCAAAGACGGTGACTCCTGTGTTTTTATCAGCAAAGTTGCAAAAGTAATGTAAATGTAAAGCATCAATATAAGGTGTAGGCACCAAAATATATTTGTTAAGGGCATGATTTCTACTAGGTATGTCACTTCCAGGGATCGACACTGAGGGGTGTGGTTTTGGGATGTTTGGCGGGTTATTTAAAAACGTCGGTGTAGTCAGAGACAATGGGTTTTGGTAAGCTCTGATAATTTTCTGTTGACTGTTTTTCACTCATCATTTTTTTTCACCCTCATTTCGTCATATCACTTTTCATTTGAAGGCAAAGGTTTGGACCTGGATCAGTGTTAGACTAAGTTTTCTTTACTTTTTGAACAATAAATCACCTTTAACACTCAGCTGGACTGATGAATTAACGAGTCACAGATGCAGATCTGAACCCCAGCAGCCTTTTGCTGAAAGAAAAGCAGTTGCTACACAAGGCTTACATTTTCAAAACTCTGTTCAAATGCCCACAGTCCAAAATATGGACTTAATAATCTACCATGAAAAAAAGATCAAATATGAAAAGCACCCAAAGAGCTAAAGCTACAATATGAGTTAAGGATGTCTAAATCTTCATAGTAGAAGAAGAGATACTGCCAAAAATAAAACAAAAAACAGGATAAAGACTAAACCCTCTGCCCTGCATGTTTAGAAAGAGTTTTAAATTTGACATAGTGGCTGCTGACATCCTCTGATGCCTGGGGGTGACTGTGGGCTTCATGTGTGGCAGACAAATGTACGTATGTGTGTTGATGCGTGCTGTAAGTGAGAAGAAGGGAGCAGACAGCTGCTGACTCTAGCTTGTTCTGCAGGGAGAACGGCCAGTGTGAGCAAGTCTGCAAGAGTCAATATGTGCTTGTGTGTGTGTGTGTGTGTGTGTGTGTTACCTTGTGTAAGAAAATATGTGTGTGAAATGTAGAGCTATTTAAAAAGCCAGAACAAAAGTGGAACAGACCACTTTACAACCGTTTGGATATAAAAATAGACATATGCACATGCACTTACTCACTCAAGCACGCACACACTCACACACACACACACACACACACACACACACACACACACACACACACACACACACACACACACACACACACACACAGGGTGAGGGTAGGAGAGTGGAGGGTTCTACTGGAGGTTCATGGATGAATAAGCCATTAGTGAATCATAGACAGATAAACAGACAATAACAACAGCACTCCCATAACTAACTAGGACATCACTCAGAGGATTAGGGGCAACTCTCACTCTCTACATGCAATCTGATCACACAGTAATTTTATATCTTAGAGGACAGACATCTTTTTATTATTAATTCATCTACATCTCCTGTTACCCTTCACTCTCGTCTGACAATGGAAGAAGTTAATGAAGGACTTTTTTGTTTTCAGTGGTTTTTGTTTGGTCTGACCTTTGATCCCAGGCCATGTTTAAACCCCCTTAATGAGTAAACCAATTCAATGAAAAAATTGTATGTGCTCTTTGGGTTGACTCCTCGAAATGAAAATCTAGTTTATCCTTTTATCCTTTTCACCTCCTCTGCCTCCCCCCTGACTCCGAAGTCTTGCAGCCTCTCCCCTGGATGACTTCTTACAGAAGCACATGCAATGACAAGTTTGGTTTAGCTGAAACAGACCTTGAATAAAGCAATCTGCTGCAAACTTTGTTTAAAGGCTTTTATAACCAATGTCAGTAGCTTGACCCATTTCTTTCAGAATCTCAAACAAAGGTATGCAACCAAATGAGGAAAATGTGTCTCACTATCAGATGCACAAGACTATGCACAACATCCCTAATCCAAATTTCTTTGCAATGTGCATTTGTCTTTAAAGAGGTAAAAGAAAGTTTGGTGTGAATTGAATCAGGCCTCCTATTTTGTAGGCCATATTGCTCAGCCCTACCTGGTCATTCCACTTTTCAACCAAATGACAGAACCAAATATTTCCTAACAATATCCAACCCAACTTGTGGTGTAAAATGGAGTCAGCAGACCAAAAAAGATTGTTTTCCAGACTTTTTCTTCCTTGCACTGAACTATACTATGTCTAGTGTTGTATAGTTGATGGGCTTGCATGAAGACATCTGTCAGGACATGCTAATTTAAGCTAAATCTAACAATTTACTGACTAAATGACTGCTGGTGGCTTCTAAGTTTGCCTCTTAAAACAGTCTAAGATAATTTGTTCAAAAGGAAATCAGTAGACTTTGGTTTACATTTATGTACAGAATCTGTAAATACAGATTAAATCACATGTATTTGTTTTATCTTCCTCTTTATATTGATGAACAGTTTTAATCATCATCTTTTAATTCAACACATATTGACTAAAACTTGCTACCCATTGGGATGTACAGTATTTGCATATCCCGATATCCAACTTGCTGATACTGTGTAAGTAATTTTGACTGATACTGACACCAGTTATGGTAAATCTTTGGCTCATTTAACCCAGAGTGATCACTGCCATAGTACTTGGCTTTGTTAAGTGACTAAAGTAGAGACTGCTGACAAGTTTCCACATGCACTAATACTTCTTAAACTATTTACTATTCAGAAACTCTAGATGGTGCTCAAGGTGAGGGTTCTATTGATGCACAATCCAATTAGTAGTGTTTAAAGAGTGTTGTTTCACTTATTCTTGCATCACCTGTGCTTCACAAGCAACACCAATAACGATTGACAATTTGTTTCTCATACTCGAAAATACTGCCATTTAGTGACATCATTCTATCAGTCTCGTATATTGATAGAAATTTTGATATTTGCCGGAAATAATAATGACCTTTTTCAGCTTTTATCTAGACACAGGGATATATATGTAAATGATCAGGTGCATGCCTAATTATCAAAACAGCTAGATGTGGAGAGGGTATTAACAGCTGAGCTTATCTGCTTAATGCAGGCAAAAAGTCACCTGTTTCAACATTCTTTCACTGTGGACCACTTTTTTATCATTAAAAATAGCCCATGTAACATTAAAGCCATGAATTTTCATTTTTATCAATTTGGTGATTTGATTTCCAATTTATCGAAGAAAAATCAGCACTTGAGTCAGTGTATTTGGTTGCATTGCACCACACTGATAACATCTGAATGGATGCACCCATGATGGAATATACCATGTGCCGGCAAACACATTACATCATCTGATTAGGATGCTCTCTAATATATTAAATTTATAATGCTTTGCAGGGACCCCTAGGGCCTTTTAAAGTACCCGTAAGAATCTTTAAACCGGGCCCCAACACCCCCTAATCCACAAGACAGACCAGAAGATCACATCACCTGTTCAATTCACATTATGTTCCCAGGCACACAAACACACACACACGCGCACACACACACACACACACACACACACACACACACACACACACACACACACACACACACACACACACACACACACACAGCAGCAGCAGCAGCAGCAGCAAATCGGTTTGCATGTATGACGACTCCAGACCCTCCTCTTCATCCCCATCATCATCATCACTGTGACTCAATATATTTGAAAGAACAGAGAAAACCCTATAAATGAATATCTGACTTACATAATGGCTAACACACACACACACACACACACACACACACACACACACACACACACACACACACACACACAATGCCTTATTGCACTGATGGCACGCCAAATATACACGCAGACATACACGCACCACACGCACACAGCCATTTTAATAACCGACAAGCAAACGATACTAGCTTAAAACAAACGGCCAATTTTCCATTTTTGCGCATTATTTCATTCAAATATCACTCAGAAAAGAAACGTCTTTCACTGTCTAGTGAGGAATATGCAGGAATGCATCAATATGTGAATGCAGTGTCTGAATAAAGATACAGAAACCTCAGCAAATGTGTGATATTAAGCTTAAGTTTAGTACCAACCGTTAAATAAACGTATAGGAACGTTACAACCCTGCGTTAAGTGAGGATCGACGCGATGTAATTATGGATTTGATCAATTTAATAATAAAACGTATAATTCTCTCAATCTTTTCAAAAAACTGATACGGAAAAGAATTTTTTTTTCTTAAACGTTCATGATTTTTCGTCCTCTTACCCTTTTATTCCAGGTTCCCAGATCCTCCTCCGCAGGAACCTCTCTCCGTTGCCCAGCACCAGCCGAGTGCGCGAGGACAGCTGGCACAGCGCGAGTCGCAGATGCTTCACTGCCGACGATCCTGCTGCAGCCAATCAGGAGCCGCTCGAACTCGACTAATAGAAAAGAACAACCAATAGGAGACGAGATGTCTGTGGCGAAGGGGTCTCTCTCCTCAGTAGACAGGGGCGTGTCTCCTGCCTCCAGAGGCATATGCTGCCTTCAAATACTATCGGAAACATAACAGTCAATACCTGTTGAGCTCATAGTCCAATAGATTATACAAATTGTGACTACCAAATTGACAAATTCAAATAAGTGAGGTACTAATACATGTAAATGCTAACAATATAACATGGAATTGCATATGAGTCGTGCTTTAAATTATGCTTTGTAGTGGTTATTACATTGAGAGTAATAGTCAAGTTTCAATTTTAGAAACAAAAATTGACAAAAATGTCACCTCATCTGCCCCGGAGCTTCTAATCTAACTGGTTTTGCAAAACACTTCTCACATATTGTTTTACAGGATGCATTATATTAAGCCATGATAATATATAACAACAGTATCTCAGAGGTAATCACACATTGATACTTCATTTTGGTCTCCACAAGCTATATCAGTCTAAAAACATTAACAATGATGTACTCTTTAAAAAAATAGATGAATTTATGGATTGCAGAAAGTAATTTCCTGCCGTGGGGCAAATATTACATAAATGGACCCTCCACAGTGTCAGGCACATTTCAGTGCAATAAATAATCAACAACAACTAATAATCTGAGTCAGCACATACATTTAGATCTATATAGATATATTCTGATTTATATCTGATCTGATGAGTGCGTTTGGCACGCGTTTGGACAAACCTGCTGCAGCTGCTGCTACGGTGGCTGAACAGATGATTTGTTTTAGTGATCAGATGAGTTATTTACTTTAAGCCTACATACGTATATTATAATATTCAGTTTTGTGAGCCAAATTTATTTTATATGCCAACATCTATGAAAGACAGAGCCAGGCCACGGAGCGCGATGCGTCATTTACGCACAGATGTTTCTGATTTTAATGCCATTATTGGAATTTATGATGTGATCTGTGCGCTCAACCCACCTTTGTCACGTGAGGTTTGAATATATGCAACTTTATGTGAGTGTCTTTATTTGTGGAAAAGGGTGTTTGTCTTACCAGTGGGTCCAACCTTACACTCACCAAATCCATCTGTGCTCATATGAGAGAGTGAGAATGACGCCCTCTGCAGCGCGTACAGTGACACTTGTTGAGGGGCTGCCTTCTGTCACCATCATGTGGCATTACTGTCTTCAGACATCTGTATCTCTTTGACTATTTCACGAAAATTGAACAACGCCTCGCCGGTGGCGGATTTAAAGGCGAGGAGAGAAGCTGATGTGATTGGTGAAATCAGATCTCGGCTGTGTTAAACTCACTCCACTCCCTCTCTCCTCCCTCCCTACAACTTACGCCGCTGGGAGGACCTGAGTTAGGGAGGGGGGATACTTACGCCGGGCTGCGCCGCTCACCAAAATACCAAATTGTGCTTGGGAACGCAGCAGACCTGACTTGCGCCGCGCCTGCGGCACGTCTCCGGCGAGGCACGAAAATAGAGCCCAAAGTCACTAAAAGTAGTTTTAACGATAAAAAGTAGATTTCTGGACTCTTACAGTGTCTGGATACTGCTACTACTAGGTAAGAAGGATATTGTAATAAATGGAATCCAATATGTGTTATCATATATACTACTTTCTGTTATTCAGTACACTTTTAACTCTGGGGGCTCTGTTTTTGTGTCAGCCGGTGAGGTGGCGGAGGGTGGCGGACCCCACACAGTGGTATTTTTGTCTGGTGGAGTCCGGTGTACAGCCAGTTTGTTTTTTCGTGGACTGAGGTGCACCGAGGTCCGCCAAGCTGGGCGTGGTGGCGTGGCAGAGGGAGGTGTCGGCAGAATTAGCTGGCGCTGTGACATTTTCGTGCTCAGCGGGGGCGTATAAAGTGCGCTGAAAGCTCGCTGATTCAAACCTGATCAGCTTTCAGTGCAGGCGGAGCGCTGCTGGTCTAGTGGTATTTTGGTAGACCTGCGGCATATTGGCTTACGTCACCGATGCCTAACCGGCAGGTTTCCACAGTGTCAGGCACAACTAATAATCTGAGTCAGCACATACATTTAGATCTATAGATATATTCTGATCTATATCTGATCTGATGAGCGCGTTTGGCACGCGTTTGGACACACAACCTGACCGAATCAACACAGCTGAAACCGCATTAAATTAAATTAAATATCTAGTAAATAGACACACATGATGAAGTTAACAAGATATGTAATTCATCTCACTCATTTGCTTTCTTCCTCTTCCTCTTATTTCTCACGCAGCTCGACCTGGACATGTCTCCGTGTCCTCTCCCCGTCCTGCTGCAGCTGATGTGGCGGCAGCTGAACAGATGATTTGTTTCAGTGATCAGATGAGTTATTTACTTTAAGCCTACATACGAATATTATAATATTCAGTTTTGTGAGCCAAATTTATTTTATATGCCAACATCTATGAAAGAAAGAGCCAGGCCACGGAGCACGATGCGTCATTACGCACAGATGGTTCCGATTTTAATGCCATTATTGGAATTTATGTTGTGATCTGTGCGCACAACCCACCTTTGTCACGTGAGGTTTGAATATGTGCGACTTTATGTGAGTGTCTTTATTTGTGGGTGCCTGTCTTACCAGTGGGTCCAACCTTACACTCACCAAATCCATCTGTGCTTATATGAGACGGTGTGCAGGACGCCCTCTGCAGCACTTACAGCGACACTTGTTGAGGAGCTGCCTTCTGTCGCCATTGTGTGGCATTGCTGTCTTCAGGCATCCCTTGATCTCTTTGACTACTTCACGAAAATTGAAAAACGCTTCGCTGGTGGCGGATTTAAAGGCGAGGAGAGGAGCTGATGTTATTGGTCAATACAGGTCTCGGCTGTGTTAAACCCACTCCACACCCACTCTCCTCCCTCCCTACAACTTACGCCACTGGGAGGAGCTAAGTTAGGGAGGGGGGATACTTACGCTGGGCTGTGCCACTCACCAAAATACCAAATTGTGCTTGGGAACGCCTTGTTGGCGCGGCGGACCTGACTTACGCCACGCCTGCGGCACGTCTCCGGCGAGGCACGAAAATAGAGCACTGGGTCTTTATCTATTTAAACAGAAGAAATAAGTATCAAACGTTATAGCTGTAAAACTTTTCTGTCCTTGGTCCAATCATTGATTTTATTTTTTTTCAGCTAACATTACTGAACAACTTCTGCTTTACTTGACTAACTTTCACAAGCTAACAAACCACACACACTTACAGACAAGAAAAATGCTGAGTGTCAGTGTGTTGGTTTGGTGTCAGCAAACTCAAATACTGCTAAAGACAGCAATTACAATATTAAAAACATGAAACCCACATTGTATTCTGGCTTTGGTTTGAGGCGATACATCTTACTGACTGAAAAGTGGATGAAATCGAGCCTTCAGGCAAAATCACAAGAAACAGTCTCTTTTTTTATTCACGGTTCATTTCTTACATAGTTCAAGTACAAAGTTAAAATGCCTTTTAATTAGTTCATATTCATACAAGAGTAAAATAATAATAGTGCCTCTTCATTACTACGACAAACTTAAATACAGTCATTGTAAAGACAAACTTGATTTATACTCCTAACAATATATTTTTCTTATTTTCAGATAAAATTTTAGCACCTTTTTGAAACACCAACAGGTCCTCCTTTTTCCTAAAAGCTCATCTTTCATTTAGTCCATGAGATGAGTGTCTGAATGCGCCACAGCTTTTTGTGTTGATGTTGTGTGCATGTATCTCTGTGTGTGTTTAAAACAGTGTCGTGTGTGTGTGTTTGTGTTTGTGTGTTTTATAAGTGTTGAAAATAACGCGTCACTCAGCCTGGAAGCTGTCGATAGGCGAACAGAAACATCATCACCGTTTTACCCACCAAGCTAAAATATCAACTCTGTCCCTCACACTTTTGTCTGACTGTGCTCTGAAACAGAAACAAGCTGAAACAACACCGTGAGGAACAGACACAGGCACAAATTCAGCATTTACTACAGCACACTTTTAAAGGGCAGTGTATAGGATTTCATGGAATCTATCAGTGAGGAAATGCACTTGAGAAAGTCATCTGATGTTCATCTTTACAAACAAGTGCTTCAGAGCATGTATTTACATTTCTTAACACCTAACATGTTAATTTATCAGGTATTCATCTTGTCGTATTACATCATCATAAGTAGTCTGGACAAGGCCAATTCTCTTTGTGCAGATCTCTTTGAAAGTAAGCTTGTGGGCACTAAAACAGCTCAGATTATGTCATGTCTCCTAAACTAAAGCTAGTTCAGCAAAAAATGTAGGATGAATCACCCAGTTGTGATTACTTCCATTTTAATCGCACATGTAAAATTCCATTTCTATGTATTTTTTTAAAACAGTTTTTAAGTTCATATTAACAATGTGAAACTATTCTCTTCCAGTGTCTAACTTTCTAAATAATAAGGAATTTAAGATTAATTTTTTTAAAAGCTGCACCAGTGTGATTTAGAGATTCGCAACAGCTCCAGAAAGTTTGATTTACAGGTTTGTGGCACATCACACACTCTAAAATAATCCACTGCTGGCTTTTGTGATGCGGTTGCCCGCTGACATCAGTCTGATAAAAGTTGCACCTGTATGCTCGGCACTGAGTCCGAGCTTCAACTTAAAGTACTTGATATGTGATATCTCAGTCCTGACTGACACAGAGCACATCTCACTTTTCACTTATCAACTGAGCCACCAGAGGTGGCACCATGTATCTGGCAGAGCATGAAAATAGAGCCCACTGCCTTAAACAACAGCTAAACTACAGTGTACCAGAAAGGAAAAAAACAGTAGAGTTGATTTTGGGTCTAAATCACATTATGATCAACATGTTACTGGTTGTAATTTGAAAATGCCTCCCTCCTACATTTTCGTGTCTCTATTAGACAGAAGCCGAACCAATTTTTTCATCAGACATTTCAACATTTGACAGGAGGTTCACCTTCAACTACAAGTTTGCTGTTTGACAAATTGTTTCATGTAAGTTTTTTTTTTTTTATAGTAAATCCGAAAAGTTCAAGTTCCTGCTTCTAGAGGTAGCATATTGATATATATTTCCAACTATTAATTGGTTATCAGCTAAACTTATTCTGGGTTTTGAGATGAACAAAAGAAGACATTTATTAACGTCACATTTGGCTCTTTTTTTATTTGTTTTTTTTTTTTTTCAAATTTTTCTTTTCTGAAGCATTTTTCAATAATGTAATCACACTGTTTTTCAGCCTTTTATACCATATTAATTATGTTTTACAGTATAGTGTGTTTGGATTAATATTTTTAATTAACTCTTATGAGGCTACACCTGCCTTGTAATTTTGTTTGCAAGTCATGCATTGTGTTTTTTTTTTTTTTTAATGTTGCATCAATTTGCAATGGGCTGTGTTTTTGCACAAGTGCTTTAGGCAAATTTTCTCTAGATTGAGTTTATCCAATTAAATCTGTCCATTACTCCCCTGCAGCTTTAGGTTGAACTGGTTTATACTCACAAATGAGAAAATGAAAGTTACTTTTACTTTTTAGTGACACCAGGGAGGAATGCTCAAATAGAGGGTTTTATTCATATATGTGTAATTTGATAATTTTAAAATTCAGATCATATTCATGTAGTGTAACTGATGTACTGTTAGGCATCAACTTGCCTCTTCCACAGTCAGTGTTATTCCAGCTTGCATATTCATGTTTCGGAGCGTCCTTAAGCTGATCGTTTCAACAATTTCTTGCGGCATCCTTGTGTACAATAGAACAAGTCACTATACTAACTGTAATATAAGCTTTCTCCAGCCTCTCTCTCTCCTTTCTGGGCTGAGACTGAACTGAACTGAGCACCAACCTGGAACAGTACACACACACAATAACAGATTATTATTGTCATTATTATTACCATTATTATTATGATCATCACTCCCTAATCTAACATGGAATCGGATATTACACTGACTGACTGACATGCAGCACCTCGGGGTCGGGGAGTGGAGGGTCTCAGGAGGGGTCAGGGGTATGGGTACGGGGGGGGGGGGGATATTTGGGAGCACCAAGCAACGCAGGGATGATGATGTCACGTCCTGCGGCACCGTGGGAAGCCTGATGGAAACAGGCGGCCGGCAAAAACACAGTGTGTATGTATGTATGTGTTTGTGTTGTAAGGAAAAGAGAAGCGCGAGAGTCGGCACTGTGTTTCCAGCAAATGTGTGTATGTGTGTGTTTAACCTGCAAACGCACTGTAAAAAAGAGCAACGTTTAAAAAGCACCTGAAGGTTGGTTGTATAAACAGAGAGTAAACATGATGGAAAAAAGTTTGAACCTGCTGGTTTATTGTTGGTTATTGTAAATGTTTGTGCACGTTCATACTGCATGTTTGCATGTGTTAGTGTGTTAGTGTGTGTGTGTGTGTGTGTGTGTGTGTGTGTGTGTGTGTGTGTGTGTGTGTGTGTGTGTGTGTGTGTGTGTGTGTGTTTGCATGTGTCCAGTCGTTAGCTGGTATCTGAGGAAGGTCAGAGTATCGGAAGGCTTCCCGGAAAGAGATGGCCGCCTGAGGGCCAAAAGCACCAGAGATGTTTTCTCTAAAGACAGCCCTGTCTAAAAGTGTCTGTGTGTGTCAGAGTCTCTCAAACATCTTCATTCATCTTTCTCTGCTTATTCCCACCTCAAAGTCAAAGAGCGGCTGAGTTTATCCCAGCATGCATTGGGCAAAAAGGCAGAAGAAACACTAAAGTCTGTTTAGGACTGTTTCTGCATGAGTGGGCTATTTGAAAAAACAGACAGTGTCTGCAGAGTTCAGGTTCTGATTTACAGGACAGCTGGAAACTGCAACCTAACTATAGATCAAGTATAACTCTTGGAGATTTGGGATCCCTCTGAAGCAACTTATAGAAGCAAAACTGCAAAGCACTGACTGGTAGACTGAAGGGTGTATTTGCACCATAGTTTGATGTTACAGTGATGAAAGGAGGACATTTAGGATCCCTGACATAAAGGAGGAGCACATCTAACGAGGGTCCTCCTGACAACATCCTGATCAATTTTGCACCAGTGATTGAAGAAAAAAAAAAATTTTGGTGGATCAACAAAAGAAGCTGTCAAGTGACTTCAAAGATTCAGACTTAATTCCCCACTGATGCACTTTTGATTTAAAAGCCTCTCTGAGAGAGAACATAAACTCCTAAAGAGTCCGTTAATGATATTTAGAGGCAGAGCTGCTCTGGGGGGAGGAATAATCTCAAAGGATGACTTCAAATGGTTCAGAGGAAATACACCAAGATTGATTTTGTTTTGGAGCTGGTTCTTTGGGGACAGAAACCTCTTTTGTTTTGCCAAATTGGATGTAAAGAAATCCAGTTTCTCTTTATCTCTAAAATGTAGAGATGGGTGAAAGGAGATTAAGTTTTGAGAGGAAAAAAGATGATTTCACCATTTAGATGGAGAGGGTACTTGTTGAGATACTGGTTAGTTATAAATGTAATACTTAGGGAATTCTCAAGAGCTTGAACCTGTATTTAAAAATAGGCACAAAAACTGGGGGATCAATTGCTATGAATAGAGTTTGTTCAACCATACAATTTTCACAAACTCAGATGCAAACACTAATGTCAATGTAAGTGAACACTATATCAGTGCATGACTTCCCAAAAACGTCTTGGTTTTTACACTGATTGCAAATCCAAGTCCGCCTCCGCCAGCAAAACTTATGGAGCTGTGGACAAACTTTAGAAATTGATTACACAGAACATACATTTTTCTCCCCGCTGCATGTGATGTTGACATGTAGTTACAGTAAGACTGGTTTGTGCTCAAATCCTCTTTTTTCTGTGAAGCTCCATTTTTAAAAGTTATTAGAGGGTTCAGGTTTTCTTTGATTGACACCTGATACAGCCTATTGGCGTTCAGGGATTGTGTAGCTCACGCTGTTTGAGCCGAGCGTCATCACAGCGACTCTCCAGCTGAATGCGCACAACGCTACTGTGCAGCGCTGGTTTCAGGAAATTAAGAAAAATCCTGGAAATACCAAGAGCTTTTTGGCTTCAAATCCGTATACAGGCGGGAGGCGGAACAAAGTTGTCCATAGTATATACAGTCTAAAGCGCATTGAGGGTCTCTGATAAAGCGCTATAAAAAATCTCGTGCAAAAATCCTGATCATTATTACTTGATTGATACTGAGATCACAATTAATAAAAACTCATGATTTGACATATGCTACACACACATTCACACTTTTAAAATCTCTTTAACACTTAAAAACTCTTAAATCTGTGAAAAACTAATAATAAGAAAAAAATGTTGAGTGCGACAAGGATGTAACGAGGGCATAAAGATCTTGCTTGGAAACGCCAGCATGTAAGCACCTATACAGACACACACCATCCTCCTCCTGCTCCTCTCTCCTCCTGACAGCTCTAGAATGAGTTCACAACATGTCGCACAAAATTCGTGCCAATCCACATTTCGTTTAGCCTCTGACGGGGTCATTGGCCTAACTTTAAAAAACTTCTCAACCTGAAGTGTTAGGGGACATGATAGTTCTGTAACTCATCTTTAGAGCATTAATGTTGTTGTAAGGGCCTAATGAGATGGATTTCTTCACCGAGCGCTTATCCTTTTCATGAGTGCATTTAAAAAATTAAACAAAGGCACACCAGAGTTAACCATGCTGAATGAAAAGACTGCTTCACACCACAGTGGTGCTTGTCGTCTTGGCAGGATGATTTTTAGAGCTGCAAGTCATTTAAAAAGATGCCAACTTTAAGCTTATAACAGTGGCATCTTTCTTTACATCTCACTAAAATGAACATATTACATATTTTATGTTTGGTTCAGTTATATAGGACATCTTATTTGCAACTGTTTCAACACAGACTCATTTCAGAGTCTTTTAGCAGCTGTAATACATGCAGAACAAATAGAACATGTGCAATGCATTACATGTTCAGTACAGCCTCAATCGCTCAGCCAACCTTTCTGTTCAATCACTGCCTGAAAATCCCAAAGCGCACCAAGAAACATGACATGAGTGTATGTCTGATTGTTATTGGAGTTCCAGCTCTACATTTGTGTAAGCTCCAAGTTTTTTTAAAAACAACTTTATCCTGTCTTTTTTTGGTAGATGTTTCCTTAATCCTGTGGTAGGCAAAAAAGGATTGTTCTACCCTGACATGAGCGTGTGTCCTTGTTGTGTCCTGTCTCTCTCTCTCTCTGAGCCGTTTAGAACAGAACACAGTGAAACAGCTTTGTTTCATCACGCAACACAGTGCTGCCATAATCTCCCAGATGATATAAGACGAGCTCCTGATGCTGACAGCTTTTTAACTGAAGCAAAAAAAGGTCCTACTTTTCACAGCATACTCAACATAGAAGAGAAATTAAACTAACCTCAAAGTTGAACTTGTTCATCTGCTCTCATGTTGCTCTGTCATTATGGTCCTGTTAAATACGTTCAATCATGCTCGTGTATAAAATGTGTAGAATAAATCAAGTTTGCATGTTTAGCCTTGGTGCTGCTTCTGCCCCCTAGATAGTGCCTTTCACCACAGTGTTGACTCAAAATGTCTTTTCATTGTGGTGCATAAAAAATTCATAGTGTATACTTACATACAAGAATTCATTCATACATACATACACACACAGATAAGATATTCCTATATAATTTCCACAGGGGGAAATTCCAAATTTACAGCAGTGATAAATAGAAAAGAAAAATTAAAGGATGGAAAACTTAAAAAAAAGATGTGTGTGTTTGCATGTATATGTGTATATATATATATATATATATATATATATATATATATATATATATATATATATGCTTGTCTAAAATTATGGATTTGGGAAAGAAAGCATCTGCATTCCAAAAATGATGCAAATGTATGCTGCTCATAGTTTTTACTGGCATGTGCATTTCTTAACATTTTTGTAATGCTTTACTTACAAGAAAAAAATGCTTTAGGGTTACACTGTACATAAAAGATTCTCTAAATTGTAATAAATTGTCCTATTTTGCATTTTATGTTAAATTAAGTGCACCCTCATTCTCTTCTTTGAAAGCAGGTCTTGGTGTAGCCCCTCACCCAAAACAGCTTGATGTTGTGACTCCTGCAAAGATTAATGTTGGACTGCTTTATCTTTAACATGTTGTGCAACAGCAATACAAAATATCAGGCAGCGACAGGTGGAGAGAGGAGAGCAGGGAGAACAGGAGAGCACATCTGTGTGTGTGTTTCTGAAAAGCCATGAGCACGATAAGAGAGGATGTAGTGACCGTAAACGTGCACAAGCAAATGACTGCTAGGCGAAAAAATGACAGACATCATTCTTCATCATAATAAAATACAACGTTACACAAATAAAAGCTACATAAAATCTTGAAAAGACTTGAAAAGGTTGTTAAATCTGCAACCTTTAAGAAATGTAAGCTGTAAAAAAAACTCACTAACAATAGGGTAAGAATAACTTGATTTAATGAGTGTTACTACCAAAATTAAGCCAAAGCTCTTAAAGTGAAGTGAATAGTTAAGTGAAGACTTTTGCCTTTAAAAAATCGAGATCATCTCATTTGACACACAGACATGTTAAGGCAATTATTAAGGGTTGGCTCAACTGTTTTTTACAGTGTTATTTAAGAGCTTTTAAGTTGCAAAAATAAGTTTGATACTGATGTAAATTCATGAGTCATCGATTTAAAAAAATCCTGATATCAATATCAACCAAAATAATGTTGATTAGATTTTTTGCCATAATCAAGCAGCCTCTGTAAGTACCATTTAATGGGCAGTGGAAAAAGCCAAATATGTAAGAATAAAGTTAGATATTGATGGTGTAACCTTAGAGAGTTATGGTCAAAGCAGAGCTATTTGTGAGTTTATTTCTTTGTGTTATTGTTGGTCTAATTTAGGGTACGGAGTGAACATCAGAATGTGGAGCAACTTGGTTTTGCTAACACCTCAAGGCGATACAAGCATTATTAAGTTTGTCCCTCTAAAGGCATTAAAAGGAATGAGCACAGGGCAGATGCAAGGGCAAAGATGAAGAAATGTCCTCGTTGTTGAGATTTACAAATGAATCAAAAAGGTTTTCTTTGGTTACTCAAATCATTTCTACCTCCAGAGCAGCATTAACAAACGGTTTTGGCTTCATGCCTAACCTAACCCTGGCTGTATTTGATATAATAGAGAGGAAATATTCCTGTAGTTTGCCTGCCTCCCCTGCTCGGTGTTTCCTCCACCTGCTCATTAGCATTTGGTTGAACTCAGTCCTCGTCCAGAGTCCGTTCAGTCCCAAAGAGCACCAAAATCAGTGAAAGTATTGTATTAAAGTTGCACCATTTGGACTCTGTCACTGCCTGACCAGCACCATGAACGTTTAACTGGTGTGTGTGTGGGTGTGTGTCTGTGTCTGTGTGTGCGTGTGTGTGTGTGTGTGTGTGTGTGTGTCTGTATATCTGTGTTGATTGCATGTTTAACACTGTCAGCACTGTCACTACACATGAGTAGAGTGTTAGCGTTAGTTTACACTTCTCAGAGATTCCTTGGTGTGTTGTTGTGTTTGGGTGTTGTTGCAAACAGAAAGTCTGGACTTCTGGAGGTTTTGGTCTCCAGCTGCAGAAGACACCATTTTCAAGATTGGACAGGAAGATTGTGTGTGAAGAAATACAGTACAGAGATCTGCACCAGTGTGTCTAAGTTTGGATATCTGCAAGGTAGCACCAGGGGACTGAGGTCAGCCAGTGGTCTACATGGGGTCAAGGGAAGCAGTCCTTTACAGGGTGTGTGTTTGTTTGTTAAAATGTGTGTGTGTTCGGTCGTCTTTGTCATCCTGCATCAGCCAACCTTCATGTACTCGCTGGAACCTGTGTGTGTCTGTCTTTACTTACTGTACTTACTGTGTGTGTGTGTGTGTGTGTCTGTTTGTCTGTCTGTGTGTGTGTGTGTGTGTGTGTGTGTGCGTGTGTGTGTCTGTGTGTGTATATATGTATATATCTGTGTGTGTTGGAGAGACAGAGGGTTGGTGGTGTGTGTGTGTGCCTGTGTCTGTGTGTGACTAGTTGCAGGCAAAGTACTCCTTGAGCGGAGCGAAGAGGTGTCTGATGACGGGGACACTCCAGGAACGTCCCAGCAGCCTTTGTCGGGCCAGACGACTCATGTTGGAAACATCGGTGTAGTGGACGGGGAAACCAAACACCCTGGAAACACACACACACACACACACACACACACACACACACACACATAACTTTTAGTTCCTCTTTGAACAGGATGAAAGTCATCTGCAACACAGCTGGAGCAAACAATTAGTGATGAATTGAAACAGAGATTATAAGTTATTGTTCAAAGCATCACTAAAGCATTACATTTACCAATACAATCTTCCCTTTCCTGCTTTTTCTATCATAAGTTTGAATGTTTTGACTCCAGGTTAGTAAGAAAGAAGCTCAATCAAAGACATATGCGTTGGTGCTTTACAGACCACTTCCTCATATTTCATACATTAAAGAGTTAATTATTCCTCTGTGATGTTAACAGCTGCCAATCACAGCCTAAGCTTAGCTAAAAAAAACAATCTTGGACCTGACCAACGTCAAAGAACTTCATGTAGGATGTTATTTCCAGTTTTTCTTGCTGGAATAAGTGCAGGAACACGTCTAAGTGCAAACCCTCACCTTTAAACTGGGGCTATCAGTGTTAAATGTGTCAATCCCAATGCAATAAAGATCAGGAATCAATACTTCTTTTTGACAGTTACACCCTATTTTGTCCCTTTAAGCACACTGTTGTTAAAGGTGGGGTAGGCAGGATTCTGCCAAAATACTGGCAGATCCTCAGATCCTGCCTACTCTATCTTGAAGCATCGGAGTGTCTTCCTGCTTTCTGCTGGAAAACAACAACATCATCACTGCACTGGATGGCATATTTCATGAAGAAAACCTGTTGAACTTCTCCATTTCAAGTCAAACTTTGAAGGTTTTTTGTGCCAGACTGAATCACAATATTTGGCCCAAGTATTTTAAATTAAAGCAGCAACCTACAAGCTCAGCACAGACTGATGTCAGCGGGCAGCAGCATCACCAAAGCCCAGAAGAAGACGGTTTTGGAGCGTGCAGATTGCTGCAGACATGTGGATCAAACTACATTGCTTACCAAATGGGAGGCAGCTAGAAATTATTATTACTACTATTATTATTTTTGTCCTTTCAATTGGGGGAAGTTCTCCATGTTTTCTCAGGCTGTTTGTCCGAATTTAGGAGTAAAAACTGTATCTGTTGCTCCAGAAACGTCTGTTTTTTTTGGACATTAAGGTTACCTACAACAAGGTTATACACACACGACATAAAGAAAATGGGTGTGAGTCAATCAAACATTAAGAAAGCACAAAATCAAGTACTACTATAAGGCTAGAAATGCACTTCTCCACTACTCCATTTGTAAAATTTTGAACAAGCAACAAAACGAAGTAAGAGGAACTCACACAAACACAACTACACACACACAACAGCGTACCTCTCCATCTCGGTACACCAAAGGATGTCCTCCTTGTTGTCCATGTAGACGGGGAAGTGCTCGTCTTTCCCCTGCTTCACAGAGTTGGAGCGTGTCGTTATCGTACGCAACTTCTCAAACTGGAATTAACATCCAGAGCAAAACACACACACAAACACAGACAGACACACACACAAACAAACAAACAAACACACACACACACACACACACAGATCCTTATTTAATCCTACAGCTGTTTTGTAAAAGCAGCTTTTTATGATTCATCATGATTTAAAGACAACCAGTGGTGAAAACTGAGCGAGGGTATTGACTCCTGACTGTTCATATTTCAGACTAAGGTTGACTACAACACATTATATTTAACAAATCCACACTCATGTGTTGTTGAAGGTGGAGACTTGATTGTTTTTGTAGGTGCATCCATGAGATTTGGATGCCTTTATTAAATATTTTTACTTGAAGAGGAAGTCTTGAAATGTCTTTTATTATGGTTCAACGGTGACATAGATGCATTTCCTCTGCTGTACTTTAATAATGAGCTCACAAGAGGAACATATATTAGTTGATTGTTATCTCCAATTCAAAGTCATCCCAGCTATTGCCTTTAAATTCGCATCACTTCAGTAATTGACAACATTTCTATCAGCTTTAGTGAATTTTTCAGACTTTGGTCAAACGATTCAACATTTTTCCAAAGATCACACAGAGTACAGCATAACTTTTAATTCTTTCCACATTTGACTCCCCTTGCTCAGCTTTCACACCACTGCTCTAAAAGTAAAGTACGAGTGATCAGGAGCACACACACTCACATATACACTCTCTCTCTCTCTCTCTCTCTCTCTCACACACACACACACACACACACACACACACACACACACACACACACACTCGCAAAGATACCTTTGCTGTGCGTCCATGCTCCAGACACTCCTGTAGGTCCAGTTTGTCGTTCGCCATGGGTGTTAGAGGTCTGAGATTACACATGGCGGACCAAAAATAACCAAACAAACATGAAATTAATAATCTGCACAAGGTCTGAAGTGTTCTTTTATAAGCATTTGATTTATGAAGATTTAACTTGTGATCAAATCACCTGGACATGCCCGGCAGGTTTCCCCAGAAATAGCGAGCACGGTGGGCAGCAGACACCTCCTTGGCATCTATCATGACGGGATTACACTGAAGAAAAACAGCAGGGTTAAGTTTAGCTCAGTCACTATAACCATCTTTTGTTCGTGGTAATGTAAAACTGTAGGTCTGTGAGCATATCCTTTCATGATTCAAATAGTAGGAGTTTTACATTACAAGAAAAAGCTTTTCTAAAACTATAAATCCTGAAATGTCTGCTCATGAAAAATAAATATTAAAGGTATATTCTGGCATAAAAATTAAGTGAAGGTCAAAAACACCGTAACACTAAGTTAGACACCCCTCCAAGAGATGAATGTTGCTTTTCTAATTATACCAACTTTAGTAACAACTGCAAGATAACAATACACAGCGGTCTATGGCTCCACGCACACACCTCAACCAAAAAGCCACTCTATAGCCACAAATAATGCTCAGAACAGCACCTAACTTCGTCAACAGTACATATAGGCTCCCAGCCATAGTGCTAGCCATCAAACATCTTTTTAACTTTGTCTGATTTCTTTAGCAAAGAGACTAAACACAACTCACCCACTCTCCTCCAGCAGCTGCTTGTTTGTGAGGGAGCCATGAGTGCAGCGAAAAATTTATGATTATTACTTCAAGTAAATGCAATCAATGCAATCAGACTGAGACGCTACGGCAGAAGAACTTCCGCATCTACAGTGCACACACAAGATACACAAGAATTCTGATTGCATTTTCATCAATTAATAATCGTAATGTTCTTCCTTGAGCTGCGAAACGCCACTGCACTCTGCAATTGCGCAAAGCTACAAAGATGTTTGGTGGCTCGTGCTGTGGCTAGGACCCTACTGCTGATGAAGGTAGGTGCTGTTCTGAACATTATTTGTGGCTTTAGAGTGGCTTTTTGGTTGAGGTTTGTGCATGGAGCCATAGACTGCTGTGTATTGCTATCGTGTGGTCTAAGTTGGTATAACTAGAGAAGCAAGCAATCGGCAACATTTATCTCTTGAAGGGGTGTCTAACTCGGTGTTAAGGTGGGTTTGACCCTGACTTAAATTTATGCAGGAATATCCCTTTAAGCACTGTAATGAGGAGGAGAACTGAAGAACTTAGACCAATAAAGAGTCTCAAACTCGCTCCCCTGCTGGTGCATTCAGGGTACCTCTAAAAAGCGGGAGATGTCCCGTTTGTCACTAACTCCCATGGCGACCACGTTCTCAAACAGCCAGAAGAACGGTCGCTCATCGCCCAGCTTTGGTCTGGCCTCATGCAGCAGACGGTAAAACTCAAAAAACAACCGCCCTGTTCCCTCTGCAGGAGAGAGAGAAGGTTCAGCCTCCAGATAATGCATCACAAAGAGTTATATCTTACAGGACAGTAAAGTAGGCTCCTGAAGATTTGTAGTCCCTGAGGTGCATTTTTCTTTTTTTTTCTTTTTTTAAATGCTCCCTTCAGGCTCTTATCTTTGGAAATGTATCTCCCGAACTACAATCAAATACTTTGTTGAAACCTAGCCAGAGTTAAAGAAATCATGTTACCAAAGAGGCCTTTTCTTGCAGGGTTGACTATGGAGAGGTCGTTGCAGGGGCTTCCCCCAATCACCAGGTCGAAGGGTCCCCACTCCTCAATCTAACACAGAAAAACAACATGAGTTCACAACCTGATGGGAAAAAAGTGCTTCAGAAGAGACAGTAAATTTAATGAAAGTTGGTAATCTTATCAGCAGAGCAGGAGTTTCACTCACGTGTTTGTGTGTTATGTTGCGAACGTCGCCAACGTACATGATGCGACCCTGATGTCGGACCATGCCGACAGTGATAGAGTCCTCGCACACCTCAGACGCAACGTATTTGTCCACTTGGATGCCCAAATCCTTCAGCACCAGCAGACCTGAGTATACAAAAATACAAAAAAAATACACACTTAACCATGAAACAATCAGAGTGATCAAACTCCATCTGTGAACATACAAAACTACAGAATCACTTAGGCTCAAACTCTTCAAACTTTTTCAGAGTTAGGGTTGTTAAATTAAGTCAGACGTATGGAAACATGTTTGAGTAAGACCCTAATTTTTGCTTGATATTATACATGAGCCAGCATTTTTCTAAGGACTTAAAATTTTTAATAACTTGTTCGAACTTTTTCTTCCTTTATTTAATTTAGGTCCCATTTCAAGTTAAGTAGATGACAAAGTAAGGTTGGCCTCTTGGTCCAAAAAACAGTACCTGGGCTAGTTTTTCTGACTGATCAACATTGTCTACCAGAGAAACAGGACAATGGATTATGAAATGAATCTGTAGCTGTGACCTTGAACATACTCTGAGTACCTGTGGCAATGCCGTCAAACAGGGAGAGGACTCGGATTGGTTGTCTCTTTTCTGCAGCAACTGGAGGATACAACTTTGCTGGCTCCTAAAAAAAAAAAGAGTTAAAAAGAGAAAGATGAGATATTGACAAAACAAAATCAAAAACTTACTTAACATGACAGACTGAATAGAGAAATCAGAGAGCAGTGATGATGATGATGATGATGAGCCAGTCTTTGGATAAATGTCTGCTTTAAAAGCTGGAATAAATGAGTGTGAACATGTTCTGTTTTGATCTGTATTAGCTTTCATTGATAATTAAAGCGTAACAAGCCCTGAAGCAGAGGCCTCATTAACCCCAGCACATTAATGATTCTATTTAACTGTGATGTAACTTAGCCGATATGTCTTGGAGGGCTATGGCAGCAGAGTAGATACAGGGTTTCTGATGTATCAGATTTACTTACAGCACCATGTCTGGACTGATAAAAAAGTATCTGAGTTACTATGAGAGAAATCAGGGTTGGTCTAATACTGTAGATGTTTTAGAGGGAGTCTGAATTCAGGAGAGGAATAGTCCTTAGGGGTGAAATGAGATATGTCAGATGTTAGAGGTCTCAGAAAACATGTACTCCAATCTAAAGCAGATTTACACAAGTCTTTCTGATGGTTACTAATATGCTACAAATTGGAGGTATTCTTTCTGTATTTGTTGTTTTATATATTATTTATTCAATACATACAAATTCCTGTTCGTGGTTGTTGGCAAAGAAGTGCTGTAGTCTGCTGGGCCAGTCATCTCGTCGCCGCAGTAACCCATAGGTGCTCCGGGGGCCACACATGTAACAGTTCCAGGGGTCTTCTTCGATGGCTGCTGCTGCCGAACCAGCTCCGACCAGCAGATCCACACACTCCACACAGAAACACCTACACACACACACAGAAATCATGAGACATGGTGGGTTCAGTATATTCATGTTTGTCCTGCTACAGGATTTGAAACAGATAAGATGCAAAGTTTCCCTAAAGAATGCTTCCTTAACTGTTGCACTTTTGTGAAATCCTCAAATTTCAAACATCAGTTACACTGATATGAATATAATTGCCATCTTTTTTTGGTGGGCATACAGAGGGAAAAGGTTTAAAGATGTGTTTCTATTTCCGGTAACATCTGTTATCATCGATGGAGTTTTGGTTGCGTTTGTTGTGCTTCCTGTTTTGGCCAGCTTACTTTCTGATTGTCCATCATTCTTTTTCAAAGGGCAACCACAGAGCGAATGAACATGTCCAACATGAGATTTCAAATCTAGGCATACACGCTACAGATAAACCCAACAAGATCATGTCTAGAACCATCAAAGCCAACATCTTGAGAAAGTCTGTCAGCATCCTTAGATAACGGCTCAGTTTTGGAGATATTCTCTCTGCATATTAGGAATAAACTCCCCTTATTTGTAGACACAGTAAGTGACTCAAAAAGTGTTTTTTTTATATTTAATGAAAGAAGTTATATGGTAATTACAAGTTAATGCATATGGGGTTTAACTTGTGACAAGTATGTTAATTCCAAATGATCTTAAACACAGAATTTTCCTCATTACAGATAAGAATAAGAAGAATCTTTTTAATCCCCAAAGGGAAATTCAGATGTATGTTGTCTCACATAATATGTCTCTAAAAGTTATCTACTATTTACACAAGAGTTATAAAGTCTGATGGCTGTTGGTACAAAAGATTTTCTGAATCTTTCTGTCCTGCAGCTACAACTCTGGGAGCTGTCACCTCCAGAAGTTCTCTGATGACACAGCCATCGTCGGATGTGTATCGTCAGGGGATGAGCGGGAACTACAGGACTGTCATCACTGACTTTGTCAACTGGTGTGGCACAAACCACCTCCAGCTAAACGCCAGTAAGACAAAGGAGATGGTTGTGGATTTCCGCAGGAGGGGGACACCTCAGACTGTTCCAGTGAACATCCAGGGTCTGGACATCGAGATGGTGGAGTCCTACAGATTCCTGGGTGTCCACCTCAACAACAAACTGGACTGGTCAACAAACACAGATGTTCTGTACAAGAAGGGCCAAAGACGTCTCCACCTGCTGAGGAGACTGAGGTCCTTTGGAGTGTGCAGGACTCTGCTCAGGACTTTCTATGACTCTGTGGTAGCATCTGCACTTTTCTATGCAGTGGTCTGCTGGGGGGCAGGGAGCACCGAGAGGGACAGGAAGAGACTGAACAGAGTTGTCAGGAGGGCCAGTTCTGTCCTGGACTGTTCTTTGGACTCCCTGGAGGAGGTGGGTGAGAGGAGGATGTTAACAAAGCTTGTATCCATCATGGACAATCCCTCTCACCCACTGCACCAGACTGTGGGGGCTTTAGGCAGCTCCTTCAGCAGCAGACTTAGACTCCCACCTTGCAGGACGGAGCGCTACCGCAGGTCATTCCTCCACTCTGCAATAAGACTTTACAATGAACTGTAATAATAACTGGATTTACACCACCACTTTTTTCTGGCATCTAAATTGTGTATATTGTAGATAGTTTTATTTTTCTTTCCCTTTTTCCTTTTTCTAAATTTTTTCTTAATTATTACATTTATTTAAGTTCTTAATATAATGATCTTTATTTTTATAACTGCATTTTTGCACTCCTTGTCTGTGATGCTGCTGTGACAAAAAAATTTCCCCCATGGGGGATCAATAAAGGAATATTCTATTCTATTCTAAGAGAGAGGAGCCGTCCACCACCATTGGCCCTTTGGTCCATCAAGGTGTTGTGAAGTGGGTGATCCATGTTCTTGAGAATAGTCTCCACCTTCCTCAGTGTAGATCTCTCCACCACATCCTCCACTGAGTCCAGCTTGAGTCCTACCACAGAGCCAGCCTTTTTCACCAGTTTGTTAAGACGTCTTGCATCTTTGTGTTTGATGCTTCCTCCCCAGCAGACTGCAGCATAGAACAGAACACTTGCCACCACAGACTGATAAAACATCTGCAGCGTCTTACTACAGATGTCTATTGATTGGAGTCTTCTCAGGCAAAAGAGGCGGCTTTGCCCCTTTCTGTAGATGAAGTCGATATTAAATCTATTAAATCTATTATATATATATATTATTTAAAACACCTTTTAAGTCTAGATTAAATCCACCCTGTCACTTTGCCTCTTTCTCCCGCTCAGCATAACTCTCAGTATCTCTTGTGATTTTTGCAGTGATTGAGTCAGAGTTTTGGAGCCAAAATAAACTTTCTATCTGCATAAGTAAATCTCCTCCACACTAGCTGGCTAACTTAACTGCCAATAAAAAGAGTCATTTATCCATCCAACGTTTATGGTTGGATTGCTTATGCTGATGTGAAATCTAAAACTTCACCCTGGCCACAAAGAGAGGCGCCCGCTGTTCGTCAATCCCAGCCTGGACAGTGTAAAATGGAAGTAGACTGACCTACAGCAGTTGTTGTTTCCACACATGAGCACTTCCCTGCCTCCACAGCAGATGGTGCAGTAGGACTGGTAGCCATCGTCGTCGTACTGGTACGCACACTCAAGGAATGAGTTCTGAGAGGGATACAGAGCAGAGAACCTCTGTGATCAAATCCTGTGTTTCTTGTTGTGTTTGCTGAGTTTGTTTTTGTGCATCTGTGTCAAACTTCACCAGCATTTAACCAACACTTTGCAATGTTTTTTGATGCTTTCAAAATAGACAAAAGAGGCAAATTTATGCCTAATGTTTGGTCCTGTAATTCTAAGATAGTGCTGTGAACAGAAACAAGTAGACGTAAATTAAGATTGAAGAAAGGCACCTGGAATTTAAACTCTCTGTTAGCTCATAAAAATAGAACGTGTTGCAGTCTGAGTCTGCGGACAGGGGTGTTTTGGTGCATGTGTTTACATTCAGTCATATGCTGCCTGAAATCAATATCAAAAATCCATTTAAAAACCTTTACAGAATACTGTGTGAGTTCTATGACTGCCTTAAATGTTCATGTTTTTAACTCTGACTTCAACAATATTGTGTATATTGTAAGATTATGTCAACAAATTTTAATATCTGGGTGTTTTTTTTGAATGCATATTTAATCAGTAAACCCCCTAAAAGTGATCATAGGTGTAGCAGCAGGAGCAGGAGCAGGAGCAGCAGGATTTCTAAGAGTCTAAATGTGGCCAAAGAGCAACTTTCATAAATAAACCTTAAAATACCTCATTTTCAAATCATCATTCTACAATTATACCATTATAATCATACAACATTATTGCCTAACTCAGAAACAGGTTTCTGCAAAGTGCCTTACTTTGCAGCCCTGGCACATCGCTCCGCCGAAGAGAGGATGCTCCAGAGAGACGTTAAGGCTTCCACAGGAGATGCAGATATCTGAACAAACACATATGCAGTCAATAAAAGTGTAAAAGACACAGCTCTATAAGACCAAATTCAAAGGTGCAGGTAGGACTTTACTGCTTGTAAGCCTTGATTGATGGTGTGTATGATCAGTAACAAAGATTGAGTAGTCCCCTGGCCAGGCGCAGTGATTTGTAACTTTATATTTACTTTTCGGCTCATAATCTATTTTGGATGCCTGGGCCCTTACACCACAGCATCAGTGAATGATTATTGTTGTTCTTGCTGCATAAATGAATCGGCTAAATGCCACAATATGTTAACAAGATCTAGAATTGGATTGCAGAGATGTTTGGCCCTGAGCGAGAGAAGAACTGAGTGAACCCTAAATTTGATTTACGGTTTCAGCAATGTAATTTTGGTGGGACTCCCTGACTGATGCAGAATGAATGAAAAATGACCCTGACCTGCTGTTTTTCTATGTCAAAAGTTAAAACATGTAAATGATCATCAGTATATTTTGTTAAAGATGGCTTTTTGGAGGATGACACCAAATCCTGTCTAAAAAAAGGAATTAATCCTACTATCAGTGCAAAATGGACCACAACTTTTTTATAGGGGGAAACTTACTCTCATATTCATACTGTATATCTACCTTATAAACTAGAGCAAAGACAACATGATAGATGTTGAAACTGAATCATGTTATTGTTTTATGAAAGATAAATGCTAGTTAAGAATTTGATGGGAGCAACACCTTTCAAAAATTTGAGAAAAATGAAAGCAAAACACTGTAAAAGTGGTGTTACGTTGAAAAAAAGGAACATCTTCTGACTAATTCAGTTGATTTGGTGTCTGTTAATAACTTTACTAAGTGTATAAAAGGTATTCAAGAGAGGCTGAGCCACTCTGAAAGAAAGATGAGTGTTTGTGTGTAATTAGATTAACATTTTCAGAATAGCACTCCAGTGTAAAACTGCAAAAAAATGGAAGTGCATCATTTACAGTTAATGATATCATAAAAAAGATTCAGAGGATCTGTGTGCAACGTGGACAAGACTTTAAAACCAGTATGAATGTCCATTATCTTGTGGCTCCTAGGCAGCACTGTGTCAAATCAGACAAACTCTGCAGTGGAAATCCCTGAATGGGCTTAAACAACTCCCAAAAACCATTATCTATGAACACAGTTTGATGCTGCATCCACCATTGTGGGCTTATGCTACCCCAGAAATTCTATCCAAACATGACCGAGGACCCAAGACCATTTGGGATGGACTGAGGTGAGGTTGAGAACTGTCCTGTGATCTGATAAATCAAAACTTGACATTCTTCTTGGAAATTATTGTCACTGTATCTTCTGCTCTCCTCTGAGTAATACATAGCTTACACATTTGGGAAGGTACCTTTAATGCTGAAAAGTACACAGATTTTGGAATATATGCTGCAATCTGGACCAATTTCAGAGAAGATGTTGCATATTTCAGAGAGACAATGCCAAACTACATTCTGCATGTATTACAACTGCAAGAGTCCTGCCCCAATCTTGTCTTACAATTAATGAAAACAAGGCATTTGTATAATTCACGCCCTATGTTGAAGACATAATTAATATTTCACTGCTTTATTCAAAGATCACATTTCAGGAAGAGTGACAACAAATTAAACTTTTACCTTCTATGTTCCTGATCTTCTTTTTGATCTCATATATGAGTCTTTCTGAAACAAAACACACACAGAGAAAACATCAACATGCAAGTCTGAACTTGTAGAAATACACAAATTTCAATAAATCTTCAGTAGCTTCCAAAAGTCATCCACCTCAAGATCTTAGATGTTACACTTTTGAGGAAGAACTGCCTTATTTTTTATTTTTTTTTAGCTCATTTTACCTTTTGTACTGGAATTGGCCAAAACTCTAAATGTTTTACTCACACTTCAAAGGTTCAACATCAGCTAGTACCCAAAGCTTCAAATAATGACCCAGTCTGAGCAGGAAAAGAGAAATTCAGGCTTTTGTTTCAGTATAAGCCTGTCTAATGCTTGTCCACACTGACCCAAAGCACAGCTCTCAACCTATTTCTTTGTATTTCCACATTTTCTCAGAGGAGAAGATCTCACTTCCTCCTCCACATGCAGACTTTTTCTAACAAATAAATACAGAGTCCAGAGTTTCTTTGGAGTATGAGCAGCTCCAGCTTACCTCTGGTCCCTTCGTCGATCACCTCTCTGATCTTTGCTTTTTCAGTTGAGTTCTTTCGTGGTTTCTTCGCAGGTGGAGGCGTGTACGCCGCCTCAGGTTCTGCCCACATCTCTTGGTACATTTCCTTGTATGAATTTTGTTCACCTATAGGGATAAACGACAGTGATAGTGATTTTTAATATTGTAAGGCTGTGGAGTTAGTGATTGAACTTTCTGTAGACCAGACAAAGTCACTAGTCTTCAGTCTTTTGTTGCATGAGAAACAATTAGCAGAACAAAACTTGGTCACAGCTAGCAGCCAAGGTAGAAAATTGTGATTTAGTGAAATGTATTTAACAAAATAAAAGTGTGGGGAAGTGTCTGCTCAGCTATGAGTCTCTGCTGCATGTGCTCCACAGTGCTGAGAGTAGGGCTGTATGATTTTGGCCATAAACAAATTCCAGATTTTTTCTCTGAAAACTCAATTTTTGATTTAGATTTTTTTATTCAGTGACAACTTCATCAAACTTTACTTTAATAAAAAGTTTTCCTATTATCTCTCAAAATGAAACCACTGAAAACAATGTAGTGCATATGCCAAGCCAGTAAGTGGCACTGTAACACTGCTGAGGACATGCACTAAAGACAGAAGAAGAGTACAGGGCATGCATATAAAGTTTGTTTTGGTCAGGCATGCAGAGGCACCATAAAAGAGTTGCGCTGTGTGTCACATAATCGTTTCAAGAGAGATGCAGGTAGGCATCCACACAGAGATAAAATGGTAGTCCTTTACAGGTTTACACAATCTCTGACCCGTTTTCAAAAAGTACCGTTTACAGTCACCCTAAACACTGTTTTTGTGTGGATTAAATGCCAATACGACAAAAAAAATTGCGTTTATTCCTGAATTAGTTTCTGTACGGATGGGTTGATACCGCTTTCAGACAGACTTTGCAGCAGGGAATGGTTTGTTCTTCGTCTGAAACTGCAAAGCCGTACCAATTCTACATGACTGACTTGCTCTTGCTTTTTTTAGTCACGAAATAATCGCCTTCTTTAGCAAACGCCATGTTTGTTAACACTGGCGTGTGTGGGAACTAGGGAGCGCTCCCACAGGAAGGGGGAGCCTACAGTGGCCTGGAAGCACGAGACATGATAGAGAGGAAAATCGATTTGATGATTTAAATTATTTTAACATCGCCAAAATCAAATAATCTGGTTACGATTTAAAATCAATTAATCGTGCAGCCCTAGTTGAGAGTATGATAAACAATGAATTTAGAGCACCCTCTGCTGGATAAACTCAGGAACAACACTGTTTCTACTTCTTTTGAGCATTTCTTTCTGTATGTATGATCAGTAAAATAGATCTCATACTGGTCCATATCAGAAAACACCAAGTCTGACGCAGATATATCTTTGTGCAGACACTTCTTGAAGTAGGTCTGAGTAGGTTGGCGATTTATTTTTTATTTTGCTCAAGAAATCGCTTTTGCAAAAACAATCTAACAGAGTGTCTGTTCGTACAGCGTTCAAGGAAAAAGAGAGAGGTTATTGAGTTTCCTCAAAGCAGAAAGTCACATTTTTTCCAGCATAATTCTCATGTCTACTGACTCTCCAAAGAAACATGAACTAAGAACCCACAGTTATGAAATCTGAAAACATCCTCATTTCCTGAATTTCTCCTGTTCCATCATGAGGAAGGCGTCAGTGTATGTCGTCAGTGATGCACAGTGTTTGTTTGAGCCAATTACCACTTTGAATCAGATATTATTAAGAGCATTTTTACCCTCTGGAGGGTCCAGGGATTGAGGACCACTGGGTAGGAAGCCGGTCATTGCCCACTCAATCATCTGCCTGGTTTGGATCTCGACCCCCTCAGCTTCATCACTTGCTTCGCAGGAAGGAAATGGCTTCCCTGCCCGAACACTGGCCACCTACACACAATAGAAACACACAAACACACAAAGTTCAGCTCCAAAATGATGGAAAAGTTGTCTCCAACATTCCTCCCAGAGTCACTGAAGAAGGATAAATAGGCTCATTATGGCAGCACATAAAGAAGCCGAGTATGAAATATGTGAAGGCTTTAGTGGACAAATCCCTCACAGCTTGTTTTTACATTTATGGAAGTTTGAGCAAATTATAACCCAGTGTGACGCCACAGACAAAGTGAATGTGTTCTGTATTATGAACAAGAGAAATGAAGCATTCCTGGATTGAAAAATGACCCACATAAATAAGAGATTGAAACTAATTTTCCTGCATGTCACCAAGTATGAATTATAAGCAGAGCCAGACGAGAGTGACTCCTCCACAAATACTGCATACCTGCAGACAAACTCTGCAGATCTTGTTACATAAGAAAGGAGTGAGTAAAAAATGGACCTTTGGACCTGTGCATTTACAGTTTGAAGGTGTAATGAGTCAAAAGTAAAAAAGCCATCAGACTTAACAAAGAACCACACACCCGCTAAGGTTGAAGTGGTGGATTTGTTACCTGCAAAGCCTCAAAGATGGCTTTCCGGTACATGGACTGTTTGTTGTAGGTGGGCTGGTGGAAGGCAGATGAGAAGGAGCTCAGAGGCATCAGCTTCTCCACACAAACCTGTGAAACAAAAACACATGAGTGTCGTCAAATCACCAGGAAGGCAGATAATGAATGTTTGATTCTTAACAGATTCTAAAAAGTCCTGATTTCAGGGGATACATTTGTGCCAAAACAGGTTTGGACATTTTTAGAGGACATAAAAATATATCTGAGGGTTTAATCTGACAGATATCCATCAACTAGAGGATGAAGAACAGGGATGAGTTGTCCAAATCCGGGTGCTTAAGTTTTTGCTAAGAACTAATGGAGTGTTGAATCAAGACCAGCAGACACATGGAGCTGATGACTGTGGCATAAAAATATTGGAAAGCTAACAGGCTGCTTATGTGGGACAATATTCAGCTTCTTACAAAAGCAGAAAAGTGGATAATGAATCCAATTGTTGATACAGACATTAAAGTCAAATGACTATCTTCAAATCACTGCCATAAAAACAACAGCTGTCTCTTTTTCTCTGCATGTCCTCAAGGAAGGACTTTGTCTCTAATTTTAGATGCAACTCTGCCAGGGATTGAACACACGTCATATCAGTATTTGGTTTAGTTCCTCAGAGGGGGTTTCTCAGTTAAACTACTCACCACAGAGAACTTGCCATCTCCAAACCACATCACCCAGCGAGTCCCGTCTGCAGCTCGACTCCGGCCACTCATCAACCAGGAGACGATTCTGCCAGGCCACCAGGAAAAGCCGCGGAGCTTCCCGAACACCAGAGCGCCGATGCTAAAACCCCGACCGTCCTGCCATTACACCACAGAGCGAAACTTTTTTATGGCGCTTGTATTTCTCGGTTCTGAACATGTTCTTGTGTTTAAAAACTCAGCAGTCAAAAACCTGCTTTTGATTCCTATTTCCAACCTCAGAAAAAACTGAAACGAGACGTCAGCTCTGTAGTTTCAGACTCTGACAACCCCAGAATTGACACAGATATAAAGTATTGCAATGTCTATAGTTCTAGTAGGATCTAGTAACCTGAACGCCGGATTACTAAATTTTAGCATCTGTGAAGTTCCTCAAAGTACCGGGAAGAGCAGAAAAGTCAGTTTACATTTATTAGTACTGTCTTTTACAGCCATTTAATGTCACACAAATGTACAGTTTGTGGAGCCAATAAAGAGGGTTGTATAAAAATGGAAATGTAGAATTGACAGGTTTCAAACTGTAACTGTAACAGGCAAAACTGTTTGGATGTAAAAAAAATAAATCTGTAAGAAAAAAAAACTAAATTCAATCCGAAACATCACATTCACCCTTTAAACTGTTAATTCCATCAGCAGCAGAACGTCCTGAGGGCTCTGACCTCATCACTCCTAACATGGTTGAGTCTCTATCAGGCAGACTTAAACAATGTGGGCTCTCATACTGCATTCAGCTATCAGCCTGGTATACCAAGTTTAACGTTTGTTTCAATGCAAAACAACTGGCTGAAGCAGAGATGCTCAGCTGGGAGCTGCAGCTGTGCACAAGGTCTGCATAAGCTGGTTTAGGGGTGCAACAGGCCAAGACTCACTGATGAGTGTGGGGCATGAAAGCTGGTCTTGTCCAAAAGAGGAGCTCCTTGATCTGATAGAAAGCTGTCAGAACCCACACTGCATCACAGGTCTTCATGCTGACCTCTATCCACCACAGAGTGAAGCAGGAAGGTGGCCTGAGGGTACACAAGGTGTGTTGACTGGGACTTCAAATTCCCCAGATCTCAGTCCAATTGAGGATCTGTGGGATGAGTTAGACAGTGGAGGACACACCTCACAACTTACAAGCCTTAAAGGATCTGCTGCGAATGTGTAGGTGCCAGATACCACAGACCACCCTCAGAGGTCTTGTTAAGTTCACAACTCAACATGCTAGGACTGTTTTGACTCTGAGCTTCTTATCTGAGCCTTTAGGAGCTCTGACAGCTGACTGGGCCATTGATCCTTTGAAATAAAACACCAAGACATGATAATTTTTCATTCCTGCAAACTCGCTTATTTTGGATCAACACACTCAGGGTCTTAATCTTTCTCCTGATCGAAGAAGCTAATTTTACCTGGTATTCTACCTCGCTTGGTGTGGCCTGCTCTCCCCTTGCAACTGGCTCAGGTGTGACTGCAACCGTCGGGGAGGCAGGGTCTGTATGTTGTTGTGAGGGGGGAGGGGCTGGGCTGGCAGGCTCCTCCTCTTTTTGGAAGTCACCCTCTGATAGGTCATCCATCATGTTCATCTCTGCCTCTCTGTACGCCCGTCTCTCCGCCTGTGAGGGGGAAAAAACATGGTTAAAATGAGTAAAGAAAGGTAACAGAGTAAATATGCACAAATGCTTGATTATAACATTATGGCTGAACCAGCTCTGAAGCTATTAGTGAAGTTAAATACAGAACAAAATAATTAAAAACTACAGCAGCAGCAGAGCTACCATGGGACCAACAATTAAAGTTTAATCAGCGGTAAATCCTCATGAATCCACTTCAGCTGATTGAAAATGAAATTCTGACTCTTGACTGGAGTGCAGAGGGAAACATTTTCAAAATAAACTCTTTGGCCTCTTCTGTGCAGATCTACAGAATAAAGCAAACACACAAACTGTTGGATTTTAATGCCTAAAACCGGTGCAAGAGGGTAGGCGTCAGCAAAGCAGTAGAGCATAAGCTACAATTGATTTGACAGGGGCACCAAAAGCGACACAAACCTTAGGAGCTCAAAATGTCATTTTATGATTAATTGATTATAAATAAGGTAATTACTGCCCTAAAAACATTATTTAATATATTGCTATTGTAGCACATGAAGATTATACAACATACAAATGAATGAATGAAAAACATTTGTTTTTAAAATGCAAACAGCTGTTTCAGGTTGTCACAGGAAAAGTTGGATGAAGCAGCAGATGTAGCAGATAAGGGGATAGGAAAAAAACTGTATTTAATTGGTGCTCTTGTTCATATGTGGAAATAGGGGCATGTGATCTGACGATTTTAGATCGTGAAGGATTAAAAAGTGACAACGATCTGTCAAAGCACAGAGATCGTAGAACTGTCTGTAGTGTGCATTGTGTCCCTAACGTGTCTAAATAAATTGATTGCATTCTCAATTTTGGAAGTTAAGAGAGCATATTTTAATTTACCCACAGAATTAACGATGATAAAAGTAACTACAGTAGCAATAAAATCCACCAAAACAAGGACAAGATACAGAATCCACTTCCTCTCTTTTCTCTGTCCCTTCCATAGACTGTATATACATGGACAACTTGGTTCTGCCAGTATACAGATTTGAAGCCAAAAAGCTCTCAGTATTTCCAGGTTTTTTCTCCACTTCCTGAAACCAACATTGTGCCGTAGCGTTTTACACATTCGGCGTGAGAGTCACCGAGAGTTGCTGTGATGATGCTCGGCTCAAACAGCATATACCCCGGGTGAGCTACACAATCTTCATACGCCAATAGGCTGTATCAAGTGTCAATCATAGAAAACATGAACCCCCTAAGAACTTTTAAAAATGGAGCTGAACAGAAAAAAGAGGACTTGAGCACAAACCAGTCTTACTGTAACTACATGTCAACATTGCAACCAGGGAGGAGAAAAAAAAAAAATTCTATGAAATAAATTTCTAAATTTTGTCCACAGCTCCATAATGACTGCTGGAGGAGGCAGGATTTATGACCTATACTGCAGCCCATCACCAGAGGGTGCTGTTCTCAGGGCAGCTTCATCCAGTGAGGAGGCAGATGGTGTCCATGCTATATACAGTTTATGGTCCCTCCACTCTGCTGCATGTGTATCTTCTCAGGCTCACTCACACACACAATCCTTATTAAATACCTAATCACTGTTTAGTATGCAAACGAGCCAGGAAGTGGCCAGACTATGGTGTCAGGTTTTAGCAAGGAGCGGTAAGATTTAATAGAAGCAACAGAGCTTTGCCAAATTCATCTTTGTGACTTGTGAGATAATAATTAATTAACAAAAACAACAACAAAAACAAGTAATGTTAAATACAACAGTGGAGCGGAGAGGAAAAGAGAGAAAAGTGGAAAGAGAGATTTTTGAGCTGTTAAGTTATGACCAAAAATAAAAGAACCAGCCAAAAAAAAGAGAAAAAGATAAGAAAATGTTCTATATCTGTCATGTATTGTAAATTAGTTTTAAGTGATTTGTATTTGATTTGTAACAAGACTATAAGGCTCCCTTTTATTTTTGTAAATGTTGACTTTTGTGTGTGAAGTCTTATTTTAGGTTCAAACTTATTTGAGAATGAGACCAGCCAGTTAATATAAATGTTATACTGTTTGTTGTTACAATCTGGATATTTTATTTTATTTATTATTTCTATTTTTCGAAAAAATCGTGATAAAATCATGATCGTGATTTTGCAAAAAGAAAAAAGTGATATGAATTTTTTTTCATATCGCCAGCCCCTTTATGGAAAGACAAAACATAAAGGGGGAATAGGATTCACGGTTTATATTCTTTGAATATCTAAGGATTATCTAAGGATATATCTAGGATTCATGGTTTATTGTCTTTGAATATCTAAACAAATTATTTCTGACAGTCCATATGACGCATAGATCACATTGTTGTGGTGGCTTTTTGTTGTTGTTGCTTTTTGCATTCATGATAATAGTAAATAAACTATGTTCATATCCTTTATTTACATCACGTCACATTCACCCATTCACACCACACACAAGATCCCATCAGGTTTTGACCAGTGGGGTATTCCACGAAGCTGGCTTAGCTCAAAGCCTGGCTTATTTCGGTTAGCTTGGCTAATTTTAGTGAGAGTTCGGTTCCACAAACGAGGCTTAGGTCTAGCATGGCTTGGTAACCATGGTAACTCAGCCAGCGCGACAAGCCTGGTCCCAGGCAGGCTTACGGTCAAGCTAACCTTAGCTGCGTCTCAGAGAAGGTCCGACGGGCTTCCAGAAGACGCTTTGTGAATCGCATGTCATGTCATCGCAACATCTCCAGGTACATGTTTTTCTTCACTTTTTGTCTAAGTTTGCCTACTTTGGTTTTAGGTCTTACCTGTAGCTGCTATACTAATCCATTATGGATATCTATTTGTCAAATCAAGAACATGAATTATGCCTACAGTGCAGAAGCAATTTTTGGCCCGGGGCAGCATTTGTGTCATGACTCATGGGGGGTGGCATGAGCACTTCCAAAAAAGAAAGAAAAAAAATAATAATAATAAATCTGCACCGCACAGCGGTTTTGTATTTACTCTTGTCAAATTGGCGCCCCCTACTGCTGTAGGCGCCCCTGCTTGCTGCGAAGGTGCTGCACAGAGGCTGACAGACTGTATAAGTGAGTACATACCCAGAAGTGAGGACTAAAATTAGACAGCCAAGCAGGCTGACTGCATCGAGACATACGTCGGTTGTAAAATATTTGTCGGCTATAACTTACGAATTTAAACAGTCTGCGATACTTAACCACGCCATCTCCCTGGCTTTCACAATGGCAACAGTGTTGCCCTTCTTTTGAATTTTTCCCTTGTACTCTTTATACAACTCCATGAGGAGTGTTTGCTCCGCCGCTGAGAAAGACTCCGCTCTGCCCTTTTTTTTTCTATGATCTCGTCATTTCGACAATCGATACGTCGGCGCTTTTTATGTACCGCGGAGGCGCACATAGCCATAGGATCAGCCTGGCTTAAATAAGCATCCCTGGAAAACAGCTGAGCCTCGTTAGTGGAACAAGTCGCAGCTAAGATTAAAGTGGCCGCTTATTCAAGCCATGCTTACCGGCGATAGCCCAGCCTTCTTTAGCCAGCTTCGTGAAATACCCCCCTGGTCTTAGCCTCATTTGTTCCCTTGAACTGATTTGTTTCCATGGTTTTTCATGAGCTGTGTGACCGTTTTAGATGTAATACTTCAGTTGTAGCTCTGTAGATTAAAAGAGGAGGAAAACATGATTTAAAGCAACAAGTATGAAGTATGATAATGGGACAGCACAACTAACAACTTCTATTATTTTATTTATTTTGTTCATATTTCCTACAAAATTAAATAAAAAAAGTTTGGGAAAAAAAATATTTCCTTGATATCTTGCTCTGTAAAATCATAGAGGGAGAAGAAGTGACCTGCTAGTCTCTTTTTCTTCTACATTCTTTCATTTACCTCGATTTGGTGCCAGTGTAATCAGATCTGATTGATTTATTGTATAACCAGCTAACTTTTGTCTGATTAACACTTTTGTTATGAAACAAAAATAGTTTTAAAATTGGGTTCGAGTGTTGATGTGTCTCTACACATGCCAACATTATGCAGCAAAACTTAACTAAGCTAAATTCTGAGTCCCAGGGAAAGTTTTGACACCAAGTTTCTCTCTGCTGCAGCCTTATGTCAGCTCTAACCTTTGGATGTCATAGTTATTGATCACATCTGACCCTGAGCATCATCCCAATCAACTGTTCATCTATCACAACCTTTATTCTGATCCCTGATGGTCTATGGGCAAACACCGTTCTTCAAGGAGGTCCTGGTATGTAATTGATGTTTTCTGCGTCTCTTTCCAGCTGATGTGGTGGCTGCATTAGATCAGGGCCTTTTAGTGCCCCGGGCTGTAGGAACAATCCTTTAATTGTTCCTCTAAACAGGAAGTGAGCAGGGAGAGAAGGGTGCGGTGGGGAGGCAGTTCATCGGGTTCAGCTCAGAAAGGAGAGAGAAGGACAGAGAGGAGACAAAGAGAGAGAGAGGGAGAGAGAGTAAATAGGATTATATTATAAAACTGAGAGATGGAATACAGAAAGAAAGAGGAGCATGTTCAGAAGAATAAGAGAAAGACAGAGAGAGAGAGAATGAGAGAGAGAAAGAGAGAAGGAGATGCTGTCTCTTCCTGATCATTTTAAGTCAGGTTTTTTTTAATTGATAATTTGTTTTTAATGCTGCTATTAGGATTTAACCTTCAGCATTTCAACCTTTTTACTTGAGTTATATAATACCTTCATAAAGTACAACACAGTCTTATAATTGCAATTGCATGTCTTTAAGCACAGCTGCAAAGAAATTAGCAGCCTTATGTCTTTAAATCAGAATCAGAACCAAGGTTTGTGTAGACAGACAGAATTTGACTCCAGGAAACTTTCCTTGTGCTAACATTCGACTTCATATTTTACACCCCTACTGTAAGTACAAGCCCAAATGAGACATGTAGCATTTCACTTATATTTACATACCAAACAGTGTTAAACAGTTTAAAAACAGAGAGCTGAATTCAAGGAAAAGTTTTGTATCTATCGTCACTATGAGGCTAAATTAAACAGGATGTTATTTTAAACAGTTACAGTATCCTGGTCATATTCATTTTGGCAGCTATATTAAAACAGTTTTTTTAAAATGCCATCAGTGTCTTGTTTTAGTCAATACAGTCGTTGAATTCGACTCATTTTCATTTAAAACATTGCCCGTCTCTAAAGTATTTCACTGAGCCAATTAGAATCTGGTATCAAGTTGAACCAGGTGTTAAAATCTGAGAAAAACACCAATCAAAACAGGGTCTCATCAGAGGAGGGACACTCTCTGAATTAGTATTCAACCAAAGTATATTTATAATTAGAAACGTTTTTTTCCTGTTGAAAGTAAGTCAGATTTAGCGCTCTAGCATTCAGGAAATCAAAGTACCGTTCGTTATTGGACGTTACATCAGAGATCAGATTTGCTTGGTCTACTATACAGTCAGACTTTGACAGGCTGCAGCAAGGTGTGCAAGCTCAGCTGTCCCATTAAACTTGTTAAGAGAAACCATAATAATACAGGAAAGGCTTTGCTGTGATTTCTTCATGATTTGGCCTGTTTAGTGAAGCTGCAGCAGTTGCCCAGATTTGTTTGACTGCTCGGCTCTTTTTTATTACATTAAGCTCACCTGGCTGTAGATATGTCGCACTGAGGAAAATAAGTTCAATCCAATTTGACTGCTGCTGTCGTTGAGCTTCATAACTCCTCTTCAAAAGCTAAAAAGTGAGCTCACTAAGCCAACATCCATTATTTCTACAGTCTTTGGCTGAAATTCAAAAGTTTTTTGACCGACAAGTGATGACAAGTCCAGCTAGGAAACACTTTAAAGATAATTATGACCTAACTGGTTAATATATGTAAAGACTCTTAATGCAACCCAGATGTAAAAATCCCAAGACTTTCTAGTTTTCAACACTGGATAAAAACAATTGTTTCTCTTTTAACTAAACTGTAAACAAAAATCTGTTACATTCCAAAAACTGTGATCTGAAACACTTCGGGAAGAACAAAAGGAAGAAGAAGAGGAAGAGGAGGGGATGACGGCATAAATTTGAGTGGAAGAGACTGTAAAAGTGAGGGTGCTGGGTCATGACAGCTCTCTCCTCAGTTTCACCCCGAGGCCGCAGGGTCACTGTTCCCTGCTCCTGTTGACCTCTGACCTCATAAAATCCTAATCAGCCTGTTACACGCATCGTAAGCAGACCACACACTCAAACATACTCTGACAACACACACACACACACACACACACACACACACACACATAGAAGTGCATGGTAAGGGAAACTCCATATGTCGTCACCAGTTTCTAAGACATCTGGGCTGCTTGAAAGAACAGTCTGGAAAAACTGTTTCTGAAACAAAGAGTCACAATCAGCTTTTTGTCCTTGTGCTTCTGTCCTAGAAAACAACATGACAAAACTCTAACTGCACACATAATGTGGTTGATTTCCACCATACCAAGCTTTGCAAAGTGTTCAGTGTAAAGAGAAACATTTACTGTGTATGAGATATAGTTGTTAGTGGCATCCCAGATTTATAACCTATATGAATACTCAGGAACATTTCAAAATTTGATGTGTCTTGTACTATAAACTCACTACTGTAACAGAATACTGCAGCATCAAGATTCATGTGCAAATTCACTGTCAGGAATCAGCAGGATAAGATTTTTCGTCAGGAAACAAGGGTTTGTAAAAGGCATGATAAGCACAGACTGCTTTGTGCCAAAAGTTACAAACAGGAGCTTTAAGCTTACCCAAAGCTCAGGAACTTTTTAGTTAATCTCAGTTTTGACACCCTGGTGGACTATGTGTCTCTTTTTTAGTGATACTTCTCCCACAGTTTTCTTTGAGCATTTTTTGCATGCTTTGGATAGAGGAGCTGAGAAGAGAAAGTAAGTGTGAGGAGTGGCCTTCAGAAGTGTTTTCTGAATAAAACTCATCCTGCTTTTTGACTGTCAAATGTAATACTGTGAATAAAGAGGGGGAGAAAAAAAAACATTTTTCTACAGCCTGCTGTGAGTCTAGTCTTACACCTACCCCTGTACAACAAATACATGTATTAAAACTCACAATTGTCAGACTTTGTGCAAATGGTCCAGTTTGTTTTGTAGTTTGTAAAATGCACCACTGTTAATCCCAGTATGTTTCATAACCAGCTAAAAATAGACTCTTTAAGCACTGGAAATCATTGTGGTAGACTATCCTGACCTAACATAATGAAACCCTTTTTGTTCAAAAGCTCTATACTCATACTTGGAACTTTTAACAGCAGGAGTGCCGTGACAGCTTACACAAGTTGTGTAACTAAAACTTGAACAACTGGTTCAACTTGTTCCTCATAGGACAGTGAATAGAGAAGAAAACTAGGGGGAGTAAGTGGGATATACCCTACACTGAAAAAAGTGACTTTTTGGTACAGTAAACTCTATTTTAGTAACTGTCATAATTTCTACCTTGTATTTTCAAGATTAAATAAGAACTAGACTTTCTTAAGTAAAATGTAACATTTTGCTTAAGTAATACATGAATTATGGGGGGAAGAGTAAGTTTTACGTAGGTTTCCTTATACTATTTAAATGCGTAATAGTTGTATGTATGTACATAAACCTACAAATACCACATAAACTTTACTCTGAAAGTGTAGCGTTTTGAAACATATGCAAGACGCATGCGCACTGTAGCCTACAGCAGGACTGGCTCTGCTCCGAGCTTGGGTGTTACAGGATCACAGAGCAAGGTAGGGGGCGGCAGTAGCTCAGGAGGTAGAGCGGTCGTCCAATAACCATCCTTAGTCTATCTGTTATGTCCTTGGGTAAGACACATAACCACCTTACTCCTAGTCGTGTGTCCTCCACTGGTGTATAATTGTGAGTAATGTTTGGTGGTGGTCAGAGAGGTCGTAGGAGCCAATTGTAAAGTAAATTAAAATGTCAAGTATCTACTTAATTATTTCATAACAGAAAATACTACAGAGATATAAAATGTACTTAAAATTTTGAGTAAAATGAGGTTCCTGCCTATGAACCTCAAGTAGACTTTATTTGAATTGTTTACATAAATATAACTTAAAACTTGGATGTAATCCAGTAAATGTTACTTAATATCTTCACAACTGTTATGTTTTACGGAAAGTAAAATTTACTTGATACTGGCAAGAGACTGCAAATACTTAAAATATATATTTTTGAGTAAATCTTCTGAGTTATTTTTTTCAGTGTACAGTGAAGGGTATCAGGTACAGACTGAACCCAGTCTTTTGACTGTTAGGACTGTAGCCTCTGCAACAGGATGGGCGATTTCACTGCTGAGCTAAAGTGGCACCCTGTAGAACAAATATTTCCCCCTCAGGCATCATAGCACCCATTGATGTACAACTAATGCCTAAAACACTTCAAAGATGAGCAGCTGTAAACCCAGATTTTTCTGCTGTAATGGAATAACTGCAGTGAACCAACTGCAGTGATTGATGCGCAATCATTAATCCAGTTTTTCCTCAGGATGAATTGTCTCTTCATCTCTAGTATTATGACTTTGTCCCCTTGAGGTTAGAAGATAAATCAACCCACCATCAAGAGAAAACAGGCGGTGTCCCGTCAGATGAGAGTGTTTTGTCATCATAATCTTCAGATTCAATTAAAACCTAATTACGGGCTTGGTTGTTCTCAACATTTGAAGGCTTTTTCCTTGTCTGTGTTTCTGTTGATGTGATGAAAACCTGCTGCTTACAACCCTTAAAAGAATGAGCTCCACAGTGTTAGTTGCACTTCTCAATGAGTTCTTTATCATTTTTGTAATTGCAAATATCTGTTTTTGCTTCATTAAGTTTTTCTAAAGCAGCAGTGACTCAGGTTTCATCCAAACTTTTGAGTTGTGATGTTGTGAAGGAAATTTGATCATTCTTTATCACTTGAACCAGATTGTTTTTTTTTACAGAACGTGAACTTGACCCGATGAGTAACTGTGAGATATCAACCGAAATCCTGCTCACTGGATTAAGCACTCTGTTGCCTAGCAACATCAGCTGATTGAACAGCACATTAGGAAGCTTTGTTGCTTTCAGGGATACAGATGACTCAGGGATGACAGACAGATCAAGCTGTGGTCCTTCTGTGGAAGAGAAACTCTGGTCTGACTAAACTGAATGTTTACTGTTTCTGTTGGAACTACTCTACACTAATATAGACCAGCAGGTTTAATTGAGTATAAAGTTGAGTTTTTTTTTAATTTGGAGTAGGATTTACCTAATGCTTTCTTTATCTTATTGTTGTATTTTTTAAAATATTACTCCTTTTTCTAGACCCAAGTACCAAATTCTGTTTTATTACACTCTATAAAAACACCAAACTGTCTTCAGTCTTGACTTCCTGATAGTCACTGTCACTAAAACAACCTTGTCACAGAAAATAAAGCTCGCACATAGATGCAGCGGCCATGTTTGTTTCCACGTGAGGGAGAAATAAAGGCAGACAAAAAGAGAGACACAGAAGAAGAAGGTTGTAATTCTGTGAGTTACTACTTTGAACTCCACAGAACCTCCTGGCCCGGTCAGTGTTTTCACTCTTGTTCCCGCCTCCCCCTTGACCTCTGACCCATCACCCCGCGACCTCACCAATGAGCTGTTTCTTAAACCCCGCCCCTTTTATGAGCATGACCGACCCTGACCTGGCGATGAACTCGATGTTGTTGAACAATACACACACACACACACACACACACACACACACACACACACACACACACACACACACACATACAAAGGAAATAAAAGGGAATAGTTATGACCCTCTCTCGCTTTGTCAATAGGTAACACATACACACACACACACAAACACACACACATGGACAGAGTGACTGCTCTTTGATTAGCATTGATCGTAGCTGTAGGACATGTTAAAGGAATCTCGCAGAGCTTTTTCATGAAGCTCTGCAGATGTCTCTAAAAATACAATTGATCAAACAACATCTGCTCGAGCGTCTGAGGATGATACAAACATGTTAACCTGTCTGCTGGTCAATAATCTGGTGTTAATGCTTTTTTTCTACAGAGTAACACGTTAGATCACTATTGACTGATGAAGAGATCGGTGAGGGATGCTTTTAACCATGAATTGAGCAGAAAAAACAGGCAACATTTGAAAAAGGCGTTAAGATTGAAGCCTTGTTGTTTGATGTTTTTTTTTTTTTTTGTACTACAACACACTTCTGAGAGTTAAGGACAAGTAGAAAAGTGAAAAGGCCTTGTAGGTTTTTAATCAAAATCCTTCTTGAGCATGAAGTGGACTAAAAAGTAAAAAATAAGGATAACTTCTAAGACTTTAAAGATTACCTCTTGTCATTAAACAGATGTAAAAAGGATTATCTGATGGCCAAAAACCCAAGAGGGATATTGTGCAGTATGTTTATGTCAGAGGTTTTCTCCACCCCCTGCAGAAACAATCTCAAGACTGATTTTAAACAGTAAAATTTAGTTACAACAGCCTTCAACCTGCATGCATACATACTTTTAATTAACCCTACCTTCCTGTATCAACCAGTAAAGGGAGATTTCAGATGTTTGACTAGAGATTTGGGCTCATTTTTCTTTCTCTTTTGAGCTTAGGGACCTTAACACCAGCATTCTTGAGACATAAACTTATCGTGAATGAAATATATGGATGTACTGTATGTCTACTTTGGGCTTCCATACTTAGTCACTCTGAATGTTTGGTGAAATCTGATGAATCCAGGCTGCCTGAGTGGAGATGTTTAAACTGATCGCTGTATCCTATACATAAAAGAGGCTGAATGACGGTTAAATACAGAAATTTAAATAAATAGAAAAGAACTCAGACTACTGTAAGGAAAGTTAAGGTGGTAGCTTGGTGGTGTTGTATCTTATTAACATGTTTCCAGTCTGTTAAAAAACAGAAAAGAAATACCTAAAGCTTTTTCCTGTTTATATGTTTTCTAAACTATTGTGTGAGTTAGATTATTCAAAATATGTTTGATTATTGTTGCCTTTTTCTCATAAAACCATACAAAAACATGAAGTTATCCATGCTGCTTTATGCTTCAGTCGGTGTGGTTCAATTTTAGTTGAACTTTTACCGACAGCTGGCTATGCCTGATCCAGAGTAATAATTGATGTGAATCTTATCCTTTTTAGTGCAAGAAGTTTACCTTTTTTCTAGAATAAAAATTCTAATTCAACAAGAAATTTGATGCAAGCAATAAACAACGATAGAGGTGGGGTGTTAATCTCCTCTGAAGTTTATCCATAATAGAGACAATAAGTGTTCTTTCAGCTCCTCCTCTGTTGTTACCAACTAAAGGTCAGGACCCCTACAAAGGGTCACCAGATAAATTAACAGGGAGATTAACAGAGAAGAAGAGCAGGAAGAAAAACTAACAAATGCAACACTGATAAATATAACCTCTAACGTCTCTCACATTTTTAGTTTTTGCACAAAAAAGTTAAAAATGTAGATTCTTCAGTCTTTATCAAGAAAGGAAGTACAGCCTTTTACTGAACTGGTCCACACCGGTCAGGACTATACAGTTTGCAACATTTACTGAGGGGTCATAAGTGGAGGTTGTTTTGTTTTGCTCAAAGCCTAAAAAAGTTTTACTCTGGGTTTTTTTATTCTTCTGTCATGGGCAAATTGAAGGAATGAAATAAGTACAAGTGTGGAGGTCTGCAGGAGACAGAGATTGAATGGGTCTTATGATGATAAACACGGAGGGCAAAATGAAAACATGCTTATATAAGAGTGTTTAACTCACTCCCTAAATGGACCCAAACTTTTTTTTTTTTTGTAAAGACTGAAACTGTTTCTGTTCTCACTGCAAAACAAGAAGAATAAGACTGAATGTTGAACTGCACTCTAAAAGATCAGTAAACCTCCCTCTTTCAGACCAAGCTACATTCAGAGGACTACACATTTTATTAACCATGGATGTCAACCTCCTCATGCATCACGAGTTATGAGTTCTTATGTTTGGGCATGCTCACAATCGAGGGAGCAGTGCTGTTGTTATTTACATATTAACATGACTCTGCTGCCATCTCCCACTGTTCTCCAGTGAAATAAACGAACAAATGACCAGAAAGTGAAGAAATTAAATTTAGATTTCAAGCACTTAGCAAACAGAAAGCTTCAAAAACCTGCAAAAGATACGACTTCATTCAGCCAACAAAAGCTTGCTGGCACCCATAAGGACACATGTTTCCAAGATCAAACTTTTTGGTAACAGAAAGAGTTTGAGCCACGTGATGTTTTTAAATCAAACCTACATTTTTCCACCTACTTGTGAACTCTGCAAAGCCTACACAGACAAAAAAGGCAGAAGAAAAATAATAAAATCACTTACAGACCACACATGGCAGCTTTTTAAATGCAACCCTTCCTCCCTGGCTCTCTTCCTCTCTGTCATTTTCTTCATCGCTCTCTCTCTCTCTCTCTCTCCTCCAACCCTTCTTCCTCTCTCCTACACTCCTCTCTGTGTCTGCGTCTCCTCGCCCTCAAGTCCTCCTCACCCTCTCTCTCTGCGCTCATTGGCCGGCATTGGAGTGTGTGATTTACTGGCTCCTTCACCTAACAGATGTTTAGGTGAACTCCAACAACACACACATGCATGCAGAGTGTCAGTGCAGAGTTATGTCTGGTAGCCCAAGAGGTTTTAGGGTGATGACGACAGACATGCACACAAATCCTCAGAGTGTTTACATGTGTGTCTGTGTGGTGTGTATGTGCACAGGGGTCAAAGGTTAGGTAAGCCTCTGAGTTGACAAGGCAACAGAATGTGTCAGGGTCACGACCTCACATACACGCACAGGAGAGTAGGCATTACTGTGAGACTCAGTTACACAGAGTCAGATGAGACAGTTTAGAGTTACAGAGAGGAAAATAAAGAGGCTGACATCACGTCTCTGCTCTGATTGTATGAAATAAGTGGGAAACTCTCCTCAGTTACAACTCTGATGCTGAGTCCAGTTCAAGTCATTCACAGCTGCATTCATTTACTTCATTGGCCACAAGGGGACAGACGCTCTCCAAAACAAGCACATCATCACAAAACTGACAAACCAAGAACCTTTACAGCCAATCAATGAAGCAAGTGCAGAAGTGGAACAAACTGCAGTTTTTGGAGTGACCACTCCCTTTGAACCCCATCTTTAAAGCAGAAATGCACGTTTACAGCCCAGTACAGAAAAGCTAATTTCTCTGTTCGTGGCAAATATATATGAGACACAAATTTTTGTGTAGCTCACCCATTTTACTTAAAATTTAACCAATAAGTCACTCTACTGACAGGAGGTTTTCGCAACACCAACTGATTTCATAGACTGACCTTAAAGCTCCTGCGAGGATCTTTCAGTTTGTAATGGTTTTGGCGCCCCCTGTAGTCCTTGCAGCCCTTGCTGGTTTTATTCTGTTCGTGTGTAATTTGTTTCTTCACAACATGTGCATCCCCCTCTTTCAAAAGTCTTTGCCATAGAAAGGGGCTTTACTAGCAATGTACATAAACCTGGTCTGACACCTACCCCCTGTTAGAGGTTTCAGCCATTAAATACAATTTTTAAAAATAGTATTTTTTCTTGTTAATGAGCTTTTTATGATTCACAGCTCAAAAAACTCTGAGACTGTAGCCTTTGGAGACCCTTATTTCAGCCTCTCTGCAAAATGCTTCTTTCCGCTATTGTCTCTTTGAGGCCAAGCACTCTGGAACCCTCTCTCCCACTGTTGTCATGCTACAATTTTCGCAAATTTTAAAACATAACCAGTTGTTTTAGACCCCCCCCCCCCAAAAAAAAAAAAAAAAAAAAAAAAATCCCAGCAACAAAAAATAGGTAAGTGTTGTTTATTATGCCCTTATAAGGAGTTTCACCAATTAGTGATGTCACATAGTGAGCATAATTTGAGACTTTTCCCACAATAAGCATTGAAAATAATTATCCAGCAGTAACAGTTCATAGCGGGTGGTGGTACCAAAAAATTATAGATGATAATATGTTGTTGATGTTAATAATTTTGAATATTCAAAATGATCAGATTTAGATTTACACATTTTCAATGAGGAAATAATGAATTTAGATTGTCTGTAAAGCCTAAGGGACACATGAAATGGTAAGAAATGAAACAAGAAATTTTTTAAAATAGTCAAAGTGCTTTAAATAGTCACAATTATATTCTTGTATGTCAGTCATAATATCTAATCCAGAGTTTATATTTGTGGCTTTTTGATGCCCTGCATATCTTACAGTGTGGCTAGAGGTCAAAACAAGGTCATGGCTACATTTGTGCACCATGTGTAACTTGTCTAACCAAATCAGCAGAAAATGAGGTCAAAGCCATGTTGATTTTAAAGGGAGATATTAAGTTCTTCCTCTAACACATGCAGCACACTTCACCTCCTTTCAGGGTTTCTTTTCCTGGTTGTAACTTTAGATGTGAGGAGAAAAGATGCCAGGTTTTTTTGTTGTCATCCAAAATGGAGAACTCTTTGCAGGGTTACCAGGTTTCCCTCTGCAGACTGCAGTAAGATGTGATGTTGATGGGGGTGTGAACAGCTGGCTGCAGTTCAACTGACAGAGGAAGCACACACACACACACACACACACACACACACACACACACACACACACACACACACACACACACACACACACACACACACACAAAGGAAACCTGGAACTGGTTAACCTCTGTCTCCATCACTGATTTCACCTCAATCTCTGCACACAAACACAGTGTGACTTCTTTTTTTCTCTTTCACTGAGTCAATAACCTTTGTTCCTTTCTTTTTGTCTCATTTTAGACTTTTTCCTTTTCTTTTCTATCTCTTATTTTCACGTCTGCTTTTATTAAACTTTTTTTCTTCACTGGCTTTACCTCCACATCTTCTTTCCTCCCACCCATTGCTTTGTACTGGTTTCCTTTTCCTTTACCTAGTGTCTTTACTCCATCTAAACATTTTCCCTCCTCTCTCCTCTGCAATTTGCATTTGCACAAATATAAGAGTCTTAACTAGAGCATTCTCACCTTCTTAGATTTAAAACCACTTCATACAAGCTTGGAGACATCATGCAGTTGGAGTCATTTGACTGTTTGGTTACAGTTTAGTATGGTTAACCCTGATCTTGCTTGAATTTCTACAGCCAACTGTATTCTTGCTGCATCACTGAAAAAATGGTAGTGGCTGTCATTCAGACTGTCATAGTGAGCAGTGCCTTTCACATCTGTGTCATGAGCTGAAAATCTTCAGAATAGAGGACTCTATTCAAAGGCTCAGAGATCACATTCAAGACTGACAGAAAATTGTTAAGGTAAGAGCTGTACTGGCTTTTTATCAGCTCGATTGATGTCACTAACATTTAAGTTACAGCAAAAACACTTGCAAAATCAGTTTCAAAGCAAAAGCCTGGTCTCCTCTTTCTATGGAGACACATCCTGTTTTCACACTGTGCTTTAATTTTAAGGTAGGGCTGTCACAGTACCAGATTTTCACCTTACAATTACCAGGACAATAACAATATTATCACAATAGTTGTAGAAAACTTTGAATAGACAAAAACACAGTGAGTAGAACTGAGAAAAGAAAAAAAGGGTAGGGCAACATGATATAAATTTTTATAAACATTACAAGTCCATACATTTTACGAATAGACACAATCAACTTATCATCCATCCGTGTCATCATCCATCATACCCAATTATGGTCAAATTTATGATTCTTTCTAAGAGAAACTTTTTAAAAGATATATATTAATGTTTGCCATACTTTTATTCTGACATTTTTTTCTCTCTTACATTTAGGTCGATTCTTTCATCTTTGTAAACTAGGCTTTTATTTTGAAGTTTGAGCTACTTTTACGAGATTGTAAATCACAGATCTGAATAAAAACAGTTGAAGGAGCAGTGAGAAAGAATAAATGTTCAATGAATAATTAGTGACAAAATAAACTTTTCTTGGAAAAGTTGTCATGATGAATCATGATGCCTGCAGGTAAACCATTTTATTAATTGTCAATAACATTAAAATACAGGAAATAGTTCCTTTACTGGGAAGCATCTCTCTATCATATCCCTCTCTGCTAGGTGCTCTGCTAAACTTAAGATCATAAGATCATCTGACCCTACTTGAGAGCGTCCCTGAATATGAATAAAAACATACTCTAAAAAAGATGTAATCCACTTCTGTCTCTCCTCCTCCTTATTCAGCTGGTTGAGCTTTCCAGCTCCACTGTGTTTCTCAGAGTTTTTGAGTGTGAATTCACACTTGACTAAAGTGTGAATTTATTCTAAACTTTTTGTACGTTTTGTTTTGCAACCTCTTTCCTTCTGTTATTTCCTTCGTGGATTTGTTTGTGAGTCTAATTTACTGCATTGTTCCGCTTACTTCCCTCTGCCATCCTTTCCTTTAGTCCTTTCATCACTCCTCTTTTGTCCCTTAAATCTGCACCTCATTACAAAACAAAACGTGTTCTCCGTTTCTTTTACTGCAGTCATTTCAAATACACATCATACATTTAGCAAAGGTAAGGCGTCAGGTAAGTAACAAGTTAAAGCAAGAAAGCCCTTGCCCAACAGATGCACACTACCTCAGTAAGATTCAGGTACTCTGACAGATACAAGCTGCTTTTTTAGTTCTTGTGGAGAGATAATTGAGACTTGTGTCCATCAAACACAGTCTGCAGCAGGGCCGGTTCAAACACGAGAAAAAGAAGAAGCAGCAGGAAAGCGAGTTTGCTGTCTGCTCAGAGTGTCTCTCACACACTCCTGCTTTACTTCACACACTCTCACATCTCCTTGTGTTTTCAGGCAGCACTTTGTCAATCAACCCATGAATGACTTTCTCTCCTCAGCTCATGACCACACACACATCCTGTCTCTCAGTGGATTCATCTTTCACTTTTAACTTCCCTTTGTACACACATTGTAGACTATACATTCACTTCACTCATTTGTTAATAGCATATCAGCTCAGTCACTGTATGTTATTGTTGTGTCCTCTTTATCTATATTTTTATGTGAATACATGTGATCATGGGATGGATTTATGTGCTGTTTTAGCCAGAGAAGTTTCAGAGAAACAGGCTGTAAAATGCACACTGATCACATTTAAAGTTTGAGTGTTGAACTTGCTTTAGCCGTGTTAAGCCTAAAGCCTAAAACACAGGATCCATGGTGAGCGCATTTCATCAGCGTTGTGGTGTTGCGTGTCAAACAGCGAATAGGTTGCCATTCTAATCAATGCAGCATCGCACACAGGAAGCTTCGCAGCTCCATCTCAGAAGCGTGTCGAGCTAAAGATATGCGCCAAGTCTATTTTTGCTGCGCTACACTTCCAGCACACATCAAGCTACACAGAGAGGATCATTCTAGACAGGATGTCAAGCACGGAAACCATGCATGTCATCCGACAAATTTCAAAATAAAACACCATATGCAAACTCCCATCTGTGTATCAGTTTGTGTAGATGAGAAATACTTCCTGGTTATGGATTTATCAGTAACACAGAGTAATCCAATGGTCAATTCTGGATCTATGTGGACCCCAACAGGACTTTTAACTGCTGACTCTGTCTGAAGGTAACAGCACTGCATAAAGGAGCATAGTTTACTTTATTAAACACGAGTTAACCTGCAAATACCAAAACTGTAGAATCATGTTGCTTTTTTACATACAATAGAAGCTCAAAAGTCACTGAATTATATCCAAATTAGCAGGACATAGACCGCAGAAAGGCAAAACAACCTGCTGTAAACATGTTGTTTCCTCTATATTGAGCCCAGCTGACCGGGGCTACACTACCCTGCTGCCACGCTCCAAATATGCATCCTGTGTGCGATGAAGAGTGCTGCTTGACGAGCAGCGATGCGACGCTGACAGAACGCCATCAACACAGATCCTGTGGGCTTTAGGCTTTAGAAATGCTGCAGATACACAGCAGCATAAGCATTCACAGAGAATTTGTATCCCCGGACAGCAAGTCCAATTTTCCCTTTTTTTTTTTTTTGCTCTGTTTTTGGTCTCTACCAGCTCCTGGTGGAAAAAATAATAAATAATCTACTTTGTTCTTTTTTAAAATCCAGCCTTGCCGCTGTCGTGGGTTATTAGAGATTTTTTTTTTTTTTTTTTGCTAATATGATGAAAATAAAAGAGGTGTGAGAATGGTGAGTGTGTCATTTTACCCACAATCCTAAGGGCTGGTTACAATGGAAAGCTGAGGTAAAAAGCCGAATAACGTTGCAACTATGCTACTTGGTATCTATCACTGTTGGCTGGTTTCATATGTAATTGCTCATCTGATAAAGATGGGGAAAATGGCCTATAAAAAGTAAACAAATTGGTCTGAGTAAAGTATTTTTTTCTTTTCAAATATCAGTGAAAATTTGGGGTCATCTTACATTCAGAGTCTACATTTTTACATAGGTAACCTAACCTGCCACCCATCACTTTTACTGATTCATGGGGAAACAGTGGCACAATGAAACAACAATGAAAACAAACATATCTTCTCCACCATTTGCTGGATTTCATGAGGTGTGACTGAATGTTCTAATTGTTAATACATGCATATTTCACTCCTCCTGATATCCAGTAAATAGCAGAGAAAAGATGTTTGTTTTGATTGTTGTTCCATTGTTTGTTTCCATCCACAAACACAGCAGAAACGGAGTCCTCCCTCTTCCTCCTGCAACTCAATGTGGTGTAAAATTCTCTAGACTGCATGATCAAATAATAACTAGATTTAATCATTCAAAATTACTCCCCCAGTTTTCAAAAGTGTTGGAAAACTTGTACGTACAAAGATTGGATTCATTTATCGAAAAGAATAATCTGCTAAGTGAGAGTCAGTATGGTTTTCGAACCAAACGGTCCACAGCATTAGCACTCATGAGAATAACTGAAGAAATAACACAAGCAATAGATGATCATAAACACACAATTGGGGTTTTTATCGATTTAAAGAAAGCCTTTGATACAATCAATCATACAATATTAATAAGCAAATTGAATAATTTTGGTGTGAGAGGTGTTGTACTAGACTGGTTGATCAGTTATCTTCACAACAGGCAGCAATATGTTATGTTAGAGGGTTATAAATCAGAATGTATGAAGCTGGAATGTGGAGTACCACAGGGCTCAGTTTTGGGATATTTGTCAAGTGTCTAATTTAATGCATTTTGTGTTATTCGCAGATGATACTACCTTTTTTTGTTCAGGGGATAATTTAAATGAGATAGCAAAAAATATAAAAAATGAGATGGTTAAAATTTAAAAGTGGTTTAATAGAAACAAGTTATCGTTAAATGTAAAAAAAACGAAGTTTATGATTTTCTCTAATCGAAAAAAGAATGAAATTCAACTTACTATAAACATTGAGAGAGTTTATGAATTTAAGTTTTTGGGGATCATATTAGATGACAAATTGACATGGAAAAACCATATATCACATGTAAAAGCCAAAGTGGCCAAGAGCCTTTTTATTTTGAACAAAGTAAAATATGATTTGGATACAAGCACTTTGAGAATGTTGTATTGTTCACTGGTTTTACCATATTTTACTTATTGTTTGGAAGTATGGGGCAATACATACAAGACGAATATTACTCCCCTGATTAAGTTACAAAAAAGAGCATTGAGAATTATTTATAAAGAAGATTACAGAGCACATACCAATAGACTTTTCATGTTGTCAGGTTTACTGAAAATAACACACTTAATGGAGCTAAGAACACTTCTGGTGGTGTTCAGAGCGAAAGACAAAGTTTTACCAAAACAGCTGCAAGGGTTATTTGAAATCAGCTCAGAGAGTGAAAACCTCATGAGACCATATGATTTTAAACACCAGTTTGCTCGGACGACGCTAAAGCAGATGTGTATTTCTGTTGCAGGTATTAAGTTATGGAATTCGCAAAATACTGAGTTGAAGAGTTGTACAACAGTGTTTCAGTTTAAGAAAAAGTTTAAAAGAAGGAAAATCAAAAATTATGAATTGGATGAAGTGGATGACTGATGATTTGTCAGTTTGTTTTTTTGTTATTGTTTTTTTTGTTTGTTTTTGTTTTTTTTCTTTTGTTTGTTTTGTTTGTGGTATTTTTTGGACCTTAACTATATAATATTTTGATCAATTGCTGGCTGGTTGCCATAGATAAATGTGTTGTAGTGAAGGGGCAGTCGTACATAAGACTTGTCTTCTGTCTGCTCCTTTTCATTTCACATGATTACATGAGAAAAAAAAAAGAAATAATAATAAAAAAAGGGATGAGTGCAATGTATTATATCATGTATCATGAATGAAATGAAATAAATAAACATGAATGAATGAATGAATGAAAATGTATGTTTAAATTGTTTGATCTGAGTGTTAGTGCTAATAAATGTCAGTTATTCAGAGCTTAATTCCAGTTACTGTCTATTGATTAACTGAAGACAAACGTCATTTGCAGCAACAGACCAGATCTATATGCTGAAACGGTGAGTTAAAATTAATGCCTCCTTAAATGAAAACAGATCAGAGGGACAGAGTCTAATCATCAGCAATCTGAGGATCACTATCTCTCATAGCATGACATGCCATGAATTCAACCAGCAGCTGTTCCCACAGCAGTAAGAACTCAAAGTCAGTGAAAGCCTCTGAGCCCATGTAGCAGGACTGCAGGGAACAGAAAAGGTCAGGAACCCAGTTTTAGAGCAACATAATGGTGCTAAAATGTAAACCTTAGGCTGAGGCATGCCAGAATCAAACAAAAAGCCAGATTTTTTTATATAAAAGAAAACAGTGAATGGCAAGGATTTTCAGCCTCTGGAGGGTAAAGCACCCTTTTCTATTTCAATGTCACTCCACTGTTGAGTGTTGAGTCACTGCAAGAAGCAAATTGAGTTGAAAAGCTCAGTCCTCTTTCCACTTCTAGCAGAAACACATTGTGTGTGTGTGTGCGCGCGTGTGTGTGTTTGTTAGGGAAGTCCACTCCCTTCCAAAGTAAACAAATAAAGTCTACAGACTAAAAAAGGGCAGGAGGACAGCAAAACAAAAGTGTGTGATGAATGCTGAGAAACAAATAAATATAATTGGATTTTCAGTGGTTTGGTTCTGTTGAGAGGGTCTTTACTGTTTGACTAAAAACAGACATAAGTCCTCTGACATGTGATCAAAGTTGGGTTCAAACAGGTCAAAGCTAAGGGAATGTTTGTATTATTCTTGATGTGCTCTATGGCATTTATACTGCCAAAATTTAAAGAAATGATATATTCACTCTCTGATAGTGTGACTTTGTACTTTTTCAAGTTGGGGGATATGTGGTGACTTCCACTACAGAGTCATGTCTGTTTATGATGCAATGAGGGCCTTCCAGTGTTGGTTTTCCGACCTTGCTGCCTTTGCAGAGAATCTATTCATCTCATTATTCACTTTAGATGATGAAATCTTCCATTTCTTTGCATCTTGACTCCAAGGAACATTAATGTGAAAGTGTTGAAATATTTGCTCACACTCTCTCACAGAGTGGCGAGATTCTTCCCATCTTTACCCCAAAGAGATTGAGCCTCTCTTTTTATACTCTCTTTTTCTACACAGCTACATTGCTAACCTGTTGCAAAACAAGCTAACCTGTTGGACAATGTTCCTCAAGGTTTTATTTTAATAACATTTCACAACTTTTCAAAGTTTTGTCATTATGTCCTAACTTTTTGGAAACATGTTGCAGGCATCAATTTTAAAATAAGCATGTCTTTACTTGCGCAATTATTTTTTATAGATCTACAAAATTGTCCAGTTTCCACTCTGTTATTATTATTATTATTATTATTATTACTATGTAATAAGGTTGAGAGGCTGAATGATTTACATACGGTAAAAAATTCTGTATTTAAATTTTACACTGCATCACAACCATTTCTAAGACTGGCTTTGAAAGAGACACTGTCCTGATAAGACAACAAAACAGTTTTCTGGCATTCCGAAGGAGCATTGATGGTATTTGCTGCACTGTGATGAAACTGATAAAAGCACCATAAAAAGTGCTGAAAGTGTGATCTTTGACCTCAAAGTCACACCCAGAAAACATCACTCTATTAGAGCTTCAGATACCTGGTTGTATTAGTTGATTCAGCCAGCCTATTCAGATTTGGTTAATAGCAAATACAGAATACAAGAGAGGATGCTTGAAATGTAGGCTCTGATCATATTACTACCTTTGAGCACCTACAGTATGTCAACAAAGCAGTGTATAGGGGTTGTTGGTGATAACTGTCATCCTCTGAGGAAGGATCTATCAGGGTCTACAGGTGGGTGTTTGAGCAGGGGTGGGGCTTTTGTAAATGTGTTATTCACAGAAGCAGCTGATGAAAGAAAAGCTCTAAGGTAAATAATATAGTAGCACAGAAATAAGATCACAACAATGATGACAGGAAGATGTATGTTATGGTGAGAAGAGTATGTCGTGTGAGCATAGCAGCAACTTAGACTGGCTTCACTCCCATTTGAAACAGAAAATAAACCTTCAGCAGTTCATTTTTATAACCGCTCTCTCCTTTTATTGGAGTCAAATGAACAACAAACAAAAATAGACAACAGAAAAAAATCAATTAGTTACCGTGAAACATGGATTTAACCACTAGATAAGTCACATTTTCTTGCATAGCATTTTTGCCCAAAGCTAAGCGTTCTTAAAGAGTTTTACCCGTATTTGGAGTCTCAGTACCACACAGAGCAAAAACCACATCAGTCTGTTACTGTAGTTATGATACTTTCCAAACAAAGCACCGTGAACAGTTTAAGTTTTTCAACTGTCTCTGTAAAAACTGAAAAATACATTCTACAGTGGACGCTGCACTTTCAAGATATTTTAAAATTTCATAAAGTGTCATCTGATAGTGTGCAGCACAATGTAAAAACTGTATTTCACCCTTCTCAATCTGGTCCTGTTTACTCAGATTGAGGTGTTAACTCTGAGTATTTTATTTTGACAGGGCTCCAAAATAAAAAAAAAGAGCCTTCATGAGACTGAAGCTGAAAAATTCACACAGACAGAGACCTGTTTCTCTCCCACCTCCATCTTCCAGCGGCTCAGCCATTCTTCTCTCTGTCTCCTGCTGATGTAATATGGATCTCCAGCCTGGAAAGTCACTCTGGGGACCGGCCTCCTCCGCAGCCTCCCAGTCTCCCCCTGCACACATACGCAAATGCAAGAAGAGATTGTCATACACCAGCTCTTAAACCTGCTTCTACTATGAGTGATTTTTTTTTTCATATTTTTGATGTAAAAAGAGAAGAAGCAGTTTCTTGGTTTCTCACCTCTCTGGGGGAGTCGCAGTTTCTGTCATCTGGTTCGTCTGCAGAAGAAGGAAAGTTACAGGAAATGGCCCATTTGTATAGAGTTAACAAGAGCTTTAATGAGGAGGTAAAGTCATGGTTTTCATCACTTTGCCCAGGCATCCATATTTAAAGGTGAAATGCCTCTAAAACCTGAAATCTGGAAGTCATTTAAATTTTAAAATTGCGGGTTAATTAACAGAGGTAATCTTGGTAGTTGGGGTAGGATAGTCTTATTGATACTTTTTGGACCATTACAAACCCCTAAAGCGTCTCAAATTTTATATAGTTAGCGCTTATGTCCTGTCAAACATTGAAAGTCTTTTGCACACATCTTAAGAACTCCATATATAGACAAAGTCATCATGAGAATATGACTTTGCATCAAATCTATACCCTTATTCTTCTCGGTTTGCTCAAGTTTCCGACGCCCGCGCTTCTTGCGAGGGGAAGGGGAGGGCTCCGGCTCCTCTGGTGGGGTTGGGGGGGCGTTTGCACAGGGGTCAGAGGTCGCCATCTCCTGGGAAACAGATGGAGCACAGTCCAGGTCTGAGAAAACCACTGCTGGCCCTTGTCTAGACTCATCAAAGGACTCCACAGACATAATAACTATATACAAACACACATGTACAAGCCTTTTATGTACACACATGTAAAACTGGTCATACACACACAATCAAGGAGCTACTGCAGCACACACACACACACCTATTAGTCTGCCCTTGTTAGTACAACACAGAGCAGGTACGCTCAGCAGAGTGTGTCTGCTTAGGATAAGTGTAATAAACACCCCCGGCTCTCGTTAACACACACACACACACACACACACACACACACACACACACACACACACACACACACACACACACACACACACACACACACACTTATGAAATGAGAGGGAGATTACTGCTGATGTTGTTAACAGTTTTTATGATTATTCATGTTAAATTATGCAGAGCCCTCGTTCGTTTAAAGTTCAATTAAACTAAAAATAACTCACAGAAGACTTCAAAAGTAACAACTGCAGCATGTGGTTTGTTTAATTACACCTGAAATTACTCAGTCCTGTCTATCTGTTTGTTTATCCCTTCTAATGATGCTCCACAACTCCAATCATGAGCTTTGAAAGGCCAGCAGAATTTCTACGTCCTTGTCGTAAAGAGGCAAACACGTTTTATAGATGGGTGGTTAAAAAGTGGAGAGCAGGGGTGAATGTTGAGCTCAAAGGGTACGCTAACGCTAGTTTGCACTAACAAGCCCACAAAGGCTGTAATGAGCAGGCGAGAAGGCCTGTAAAAGGGAGAGAACGCTGAAGGTGACAAAAAGGACCGCAAGGCAAACATAACTGCACCAACATAAACTATGAAGACGGGGTATGTTGACAGGAGCAAAGTTTGGGGATTGGTGGATTTGGTGGATTTAACTTTAACCAAATCCAGGGGTGGATGTCTGTCATCAAGGCAAATATCAGCTGATACCAGAGTTCAACTTTTGCACCAGTGCATCCCTAAGTTACTGTCTGTAGAAACAGACAGTAACAGGTGGGTGAATAACGGTTAAAGGTCAGTAAAAATGCTTTCTCAAGCTTTGTAATGATACCTCTAGTCTGCAAAAACCCATTAAAGAGACTAGCACAGTGGTCTGGTTAGATCTACTAATCCAGTTAAGACCACAGCTTGACTTAACTGTGCATGTAAATGTGCTTAGAGTTACTATTTTCTAGCTCTGCAATCCACTGTAGCATCCTCTTTAATCTTTACTACAACACTTTATTTTAAGTCAGCTGCGATTGATCCCTTAAAATCCCCAAATAGTCTGTTTTATCTTAAAGCTCTCGTGAGGAAGTTCAGTTTGTGTTCATTTTGGCGCCCCTGTGGAAAATGTATTTGCACTGTACATTTGTACATCCTATTTTATGAAAAATATGCCATCCTGCTTTTCCTAACATTAACTCATCATAAATATTTGCTGTGGAGAATGTAAACTTGATCACAGTGTTAGTTCAGGCAGGCAGCAAACTTGAGCTCAGCCAATTTGAGATTAGCCTATTTTATTAGCAAATGTTAAAATAAGCCTCTGACTTGAGCTGCTTTAGCTCGTCTTTTCTTTCTACTACAAACTACTGTGCAATCTGACTCCACCCCAGCTCCTCCTTTTATGCTGTGCCTGATTTTGTCATTGTATTGTCTCTGATAGTCAGTTTGGGGACAGATTTGACATAGTAGACGCGACATAGTTTGGGGGTCTTTGCTAATGTTCTCCCCTCCTCAGGCATTGTGATTCCAAAAGCATAGCTCCAAATTACACTTATTTCGTACTGAGTCTTTTTGCTTAGTGTCTAGTTTACTTTTGTAGGTCATAAAAAGGAACCACTAGCAATTTCAATCAGTGTCATAGGCAGCGAAAAAAACTCCTTAGTGGAGATTTAAGGATGAGGATGTCAGTCTTTCATGACTTAACTGTGTTCCTACTGTGCACAATGGTATGTCATTGTTATTAGGGAAAAATCTGCATCAATGAAAAGCACGATGTTCAATTGACTTTGCCAAACATCACTGAGTAAATGGCTGAAATGACAGAGCAGATCAGGATGAAAAATCAAGAAATATACTCTTTTGTAACATTCCATATATTTCATAAACTGCAAAGAATGTAAAAGAGAACAAAATCAAACTTAACAAACAAAATTAGTGATCAAATCAACCACTGTTTTAAAAGTGGTTGAAATCGGTGCAAAACTTGCTATGTAAATCAAGCATGTGCTTTAAAAAAATAAACAGTGGTAAATAATAACTGACATAAATTAGCTCAAAGGAATCTTAAACTTTACGCAAAAACAAGCAAAACCATAGAGGAACAAACCAAGGTTAAAATGACGTATATGTTAGAGTTATAGTACTACGAGTGCACCGGCATCTATCCTGTGCATCATCACTTGCTGGCAAAAATATTCACTGTTTTAACCAAAATGAAATTAAAGCTGCATTAAGCAATGATTTTTAACATTAGGATTCTCATTAAATTAGCTCCTATAGCTAACTTTAAGGCAAACAACTGACTACTTACACATTCAGCAGAAACAGAGGAATCTGGACTCGCAGTCATCTTTTTGGTCACATGTTGAACATAAATCCAATTCAGCTCTGGTTTGGCCGACCAACTTCTGAGAGAAAAATATCTGGATGTCTTTGGTTTGCTATTTGTTCGACGTTCATCAGACACTTCGCCTCTCCGCCATTTTGAGCCTAACAGGAAGTGTATAAGCAGCCTGCGTGAGCTGGTTGTGCACTTCCTTTGATGAGAGCAGGTGCATAAGTTAAGTTTCATTTAGACCCATGAAAAAAAAAAAACTGCGACTTGAAAGCGGTGTCAGGCCGCAGACTGAGAGACAGAGGTGGTTTGCATTAACAGAAGTTATTTGATGTGACTTTTGGAGATATTGCTCAATGCAGCTTTAAAGTGAGAGACCTGAACTTGAAGACTTGGACACACACACGTCCTTTGCACAGAGAATTATGAAATCTTCAGGGCATACACACACACACACACACACACACACACACACACACACACACACACACACACACACTTGTTTAAAATCTCTCACACATAGGAACTACTCTCTAAATGTTTACAATAGCAGTTTATGTTGTTCTGTCCCCTTTTGTAACAACCCCACACTGACCTGCACTTCCTCTTCTCTGAGTATCTAACCTTGATCTTGAGTTTCAGACAGCAAGGAAAGTACCTGACTTCACTGACTTGAACCCAAGCTGTGTGCACAGCCCCATAAACCAACCAAGGACAGTCTTTAGGTTAGATTATATTCTGATGACACACATGGGGGGAGGGGGAGCCAAAGGGGAGGACAGGATGTGGCAAACAATAAAACAATGGTGCCCCAAAAATAAGGAAATATGCGCTCACACCAGCCTGATGTGGGAAATAAATGCATGGCAGCTGTGTCTTGATCCATAAATAATATGAACATGTTAAGGAAAACAGTCGGCAAGCACAAACACAAGCAGCATGTGCAAGTGTGTTTAAGCCATTTCACTGCCAGTATATCACATGGAGCAAACATAAATATGCACAGAAAGCACGAGTCCATATATTTCTGTTATTTTTAGTTCTGTACAGCACAGCAGTCATGTGATTGGAAGAAACTGTCCAAGCTGAACATGTCTTAGTGTAGTTGAGCCCTGCTTTACATGAATGACAGTCAAACATGAGGGGGTGATGTTAATATTTCCCATTGTACTGAAATTTGTCTGAGATTCGGTGTTATACTTAACTCTGACCTCTAGGACACACATTAACCCTGTCATCTAAGTCACAGTCAGTCCATTCAAGACCTTCCTTGCTTTCTTGGTAATGTAAAGCTGGTTGAGCTTTATTAGATTTCTTGTCATTTCTGCAGCTTTTTTACACTTAAACGTAAATGATCTTTCCACATTATTTTTTCTACACATTTCTACATTTTCTACAAACAAATCTTGATGTTTGTTTAGATCCTGGCATCATGAGTATACATATATGATGGCAAGGAACAAGAGAGCTGAGGAACAAAGGAGAAAAACGAGAAAACATTGAAGCAACAAGCTTTTTCATTTGTGTGCAGTTTGCTCTTGTTTTGCATCTGATCATGGAGGTGAGCTGTTATCATCTCTACTCTTGCCCTGTTCGGGCTCAAATCTGTTCACACACTGAGTGGGGGGAGGCAGTGTTATCCATGTATTGTAAAGTGGATTAATAACAGGTCTGATGATGATTTAATCGTATGTAACAGGGGTTTCTTTTTGAGGTGACTCTACATGTGAACAATAGTGATGAACATGTCAGGTGGAGTCTCAGACTGATTGAACTCCTGATATGACAGTAACAGTTATTTCAAAGTAATTACCTGACTTAATGTGTGTTGTGATACTTGGAAGCTTAAATTTGCCATCACTTAAAACTACATTAAGCTAATGTGTGCACTTGATGAATCAGACATGACTTTTTGGTGAAAAAGCAGCAAAATCAGATCTAGTTGTGTTATAATACGGGGTAGAGGAGGGTTCAGATTACATTACTTGCCATCACCAAAATCACCAAATATGAACAAAGACAGCTCTGGCTGCAGAAAAAGGAGGAGACGGTTAGCCAAAGTGAGGTACTCTCAAGTAATGAGGCTGAGGAGCAATTCTCCATTTTAAAATGACTGGCGATAGTTGAAGCAGAAACATTATGACGTTATAATCAGTGTCTGTGGTTAAAAAGTGTCACAGCAGATCAGTAAAGTTGTGGGTAATGATGGTTGACTTCACAGTGAATCTATCTATTTGACATGTTTCAAAATTTATCCAAAGTTTGGGATCTTTAGATTTAAAAACCACTGAACATTTGTGGCGGCTGAAGTTCCCACTGATTTGCCAACGTAACATAAAACACAGACAGAAGGCAAATTGGCTGTTTTTTTCTATGATGCAGTACATTAAATGACAGGAATCTACATCCAGTGGTTTTGTACTGATGTTTAATCAAAACTGAATAAAATGAACTACTTCCACAGAGGTTTTGACTCATTGTAAAAATAAAAGTGATCGCATGCATGTAGGTTTAATCTGTGATGCTGCAGAGAGCCTTTAAATGAACATATACACAGCCTCGTCTCAAACTGAATGATGTTGTAACAGAAGTTTTTCCCCCTTGGACCTAAAGAATGCAACTTTGTCTCTACAAGCCAGTGGTCACAAAACTTTTATTTCACACACTGCAAACAAAACCACAAGTTTTCCACAATGTCTCTGTGACCTGAGGTTTTGGCACAAAAGAGAAATTCTGAAAGAAACCAGAGTAAAGTGCAAACATGCTAAGATTAAATCAAAAGTTATCGAGTCATGCTTATTCCAAATTAAGACCTGTGGTTTTATACGGTGATTCAACTGATTACAGTTCAGCTGTTCTCTGGATAAAATCAAGTCGTCAGGCTGCATAAAAACTTTGATTTATTATACTGATTAAATCTCACTGCACTGTGGCTGAGAGGGGGTTTCCATGATAAATAATTCTATAAATAATAGGAAAGATAGAAGTATGTCTTTAGTCCTACTGTACAATCGACTCCATTTCAGGAAAAAGCCACAAGCGTGAGGCACACATATGCACACTCATGCTCAAAAAGCCACCAGCTGCTCCACACATGGTTCCAGTTGCAGTAAAAAAAAAGAGAGAAAAAAGAAAGAAAGGAAATAAAAAAGAGGAAGTGATCGACACTTATTCTAACCTACAGCTTTAGGAGGGAGAAAATAAAACATGAAGCAGCAGCCAAAAATCACGAAAGAGTGGGAGCAGAGGTAAAAATAAAAAAAAAGATGGGAGACCATGAAACTATGTCCACTTTTCCATGAATACTATCCCCACAACTGTAAAAACTCTGCATGTAGGTGTTTAGAAGTGTGTATTTGTGTAAATGCGTGTGTGTACATTATTATATTTACTAGAGGTGAATGAGTGAGGGAAGCAGGAGGAGGGGAGACAGTGAGGCTCCCTCCGTCTCTGCTCTCTATAGTTAGTGTCACTTACAGCTCCACCCTGATATACACACAATGGCTCTATTCCTGGACACCACTCAGTGTGTGTGTGTGTGTGTGTGTGTGTGTGTGTGTGTGTGTGTGTGTGTGTGTGTGTGTGTGTGTGTGTGTGTGTGTAATGAATAACATACTGTCTGCTTGGCAAGAGGGCTCTTTTATAAATACATCCTCAGCAACCTACTTCTTGGATTAACACCAGTACCTTCATCATAGTAATCAGAGAGCATTACTGCGGTGGATACTTCAGCTATTATACTTCAACATACAGGGTTACAATTACATGACCACTCATAGTCATACCATACTGATAGTCCAACTTCTACTTGAACTACTGCCATGGCAACATTTATTTCACTGATGCATTACTTTAAGTCTAATAAAATTCCTATCACTACTATTAAGACTACAGCCGCTGCTACAACTAACCCTTCTATTTAAGTCCCACCAATACTCTTGTACAACAATTACGTCTGTGGCTACTGATATCTACAACTACTGTGAGAATTTTCACATAAGTGACATTGCTGTGTTACAACAATTTGCAAAAACTTCAACTAATACAACTACTCTTAGGACCTGTGTCCACTGACAGCATCATTTGCACCGGCAGTGCCCTCATTTCATCTTCAATTTTAGAGTCCTTCAATCCATCTATTTTTTGTGTCTAGGCTGCAAAAGTCCCCAACTATTAAGGCTGTCTTTAACTGTTTGTTGTGCTCTATATAAGGGGAAGCTTTTAAGAGTATTTCAAGGGAATTTTAAATAGATAACATAAAAACAATCGAAAGATGTCATGTCCTGGAGTGAGGAGCTCAAGCCTAGAAATCTTTCCCCAAAGTCTAATTGGTTTCTCCACAGTTGTTGTTAAAAGAGTCGCCCCCATTTTGATTTTGTTTAGTCCTTGAGGAAGCGAAGGAAGTGATGTGATAAGCGCAGAAAAGTGAATCTATTTTCAGCTGACAGTAGGGGGTGTCCAGCTACAACTCTCTTACTTCTGATACGATACTGATATTGTCCTGATATTGGCACAAACTTGTGCATGACAGGCTTTGCTCTCAGCTGCAACATCTTTTTTGGACTTACAGTGCATCCGGAAAGTATTCATACCACTTCACTTTTTCCACATTTTGTTATGTTACAGCCTTATTCCAAAATGGATTAAATTCCCTTTTTCCCTCAAAAATGCTACACAAAATACCCCATAATGACAAAGCCAAAAACTTTTTTTAGAACATTTTGCAAATTTAGTAAAAATAAGAACACTCAAATGTTGCATATACATAAGTATTCACACCCTTTACTCAATACTTGGTTGAAGCACCTTTGGCAGCGATTACAGTCTCCAGTCTTCTTGTGTATGATGCAACAAGCTTGGCACACCTGGATTTGGGGAGTTTTTCCCCATTCTTCCTTGCACATCCTCTCAAGCTCAGTTAGGTTGGATGGGCAGCGTCAGTGCACAGCTACTTTCAGGTCTTTCCAAAGATGTTCAATCGGGTTCAAGTCTGGGCTCGGGCTGGGCCACTCAGGGACATTCAGAGACTTGTCCTGAAGCCACTCCTTTGTCTTCTTGGCCATGTGCTTAGGGTCACTGTCATGCTGGAAGATGAAGCGTCACCCCAGTCGAAGGTCTCGAGAGCTCTGGAGCAGGTTTTCATCAAGGATTTCGATGTACTTAGCTGCATTCATTTTTCCCTCGATCCTGACAAGTCTCCCAGTTCCTGCCGCTGAAAAACATCCCCACAGCATGATGCTGCCACCACCATGCTTCACTGTAGGGATGGTATTGGCGAGGTGGTGAGCGGTGCCTGGTTTCCTCCAGACATGACGCTTGGCATTCAGGCCAAAGAGTTCGATCTTCGTTTCATCAGACCAGAGAATTTTGTTTCTCCTGGTCTGTGAGTCCTTCAGGTGCCTTCTAGCAAAGTCCAAGCGGGCTATCATGTGCTTTTTACTGAGGAGTGGCTTCTGTCTGGCCACTCTACCATAAATGCCTGACTGGTGGAGTGCTGCAGAGATGGTGGTCCTTCTGTAGGGTTCTACCATCTCCTCAGAGGAACGCTGGAGCTCTGTCAGAGTGACCATCGGGTTCTTGGTCACCTCTCTGACGAAGGCCCTTCTCCCCCACTTGCTCATTTTGGCTGGGCAGCCAGCTCTAGGAAGAGTCCTGGTGGTTCCAAACGTCTTCCATTTTTTAATGATGGAGACCACTGTGCTTTTTGGGATCTTCAATGCAGCAGATATTTTTCTGTAACCTTCCCCAGATCTGTGCGCCAATATAACCCTGTTTTGGAGGTCTACAGACAATTCTTTCAACTTCATGGCTTGGTTTGTGCTTTGACGTGCTCTGTCAGCTGTGGGATCTTATATAGACAGGTGTGGCTTTCCAAATCATGTCCAATCAGCTGAATTTGCCACAGGTGGACTGGAATCAAGTTGGAGGAACATTTCAGTTTTATAGCAAAGGGTGTGAATACTTATGTATATGCAACATTTGAGTGTTCTTATTCTTAATAAATTTGCAAAATGTTCTAAAAAAAGTTTTTGGCTTTGTCACTATGGGTTTTTTTGTGCAGAATTTTTGATGGAAAAAAGGAATTTAATCCATTCGGAATAAGGCTGTAACATAACAGAAAATACTGTTAATGGACACAGGCCCTCACTGCTAACAACAATTAGATGACTATGTCTGAATTAGCTAGCCAAATCTTGTCTTCTATTTCTCATAATAACAATGGTAACTTGAAATTATGTATTGCTTTTTAAGAGAACCAAGGACACTTTATGAGCAGGGAAAAAAGAGATGTTAGGATAAAGATAATAATGGATATCTTTACCAAAGTCCCAGTGTTTGCTCTAAGCTTTTGTGTATTACATTGCACATACAAGTGTTTTTATACTGCTGTTGTTTCAGCAACTCCAACAAGGTATGTATTATCTATACTACTGGTACTATAACACAGGAGTACTCAGGTAATCTGTGTCATTCAATTATCTGCATCAGTGCGCCACTCACAACACTATCTAATTGGAGAGAAACCACAAGACCGTGTAACACTACTGTACTGTAAGTGTAACTGGTTAACGGTTAGCTCTTGTATATGATAATTCACTTTTAATTAAACATCTGCTGGAGGCATTTAAGCAAAGATTTGTGTTGGATTTTATAATATTACAATTTAAATGTTTTGACATAAAGTGTCTAATTTTTACCGTCAATGGATATCACTCACTAACATTGGTTACTGGTCTCATGTAATACTAATAATCTGTATCACATTGGCTCTGAAAAAAACATTTAGGTCAACTCCTACCATATAAGTTACTATAACTGTGGGGACAACAACCTCTGCTCCTACTTCTGGTTACATTTCTTCACCAAAACCACAACTGCAACTACAATGACCTGATCACTAAAACAGCCTAATACCACAAGTACTCCTTCTTCTACCGCAATTACTTTACTACAACAACAGATATGTTTAAAACTTCTACTGCCAATAATACAACAAGTCTGTCGGTGGGTTGAGCAGTGCTGTTTTTCTGCTACAGCTATAACTTGTACTTTTTGCCACATATGTAGCATCAGTTTACCTCTTATACTACTACTATTTCACAAATGGATCCACTTTTACTACTCCTATAGATTTGTCAAATTTACTTAGTTGTACAGATGACACACTATTTGCAGTGCTGACATGCACATATGTATTTCACCTGCAGCTACATGTGTTTGTAGCATGTACAGATTCTCTTTTCTCTACGAAAATGTGTGTGTGTGTGTGTGTGTGTGTGTGTGTTTGAGAGGGCCAAAATTTCTCCTGTCTACCTTGTCAGAGTCATACATCAAAGCATGATCAGACCTGCTCTCCTGCTGACATGAATGCAAACACACACACACACACACACACACACACACACACACACACACACACACACACACACACACACACACACACACACACACACACACACACTTCAGAAACCTCAGTGTGTATTCTATTCTTTCAGGTGTTGTTTGATCAGCAATATTGACTTGCTGATTCAACCACAGAGTTCACTCAGCACAAAGACACACACACAGCTACACACACCCCCACACATATTCACATATATACACATAAGGTGGGTGATAGGAGGATGAATGGAGTGAGAAATGTGGAGGAGAGGAGCTGCCAAACACCTAAACATCAGGGGGAGTGAAGAAAACAGAGTACGGTGTGATACTGCAGCTCATATCTCTTCCTACTGACAGTCTAAAGGAGACTGAATGAATCTCCCTTGAAAAAGCTGATAATGATGCATAATGAACATTTACAGATTAAAAGCTACACAAGGAACAATTTTAAAGCTCCTGTGAGGAGTTCTTTGACATTTATGAAACAGACTAAAACACACACGGATATCTTTTTATGATAAACAAAAGTAAACATAACCATCAGCCACAAAACGGACGACTATCACATTATAAGTTTCAACACTTGAATTCTGTGTGAGGGGATAGGTGTCATCCAAGCAGCTGAAAAAACAGACAATTTTTACACAAAATATTTAAAATTAATGATATAATTGACTGTTAAGAGTCAGCAGGATGAGAAAGAAGGATTCCTCCACGGGGGCACCAAAATTGACTCAAGCAGGAAGTTCCTCACAGGAACTTTACACTGTGTAAAAAATTCTGGTGTTTAATTGTTGCTCCAGCCAAACAGCACAACAAGAAGGTTTAAACTAAGCAAATTTAGACCCTCAAGACTCTCAACATTCAACAGGAATGTGATGGTACTTTGTTAATCAGTTGAAGGTAAGTACATGTATAAATCTGTGAGATGAACATGAATCATGAGGCCTATTTCAAATAGTAGAGAAGTTTTATCTGCCTTTGACTTCTCTTGTGTGTCTTCTTTTATGTCTGTCGCTGAATGGAGCCATGATGGCAGCAGGTGAAGATTTTGCATTTCAGGGCCTGTATGAGTGTATTTGCCAAGCATTTTTGGCATTTTCCTTTTTTATCTATTTAAAGATGGTTTTTAAACACAGGAACTTAACCCCAGGAACCAGAGACCTTTTGAGGAACTGTGTGCATTCCAGCTGCAGGGACTAGGGTCTAAATTTAGTCCTGGGGTAAAAGATTTACCACTTGAAAAGCTCCTGTTCAACTGGTAGTGCTTTCCAATAGTCCAGGGACTTTGGTAGGCATGGCCTGACGATGAAAACAGACTCTAGTTTATATCCTACATAACCTGATGTTACAAATCAGTAAAACTATGTGTAAACATGGATTTGGACTCTTTTTAACTACATTATATCCATATCAGGAATGCCTCTGGGTGTTAACAGTGTCAGGAGTTAGTCTCACCAGGAAACAATCTTTTTAACAATATAAACCAGTGAAAAATTTACACAGAGACAGCAGCTGAGCAGAGAAAGGATAAACAGGTAGAGGCACCAGGAGGCAAAAGTAGAAGAGCTCATATCCCCTGTAACCTGATGGTATTTTAATTATCAATACAGCTTACCTGCTGCAGACATGATTTGTGACAACTTTTTGTGTAAAAATCGATTCAGCGGAGACTCTCCTAAAGAGCTGTGCAAGTCACCTCATTTCTTAAGCACATCCCTGGATGTCATTGGCATTGGCCTGATTTATACAATTTACCCAAGACTTCGAACCCTGCTGGAAATGCAGACAATAATGGGCCACAGTAACCACTTATTCTTAAAGAAAAGTCCCTGGAACTAAAAGTTACAGGTATTATTAGTCAAAAACCACCCGGAGATTGCTGACAGCAGTCAGTAAATAAAAGAAAAATCTCTCTATACTCTTTGCACAAGCCATGGCAGTTTACAGAGAGAGACGTAATAGTTGTGAATGCAACATCAGAGCTGATGCCTCTCCTGAGGGTTGCTAATCATCTAATCAGTTTGCTAGCAATTGCTCCACAGCTGTTTTCACCATCCTGTGTAACTTAACAATCGAGCTCAAGTATTTTTTGGGTCCTTTCACAATAAAAGCATGTTTGCCATCCAATCAGAGACAGAGTGGCCCAGACATATGGCACTAAAAAAGGCAAAGTCACAGCTTTATAAATAAAAAGTTATGATGTTTGAGCACAAAAACGGTTTCATGAGCCCAACATCATCAATCCAGTGCATCATGAGGTGACTATATTGTTACATTCCTACCAAAAGCCACCCTAGTAATTCAACTAGCCTTTATTTTGTTAAGTAAAATATAAACAGTACTTATAGAAAATAAAGCCAAGCAAGAACACTTCCCTCTAGACTTCAACTTTCATTAAAGCAGTGATAGCAAGTCGGGGATGGAGCCAGACTCACAAGAGAATAAGATGACCAAGTAATAAGGAAATGTTGTAAGCACTACACATCTCTGGAGACTCAATGCAAAGACTAACAGCTCTGCAAACAGTCAACATGTAGGGAAATCCCTCATCTTAGACAAACTCCAGGTAAAAAAAATATATATATATTGAGTGATGAGTAAAAGCAGAAGAAAAGCTGAAAGGATGAAAGCTGCTGTGAGGAGGAAAGTACACTGACTACTACCACTAGTGTGAGCTGTCCAACACACTCAGATGTAACACTCATTTTATGTAGTACTTGTCCCCTCAGGCGCCTCTGTGTGTTTCTGAGCAGCAGCTTACATGAGAGTGCACAAACATGAAGCACAGTGTTTTTGGTGCAGCAGTGCATGCATGTTTTGAAAATCTGGGGGACTGTGAATAGGTGAATAATTTGCAATCAATCATTCACCACATTGTGGAGTATAAAAGGCCAACGACAGCCCTTAATTACAGTACTCACAGGAAGCAGCTGTTTGCGTTTCCTGCCAGGACGACCCACTCTGCGCTTGTTGCGGGGACTCGCTGGCGTCCCCTCCTCTGGACTGTCCTGGTCTGCTCCATCTTCGCTCTAGAGGGTTATGGAGAAACCACATCAAACACTGAGCCCATCCATTACTGTGTGAAGTTATAATTGAAGTCAGCAGTGAGGCAGCTTTTAAGAAACAATGCCTCGAGGGAACATAGGGGAAAAGCAGCATTTTTAAGTTAGAGGCTACAACACAGGAAACATGAATTAAAGTACCATATTTACCACAACAACAAAAAAAAGACCAAAACATAAAGATGAGTTTTAAAGACAAACTTCTCTTACAAGTCCTGATTAAACAAAGCTGTTTGAGACCAAATGAGTGGATTACTTTAAGTTTTTGTATCATTCTTTAGGTTATAATTATGGTCTCTCTTTTGTCTGTTCATGTGTGGTTTTTCTTTATCTTGACATCATTAATGGCAGAAACCAAGAATTTTCAAGGTTAAAATGAAGGTTTGAAAGATGTTTGCAGACATGAAATGAAGCTGTGATCAGTACAGAGTAAATTACACCTGCTTTATATTTATCTCAGCAGGAGTAAAAAGTACAAAAAAAGAGACAAAAATATGAAGATATTTGTTTGTTGCTCCCTCAGAAGTGTGTAAACCCAGCTTCCTGTTGTGTCTGATATTCAGATCTCAAAATAAGGTTTGACTCTACATGTTTGTTATTGAGCTCACAGCAGACACAGAGTGCAACAGCAGCACAGAGTTGTAGAATAGGAGTGGTGTAATTTTACACTGATGAATAAAACAAAAATAGCATGCAGCACCCATGTGTTGACGAGGTGGTGAGTTCACTGGGTCAGATGCGCAGTGAAAAAACTGCTGTGGAAAGCTCGTAACCAGAAGGATCCAGACTGATGAGATCACAGTTAGAGGTAAAACTCAGATTTCTTCATGTCTTGACCTCTAACTTCCAAATACTTTAACCTACAGAGTCCAGATTTAGACTCTACTGTCATTCTTTGAACCGCTTCCATAAAGTTACATAAGTTTTGATTCAATGGAAGAGGTACATTTCAAAATAAAAGCTCAGTTCCACGAAGCAGGAAAGAAGCAACCTCAACACAAGACAGGAAAACCATCAAAATAAAGGCATGAGTTACAGGTACTTGGTGAGACATTTCAGTCACAGGGCTGTTGATGCTGATAAATCATAAATATGAACATTATTAGAAATGGATAATGGTATGTAAATGAATCGCAGTTATTAGTAAAGTGTTGGTAGTAATGTGTCGTCTAGCCTTTCCTCAATTGAACTGCTTTTGTTGTTTTATTTTAAAATTTTCCAGTGTTGTTAATGTGATATTTTATGGTCACAATTGTGAGTTGAATATCTGATACTGAGACAGCCCTTGTCTACAGTTGGCCCCTCAAAGTGTCCCCAGATCAAACTGAGAAATGTTCTTGAGATGATTATGGAGAGAAAAAAACATCTGGAGCATGACTGAGTGATCAAGTGATCAGACTAGACAAAGCTTTCTTTTCTGGGCCACAAATCAAAAGAGATTTAATCTTCTCAATGTAATTCAGCGTATTACTGTTTTTGTTTGAAATCTTAATCTACAAATTAACTACATCTAAATCTAGTAAATGGTGAAATTCAATAACCAAGTACCTTCGATATAAGTAACGTAGAGCACATGCGTTATAAAATTATCATTATTTCCTGGACTGGAGTCATTGTGTCCAAACATGAACCAGGAGGCTTGAACTGCAACTCAACTTTGACTTCAAACTCAACAAACTCATGATTTCACAGGTACTTTGCGTCCTTCCTGTGCCCTGAGTTTACACCCAACATGAAAAGTCTGCTTCAAATTACTCCTTCACTTTGTCTGATCACAGCCGATCACACTGTGCAAGCCAGGGGGAGAAGTTTCACACACTGACCGTGAGACAAGGGGAGAAACCAAGAGAGATGATACAGGGGTGTATAGAGGAGAGCAGGGAGAGGAGCAGGAGGACAGAATGAGCACTGTAGCCATCACAAGTGTGATTTGAGGTGTCATTTTGTTTTAATTATAATGCATCAGATTTCATATAGCACTTTATCAGAGCCCCTCAAAGCGCTCTACATTGGATACATCATTCATTCACTCACACAGTCACACCTCGGTGGTGGTAAACGACCTTAGTAGTCACAGCTGCCCTGAGGCAGACTGACAGAAACGTGGCTGCCAGTTTGCGCCTATGGCCTCTCCGACCACCACCACACAACACTCACAATCATACACCAGTGGAGGACATACACTGGGAGCAGGGTGGGTTAAGTGTCTTGCCCAAGGACACAACGGACAGACTTGGGATAGGGGGGAATCGAACCGCCAACCTTCCAGTTGTTGGCCGACCGCTCTACCTCCTGAGCTACTGCTCCCATTTCAATCCCACGTCCCCATAAACAGATCCCTGGTCTGATTCAGACCTGTTGCTCTTTGCTGCATGTTGTTCCCCACTCTGTCTGCATAAAAGCCTAAAAACCAAATTAAAAAAGAGATGAATTTGACTCAAGCACAGTTTTAAAGACTTTGAATTAATCCAAGATTTGTAGGCTGTGGCTTCAAACTTCACCCTAAATGTGCCTTATTTGTTTAATCATGGATGTTTGTTATCATTGATCACGTTTTGATTAGTCATGTATAAATCCAAGGGGGCGTTACTCCTAAGATTGTGATCTAAGCTGAGGAAGAGTAGAGACCTCTAAATCCATTCAACACTGTTTATTAGTCCATATATTCACATCAGAACCCCCAACCCTATCAGCTCTAAATCTGAACTCCTGTCACAGTGTTAATGCTCCCCCTCCCTCTCCAATAATTTCAGTGTCCAAGCAAACTCGAGTCCGGTCCTTACTTTCTTTTCTAACACCTGCTCTGGCCAAGATTCTGGACACATTTTTTATTGGACCCAGAAGGAAACATGAAAGAGCCAAATCAAATCAGCAACACCTGCTGCATCTTCAGTTGTTAAACCATTAAAAACTGGAGTGTGTGGCGCCTTACAAACATCCCTTTTAGACGGTAGTATTCTTAATGTGCGGCTTTAAAAAATAAAATTTATGTCACTGTTACAACAAAGAGCCACTGGACTCTCAAGGCAACTCTACATGAGAAAATGTGTTTTATTATAAGAGCTTTAACCTACTTGTGCCAAGTTTAAGGGTAAGACAACAGAGGCAAGTGATCCATGCAGGATAAAACAAATGGAGGCAGCTTGGAGAACAGTGAGAGTTAATCACTTTCTCGATTGAGTCTAAATTTCCTTTGGGTCTGTTTAAGACTTTAAAGTTATATCTGGATTTAAGTCCGGCATTTTGGGTAAAGTACACTTTTTAAATCCTCTAAATCTTCTAACATGCACTGAAGATTAAGGACACCTCAGATTGCAGCTGGTTAAAGTTACTATTAAAGGCTTGATATCAAGTATTTATACGAGTCCAAACATACCCAGGAGGAAAACGAGTTACTAGTCTTGAATTGCTGCATTTTTTATCTGATAGTAATTTTCAAGACTTCCAGCACTGAGAGTCTCAGAGTTATGTTTTTTTAAAGTTTCTACACTCACTCTGTTCTCAGTTTTAAAGTAACATCTGCTCTTTTTTCTCACTGGAATGAGTATTTGACCCGGCAGTGTCCACCGCCTGCTGTCGGCCGTGTGTTTCCATTATTGCCGTCCTCCCTCTCTCCTGGCCGGCCCTTATGTTGCAGTGACACAGGAATGGTTGCTAAGGTGCTGAAACTGCTTAGCAACTGTCTCCCATCATGCTGACTAAACATTCTGATGTCACTTCCCTGACAATCAGCATAGCAACCAGCGAGAGAGGGTAATGGCCCATAGCCTGTCTGCCTGGTGTGCCGTCCATATGGCCGTGTCACGATGCACCCTTAAGAGAAGTCCACACCTGTTTTTACGAACAGAGCACACTAAGAGTCAAACAAAAGTTCAATTTAATCACGAAGAGTGAAGTTACTTATACCCATTGAATAGCATTTCTTTTGTCTTCTGATGAGACCTTAATGTCCTGTGTGGACAAAAATTAGCAGTAGTCAAGAGCAAAGGGAGGTTATGTCCTCACTTGCATGGCTGAAAAATAAACAGTCTCACTGTGAGCCTGCTGTGACAGTTTTACCTCAACTACAATTGAAATTAAACTGCCAAAATTTCACAAATTTATTCAAATGTGAAGGTTCAGTCCCTCAGACTGAGTTCTTCAAATTTTCTGGCATTTGCCTCATTTCTAGTGCTTAGATTTGACAAAAATCAGACCTGTTAGGCTTTAAATCAGTCTCAGTAAGTTTTCAACAACAGAAAATACCTGAAATCATATTTGCTATGACTTGAACTTGACTTTCTAGCCTACCCAATTATTTCAGACATGAAGCCCTGATATTTTCTGGAACTTGCTGTTCATACATGCACTTCACAGTGGAAGATTTTTCTTGTCAGAAGCGCCTACCCTTGACTCACTATACCCTGTTTGGTTGAAGCACATGCAGGAGAAGGAGGAAGGAGGAGGAGGAGTCTTCTCTAGTCCTGGCTGTTACTGAAATAATATCACTCTATCAAGTATTGGGACATTACTGTCCCAAGCACAACAGTTTAAAGGACATTCAGATGACTGGCAAGCAGAGAAGAGTCTCCAACACCACTCAGCATCATTACTCTGCACACATGGTTGCGTGGAATTTCCTGACTTCAACCTTTCCTGACTTTTTGTAGAAATTTTACCGGGTAGGTTTGCAGAAAAAATGTCCAGAAAAGTCATGGTGAAAAATATACGTCCCTTTGTGGTCACAAATGCAGCCCACCTGTGTTGAGTTGTACACATATCAGCACCATGTTGCCTCACTGAGCAAATAATTCATGGGAGTTACAGATATTCTTCATGTGCACCGATTGGCATACATTACAATAATAAGTCCTAACCAGCAGTATGACTCTGTCCCCTCATCCCTGTACATGAAAAGTAAAGGCAGGGAGAGCAGCAGCAAAGACCCCACAGTTACAGAGCCAAGGGAAGCATCACTGACAACACATCCACAAACACAGCAGAAAAAGGTGAAGCTGTTGTTGAAATGGTTTGCAGAGGAGCTGAAAACGTCTGCAGGCTTGCCTGGACGAGCATTATGCTTGCTCAGTTTAATTTCAGGCATATTCTGACTCATTTTATTCCATGTGCTTAACTGCTGAGTTAAAACAGTTACTCAGCAGATAACCTGAACTACAAAGGGATGATGGGCTATTTTCAAAAACTGGTTTTACAGTTCAAGGAGATATTAAACAAAATCAAGGTTCCTGCTCCCCCCTCTCAGTGAGAATTTGTTTTTATATGGATGTGTATTCTGGAGTTTTGGAAAGTCAAGCACATCATTTGGTGGAGCTGCCCCGAGCTCTGCCAGAGAAAAACATATAAGAACACTTAAAACTTTCAGTGGCACCTCCTTTTTTAGGTCAGGTAAGTGAAACAAACCAAAATATGATAACAAATTGAACGTGAAATGATAGGATCTACCCGAGTGATTATACTTCAAGTACTCATGAAATTCGCTGTACTGGAAAGTAAAACATAAATAAGAAAAAGATTGAATCTCTCAATTATTGCTTAAATGATCGTCTCACTTCAGTCTCTTCGAAGTCTGGTTTCTTTTTCATCTTGTTATCGACCCCAGTGGGCTCCTCAGGAGAAATGACTCAGATACAAATGAACTCAAAGAATGAGTCAAGAATGTGATGTTCAGTCAAGTCCCATGAGTCCAGGAGAAGTGACAAATAAGCAAATTTTTTACTCTATGGGACACACAAACAGACACACACACTGTCCAATCTGTCCATATATCTTTGGTCTATTTCTGTCTGCAGGCAGGTTATTTTAGGCCATTGCAGTTACTAAGCAACCAGACTGCAAACCAGGCGGGCAGAGGAGGATCCCATCAGCGGCAGACAGCTTGTCCTCTTTCTTTCCACCCGGTCCACACGTTTCCCTCCATGTCTCTGTCTTTATTGGGCTCATTTCCTGTACCATCCTTCTTTTCTGCTACATTTCTAGGCTTCACGTTAAATCCACTGCACACGCCAAATCAACAGCTGAAGATGCTGTAACATCCACACTTGACCTCTAATTTCTAGATTGAATCTTTTAAAGATTTCAACATTAATGGGGGGTTTGCACTGTAGATGGCAGTTTCACCAATATTGTAACATAGAGTAAGATGCAGTCTCAGATAAATACAGTTTTTCTCTATTGCTAAAACACATTTCACCATACTATCCCCCCTTTTCCCACAACCCTAAACACAAAACACTTTTCTCAAGCACTATTCACACAACAGCAAATTCTCTTCCCAAAACCAACCCATACACTCCAAAACAGAACAACGTATGTTCAAAGTCACTCGAGCACACCAAAACAATTGCACCTACGCTCAAAAGTCTCACATATTCTCAAAAGTCCACCTTGACAACACAATACCTCTCAAGGCCTGCAAAAATGTAAACACTACCAAGCGTCATTACACACACTTTAAATAATGCAAAACACAATGTTCATAGTGTGAGACCGTTCTTTTTACAGTTTCATCACTGCAGAACACATTTTTTTAGAAACCCTTACATACATATATTCTCAAATATATATTGGGCATGCACTCTAGATTTGTGTGTTTCATAGGAATAGTCACATGAAGAAAAAGCAGTTACTGTATCACAACTCAATGCAAAGCAGTGTAAACACCATGGAGGATCCATTGCACACAATACATACAGTACGTATAGTGTACAGTAACAATTGAAAACACAATGTTCAGGGTGTAACTTTTTTTTATTACAGTATTGACAGTATGTTTAACTGCACAGATTTGAAAGACTGCCACATGCAGGTGGGAGACGAATCCCAAGAATCGACATGGTTCAGGAGAATTGTCTACATGGTTCAGGAGAATACTGTAATATCATAAGGGGAAATACAGGATAACATCTTTGCTGACAATCTGAACTTCACAAACTCAGCCTGACCACTGACTCCAGTTGAGCTGCTGTGAATATGGAACCCCTCCCACCTGCATGTGGCAGTCTGTCAACTCTAGAGAAACAAAAATATATTTGGTCAGTACAGAGATAGTCCTTGCAGTACACAGTACTGTAACACTTTTACCCATGGTTGCAATTGTTCTAGGTGAAAATGAAGGCTTGCCCCTCAACTGCACTCAAGTTTACAGTAATGTACAGTAAAGGTAATGAAACACGCAGTTTACAGAATCATACATATACTGTAAATGCTGTACTGTAAAATACAGTACTGTAAAGGCATGTATTCAATACATGGACATCTCTTTACAGCAAACTGTGGTAAATCGAATTGCACTCCACTACGTATGCAGTACAGTATCTGTATAGACATCTACTGTAGTGACCAAGAAATACTACATTCAGTACCTGTTGTGTTGTCTGAAGGCCTGAATGATGGTGGCCACTGTATATCGGTTTATGTTTGGCTGGACTCGTTGGCCAGCTTCAGTCATGGTCATTCCATGGACAATGACATGGTTGATAACGGTCGCTCACATCTCATCTGTGATGATCGTGCGTCGACGTCTCATTAGCCCTTCTCTTGCTCCTTGGCCTGCTCCTCTTGCTCCTCGGCCTGCTCCTCTTCCTCCTCGGCCTGCTCCTCTTGCTCCTTGGCCAGCTACGTGCCCCCCTCGGCCAGCTCGTGCCCCTCCTCGGCCAGCTCCTTGCCCCCCTCAGCCTGCTCCTCTTCCTCCTCGGCCTGCTCCTCTTCCTCCCGCGAATCCCTCTGTCTTGTCCCTCCATTGTTCGGAATATTCAGCACACTCTGCACTCTGCACTGACTTATATAGGTGTGGTTACCAGGTGTCTTCAATTTTGAGTCGTTGTGTTTAATCAAGGACGCAAGGTATGTTCATTGTGTTCAAGTTTTGCTGACTGTGGGTAGCATTTTGCATCAAATGAGCTTAACTGTGCATGTTTGAGCAGATGAGTTTTGCAGGATGTGTTTTAGCAAGAAAAAAATGTGTTTAGAGTTCTGAGAAGATGTGAGTGGGTTTTGTGAATAGTGTCTACAGGTGAAATGTGTTTCTGGTTGTGGCAAATAAGGGCTTCATTTTAATAAATGTGTTGAGGCAACTGGTCATTTGGTTTAGAGTATGTTGAAATGTGTTTTAGCAATAGAGAAAAACTGTATGATATGTAGGAGGGAGCTCAGAGCGACAAAAACTGATTGTTTTTGGACTTATTTTGGATGTTGGAGGATCCTGATATGATCTGATACTTTGATTTGATCTGATTCTTTGATACGATGCAGCATGAATATGATACGATGGCACATTACTCAGACTGTTCAGTTGTGCCTTAATTCCTCTATGACCAGGCTCCTCACAGCAGCTCTGTTATCACTGAAATGCCTGAATGCTGCTGTTGACTGAGTCTGTTTTGTTTTGTTTGGTTCTTCTTTGTGTAACCTGGTAGGCTGTAAAACAGAACTGCTCTCCTGGGGTAAGTGAGTCGTCTGAATCTGAACCTGGATCCAAACAAAGAGATGGAATAAACAAATGGTCCGCAGAAATACAGAGGGCTGTTTTGACCAACCTGGGAAATACTTTCACTGTCTCCAAACAGATGCTGATTACTCAGACTAATAACAAGTGTTTTTAAAATGATAAGATGTAAGACATATACATTTCAACTAATTATGGCATCTAATTTCATTATTATGACTTTTTATCTCATCACTTTTTCTTCAGCTCACTTTCACAGTCTGCACAAAGCACCTTAAGTCAGGATCTTTCCTGTTCTTCCTGCTGATACAAAGTTTTTACATTATATGTTTCTAAAGACAAAATCACACAGCAGCTTTACGGCATATTTCTCTTGTTTACTGGCAGACTCTACTTGGAAGAGGGCACCTTCATGCTGTACAAAGTAGAGTGATAAATAGTTTTTCCCTCTGGTGTGGGCGGGACTTAATTACTCTGTCTCTATTATCTGAGAGCATTCAGGAAGGACGTTTGATGCAGGCAGGCGGAGGCTTTGATGTCAGATTTTTTCTGGTAGGTCCTGCATGTGTGCCATTCAGAGCAGGTTTATACACTTTGGCTATAAGAGGTTTGTGTCAGGCCTACTGTAGTCTTGAGAGTTCATAGATGGGACATGATATCGCTGAGCAGAAAAATCCCTGAAGAGTAGAGTTCCTTCAACAGTCTTTTGACTCTCTTTGTAGTTGAGACATAAAAGCAGAGCGGGGGAACAAATTGGAGCAGATACATTACAGCAGAAATCTGACCGAAGTAGTTTAAGATTGTAATTAACTGTAAGGGCGGCATTTAAGATGAGGGCTAAAGCTTAAAGGGATAGTTCAGGGATTTTTAAGAGGGACTGTATGAGCTACTTTTCAGTAGTATATAAACTATGTACAGCGAATGACAGGCTAAGTGTTTCTGCAGACAGTGCTGGGAGTTGTGAGTTTTTGTCCATTAAAAAAGATGTTTTGGTTTCAATGTATTTTATAACTTGGGATAGTTTTACTGCTTCATCTTGATGGCAGACAGTCCTTTCCTTTGGCACTTTGTTTCGATCCATTTTACTTCATTTAAGGGGTAAAAATGACCTTTGACAGATAGGACATCTTAAGACAGGCAGAAAATGCGGGGATTAGAGAGAGAGGGTTGACATGCAGCAAATGGTTCGTGGTCAGGAATTAAGCCAGCAATCACTGCAACTAGGGTAAAGCCTTCATTCATGAGGTGGGCGCTTAAACCGCTAGGCCTGTGGCACCCTCCATATGTCACTTTTCAAGGCATAAAAATGATAGAAATGTACAGCCTTGTGGAGTGACACACTGAGGTCCATGACTGAATTTTGGCCTTGTCTTTGTGTCCTGAGACGTGCCAAACCAAAGCACAGAAAACCTCCAGGTGACCCAAATTTGACTGGCGTACATAATTAAAACACATTAAAAAAATAACTGAAGAGCACGTACAGTATGCACAAAAGAAGCTTGCAAGTAAGCTGCTCAGTATTGATGAGAATGGAGGTTCAAAACATTCAGACCATGTTTAGCATATAGTTTCTACATTTCAGCAAAACACAGACAGCTGAAACTGTTAGCTGCCTTAGCAGGAAAGTTTTTAATTGTTTTACTACCAAACGCAAAACCATCGAGCCTCATATGCAACCAGTGTGTTAAAGTTACTAAAGAGTATCACATCTGTAGGCATCATTGTGGAAAACACGCAACTCTCTAGACCAACTTTGCCAAAGTATTCCTGGAGATGTAGGCCAAAGAGAAGAGTTTGTCTTCTGCTTACAAACAGAGACGTACAGAGACGTTTCTGCTTTGGTGTGGTGCTGCACAGAGAGCCACGGCAGCTTTCCTCCTAGTGTCACGGATCTTGGCAAAGAGGAAACAGTCATTCATAGACTCTAAAGTGGTAAGAGGACGCATGCATTTAATGTGCATGCATGCCGACTGTTTATGCACTTCAATGCTCCTCTACCAGATATGCGACCAAAGTATTTCAAATATAAAACAAGTTTAGATGGTACTATTTGACTACATTCATTTGCAATTTTTTCAACTTTGCCTTTGGCAGAGACAGAAAAATAAACTGAATGCTGCTATAAATACCCAGCCTGCTTAACCGTCCTGGCCTTTATTCATGGTCCTGCTGTAAATGTAATTAAACAGCCCTGGGCTAAACCAATTCTGTTTTGTAACATAACTTTGATACTGCATTTAATGCGTTTAATTTTACATATTTTTTCTGTTTCTGGATCTTAATTTCTACTCTACATGCTTACAAATACAAATATACTTATGTGATGTTCAATGACATCTCTGAGAGTCCTTCCAACACACAAATGTATAAGTTAAACAACAAATGAACCCAAACTTGAGGCCCTCAGAAATGTATTTTGACTGCAAGAGTTGAACAGTCGTAATAGAAAAGTTAAGTATATCACTAGAAACACTTAAACAGGAATCAGTCAAGCCCAAACATCTCCATTCTTTTCTACCACTTTATCTCTTCTTTCTCTCTACCCTCAAACGCTGTGGCTCACTCTGTTTCCCCTCCAGGTTTTTCTTTCTTTTTTAATTCCTTGAGAGAGGGCGTTTCGTCTCAGGGAGTTAAAAAGCACAACAGACTCTGGAGTAAAAGGGGGGGGGGACTCTGCGAGAGAAACTCTGTACTCGTTGGCGCCACGCCAGTGTGAGTGTGGAAGTGGGTGAGTGAGACGGCTCTTTATATAGCAGCACTATACAATGAAGTTCAAACCTCTCACAGATTTACGAGGGCTGCCCTGGGCTCTGGGGGAGCAAATGAAAGGAGCCATTTTTCACCTCATGTATGTCTGACAGTGTGTGTGTGTGTGTGTGTGTGTGTGTGTGTGTGTGTGTGTGTGTGTGTGTGTGTGTGTTCGTGCGTGTGTATGGGTTTGAAAAAACTGCTTTGGACTCAAACCCAGTGTTTGTCTCACCTGCATGTGGTCGGTGAGTGTGAGGAATGCAGGAAAGTCTGAAGTGAATGTAAATAAATAACAGTACGTTTAATTAATACATTCTCTCTCTCATGTGCACGCACACAAACACACACACACACACACACACACACACACACACACACACACACACACACACACACACACACACACACACACACACACACACACACACACACACACATCCCCGCTCATTTACACACACGAACACACTCACACACTCACAGCCTCCCTTGCCAGATTTTCTGTAAGTGTTGTCTAAAAAAAGCCCTCAACTGCTAACTTTGAAGCCAAAGTAGTGGAGGTAATGACAGCTGTAGTAATAGTGATGATGGCTATAATAATACCTTTGATGCAAAAATAACAGCAGTAGCCATTTCATATTTATAATTATAGCAGCAAAAATAATAAGAGCCAAAGACACAACATAGCAGAAGAGGCAGAAAACTGTGGAAATCTCAATATATGTGCTGAAGTGTTTGACCTAGCATATTTCTGGAGTGGTACCCCTTACATGAACCTGATTTGTACTGTTCAGATATTTCAACATTTATCTTCAGTTTAAGTCTTCTAATGTTGAGTTTCACTGCTTATTTTTCTGTTCATAATCTAAATTGGACTGTTGTCACTTTTTCCCACTATTCACCTCTTTTTATACTGCAGGGCTGACACCTGCTGCAGTCGGAAGCCCCCCCGGGAGGGTTTAATAATAGCTTATCTTATCTTTATGGTTGTATACATTAGAATTTACAACGCTATATAAAGAGGGGGGTGTTTGATGTCTTTCGGAGCTGTATTTACCACACGCAGAACAGCTCATGGAGTGCCAGAGTTGAATTTACTCTGGAGTATATCAATCAAATTTTGCAACCTGCACTACCTACATGGCACTGATAACTAAACTATGGATGAAGCTTTGTTTGTAGCCTTACATGATTTACAGCCCAGTTCTTTGGTATATTCTTTAAAAAGCCCTCGTTTCAGCCCCCATCTAAGACACTTTGGGCCTGATCTACTAAAGGTTTGCGTGTGCAAAAACATGTGCCAACCTGATAGCGCACGCAAACCTGATCTAGTAAGCGGGTGCACCGAGGATTGCGTCTGTCAAATGAGCAAAACAGCACACGCAATCAATTTAGCGTGTTTGCCTTAATGAATATGCAGAATGTATGTAGATCATCAGAATGCGCAAAATTCTGGGAGGAGCAGATGCAAATGAAATCATTTAGTACCCGCAATGGGATTCATCAAACCTGGAAACCAATTGCGGTCGCTGTTTTGCGTCTATATTTAGGACATTTTAAAGGCACGTGCAAACTGGAGCTGCATTACACATGGTTACTGTGGAGAGAAGGATGCAGAAGTGCCATGAAACACGCCATGATCCTTGTCCAAAAGCTTGTGATTTATTTTGTTTTTCTGTTAAATGACGATTTTCATGAATAATACGGTCAAAAACGAAACAGACGAAAACATGTATCTGTTTGTCTTATTGATTTTATGTCATTTTAATCCCTTTTTTTTATTATTAGTATATCTTTTTGCATCTGTAAAGCACTTTGAATTGCCTTGTGTATGACTGGTGCTGTACAAATAAACTTCTCTTGCCTTTTATGCAGTTCTCCAAAACGACATGTGCAACTCCATGGTTTCAAACACTCTGCTCTCACTAACTCTCCATGGTGACAGCTGATAGCGCACGCAAAATCCCCGTTTAAAGAGGGCGGTCCTCACTACTTTTGCTCCTGCTATCAATTGCGCCCACACCACGCCCACTAATAGCATGTGCAATTTTTTAGTTTGCACACACAATTTAGCGCTCACTATCTTGGATCTTAGTAGATCAGGCCCTTTGTGTCAGCTACTGCCCCTTTGAGGCCCCCAAACACGATCACCAGCACTCCAGAGGCCTCTTCTACTGTTGCCATGCTACAAAGTCAATGTCATAAATTAATTCTAAGCCAATTTTTGAAAGACAAATTTGACATATGGCCATATGTTTTGGACTCAATTTCTAAAATGGTAAAAAAAAAACAAAAAAAACATGATGTTTTTATTTGGTGTGACACCCCCATCTACTTGTGGTTTTGCTGGCAGTGTTTACTCTGTTTCAGGTGCAGGTGGGTGTGTTTAGGCGGGGTCATCCTGGATTGAGAACACCTGGGCCCAATGTGTCTCAATCTATAAAAGCAGGCTGAAAGCAATCATCTTTGGTGGGGTTAGTTTGGCAGGCTGCTCCCCCACCATGCTCCATTTTGGCATTTTCTTTCACAACCAACATTGCATCATCACCCTCACTCATGTATGCACACATCACACCACTGATCTACTAATGACCACACTTCATAATCTTATTTTTTGTAAAATAAATATTGAACTTATACATTTGCTCCGTGTCTCCTCTCAGTTTTTGTCTCTGGCCTTGAGCTGACCGTGACATTGGTAAGTTTGTGCTTTTGTAGTTATTTTAAGGAGATTCAACAATTGATGATGTCACAAATTGATCAAATCTCACGTGCCTCTGTAAATCTCATATGACTTTTTAAACATGCCATTCAGAGAAGCTGGCATTACTCCAACATACATTTACCTTGCAGTTTAAAACTTTGCCTATATTTAGTGTGACATCATAGAATTTAACTTAAAATTTGTATGAATGAAAAAGCAAAATACTACCTCTTCAATTCAGGGCGTTTTTATAATAACTTCAAAGGACAAAAAAACAGAGGAAAACAGAGTGGGTGATGTAGCCAAGGGTCAAGTCTGGAAGGGGACTGCTTTAACAAGAACTGCAGCCTCTGGACATGCAGCATGTGCGTTAACTTCTTTACCAGTTGGTGCTCCAAATGTCACTGGACTTATTGTCGATGATAAACATAAAGGTTGAGTGTTTAAATGTGAAGTAATTACACAAAAGGCACAACTACAATCTAAAACATAAGTATACAAGAGCTAAGATCTCCCTGCAGCAAACGATGTTCAAGCTCAGTTTAATTGCACCATCTTTATGAAATATGATCAAATACATTCAATTATAAAAGTCGTTCTCCTAAATGCACATCAATAAGTCAAGAAATTTAGACACTTTTTTGCATTTGGCAGATGGTGGCCAAACTTGCAGTAAATACATGATCACAGTCATGTGACCTGAAAAATTTATCGTCACTGAGTTTTTTTATCTTTGGGCTTTTTATCTTTGGGCTTCCGTTTTGTAAAAACTCCAATGATGCAAAGTGGCATTGTTTTGAAAGACTTTATATTTAACATGTTAAGGTTTTCTACCTCATAAAAATGTGAAGAGCAACACTCTTTTTGTGGTTTACTCAAATGAGGAACTTTTTTAATCATATTATTTCTTTATTAAAGCATTAGTTATGGTGCTTGTGCAATAGATTGTATAGCTGTACAAGTGTGGTCAGCAGTGGTAGTGATTCATAACTGGGTATAAAAGAGGAATCAGGCTCTCTTACCACGTCATTGATGGTGTCGTTCTCTGGTGTCTGGGGCGGCTCGGCTACAGCAGGACTGTTGGACGGCATGACGGGATGGGCTCGGCGAAACCACGTTTGTAATGTAAAAAAAAAATGGAGCAAATCAACACATGGGAAAAGCCCTCAGAAGCACCAGGTGCAGCTTCATTCAGTCTGTCTGACTGTCAGTCTGTCGGTCGGTTGGTTGGACAATCAATCGTTCATTCAGTCTCCCCGCTCTCCTGAGAAGGCAAAAACAAAACACACACACACACAGCCTGACGTGAGTGGATTACAGTGGGAGAAAAATAAGTTTTTAAGTAATAAGTTATAAGTCTTTAAGTAAGAAATTATGTGGTTGGTGTCTTCTTTTTCTAGCCCTCATTCACTCATCCTGTTGCACACCCACACACCTTTTGCCCCAAGGTCACACTGTTCAAACAGGTGTCTGTGTGTGTGGCTCTGATTGTACATGATGGATGGTACCACTGAAAATATTCCATTTCAGAGCAGGTTAACACGTATATACAGACGCATATATGCAGGTGTCCTCAGAGGAATCTGCTGGAATCGGGGCAGTTTTCATCACAGCTGTCACTATGTGATTGATGCAGGTAGATAAAACTGTCCCACTTCATTAGACAAAGGAGCAACAGACTAGATACCAAAGCTGAATGTGGCCAATATGTAAATTCTAAGCAGGAATACTAACATATTAGTGCTGTATTTTTTAAATATCAGTCTGGGTCATGTCCACTTGACCCAGATTAATTTGTTTCTAATGATTTAGAGATAAAGCAAAACTCACATTACCCCCCAGACATTAAAGGGAACAAAGACAAGGGAAAAAACACACAACTCTGTTTCCTTGGTATATTTTAAGCTAAATTTAAAGCTACCACAATCCACAATCTAGTGTTTTCACCTAAACAAGCTGATTAATTTGACTAAAACCAGGCATCTGAAAGGTTTGAGGTTGTATTCTTGAATTTGTAAGGTGATACGATACGATACGGTAAGAGGCGATATGACCTGATACAACATGAGACAAAAGGATACGATACGAGGCTATGAGACATGATATGACCCGACACAATATGATATATGATATGATATGACATGACATGATATGATATGATATGATATGATATGATACATGAGATATGATATGATATGATATGATATGATATGATATGATATGATATGATATGATATGATATGATATGATATGACATGATAGGATACGATACACTTTACTGCCTCCTGGAGAAAATCTGTCTTGGACTCAAGTGTTTAGTGTCTGGTTGCAGGTTTAATGGGTCGAGTTGCAGCAAGAAAGCCACTGCTGAGACTTCAGAATAAGAAAAAGAGGCTTGCCTGGGCCACGAAACACCACCAATGGACTACTGAAGACTGGAGGAAGGTGTTATGGACTGATTAATCAAAATTTGAAACCTTCAGTTCATCATGCAGGATTTTTGTACGCCGTCGAGTAGGCGAAAGGATGGTTCACTACGTTTACATGCACAGCTTAATCGGACTAGGCTCATAATTCTTTTTTTTTAAGAATCTGAGTTCTCTCCTTGTCCACATATACATGCAGCTGAGAAAATCAAATTATTGACGTGAATATGTCCTCCTCCCCAAAACTAGGGGGCGATATAGGTCTTTTCAGCTGCGCTGTTTCCGGTTGACCCCATACAACTGTCAACAACAACAGCAGGTCTGTGCCAGACGTCAGAAGTGGCTCAGGGGTGGATTCGTAACAAATCAACAAGTTCTGACTGAGTATGTGATTTACTCTGCCAATTTCTTTTCCTGGCTGTTTTGGGAGAACATAAACTTTTGAGACTTTTAGAGGGCGTTTACCAAAGACTGGCAAACAGATACTAACAAAACACCTTATTCCCTGCTGATAGGCTCACATATATGAAGAAGAAGAAGAAGAAGAAGAAGAACTTTATTGATCCCCGAAGGGAAATTAAATTGTCTCTTGTCTCGCGTAATTTGTCTATAAAAGTTATCAATTATTTACATAAGAGTTATAAGCCTGATGGCTGTACAAAAGATCTTCTAAATCTTTCTGTCCTGCAGTGAAGAGAGAGGAGCCGTCCACCACCATTGGCCCTTTGGTCCATGAAGGTGTTGTGAAGTGGGTGATCCATGTTCTTGAGAATAGTCTCCACCTTCCTCAGTGTAGATCTCTCCACCACATCCTCCATTGAGTCCAGCTTGAGTCCTACCACAGAGCCAGCCTTTTTCACCAGTTTGTTAAGACGTCTTGCATCTTTGTGTTTGATGCTTTCTCCCCAGCAGGCTGCAGCGTAGAACAGAACACTTGCCACCACAGACTGATAAAACATCTGCAGCGTCTTACTACAGATGTCTATTGATCGGAGTCTTCTCAGGCAAAAGAGGCGGCTCTGCCCCTTTCTGTAGATGTAGTGTATATTCTTAGACCAATCCAACTTATTATCCAGATGTACACTTTGATGTCCACTCTACAGGTGTTCACTGGCTGAAGAGAGGGTTTGGATCTACGGAAGTCTATGACCATCTCCTTTGTCTTTGAGGTGTTGAGGAGGAGGCAGTTTTTGTGACTCCAGTCACTGAAGGCTCTTATTAGATCTCTGTATTCAGCTTCTTGTCCATTCCTGATACATGCCACAATAGCGGTGTCATCTGAGTATTTCTGGATCAGGCAGGACTCAGTACTGTATTTGAAGTCTGACGTGTACAGTGTGAACAGGAATGGCGCCAGCACTCTCCCTTGTGGAGCCCCTGTACTGCTCATTAATGTCCCAGAAACACAGTTCTCCAGCCTGACAAACTGTGGCCTTCCAGTCAGGCAATCTGAGATCCAGGAAACACAGGAAGGATCCACTCCCATCTCTGTGACCTTGTCTTTGAGTATGGTGGGGTGGATGGTGTTGAATGGACTTGAAAAGTCGAAGAACATGATCCTCACATAAACCTCGGGTTCCTCCAGATGAGACAGGGCACAGTGAAGCATGTAGAGGACAGCATCATCCACTCCAATGTGTTCTTTGTACGCAAACTGCAGGGAGTCCAGTTTGTCTTTGACCTCAGACCTCAGAAGGCGTAGAATCAGCAGCTCCGGGGTTTTCATGATGTGTGAAGTGAGGGCCACTGGTCTATAGTCATTGAGTTCAGCAGGACATTTTGTTTTTGGTACTGGCACAATGCAGGATGTTTTCCACAGAGCAGGTACCCGCCCCAGCTGTAGACTCAGGTTGAAGATCTTGTGGAGAGGTTGACACAGTTCTGCAGCACAGTCTCTAAGCAGCCTTGGACACACACCATCTGGACCTGCTGCCTTCCCAGGACAAAGTCTTCCAAGCTCCATCCTCACCCCTGTTTCGGTGACAGACAAGGACTGGTGTTCTAGGAGGGAGGTAGTTGAAGTAGTTGAGACATTTGAACGAGATGGAGGAGGAAGGGGAGAAGTTGTAGTGGAGATTTGTTGTGGAGAGGAAGGTGGAGTAGCAGTGGAAGTGGGTGTGACAGCATTGTCAAATCTGTTGAAGAACAGGTTGAGTTCATCAGCTCTTTTCACATGACCCACCACTGGCTGTCTTTTCTTTTTATTGCTGTGTCCATAGATGGTACTGATTCCTCTCCACACTTCACGGATGTTGCTGTGTTGTAGATTCTTCTCTATCTTCTTTTTGTACTCCAGCTTTGCCATCTTCAGTCTCCTCTTCAACTCTTGTTGCACTTGTTTGAGCTGTTCTTTGTCACCATCTTTAAAGGCTTTCTTTTTCTGGTGAAGGATTGCTTTTATGTCACTTGTGATCCAGGGTTTGTTGTTGGGGAAACAGCAAACAGTATTTGTGGGTATAACTGTGTCTCTACAGAAGTTGTAGAAGTATATAAATATATATATATATATATATATATATATATATATATATATATATATGTGTGTGTGTGTGTGTGTGTATATAATAATAATAATAATAAATAGTATTAATATTATTATTATGATGAATACTATATATATGCATATATTGAATATATATATATATTTTGAATATTATTATGTTCTATTATATATATTATATATATATATATATATATATATATATATATATATATATATATATATATATATATAATTAATATTATTATTATGAATACTATTATTGTATTCATACAATGTGTGAACCCCTTAGGCAAACGGAGAGGCTGAAGATTACAATGGGAAGCCTATTGTCACATAGAGGGTGGTTATTGATTCAAATCATCACAGTTTGCTCTGTTCTGAGTCTGATTACATGTCAAATTACTAGAAAAGGGAAACAGATTTTGACACTTGCAGTTAGAGAGATCGAAAAATGCAAGCTGAACGTCTGGAGATGGTTACGTATCATTTTAATGTTACTGTGACTAATCAGATTCCCTCCACCTTAAACTAAATTCAACCTAAGCCTTGGCTATCAGCCCTAGGTGTCTTAGTGCACATCCTGATTGTATTCACATTGATTTTAGGATTCCTGAACAGCAAAACAACACATAGGATAACTGTGATATGTAGACATACAAGCAGGATGTGATGAATAAAAGTAGTCTTTCTTAAAAATCTAGATTTAGAAACAAATCTTATCTGTGTGCAGACTGAATGATGCCTTCAACCACAACATATCACACAATCTGTCAGGCAAAGACATAAAATATAACACCTGCTTGTTCCCCGCCACTGTGCACTTTCAGATTTAGACAAGTGTATTGATTATCACATGAATCAGTTTTGTGCTCACTGGATTTGTCTGACATTCAAACAACTCGCAGATATTTAGTGGTTGTGACTAGTTGACAAAAATACACCGTAGGGAATTCTGATGTACAAAACAATGATGAGACAACGGTAACAGCAGATTTCTTGTCTGACATCTCAGGTTATCAAAAAGTGTGGAATCAAACTGATTTAGAGGCCATTCAAGAAAGCGTGGAACTATCTGGTAGCACAGAGGCAAAAGTATTACAGCTATGCAGGGCCGGATTAAGCCATTCAGAGGCCCTAGAGCAACATTTAGCAATGACTCTGGTTCCTCCCACTCCCTTTGAACATGTAAGTATCATGTAACACTAAACTACCCATTAGGGACACACACTGCAGGCTGCAAATAACAGCTTCTTTTCATTTGAGCCAGAGAAACCCACCATCACCACTGGAGTGTAAAGAGATCTGCCAGTGTGAGAAATCCAATTGATGATATGAGTATGTACCATGTAGGCACAAAATCAGCTGATGACACAACGCAAAATAATTTGGACAACTTAACTTCAGTTAAAGGGAGGGCAAAAAAGACAATCTGTATTTTCCCTACATTTGATGACTTATATAGTCACTGCAACAATGCAAACGAATGCAGATTAATGCAAGGTGACACTGATAGCAAAAATGTGCAAAATAACATCTTTTGCAAATTAGCAACAGTACACATTAAATTACTCAAGGGAGAAATTTGAATGACACCACTACCACAGACTGTTTATTTAAATGGACGCCAGAAGTGTTCACGGATGGTGAAGCCAAAATAAGCAGCATGTGTCTGCAGATCCAGAGGCTGCAGAACCGCATTTCTGAAACCACCAATTCAAACCAATTCTTGTTTCCAACGGCATCACCTAGTGCTTGCCCAAGCCAACCCAGCATTTTTAGCGTGCAATAATATTTAAAGTAACCATTTCTGATGTCTGACTGTAATCCTAACCTTTACCCCTACCTTAACCATGACTTTCACGACAACACAAGAGTCCTAAAAAAAACTGCAGCCCTAGAATTGTAGTCCTAAAAACTGCAGCTATCACCTCTAGAAACATTTGCTATTGCCCCAATGACTGGCTGCAGTAAAGGTCATAAACCCCTCTTCCCACATCTTTACAGATGGAACATGGGTCAAACGGTAAAACTGAAAGGCAGGTCAAATAAATTGTTTTCAAACATGCTTTCAGTCATTTTGGTCAGTTTTTATCATGCTGAATTACAACCAAAGAGGAGGTAATTCGGATGTTAAACTTTGTTTAAATCTCTTGTAGCATTCTGGACCAATCAGCTGAGCAGAGGAGGGATGGCAAAAGAAAAAGGACCAAACACTAACACAAGAGTCACCAAACTGTCACTCAGTATTTGTTCTGCTGTAGACTGTATCAACCTCAGGGGTCTTTGACAAACAGTTGAAAGCCCCTACGGGTGAGCTAGAAGGGTTTGACATTCATGCCACAGCTTCACAAGTGCATGCCTTGGCTCCACCTGCACAATGTCATGTATGATAGGATGGGGCATGGAGGCATCAGTGGCCATAATTTATCGGTTGAAAAGCTCTTTAATAATGACCGAAAAGCACAAAAGTTTTAACTTCTTTTCTTTTGGTGGTGCACACTCCAGAACAAGTTTGCAGCTAGTAAAATCTCCACAAACTGACACACAATAATTCTTAGTTCATTATTTTGTATGATCAGTGATTGAGCCAAAGGCTAGACCTTGGCAAATCAGAAATAAACGAACTTGTCTCCCATGGTCTTGCTCAGCTGCACATTAGCACTACAAATTGTCTCATGAATGACTTCATTAATAGGACAGAAAAAACTCTAGTTAACTTCCACTCCAGCATTGCGGGTGCAAAGTTTTTCTAACTCTATGTTTTGTGAGTCAATTCAGGGGTCCAACTTGTCCCGAGTGGTGTCAAGATACTGATCCCACTCTGAACACAAAAGGAGCCAAATGCAACGTTTGCATGTGCCTAAAAGAAAATTGGATCCCAGCAGTGATTTGGATTTGAGCACAGCGTGAGAGTGCAGCAAATATGTCTGGCTTTCCTCAAAATGTATTGTACAGTATGTCACTCCTCATGCTGTGGCCTTACATCGTCTACTGGGAGGACAACAGGCAGCTTGCCAGGGTTACCAGCGGAAAGACAGGGGTGGAAATTTTACAGAAATGGGCGTACAGTATCCACCCCACACCCCCGGGGGCTCCCTGCACAAGCTTCAGGCTCCAGGCCAAACAACTCCTCCAAGTTCAGAGTATTTAGGTCACACACTCACCTCACACTCCTATGGAGGGTCTATATGAACTCATTTAAATTGTTTCAGATTTCATGCCGAAGTTTTTTTTTTTTTTAAATCAATACAGAGCCAACAGCCCAAAGTGAAGCCTGTAACAGGGCGAAGAGAAATGGTTGCGCAGAGAAAAAGCTTCACAAGCTGTCAAGGTGGCGAAAGTTTGGCAGGGACAAGACAGGAAATTAGAGGGCTTGTCTTCACAATAAAAGCATGAAACACATGATTTCATATTTAAAAATCCATCCTTTTTCCTCTTCTCATCTCCTTTTTGTGTCATGCTGTCACAACTGCTTTCCTTTTCTGAAGAAAAATTATACCTAATTACATCAATATACATGACTTCCAAACTAACAGGCAAAATAGTTGCATTTGAGTAAAAGCAGTATGACTTTCACAGCAGATAACCTTCATTTTCTAAACTGGATGATCCAACTTCACACTTTTCTATTCTTTTACACTTTAACTTTGTACATGTCATTTGAAAAAAGAAAAAGAAAAAAGAAAATCAAGAGAGGAGAAACCTTATAGAATAAAACAAGATTTTTTTTTTTTTTTAAATCAAGGTCATCTCAGGTCCTCAGTCCAGTTGTCACAAAATAGTGTTCAAACATTCACCATAATGTTTGCTCATACATTTTGTCAAATCTCAGCAATTTTTTTTTTTATTTAAAACACCTACAAGGAGGTAAGTGAATGTTTTTTTCATTAATTTCTGAAAAGAGTGGGAAAAACTGGGTGTAAAAATAATAGAACAAGCACAGATAAGTGCAGCATGTGATGGTTTTCTTGATTATGTAATGGAAACTTGGCTCAGGTTACTAAAGAAGGGTATGACCTCATTGTCCTTAATGACTAGGACTTTAGCTAACATCACAACATGCTACGAGCTGTGACAGTTTGTTAAGACAGAGGATTGAAAGATATGATAACTGGTCAACTCCTGAAGCCATATTTTGGGAGACAATGAGAAATAATCATTGACATTTCATTGAACAGCTTAATTTTAGGACTTTTAGAAATACAAACAGGAAAGACTTGGATTTCATTTTGAACTAAATTGAAACGATTCTGATCAGCTAAGCCCCATGAGCCTGACTGCTGTTGAGGTCCTACTGTATGATCTTTCTCATGGTTCCTAGATCTAGATTGGTTACAAGAGGTCACTGAGTGTTTGCAGGGTTTCATTTAGGCAAACACAGTTTCCTCTTTTACATTTCTTAACTCAGCTCTATCTTTCCCTTGATCATTAGTTTGCATTAGTTTGTTGTGTGTGTCTGAAGCCTTAGGTCATTATTCAAGTATTAAATCCTTTTTTTTTTAAAAAATATACTGTAAGTAGTTATTTATTTGGATTAAATTTCTTTATATGGTCTTCTCCAACTACGCCTGTTAGCTGCTTTGCTTAATTTTATTATAACTCCTCTAAATTGTTGGGTACATTGTAACTTGATTTTGAAAACTGTGATATCAATAAAATAATTTCTACAAAAGAAAACTTTCCAAATTTTACTCCATGTATAATGCAAGCATAAGGATATTCATTTACTAATTGAGTGATATATATTTTTGTTCAAGTTGCTTGGAATTGTTTGTTTATGGCAAACAGTTTGAATTTTAGGGGTGTCTTTGAGTTTTTAAAATAGGACTTTTATTTTTAAAGCCTCCATCGGATATGTCGTAGTCATTCCTGCTTACACGACACAGCTCAGCTTTATGGCAATTAATATTGGGAGCGACCTCACGCGGCCTTTACCGGACGGCCTCCCTTTAAACGGCGTATAATCCCGGCGGGGGTGTGTGTGGGGCGGGCTGCCGGTGAGAGACACGTGTCTGAGTGTGTAGCAACGATGAGCTTTACTGGGTCAGGTAAAAAACACACACGGGGGCGCGTTTCAGACCGAATGCACTCAGTAACCCCGGCAGGCGCGCTCCCGCTCGCCCGCTCTCGCTCCGCTGAGGCGACGGTTCCGCGCGCTGATGTGTCTGTCTGCATCTGGTAGGTGAAGGGGACGGTGCGCTCCGGTTTAACGTTACCTGCTGGCGTTGGAATGGGTTGAAGGTGGTAGGTGGGCTGTACGCCTCACCGGACAGTGATTAACACACATCCGTTAAATAACGCGCGTCCGGTCGCCGTGATTTTCCTCCAAACATACAAAAGAACTCACCAAGTTCGCTCGCCCCGTGTACGTACCGCTCCGTCTTCACGCGCACATCATCTGCTGGAACGGAACCCACGGTTTGGCTCCGGAGCGCGCGAGAGATGACTTTAGGAGATGACTGTCGGTAGCTTAACGGTAGTAACGAGTGCCGGTGTGCGTTCACGAGCCAAAATGTAATGTTTATATTTACCGTGTCGTCCGTCCCTCAGGCACACGGACCCTGATGGTCGTTGCTCTCTCTCCTCTCGTTCACTCTTGATCTCTCTCTCTCTTTCTCTCTCACTCACTCTCTCTCTCTCTCTCCCTCTCCCTCTCTCTCTCCCTCCTTGCGCTCTACCGGGTCTTCTCTCTCCGCTGCTGGCTCGCGCTCCCCCGCCTGCTCCTCTCTCTCTCTCTCCTTCACCATCGGCCTGCTTGCTCTCTCACGCGCTGCAGTGGCTGCCACAGTGGAGAGAAAGTTTCCGCGAGGTCCTAAAGTCTACAGCTTTATCACAGGGCATAAACACATACACACACTAACTCACGGACGCGCGCTGAAGTTTACGCGCACACAGCCCAGCATGTGAAGACTAGTGTCGAGGTTTCCATGAAGTATAGCATCAGTTAAATTAGAGAAACTTCAGCAGACTAAACGCAAGAAGACTTTTAAACAGAAGAAATGGGATTTATGTGGCAATTAGGAACATAAATAAATATTAGGGGTGTAAAGGTACACAAAAATCACAAATCAGTTAGGGTTAGGGTTTACCTGACCCTAACAGGCAGGTTAATATGCAATACAAATCATCTCTCATCCTTTATCAAGAATTCACAGAACTTTCCTTCAAACCGACTGAAGTGCAGCACTGATATTTTAGCCTTGCAGGCCTGCTCAGATTGATTTCATAACATTTTTTATAACATAAAAATAAAATTCAAAGTAATGCAAAGTTATTATGTTTATATATAGACATTCATGATTGCTTCAGCCCACTCAGAATTATCAGGCAAGAGCTGTATCAAAGTTTTTTCTGTCATACGACACTGTTTACACATGTAGAGGACAAGATTAGCAAAGACAGGTGGCACAGTACTTGACACAAACCAAAAAGTTCCTTGCAGTAGCTTTAATACCACAGACTGTATATACTATGGTCAAGTTGGCTCCGTCTTCCGTCATTTTACAAATCTGAAGCCCAATTGCTCTCGGTATTTTGGGGATTTTCTCCACTTCCTGGAACCACCACTTGCACAGTAGCGTTGTATGCATTTCATCACTGGCACAGCAGCATTGTATGCATTTGGCAGGGGAGTCACAGAGAGTTTCTGTAATGACGCTCGGCTCAAACAGTGTATCCCCAGGTGAGCTACGCAATCCTTGTACACCAATAGGCTTTATCAAGTGTCAATCATAGAAAACATGAACCCCCTAATAACTTTAAAAAATGGAGCTGTACAGAAAAAAGAGGACTTGAGCACAAACCAGTCTTACTGTAACTACACGTCAACATCGCAAGCAGGGGGGAGAAAAATTGATATTCTGTGTATTAAATTTCTAAAGTTTGCCCACAACTGGTGGTTTCACCCGGCGAGGAGGCAGACGGCGTCCATTCTATATACAGTCTATGTTTAATACCTTAAAAACTATTGAGTTGTAAAATATCAAATCCCCCAGAATGCAGTTTGGTAGAGGATAAAATCAAATCTGTTTATGTGGGATTAATTTCACCTCTTTGCCTCAGTCTAGATTAATTAGAAGTTAGGTGGAAGCAGCATTACCAACATGGTAACTGCCATCTATGTGCCTCATGACCCTCTCTTTGGAAATCAATGGGAGACATCACTGAGACTCTGTTCATGTTTTATACATTGCCTGTTTTTGGACCTTACAATTCTCTGCAGATTATAAACCAAAATGCAAATAATGGAACTATATAAATACATAATGGTTAAAGTCTAAAAAACAGAATATTATAATGAAAGGATGGGGAATGGAAATTGACTTTACTGGTCAGGTATGTGTACAAACACATGGATTTTTTTTATAAGTTGTGCTCTGGACTTTGACACTCAGATCTATTCTCCAGAAGAAGAAGTAAACAAATCCAGCAGGTTTCCTCACGTCAGCTGGAAGGGTGTCATTTAAGGTAAGTCAGCCCTGAAAGTATCTAGGAGGCTCAGGTTAGCAAACAGGGAGAGTTTTTGTTGACTCCGGTGAGATGTTTTGTCTCGCAGACTAAATACATTCAACAAAAGTGTCTTCAGTTACTTTGCCACAGAAACAGACAGAAGAGTCTCCAGACATAAAAAGCTGTTGACTAATGGTGTCACATATGATCGGCTCAAAAAGACTGACAGAAAAAATGCTGGCAGAAAACGATGTCAACTGCAAGAGCCAGACAGGACAGCGTGAGTGTTTTATCAACCAAGTACCAAATTTAGTGATGTAATGCTTCAGGTCTGGATCCTAGATTCCTACTTTGTGAATTCCTTAATCTGAATTTGTGGCCCAAAACCAATTAGCCTAATTACCAAATAGGTAAATCAGACACTTGCCCCATAGGCTGCAGACTTTCAAGGAGGCCTGGGGGCTCTAAATTAATTGTGTGTTGTTGGTAGAATAAGACAAATAAAAAACTGTTTACTAAAAGTACAATAATACTGAAATTCCAACAACATAGTGTCTAAATCTTCAAGTATATCACTAAAATTAATTTTGCACTACATGCAAATATAGTAATATGTCTTGAACTTTAATTATACAAACAAAAATAGAGAAAATAGCACATATAGCAGCTCAAACCACTTATGCATTACAGGGGCTTTTTGTTTTGAAGGCCACTGTAGCTTCATCAACAGGAGGGGTGAGCAAGGGTGCATTTCAATCTAAAATCTGACAGCTAGATATTGCTAAATATCCTCATTTCTGCACACCTGTACTGAAAAAAGAATGAGACATTAGCAATTTTTTAAGAGTCCTAAAGTTCCGGCGAGGAACTCCCTGTTTGTGTCAATTTTAGTGCCCCCTATGGACATGGAGAGGGGTCTTGAAAGTGTTAGCTCATTAGATTTATTTGGCTTTGATGGCATATATACACTACAGGCCAAAAGTCTGGAAGCAAGGCCATTACAGGCCAAACAGTTGGGAGTAACTTCAAGTTTTTTTGTTCACAATGCTTTTTTTTAAATCCAGCATGAGTTTTATGTATTTTGGGATGTATTTACTCCATGATCAGATGTTGCTTTCAAGGAAATTTACCATTTTACTCCATTTACCTTTAGATATACATTGATGTTAACAGACCATTGCTAAAAATATGTCAGCAAAAGATAGTAAGGGCTTAGTTTTAGGGTCAAAAACATTTGCAAGAGTCACAACTTCAGTGCAAAAGCAAAAAACAAATCACAGTTGGATTATTCACTTCAACTTTTTGTCTTTTGAGAGTCTGCATACAAAAATCCTAGTAAATCTCAACTGCGTTCAAACTACCGCAAAAATGGCTAGAAAGAAGCAACTGAGTAAAGAAACAAAAGTACAGATTTGTACATTGAGGAAAGAAGGATACACAGAAAGAGAAATTGCAAAACACCTAAAGGTGTTTAACAAAGGAGTCCACTACACTCTGAAGAGACTAGAGGAACCTGTAAGTTATGATGATAGAAAAAGACCTGGACGAAAGAGAGTTACTACAAAAGCAGAGGATAAACATAGCATTGTTACCAGTAAGAGAGATCGGCAAAAGACAGCACCACAAATAAGGGAGGAAATCAGCATGACAAGGTCGAAACCCATATCTCTGACAACCGTGAAATGACGTTTGAGAAAGGCTGGTCTGAAGGGTTGTAATGATGTAAATACATATTTACATCATGTTGTGTTCATACAAGTAACTACAAAAATATCCCTGTTCTACAGGTTGCTACTAACAGACAGGTTTTCTTTAGTACTGCAACTTTACAACAAAAAGTGATTTTGTATTTTGTCCAAACAGCTCCCTCAGACAGAAACACCAGGTTTGGGAAATTGGTTTTGATGGGGGGCTGGGGTGATGGATCGCTTTATACAAAACCTCTTTGACAGTTTTGGTCCAAGGAAAGAAAAAGACTGTGATCATTTTTAATAAAAGTTGTCAGGGCCCGGTAATAACATGGTGAAGGTGTACGGTGCACAGTGCAGACAGACTGGGAGGAATGGGAGCTTCGTGAAAGCCCAGGTGCTCATCTCTGACCCTGGTTGCTTTTGTCACTTGAAACTGTTGCCTCTGTAGTAATAGTGTGTTTGGTGTCAGTGTGTCGCAGCCTGGAGCTAAACTGTAATAACTGTCTGCTTTAGATTTACGGGTCAGGGCCAAGTCTAGGTTTTAGATTTGATACCAAGCAATCAAATGCCACTTAAACACTGTCTGTCCACTTCAGTGCTCCAGGTCACAGTTAGTTAAGAAGAAAAATCTTTTGCCTCTTTCTTATCTCATTATCAAGATGGGGTAGTTTATTAAAAAATGTTCTGCCTTTGGCTCTGTATCTAGTCATGCACTGTGTATGCGTGGCCTCAGGTACAATGTATGTTTTCTGTTTTGAAGAAGAGCTTACAAAGGCAAATAGAAAAAGTTATCATAAAACTTCTCAGTAAGTTTTAGGTTTTAAGAGCTCTATACATGGCTGAGGGCTCTTTAAATCAAACCGCTGTAAACTTCACTGGTTATGACTCAACCAGACTTTCTTCTTGAATTTGTTTTTGGTTCATTTTTATGGGCTTCAAAAGGCAAAACTATGAAATTGCTGCAAAAAAATGTGCCATGTTGTTATGTTTTCAGCATAGATTACCTGATGCCACTCCTACCCTCAGGTGAAAGTTACACATGTGCACATCTTGTTTGTCAGGTTATTTTCTTCTGATCTGTCTCCTTTTTTCCCTGAGGTTCCTCAACAGTTGGAGTCAAATCCTGCTACTTCAAGTTGAAACCTGCTCACTGAATGCTGTGAACCTGGTATTCTAGGAAAGACAAGAGGAGCAGTAAATGAAGGGTAAATGTTTGAAGCTCAGGGACTAATTACAAAGTAATGAATGGTTTACACTGATTACAGAGAGATTAGCCTCAACTAAAGGGTGGGTTTTCTGTAAAATATGCAAAGATGTACATAGCTTTTCCTATCTACAGATAGTACTTTGAGGTCATTTTATAAAATCCAAAAACTCAAAAGGATGTACATTTTATCTCTATGAATAAGATAGAAAAAAAGTTGACAACACCTCAATTGATGTCTAAAGTTTCTTGTCTTAAAAGTCCTGTGAAGAGTTTTTTTTATGTTTTTTAACTGGCCATGAAACAGACTGAGAGTAATAGTAATGCCTCTGTATGATCTACAAAAGTACATCATACCATCAGCATAAAGAATGGCACCACTCTTACTGCCAGAAACTGCTGCTGCAGGGTAGGCGTCAGTCAAGGACAACAGCACGATTGACAGCACTCTTGAAAAAGCCTTTCTTTACATATATAACAGCAAAGTAATTCATAGTGATACAATTAACTCCTAAAGAGGAGAGGATTACATATGTATATAAAAAAAAAAAAAAAAAAACAAGTGCACATATCACCATCTGCATGGAAATAAGTGAGAACCAAAAGTTGCATTCAGGAATTTTACAGTAACCATAAAGTTCTGCAGTTTATTTAGTTTGTGTAAAAAGACATAACCATGTTAAATTTTTCAAATATTTGCTTTCTTTCCTTCTTTTTTTATTTAGCTATCCTCTGCGATTTCTACACAAAATACTTGGCGCTTTTATATTCATGCTCTTTGTTCGCCATGCTTCTTGCCTCGCTTCAGCTTTTCCAACTGGTAAAGGCAAAAATTCCCCCCAAAACAACCTTAAAAATATTTAAATATTTAATGTTAAGATGTTACCATATATTACCATTACCTTTAAAAGACTAATTTGAGATAAGTGACAATCAGAGGTAAATTTGAACAAACCAAATAACAATAACCAAACAGTAACCAAATATCAATGCTACTTTAGGCTGAGCTTAACTATTGTACATATATTTTACTGAGTGGTGACAAAAAAATGGTTCTAGAGGGAGCTACACATCTGCACAAAACTGCACATTGCTGAACAAAGTAAATGTCTACATGCAGAAACACAATATCTCTGAAGTTACGGACTGAAAGCTTGAATACTTCTACGCTCACATCTGCTGTGTACTATATCATGAGTCGAAAAATCAAAATTGATAACTTGTAACAGGAAAGGTGGAAATCCCAAGTTCACATTTGTGTAATCCAAACAGCTATTTCAGCTGCTGTTTGGATTCTTAAGTAAGCTGCCGTCCCAAATGGGTTATGAAATATGTTGCTTTTCTTTGAAATGTGACCTGATTTCCCTCTAGATTTCACAAGCAACTTCCTTCATAATTTATCAATCAGGAAGCAATCTACTATGATTGACATGACAGACTTTCTTCTTTGCTTTCACAGGTATGTTACCTATATTTATTTAAAGGGATACTTGAATAGCGACAGGAAATGAGAGGAAAGAGAGGGAAATGACATGCAGCTGAGACAGGCTGTAGCCTCAGAAAATGAGTGTATGCTATCAGTGCTGAGCCAAACAGGTGCCACTACACTTTCTGCAGTAATACAACAATACAACATTTTTACATTAACTTAAACACATGTACATATTATGAATTTTGTTCCCACCCTGAGTGTAATGTCATAACAAATCATAGCCCCCCTGCTGATGTGGAGAATGATGGATCTTTAAGGACTAAGATTAAGAGAACCCCTGCAGCAGAGATAACAAAGTCTGCATTTTAAGCGTTAACTGGCAAATATTTGAAAGTTTCCCCTGCTCACTGACTCGGGCTTAGTCGATCCGCATTGATGCTTAAAGTGTCAGTGAGATCAAAAGGACTTTTATTGCATTATGACTAGCTGCTGCTTCATGAGAGGGGGTTAAACTCAGAGTGACCTGAAAGTGTAAAGATCCAGTCTAAAAAGGGTCATAACTGTTTGTGTGAGTAAGTATAGGAGGTGGTGGGTGGGGGGTTATTTATAGCAGTCAGTGAGGGCACCAACAACAGACACCCTCAATGAGCTTCATTCAGTGTATAGATTACACCCCCACCCTGCTTATACACACTCTTACAAACGCATATATACAACACACTCTGAGGCGTGACCTCTGAGGGAAGCTCATGGGAAAAGTGGGAACTGTTCATCCATACTAATGAGGACACTAAATCAAGGAGAAAGTTAAAAAGTCTTACTGGGAAGTGAAAAATTAGGTGTATTTTAGGCACCCATGCTGGAGTGTTTATTAATAGAAACTGGGTTATGTAAGAACACTGGCCTACAGGAAGATGTAAAAATAGAAGTGTCTCTCCCCAGACTGTTGTGATCAGTGTGGAGGCATCATTTAGTACTTGTATTCAATAACTTTTACAATTATCAGTCATACTTGCACTGCTTTCTAATGTTATAACATATATTTTCATTGTTGTTGCCGCTACTCTGTTAGGTTGTCTCGAATTCTTCTCCTTTTTTTGGCTTTTTATATATTTATTTCACTTCCTCATCCCTACCAGTCCAGGCAGATGACTATCCACCAGTGAGACTAGTTCTGCCTAAGGTTTCTGTCATATGTTGTCAAGAACTTCCTCCTTGTGCAATCATGTTTTAGTATCCTAAATAATACAAAAAATAGGACATGCTATGTCTTGTCTTTTCATATATTGCCTTGAGAAAAGTTTTGTGTTGATGTGGTGCAATAAATGATCAATTTTACAATCATCAATTCTTGAAGTTTGTGGGCTTCTTGGCTACAAAACAACAAATACCTTGAAAAACTTTTAAATGACTTAAATAGACAAACACCAAACACCTCTTCACATCTACAGACAGTATGTCAACAAGTCAAAGAGGTGTTAACCACCTAGATTTTGCAAAGGCTGGGGATCTTGCACAGTCACAGGGCTACAACTAAATACACAGCTCCATTTGGAATAGCTAGCTACCTGCAGTAGCTTTGACCACTTTTTAGAAATCACTCCACTGCTATTTCTGTCGTTTCCTTTTCCTCCTACTTTCTGTGGTGCCATAAATAGGAGGGCACGTCTGAGGTTTATTTGCGCTCGCCATAACTTCACCAGTTTCACTTCCTTTCAGAGTTCAAGACAACCACAGTCTTTTGTCTTCCTGTCATATTTTTCACTGCTAGGGCTGACACTTGAAGCCCTCATTTGAACTCAAGACGGAGAAGTTCATAAAAACAGTTTGATCTCATAGTTTACAAGCTTCGGGTCATCTGAAGTAGTTAACTGTATAATCCAGCAGAGGGCGCTCTCATTTTCACCTGACTGATCCATGGGCTCTTAACTTCAGCAAACTATAATTATTAGGGACGTGTTAATAAAAAATATAAGGATTTGCATCATTTTCATCAGGCGCCGCTCACTGTAAACCAAAGAAAATTTTATTTATTCTTTATTCTCATGACATAATGACTTCAGTCTAATAATATCCTGACTTTACCACAACTTTATTTTTGTAACAACTGGACTTTAATCTTGTACATATCGTGATTTCCTTTTAAGAAATGGTTTTGCTACAGCTTCATTCTCGAGAAAAAACGAATTTCTTTAAATCCTCAAAATTTCAGAAAGTGGATTGTATTTGAAAACTGAAAGATGTATTTGCAGCTTCTTATTTGGTGCTGGTGAGAGTGCACTTTGTAGTTGTTCACAGTGTTTACATCGCTGAAAATGATGGTATATTCAAGACAAAACCAAAGAGCCATGATAATATCAAACATGTTTGATTTAACCGTAAAAAAGCCAAAATAAGAAAAGGACTACCATAAGAACAGTCAGACTGAGTTTCATGGCAGCCTGACAATTATCTGAAAATTGCATTTTCAAAGAGACTGTTACTGAATTTGGGGACCCCTGTAGCCAATGCAGTCCATGTTATTTGTCCTTTTCATGTGAAAATAATGTTTTCTGGTATAAAAGAATCCCATTCTGTGGACTTTTAACAGTAAAATATATCACTCACTGTGAATCTTTGCAGTGGAAAATGTCCAAAGGCTGCTCTCGCCTCTGTTCTTTGCCAACAATCTTGTCTCAGTGGCAGTAGATTCAGGCCTTCAAATATATAACTGAGATAATCAACTGTGTCGTTGACAAAGACGACCCTCATTTCCTACAATGTTGCTCTTTTACATAACTACTAAGCACAGTGTAAAATTGTTCGTTTTACTCCCCTAAATGTATTTTAAAGCAATATTTGAAACGTCAGCTTTTATTTCAGTGCATGATTTGACAAGACAAACTTTTTTGCCAGTTGCTGTAAACATAATTCCACTTCAATATAAATCTTGACATAGTGAATAAGGCTGATTAAATTAGCTCAAAACAATAAAATATAAAAGTTTTGTCAAGTCTCTCAAAGTGATTACTTAACTACTGTTAAATACCATTAAATTAAATATTATTCAAGAAAAATATAATCCTTCCATTATCATAGATTTCGTTATTTATTTATTGTGTTTAAATGACAAAAAAACTTCACCTATGGATAAAATAAGACACAATCATGAATTTTGCTGCTTGGATTCAATTTCATTATTTCTCCAATATGACACTGATAGAGAATGACACACTTTTTCCTGATTTCTAGGTTTTTCTTGTCTCCCTGATTCTTTTGCAGAATCACGGGACCCATTTCTGCTTATACAACATAGAAGTCAACAGCTTCTTTTTAAAATAGAGGATCACTTTGTAGGATTGAAGCCAAGCATAGTTTCCTGCCTGTCTAACAGATTAGTTCCATGGGATGTTTGTCTTGTCAAACTGTAGTGGGAAATAGACTTTAAATAAACATGATCAAAACCAGGAGGGAATACACTGATGAGCTCATGGCCACGACGCAGCGTTGGAAAAGTTATTGGATTATACTTTTTTTTTTGTATAATTGTCTGTCTGATTGTTTTGGAAGGAGTCATAAGGACAGAAAAACTCGAGATTGTTGTTAAATATCATTTATTGCAGGTAAAACAGATAAATCAATTCTTCTCACTCAAACTGTCAGCTCTTGCAGATTCAGAGCTGAAGTTGTTAACAGTTTCATGTTAGGGTGCGTCGGTCCTGACAGTCTTGATTTTTCTCGCTCTTTCACACACACACACACACACACACACACACACGCACACACACACAAGCTCACTCTTTACAAAACCACTCATTCAGTCCGTCAATTGTCAGCTGACTTTAAATATTATAGGCAGGCAGTCAAATGATGTGGAGGACTAGTGGAGTCTGAAAGATAAACACAACTTTCCGTCTGATACAAAAATGTACAAAACATTCCAGTACGGTTTTGTAAGAGCGTCCAAAAAAAACTAGAAATGCTGAAAGCACACTTCGATAAAATGTTCTCGTCTGTTAAATGAACATACATCAACCTAACCTGACAGAGGCTCAGCTATTCACTTTGGGTCAGGTTTGATTCACACACAGACCATCAGTCTGAAAGTTTTTTGGGTGCTTGTTGTTACCATCATCCACAGAAAACTCTGACTTCTACGATTTCACAGAAAGCTTCATAAGAATCGGAGAGTAGCAAAGTGAGGGGGTTGATATTGTGCAGACAGCATTCACCAAGAAAATGTATTAATTTGTACAGATAAACATGGCAGTAGAATCCCCTCTGCTCAAAAGGCTGCACTTAGAAACTTGGGGTGTAAACATCAGAGACGCTCTCCAGGTCTAATCACCGAGCTTCAAATTCTATTTCAGTACTTTTTGATGGATTTAACTAGTTAGCTCTGTAGCTAAATCAAATTAATACAGGCTTTAAATTTCAAAAGCCACATCCCTTTTGGGGGACAGAAACTAATATGTACAGCTTTGTAAGAGTAATTGAGTCCAATGGCAGTTTAGTATGCATCAATATTTTAGGATTTCATCAATAACATTTTGCTCTTTATTTACATGCTGATCATAGATACAGTTCTGCAGAGATGCCTTAAAGCCATGCTACTATGTCACTGGCACACCAAAACTTTCTTCTCACAGCTCATGATTAATGTTGGTAGAAAAAAAAAGAGGGTTTAAACATTTGAAAAAAGATAAATAAACCACCTGCTTCACTTCATGGCACTAGAACAGTGGTTTCTTTGTAAATTAAGCCCATTTAATAGAGATGAATGTTTTGGCACATGCAATTCAGCACAACTAACTTTCAAAATTATTTCTTCCTAGACTATGTTTTTGTTTTGTTTTGATTCCTGCTCTTCTCACTCCCTGAAAGCTGCGGCTTTTACTTTCTCTTTATTTTTCAGTTGCAGTTGTATTAGCATTGAACTAAGGCTAACCTACCTGTTCCAGATCAAGATAACTCATGCCAGACTTTGTTCTTCTCATGGTCTGGGAAACATTTAAGTCTCAGTCTACATTTGATCTCTCTATGCTTGTTCTTGGGATTAAATTGAACCAATTTTTTTAAGTCTTTAAGGCTCTTTTAAGCCCTAGAGATGTTAAAGTTCCAGAACCTTTAGAAAGAAAGGGTTAAAGATGAAAATAAACACCCCTTTGGTAACGAATGTATTTTCTTTCTTATTCTTACCGTTTTATCTTGGGACAATCTGGTTGGGAAATTTTGGTAAACTGACCCTAAAAATGTCTATAAAAACCTCTGGACCCATTTCCTCCCTCAACTTTGCTACTCTGTTGCTACACTGACCCTGTAGGAGCCAACATATTTATTCTCTCTCCCACTCACACACTTGCACACTTACACAACAGTAATCAGATACCTCCTCTTTGACAGGAGTCCCGCTGCAGTACCGAGATACACAGAGAAGCCTAGACAACCTGAGTTGTGATCTAAACAGCACCCAAGTTACAAATCTCATCCAGGGCTCAGACACCTGGAGCGCGGCTGGGACGACAACTCTCCACTCTGCATCGCCGCAGCCAGAGGGCGGGAGCAGGAAACATCCCATTAAAGCTTATCATCTCAGCAGGGCCTGACCATGCTCACATAAACATTTAAACCAAAAAAAACAGCAAAAATCAAATCAAAGCAATAAATACTAAGCACACAGTGCCGAAACTAAAAACCGTCTCATCTTATTGACTTTCTTTTGTTCTTTCTCAACTTTTCTCTTCAATGCGGCAACATCCTGATTATGCATCTTTGAAACCTTCCTGCATTTTATCCTTTGAAAGTTCACTGAAATCATCTCTCGGTCTCTTTCCAACATCCCTCTCACCTACTCAAGCTTTAAAAATGCAGAGCGCACACAAACACACGCACATGCTACAGTACAGATCAGTAGGCTCCAGATTTTCTCTTTTAGCTATGCACGATCAACTCAAAAACAAAGGTCAAACCACAGTGACAAGACACACATACACACAGAATCACAGCTATACATCAGTAGGGACCCAGCGGTCATTTGGTGTCCAGCATCGTGATTGGTTGATTGGCAGTGGAGCTCTTATTCCCCTAACAATTAGTTTAAGCTCTGTATTATTCCAGCAGGGTCAGTCTTCTTTAGCGATGATGGAACTTCACTCTGTTCTGCCTGAGGAGAGAGGGACGGGACAGTCAGCCCACCAATCAGAAATGTGTTACTTTACTTTATGAGTTTTACACCAGTTACTTCCTTCTCAGAGTCAGAGGAGAGATTGATACCACTGATGTATTTGTCTGCAAATGCAAAGCAGGAACCCAAATCCACTAAGCTTACCTTAGCAAAACATTTGAATGATAGAAAATCTAATAGCAGGGCCTGTCCAGAGGGAAGGATTATAATATATATATATATATATATATATATATATATATATATATATATATACTTATATATATATATTTTTTATTTATTTATTTTTTTTCCGTAGGTGTTCACTGGCCATAAAGCCATAGAGCTTACAGCTCCCTCTGCTGGCTGGCTGTAGTAAAGCTCATATTCATATACCCTGCCTTCCTCCATGTAAACGGATGGAACCAGGGTCAAGCTATCAAATTAAAGCACACACCGAACACATTTTAGACATAGCTCCTTCCATGAAAATTTATGCTCAAGTATTCTATATAATTCAAAAATTTCCAAGGAATGCTGTGTTCAACTCTAGATTACTAAATATTCCCACTCATACACACTGTACTTGAAAAACCAAAGTAAAAGTGGTGTCAGTCCTCTCATCTAACACCAAGTAAGAAAGTAAATAAACATGCAAATCAAAATCTGATGTGTCAGTTTGTAAATGTAAAATATCTTTGCATTATTTTAAACTTGTTAAATATTACTTTGATGCTTCTGTGGGAGTTTTTTGAGGTTCTTGAAATAGACTCAAATTCATGCTGATGCCTTTTTATGACAGACAAAAGCAAACAAGACTATCAGTGACAAGATAAAGAAACTTTATAATGCACATTTGAATGCCTGAAACTGATGTGAAGAGGGAATGTGTCAGACAAGCAGCTGAAGAAATACCCTTGTTTTTGACAATTTCTGCTCACAATATTCCCAAGAAACAATACATTCAACTTTCAAAAGTCAGACTGGTTAGTTTTTTTTTTGTCAAAAGACACCAATTCAGTATGTAGAGGACTAAATGAGCAAAGACTGCTTTGTCTCTTGGAAGCAACAAAATTGACGCAAGTTGAAAGTTCCTCAAAGGAGTTTTAAAGTTTGGGTGTCCCTTATGGTTAAAGTTGTACTTTTTATCTGTTTGCTGATCCTGTCCTGTACTTGAGTGACCAGTGTTTGTCCGACAAACTTTCAGCTGTCAAAGTTGTTACTCGTGTAGCTCTAAAATGTTTTTTTTTCTTTTCTTTAAAAAGGGCTGTTTCATCAAAGAGCTGTTAATAGACTCATCTGACACCCACCCTGTGGCAGGGGTATTAGGATTATTAAATATAACTACACAAACAGCGCCAGTCTTTTGGTTGATGTTCTTGTTTGCAGGTCATCAAAAGACATCACTATCAATTTTAATCTTTTGTAACCACAGAGGAATTCCTCACAGGGGCTTTAAGTCCTTTTTTTATTCTAGTTTTTGATTTTGCGATCAGGAAGATACTGCTCGTTGACACTTTTTGCAGTGACTGAAAAATAAAATGTCAAGACAAGCTCTAAAAGCTGAAAAGGAGGAGCTAAAATGAGCTTTTTGGAGGCCTGTGCAGACAAGTTCAAGTTTTTTTTTCTTTCAGTTTTTCCCATAAAACCTTCATGCAGACATCATGTTTTATTGCAGAGACGTTTCATTGTGCCTTTCTCACAACACATCAGTGTCATGTTTTATGATTAAATGACGGAAAGATGAGTAGAAAAAGTCGAAGCCACTATACATGTTTCTGTTTTTATCAGGCTTATCATCAGAGGTGTTTTATTCTATGACTTACTGCTGCTGTTTGTCCTGCGTCCACCTTAACCTGCTGAAAAAGGAAGAATTCTTGTTAGCATCTAGCAAAGGTTGAACACATGCTACTGGTTCATGTTAGAAACTGTGATAGGGACCAGACCGCTTGTAAGCATACAAGAAACAAATCAAACATGACTGGACTTGGCAGGTGCTACACTAATCGGCTAACTCTGGAGAAAAAGCTGAGCAATGGAAAGTCAAAAAACTATATCTTATGTTCAAACTGTCAAACTTAACTGCATTGTTTCACAAATATTTTTACATAATTTCACAAAAGACAGAGACAATTAAGGATTATACTCTAGAGTAAACATGCTTTTGTTATTTTCTTCTTTGTAATGCTGAATTTACAGGGTATATCTTGGATTTTATATGACAGTCAAAAATAAGGCCTGTGCTTCAGCCTACTCCTTTCTTGGTCACTCTGTTGGGAGTTTTATTAAATGAAATGTAACAGTGTAAACATGTTAAATAGTGTTTTTGTGTATTTTATAGGTTGAATATTCACACAAATGTTGGACTAAAAGTGAATTCCTCTAAGAATGACCAAAAAAACCCTACATTTATTCATTTTATTTTGACTGACATCTTAGTTTTACCCTTATTTATAACCACTCAAAAATCCTCATAAAAGCTGTAAAGGTACCGTGTGTAGAAATGGGAATATTTTGGTAAATCTGTTAGTCTCGATTGATACCTCCTTTTTCTAGATGTAAACATTCTCTCTTTGGTGGCCCATGAGAACAAGAAGCTTTGAAAAACAACAGGGAGTCCCTGACGTACTGATAACATATTAAATCAAGCAGGACCAATGTTGTCCTCTTCAAGTTCTCCTTAAAGATGTCTCAGGGAAATCTAACTTCAGGACTTTCATTACCAGGAGTATCCCCAATGTTCTGTCAAGCTTCAGGACATTTGTAACCATCAGGGAACATTTAAGGGATGTGAGGCAGGGTTGTGAGAATATATGATGAATTGGTGGAAATGTTAATCAAGCAGCACTGAAGCAATCCATGCTAGTCCAAGAGCGAAGGTTGAGCATTATGATGATCTTATTAGTGTGAGGTGTGTTAGCATGTAAAGAGGATTATAATGAAGAGAGAGAGATGATGTGAGCATCTGAGGAAATTAACTTACCTCTGTCCTTCCCATTAAGCAGCCTTTCCTCCTCTTCGCGAACATCATCTGCACAGAAGAGAAAATATTTAAGACCATCTTTATTACCTCTTCAAAATGCATAATTTCTTTGATCAGTGAACATCCAAATCAAACCAATTCATCTATTTCATTTTGTAAAAAGAGGCTTTTTTGTGAACTAAAATGTGTTCAAACCTGATGGAGAGTAATGAGCAGTGTTTGTGTATAGATATAAAGAAATGTGTATGACAAGTGTGTTTTTCTTAGTGTCAGTGTACCTGAGTGTAGCTCTTTGACCAGTGAGGACACAGTGTTGGTGATGGAGTCAGCTGCTACCAGGAGGTCATTCCTCAGGTTCCTTCGTGGGCCTGAAATGAAGAAATGAGGGAAAAATAAAGAACATTACAGTTACAAGAATTGGATTTACACCCATTTCAGCTGCTCAGCACGTGACAAGTCTGCAGGAGGGCGAGTTCAGCACATGGACTCTTCACTACTGAGCCATGCTGTTGTCCTACATGCAGAATGGAGTTTGATAACAACTCCCTGTCTCTAAACATTTCAGTTTTGACAAATAATCTTTGCAAAATTTCCAATTAAATATTGGGTTTGAATGACTTGCAAACCATCGCACTTTGTTTTTAACCAACATTCACTCAGTGATCCAACTTTTCTGAGATCTGCTTGACACATTTTCACTCTATTACTCTTTCATCAATAATCAAAATCATAAACACTCAAAAATGTCATTTGCATATCATGTGATGAGAATTTTGAAGAAGCTATTCCAAAGATAAAGCGAAAGTACCAATCATTTTAAAACAGGAGACTCATTTTTCTCAAGAGTGTGTCAAGAGCAGAATTTATTAAAATCAAAGTTTATTTAAATAGCAGAGTTAAGAGTTAAGAGCTCACTTCCAAAGAATCCATAAAACATTTTAAAAGTGATGTGGGAATTGGGTCTAAAAGGCAGGTTGTTGGTTTTTTACTTGGGAGAAAACCATCAAGCATCTCAGCATCAACCAGGTCAAAACTGTCCAGGGTTTCCTCAGGTACAAACAAGCTTTCTACTATATTAGAAACAGTGTTTTGAAGAGATAAAATAGAGGATCATATAGAATCAATTTTACCCCTGAAGTGGTCTGCAAAACCTTCACAAAGTGTGTCTAAAGGAGTTATTTGATACCTGTTCAAAACCGGGTTGATTAAAAGATCAATTGTAGCAAAGAGCATTTTAGGGTTGATTTTATGATCAGTAATTATGTTGGTAAAATAGGTGGATCTTGCATTTCTGAGAGCATTATTGTAAGTTTTCAGTTTTTCACAATATAATTGGAGATGAATTGTGATTTTATTTTTCCTCCATCTCGGCTTAGCTACCCTACAATTTCTTTTCTTTTTTTTTATTTCTTCATTTCTTCATGGGGATATGCGCTTATGCAGTACCTTTTTTGTTCTCAGTGGAGCTACAAGGTCAAGTGTTGTTTCCAGTTTGTCAATAAAATGTTGAACAATAAAATCACAGGATGCAGGTAGAGTAGCTGAGGGATGCTTGCTCATGATCTCGATAAAATTTGCAGCCAGTTTTGAGGTAAAATAGCATTTCCTGACAGATCGCACCGAGGTCTCCCGCTGAATAAAACCAGTGATATTAAAAAACACACAAAAATGGTCTGACACAGCCAGGTCAACAACAGAGGACACACTGGCTGACAGGCCATAGCTGAGGACTAGATCCAAGGTGTGTCCTCTGTTGTGAGTCTGCCGTGTGACATGTTGTGTAAAATCCAAGCAACTAAGTAGATTTAAAAACTCTTTTGCCATTGAATCAGATGGATTGTCCATGTGTAAATTAAAATCACCAGATATAATAATAAAATTGTAAGTGGCATGGATTATTGCTAAAAATTCACTGATAAAAGCAGCATCATGTATTGGTGGTCTGTAAACAGTTATACAAAGAATTGAGGGACTGTTAAAAACAACCACATGATGCTCAAAGGTGGTGTACTGATAAAATGATATTTCTTTGGTCTTTAGTAAGTTATTGATTATTGATGCAGTACCACCACCTTTCCTGCCACTTCTAAGAGAGAACGTAAAGTTAAAATTAGGTGGGGAGGACTCAGTGAGAATAACTAGCACATCTGTACACAGCCACGTTTCAGTTAAAAATCAACCTTGTTGTCTAAAAATCAGGTCATGGATATTAAAAGATTTGTTTAAAAGAGAGTGAATATTTTAAAGTGCCATATTGATGGTGGCCCGTGATTCACAGATTGTATGGTCGGTTGATGTTTGGAGAGAGGTCTACGGTGATTGAAGTTTACCGAGTGAACATGATAGAGTCTGTTTTTTTCTCACTGTGTGATGATAACAGGAATGGGTGAATGGTTAATGAAAACAGAGGGTCCAAGTCCAGTATTGTGTTTGACAGAAGTGGAACCAAAATCATAGGAACTGGGACCTGGGGGACATTAATCAGTGGCGGAAAGGTCAGTTGGTGTACGTTTGGGGTGATGGGAGGAAAATGTGAGATTTGTATGTTGTACACCGTATGCCAGGTTGGCGGCAAGCACACAGCTCTGTTAAGATGAAGACAATCTGAGCCAAAATGATGTCTCCTCTCCCAAAATACAATGAAGTTGTCAACGAGGCCAACATTGTGGGTACTGCAGGCTGATGAGAGCCTGATGTTCAGGCTGAGCAGCCTGCTAAAGTGCCCAATGCCTCTGCCACAGGTGGGGGTGGGGCCGGAGACAAAAACATGCAGCTGGGGCCGTGAGAGTTTGTTAAAAAGCTGCATGAAATCACTCTTTAAAAGCTCGGACTGTTGTCTGTATGACGACACTGTTTACCTGTGGATGAGAATTCAGGACGCTTGGGATTTTCTCAGTTATGTCTGCAACAGTGGCGCCAGGAAAGAACGGGTCCCCTGAGACGGACGTTCCAGATGATGGAGTCCCCAATGACTAGTGTCATGGCCTGTTGCCTGAGGGGGGTGGCCGGCTCGGTGGACCCGTCCTCTCCGTCAGGCGCCTGGGAATGAGGACATCCAGTGTGCCATTGCACCGCTTTCTTGAGGAGTCGCCTCCGCTGAGTTGAGGGGCGGGGGGACGGAGTCGAGTGGCACGGTGCTGGACGTCGATCCGGTGGGCTACAGGCAGCCATGAGTGGAGGGAAAGCTGTGGTGTCTGTCAGCGGGGGTGCAGCATCCTTCGGGGAGGCTTCGGGATCAGCAGGGCCCTGGACCAGTGGCTCCACACTCATGGATAGAGCCAAACATTTGTTGAAGAGGGGGATGCATATGGAGGAGGAAACCCCACACGGAGCCCTGCCAGGAGCCTTCTTTCGACTGCGGACCACGACCTCAGACCAGGGGGTCCCTTTGTTCAGAGTAGGGCTGGTGGGCCGCTGACAGGTTGAGGAGGAAGCCTCCCAGACGACCATGTTCCTCAGTGTAGCGGCAGCACTATGCTGTGGCAGCTCGCCGGTCTGTGTGCTCTCCAACCAGCTTGACGATGCTGGAAGCCGAGATTTGAAGGTGGCCAGGAATGAGTCCTTCCTCTGCAGCTCGTCTGAGAGCCGATGAATGTCCTCCAGGAGATCGGCGATCTTTTTCTGGGCTCTTTTGAGTTGTTGACCAACTTCTGCAGGTAAGGAAGCATCTATAGCGGTAGCCTCCATGGTTGCCATGTAGCTGACTCAGCCAGAATGTAAAAATTCCCAGAGTCTGATGACTAAGACATTTTGTCCAGTAAAAGCAAAAAAGATAAACGTAATCCTTTGCTCAGGGCACAAAGTTTTAAAAGCAATCAGAACCTTTTAAAACCGGATAAAAGCGTCAGCTTGCAGGAACTTTCACTCCTGCCCTCTGCTACAACAGATAAAATAAAATAAAATAAAAACCCATACACGATAAAAGTTCAACTTAAAAGTCAGCAAACTCTTAAAATACAGCCTTAAAAGTTGTTTAAAACCGGTTAAAAAGTTGCTCACAACAGAGAGAAATGGCTGGGTGCCACACGACGCTGATGCATTCGACACAAACAGACTGTGCATCTTGAAGCAGCTGGAGGGCAGCTTTTGATTTATCCCTTGTGATTATGTGGTTTACAAATAACTTAATATAACCTAACAACCCAAAACATTCTCTAATTATGTGGATAATTTGTGTTCGAGTTTAAAACTATGTTTTCTTTTGAGACATCAATTATTTAACAAATAGAAAACTTTCCAAACTATTTGTTCCCATCATTTGGTTTTCCTTACAGACTGACAGTTTTATGGCACACCATGATCTGCTTATAAGGTGAAACTTATTACACTATTTATTTGGCATAGGAAATGTCCCAGGGTTCACCTCTCTCTGTTGTATCTTCCGTTTGATACAGGGGGTCAAATTGCCCAAACCTTTACTTGTAATATCTGGCTGCACAACGAAGAACAATAATGTTCTATTTCTCTACTGGAGATCCTCCATCATGGAAGGTTATAGAGTCATTTTCAATAAAGCTGCCGATACAATTTTATTTTTATTCAGCTGAGATAAAATACCTAGGAGAACATAATTCCCATCCTATTGTACTCAATATGGTTAACATTTGGTACAAGGTTTAAAAAGTCATGAATATACCTAATTCTCTATCTCAGTTTAGTCCAATTTGGGGAAATGTTTCATTTAAACCAGGCAAGATAGATGCTGGATTTCAGCAATGGACTAATGAAGGATAAGTAAAATTTCTGACCTCTATAAGGAGGAGTTTTCTATGTCTTTGGAACATCTTTCTGTAACACATGGCATTCCAAGAAAGTACTTTTTAATATCTGCAACTGATAAGTTTTATCTCCTCTGTTCAAAATAATTCCTTGCTTATCCCATTTTTTCCCTAGAAGAAAACATTACAAAGAATTGTGACATGAATGGCTTGATTTCATTGTGGCAGAATTAGTTTGCATCTGGTTCTAAGGGAAACTCATTATCAAAAATTGAGGCATGGACTTCAGTATAACTAGTTGATGCTGACTTATGTAACCCCTGTGAAATTAAATAAATACAACAGCAACATACCTGATAATTGTTTTAAATGGAACAATGCACAAGGAACCCTGATACATTGTATTTGGGAGTGTGACAAGGTGAGAGGTAATAGAGGTAATAGACAAAACTATGAGTATTTTGTCAATTGACATTCCAATAAATTCCAAGATGATTTTATTACACATGTACCCAACTGATCTCACTTTGAGAGCCAAAGAGCACAAGTTTATTGATTTTGCCATATAAACTTGTGCATATTGGAAGGAAACTGATACACCTACTATCAGAGCTTGGATCAAGGACATGGAACGATGTATGTCAATGGAAAAAATAAATATACCCTGAAAAACAAATTAGCACATTATGAGAATATCTGGAAACTATCCGATAATTATATTAAGAATGGAGATATAGAAGGGCTTCAATGTGATGAAAACATAGTCTGTATATACTCTGGACAACTTGGTTCCGCCTACCGCCTGTATACGGATTTGAAGCCAAACAGCTCTCGATATTTCTGGGATTTTTCTTCATTTCCTGAAACTAGCGCTGCGCGGTAGTGATGCGCACATTCGGCCGCGCAGTTGCCAAGAGTCGCTGTGATGACACTTGGCTCAAACAGCATATCCCCCGGGACAGCTACGCAATCCCTGAATGCCCATAGGCTGTATCAGGTGTCAATCATAGAAAACCCCTGATGAACCCCCTGATAACTTTTAAAAATGGAGCTTCACAGAAAAAAAGAGGACTTGAGCACAAACCAGTCTTACAATAACTACGTCAACATCACAAGCAGGGGGAGAAAAATGTATGTTCTGTATAATAAATTTCTAAAGTTTGTCCACAGCCCCATAAGCTTTGCTGGCGGAGGTGGGATTTATGACCTATACTGCAGCCCATCAACAGAGGGTGCTGTTCTCAGAGTGGCTTCACCCAGCAAGGAGGCAGACTCTGTCCATTCTTAATACAGTCTATGGATGAAAAACACTGAATGAAAAAAGTTAATTGGTGTGTTGATAGTTCCAAAAAAAGAAAAATAAATAAATAAAAAGGATGTAAATACTGAAAATGTATGCATTATATATTTATGGTATGGGACTGTATAATTTAAGGAACAATTTATCCCAAACAAGAAATTATTGATCATTAAAAGTACTTTGTTATGTTCTGTGTATTCTTTTATAGTTTTTAATAGTTTTGACAGAAACAAACCTTTGTTTGTTAAGAGGGAATGACCAGCAGACTCCATATGCAAAACCTTGAATAAGCATATCTGCAGAGTTCATATTTTATTCAATGAATTAAGAGTTTCACACAAATGAGTTTACTCTGACAGTCTTAATACTTAAGTGTGTAAAACTAAATTTATAACCAAGCAGAAAACTACTATTACACGGCTCAATCCCAAGAGCTCCCTGTCCCTCCAGTGTGAGTGCAGGACGCCAAAGCTACGGCAGGGAGAGCAGTAGCTAAGACCCCTTTGGCACAGAAAAGAGAAGGTAAGACATATGACACTGGTAAAATCAGATCAAAAGAGGAACTCCAGTGGAGGCAGGTTTGAACAGGAGGCGGGAAGAGTAGTCAGGCTAAGGCTGTTTAAATACAGCATCTATCTTGATGCTGATTGGGTGCTTTGAGGGTAACTAGCTGAGCTGTCAGCTGATGCAGGCAGACATTAGAATCAGCTGATACACTGTGGGCTGTGGGGAAATTTATGGCCTCCCTGAAGGGATGCTATACTCAATTCAAAAATCCAACATCAGGTATGCATTTTGTGTATATGTCAGAGTTCAAATGAGGTGAATCACCACTTAACATTTACTTTTTCCTCCTTTCATTAGATCTGATATCAGTTTGAGTGCCACTTACCTTGAGCGAAAGCCTCTTGTACATCACCCCCTACCCCTGCGAGAGAATCTTGAGGAGGGTACATGTGAACCTGGGGAGATGCAGCACCCACAGTGCGGACGGTTGACGGACTTGGTCGTGAAGGAGAGGCGTGAGAAGAGCCAGCTGCCTGCGCCTGAGAGACGGATTTATGAGAGTTGTTTTAAATCATTTATAGCTCTGTAAAACATCGAACTTTCCATTTTTTGTAGCTGAATAGTAAAAATTCTGGTAACTGCCAGTAAAATAATATGAGCCATTATTTATATCCCACTTGGAAAGATGAAGCAGTTTCCTCATTGCTTGTAAAGCTGACTGATTTTGACATTTCTGCACGACATCAGAGCTCACTCCTACATTCACACCACTGTGAGTCAAACATGAGGGGGGTACACTTACTGCTTGTCGCTGCTCTTCATCCTACAGGGCCACAACATGAGCATTCAGAAACCAAAGGGAGGAGAGAAGGATGGAAAAGAAGAGGTCAGATACAGTCAGAGCGAGAGGAGGTGGAATTATTTAGGAGGAGAAAGCAGAAGGAAAAGTGAGGCTTGTTACTGCAAAGACCGACACTGAGAGGTGCGAAGAAAGAGGGAAACTTTGCCCTCTAGTGTGTGACAGGGCACCATGCTAGAAACAATAGACAGCTCAAATGTGTGTGTGTGTGTGTGTGTGTGTGTGTGTGTGTGTGTGTGTGTGTGTGTGTGTGTGTGTGTCACCTTGAGCAGCTTCATCAGGCCCTCCAGCTGTACCATCAGCTCCCTCCTGCTCTCTTGCAGAGATGACATCCTCTGCTCCAGCTCATCTTTCCTTTGTCTGCAACACACAGCAACCCTCCATTACTGCTTCATGACAGAGCGAGGAGGCCGTTTAAAGAACCAAACACTCAGAAGGCAGGAGACCACGCTTCAAACAATTCAAAAAATTTGAGGTCACAAAGATACAACGGCAAGACATAAGGGCAGAAATCTCTAACCACTGGCATTGAAGTGTCTTGCTCCCTTTACACTTCATCCATGCCATGCATACCCAAATTTGATTTCGTGCATTCATTTCCACAAAGCCACATAAACAGTTTCAGCTTTCATCAGAGAGATCAAAATGTCAGGAACGGAAGAAGCAAACTCCAGCGCACGCTCCTTTCTTCGTACCATAACTGAGATGGTTTTGAAACGGCTCTTAACAGTCAGAGAGCTGCAAAACACTGAGTATCAGGCCAAATCCAGACGGATAATGTGTCTCCAGTGGTGCAAAAATTAAGCCAAAACACACCCATTCAAGGCACTGACGTATTGCACTGATGACATTTTTGGAACCAGAATCTGCCGAGTAGCAATCAGCTGGAGGAGGAACAATTTGACATCAAAACTTTCTGCTTCCAAAACACACGTCAAACTCAGAGATACAACAGTAAAGGTCTCTCATGTCAATGCAGTCGACAGTGAGGGATTCTTGTTCAGATTTGAAGCAGACAGTAACAATACAGAGTTTAATGACTCTTGTGTTAGTGCTCATTACCTTTCCTCTCGCTGCTCCTCCTCTACTCTGCTATTCTAGTACACACATTACAGACAAACTTGTCAACAGAGCTGTCAATCATGGAGTTTTTCTCCTGTTTACAGCATCAAAAACAAATTAAACTCAACTTCTCAAAAAAGAAAAGAGCACTACGCCAAAAATCTAAAATCATAAGAACAAATTTTACTCACAGAAACTTTTTTTTGATGTAGACTTTGATCTTAAAGTTTGACTCATGTCCTATCTGTTCTATGTCATGTACTCCAGCCAGTCAGTAGGGGGAGCTCTACATATTTTGACCATCGGCTGTGAGCAGAATGGACTTGGCCACTTCTTCTCGGCCCACTGAAATGTGAAGCCAAAAAACACATACTGCACCAGTGCAGCCGAAGAACGCTGTATGGGACACTGCAGGAACCAAAGCTGCCAAGCTAGCATCTTTAAATTTCGCCACTAATAAAAACTTGAGTTATTAGCAAAATCAGCATTTAGGACAAAAATCAACAAAAAATTGTGACTAAAACATTTTAGTCCAAAGACTAGATCTCAAACAGCTTTTTAAATCAACACTCTTCTTTAGCCAATCAGTAGGTGGAAATCCATTTCATTTGACTTCACAGTTGGTGCCCGTTTAATTGTGATATTTATAACAGGAGCTGTAATATCATCTGTCATCAGTCAAAAGATCAATCACGAGGCTACTGTTACCAAAGTTGGATTCAGATAAGGCCATCTGACTGCCATGCCAGAAAAAAACTTGAGAAGAAACCACATGGAAAACCAATGTTTGGTGATCAAAGACAGGGAAACGCACAGTCATAAAACCTTCAAGTTTTCCCTTGTGATTGTTTCAGGGTTTAAAGACAAGACTCAGTGGATATTACATTTGACTGAGTTAGCCGACTGTAACATGTGAGTGTCATGAAAACCTGAGTATTGAAACCAAACGCGACTGTCGGCAGACACATTGAAGACGTTCATCACACAGGCCACAGAGTTCTGGATCCAAACTGCACTTGAATGATGAATTTTAAGTATTCACTGAAAATTGGTGGCAGAAAGAGGCCAAGATTCAGGAGCCAGCAAATGTCGCTGACAACAGGATGGAGACACAAGAATACAGAGGTGTTTACACTTGTTTTTCTTTTCCAAACAGAATCGGGTCTGGATTGGACATTGAAGAGGGAGCTGAACTTTTTTCATTCATACTTGGCTTTTTTTCAAATGAGTAAATAAACAAGCAAAACAAGAGAGTGAGTCAGACAGTGACTCCAGATTTGAGTGATCCAAAACTAAAATTTCCAACACAGGAGTGACAGAGAACACTATCCAACATTGCAGTATTTTTCATTATGACTGCAGGGATGATCCCAGCCTTGAGAGACAGGATCCAACAAAGCAGATTCAAAAACTAAGGGGAGCTTCACAAGGAGTGGACTGAGGCTGGAGGCACTACACAAAGACAAGTCCAGGAAATGGACTTTAAGTGTCATGCTCCTGCTGTCAAGACATTCCTGAACCAGAGACAGCATCATAAGAGTCTCACCTGGGCTAAGAGGGAAAAAAACTGGACTATTACTCAGTGTTTCAAAGTCCTGTTTTCAGATGACAGTACATTTTGTTTCTTTGGAAATCAAGGTCCCACAGGCATAGAATCCAAGGTACTTGAAGTCCAGCATGAAATTTCCACAGTCTGTGATGATTTGGGGGTCCAATGTCATCTGCTGCTGTCAGTATTCTGTGTTTTATCACGTCCACAGTCAACACAGTCCAAAGTCTACCAGGAGATTTAAGAGACATTCATATTTCCATCTGCAGAGAAGCTTTATGGAGATACAGACTTCCTATTCCAGCAGTACCTGGCACCTGCCCACAGCGCCAAAACTACCAGAAACAGTTTTTTCTGGCTATGGTATCACTGTGCATGATTGGCCAGCTAACTGGCCTGACCTGAATCTCATAGAGGATCTCTGGGGTATCTTCAAGAGACAGATGAGAATCAGTAGAGCTAACAGTACTGACACTCTTGTTGTTTATCACTTTGATAGATGGGACAGTGTTGGTGTGTGTGTGATCAGGTTGCCTCAGTTATTAAAACACATGCACTTTAATTCAGACCTGAAAAGTCATTAGAAAATTAAACTATCATCACCACCAACTCATCTGTTTTCTCTGTCCTTCTACTGTTTTGAAAAACATTTGATTTCAGCGCCCCCTTGTGGCTCTAGCCCTGAGCAATACAAACTGAGACATCTTTCTCTGGTAAGATTTCACGACTACAGAACAACAGTGTGCTGTATTAGCATAGGAAAAATAACTTGCAGTGAATTTAAAGCTCCTCTGTTTTGCACCTTTTTTGGATCATTTCAATTAAATTTAAAAACCCAAAAGAGACAATGCAAATGAATTGAAGGGAGATGTAATTCAAGCACTTGCAGTGTCAGATTTAGCTGTACATGCTGAATTTCAGCTGCAGTCTTTGGGAGGTTGAAAATGTTACAAGAAAATAAACAGAGTTCAAAGTCACTCAGGCATTTTAAATCACTAGAATTCTCAAATTGCAATTACTGCAACATCCTCCCGGGCAGATTTGTTCTTATGTTAAGTCCTCCTCCTCTTCCTTTGAGTTTTTGTTTTCCCTGAAAAGCTTAAATATGTTGGAAGTGAATTTTACATTGGCTTTATACAAATTTCCACCATCTGTCATCACCATCTGCCGTAAAGCACTCTCCCTCTGTGTGGCAAAACAACACAGCAGATTTCCCGCCAAATCTGACACTGTGGCACACAGCGAAGCAGGCAAAGTGGTCGTGAACAGAAAACTTTGTTGGCTTTGAAAATTATGTTTGGGTATCATTTCTGTGGGTTCCAGTTGTGACACACACAAAAAAACAAACAATAGTGAGAGTATGTGTACATGGAGAAGGTCCTTGGTGGAGTCTGTTTACCTGAGCAGACGGAGCTCGGCGAGCAGGGTGGGGTTGGTGCTGCCTTTCTCTGGGCTGGCCTGGCACGCTGCATCATGCTGCGCACGGAGACGTTTGATCTCTGCCAAAATCTCTCTGGGAAATGAAAAACATACTGTCAGCTCAGGAGGCGGAGGAGAGTTACATGACTGAACACCCTGTGAGAAGTCAGGGCGGGGACTTGCACAAAGACACTCAAACACACTTTTACAGATTTTCCAGTCAGATTCTAGGGAAAACATCTCAAGACTCATTCTATAATTCCACTCATCATATGAGCTTTTATTGTTTTTCTTTTTTAAGATTGTTGGCTGTATTTCCTTTGTATTTTATTTGCTTTATTGTCTTTATTTTCAACCTTTTTGTGTTTTCAGCTTCTGAAAGAAGCATTTTATTACAGACATTAAGATATATCTAACTTCAGTCAGTAAAAACCCACTCAGAGTACTTTTATTGTGAAGGGACAGACCTTTCTTTAAGCTGAAAGAGAGATGCTTGCAGGTACTAAATAAAGCAGCAGTTTGGGATATTTTACACCCCATAATCTACACATTCAATTGAAGAGTGTTTTGTAATTTGCCACTGCATGCATTGGGTGTCCAATTTTGAGGATTTATAGATCCTCTAAATAGTTTTTAACGGAATGAGTTAAATATTTACTTCAATAACAATTTTCATATTTTCTCATTCCTCAGACTTGATTTTGGAAGGGTTGACTCAGCTAATTTGTATATTTCTACCTGTTTTTGCACTCCAGCTGAGCAATGAGCTCCCTCTTCTGTTTGTTCACATCAAAGTTGATACTCCGGTTTGGAATCACCTGAAAGAAACACACAAAAGATCTTGAGCTTGTTTGGCTTCTCATGACCTCTGGGTTGTTCATTAATCATCTGACAAGCCAAAGAAAATCCTAGCTCAGAGCTCGAGATTTAAGATCAAGAGGGACCATGGAGCTCTGTTAATGGGTCATAGTGGTACCTGATTGTGAGTCTATGACCATTTATTTTAATGTGTGTGTGTGTGTGTGTGTGTGTGTGTGTGTGTGTGTGTGTGTGTGTGTGTGTGTGTGTGTGTGTGTGTGTGTGTGTGAGAACTAAAACGTTGACTCACTGCTGCGCTGTCTGTCTCTGCCAGTCTGGAGGTGTAGCGGGCGATCAGCTTGTGCTCCTCGTCTTGTCTGCCAGGACTGTCTGCACTACTAAAACACACACAGAGCAAGAGAATCAGCAAACATGAACATCTTTTCAATATTAGTTTTCCTCCAGTCATCAAATATTCACTGAAAGGGTTAAATATCAACTGTGAGCAATTACACACATGACAAGGGACAGATTTGAGTGCCTATATCAGCAGTAAGGTAGAAGGGGGACATGCCAGACCTCAAATAAAACCAAAAGTAAGAACACTAAGACAGCTAACTGTGACACCTTGGGCTGCTTTGGAGGCGATTCACATACGCAGCGATCAGAGCGTGTTCCTCGTTCATACGCTGAGCAGCTGCCAAACTAGATAAAAGAAAAGACAGGACATGTATGCCTGATTAATGTGTATTATTTTAAGTTATATCACTATTAGAGAAATATCATGTAATGTCTGCACACTCTGCAGAAATCATCATTTTTATTGATTTTATTGGTTTTTCATGTGAAAATTTCATACGGGAGTTTGTCAAGGATAAATGATTTAAAAAAATAAATCCTTATCATGCTACATATAATAAATCTAAAGAACCACCTCATTTAAAAGACCTGAGCCCAGGAATGTTGAGAAGGGCAGTTATTCATCTATTTGAATCAAACAGACTGGTTTCTCTTCATGATCAGCAGGTGAATTTAAAGTCCTGATACTCTTTCCTTTATTGGCCAGTAATACTTCTTTTCATCCAATCATCCACAGAAATTAGATAAGCAATCTACAACATTTTCAGCCATGCGCTCCAGACTTGTGCAAACTCTTTATTAGACAACACAAAACATCACAAACACTGAAAGGTTTTTTTTTATTCACCTCTTCCCTGTAGCTTACCTTTTGGATGACTCTGGGGCTGTTGATGACAGCAACATGGCTTCACTGCTGTCTCTAAGGGGACGAGTTGGGCTGCACACATGAACATAAATAGTATACACATCAGATCAGTGTTATCAAGGGTGTAAACAAAGAGTCAAGCCTTGATCAGACAGGATACGGTTTTGTGAAGAGTTTTTCTCTGAGTTACAGTGTGTAAAACGGGGAATTGTATAGCAGTCAGATGCTCGACTGAAACACACGCTCACCCCTCCTGTCAGTAAAGCAATGACAGCCTCTGCCTGGGAAAAATAAGCTCTGATGATGCATGAATATGATCCCTCAAGTGTTAATCAGTATAAAATCCTTTGTGCATGTCAACGACTTTCCTCTTCTTCATTGTTTTAGCCCAGGCATTTTGCACGGCTACTCATGAAATCCAAAATCACACATGGCTGTCACTAGTTTCTATGTTCTGTGCAACAGCAGAAACACAGCAGTAAAAGATGGTGGCCTCTGTGTAAACACCACTCCTTATGCATAAATCAAACACTGACTTTAAGTTGACAAAAACAATATCTTTTGTATATTCTGGTGATTATTTTGTAATTTAAACATATTTGTGAATGTTAAATTCTACTCCTGTTACTTGTTACTACACATTTTACCTTTAAATCAGTAACTGTTTTACGAATGCATCCAGAGCATCCTCACATTTTGCAGAAGTGCTCTGAACTTCTCAAACTGAAAAACTACAACCAAGAACAGTCGAAGCACACTGTCTTTGCACTGTATTCCCAGATGGAGAGGAGTTGACTTCATTGATAAATCTCAGGCAGGTGATGTAGTAGCTGCCTGACAAATAAAAACATAAGTTTAGGATTAGTGTGCCTTGTCATAAACTGAGCCTTTAGTATTTGATTTTTTTTCTGACAGTGTTGTGTTTTTACACAACACTACACCCCTACAATAAAAGAGGGCTTGATGGGGAATGTTGATTGTTGAGGCAGGAGTTGCTCCATTAAGTTAATATGAGGGTGTCAACATTCCTTTATTCATCATTTTTAATTAAATAAGTCACAATATGCTGGCTGTAAGCCGGCTTCTCTTAGGGTTGCTTTACAACAGTAGTAACAGCTTGATGAGCCAACCTGTCCACTGCTCATTTTCATGAATTGGTATGTCAAAATAACATCTGGCTTTGCTGTGTTTCTTTACCCAACAGTCATTTCATTAAGTATAAAGCTCAAAAACACATTTATGAGTGCAGGACCTTCCTAAAAAGCACAACGGTCTGCCCGTCAGAAAACACACATTCTTACACACACATACGAACACACTCTCACGTGCTCCGAGTGCAATCATGCAATGGTGAATTGTGCTAGTCCGAGCAAACACAGACAGGGCAAAGATCACCACAGGCAGAGAAAGAAAGAAAAAAAAAAGACTGTAAAATGCAGAGCAAATGGATATGAAAAGGAGAGCTTTAGAAGAAGTGCAGCTCAGGAGGGGAATGAACCTGAGTGAGAATAATCCTGATCATACTCACATCTGTGCTAAGTGCAGTCTCTGTGTGCTGACATGAATGTGTGTCCGGTGCTTGGAGGTTTGTAGTGACCCAGTCTAGCGAAGTTTGGAAAAATCAAACTGTGTGACCCAACATGAGGGGGCGGAGCAACCAGGGTGGTTAGCTTTAGAGGAGGGGCTTCTGAGGTCTTCTTGCTATCTTTTTGTGTACATTTAAAACATGATAATAAACTGAAAGTGTGCTGCTGGGTAGTCTGTGAATGCTTTCTCTAATTGTTCATATTCTCATCAGAGCCTCTACCATGGTCTTCAACTGAGCCAGTATTTCACTGAACAATGAATGACCTCTTTTTTTTTTTAATATAAATAGATCCCATGACTTTGATGGTTAATATCATCAAGTGAATCAATAAAACCACCATTGGATGATTAACTCATGTTCATATATGTGATATATAGATGGACAATCAAGACCATTAATGTCATTTTGTAATAATTAGCTGCACATGAGGCCTATTTAATCTTTATCTTTTCTAAATTATAACCTGTTTCTCATCCCTAACATAAAAACTAAAACAGTTACTTGCCATTATTTGACATAAAATGTATTGTGATACATAGAATAATGAATATTAATATATTCATTATTATTTATTTTACAATTGTAATCTCAAATTTCCTCTCTGGGACAAATCAAGTTCTAACTAACTTACTTCATCTTTTCTTTTCTTCTGACATATGAATCTGTCTTGTTATGAAACCTGTAGCAGAACAAAATGTATTGGTCTGTTATGATAAATTACAGGTGGGGTAGGCAGGACTCTGTTAAAGAAGCATCTTTTTTTGTGGTGTATATACAAAAGAGCTTTTAATATCAGTCAATAGCTATTAGTTATTGATGACATTTGGGAATATCACGATATCGCTGTGTTCTCTTATGTCTGTGTAGTCAACATTTTACATTTTTTGGGCATCCCACTCATTTTGACAGTAAACAAAGCCATTTTCCACCTCCCCCAACCCGATTAGTTGTGAGGCGGACGCTGCTCCTTCGTGCTGATTGGTTGTGAGGCAGATGCTGCTCCCTCGTGTTGTGAGGTACTCTCCACGTCCTCAAATAACGTTTACGAGCCCAAACAAAGTTAGCATGCTACAATATCGGACAGTAGAAACCAACCAGAAAGTTCGGGAAAATTGTCTGAATCCTCCATTGGCCACGACTGCCAACACAAGTAAGAAAACAAAGTAAATACCGGAGACTCTGGCAGAATAACTGGCGCTTAAAAAGGACGTAGTCCGGACAAGAACTAAGAAGCCAGGTCAACATCAGCATAAACGATGGGGGACGCTTTGGGATCTTACTGACCCTGTAAACTTTCTGCTGGACAGGTAAACAGAGAAAACCAAGTGTCTGTAACAGAAGTGTTTCTTGTCAAACAGGACTTGCTGCGTGTTGTAGCGCTGCTAAACCGTTGACCTCGGGTCCTGGAGTATGTCACTTCATCCTAGTTGTAGAAGTCCTGCAAACATTGTGTTTGCTGGTAGTCTGTTGGCATCTACAGTGGCACTGATGCTTTTTACTCACACGTTGACGAGGCCCCTTTGGAATTATCTGAAGTATTTATCTGCATTATATCTGGATTTTATTGAAACAATACAAGCGAGCAGGAGCATCTATTTGTGGGCGGGGCTTGCTGGAGCAGAGAGGGAGGGGAGGGGAGGAGCTAAGGGGAAACTGGTTAGGAGGGCTGGTGTTTGCGTTGAAGATTTCTCCCAAAAACTGGCACTTTCTCAGATCCTGCCTACCCTACCTTAAGACTGCATTAATCTTGAGACTGGAAAAGAGGACCATAACTATTAACTACCAATAACTGTGACTCTTCTTTCACTGAGTATTTACTCTGTACTTTTTCTTCCATGGAAACTACAGATGACTGCACAAAAATCCAAAGGTTCCCTGAGGCATCATTCGACTGAGCCTTGTACTTTCCTTTCTACATTTTTTCACTGAATGTTCATCTGAGCTCTGAAATTTTGTTTCTCCTTTTATAGAATTATTAAAATGTTATATTCTATCAAATGGAAAAAATGGTCTCTCATTCATGGCCTCTAAAAAAAAATCACCATTAGGATTCAGGAGTAGCAGTTGTGCAAAGATGTCGCTGCAAATGTGAGACATGCTGGATGTGTGTGATGTTGTGAGGCAGGTGCAGATGTGAGGTCTTACACTATGTTGGCGAGGTTGAGGGTCCTCTCAGGTTCCTCTGGGTAAATGGGGTGAGGAGGCTCTCTGGATGACACACAGCCCAGAGTCCTGCTCAGGGCTCGGCCCAGCTTTGTCGCTGATGACTTCTGCACACACACACAATCAGACGCACAGGTGTCAAGCAAACATTCATGTGTTGAGTGACTTAGTTAACATTTGGAAAATGTTTTTGCAGCAATATAATCCGCATTCAAGAGTAGGACTGAACTCCATCAATTCAAGTTAATCTTGCCTGATAAAAATCTGAAACCCTGTGATGATCATTTAAAAGATTCAAGAGTCTCATCATGCTTAAATTAAGTGCATAATATTTTCCCCAGTTTGTAAACTGATTATAAACTCATTTGAATCCTTCTATGATTTCTTCAGTCTCCTTCAGCAGACCTGTTTGATAACTTTTGGTGAAAACACTTTTTAACTACGTTATACTCATACAGAGGAACATGGAAACATTTACATACTTTGTTGAAGACGTAACATTCTTACAAATACCTGCACACAATCACTTATCTCGATGGGCTCTAGAGAGGATAGATGTGCTGCTCACTGTTAAAAAGGATTTGAATAAATGACCATTTACAGAGGATAACAGGAGAGATAATAAATATTTATGTCTCAATTACAACTGAATCCCTGCTTTCAATTTAAACCAATTCCAAGTGCTACACTAGTATCAAGCTAAACCTTCAAAGCCAAGAGATTAAGAGATCAGAAGATCATCTTCAAGTTCTGGTGTCAGATCAAAACTCACTAAAGCAGAAAGGAGATAAATCTCTATTTCCCAAGTGTGAAAGTAAAGAAATGTAGCAGACAAGCAGAAAATGAAATAGCCCTCAAAAGTGGCTCATGTTGAAAATGAAATGTAAATGTCTGCAGAGGATTATGGAGATACGCTGCCTGTGATGTAGAGATTCGGCTGGACCATCCGGAGCTGCATGAGTGCACCAGTGAAGAGATTTATCCCTGAAACTGAAACTTTAATGAGCCAAATTATGCTGAGCCTGGGTGAGGATGAATAATTCAGTAACTATGTTTCCATCTATTAATGCATAATATCTTCATCGAAAACATTTCCTCCTTCGGGCTAGGTGTTGGAATACTACTGCAGCTTTAATATTCAAGATCTGGCTTATTGTCATTTTCCTTGTACACACACAAAAGCCTAAATACTTATTTCTTTTAGCCAGGAGCAGTTAAAACGAGGAAAGGGAATATATGAATGTATCTAAAAGCCTTATGTAAACTAATTTCTGTTCAAAATAGACTAAAACATATCAGGAAAATAAACTCAGAATAAGAAAAAGAAATTAAAGTAAAGGAGCAGCACACGCTGTAACTTGACATGATTACATCATTTCTTCTGATTCTATTTCTCCAACTTAAAGCAAAAGTTGACAAAATTTGATCAGAAATACAAATTTGTATTTTTAGGCATGATGCAATTTTGAGACACAAAAGAGGTGGGCTAACAACCCACTCTGCATCCAGTCAGCAGGGGGAGTGGCTGAATATTTTGGCCTTACTTTTAGAGAGGTTTTGTCATCCATCAAGTTCTGCAGTCTACGGTCTCAAGACTCTGAATGACCCACACACATATGGAAATACAAGATAACTCACCCAGGATGAGTGCTCCTTCATCTGATGCTGGCTGCTGTGAGAACCGCTGGCGTTGCCACGCCAAAAGCAGTCCTGGCAGAGCTGGTAACCACGGCAACAAAGGCATCGGTAGCGGAAGCCGGTCATGCCATTGCTTCGACAGTAGGAGCATGAGACTGGATGATAGACTGGAAGAAAAAAAAAAAAACAGGATATACAACTGAAAGCCACAAAGTGGCATTGTAACGATCATTACGTTTCACTGTCAGTTATCATTGCATGTAGATTTGCTTATACTGACTGCTACTGTGAAATGATGAAAGATTTAATGAAACCTTTTGTTTGGTTAATTTTATTAATCAATAATAAAACTAGGTAATATAATAAAATTGGAAAAACTTTGTAATTTCTGAAACTGTTACTTCAAATGTAAATCTCACACCACTGCACTCGACTAACTTAACCCATGGAACAAATTTAAGGATTAAATACAGAGCTTCAAGTTTTGGGTATTGCACCAAGATGCAGACATGACTTGAGCCAATGTGTGTGTGTGTGTGTGTGTGTGTGTGTGTGTGTGTGTCAATGTGCGTGTAAGTGCATGTACCATGTTCCACGTTTGCCATACGGTGCATGAGAGGCAACCAGACAAGACACTGTGGAGGATCAGCTATGACATCCAGGAACATGTTGAGCATCACTCTCTTCTACATGATCAATGATAAAAAATTTTTTTTTTTTAAAAACACCTCAAAGATGTAGAACAGGTTCCAGTAAAGGCTGAAGATGAAGTTGGAATTGTATGAACTTCTTATAATCTTCTGCAGACTAAGCAGGCAGTGGCAGAAACTTTGTGTATAATACGATACTATAAACAATAAATCTCTGAGATAAAGGACAGATGGATGAGATCTGAGAGCAAACCTGTTGTGGGAAGCATGAGCGTGCTAGAGTGTGTGTGTAGCCAAAGGATGGTCCTTCATGTACAGCAGTGGGCAGCTTGAGAGCCTCCCTCAGAAAGCCATCAAATTTGGATTGTACCAAAGCGCCATGGGAGTCAGATACCTGAGAAAATACATCTACAAAACACATGCAAACACACATTCAGAGAGGCACTACACTTAAACTGATAAACCTTACTCACTTTACAGCTCCCTGAACTGCTCCCCAATATCTCACTTTTTAAAAATCTATTTTTTACCCATGGGGGAAAACTTTTCTCTGTTCTTCAAACTGTGAGTCTGTTAATATATCAAAGCTGAAAGAGCATGTTTCATGCATATGAGCACATAGCAGCACTGACCTGCACCTACCACAAGGTGGCACATACGTAGCATTTATATGTCTCCATACATTCACAGTGAAAGCTGCTTTGTAATATTCATAAATAAACAGTGAAAACTGTGGTACAGATTTACATGTCCTCAGCTGTTTTCAAATTTAAAAAATTAGGTTGATGATTCAAAACTTTAAGAATAAGCATAACACTAGATTTTTAACTTGAATCCTCAATTTACCATAAATATCACAGAACTCTTCAAACAATCCAAATAAAAGCAAGAGCTCAAACGATAATTTTCTTTAACTTGATAGTGACAGGAGCTGGCACAAGTTTCTGTTTGTTTTTCAATCTGTTTTACTGTCTAGTTTTGTTAACTACTTTTACAGGCACCTCTCAGTTGATCAGGACATCATAAAAGGTTTTTCCTTTTCATCTTGTTTTCATTTATTATTATATTTGTGTCACAAGTTAAATCATTCAAGTGTTTCTTTCTTTCATTTTTGATGATATAAAGTACAAGAATGTCAATTTCTGGAAAGTATGTTCATCTCAACTCAGCAGCTGGTTGAGGCGCCTTTATCAAAACTACTGCATCAGTGTGGTGTGGCAGACAGGGGATTAAACTGTGCCACTACTGAGGTGTTACTGAAGCCCAAGTTGCTCGTATAGTAGCCGTCAGCTTGACCTGATTTTTGGTTGGGTGTGTATTGTCTTCCTCTTGACAAAATTCTACTGATTCCTGATGGGTTTCAGATCATGTGAGTTGGCAGGCCAATCAAGCAAAGTGGAATCATGATCAGCAAACCATTTGATGGTAGATTTAGCCCTGTGGGGAGGTGCCAAGTCCTGCTTGAAAACAAAAATTTCTATCAAGCTTGTTGGCAGATGGACAGCATGAAGTGCTCTAATGGACTGCTGAGCAACGGTTTAGATCTCTTTCTTTTTAAATAAAATTGATGGAAAATCAAAAAAAAAATCAATTTTCAATTTATTGAGATGAACCTGTATGAAAAGTTCATTGTAATTCCCATCTCTGCAAAAAAGGCTACCTGATGGTGCTTGTTTGTGCTTATTTGCTCATTTTTTAATGTTGACTGAAGCTGGAACACATTAAAATACAGTAAAGCCCAACTACATAAACAACACAATACACTTGCTCCTGTTGTGCTACATCTATTTTATTTCTAAGCCTACAGCCTACAAGAGAAACAATTCATTTCCTTCCCATTTTTGAGGAACAGTTTTGATTTTGACTGGAAATATAAGACAGTTACTGTGGAAATGTTTGACTACCACTATTTAGTACTCACAGCGGAGTTTATCCACCAGTTTCCCTCCACACAGCGTGGCCAGCATCGCCTTCACAGAGAACACCGTCAGGCAGCTGTTTGGCTCACTGACACAAAAATGTAAAATTAAGACACATCAGACAACTGATAATAAGCTCAAGCATGGATATGACTTGCAAGGAAACAGCTGAATGTCAAGATGGAGAAGAGAGCTGGTGCTGAAATATAAATCTAAGTTACCTGTCAACAGCTGCCAGTAAGAATTGGACTAACAGGACAGTGCTCTCTCTGGGGTTGATGGTGAGTGTGGTGGGCAGGCGCTTGCCCAGCTGGTTGAACAGAGAGGACACCAAGTTCTCCAGTCTGACCACAGAGATGCCAGCGTGCAACTCCACAGCGTTCAGACCAGCGTCTCGCACTGCCTCTATGACATGGTATATGTCCACCAAGTGCACTGGAATGAAAGACAGCCGGTCAGAAAAACATTCTCAACAAGACATTTGAAAAAAGATTGATATAGTTTACCATTTTTTTCTATTTGAATCATAAAGTATGCTTCTGCAGTAGTTGTGACACTTGATTTCAAAGATTTGCTGATACTGAATTTAAACCTCACAGAAACAGCTGTACTGGCTTTGGAAGTGATGTTAAAACTGCACCAGAACAAACCAGAAATAATGTAGATTTAAATTCAGACCATCACTCAACAATCACCGTCACCATGCTGGAGAACAGCAGAGTTGACTTACAGTTGCACCTCTTCTGTATGAATCTGAGTTTGCAGGCTGTTCGATATGTAGAGAGACAAATGGCATCAAGGTTCTGATCCCCTGTAAATCAAAAAGTAGCTCTGATGGGTCATTATGCCTGATCTCTGGGATCCCGACAATCATACAAGCAGTTTGTAGCCTCAGTTCCTTTACAGTGAATAAATGCCACTCACCCAGTTCTTTGAAGATCTGCCTTCCTTCTCCTCCTGCTGTCACTAGAGTCCCCCTCCCTCGGTCTCTCTGACTCCCCTCCTCCATCACCATCCTGCAATAAAAGCACATAACAACAGTCAAACTCATTACCTGCAACTTTTCATCATGAAGTTTGGTCCAAGATTTAACCAGGTTGCAATTAAGAAGAAGAAACATTCAGGAAGTCCTGCTGTGTTTTATCTGATGATTGCTTCAGTTTCTTGTGCATGGATGGCCTGGTTGAGCTGCTGGTGTTTCTCAGTACTTCACCTGACCATTAGCTATGGATTATTTTCTTTTCATTCTTGGAGGTGACCATATACTGCTTGGTTGTGTCCTACCAGCAGCGACCTAATTTTCCCCTGTCCTGTTTCTTCCGTGTGTGCAGTAATTGTATGAGCATTGTTTGGTGTTGACTCAACACATTTCCGTTTCTGGTCTTCCACAGGAAATGTGGTCGGCAAAACCAGAGACCAACACTAATCAATTCCTGCATCAGTTTTAAGTGTTTCAAATGATCTCCACATAGAAACCTCAGCAGCCAACCACATGGATGTAAATACAACATTATACTGACAAGCAGGGTAGTTTAAAGCTAAAGCTATTTATATACACAGGTCTACTGTAAACACTGTGACACACCCACAAACTAGAGGAGGAGTCTGAGTCAAACTCAAGGCCACCAGAGGATGAGCTGAGTGCTCCTTGAATAAACACATTAATGAGAGCAGCTGATGAAATCTGATCTGCAGGCTGGCAGCTCAACTACTTAACAAGGGTACTGAGAAAAAGAGAGAGGGGATGGACTGTGAGTGAAAAGGAAAGGCAGGGCAGAGGACAGGATGAGGGGAAAAGGATAGAAATACACAAAACAGAAGAAAAGGACGAGAGAAAAAGAGAGAAAAGCAAATATTAAGTAAAATGGAAAAGAGGTATGAAGGTTCATTATGTGGGAGTGAAAAAAACAAGAAAGGAAACATGATGAGGTGAGAGGTAAGAGGGGAAAAAAAGTATCAAGAAAGAAAAAACTAAATGCAAACCCAAAAAGAAAGAAGAAAGAGATCAAAGAAAGAAAGAAAATACGAGAGGATATCAGTCACCATGACAACAGTTATGCTACACCCAAAAAACTCAAGCTCATACACACACACACACACACACACACACACACACACACACACACACACACACACACACACACACACACACACACACACACACACACACACACACACACACACACACACACAAATATTTGCATTCCTTGTATAAATGTGGTGACAGGCCAACCCACTCACACACACACATTTTCTAAGAAATTGGCACTTACACGCACATTGACACACACACACACACACACACACACACACACACACACACACACACACACACACACACACACACACACACACACACACACACACACACACACACACACACACATTCCAGAGAGGATTTGAAATCCTCCAAGGAGACTTCAAGTTTCACCCAGACAAAAGAGGGATTCCTCTGCTCTTTCAGTCACTCTCTGTCTCACTCACTTTCTCCTTCACACACACACACACTCCACCATGTCTTCAGACAGCTGTTTTATTGATATTTCTCACTCACTCCGTCCAGAGTTTTGAAGCATGGCACTTTCCTTGTTTCAGAAATCCGTGAAAACCCTCATATCAGTTTTGACAAACCTCTGCAATTTGGAGGACTCCAAAACAAAAGGGGGAAATACTGTAGCATGTAAACACACTGTCCCTGTTTCTGAGAGCAAACTACTGACTACCTGTGCAGGTGTGGCCTCAGCTTGGAAACTTATCAGCAAAACAAACATGGTGGAGGGAACAAGAATGTCAGAAGAAAGTGAGTTTTGTCTTTTGGAAAAGTTTTTCATCTCAGGACTATGAAGAAAGCCTGTGAAAATGATCTCAAAGAAGATTTAGGGGATTGTTGAGCTTCTATGAAGGTGCAATATGGACACTTGTCATGTCTACAGCACTCAACATCTTACATCTTCTTTGAAAATGGTTGTTAGGGTGTATCCAACTTTTTTGTGGTAACATTAAAATCCACACAAATGGCTTTCATGACCTCAGCAACAACCTCTGCTAACTGTGCTGTCACCTCAAACTTCCTGTGATTTTTCCATGAGAAAGCTTCAACTTTATCAAATTTTGAGTCATTTTATCCTGGACTTCTTAATTAAAAAGAATCCTTTTAACTGCTGACTACTAGACCCAGAAATCTGGCTACATGACTGGTTGTTGCTTAGCTGGTATTTTAGGGCTTAGGAGCTGCAGGTCAGGTAGCAGATTTGTTTTTCCTCGATGAAGCCAGGCGAGCAGTTCCCTGCCAACCTTAGCTGACCAACGTCTGGCTGTTGCATCATATTTAACAAGTAGATATGAAAGTGGTGTGAGTCTTGTCCTCTGGCTCTCTGCCACAAAGCATAATAAGAGGAATAGAATGAGCTTGGAATGCATGTTTGCCATATTGTTACCATATTCCTTCAATGGATGGAAAGGTAAGGTAAATGAACAGGAGGATGTGTGCAAGTCAATGAAGAGCTTGTTGCTGGCACTAATTGGGATTTGGCGAAAGAGGTGTTGGATGTTACAGGAGCCAAAAAAAGCTCTGACGGTTCCCAAAAGTCCCACCGGTTACCACACTGGACTCCCAGCATGAGTAAACTGTTATTTCCAGCCTGGCCTTGGTGATAACTACAGCCCGTCTCTCTGTCTATCTGTCTGTCTGTACATGTCCGTCTGTGTATAGCTGACATGCAGGAACATTTGGTCAGTGAGGTTTACTTCCCATAATAACCCTGAAAGCCTTAAATCATCTTGGATATAATTACCCCCCTCCCACAATTATCCCCAACTATTTTAGAGGGCCAGGAACAGCTTGGCTGCTGTGTTTCCAATCACTGGGCCCGAGTACAAAGGTCGGTCTCAGGGAAAAGATCCAAACATTTTTCAGAAAGTGATGTGGAAATCAAACAGACTGGTACACTGTGACCTGCTTCAGAAAAGGATGGTGCACATGCAGCCAAAACTCGGGCCAACATCAGACAAATCGACAGGCGAGAGGAAATATTGAAGGTGCTAAAAGAGTTCCTCAGTTCCAAAACAGTTGTCCTGCTGTGAAATACTGATTAAAAAGATTTTGATGGTTTGCAAATCATGTAGAGCCTTTATTAAATTTAAAAAACTACAAAGACATCATACCAAATGCTCCAACTGAAAATGTTGTTTGGGGAAAATTACGTGCTTACTTGAAATTTGATGCTGGCAGCAAAGGGATTCCAAAGCACTGAAAAATTGCTGTTGTCTTAAAAAAAAACATAGAAGACCACAAAACTGTGAATTGGGGATTTTATTTCTCATGGTACATAATGTCAGTGGGGCACTACCTGCCAAACTGTCTACGTGTGCGCCACATACACACAGGTTTTTGCCTCGAGCGGTCAACCCAGGTTTAATTCCATCCTGAAGCTCTTTCTGCATGTCACTCTCCCTGCTCCCTCTCCTTGTTTCCTGCTCTGTCTATTGTCCTGTCTTTTCCACACAAAAGTCCAAAACAGAGGTATGACTATGTCGTGTAAATCACTGCATGGGCTCAAAAATCTCTCCTAAAAATCAGTCTGTGAACACAATTCACCACTGCATTCACACTGTGAGTTAAAACTGTACCATACTAAGAGAAAACCATAAATAAGCGTGATCCGGGAACCCTGGCCCCATGAGAGATGAACGTGGATGAGGTGGAAAACTGTTCTGTAGTCCGACCAATCAAAAGTTTACATTCTTTTTGTAAATCATAGGTACTGTGTCCATCCCTCCCTCTAGGACAGAGGAGAAGAACCACCTGGCTTGTAATGACCATGCAAAAGCCAGTATTTGTGATAGTATATTGGGGCACATAAGAGCCCATAGTAAGGCTACACACATGCTGCTGTCCAGACTAGGCCTGCACGATATATCGTTTGAGCATCGTCATCGCGATGTACGTGTGCGTGATAGTCACATCGCAGAGCCTGCGATGTCGGAGGTGAATGAACTCAGTTAATTTCAAGGGTAGCTGACTGAGATACACTCCATGTGACTCTACATGTGCTGTGCAGCGATCCACCAATCACCTTCGTCCTTTACTCAGTTGCCATTAGACTCAGTTCTCAGTTGCCAATCAGACTACCCTGCCAGCTGTCAATCAAAATCAGAGAGGAGGAAACCCACCCCTGCACATGTTCTGCACATGGAGTTACTCGCTGGCTGCTGGTGTTGAGCCGAGAAACGCGTGTCCGCTGAGAATTACTTTTGGAACTTTACTGACTGTTAAGCCCAACAAATAAGAACTGTATGGATTTTAAAATGTATATTTCCGTGGACCACTCTACTATAAGCAGTGCGCGTTTTGCGAGGTGCATGCAATTCTTGGAGGACATGCGTTTCTCGGCACAACACCGCTAACAACAACAACAACGATCGCAAAATGAGCAACGAACAAGAGAAAACCACCGAAAATGAAGATTTGTTGCCAAAAAGAAAAGGAAAGTCAGTTATCTGGAATTATTTCGGTTAAAAGAAGGATGATGTTGACCAAAACACGTGTTCTGTGTTCATCTGTCGCCACAATAACGTCCCAGCACAATAAAAGCTAAAAATATCTCTGAGACAGACAGAAGCCATTCTAACATTCACAAAAAGAGGTAAAATCAGTGCAGGTTAACTGTCCTCAAGATTTCAGCGGTGCAGCATAACATTAAGTGCTATTCAGGTCATCTGGTGAAAATTCCTATATTTTTCATATCGCAACATATATCGCAGGGTTGAAAAAAATCGCAATGTTAGTTTTTTCCAATATCGTGCAGCCTTAGTCCAGACACTCTCTTTTCAAGGGTAGACCTTACTTATTTTAGCAGGAAGATACCAAACTACATTCAGCACATACTCAGTAGTAGAAGGGTCCTGATGCTGGTCCTGTAGTCCTAGATTGAAAATAATTGGCCTATCACAGTGACACAGCCAAATAAAACAAAGGAGACCCTAAACTGTTGAGCAGCTGAAATCCAAAATCAGGTAAAAATGGGACAGCATTTCACTTTTAAAACTCCAGAAACTGGTCTCCTTGGTTCCTAAACATTCACAAAGTGTGGTTGAAGAAGAGGTGATCCTACACAATGGAAAGGTTTCATCATTTGATATGCAGTTGAGGTTTGCGACCACTTTTCATTAGTTTTTGTGTCAAAAGTCCAATTCAAAGCCCAAACTGAACAAACTTATTTGCAGTGTAAATAACCCTTAGTCCAAACTCTGACGTTCATTTGACTAATGCCCGATTAATGAGTCCCTCCGTGCTTTGTCTTCTAATTAGGGGCTCAGTTGAGGAAACAAAAGAGAAGAGGTCAAAGAAAAAGAAAAGGGACAGGACTGTAGCTGTATGCAGCCAACAATGGAGGAGCTGTATGTCTCTTTTTTGTATTTGTGTGGGTGGCGACACTCTGCTGTTGCACCATGGTGTTTTATTATGGCTGACATTTGCTGAGCTTGACAGAAACAAACACAAACACGACACACTGCTATGAACACACACACACACACACACACCAGAAGAGGAAACAAGTCTACGCTGACTTTTTGACATCTGGCCTGAGACTGTGTTGAGCAGAGATAAAGTTCACCTCCATTTGCATATACAGTAGATGAGTGGGGTGTGAGTGTGTGTGGTCATACCTCTCTGTGTTAGGGGGTCACACAGGACAGAGGAGCCTCAACAATGGACGTCTAGCAGAAAGAAAGAGAGAGGACAGAAAGGCAGATTGAAAAGTCATCTCGGTCTGGAGACAATCAGGTCAAAAGCTCTTTGTGGACAGCAAAGGACACACACTAATGCAGACAGACAATCTGTAAACACCAGCACACTCCCCTCCTGTCTGGGACTGATCAGACTTGTAAGTGTGTCCTCTTTCGCTTCAATCAAAAACTAAAAGATCTTTTTATCATGCCCTAAATAGATATGGTTGTGTAACTGATAAGATGGCACACTTTTCTGATCGTTACTCACCATAAAAGCAGCTGAACGTTCTCTGATATTCAAAGAGTGCTAAGAGGGACAGAGGTCACTTTTTCCTTTAGCACACCTGTTGATACTCTTTTCTTATGTCTTCAAATGAGGCTAAAATTACCTTGCACTGCACTGGGGGCCTTACGTAACACACACCTGCTCCTCTATTTGCCCACTTGCATTTTGGGGTGTCCGCTATTGCATGCTAGTAGCGAAGCAGGCCCATCATGATTAAGTAAGGCAGTACACTGACATTAGTAGCCAAGAAAACCCACAGCTGATGTTGAAAATAGCTCTTAAACTGTAAAATTAGTAGTGTTATTTTCCAAGGTCCTTTAGTTGACGAAGATGAAGGTTCAGAGTTCTGAAACCCTGGATTTTCACTTGCGATAACTCAGTCTTTAGACTGACATGCAAACAGCAGCTCTATTTTTTTGACCTTGTATTACTGGCCTATGAACACAGAGTCAGATGACACACCAACTGATGATGGAAGAGGGAGAATTTGTTGCCCAAAGTATGAACTTTGCCTTACATTTTTGTCTTACCACAAATTCAAGTTAGTATCATTTTATCATAGATGGAAGTTAGTAAAACGGGATGACTAAGTGTTGTGTTTTACGATTACAAACTGTAATGCAATTAGATATACTATCAGCAAATATCAGCAGAACACAGATATACATCAAAACCATACAAGGGCTGGAATGTTACCAATTATATCTCCTTAAAACCTCCAATAAGGAGCAAACACTGTGAATAATACAATCCATTCATCTGTGATAAGCCACCCCTGTTTCTTTTCCATTGTTCACTGTTCAACTGAAAAATGTCCAACAAGTCAGCAAACTCTGAACAGCTGCTAAGTACTGCAAATCCCTCACAGAGAAAAAGCAACAAATATTATGGTTTCACACACTGAGGCATCATCAGGCCGCACTGGACAAGCACTAACAGCAGCAGTATGTTCAGAGATCATTCCAGGATGAAGAGTCAAAGTGCTGTTGGATAAATACAGATGATCTAACTGAACACAAAACAAGAGCTTATTCTGCAGGTGCATCAAATCTCTGCTCTGTGCATACATAAAAGAACCGGGAATATGTGTATGCAGAGAAGCCCTTAAGACAGCTGTGTGTGTGAACTATACCCATCCTAAGTATCGTTTAAGACGAACTGCAAGGGGCAAACAGATAGACAGCACACAGATAACTGATATATATACATACACACACACACACACACACACACACAAACACACACACACACACACACACACAGCAAGTTTTTCATTATCACGCACAAAAAAAGAGTTACAGGAATATGATGTTCCTCTTAGCTTCTGGTGCAAGAAGCTAAGAGGAACATCATGCTGTAAACTGCCAAACTGTCATAATAGTACCAGATGTATTTGTGCATAAATCAAATGTTGAAACCTGTCTACTAGTGTGGTACTTGTTGTGTACGTTGGCTAGATGGTTCAGACTAAAGTTGTAATTGACAGTAATATGTTCTTTACGGCATTCTTTATTTTTTTTTATACCTAAACCTCTTAATAAGCTTAAAATAAGGCAAACTTTTCTGTAACCAAAGCCCTATTTTCCTGAGATAAGAAACACCTGAGTACCTCTGTTAATTTCTCATAACGGCAGAGAACATCTTTAATTTATAGCAGGGCAAATCACCTCCCATATTTCAGGACACACAGAGGTCCTTTGATAATAATAATAATCCAGCACTTATCAGCATCTGGGTAATTTGGAGTGCTGTTTTTTAAGACAGTCTCTGAGGGCTTTGTGCTGGAGGAGGGAGGCTGTGTTGAGCACTGTAAACAAAAGATATGAAAACATAGTGGGTGCAAATTCAGATGGATCATTTTGTCAAACAGTATGTAGACCTGTCCGCAGAGAAGGCCAAATGCACCTTTTAAATCAGATGTGGAAGAGTGACTCCATGGGTGACAACTTGTGGTAAAGGAAATTATTTTTTCTTCAAAGGGTCAATTACCTTCACAGTGTAAACAGTCATTTTACATGAAGGTATTGTTGCCAACAAAAGATGTGAATTTGTGAATTTCCCAGTTTGGGATCAATAAGGTATATCTATCTATGAGACCCACCACATAGATTTTTTTTCTACTGGATTACTAAGAGTTAGTATTTTATGAAACCAATACCAATATTTTGATTTAATATTGCTAATATGACATTGACGGTCAAAATATTTACGAAATTTTGTCAAAATTAAGACTTAAGTTTATCAAACTCCAACACAAGACTTTCTTTAAATGCCTCCCTCAGTCAGTGGCCGAAAATAATGCTCTTTTTATTTGGAGAGATAATTGTGATATTCTTCTGGCCGCTGCCAGTTTGACATGGGTTATGTCAAAAACGGTGTTAATAGGCTGACTAATGAATCGGTCTGTCTAATACTGGCCTCAGAGACTAGGTGGATGTTGTGCAGAGCCTCACTATTTTCAACCATAAATGTCAGTAAATTTAAGTAAATTACAGACCTGAATTATCCAGTGCAAATACGCAATACCAAACACAGACATCAAGAGGTAATCACAAATTACCAGAGGTCCTCGAGTAATACCAACGCTCTGTAAAACCCACATCAACAAAGATTGTTCCAGGTGTTTTTTTTCATAGTGCAGTACTGACTGTCAGAAGAAAAATCATGCACTGTGGGGACTGAAATTTTTGTCTGATTACTCAGTCAGCTGAGAGACTTCTGTTATTTATTGAGCACATCTGCAGAGTACTTGCTCCAAAGAGGAAATTGTTTTTTTTCTGTTGATTTGAGGTATTTATTCTTTCTTTCAGCATTTTGCAATCAAAGTCACCCATCAATCATGCGAATAATAATAACCCACGGATAAAAAGAGACTGAAAATTGCGTGATTGTGGTGAAAAAGCAAGGAGCCATGCATGACTTCAGCTCACACGTCCTTATTAACCTCTACTCTTCTTGCTGACTACAGGGTGCCTTCTGTGTGAGTGACAGGAGTGTCACATCGGTGCAGACCACCCAACCAGTGCACCTGTTCATTAACAACACAGCACACACACACACACACACACACACACACACACACACACACACACACACACACACACACACTGGTGTACTGGAACAGCGGTTACATTTATGCAGGCCATCCACCTGAATAAGCCAAATGGTCCTAGAAACAAACAAAATACCAACCACACTGTACTCTCCCTCTTAGACCCACGCGCACCTGTTCTTAAAGAAACAGTGGCCCTCAGTCTTAAACATGCACAACTAGCTTCAGTCATTAAAAATCACTGTTTCCACACACCACTCACCTAAAGTTTTGTGAGACGAAGGAAGCAACGCAGCAATGACACCAATGCAGACAGGGGCGTCAGGCAGGCGAGGGGGTACTAAAGAGGGGTAAGAGGGCGTATGCCACCACACACACACACACACACACACACACACCATTTATGCCACATGACCACAGTACCATTTGCAGCTGCTCACTTCTCTCACTGTCTGCCCTGACAAGACCGGAGCTGTGTGCGTGTGTGTGTGTACAGTACTTGATATTTATACAGTATGCTGCATTTGACACTGACGTTGCTGGAATACCTATGAGCTTCATTTATCTTTCAAACAACCTGGTGCTGTGAAGAAGCATACAAAGCAGGTGAAGCTGGTTGGCCCACATCGAAATCCCTCCAAAATCTAGGCAGAAACTTGTTTTGAATTGTTTTTTTTGTTTTTTTTATCATCATTATTTTTTATAAAAGTCACGTATTCAAGAAATTAAAAAAACTCTGACCTCTGTGGATTTCTAAGAGCTGTCTGGATCACAGATGTTTGCTTCAGTCTCATGTGTCCTCAAAAGTTTTGAGCATAATGGAGACCAAATAAACTGTGAGAAGCTATTAAATCTAAACCAGGAATATTTTGGCCAAGCTTTCAATGCTGGTAAGAATGCAGTAAGTCTGAACAGGAAAGCAGATTTGGTCCTGCTAAGACATCAGTTTGTCTGACGTTGTAATAATTAACTACCAGAGGAAACACAGATTGGAATATGCTTCTGAAGAGCAGTACTTTCAGTTGTTTATGATACTTTAATGCCAGAGTGCCTACCTGCAATTAATAGCGAACTGGACCAGTTGTTTCGTATCTCATCTACATACAGTAGAGCTTATGTTTCAGAGGAAAACACTTTCAACTGCTAGAGCAAGTTAAGCTGAAAGCAAAACTCCCAACAATCCCTCAGTCTTGACCTTTGACCCTTGAGCTGTCAGAGACAACCCGACTGACCTGGCATGACCCTGAGGTTGTCACCAGGCAGGTAAAAACAGAAGCAACACATCTCTGGTTACACATTTAAAATGGACAGCTAGCATGCCAAGGGATTTTGGAGAACTGGTGTAGAAGCAGGGTATACTGTTTAAAATAAAACACCAGGCCTGAACTGGCTGTAGATTTTATAGGACAACAGCATCCAAGTCAGTGAGTTCATGTATCCTTGGCAAGAAAATCCCTCACACTTTCTCTGTTCTCTCTCCTTTTTAAGCTAACCCTGTGTAACTGTTAACGTGTTTGTTCCTTTTCACATAGGCAGCATTTTGTGGGGGTGATGATGCAAACTTCTGGAAACAGGTTCTAGAGTAGAATCTTTGGAAAACGCCACCCCGTCAGTGGTCATGTAATCTTGTAATGCAGAGATCCTCTGACAACACAAAGTCTCAATCCTGATCAGTAGCACATGAAGACTGGAAATGACCATGTGTTGACAGGATGGTCATCTGTGCTGCTGAGTTATGTATGCCTTGATCTTCAGCAGAGAGCTTCAAGGTAACTAAAAATAAAGTTGAACATGACTAAAATTTTACCACAATGCAACTTGACGTCATGCAGGATGATGCTGCAACTGCATATCAAGCTATCCAAGCATTGCCAGAATTTCTGCCATTTACTGAATGGTTGTCAACATTACAAAATTAACTTCTGTGATAACCCCTTGAGGGTTCAAAGATCCTGTCTTGAAGTAGATTGAACAACTTTGTATTTGCTAAGAATACAACAGATGGATCTGTGTCCCAAAGTAACCATCCTTGATTGTTTTTCAACCTCTCACCAGGACCTGGTCTTCAGCTCCCTGCCAACTCATACTCTTACATTCTTTTACAGTGGCACAGTGCTGGTTTTGGTCTACATGTCTGCTGCAATGCACAGTGGCTCCTTTATCAGACTGCACTCATAGTTAGGATAGTAACAGACTTTGTTAAAGTCTAAAACTGAAACCCGAACCAATCTGGCTTTTAGGGTTGGTTGGGTAGTATTCCTAGATAATTTTAACACAGTCATACCAACTGAAAAAAAGGACAGGGTGGATGTGAGAAATGGAGAGTGAAACAGACAGAGGGAGTGAGGAAGGAGAAAATAAAGATATGATAAGACTGAAGCAAAGTTCAAGGTGTAGCAACATGTGAGAAGAGACCAAAGACAGGAAGAGAGTGCAAGACAGAAAAACACAGAAAAGAGGCAGGAAGTAAAAGTGGTGTCTGCAGTCTTTAAGAAACCAGAGTGCAAAAGAGAGAAGTAGTTTGTTTGACATTGAACCTGCAGCCTGGCGTACCATGAAACCTTTGTTGAAATACCAGTGTGGATAGAGGAAAAAGATCACCAAATTTAACACAATTCTTCATCATAAAACCCTAAAAACCCTCTTAAACAAAGCACAAGCCCTCAACCTGAAGATTTTACACTTACCTCTCTCTCTTAGGCTTCAAGACAGTACATTAAACATTCCTCTTATTTGTGTGAAACAGCTTTGCAGTGGACATCAACAGAGTTAGTCCCCATGCTCTACAGTAGATTGATGAGCAGATAGGTGGACAGGCTCGAAGTTTCAGTGACCTTCAAAAGGCAGTTCAGGAATCCCAAACAAGCTGATGATCAATGACTGAAACCTGCATCTCATTCCCACAGGCAAACTAGTGATCACACTGTGTTTTACTGCTGTACAGCAGGCCATCAGAGCAGTAGCTTAGAGGCATCAAACATAACAGTAAATGAAGAATGAGCCAAAAGATCCCCAAGAGTGTTAGAGGGCCATCTCACTGCACCAACGTGCAAAACCAGGAATACTTAAATTTCACTGTAATTAGACTCTGGGGAATTATACAAACCAGGGGCTGGATGGGAAAGACTGTTGTGCTAATCACAGGTTTCACCCACAGCGCTATTATCTCCCCACCCACAGTGGAGACAGTAACACTATCAGCACTACTGTAAATCAACATCTACTGCAGTCTGTCTTTATGCAGAGACTAAATGAAAAGGAAACACTGATTTGATGAAGCCATGATGAATCATCTGCTTGTATATTCAGATGAAATATTTTCACAGTGGAGGGAAGGATATACATATACATATTTCTTAAACCCTGTTATCATGTGTAGGGTGATGGATGCCTGAAAAGGCTGGATTTTACTCTCTCATTTCCCACTGTTATAGATAAACAAATTACCCAATTGAAGTGCACTATGCTCAAACCAAGGGGGAAATGGAGAACAACAAGGGGCAGTTTAAGGCACAGCTGATCAGTTTCTTCTTTGTTTCCTCTCCAGTAAAGAAACATTTGAAATCTGACAGGTAGAACATCTATAAGCGCACACTTGAACAATTATTTTTATCTTTCAGTTTCATTATAAGGCCAATACGGTGATACATTCATTATGCATGACCATCAATTAACATGCATACTATATCATACTAACAACAAGCTTCAACGTGTCAGCTGTATGGAAGTACTACAAACAGACAACAAAACAGCTGTTTTCAATGCTTTTACTGTATAGGTGAGTACAAGGAAGAACAAAACAATGCTCCTTTCACCCTGCCAATTTAACTTTGTGTCTACAGAACAGCCATCCTTTACAGCCAAACCAACAAAAAGGCTAATCACAAGCCAAAACCAGTCAGCACCCTCTACTTAAGTCATTCCACAAAGCCAGAACATATAGCATTGACCATTTTGAAATTCTATTTGAAGAATAACTCAGTTACCTTGACCATGTCAGTATATTTTCAGTCTGTTGGAAGAAATTAAATCTACAGAAATAGTCAGTCAAAACTGAGTATTGTAGACAGATTTTCAGATATACATACTTTAAATCTGATCCCCTAACAGTTAAGGGTGGTAAGGGTGGGGGATGGTGGCCGTCATTCTCTGCCAGAGCCCCCAAAACGCTTCAACTGTCTCAGGTGACACTTTTTGGCAGGCTGAGGTTACATAAATCATTTCAGTTTACCACACAGGTCAGATATATAATGATTTATTGAGGCATATTGTTTTATTTTCTGGTTCTATTTCATTTTGCTGGTGAGATGGGATTATTACCCCCACAAAGGCACCATTATTACAAATGGGTTCACTTACATCCAGCATATTGCATTTAAAGAGGACATACTGCATCTGGATGCAACAAAGCCTTATCCAGAATTGATTACCGTGCCAAACTTAAAACATAACTACAAAAAGCTTTGCCTAACAGGTCCAATATGGTTCTCGCTATTAATTTGAGTGGAGTAACGTTCCTCCCATTGAAGGAAACATCACAGCTACGTTACAGGTCTGACACCAATAGTAGTTTTGATTTGAAAAGTGGGCAAGACTTCGGTTTCCTACAACAGTCAAAGACATGGGAGGAGGGACACTTCAGTCGATTCTTGGGCACAATATTTCAGTGGCCTGCAGTTAAGCTGCCGTGAATTTTTAAGACTTGAGTCAAAGCTCATTTTTAGTTCTGCCTACTTCTGGGAAGATGTGACATCTGAGCGGCCATATTGCAGAAAAGTTTAACTCCCTGTTCACCTTGTTCCGCCGAATGAATGTGAGCTTTAACTCTCCAAGCTCGAATGAAATTTGACACTATCTCTCACAATTATCAACCAAAAACTTTACTTTTTCATTTTGAGGCTCAGCTACATTTCTCCACAGACTTATTCAAGACGAGGTCTACTTACCGGGATTATTTTCGTCAGGTATTCGAGTCCAAATACCGACATCAACACTGAAACGTGTGGCACAGACTTGAGCTCGCTGTAACCCAGTTCCTCCTGACTTGAAGTATCCGCTTTCTTCTTTGAACCGTGTTTCTAATTGGTCTTTTCTTTGGTTTAAGAAATATCTCTCCGGTCCCGTTATTTATGATTTCCTAAGCCATGTTTCACACCCACCATACGGCTCACCGCTGCTGGTGTACCGGTTACTGCCCTGATGAAGTGTACTATTTTTGAAAGAAAGTCACTCCCCTCTTCTCTCCGTCCTGCCCCCTCCCCGGTGACAGCGAGCAAGAGTGCTACAGGCACCAAACACTGGTAGTAAGTACCTGTTTTACTCTGCTTTAATTAAAAATAACTTTTTGCTGAATAAAAATGTCATTTTATTCAAGTGGGAGGAAACTTCCACTGTCTAATTTTAAAGGCTGTGCGTTACTACGTGCAGCAGTTGAGGTATATTTGACGTCATGGTGTCTACTTGACAAGTCAAGTTTTACGTGATGTTCATGCTATCTTAATGTAGTCCACTTAAGTGACAACATAAAAGAGAAATTGGTATTTAAAAGGCCAAATATAAATAGAGATGCACTTTGTAGCCTTCCTCTTGCAACCTTGGACAACTAACATTACAAAGGGTCTACATTTATGGTAGGCTAATTGTTCACAAGAAAAAAAGAAGAAATTTCTCCAAATTGGCACATTTTAAAAAGCTAGTCTATGAAACCAAGAGGGGAGCCCATTTTTTATAACCACAGCGCTATTTAATACAACTCTATTAACATGATGAGTGAATTTAGTCTGTCAATGGATGACCGTAATTCACCGGTTTGGTCATGTGGGTTAGCCTGGCCTCTTAACTTCCAATACCAATGGATACTTTATGCTTAGGGCACCTACTCTTAGATTTTAACCATAGACTGTATATACTATGGACAACCTGGTCCGCCTGTATACGGATTTGAAGCCAAAAAGCTTTCGGTAATTCCGGGTTTTTCTCCAATTCCTTGAAACCAGAGCTGCGCAGTAGCGATGCGCGCATTTGGCCGCGCAGTCGCCGAGAGTCCCTGTGATGATGCTCGACTCAAACAGCGTATCCAGAGCAGTGGATGTTTAATCCACTGCTCTGCTCTGAGCGTATCCCCCCGGGTGAGCTACGCAATCCCTGAACGCCCATAGGCTGTACCAGGTGTCAATCATAGAAAACACGAACCCCGTAATAACTTTTAAAAACGGAGCTGTACAGAAAAAAAAGGACTTGGGCACAAACCAGTCTTACAATAACTACATGTCAACATCACAAGCAGGGGGGAGAAAAATGTATGTTCTGTGTAATAAATTTCTAAAGTTTGTCCACAGCTCCAGAAGCTTTGCTGGCGGAGGCGGGATTTATTACCTGTACTGCAGTCCACCATCAGAGGGTGCTGTTCTCGGAGTGGCTTCACCCCGCGAGGAGGCAGACTCTGTCCATTCTTTATACAGTCTATGATTTTCACATACATGCATGTAGGGGCCTACCATTCTAGTATTCTGGTAAGTGCACATGGTACTTTTGGGGGCTTACTTGGAAAAGAAAGACCTTATTGCCACAATGTCCATCAACCTCTGTCTATATTTCTGTCTCCACTGTATTTGACCAACCACCATTCTCCAGAGGTTGTGAAATTCACCAGCCCTGTGTTGCAAAACTATACAAACACACCACATTAGTTCACAAATGCATGCACTTGTATTCTGAAGTGCTAAGCAGATTACAATGAAAATACCGCAACCCACATCTGAAGGATTTTGTATTGTGAGGTTAAAATTATCTCACGGGATTGTGTGAAAATATTAGACCCTAATTATACACATCTTAGTCATACAATCAAGAATCTTACTCTGATGTGCATGCTGTAACAAGCTAGATCCACACATTCAGTCTTACAGAAACTGTTCATACATATGATCATCGAATAGACTTAGAAAGTAAAAAATCTCCCTCTGAAATATATTAATGTAACACTGATTTACTGTTTTAAACAATGTAATAAACCACGAGTGAAATACTGGAAAGAAATTTTAATCTACAACTCATATTTAACACTTGGAAATTCCATATTTTTGAAAACAACCCGTTGTGCTAAAGAATGTACCCTCCAATACACAATTTCTAAACATGCTGGAGACAGCGGTGGAGGTCTATAAACACGCAAGCGTACTTCCCTTTGTTTTGTAAGTCTGGAAAAAAGGGAAGTCCCTTTCGACGTCATGTTCATGCTGCAGGGTCAGTGCAATGCAGAACTCAAGTTATGCAAACACTCAGGGATATAAAGACCTCAAACTGGAATTTCTGCAGACTGAAACGCAGATTTAATACTACAAAGAGTGGAAATCTCTGCATGAAGATGAGAGTGCTTGTGGTCCTCTCCATTATTCTCCTACAGGTATGGAAAAGTTCAAGATTCATCCAAATTTAATAAATTCCATGCTTGCTAATCTTGCTAATCTCTTTGTTCTAAAATCTGATAATATTCTAAATTCCGTCTACTTGCAGGTGAAGGGATGTTTCCCATCATGCATCATCACTGGTACCATTGCAAACTGTGCCTCTCAGAACCTCCGCTGGGTTCCCCTCCTTCCTCCCCACATCACTCACCTTTACCTGGAGATGAACCACATCAGTGAGCTCAACTCCACGTCCCTGTCTGGCCTGGAGAAGCTGCAGGAGCTGGACTTGGGTCAACAGTTTGTGCCTCTCCAGATCAGGAATAACTCCTTTATTGGACAACAATATCTGAGGAAGCTGGTGCTCGGCTTCAACCTAGGCCTCCAGCTGGAGCCTCTGGCTTTTGCTGGACTGTCTAATTTGGAGAGCCTCTACCTCGATTACTGTTCGCTTCAAGAGTCTATACTGGAGGAAAACTTTCTAGAGCCACTGTCCTCTTTAGAGACTCTTGACCTCTTTGGGAACCAGTTAAGGCGAATACAACCTTCAATGTTCTTCGCAAACATGACCAGTTTGAAAGTCTTGAATCTAAAGTTGAACAAAATCAACAAAATCTGTGAGCCAGATCTGGCTGCTTTTCAGGGAAAGTACTTCAGCTATCTGAACTTAAACTCTGTCCACCTAAAAGACATGTCTGGGAAAGGTTTTGACTGGAAGAAATGTGGGAATCCTTTCAGAGGAGTTTCTCTGAAGACCCTTGATTTATCCTACAACGGGTTTAATGTTTTTGAATCAGAGCAGTTTTTCAAAGCTATTGAGGGGACGAAGATCTCTCATCTCAAACTGTCTGGACCAGTAGGTAGAGGATTTTCCTTTCATAATCTCCCTGATCCAGACAGAAACACATTTGAAGGCCTGAAGAATAGCTCAATCCACATTTTGGATCTGTCCAAAAACAGGATATTTGCTCTGCAACAGGGGGTTTTCAGTCCACTGAGAGAGGTCGCAATCATTGACGTTTCCCAAAACAGAGTGAATCAGATCCACAGGAACGCCTTCGAAGGCCTTCAGGAAAGTTTACTAATGCTCAACCTGTCTGACAACTTGCTTGGGGAAATCTATTCTTACACATTTGCCTCTCTGACAAACCTGCGAGTATTGGATTTGTCTTACAATCATATCGGTTCTCTTGGTTACAACTCATTTAGTGGACTCCCAAACTTGAAAATGTTATTTCTGACAGGAAACTCCTTGCGAGATCTTGGCTCTCCTGCATCTCTTCCACGTCTTGATTACCTCCTGTTGAATGATAACAAGCTGACACCTTTGTCTGTCAGGAGTCTCACACGCTTTGCCAATAACACTGTGCACCTTGACATTCAGGACAACAGACTGACAAACCTGGGGGATGTTTTCACCCTTTTGACTCAAATGAAACGCCTCAAAAATCTCCTCTTTGGAGGAAACACAATCAAGTTTTGCAGGCTCAGTCGACGAGCTTTGGCGGCTCGTTTGGGTAATTTTCAAGTCTTGAATCTACACAGCAGCTCCCTGCAGACTATCTGGTCTCACCACAGATGTTTGAATCTGTTTGATGATCTTGGACAAGTGCGTGGTCTTAATTTGAGCTTCAACGCCCTGCAGTCTCTCCCCCGAGGAGTTTTCAAGGGTCTTACTTCCATTGTGGAGCTGGATCTCTCATCCAACGCCCTGACTTACCTCCAGCCTAATATATTACCCAAAAGTCTTAAAGTCCTACACCTGTCAAACAACTTCATAGCTTCCCCAAACCCGACTGCTTTCAGCTCCCTCAGTTTCCTCAATCTACAATCAAACCGGTTTTACTGTGATGAAAACTTGAAGAGTTTCCTGACCTGGCTGAGAGTAACAAATGTTACCTTAATGAGTCAAGTGGAGGAGTTCAGGTGTGAATTTCCCTCTAAATTTTACAAAGTTTCTCTGTTAGATTACGCTGTTCAGATTAACCAGAATGAAAATCAGGTTTAAAGGGGCACTGGTGTAGCTTAGGTAACAGAGAATGCTACAGTCCTACTGAGTGAAACAGTCTAATTTCTTTTATTAATCTTATTCCAGAAGGTTTACAGGTTGTATATTGCCATTGTTAATGCCTGACACCAGAACAAGGGGGTGCGTGTCGGCAGAGCAGCTGAAGAAGTGGCCCTCTTTTTACAATGTCGATGTTAAGTATTCACAAGACAAACAATAAACTGTGTCCACAGGGGATGTCAAAGTAGACATAAATCTAAAGTTCCTCACAGGAGCTTTAAACAAGTGGTGTTATGCTTTTCTCATTTTTTAGAAACACGTATTGAAGGGGTGGTTTTAAGCTTTTATCAGATTAATAGATAAATATGAAGCTTAAATGTTGAAGGACTCAAATAAATGTGGGCAAAGTTCTCAATTGTGAGGTAAACCTGTGTCAGTGTAATCCTGAAATGAGAATGGCTTGTTCAAAAAGTCACTTGAGAACTCAGTGAGATCTGTATGTGGTTTTATCCACATATAGGATATTTAAAAAAAGAAAAAGCAAAGTTTGTAGCATGGCAGCAAAGGGGGCTTTTAGAGGGGAATGGATGAATGGATGATAATATTAAACATGTCAGAAAGAAGGGTTAATGTGTATTAGAGTTATCTGAGGTTGAGACTGCAAGCTGCACTCAACAGCTTGTTAAAACAATCTAAGAGAGAATGACATGCGATTTGATAAAAAATTTAATATATCAAATTGATGAATCTCCTTTATACAACATAATAAATGTTAGCACCCACCAAAAAAGAAACCTCCTACATTTTTCTTTCATTCTTTCAATACTTTCCAGCTCAGATTTGGGGTCCAAAATGTGGCCATGACCTAATAGAATGTGATGGGTTAAAATATTAGTGAATGCATGAAGCATTTAATTTTCTTGAGTTTTTTTTTTAAACAAGATGTCATACTATCAAGGAAATCTGCATCCCCAAAACTCATGAATGAAAACAAGGAATAGAAGCGTCTGTGCATATTTTCACCTGCAGGAGGAGCTGCAGTATAACTGTAAAACCTTTTGGACTTGAGCTGTGGTGACATCTTTCCTTTGCAGGTTGTATTTGCTTCATAACACTGTCACTTTTTTCTCAGTGCTAAGTGGGAAGCTCTGATGTTGACCTTTGTTTCTATGTGCAGAGAGTGGTCATTTGCTCATCTGTTTTCAAAGTATCACAGATTACAGTGTAATAGACACATCAATATTTCTGGCACTGAAGATCCACCAATAAAACTGTCTAGACTGATAATTTTCTCTAAAATTTGTATTTGTTCAATGGGATAAAATTAGAAAAATCTAAATTCCCAAATACCCTAATGTTTCAAACTTAAGGTTTGTTCATACAGTTTATTATCAGCCAATTATCAACAGATAAATTTAGAGATTTGTTCAACATTGTTTTAGTAGACGTTCACCCATTCATAATTTAGCTTTAAGTCTGCATCAGATTTACAGAGAAAGAAAGTAATGTCACATTACAGCTGCGTCTGACACACACAATGAAGTTCCTACTATGTATGACCTGAATCAATTCCTTCTGCCCCAGTTAATGCGAAGCTGAATTATGTTTAACATGTACAGTAAATGGAGGGGAAAACAAGGGCAAACTTTAACAATTTAACAGAATCACTAGGTCATGATGTAGCTCAGTACAATCACAAAGTATGTTTGCCTGGCAACAGCACTTCAACAACCTTAAAGCTCCTGTAAGGAGTTTTTATCTGTCTAATGACACAGATGATGATAATGAAATTTTAGAAATGCTACTTTCATACGTGCAGGTCAAAATAAGTGAAGCGATAAGTGGCACCACAGAAGGCACCAAAATCAACACTGACCAAAAGCCACTCACAGGAGCTTTAGAGACCATAAAGAAAATGTATTTTGACTTTCATTTAATGAGCTAGAAGACTTGGTGAATAGGGATTTTTAAACTCCAACTAGTCGAGATTCTCTTATACTACTCATCACATTCCACATTACACAGCATGTGCACACACAGATGGCAGATAATGATATATTATTCTGACCATATTCCATTAATACAAATTTGCATACTTCTCACTATGAAAATGTATTAGATCCCAAGAATATACTGATTCAGACAGCTAAAAATGAGCAGGATGTTCCGTCCTCTAACAGCAGAGGGCAGGATCAGCCCAACTTACTACAAAACCACTGTCTGTGTTTATGCTGCTTTACAACAGTGTCTCCACCAGTAAAACTGAACTAAAAAGACTTTTTCCAGCTGGAATGATCTTGCAGGAGTTTCTTGTTGAAGACTTTGATATGAAATCAATTAAATGTGGTGGTTGAAACTGCTCTAAGATTTCTTGACTTCTTAAATCAGATGCTATGCTCTGAGGCTGGTTGGATGTATTTTTTTCATTTTTTTATTGCTCATGTGATTAAATTTCAGTTTTTATAGACATAGCTGTAAGTTGGTCTGTTTTACGCTCATACCTTGATTTAATGTCATAAAATTTGCATGTAACATGAATCACAGGAGAAGATTCTTCCACCTTAATTATGCAAACATGAATCCTAATAACAGGAAATAAATGAAAAATGACAGCTCTCTCTCTCTTTTGCTCTTGCACACACAAACTCAAATATAAAACAACATAACCCACATCTTAACCAGATGATTTAATGTATCCAGACATGAACTGACCGCCAGGTGCCTGTGACAGTGTCTTTATTATCTTTTTTTTTGTCAGACAGACTTTGGCTCAGCCAGTCTGGCCCGACATGTTACATACATACATACATATAGATACACAACCCCCCTTGAGCCCCGTTTCAACACCTTTCACAGCCAGGTTGCCATGGAAACAGGCTCAGTGTTCACCTCCTCCACTTCCTGAGTCCATCCTTCCTTCCATCCCCCCTCTCTCTCTTACACACTTGCTCACGCACGCACATTTTTTCAGTATCTTACAAATGTGCGGATGATTTTACAGATTTAATATGACAAAAAAACAAAAAAACATGGGAAATATGAGGCATGAAAACATCAAATTTTTTACTAATTTAATTTGAAACCAATCATGTCTGTCCCTGCATCACTGCTTGCCCTATTTTACGACCGAAATGATGATATCCTGAGGCAGTGGGGATGACTGACACTGCATTAAACAGAGCGAATTAATCAGCATACTGTATGAATATTTGAAGAAGCTGGTGTTAGTACTCTAGCCTTGTTTTTTGGGGAATTTTGCGTCAACTTTATTCAGTGACAGTTTACAGAAATGTAGCCTGAAAGACGCTCCCATGTTCCAAACAATCCAACACAAACATGAATATAAAATGTGCAATGTACTCAGTAAAACACGTTTCTGTTCAATCATTCACTTCGTTAAAGGTTCAACTGCACATATTTTTACCCTCATTTTCACCATCATACCCACAACAAATGAACATTTCATGAGGCCTTAATGCATCAAAATCTACACTTGTTTCTTTACAACAAACTGGGTCAATTACAAACCCATTCACTGTTGACTAAACACTTAAAACCCTCAGTTTGCTTCTGTAAAGGGCTGGGACAGGAAAGAAAGTGGACTACCGCAGATTTAAAATTCACTATAAACATCTGAGAGTGGTTTGTACCAGAGAGAGAAAGGGAGGGCGAGAGAGAGAGAGGGAGAGAGAGAGAGAGGAAGAGAGGGGGAGGGAGCGCTTGATGCCAATTTGCTGAATTGGTTTAAATTGCTGATTTAAAAAAAGTCTCTCATTCAAATTATTGAAACATCTCCCGGCTCTATCTTCTCTGTAAAGATTAGCTCTTTTTATTCTAACTTGTTTTATTTCGACCCTCTTATCCCTCTTACAAATATAGGCATCACTTTTGGTTTTTGGTCTCTTATAATGCTTATTTTTATTCTTCTTATTGGTCTTATTGATATAATATATAGCAACCCATAAAACCATTATTGGCTGCACCGGAATAAACAGTAATGATGTAATCAAATACATAGCAAACCAGTCATGCTTTACATGTGATGCATCTCTGAAATACGAATCTGAGTAAACTGAGGGGGAAAAAGTCCTTTCAGTCACATTTACCGCCATTTGTTGTCTCCTCAAGTTCTTTTCAGACGTTTTTACCTGCACAAAAACATGAGGAAAATTTAAGAAAAGGAAAAATCTTTCCAAAATATGCTTTTGATACTAAATTCTATCTTTCAACTGTGTTTCACAATAAATCAAGTTAGCACTAGTACTCTCATGGATGTATTTGTGCTTCTAAAATATCAAAAATGGCTTTGAATTTGGTAGAGTGTGGTAGTTAATCCAAAACAACCCTTTACTGCCACCCACATTAATTTTGGAGAAGTGTGTTTGTCATAAATTAAGAAAATATCATCAGTGGTATGTTTTGAAGTTTGGAAATAATTCATTTTGCACATACAGATGAATAAAACTTGATATAAATGCGGCACATTGCCAATGCATGTTGTGTTAACCCCTGTTAAAGACCTGCTCTTAGAGCCTGCAGGGGGTTCATCTGTAATAGGATCTCTCATCAATAATACAGAGATAATTAGTCAGCCTAACCCCCCACTGTTTGCTCCTCTTAACCTCCAACAGGTAATGAACCCAGTGACCCTGAACTGAACACACCTGAGTGCAGACTGTGGTCCAAACAACAGGACTGAGCCGACTTTCCAGTCAAACTCTGAACTGAGCAAATTCTGGTTACAGCCTTTGTCTTATTGGATAAAATTAGCATACCCTTCAATATCATCGGTGTACCTTGCTAAAAAACAGGTCCTGGCTTTGGCTGACATCTCAGCATTTCCTAGCTCCTTGATTCTCTTTGAGTCCACCCTGTAGTCCAAATACTTCACTTCTACCTCCAGATGCAACGTGGAACAAAAAAATCCCGGACCAATGGAAGTCACTAAAGTGGTGTGGTCCACTTTTAAAATACAGTGTTTTCACAAAGATAACGTGAGATGATGTTGACTAATGGGAGACATTTGTGATACAGGTCATCATTCAGGTTTCATAGCACCTCATCTGACCATCATTGACAATTTCATCTACCACTATGGGAGCCAGTTTTCTCTGAAGTCAGGTTCAGGGTAGAAAAAGACATGTTTTGCAGCTTTATTTCAGCTTGGAAGTTACTGAAACAAGTTTGTGGTTTTAAATTTATAAACTGTATATAACTGGCAATATTTTGTGATTCATCTCTTGTTAAACAATGACCAAAAATTATTATTTATGGTAAATATTCAGATAGACATCAAGCTATATATCCTGCATTTCATCTATAAATTGCTTTTACAGTTGCTGATTTATTTGGGAACTTTGAACCCAGCCCCTGGAGTTCAGCATCATCACCACCCAGAGCTTGACATCAAAAGAAAATTGCTGCAATGTGAATACAATCAATGAACACAAACTGTTGTCTTTATGAATCAATTCAGTCAAACAGACAAACCCTGCCTGGAAAATACCCCAAACACATGGACTATCTACACTGTTACTTTACAGGCAATTCAAGCTGTATTGGTCACATATAGAAACACAAACAGGCAATCATACAGCCCTGTATATACAGATAATATACACACACACACACACACACACACACACACACACACACACACACACACACACACACACACACACACACACACACACACACACACACAGTCTGGTTCAAGCCAGTGTTTACAGAGGATGATCAGAGGCTCATGCAGGGAAGAGGAGGTCTTGAGAGAGGTCCAGAGTGTCCTGTCTTTTAAACGTGATGGTTCTTCTGTCAGGATTTAGAGAAGGTGGTGTTCCCAGCTGTAGGCCTCATTGAGAAGTCTTTCAGGATGCAAAGGAATCAAATAAATAACAATAAAAAATGTCTCTCTGCTAAAGCTTACTTAGCCGCCATAGGTGTGGCAGTGTGACATGCTGACAGGGAAACATTGGAGGAAGACGTAGAGAGGGATTTTTGAGTCTGACACCTGCAAAAAAAAAGGAAGAAAACATTCATTCCCAAGTGAATGCAGTGTTTAATCTCTCTGCCTTCAATCTGGCGACAGGTTAAAAAGCTTATCTGGTAACATTGAGATTTCACCCTGCTGAGCATACAAGAGATAAAATAATAGCTTTAGACTGCCTGGAGAGGGAATAGCTAATCTTGAATAATCTCATTCAGAGACACACTGACTCTAAACCTTTTACAGTGAGCTACAGACCGGTAACTGCAGGTTTATCATATTCAAACTTCACTTCAAGTTGTATTTGTAAGGCAGATGTATGATGTCAAATTGTATGATGACAGAATATACAGTATAAATCATAATGTAGGAATTTCACCACAAATTGAGGACATATGAATACCTATGATAACCTGGGATAAAAACATGTCAGCTTTTACAGCTTTGTACAACAGTCAGGCTGAGCCATTAAAAATCAAACATTTTCTGACCCCTAAATGAACTTACTTGAATCAGATCACAGTATGTGCAGCTGAAAAATGACAGTGAAACTTGTTGATCCATTTCTGCTGTAAAACTTCCTCTTTTTATTCTCTATCTTAGAGAACAGTTAAGATCGTAACAAACCAAACTCTCTATATGGTTCACTTATTTTTACAATGGAGGGTGTTTGGCCACAATAAAGAAAAGAAACGGAAAAAAGAATTAAGATCTACTGTTTTTTAAGAATAAAGTCATAGAAAAATCATGTTCTCATGGGACTAAAGAGATTAAAAAAAATCATTGTGTCACAAGATAGTGATAAAACCTGAAGTAGCATCAGATGACTGTTTAATGTCAGTCTGGTTCTACTCAGGGTTTCTGCCAGTTAAAGGATGTTTTACCTCTCCACTGTAACTTGCTAAAGGCTGTCAAGTGTTTCACTCATGTGGTTGAAGACAGGATGGGAGTAAATTTGATCTTGCAGGATGAGGCTCAATCTGACCCCATCTTTATTGGGTCTTTGTGAGTAGAGTATGGTCTAGATCAGCTATATTAATAAAGACTGATTGATTGATTAATTGAGAAGAATAAAGTCATAGTAAAATCATTTCCTGTGGAGACTGAGGGTGTGAGAAAATTATTCCCTCACAAAATAAAGTTGTAAGATAATCAAGGAGTAATATTACAGATTGGTCACATTGTCTGTAAAGTCAAAATAAAGTTGTATTTTGGTTCACAGTAAGCAGCCAACTGCCTATGCCAATAATGATTTGGCTATGACTTTATTCTCATGAGGAAATAATTTGACAAAGCTTTAAAAAAAAATCTAAATCTACTCTTTATAAAAATGTGTCCTAATCACTCTGTCAAATAGTTTAACAAAAGCAATTGAAAAACTATTTTACTGAATCACAATGTGGGCTAAATAATTGAGCAAACTATTAGGACCATAAATTAAGTCAAACAAAGGTCACACTTGGTCATACACAGAAATTGTATGGACTCTAATTTTCTTATCACTGAGACAACATGCAGCAGTAGAGTAGGTGTGATGAGCTCTCTCACAGAGGACATTATCAGCCTGCTCTTGCGACATCAGTCTAATTCTGGTCCGCTGGGTTCAGACTCACCAGGAGCGAGACTTGTGGACTCCTCTGTCCTTGGTGGGAGAGCTGTCCACAGAGTGACTTTGGTTCGACTCCGCCTCTGTTGAGCAATCCAGTGAGGCAGTGTTTGGAGGGGTCATGTCGAGCTCCAGAAACATGATATTCTCAGCCTACAGACAATATCAGCTGTGGTTAATGGAAGTATTTTTATTCACCTACCTCTTGAAATGTACACATTGTTAATATGACTCTTCCCTCCCTGTGCAATAATTTATTTGTATGTATATTTCTCCATCTGTGCCTTTCCTGTTCTTTTCTAGTTCTCTTCCTTTATTTCACTTTTAACAAGTATTTTGAAAAACTGAATATTTTCATAAAAATAAAGGTTAAAAAAGTGCTTTTATTCAGTAAAACCATCATCTAAGTTGGTTGTTCATCTCTATTTAAACAGCTTTAAATCATTATTATATAAAAAGGCTGAAAAATACAGATACTTCTAGACATGAAAGTAGATTTAAGACCATTTACTGTCTAACTTTATTATCCTAAAGCTTATCATCAGGGGCCCTTCAGGCTGAGGTCCAAGATTTTCATACACTTGGCATCTTTCTGAATAACTCTCTCTTTTTACTCTTTATCTCCCATTTCTTGCTTCTACTAAAAGCTATGTTCTTTGATTACATTACAGCCACAATAAGACAGAATTTGAATTTAACAACAGTTACTCAGACACAAATGCTCTCATACTCACTCTGTATCTGGAGTTAGCGCCCATAGCTATGGCGACCCTGGCATACTGGCTTATGGGGCGTTTGTATCCAACCGCAGATGCTGGCCTTTTCTTCATCTGTGAGGATTTACTGAAGAGGGAGAAAGAGAGGAAGTGGGAGTCACTTAGAAATGAACAACATGAAAATGGTAAAAGGAGTCTTTGTGGAGCTTAAGCTGAAAAAGAAAGAAACAGGATCCAAATCTCTTCTCCTTCTGCATGGTCGTTCAAAAGTGCTTCCCCTCCATCAGTCCCTGCAGGGCGATGGCACACCAAAGCCTTTAACACTTACAACTCAGTCCAATATGATAATTTATTACATATGTAAGTGAGCCTTTTCCATGTTATTTTAATCATTTCTTTTCCTGCTTCGAATGCACAACATGGGTTGAAGTCAGTAAGCAGCATATTTGTAGCAAAGATCATCTAAACATAGAAGCTTCTGTGGGGATGTTCCGGTTGCTTTGACTTTGGCCTCCCCTGTGGACAATAAAGTTCTTGTCAACAGTATTTGTAGTTTTTTTGCTTAACATGTGTAAGTGGTGTTGTTTAAGAAAAAACTCTGCAGTCTTCCAACATTCAATTGCAAGATGCATATAGAAACTTTTTTTCTGTGTAAGATGTTAAAAAGGACTTTCTTTACAGGTGTCTTTAACCACCTTGTCTGACAACCCTGCTACAAGAATTTTTAAAAACTAGAAATGATGAAATACAAATGATGAATCTTTCAGCTGATGGTCTTTTGTGCTTTTGCAGATCAGAAATAATCAGAAAGAAGCGTTAATACTGATATAAGCCAGCTTTAAACTCCTTACAGGAGCTTTAAATTTATATCACAGCCTAATGTGAGGGTGCTAGTTTGGCCTTGTGGTTAAATTGTGCCCCATGGTGTGATTTCAACCTCTGAACCTTTGCTACATGTCAGCCCTGTCTCTTTCACCCAGTTGCCTATTCTGCTCTCTTTCCTACCCTCTCTAAAAGATATTCGGGTGCTGAGTTTGGATCCTCCATCTACCTCAATCCTACCCCAGTTTGGCCTTTATATAATTCATCATTTATCAAGTTTTGTCTGTGATTGACGCCCAAATAATGCTGTCTCTTCACATAGTATAGAGATAGAGTGAAATGACACACTGCAGAAAAACAGGTACTTGACAAAATTAGTTCAGACACTGGTGTATTCTTCATTCACTATTTGTTAAGATCATGCTTTTGTTGTTGTTGTTAAAGCTGTTGCTAAAGTAAAAATAAGTTTGTGCTCTGACAAGCTGTAATAACTGACACCCTCTAATCTATTTCAAAACGCATTATGTAACATACTGAGTTATATAATGAGGTATATGCCACATTTCACCGTAGGCAAAAACCTAACATCTGCATGTATGACCCGTAAGAGTTCTTGAGATTCTGAAGTCATAACTTGAAAATCAGAGCAGACAGCAGGAAAGAGATGAGAGAAAAGAAGTTAATGGCAGCGAGTACTGAGGTTAAAAGGTGATGAACTCTGACTCCAATTAAACACATTTTAAGTCCATTATGTCGATCTTATGGGAATTTCCAAACACTAACCTTTCAGCTGGAACAAGAGGCTGAAACTTCCACTGATCCTCCTCGGGGTCAAAGGTCAGCCTGCTCATTATCTTGTTCTTCTCCTCAGGGGGGATGAAGTTCTCGATGATCAGATATCTGCATGTAGAAAACACAGAGTAATGCAAATGTTAAATATGAGGGGTATCAGAGGCAATGAATAAGACAGGAGCATGTTTGTGTCTGCAAAATTACTCAAATACAGATTTATGAACTTCTTTTTCTATTTTTCTTTTTGTTTGGACTTAGAGTAAATGCACCTGTTCAGCCTTTTTAAAGGTTATCTGGTACTTTTTAATCTGGGCTTTATTTTGCACATTTTTTGGGCATAAAAATATCAAGAAGGGACAAAAAAGAGCGTTTCTGGAAATACATCTCTGTCAGCACCCTTGAAACAGGAAAAAGAGCATTCACTAAAACGCTTGTTATAGGCCCATCCTGCATCGACCACATCAGGAAAGGATTTGTATTATGTTCGCATAAGAATCAAATTAATGAGGCAGCGTTTTTTTTTCCATATTCCGACATCCGGCTTCCTGCAGCATCCATCTTTCCAAATAATGAAACTCCTACATGGCATGTTTCTTTCTGACAGGAGCACACTCTATGTTTGCTGATCCGTCCCGGCATATCTGCTGATTCTGTCGACTCCCCTGTATGTTTCTTTGTTTGACTCACTTGAACTTCAGCTCTCTCGTCAGCTCGTTCTGAGTTTGTTCCAGCTCCTGCCGACTTCTCACGTGCTCGTCGTTCACGTCCTGGATCTCAGCTTTGATGCACTGCAGCTTGGCATAAAGCTACGAGGAAAGAAAGAAAGAGAAAGGGAGAGAGAGAGAAATAAACAAAAAGGCTGAGGAGGGGAAATGTCACCCAGTGCAGCTCAGTTGCTGATGAACTGGTTTCCAACTCGCTGCAGCTTCGTTGCCCATAGAAACAGCAATGGAGGCCCTGGTGTCTGGAGAAAAAGGGGACCAATCAGAGTACAGCACCATGGCAGCACTCCCTCTTCACAGCTCTTCCTCCTCTTTCCCTCCTGCGTTTGAGTTTTTTCTCTATTCACTGTTTGTTTTAGCTTGGGGCAGACTGAATGAGCTTTAAGTCTGCTAATCCTGGCTCTAGCCCGAAAGATGAATCTGGAACTAAGTCTTACTTCTTGCAACCTGGACCCAAAGGGGTTGTAAAGTTAATCATGAGTAGGCCTGTCGCGATGATCAATACATCGCGTTGTCGCTCGGTAAATAAAAACGAGGTCGGTCATTTTGCCAGCCTCGATAATTGACGTGCGTTTGTTTTCCTCCTCTCTCGCTACCAAACACGCTGGATGAGAGAAGAGGTCTCACTCTGCGCATTGTTCTCGGCACCTGGGGTCGTTGGCTCTATAGCGGAATGAACGGAGTTAGTGAACCCTCCTGTCAGTCATTCAGTATCTTTGTCACGGGGGGGGGGCGCGCACAGGTACACGTAGGCGCGCACAGGCACACAGACACAGACTTTTGGATACAGTGCTGCAAGTGAGCGTCGTGAGTGAAAAGCAAGCAAACAGAATGAACACGACAGCTTTGGTGTCTAAACCGAACGCAACAGCCCAAGTGTGGGAATATTTCGGCTTAAAACCAATTTTGTTTTCGTCAACCACAAAACTCCACGTGTGTGTGCGCGCGCGCGTGTGTGTCTGTGTGTTGGAGGAGCACAGCAGGCTGATTAGAGCTGTCAGAGCGGACCTAAGCTGCTCCTGTATGTTTAGCGTTTAAATGACTGAGTTTTGCAACTCTGTTCGTCATTTTCGTCTCGTCCCATCAACGTAAACGCACTTTCGTCTCGTCACATTTTAGTCATCTCCGACTTATGTTTAGCTCGTCAACGTTACGTCTTCGTCGTGGGTGAAATTAAAGTTTATCACTTTTGACAGGGTGTACTCGCATTATTATGCCATTTAATATCATTATCTATAATTTAAAAATCGGTGTCAATAATATCGTTTATCGGCAATAATTTGTAGCACAATTATCGTCTAGCAAAATTTGTTATCGTGACAGGCCTAATCATGAGATTTCAACCCCCCCCCCCCACCCCCTATATTTCCATTCTGTCCTATCCATAAAGGCAAAAAAAAATTCTGTCCCTTTTGTTCCAGACACTTCTCCAGATTCTCTGAATCAGCCAGTGATCTTATTTTTTACAGTGTTTCGTCGCCTCCTGTCTCAACTGTTTCTGGCTTTAAATTAATGATAAAAATATATTTTCTGTAACACAAATAAAAAAAAATATTCAGTCTCAACTTTTATTATGTCACAGTAATAGGTACCACTTTTAAAACCTCGCTCAAGAAGGTCTGAGGTTGTTCTAGCTTTACATCTGAGTTCTGAAATCACACTGCAAAAGCTTCTTCCCTCAGTCCTCCTCTTTTTCTTTTCCACAGTCGTCACCATGCAGAGGGAGATGGGACGATGTCACACAGGATGCGTTAGAGGGCATCATAGGAGCAAAGATCAGCACAGGATCATTAGTCACATTGTCAACCACACTCACACACTGGCTGGTTTGGCGTTAGTCCTGCTGGCCGTGCACCGGATGGGGAAGTGAGTGGAGCAGGGAGGGGTTTGAAAGGTTTCAATGTTTGTTTTTTGTTACTGGGGGATTGATTTGACGAGGAAGGGAAAACAGATTGAGCAGGTTAGTACTGAAAGTGTGAAGAGGCTGGAGGGAGAAATCCAGGACAGGCGGGGGAACGGCAGGACAAACCTTAAGGTACTGGGATTTTAAGTGTGTGTATCCGGACGGAGCGTGTGTCCGAGGCAGGGGGTCATTAGGTTCCGGGGCAGGGTTCAAGGGGTAAAAAGGGACATAGCAACATTAGGAACAAAAAAGAAGGGCGAGTGTTTGTGTGCATGGAATAAAAAACACTAGTACACCATTGTTCTTCACTATTGTTATTTTGATAAGTCTGTTCATTTGGTGGGCGCCTGAATTACAGTCAAAATGTATCTTTAATTTCTGGTGCAGGTATTGTATCTTAGCATCTTTACCTTCTTGAGTTTCTTGGTTTTGGCCTCCACCTCCTGCTGCAGAGAGGTGAAAGTCTCCCTCAGCTCCACCGTTTCCTCATCCTGGACCAACATCTGCTGCTGGATCTCCCTCTCACTCCGAGTCTGAAAACAGAGACATCAACATCTCTGTAGCACATCATCTCAGCCATAGAAACTGTGACTTTTGTCAACGTAGGTAACTAGTCCTCTTCAATCACTAGCATTATTTGTGGAGTACCACAAGGTTTAGTTTCAGGTCCAGCTTTGCTTTCTATCTATATGCTGCCCCTTGGTCAAATATTTAAATTAATTGCTGATAAATTTCTTGCTATGCAAACGACACACAGATATTCTCCTCCAAAAGCTTAACTAATGCTGTTAAGTGCATGAGTCATTCATCTAATTGACAGCTCACTTAGACAGTGATTCATGCATTCATCTCCTCCACATTTGATTAACGATATGAAAAGTTTACCTGCTCTGCGATCTCCTGCCTCTTCATCTCCAGCATCTTCTGCTGCTCGTTGGTGTGATCCATGATGTTCTTTCCTCCAACCAGCAGCTTGCTCTCCATTGCCTGGGAACAAAGATAACACATTTGTATTAATATTCACACAGGGAATTCTAAGTCACTCCTTTCAAGTGATCCATGTGCAAGTGTCATCCGATGGTTCAATTTTGTGTGTTTTTGTAGTGTCTGTTTGTGTGGAGCTGCAGTCAGTGCACACTTTGTGCTGATGAGGCAGATGCAGCTGGAAGTGAGCAGCTTATCACCTCCATAATGACACTGTGGCACAACAAGCTGAGCTCGACTGAAACACTGCAGTGCTTTAGACTTCAGACGTGACCCACTGTTTGTGTTTACTTTGCGTTTTATTTGAAAGGGACGGTGCACTATGTACAACAGTAATGTCACATTTGGCTGCACTGCACCAGAGAAAGCTTAAAGTTGATTTACTTCTGCAGTCTCCTGGCAGGGTGCTATTGGAATGTCACAATTTAAAGCACAAAGTAACATGATTGGTTTTCAAAAAGAATAAAACCTAAGCTGCAAGTACATTGGTGAAAAATGGCACCCTCAAAGAGGCACAAAAAACTGCATTTCCTCATGTGTCCACTGGAGGCTGGCTCCAAAAGCAAAGGAATCGCCATTGACACTGGTGTCCCATTTTTAAAAGAAAAATGAGACATATTCACAGCCTGGTTCAAACATCTTTTTTTACAATTAAGGGCATAGCTGAGTTGACTGACAGGTGGGTACATAGCCGTTTTCCACATCAGCTCATCCTTTATAACCCCTTTTCCACTTAAATGAATCTGGTGCTAATTCTGGGCTGGCACCAGCACTGATTCAGACCCTGTTCAAATTGGAAGCAGTTTGTTTTTCCATAGCCGATGGTCACAAATGTTGTTACACCGCTGCATACACCTTATGATTAAAATATAGTTGTGTCCTTCGTTTCCTGTCATGCAACACCTCAGGTCCAGTCTTTAACTTTGACTGCTGTTGGATGAAAGATTTGTTTAGTGTCCTCTTTGATCATTTTTCGTCCAGCACTATACTCTCACTAATGACCAGGTACTAAAAATGTACATTCTTGTCAGATTCAGTCGTACTTCGCAGAAAAATCTACCAAGATGAAAGCTCCTGTGTTTGTGCCATTTGTGGTGCCCCTCAGGACAAAGCAGTCTTGACAAAAAAATCTCATCCTGCTGACTTGTCATTTATTGTGAATGTTTTATGTGGAAATGATCGACATGATAAACCCGTTAACTGCTTGACTGACATCTATATGTGAATTAAATCTAGCTGATTAAACTTGAGTTATTCTAAATAAATATAAAATCTAATTTGCATTTGCAGTTGATTTGAATACTTATTTTCCAACACTGACTTTCTGTGATGATTTATTATAAAAAGAATTATAAAAAAAGAAGGGGGAAAGGGGAAGAAAAAGGGGCCCAAAGAGGGCAAGCAGGGGCCACAGCTATTTTGTATGATCCACATTCCAGTCTTAGGATACAAAAAGAGCGAGCGCTGCCTATACATTCTTTATTATTTCCACATACCACACTGTCCATCTGATTATATGAGGGGGCACAAATAGACACATATACAATACAATATACACACACACACACACACACACACACACGTAAGCATACATGTAATCATGCAGAGTACAGTGGAGTCCTTCAGAGTGGATGCCACAGGTCTTTATAGAAAGCCCCTTTGTTTCGAGCTGTGTCTTTGTATTCTCTCTCTCTCTCTGTGTGTGTGTGTGTGTGTGTGTGTGTCAGTGTTTTGTCATTTTCTTTCAGCTTCATTAAAGGGCTGATTCATCTCAGAGGGTTTTTCACTCTCATACATGTCTCCTCTTCCCTTTGTAACATTTTCATACAAGTCCTTTAAATTCAGGCCTCTATAAAACAAACTAACAATCCAGAGTTCAGTGGTGCTATCATATAAAAACAAAATGCATTTTCATGTTTTGAAATCTGTAAAAGATTAAATGACCTGGTTCAAATATCACTGTGCTCATAAAACTGTGTCAATGCCTCCAATTACACCAATTCACAAAAGCAGCAACATCCAATTAAAATGGAACGATGTTTGTGAGCTGATGGTGTGGCCTGGATATCCTGGAAACAGCTCACTAACATTGAGCTCATGAGAGGAAACTAGTGCCCCTCTCCTGAAACACATTTGAGCAAAGTGTAAACATCAGGTAGAGGAAAGAATTAGTAATGGAGGTCAGAAACAGCTGAATTGTTGAAAAATTATCAAGAATATGTCCCAGAGTCCTTCACCTGACCTTGTTTTTGGGGGGACCAACACACACCAGGGTCAGTAACCAATAACTCAACACCTTTTGAAGCTCCAATCTTCACACTACAATATTAGGGAGTGTGAGGAAGTTGCAGATGTTGCAAAATGTTAAGTGGAGACTGCTTTCAGCATTTTGTGTTCCAGTAGTTCAAACTATCATGCAGCCACTAGTGGAGAGAGGAGAGCAGGGAGAGTGAGCATACGGAAAGAGAGAGTTAGCAAGTATTAACAAGCCTTAAAAAGCTAAACAGCAGGTAAAATCAACTGGTATCATTTACATATACTCCTAAATCATGTTTTTATTTTTTTCAGTAAAGGCTTGAAAAGGCTTAGCGACTGGTATTCAGTAATTATTATCATCAAAATCCAAGGTACAGTGAGTAGAAATGAGAATACTTAGGGTATATAGAGGTCACAGTCTTGATAGAAATGCTCCCTTGCTAAAACCTCTACAAGCAACGGTGGCCTTCTATGACAAGAAGCTCTCGTGATGCATGTATATTGTATATAATCCCTCATGTGTTCAGTTTTTACCATAAGTTAGTCACTTTTTCTATGTTTTCCAATGGCTGCATTTTCTGTGGCCCCTCATTGAACAGCATAAAGTTTGTCCATTCTGTGCAACGGTAGAAACATGGTGGTGCAAGATGACAACTTCATGGAAGGGACCACTGCTTCATTTAGATACAGTATAAAGAGCTCAATTCTAAGCTACCAAAACAAATCAGTGATAAAATAAAAAACAGGTGATTATGGACTCATTTAAACATACCTAATCCATATCTAGAGCTGTGCATTTCCTCCAATCAGTTTAGATTGATGTAGATGGTTCCTTATGAACTAAACTGGAAATATCACGTCTGGATAAGTTATAAGGTAGTTGCCAAATCTTAAATGTGTTGCATGGTCAAAGTTGCAAAATAAAAGCTTGGTAAGAAATCTAGCATCCAGATTTTAATGACCAACAATGACTTACAAACTGTCTGGCCTGGATTGCATTCAGAGCATCCTGTTGTTCATGTGAGGGTCAAAACATTTAATACTCGAGATGATGTGACAGACATGTGGATGAGCGGAAGACATGAAAAAAGAGGAGGAGGAGGAGGAGAAGGACTGATGATTCAGTGTGTAGGCCAAATGACCTTCAATCACATGAAATACGACTCACTTGTCATTCCACTTATTATTCTGTTTTCCAGCACCCCTGCAGGCTGTGGTTTCAGGCACACACACATACACACACACACACACACACACACACACACACACACACATACACACACACACACACACACACACACACACACACACACACACACACAGATGCAGTCTGAATGTCTGCTGCTCTCTAAAGGTCGCAGAAGGGCTTTGGTTTATCATGTCATACTAAACCCTGCTGTCTTCCTGACTCTCTGTGTTTGCTAGATCAATAAAGCAGACTCTATCCCTTATACTTTGTGCTTTAATGTTCACATTTGATGTATTATTGCATAAATATCTGTGAAATATGACCTTTTAGTTACAATAATTGATCTGAAGTCATGTTTCTGATCTGCAGGACAGCCACTGAGACTCAATGCAGAAAAGCACGGCTGCATCACCCTATCCCTGGAGCTTCTGATTGCTCCCATATGCCCGTCTGCATATTCATGTCTGTTCGTATAATCTACCCAAAACCGTGTGCTGAAATTCTTCTGGCTGTGACTGATTCATTTACTGATGGGAGAGCGAAGAGAACGGGAAGTGTTACATATTGAAATGGCTTATCCACATCAGCCAACCAATCACAGCAAGGCCCTGGTCTGCTGAGAGTGACCACGTTATAAATACAAAGTGACGACAACATCGCGAGTGTGTGCAGCAAGGAGACAGAAGGCTTGCTGAGAACAGACAGAAACATAGGAGAAGAGGAAGAGGAAAAAGAGGAGGAGATAAGAGACACTGAGCGTACAAGACAGAGGCAAAGGGCAGCAGCTCTGAGAAGCTGTTTCGCATCTAGGGGGAACATGAACCACTTAAGGAGCCACAGCTTATAGCCTAAAATCATATTAGCCAGCACTCTCTGTCAGTCATCTCCTGTTTCTATTAAATATAAGAGAGAGATACAGGAAGTGACAAGCAACCATCAGATCACAGAAAACAAGCCCACATTAACCTGAAGATCATCCTTTTATCCCTCCAGAGTGATACAGACCAGGTGACATCACAAGGCGCTCTGTTCATCCCTCTGTTACATCTCACCTTCAATGTAAATGTCAAAGAAGTGTGATGGCAGACAGATTCAGACCTATCTTGTAAGATCAGACCCACTCTGATCCCATTTTAAATGTGGCGCTTTGCAGCATTCAGTAAGTTACAGAGGAGAGAGAAATCTCCCTTTCACAGGCAAAAACCCTGAGCAGAACCAGATTCATGTTAGACACTGATCAGGATAAGCCTATCACATTTATGACATGATTGCAATGTGACTATGCATGCATCACATCATGTGTTTTCATGTTGTGCCTTTTTATCTTGCCCAACACTGTAACACAAATATAAAAGTTTAGAGACATACCAAAGGAAGAACTTACTTCCTTCCCTGTTGCAGACTGACAACATAAAACTGTTTATGTCCCAATAATATGTCTGTTTTTACAATGTATAGCATGGAGGTGCATCAGATTCTAGATTGACTTGCTCCCTTGCTCGCCATTCCCATCAGTGAAAAAATGGTGGCCTTCAAGAACAAAAAGATTCAGTTCTTTTGTGCACAGCAACAGCTCTCTGCTTCTCCATCTTCCTAACTGCATTTTCAGCACTGAAAATAAAACACATATTAAGACTAAACCATACAGACAAAATTTTATATCTCAATATTCATGCCAGTTATCTTGATATCAATAGGATACAATATAACTATGGGTTCAAAAGAAATTATGCATTTTTCAGGAGAATAAAAATATCATAATTCACAAGGATGTGGAAAGTGCGGTTTTATTGATTATAACTCATGGACAATCTTTATCTTTGAAATCGTGGATTTTGAGATATTAAAATGTTGAATGTTCATATCCACATATAGATACAATAAAGATATATCTTTCAGCCCTATTATCTATCTATCTATCTATCTATCTATCTATCTATCTATCTATCTATCTATCTATCTATCTATCTATCTATCTATCTATCGATAGATAGATAGATAGATAGATAGATAGATAGATAGATAGATAGATAGATAGATAGATAGAGATAGATAGATAGATAGATAGATAGATAGATAGATAGATAGATAGATAGATAGATAGATAGATATTTCTACTGAGTCTGTTCCGCTTAATACTTGGACAAAAAGGTGTGAATTAAATTGTTAAAAGTGTTTCATCACTGTTTTAGAAATGTGATGAGGATGGACTGTCACTGGATTAAAAAAATATTACATCTGTCCCCAATCCAAAATCTCCATCTACACCATAAATATTTGATTATTTCATCACTTGTGTGCTGCTTTCCCTTTAGAGAAAGAGGAGTGTATATTGTTCAAGAAACGATTTAGCTCTTTTCAGCCCTCATGTAGACGCACAGACACACACAGACAGATACACAAACACACATGGACACACACAGAGCAGATTCATCAATATTTCAGCGATGCAGCTTTCGAAGCTGAAAGATGGAGAGTGGCGATGTGATCTCTCTCATTAGAAACAAACACCCAAACACACACTCAAACACACATATGCACACACAATGACCTCCATCTTTCTGTCCAGCCGTTTTCCTCCTCTAATTAGACAGGAAAGCAGCCTCATAAACAGGAAACAGCCATTCTACCCATACACAGAAGTGTGTACGTACATGTGGAAAGCTGCCGTGTGTGTGTGTGTGTGTGTGTGTGTGTGTTTCAGCTGGTGTGTTATGCTGACGATATCCCCCATGAGGCAATGGGCATTGTTTCTACCCCTGACTTCTGATTGGATGCATTTTCAGCTGGAGGATGCAGAAAGAAGAAACCGTCATGCAAAACAAAGACTAAGTGATGCATTCACCGCAATAATAATAGCGTGCTTGTTTTTCGGTTTCAGTCACTGCTCTGTTCACGGCCACGCTCTCCTCATCTGTTTGTTTCAGAGTCTTGAAAAGAAGAATCTGTGCACAAATGAAAATATTAAAAGAGCTGGAGAGAAAACTCTCAGGGTTTCCCCACCCATATTCTTCATCTGGACAGCTTTCCACAGAAGAGTCTGTTATTTATAGCCTTGGTTAACCAGATTCACTCTTTTACAGTTTACTTAACATAAATTAGACTCAGAAAAGTCAAATTTTCAAGGATTTCTATCCATATTTTCAAACAGACTTTTAATTCAAGATTCATGAATCTGGTCTATTTACTGTGCTGTTTCTCTGGAAAGAGATCCTCAGGAGTTTGAAAACCTGCCAAACAAGTAGCAGAGGAGGCAGGTGGAGTTTGGAAAGCAGGATCTCAAAAGAGTGAATTAAGTACGTTTTTTTTAGATCACCTTAAGGCGAAAACAAGAGCAGATGATGTTTCATGCCAGAGACAGAGAGACAGTTCAGGAACAGGGTGTTTCACTAGGCATCAGTGCAGTGCTTTAGATGGGCCTGCATGCTCTGGTACGCCATAATGCTGCTAAATCATGTATCCCATTGGCAAACCAGGAGTTTTTTCAGCACAGCAGGCCTTCTTACAGCTCCCAGCACCCTTTCCTACTGTTATCATTTTACAGTTTCTCACGCCAGCTCATAATAACTCTTAAATACATTCCCCATTTCACACTATGTGACACTTGCATGTTTTCACAGAGGCTCACTGACCTGTTTTCTGCCAAAGAACCACATCAAAACAAAATAAGTCTGAATAAATCAAAGACGTTATCTCTCAGTATGTGTGCAGGATGTTGGAAAATCTGACTCAAACTGGGCTTTTAAAATGCATGAAATCATACAGTATTTCTCTGACTAAAATCACACAAACACATTCATTTTAAAGACATCAAGCTTAAGAGATTCATGAAGCAGATGTACAGCTGAATTGACTGACAGGCAGGAACACTGTAGGCATTTGAAGGCCCCCCTCTGGGAGGTTGATCAAAAGTTCGGTTGAGTCAGCATTTCCAATATGGTAACCACCACCGAAAGGCTTCAAAACGTCACTTCACATAAAAATGGGTAACTTTGCCAATCTCACATCTGTCTACAACACAGTCTACGATTAAAAGAAGCTGGGTAGTAAATAAAACCTCAACACAGGAAGAGGACAAGAGACAAAACTAGAGTAAATATGTATGAAAAGTAAAGCTGCAAAGTTGTTTATGTTTTCACCGCTGGACTTACCACTAGTTAGCCTTGTGCTAACTTGTTTGTCGATTGTTCTGGTATAGGACAACCAGAACAAGGTTGGTTGCAGAACAATAATTTACCTAATTAAGCTATAACCTGGCTCCAAAAGGGGAATGACAAGAATATGAAGGGAGGCAAGCTGGATGATGACACAGGTCTCAATAAATATACTTTATGTAATTTCCTCCCTGAATGTATTGCCACAATTATAGAAAACTCCTTTTTAGCCTTTATTTTTCTTTCTCTTAAAGCCACCATCGTCCCTTCTTCGTGTCTGTCTCTGTTGTGTGATTGAAGCGAGGTCAAAAGTAATTTACTGCTTCTTAAAGAAGCATTAGATACCTAAAAAAGAAGTAGAGTGTAGGAGGGAAATTTCCAGCACATGGTGCCGTTGTGACCCAGAAAAGAGGGTCTAAGAATAGCCCACTGTGGGGACGGACGAGCAGCAGCCTCAATATGAGAAACTGCTGCTCAGCATGGAGCCGTCATCAGTGACTGTACTCATACCTGACTGTTTCATAACAGAGACAACTGGATGTACCAGGTTACAGCCCTAAGGTGACATGTACATCCTCAGAGTTGAAGTATTGAAGAAACTCAGTGTCATGCTGCTTTATATTTCCTCAACTGCATCTCAGCAGGGAAGTAGGTTGTTATTGAAGGCCTTGAACTATTACTGAAAGGCTTCTGTGTATCTCATACTGTTAAGATAACCTATGTTAATCAAGCTGTTGGCCCTTAAAGCAGATCAGGCAACTGTTGTACTAACATGACCACACAGCAGTCCACAGATGGGGCGCTGTAGCTTGGTGACCAATTCGCCAACAGCACCCTGCAGAAACACCAGCTGACCCAACATAGCTTCACAAGCCTCCCTGTTTCCTGACCTACTTACATCTGCTGTGAGCATCTGTGTGGATGTATCAAAGGAGGAGAGAGAGCGGGAGGAAGAGGAGACAGGACTCTATTTCCTTTCAATTTGATTTTATCTATAATTGGCTACGTCTGAGCTCTTTTCCTCCATGTTTCCAGCCTTCCTCTCAGAGGCTTTGATGCTGCCTGGCAACCTCTCTCCCATTGGTCTGAAGGGAGAAGAGAGAAAAATGGAACCTTGAGGCTATATCCTGTGATTGGCTGGCTGTTAGTGGAATTACCCAATCAGAGGAAAGCTGTGAGGAGCGCTGGGCCAGAGTCTGTTGGACAAGGCTGATTGATCAGACTGTGAAGTGTTATAGGATTATGGAAATATTTGATGACGCACTGTCCTTTTCATTTATTTATTTTTTTATTTTACATAATTAAACATGATTGATTTGTTACTGTGTTTGAATTTATAAGTGCTTACAAAACGTGACAAAGTTTGTATATAAAAACTGAAGCAAAACAAATCAACAGTTTCAATAATTCTCATAGTATTGCAAATTTAAGCAATTTTAAACCTTTTTAAAAGTTAAAAATACTTCATTCTTAAGAAAAACAATTAGTGGGAATTTAATCTGGAATCTTACTGCTAGATATATCTAAATATTCTTATTTCTACAGACTGTACCTTTAACACAGACTTGGCACTTTCAGCATCAAATTAAGACACATTTGGTGCTCTAGTGAGTATTTGGGGCAGCAGGATGGTGTGTGAAGAATTGCCTCAAACGAAACTCCAGTGTGTGTTCACTGTGATGAAAGTAATGTTATGTCATCCACAGTAACAGCCGGTCATTCATGTTTTTATTAGTCTTTAGACTTTAATGGAGCTCTATGGATTATTTGTAAAACCGAGCAAAGCTGCCAGGGGGGCAATAACCAAAAAGTGGATTGATCCCATCATTCAATAGCAACTAATATGATAGAGTCTATTAAATCTACTTTATGCAATGAAACCCTTTCCCTTAAGACTTTGAAAAACTATAGTTCGAAACTTAAAAAAACTTAAATGGTTCTCACATGACTAATGTTTTCATGTGAGGGGGATCAACAGCACCATAAAAAGGAAATACCTCTTTACCTTAATCGTCTCCGTCTCTGGCGGGGGAGAGGAGGAGGATGTTTTGCTGATTCTCTGCACTGACATAAGTCAGCAGACACCCAGTCAGCATCAAACACACTCACACACACACACACACACACACACACACACACACACACACACACACACACACAAAGCAGCAGCAGCAGCAGCAGCAACCAGAACTGTGCTGTGTGATCACAGAGGATTTAAGCAGAAATCACTATCAGCTCGTGGTGCTTTGGAGAAGAAGATGAAGATGTGAGGAAATCTGAGATAGCTCACCTGCAGTCTGAGGGCAAAAGATCAGGACATACATTGTTTTCATGGGAACCTCCTAAACCTCATACCTTTGCTCAGAGAGGAGAAGCTGATTTTGTTTTGCCTTTAGAGTGGCTTTTTGGTAGAGGTTTACACCGCTGTGTACTGCTATCGTGTGGTTGTTCCTAAAGATGGTATAACTAGAGAAGCAAGCGGTCGACAACATTCATCTCTCGAGGGCCAGTCTAACCCGGTGTTACTGTGTGTTTGACCCTAACTTAACAGCTGGAACAGCCCTTTAACGTGCTTCCTCACAGTGCCTTCAAACTTCAGAAATACACAGAAGAACACCTAGTAACTAACAACATCAGGCCATCTTTACTGATCTTGTCTTGTACCTGTCTAAAAAACACATTTTTTCTTTTGCGAATTTTACCATGGCTTCTTCTTCCAATAAAACTGACCCCTCTTTTTGAATATCTGCAGTGGTATAAGGCTGTTTCTTCAGGATGCTCATCTGAAAACCTCACCGAAACCCGAACAGCATATTCTGTATTTTCCTCAGAGTTTCTATGTTTGACTTATTTAAAGATTATCTGACTTCTCTGTGAAAAAACAACAATACTTGCTGCTCTGCCCACAAGGGGTGCCAAAATCAACTTATAGCAGACTTGGATAAAAATTCACAGTAAAGAAAGGAGAAAATATCAATGTTATTACGTAGTTTTATGTCTAGTGCCAATCAAAAACAACTGTCCAATCTTAAACTATATAAACAAGAGTGGGGCAAACTGGTCAATTAGCCTTATACCAACAGCCGCCCAGACTGAACAAAGCAACAAACCAGGCTTTATTTTAAGATAAGAGGATGACTCAAACCCTCTCCAAAGTGGAAGCTATCCCTCTGTTAATGCACTTCCCTTGCTGTGGCTCTCTCCTCCTACATAGTGCAGTGTATCATCACGGCTTAAAGCAACTTCACACCTCCAACCAGGGACTTGCTACAGACTCTCTGGTGGGTTAGAGGAAATCTGAAAACTAAGAATTTATGGATCATCTCCATATGACAACAGGAAAAGAGGATACTGGCAGGGATTTTTCTTCACAAGCCTAACCTGCTTTTCTATTGTTCCCACCAGAAATATTCCTGTCCTCCTCTCATTTCCTTCAGTTGGAGCCTCCAGCAGTTTGCTGCAGCTCAGTAAGCTGATCTAGCAGAGTCTGGAGAGATGGTGCAGGCTATAGACTGTAGTCGCTCAGTCTTTCTGCACGGATGACTTATTGACTGGATATGCATGAATCAGAGCAAGTAATTAATGCAGCTCTGCTCTCAGCCCCCTCTCCCAGCCTTGATAGCTGCCTCTGTGTGTGAGTGTGAATGTGTGTGAGAGACAACTGGCATTTTAAGCTACTGTGGTCACCAATTCCTGTCTGGACAAATGAGACAGTCAATCAGACCATGGAGCAAGAAAAGCAGGTACATAATGACACAAACCTGTCAGCTGAAGCACAGGTGCTGCTGCTGGAGACACTTAATGCATCAGGGTTTGACTGATTTCTAAATTGAGATCTGGCATCACCCAATCTAAAAAGGTTTACCTTATAGTTTGGTTTACATAAGTATGGAAAATTAATATCCAATGACTTCCAAATAGTACAACGAAACCAATTAAACTCCGCCACTGGGCATATCACAGCTATTCATGATGAAGGTGGACATATTTTGTCAATAAATTAATCCTTATCTACTGGACTAAGACAGTAGTCTAGTTAAATCACCTAATTGAGCTATAGCAGCAGTCAAATGTAACTGTGTAGGCAAACATAATGACTACTGTGTGGCACTATGGGAAATCCAGTGTTTTGATAAAGTATTGCACTCAGTCCAAAGGCCAAATATCTGGATGTTTGACTCTTTGCTAAACTGGCTTTGATTTCCTCACCGTGGAACAAATAAATAAAGGTTTATCTTATCCTAACTTACTGTTTTGGATCCAACAAGGGTTCAGCTTTAAGGACCAGCATAATACTGTAGGGCCCCTTTAAAGTGGAGTGCAGCTTTTTCACTGACATTCATCATCAATATCTGGTATTGATGAAGTCCCAGTTGATGTCAGGAGAGTGTGTACCTCGTACTGAGACAAATCCTGGGCTGTAATTCAATTTTAAGATCCAGATGTGTCCGTCTAAAATGTCACTTATCAGAGCTCATGGGATTATCACACATTATAATCCCATAGACTGCATGTCTTAAATCTTACACCCTGGATTGAGTGTGTCTGTGTGAAAGGAAAAGTGTTTTTGCAGTTGATGTGTTTTTTTAAACGGTTTCATATTTTGTCTCATATTTGTCTGTTTCACACCAAAATGTATTGTGTATGTAGTGAATGAATGAGTGACACAGGTCTCACCTTGTACTTGGCGGTCAGCTGCTCAGTAGCCTCCTGCTCCTTCCTCAGATCTCCCATCATCCTCTCCTTCTCCCCCAGGAGCCTCTGCTTCTCCTCAGCCAGCAGGAACTGGTCCTCTCTGATGGCCTCCTTCTCCCTCTCCAACCTTTGCTCTTCCAGCTCCACATACTCCTTCGCCTCCTTCTCCATCTCCACACCTTCATCCTCTCCCTCCATCTCTCCATCCTCATCTCGCTCCCATCCCTCTGCATCCACCTGCCCCTCTCTCTTTTGCTTGCTCCTCCACTTCCTGTGGTTAAGCTGCGCCCGGAGTCGAGCGATCTCCCTCTGAAACTCACGCAGGAGGGCATCTTTAGGATCCTCATTGACTCTTGGTTGATTCTGGATGTTCTTGGCGCGGTTGGCGTAACGGAGGGTTGTGAGGGTCTCGTCATAGTGCTGCGCAGAAGGGCCTAAAGTGGCGACCATGACTGTCTTTGCATTACCACCCAGAGAGTCCTGCAAGAGCCGGGTCAGTTTGGAGTCCCGATACGGCACATGGCCGCTGCGCCCATCAGCCAACGCTGAGATCACATTCCCCAGTGCAGACAGGGATAGGTTTATCTTGGCGGCTTCTTTCAGGCGCTCACCCTGGACGCCAGTTTTGGCCTGCCGCTCACTTCCAGCCAGATCCACTAGGTTGAGGCGCCCAACTCGGATGTGTTTCCTCCCATCTGGACCCGGCTGGCTGCACTCCACTGTGATCAAGAACAAGGCGTGGGATCTGGACGAGTGTTCGTTCATGTCTGTCGCTCCAACTGCCCTTGCCTGGTTCCCTACATTCATCACCTCCTCGATCTCCTTGATACTTTTACAGACACACGATGTGAGGTCACGGACATACACCCCTGAATCTGGACTTTCCCTTAGCTCTAGGGCTCTGGCACTGCCATGGTTTGGATCCAGGAGATCCCGAATCTCCTCCAGGTAGATCTCGAGGTAGGACGCTCGCACTAGATACTGCTTATCAGATTGTGAGCGGGAGATATGTGTGAAGATGTGGTCAAAAGCGTTGGGAATCACCCCCCTTTTTTCTGGGTCCAACCAAGCCCCCTGCATGGTGTATGTCTTTCCAGTCCCAGTTTGCCCATATGCAAATATGGTGCCATTGAACCCTGCAAGAACTGAATCAATGAGCGGTCGTACACTCTCGTCGTAGAGGTCTCGCTGTTTGGAGTTGGCATCATAGACAGCATCAAACGTGAATGTTTTCTGAGGTTCACTAGCTGGTGCTCGAGGATTTCTGAGGATGACCTGTCCAAGCCGGAGGTCCATCTGTATGATACCTCCTGGAGGCCCACTGGACTCCTCTTTCCGGCTCAGAGGACGGCATCGAACTACCACCTTCACTGACTCACTGCTTTTATTTTTTGACATGGCTGCCTTCTCTTTCCAACAAAAAATAATCAATTTATTTAGTATATGGATAAAAATAATAAAAAAAAATACTAAGGGTGCCTTTAATTGGCCTTCCGTCTGCCTGTGAATTGTGTTACCATAGATTCCTCTATCATTAATAACAGATTCAGTATGGCTTCTTCATTATATCATAAAAGAAAACACCAACAGTGCCAAGAAACGCAGACCCCTGTAAGATTTAAAACAAAAAGAGGAGACCAGCGTGTCTAATAGCTAATCTCCTTTTCTTATTGTCTGTGATATCAATTTACAAACAGGCAGACGGTCGGCAAATCTCACGCACTGGATCGACGCTCCATTGCAGATCCCTCCTCACATCCAAAATCACTCGGTGGAAGAAAATCCAGCAACATCGACATCAAAATCAATGAATGTAGCCCCTACAATCATGTCGTCCTCGTTTCCACATGCCCGGTAGATCCGTCACAAACCGCCGTCTGCATCCTCCTGTCCACCGCTCATTGATGCTCCGAACCCGGCTGTCGTTTCTCGGTTTGTGCGGAGAGACAGGGTTCCCCTCCGGTACGCAACACACACACACACACACACACACACACACACACACACACACACACACACACACACACACACACACACACACACACACACAATCGTTCAACCACCACACCCCACATCACTGCGGAGCGGGACAAAGCACCATGGGAAATGGAGTTTGATGTCAGTGTAGAGTGAATTCCTGTGCAAGGCTGCCACCAACCCTTAACTGGTAACACTAAAACACGAGTTTCCCCTTTTAGTAAGGAATTCATAGGTTTATATTGCTGAGTTTGCTTTTCACGTGTTTTAATTTCACTGTTTCATTGTTCAAAAGCACAGCTTACATTACATGTGAGGAAGGAAATTGTTTCTGGCTGACATAGAGTGCTGGATTTTAACCAGGAGTCCCTTTATGGAGAGGCAGCAGCCTTCCACTCCATATGTCAGCAATGCTGAGTTTGCAGCATTTAGGTGATTTCATTTCGTTGTTTAATTGTGTCAAACACTAAGGTGCTGGTTTATATTGTTTTGTTCAGGTATATCTACTCTCTATTACACTGTGTTGATTCAAAAGCACAGTCCACCCCTGTGGGAGCAGCACAATCATGGTTGCTTTAAATAATTTGGTCAATTCAGGGATTTAAATTTATAATCTGTGTGTTGTTAGACATCAGTGTTACCCATCACACTAAGGCGGCACCACAATACATATTGTCCATGTTAAGTGTAAGTGGATTCCATAAAGGTATTAGAGTATTTTAAAAAAAATAATAACCAACATCTGTGATATCCAAACAAAATATGTAAGAACACAAGTGTGAACAAGGTGGAAATACAGAAATCTCAGCGTAATCATCCTTTTAGAGGAAATTCTCCAACAGCTTTAGCTAAGTTCAATTTGCACTGGAACTGAAGCTTTTGGGAGTACTTGAATTTGATCAAGTATTTGGTCAACACCTCTGGTCTTATCTTAATTAATTAATTAATTAATTAATTTATTTATTTATGTATTTTTTGTGTGTATCATTTACTTCACATAGTGCAGCTTTATTTCACAGTTGGTTTAAGGAAAGACTTCTATAATTAATGCCTAACCCTAGCCCTTTGTTAGAATATGTGAAATATAACAGGACCAAACTGCTCACTCTAACTCCAGCTCACACTGGAGTCTCAGCGTTTACTGTAATTATTCCAATACATGCACACTTCAAATAAGCTGCTGGCTTGATCACAGTAAAAACTGATGGCGGCCTGAAACTGGCACTGCAGCAGCACTTTGGGTATTTCAGAGTGAGAATATCTCGCTCTTGCAGAAAGTTTTTGTTCTAAATTTTTCGTGAGACATTTTTGTTTTACTTGTTTTTGACAGTACTGAAGCTCATATTTGTTTTGCACTTGAAACTCTCACTTGAAGTAACAGGTAGGCTTTTAGTAAGCAAAATGACTGACTACAGCAAAAAACATTGGGTTTCAGGGATATTTCTTCTGCTGCAGTTGCTCTCTGTCTTGTCTCTCTGGGATGATTTTTTTTTAAATTGTATTTCAAAAATGTAAGAAGGCTGAAGTTAACCAAGGCCAAACATGAGGAATGATACACATCATATTATAAATTTTTTAAATGTGTTTTCTATCAAGAATTAAGTACCAACGCTGCATTCTTTGTTCTTATAATGTGACATATTTATTATCACAAGTATCTGATTCATGTTATTGTTTACCTTAAGGAAATTATCATTTTACATATGACTGGGCTGCAGGGAAAAGACAGTGTTTATCTATACAAGTTGGTGGCAGTAGTTTAGATGATGTAAAATAAAGTAATTAGAGCAGGAATCCAATCCAATCCAATCTGCTTTATTTATATAGCACATTAGCACACAAAACATTCAAGTTTGCCAAAGTGCTGCACAGTAAATATATATACATATATATAGGAATATATACATTATCATAAATACATACTTAGTGATAAAACTTTAACATTTGGTTGGGAAAATTCAGTATTATTTGTCAAAATTACATTAAAATAGTTGTCAAAACTAGGCATAATTATCAGGAAACTTGATGTTTTTTGCTAAGACACACTTGGTATTAGCTGGAGGGACCAGTAAGCTCTGAACTCTTAAGTACTATCTTTATGTTGACACTACTAAACCTTAGTGGTCGCAACTCAAAATAATCAATGCAACTTGTACGCTTTTTATTTTATTTTGAGACAACATATCACCTCTTGAAGAGTGCACCTGATTTCCTGTAAAAATGCTCTTTATAGTAATGCAGATTAGGAATTTTTTGCAAGACTTTCACATTACTGAGTTAACAATATGAAATAAAAGTGAGGACAAATGCTGAATAGATCTTCACAAGGCATGTCTAACAATTCAACAACCAAACGACAGCACCACCTGGTGGCAAAAGAACAAATAACACTATGACCCTCAGACAGTCAATGACATCAGAAGCAGATCAGTAGACTTATGAGTAAACTGTAGGTGTAATTCAGGAGTTTATCCTGAGTGGTTTCCTCTGTGGTCTTTTTAAAATACCTGTTAGTGTCAGTTCTGTGCTCTGAGGTTGATGTATGGTTGATGGACACAGCGGGGAAAGGCCCAGCCACATGGGGAATTCAGCAACACTTCGCACCTTGATAAAATGTCAACCTTCAAAGTCATGTTACATCATGCTGCACTAATGACACTGAATGTCTTTGTTGTCATGTCAGTTGTTGATTAAGCTCAGTAGAAGCAGTAATAACACTGAGAAATCACCCACATGTGAAGTGAAATCCCCACCACTCAGTTTCTCCTGTAAGGACTCACCTTTATTGAGTCATTCTGTGGGAGGAAAGTGAACAACAGTTTGTCTGAAGTCAAATTTACATGTGTAGCAAGTGATTCAAACTTTTATTTTCTTTTTACTTGTGTTAACTTGATTGTTAACAGCCTGAAAATACAAAGAAAGAAATGTATGGAACGGTACTGTTTTTCCCACAAGAATTAAAGTACCTGTTACTGAACATTAAAGCACCCTGCGAACTTTGTGGAAAAAAAAGGATATTTAAAGCAAGACGACTTTTTTCTTTTTTATTGCAGATGTAACAGATTTACCATATAGTGTAAAACAATAAAAAGATAACTAGAAATTTACAGTGATTTTAAGATGACTAGAAACCTTTAAGAAAACCAGAGGGAGATTTCTAGCCAGTTCATGGTCAGTGGGGAGATAATACCCCTATGTCCACAGGGGGAGCCAAAGTTGACACATGTCAATAGTTCTCCATGTGAGCTTTAATCTCTATTGGCTTTCAGGTTGTTGTGAAGTGAAGCTCTGGTCAGAAACTTTTGGCTTTGTTGTGAATCAAGTTTACATGGTAGATGAGCAAGTATCCCCCTTTTTGTGAGCCTCAATGACCTTTATTTGTTAATATTTGTACAACAATAGTGAAAGTCAGCTTTATTTGTGAGTTAATTTAATTAGGACAATGCAATGGGTGTAATGAGAAGAGGCTGGCTAGTTGGAGAAGACTTTTAAAACAGGATTAAAATATCCCAGGAGGTTAAAAATAAGTAACAGTTGATCAAAAGATTGAAAATTTTGCCTGCACAGAGACAATAAAGCTGGAAATTTTTGCAACAGCAAGAACAGAGAAATTCCTGACATTTGTTATGTAAATTATAAATCCATGACCCAGTTGTTTTACAAGACCACATGTTTTAGCTACATTACATTGTGAAACTGAAGGACAGTTATTCTTTCATGTTGAATGTAAAATTTGGAAGTACTGAAGTCTCAGTGGTCATTTCCTTATTCATATGATTCCCTCTCTGTATTTTTTTCCTCCTTCCCTTTCCAAATGCCCTTATGTTGATAACAGTGAAAAAAAAATACCCAAATGTACCCACCAGGTCCTGTGGTTTCTCTGTCAAACAGCCCATGTAAAGACTGACTTCCTCTCTAATTGTGTTTAACTATCATTGTTAAATTTTGAGAGTTCACCGCTGGCTGTTTGTGAGAGTCAGAGATATACCCTTGGGCCTCTGAGCTGAGATAGAGGAATGCAATTTGCTCTGGGAGGATTTCTTGTGTGAGGCATAATTTATTGGCTGAACAAAGATTGCTAAACATGTTGAACAGACAGAGGGAGGATACTATGAAAGATAAAATAAAAATAATGTTGTTCCTAAAGTGCAGTCTTGAGAAAGTTAGAGTGCTGTATGAAAGACTGTGCTCTTTTTTCACCTCATAACCTCAGTCACATCTGTTTTAGACTTAGTGTGGCCTGGTTTGTGTTTGGAACTGTGAAATTTCCACTTTGGTGTAAATAACTCACCAAAAACACTCACTGGAATGGGATTAAATATACTACATTTATGGTTTCCTAAAGATGATCAAGTTCTGTTTGATGTCCTTTGGGATGCTTAAGTACACACTGCACGAAAAACAATCTGTATAATATTTGCAATCATGACCCAGTCTGGAAATCATAATAAATTGTCTGTAGTTTTCAAAATTTGACCCATTTTCATGCTTTTAATGACTAATGTTTCCCAAGAATGTTACCCCTAAGGCAGTTAGTTATTGCTTTTATGTTATTTTATTCAGCTGGTATTTCAGAGTCTGGAGAGCTCTTTATTCCCGGGGTAAAGCCTGTGTTCGTTGCTTCCAATTCTCCCTCTTTTGCCGCACTTTAGGGTCAGCCTTCTGTTTTTTTGATACCTTATAGCAAGTGAGGTCATGAAACCACTTAACCTTTATGAAATCTTTTACAATATTTTGGTTTTGCTGCTTAAAGCCACTGCTCTAACAATTTTTCAGCTGCAGCATATATCTGGCTTTTTAACTTCCGCGATTAATGAAATATATTAAAGCTCCTGTGAGGAATTTCAGTCCCTTCTTGCTCTGTATCACAGCTTCAGTGTTTTCAAAACTCAGTGTTGGATGATCATGATTAGATAGCAATGACTAACATTTTAATTAAGCCAGTTTAAGAGTACAAAAGACTGCAGTTCCTTCAGCATCCACTCAAGGCTGGCTCCAAAAGCCAAAGAGACACCCTAACACCCATGTTTAAAGCCGAAATAAACATGTTTACAGCCTTGAAGACAAGTGCACATTTACAGCCTGGTTTACAAAAAAAGACTATCAGGAAGGCACACTATAGGCATTTGTTAAGAGGCGAAAGACCCATCTCTGGTAGGTAGGTAGAGAGTAATGCTGAGTCAGCATTTCCAATATTCTTCTCTGCTTGAGAAACAAATGGGTGACCTTTACCAACGCTACATCCACTTATTACACAGTGTATGGTCAGAACTGAATTCAAGGTTACAAGCTGAGGCATGGCTGACAGACTAATTATTTCGAATGCAGATCTATTAATTTGATGGTCAACTTTTTCTTGAGTCCAAGATCTGCTGCCTTCTTCTTCCACCACTGTTGGATGAATTATCATAATATTTAGCACCGACTTTTTAACTCTTGACTTTCCTTCTGGTGCCACAATAAAGCCAACGCCACACTTTGCCTATTTGTCCCCTTTTATCTGCTTTTTTTTCTTTCTACCTTTCTTTCTGTATCTCTTGTTCACTTTGTGGCAAGTCTGTACTTGGCAGCAGAAAGCAGGGCATACTCGACATTCCTAAGGAGTGTCTGAGAGTCAAACTACTCTGACAGGCGGAAGAAGGAAAGAAGGGGTGGGGGTGGGGGGGCAGACAAGTCTAAAGCTTATACAATAATAATGTGTTCATGCAGATTTTGTTTACAGCTATTAAAGGACTTAAGGTGATAAATGTCCCTCTTGCTCACAGGGCAGAGGATGTGGGAAACGCCCGTAACAAGCACAGAAGTACTTTTTATAAATGACATCACTTTGCCTGACTCACAGCTGGGATAGTCACCGCATCAAATGCCAGCTTGCCATGAAAACTACAACGCTCAGATATCCGCCTGAAACTGGCCGCCATATTGGATCATAGCATACATCTCAATCGACGAAGCAATGGGAGGTTTGAGCCTCAATGTCCGAGTAACTTGCGCAGTAACATTTGCCCTTTCTGTCAATCTAAACTACGCCCTTTTACCTCTCAATATTAGCAAGGACAACCAATCGTATTAAAGCGCGTTGCGAATGGATGGCACAGTTGACCAATCAGAAGGGTGAAGTTTGACAGAAAGGGCGGGACTAAGGCGTGTCTGTGGGCCCAGGGTGTCGCCGCGGTGGCTCCCATTCGAAGGCGACGGCGGTCGTCTATATTTCGGTCCTAATCACTCCTGATAAAGGCGAAATAACTCTGAAGAGACAGCGAATTTCACACACTTTAACGTCGAGATTTTTTACAAGCTCTTCTCAGTTGAGCTAGCGGCGGGGCTCTGGAATGACGGGGTGTGCCGAGAATTTGAATTAGCTCTCCGTTAGTTTGAAGACAGGGTGAGAGAGAGCGAGAGAGAGAGAGGGAGAGAGAGGGGCCATTTTGTCCCGACTGTGTGGGAGAAAAGAAAGAGTGGAAAAGAGGAATCACTCGGGAGGAGAGCCTATTTTTGCTTTCTGTTCTCATGCTGTAAGGGGGGACACAGTCCTGCTTGGGGATATATCACTTCTCGGACCCGTCTCCTGGCACGTTATTCAGGTGGTTTTTAGCCAACTAGCTTGCCAAGCTAATCAACAGATCCCGGATCGTTAAGGAGAAGCGGGGCAGTCGGTCAGGTTGGCGAAGGAGCTGGCTTTAGGCTTCACATAGGCGTGCTAGGTTACCTATTCTGTTCTGTTTTTAATCTTGTCTGGGGTGGTTCACAAGCTGCTTTTTCAATGGCGAAGAAGACGTACGACTTGCTGTTCAAGCTGCTTCTGATCGGGGACTCGGGCGTGGGGAAGACCTGTGTGCTGTTCCGCTTCTCAGACGACGCCTTCAACACAACCTTCATCTCCACCATAGGTAAGATGAGCCGGGGACCTCACACACTGGACTCGCGTGTTGTTACAGGTGTTTTTGTTTTATTCCACCACCCCCTTATTGGAGGTGGTTTGACAGCTGGGGGACTCGCCTCGCTCTCCTGCAGCTGGAAACGGTCTGCAGGACTCGGTTAGCCTGTGTGCTAATAGCATGCACTGACGTGAGCCCCTCTGCAGGCCTGCACAGGTGCAGCTTTTATATCTGTTAACTACTGTTACAGATGGCAGCGACTTTAATAACAAAAACACCGATATTATACAGGATTAGCCTGCCTGAAATGGCTAGTATAACCGGTTTAGGAGCCCGAAGAATTGCTGTCATGTCACTTGACCCAGTGGGCTAGAAGGCTAACAAAGCTAGTGCAGGGGTAGCATGAATATACTGAGCCGAGCTGCTGTTACGAAAGGATTAGCACTATCTCTCTCTATTTAAATAACAGGCATTCACATATCACTATCATAGTATCACATATATTCAAATATAGCGTCTCTGATGTGAATTACACTGTAAAGTAGTGATGCTACATAATGGCTAAAATGTTAATCATGATGTTTCTATCACTACCTAGATCACAGTTGTTATTAATGATTACTGATCTATTTCAATGGAATTTTTGTCAGAAAAAACATATAGATCCTGCTTCTCATCTACATTAAGGGCCAAACTGGGGCATTCCGTCTTATGCTCACTTTGTCCCTCTGCTTGACCAACACACTCCACCTGTTCTCAGCCTGCTTTGCTGCAGCTCATTTTCTGTTCCCAGTTTTGGACTGTTGTGACACACTGTGTGATAAACGATACGCCTCATTACAGGGTGGGTCCCCCTGTTACAAAGATGAAACCGCAGGTGAAAACCCCAGTTGTGTTAATTTGAGCAACTTTGTGATGAACTGATGATGATTATTGGTAATCAAGTTAGCATATACAGATATATAAAAAGGGGGGAAAGGATGAGTAGGGACTTGACACTACTCTTGTTTAAAACTACTAACGCTACATTTAAGTGTCAGAAATGATGTAAAGTTTGTTAAGTAACAGCAGTCGTAAATAAGAATAAAAGTTCAACTCTCTCCTTTGAAAATGTGGTGGAGCAGATGTTTTAAGAAGCAGAAATTACTTGTGGAAGGAACTGAAGTGCACATACCTCTAATTTGTGCCTAGTTACTTTCCATGGCTCCTTCAAAGAAACTATAAACAATCCATCATGGTGGCATCACCCCCCCACCTCTGCGCATGCGTCAGACATCACGCTCTCATGAGTCAGGTGTCAAACTATGTCGAGTCCTCTCACAGCCCAAGTGCCGGATCCATTTACTCCTGTTGCTTAAGATCAGTGCTGAGTAATAATGTAACACAAGACAAGCTCTGCTGGAAAATGCCAAGCTCAATGTTTGCAGTTACATCTTCGCTTGCTTGATTGGACTCAAGTCAAAGCCCAGCTTTGAGTATTGACAACTCTTCTTCACCTTATGCTGAAGAACACTCAACCATAAAGGGCGACAGTGTTCCCACAGGCATCCAGGCCAGATTAGATTTGTTGAGGTACAGCTACAGCTCTTAACAGTGGCTGTGCTGCTGAGCTGGTAGGTTTTTTGTGTTTATAGTTATGGATTTAGCTTATGTTTGTGTCTTGTAGTCAGAGCCTGTGTTGTCAAATTATGAAAATGACAACAGTTATTATGTTATTTGTTGGTACTGTTCGAGGTAAAGTCAGCATGACAGAGCTGAGCAGTTTGAGGGCTGCCTGTGTTGTGATGGTCGAATGCAGTGTGACAGGTTCTTCAGCAGTCAAAGACCGATATTGACCTTTGCTTCTTGCAGAGGTACTTTCCCTGCCAAGATGAGTAAAGTGTCTCAAGCTCTCCTGTGAACTCTGCTGGTGTTGTTTCTTCCTCACCTTTTGAAAATCAATTATTTTAAACAAACTGCTTGTCAAATTGAAACATGCTGCTTATGATATCCCAGCTCACATGAAGGATGAAGTGCTTGAGGCTTCTGAAGCTGCTGTATGCATATCTGTATCATAAACTTGATCTGTATTGTGCAATTTATCCAACTGTGGTGTAGAGAGGCCAAACTTTTGAGTTGAACCTTTTAAAGCTGTAGTTCCCAAACTGCCCTCAAAGTTATCATGTGTCACTTTTGAACACATTTCCAGTTTAGTACCTCCATGACAAGCTCAATCCTGTATGAATTGAAAAAACTCTTTTTATGGGCTGTTTTTGACCAGCAACAAAATTGTTCTTTTTGACACTGACGCTGTCCTTGAGATGAAAGCTCTGCTACCACTTTTTTTTTGTGTGTTTTCAGATCTATTGATGCCATATTTTATCCACAAATCCATTGATAATTTTACTTGTCTTCAGGTAATTGTAAAAATCTTCAACATTTTCTTGAACACTTGCATTTGTTGCAGTAGTTTACAGTTTACAACAACAGCATTAAAGACCTGAATATACTATATTAAGGGAGTTTTATCAAACTTAAATTTATTATTACTGTCAAGTAAGGCTGCACGATATTGGAAAAAACTAACATTGCGATTTTCTTCAACCCTGCGATATATATTGCGATATCACCAGATGACCTGAATAGCACTTAATGTTATGCTGCACTGCTGAAATCTTGAGGACAGTTAACCTGCACTGATCTTACCACTTTTTGTGAATGTTAGTAGAATGGCTTCTGTCTGTCTCAGAGATATTTTTAGCTTTTATTGTTCTGGGACGTTATTGTGGCAACAGATGAACACAGAACACGTGTTTTGGTCAACATCATCCTTCTTTTAACCGAAATAATTCCAGATAACTGACTTTCCTTTTCTTTTTGGCAACAAGTCTTCATCTAATGTGGTTTACTCTGTTTGTTGCTCAGTTTGTGATCGTTGTTGTTGTTACCGGGGTGCTGAGAAACGCATGTCCTCCGAGAATTGCATGCACCTCACAAAACGCGCACTGCTTGTAGTAGAGTGGTCCACCGAAATATACAATTTAAAACCCATACAATTCTAATTTGTTGGGCTAAACAGTGATGAAGAATGTTCCGAAAGTAATTCTCAGCGGACACGCGTTTCTCGGCTCAACTCCGGTAGCGGCAGCGACTCACTCCATGTGCAGGACATGTGCAGGGGTGGGTTTCCTCCTCTCTGATTTTGATTGACAGCTGGCAGAGTAGTCTGATTGGCAACTGAGTAAAGAACGAGGGTGATTGGTGGATCACTGCACAGCACATGCAGAGTCACATGGGGTGTATCTCAGTCAGCTACCCTTGAAATGAACTGAGTTCATTCCCCTCCGACATCGCAGGCTCTGCGATGTGACTATTGTGGACATGTACATTGCGATGACGATGCTCAAACGATATATCGTGCAGGCCTACTGTCAAGCTCATAGCTCCTTTGTCTTCAAAGTACCCTCAGGGCCACAAACATTCCTTAATATATTAAAGAAACTGCTTTTAAAGTATCAAAATGACAACAGAGAAATATGATAACAGTGTTTGAACTGAAACTGTCAACAGCAGTCATTTCTGTCCTCTACTTTAGGAAGTGCTCTCTTGTGGTATTAACCTACTTCAGTTGGCTTAAAAACATGGCAACACCTGTGGTGGGTTTGAGTGAGGCTGTCGAGTAATACATTTATAAAAGCTGCAGAAGGAAAGTAGGGCTGGGTCTATTCGTCGATGTACTCGGCGTAATCAACTACAAAATTTCGTTGATGCAAAAAATGCGTTGACGCGTGGCATGAAGACATAAACAATGGCTACTTAATGTAACGGTAGAGGCGTGGACGGCAAACGAGCTCCACCTAATGGGGTCGATTTAAAACCTACTTTAGCATGATCTATGAGCAGCTCCTCTCAATCAATGCAGGTGTTCTTCCTGGCGTCCTCGCTCACATTTCCAAGATCATGCTGCTTTAATTCAAGGAGACATGCAGTGCCCTGTCAATCAAATAACCCTACGCTGGTGCAGCAAACGCCACAGTAGACGCTGCATCATACGCCCTGCATCCCATATCTTATTCATTTACTTTAAGCAGTTAGCTCAGAGTTGAAGCATCAGTTAAGTGCTTTTATTTGTCCTATAACTGGCTATTTAATCAGCTGTGTGATCACTGATGATAGCTTGCGAATGCTAATACTTGGCACACGTGAGCTCCAATGCACATACGTATACTAATACACGTAAGTCCGAGGTTGAGCTATGTAAGAAAAAAAACTTTTGTTTAACTGTGGCGGTGCGCCACGATCGATTGCATATAGGGGAAACCCTGTGATCCAGCGCCGTGTCTTACTCAGCAATGTAAACAAACACTGTTGCCAGCATTATGCCGACCGCGGCCCCCAACGCATTGCCAGATAATGTGCCTTTTTGGTTGGTTGAGTGGCACTGACTTTCTTACTATTAAATTAAAGATAGTATGAAAGTTGTTTTATGTTGCTTGACACTCATTGTAAATATGAATAAGGTGAGCATGCAACTGTTAAGGGAGGCCACTAAGCAACAATAACCTATCAGGCTGGTGCACCCACAAGCTGGTTACCCGAAAACGGTATACCGCGGTTCACAGTATGTCACCGAGCACTAAGTAAAGGCTTTTGGCTGTTACTTACAGTTGACTTTAGGTAAGCTAAAAAGCTATGTTAAGTGCTTTGTGAATGTAAAAAAAGCATTGATAAAAATGCACTGTTTTTAGTTTTGTTTCACTTCAAGAGAATTTTGAATTCATTGAATTGAATACTAATAGGACAAGTTTTTAATTATTTTGGTTAAATTCATTATTATATTAATCGGTTAATAAAAAAATTATCGTTGGGTGCAACCCTAAAGGGAAGCAAAGGTACCGTATTTGTGTCAAGATATTAGAGTAAGAGTACTGGCTGCCCCAAAATAGTGCAACACAGTTAAGATCTTCACTTTCTGCTTGTCTTTTTCCTCCATCTGTACTGAAAACAAAACAGCATGCAGTGTGGAGGGCTGTAAGAAGTGAAGAACTTGGAGAACACGATCTCTCAGCACAACTATAAACTAAATTTTGACACTCAGGAAGCTCTGCCGGTGACACTCTGTCAAACTATTGTGGTGTTTTAGAATTTTAGATGTTGCATATTTGGCTGTACTCCTGGAACAAAGCCAGAACTTTATTTTGAAGGGAACTGGATGTTCTACCTCAGATTAATATGTTGTTTTGTACATATGTGCTTCTACTTTTAGTTTCCCTGAAGCTTATGTTGTCACGTGCTCTTAAGGTATAAGAGATTTAAAAAAAGGGCAAACTATTTGTCAACTTGAACCATTAAAACATTTTTTATCACTGAGAGGCTGAACATAAGTTTTCTTGAAGGTAAAGATTGTAGATTGAAATGCTCCTTTACTCACTCTTTCCATTGGTAAGGCGACTGGCTGTGGAGAACATGGAACTCCTGCGATGGCTATAAACTGTGATTTCTCCACTGGCCAAAAAAAAACCTGTCAATACAAAAACTTTCTTCATCTCCTTCCTCCAACTGGTGCATTTTGCAGGGCCACCCACAAAATACAAAAATGCACGTTACTAGTTTGTCCGCTCTGGGCTACTATAGAAACACTGTACAAGATGACAGCCTCCATTGATTGGCACCCTAAGCACATATAAAAGAATCACTCAGAGGTAACAAAAATAAAACAGTTTTCATAGTCAGGTGATGTTACACTGATTTAAACTTACTTATGAATATATTGTTTCAGTTCTGCCAAGTCTGCTATGCTAAATGCTGCCAAAGACAGCTTACTGTACCTTTTTAAATAATGCCTTTCACTGTTTAACTGGTAACTTGACTATATATTATATTTCAACTTGTTTCAGCTGTAAGTTGCGAACAGTTGTGTTGCCATAGAGGAGCAAAGAAACCTCGAAACACACCCATTTAAGAGGCTGGAGTTCTAACTCAAAAAAAAGAAAAAAAAAAAAAGACAGCAAAAAACAGCTGTTATTAACGTAGCTGCTGTGAGGTTAATATTTGAAAACTTACTGATTTATTGTTTCTCCACTCGGAAATATTTATCCTGGCCTCTTGGCTTTCAATAATCAACTTACTTAAGCTTTACTTTTCTCCCTGTAGTTCAGGGTCATTAATGGGGGTTAATGTTTTGGCTTAAACTGTAAGTTCAGTAAATGCATCAAACCGCTGAAGTCAAGTCATCATTGTGTATATGTCAAGCAAGTACAAAATGTACAGAATGCAAAACTGGAGCATGCAAAAGTTCAGTCCTTCACTTTAGAAGAACATGTCAAAAGTTACAGCTCTGAATCTCTGGACTGGAAAGTTACAGAACTTTGTATAAGAAGCAGCAGAACCAGGACAGGAGTGAAACAAGAGTGTGACACTCAGACCTTCAAAGACACACATGCACAGCTGCTTCTCAAAATACCCCCATTGGGAACCCCCCCTCTCATCAGCCACTCATCCACAGCCTAAGTCCCTCTTTATCTGCCCGTCCTCCTCTTACATGGGCTGGTCATGCATATTCAAAGTGATGAATATGAAAAATGTTGTCATCTGAAATCTCTTTTTCCACAAAACATCATGAATTTTGCATGGAAACTAGCATTTGCCTGTAGTGGACTTCATACTTGTGGAAGGAATGGTTCCTCTGGGATCAAAGCAGAGCGGGGCCAGCCATAAACTACGTACTCTCTGTTTCTGAGACATCCAATTCAGCATTAAGCCTTTATGGAAGGTGTCGTTGGAAAGTGTACCCATTTTCCAGTGATTGCACAATGCACATATTTTCTTGACTACTTGCCAGGGCACCTCACCGGGGAAAAACTTAAAACCCCTTTGCTCGTAACTTCCAAATATTATGTCATGATGCAGAGCCTGATCTTTTTGTAATGATTGTCAGGACACCTCCTCTTTTAAAGCTCTGCTCTATCAGTGGTATTCACTCAGTGATCCTGATGAATGTTTGAAGGTAAAATATTAATGCTTACAGACAATGGCCCTCATTTATCAAGCTGGCGTATGGCAGAAAACTTGCGTACAGCTTGCGTATGACAATTTTGACGTGAGGATTGGCATTTATCAATCTGCACGTGAGCGTACGCTACGACCAAATCTCACGACAGGTCTGACATCGTGTACGCAAGTTTGAGTCAGTGTGGATCTGCGGTGCAGCAAATGTCTGTCTCAAAATAATTAATAAACAAACCTCAAACCTGTCATTAAGCACAATCAGCCAGATTTCATTAAAGATTAAGACGTAAATAAAATAAATTTATTATGTCCTTGGTGAATAGGCCTATCTGATAACTCTGCCCAGAAACACTGCCACAGAGCAGGAGCGCTGTTTTAACATTGTGCGCACACACGCCACAGTGGAGCGCTGCGTTTGACTCCTAAAAGGCAGGTGTCCCTATCTTGGCCCAGCAGCGGGGACAAGGGCGTAAATACGTTAATGACGATCGATTTCAGCCACCGCATTTATCAAGACCCATCAAACGTACGTTGAGATTGGTCAGATACGAACCCTTTCATAAATCTCACGTGTCCTATCGTCCTATCGTAGGATGAATCCTGCGCTTCGATCAGCGCAAGCTTGATAAATGAGGGCCAATGTACGCTGTTCCTCATCTGCAGAATCCTCCTCTCCTCTTGTTTCTTTCTGCTTCTTGCTAACTTTGTATCTTTCTGTCCCTCCCTCCCTCTCTCCAGGGAGTGCATAATATCCAATGAGTCACACCTTGGCAGCCTGTTCCTCATTATTATATGACTCGCCCCACCTAGAGAGCACAGCTGTTTCTTGGACTTTTAACCAGCTACAGTTTCTGACCAGAGCTGAACAGACAGCTCACGATTTAACTGAACAATACTTGCCAAAAACTTTCTATGTGAGTCACCCCTCTCAGATTTGACCTCCTTTGGGGCTTCCCAAGCATTAGGATTTGGATTATAAACCTGACTAATATTAAAACGAGAAAATTTATGATGGTTTATTGTTGACGTTTCACTGTCTGCCCTGTGTTCATCCTCATCCTTGTAACTGTCAGTCAGTGAAAAGGCCCTGTTAAATTCCTCCAGGCTTGCGAATTAATGTTTCGCATATTATTTCCTCATCAAGTTTCAGTTGCGCTTTTAATAGTTGTTTAGAAAACCAACAGAAAAGTATGAAGCAGCTATCCTGCTGGGCGGAATACAAGCCCGATGCCAGAAACTTTTGGGTCAAGCTTTTGAAATGAGCTTGCTTGCTGTTTTCCTTTGTCCTTCATTGCATTGGAGAAATACATTCAGCTTTGAGACAAAATCCTCCAAATTAAAAGAGAATATTTATTGTTTTTTAATTTAGATCTAGAGTTTTATGGGCTAAAAGATCAGTTGACTCCATCAGTACATAAATCAGTCTTAAAAAGTATGAATTATTTTTCGCTGCTGTGAGATTTATCAGGTCACTTAACGTATTTTTAAAAGTGTAGTTTAAAACTAAATCTTGTGTAAAAGAGAAGGACCTTTGTTGAGAGAAGAGAAGAAACAGTGAGGGAAAGACACATAGCTGTTACTGAAAATCGATTCAAGAAACTGTTCTACTGTGGTCTGCACCAACCGCAAGTTTAAAAAAAAAAAAAAAAATTTGGCATTTTGTTTGTTAGTTTAATGTGCCTATACCTTTGATTCACTAGTGCAGTATGTTGGCACCTATTTAGTAGGGGTAGAAATCACTAGTGGCCCCACGATACGATATCTTCGCAATACTTGGGCCACAATACTATATTATTGTGATTTTTAACATTTTGCAATACAGTGAGTATTGCCATACAATATATTGCAGTTTATAGAATTTTTTCAACTGTTTAGCTAATTTAGCATTTGTCTTTCCTTTATGTTGGTCTTATTTACACTATATTTTATTTTCATGTAGCACATATTGCAAACCTTATATATATTTGTTCCACTATCTCTCTCCTGCTCTATGATGTCACCTCTGCCAACCTCACTGGACAAACAGTTTATTTTATTTTTCCATTATCATAGATTTGACTTCATATTGGCAATTAATTTGAAAAAAATAAATACTTGGTCAGTGAGATAATACGATTATCACCACTCAATATATACAGCGATACAATGCTATATCGATTTTTTTCCCCACCCCTGCTGTTTAGTCAGTTTCTTTGGCTTCATGTGCTGCAGTGGGTGGAAATGAATGCATGATCTTCTATATATTGTACAGTCAGGTACGAAATGAAATGGGCATTATTAATGGACATAGTCACATATGTTTGAATGTATCATAAATTTAAGGAACACCAGCTGAAGGAAACACCAGCATCATTAGCATGATACATTCAAAAAGGTAATAACCATAGTAAAATTATGATGACTAATTGGCGTGAACAACAATTGTACTGTCACTGCTTACATGAGTTAAATAATGTAATCTCACAGGACATCAGGATATGATGGCCACCTCTAAGTAGTATTTTTTTACAGCCAGTAGTTTATTTTTTTTGTTTAACTCACTATAACATGTTCCCTAGATGGTAGAGCATCACTGACATGAGAAAATGGCACAAGCAATTAAAAATGCAATTTGCAGCATCATTGTTCTGTCAGCGTTGATGTGAAATCCAAGAGAAAAATGTCATTTTATTGAAGACAGGCAAATGCAACCAAGCCCAAATATATTAGTCCCTACCATAGTCTGTATATAATATGGACAACTTGGTTCCGCCTACCGCCTGTATATGGATTTGAAGCCAAATAGCTCTCGGTATTTCCGGGATTTTTCTTCATTTCCTGAAACCAGAGCTGCGCAGTAGTGCTGCGCGCATTCGGCCGCGCAGTCGCCGAGAGTCGCTGTGATGACACTTGGCTCAAACAGCGTATCCCCCAGGAGAGCCACGCAATCCCTGAACACCCATAGGCTGTACCAGGTGTCAATCATAGAAAACATGAACCCCCTAATAACTTTTAAAAACGGAGCTTCACAGAAAAAAGAGGACTTGAGCACATACCAGTCTTACAGTAACTACATGTCAACATCACAAGCAGGGGGGAGAAAAATTTATGTTCTGTGTAATAAATTTCTAAAGTTTGTCCACAGCTCTATAAGCTTTGCTGGCGAAGGCGGGCTTTATGACCTATACTGCAGCCCGTCACCAGAGGGTGCTGTTCTTGGAGTGGCTTCACCCAGCAAAGAGGCAGACTCTGTCCATTCTTAATACAGTCTATGTTCCCTACCCATGAAAAAACCTGTATGCACGAAACAAGCAACATCTCTAGCCACAACGTAACCTCTCCTGTGCCATTAGTCCTAATTTTCCATCCAGAAGTAAAACCCTTAAGGCATCAACATGAGAAATCACTAATAAACCACAAATATGGGTACTATCATGTTTCCAACCAGCGGATTGTATGGACAGTTGTATTTAACAGTAACAAGATCATCTCAATGCGTATTAACACATTCTCATTTTTCCTACTGTAACTCCACTTTTTAATGCAGTGCCATTGTCAGCCAGCTGCTGATCCACAGCTGTCTGCTGAAAGGCCCAAGGCTTAGGCATGACACTGCAAAATCAGGTTGTTGTCTCCATGTTGAGAGGGCTTCAGAGGGTCACTCTAAAAGGTCTATCTCTGGTCATCTCTGTTAATGTGTCTGTCTTCTTGAGCTGTAATACCACTTGTTAACATCAGTGTTGTCTTTTCTCTACGTATTCCTCTACCTTATTGGTAGGGCTTTGTTTGCTATTATTCTTAGACATGTTTGCTCACATTTAGTCTTTTTTCTCTTCTTTCTTTTTTTTTCTTTACAGGAATAGACTTCAAGATCAAAACTGTTGAATTACAAGGAAAGAAGATCAAACTACAGATCTGGTGAGTAAATGGACTCTTTACAAAACTGTAAAAGTTTATGAGGCAAGTTTCTGTGACAGTGCGTAAAGAAGTAAGAGGCTGAAAAACAGAAAAACATTTTGAAGAGTGTCTTTCTCTGTTAGCGAGTTGTAACATCATCGGGAAACATCTGTTTGACATACCTCCCTCAAGCCCAGAAAAATGTAAGAGCAGGAAATGGTCATTGGGAGCTCAGTTACAGGGTTGTCATCATAGTCCACAACAGCTTATTCTCATAAGTCAAGGGACTCGGTTTCTGACACTTTCTTCTGTAAAAATGACCAGTGACATGACATCACGTTGAATTTATTGATTTTACTCATCAGTCATTTTTATAACCAGTTAATTCATCAGATATTGAGCTTTTGATTGTTTGATTAGTAATTATGTGCTTTCAATGTCAACATCTTGATCTAAACTCAAAGATATTACATTGCTGTCAGGCTTGAGTAGAGAGAATTCATTCAAAATGCTTGGACTATTTAAGTTTTTGCACTTTTCAAAGTAGCTAAAAGTTATAAGTAATACAAGGCCAGTATTGTTATAGATTTAACTTCTCATGTTCTGAATGTCAAAGATGATTAATGTGCTTCAAGCTGTGTGCACACATGCAAAAAATCTAACAAATGTCCCAGAGTTTTTAGTGTGGGCTGCAGATGTAAATGCAAACAGCTGAAATTATCTGGAATTTTTGGTAGCCAGCCCATTCATACAATTTCCCCCTTTTTTTTTTTTTCAGAAAGGAAAATGTCACAAACAAACAACTCTGGTCCATGTTTCATTTAGTTGCAGAGCTTCTGAAACTACTTGAAATATAAAGCATGTGAGAGAGGCTTCAAAAAGGGGTCAGAATAGCCTCTAAGGAATTACAACATGAAGTCAGAAATGTCTCACATCCTGTATGCGTCTCAAAGAACAAAACACAAGTGTTGGTCAAATGTTTCAAGGTCCACTCACAAAGCTGTGGTTGATATAGTCTCAGTTTAAAGATAAGGTTCGGACCAAGTCTTGTCATTTAAGGTCAATTCTTTATAGTTACATAGATAAAAGAGACACCTGCATACATACAGTTATTTGAGGTCTCAGAAAAGATTCAGTGGGTCTTTGTGATAATGAATGGATGAGTTAATTAACGAAGAAATGAAGTGGCAGAAAATAACCAGGAAATTTTTATATCAGCTGTCCTAGATTCTCAACTGTGAGTACATGTGATCTTCTTATTGCATAGTTATAGTAAGCTGAATTTGTCTGAACAGAACAAAAGTTTTCAGGTAGATGTTTTTTTTAAAGTCTTTAATTGATTAAACAACCAATGCTGCACTGAAAAGTTGCAGTTTTTATATGTGATGTTAAATCTTTGAGTTTCTGTACTTCTTGTTTTTGTGTTGGTGTGATATCATACAGGTATGAAAATCTCTCACCTATCGGCGAAATTCGCCGTTTTGAAGTCAAAAAGGGTGACCTACATGAATCGTGTAGATCCAAGGAGAATTTTTTTTTTTTTTTTTTGGTCGGGAGATTTACTTATTTATTTAATTATCATGTGATCAACTTAATATGTAGACTAAGCACTTCAGAAATCGGCCCTTTAAATGACACTTGGACGGTCAGGAAATCCTCCTGGCTGCTTCGCTGACGAGAACCAATCATAGGCCAAACTGCTTTCCATTATTCCAATCATGCGCACACTCTTCACGTGTTCTTGGAGTACTTGGAGAGCCTGGGGTAGCATTGCAAAGCTGCGAGAACGAGAAGCAGGACTTATCCACGCCGGTGTTGTGCCGTTGAAAGTACACAACAAGGCGAAATAATCCAAGTTTTCCTTACCGTTGGACGGATTCAAAAGCGTGTGCCTTTAATGATTTCATTTAGGTTATTCAGATAAGCCGAAAACAACAGCCCTCTGATTCAGAATATTTGCTGCCCCGAAAGTATATTGTTTTCTACCTTGACATCTTACTGTACAGTTTATATACCCAAGTACACCTCGATATGTGCATTTTTGAGACACATTAAAACAGAACGAAAGTTTGCTAGTAGTCATGATCCAAATACTCGTGTCTTTGTAAAATATGAGCTCATTTTCTTCCACTTTAAGAAGCTAATGAGTGGACAGGATGCAGGGGTGCATTCTATGGCACAACACCGGGGACAAGGCAGACCAGAGCGTAGCGTACACATTTACTTGCATTTACCAGCAGATTGAATTTGGTGAGTAATGGTTTCAATCGATTTCATATTTTGTGGTATGACAAAGTTACTGCCGTTTGCTACAGCTTGCGTTGAACACTGCCAGAGCTAGCCAAACCTCCGGTGAAAAATAGCTCCCGTTTGCTAGATATTAAGTTAGCGTCAAGCTTGTGTAGTTAACGGTAACATAAAAGAAGAAACACATGCTTCTTTCTAATATCTCTGTAATTGGTATTTCGGGGACGTGTGAGGATAATATTCACATGAGGGGCTGAAAAGGCTGAAGGTGAAGTGGTAAACTTTTTAACACTCCTTTTTGCCACTGATGTTATTCATTGATTCATTAAAACGTAATGGTTTTGAGCCATCTAAAATAGCGAAAGCGGGCGTCTCGCGTTTACTGCTCTGGCTCCATCCATTGACAAGACGGGGCGTCAATTTTTTTCAGCGTGACATAAGCGTGACAGGAGACAACAGGGAAGGGTGTGTCACGAAAGGCTTGCTGTGTGTTTAGACCAAAAGCTACTAAAGCTTTTGTGTAAATCGCTATGTTGCTATTATTTTTATATGGCTGTCAAGAAACTGGGAGTGCTCAGCAGGCAAAGAAGCAGGCTGCTGAAAGTGAGAAGCAGGCAAGGCTGAGGCATGTGGCCACTCAGCGTAAAAGGCCATGGAGACTCTGGCGGCCCAGGCAAAAAGAAAAAAGAAAAAGTGATCAATTGGACTTGGTATTGGATCTATTGGAATTGCATGTATTGTTCTCCAGTCTGGCAGGGCATACATTCATCTAAAGTGCAGAATATTAAGTCTTTATTTTTTTTATTATGTGTATTTTTTTCTCTTTAAATTATTATTGTTCATATGGCCTTGTTCAAACAGTTTTGAACACTTCTCTCTGACTCATCTAACTCATTTAGCTTCTGTGAAAGTAAACTTTCTAAATAAATCATGGCCAGCACAAGATGCATGTGATGTGATGTGATGTGATGTGATGTGATGTGATGTGATGTGATGTGTGTGTGTGTGTGTGTGTGTGTGTGTGTGTGTGTGTGTGTGTGTGTGTGTGTGTGTGTGTGTGTGTGTGTGTGTGTGTGTGTGTGTGTGTGTGTGTGTGTGTGTGAGAGAGAGAAAGAGAGAGAGAGAGAGACTTGGAATGTTTTTGGCGCCTCCTGCAGATCACTGAAACACAATGTGGGTGGACAGAGCTCAATATTTTGATGGGTTGTACAGTGTACCGGAACGTATTTCCTTCACACCTTTCTCACCTTTTCAACCCCTGACCCATTTTCATGCCTGATCATAGGTCTTGGACGCTTAAATGCGAGTATGTGTGTGTCTGACAAAAAGGAGGCATTTCCCTAGTTTTGCTTTGCTCTCTCAGCCTTGATTTTGATCTGATCTGAAACTCGATCACATTTGGCCTGATACTGTCCATTAAACTTCTTGTGTGTCTGGATGCATCTAGTCTTAGTCCACTCCACGTTTTTTCCCCTCCCTGTGTCCAAGTCCATTAAGTCTGTGTTTCATCTTCACAGTTCAGCCTTAGCCTCCAGAGATGTGGTTATGCTTATCAGTTTCAATGAAATCCAACTTTTGTGCAGCCAGCTATTGTTCTAACATCAGAGTGAGACAAGTGATATACACACAGGTTTGGTCTGCCTCTGCTGCTGCTGGACTTCTTTTCAGTCATGATAGATAAATGTTGGCAAAGTTTCCGCAGGTGTCTCGGTTTAGCTCGTTTGGATGTGTGGAGGATAAGGGGCTTGAGGTGGATTTTTACTGTATTTACCAGGTTGAAGCTGATTTTTCACTGCTCACCAAAACGCTACCTTTTCTTTTATTCTTTTCTATTTGTCTTTTAGATGATGGGCTTTTCTGCCTTTATTTAAGAGGATAGGAACAGTGGGCAGAGCAGGTAGCAGAGAGTGACATACTGAAAAGGGCCCAAAGGTTGGAATTGAACCTGATTGGGGCTGACTGCTTGAGACATAAACTACAAACAGTTTCCTCACATTCAATCAGATTAAACTTTTCCTGTTTTTATAAACATGAGAAGTGAACAGAATGACCGAACGTGGAGCTAAACGCGGAGCTGAGGGCAGCAAAACAGATGTCAGCTGTGACTTCGAGTCATCCTCAGAAGATGTTATAGCTGAGAAGTTATTCAACGTCTCTCCAAAGTGACGTCGAGCAATTAAGCCGATAAACCGGGAACACAACAGATCTGTTTAATCATTTGAAGAAGTTCTTCTCGAGTAATTATGTGGGAAGCATGAAAATGCGAGCGCAGTCTGCACAGCCTGTCACTGCTGTCGGTACGAAGAGCATTAGCAGTTTAGCTACAACTAGCGGTGCAGCCACAAGACCAACGCAGCGATCAGTCATATCCATTCCGGCCAACACTCCCGTTTTTCACTCTCCCGTGTTCCAGACCTCTCTCCCGCCCTCCTCCCGTATTGTCATTTCTCCCGGGAATCTCCTGTAGTTTAATGGTCCACGTTCATTCATGAATACGATCACTGTATTTGTCCAAAGTTTCCAGACAACCGGAGATAGTCATGTGTTTCTGCTGAACACAGGCCTCACAGACAGTGGATTGATACTTTGACTTTACAAGTTGGGATGGTTCAGGCCAGTTTCAAGCTGTAAACTATATCTAAGCAGTGTTTATTGGAAAATGAACACTTCAATGAAAGGAAAACAAACGCGAAATACGCGAGAGTGATGCGTTCAGGGCAGCCTCAGATAAAAGAGTGCTGTATTTCACACACAGATGTTCAGAGAGCCTCATACAGGAGAGAGCATGTAAAACATATTAGGACTTTAACACTAATGTTAGTGGACGTATCGTATCTATTTTTTTTATTACCATTTGTTATTGTTAAAATGAAACAAAAGTGTGCAGCTTCACTTAAACTTATTTGGATGAGCAATTTAATTACAAATACTCTCATAGTTAGCTCATATCCATCATACAAGGTCACCCCAAAACTACCCAGTGTGCACCACAAACAACTCCCGGATTTTATAACCCAAATGTTGAAAGGTATGCATATCATCTACGTTTACATTTTAAAGCATCTTCATTATCTTTGAGGGGGCGATTTGCTTATTTTGGGTCTTGCATACCTGCAAAAACACCCAGGACTGTAAACTAATTCTCTGTATTACTTAGTATTTAACTACATTTGAGATAAAATGTTTTTTTAAATATTTTTTTACACAAATCTTATTCAGTTTGCTTTATTTACTTTTGTATGTTAATAAAATGTTGAACTCATCTCTAGTTTTTTTAGTTTTTAGTACAGATGCTTTAAAACTGGCAGTTAAAAAAAAATCGTGATATAATCGAGATCGGACGATATGACAAAATAAATCGTGATCATTTTTTTTCCCAAATCGCCCAGGCCTAAATGAATTTCAGTAAAAATACAAGATGATCTCATCTTGTGTTATTACTGGGCCTCAATAAATATACTCAAAGCTCCTATGAGGATTTTTTAATGTTTATGAAATTGACTGAAATCCAGAGAGAAGCCTTTTCATGTTATCCAAGACCAACAGGGACAAAACTCACACTTTGTCCCTTTTAATGCCTGAATCTAGTTCAAAGGGGGCAGGTGTCAGCCAAGCAGCTAGAGAACCAGCCCTGATTTTACAATGTTCACAGTTAATTATATATTAGACTGTTGTAAAAGGACACTACTGTAACACGTAGAGGACGAGAAGAGCAACACGGGGCGCCCAAATGACCATGAAACAAAAGTTCCTCCTTGAAGCTTTGAAGTTCTTCACACAGATTTATTTACTTATAAGACAAAGGTTCTAGGAATAAGAGGAACCTTTGATTTCTGCCCCTGTTAGACAGTTAAAAAGGTGACCACTGTACTGGTTGGAGTAGGGTTAACATTCAGGCATAGTGTAATATGCGCAAGTGAATCCACGGTGCAGGAAACACATCAGCAGTCAGCACAGCAACCTGAAACAGGTTGATCAGGACAAGGTCTAGAGAAATGCTCAAAGCAACAATAAAAACAAACCTCTTTTCTCTGTCACAGCCAGGAGATTGTATGTTATAGTATAGCATATGCATTATAACAAAAACAACAACTAAAGCCCCCTGTAAATACTGAGGACATGAGCCGTCCTTTTGAACCGGGCTGTAAAGGTGTTTCTTCCTGCTGTAAAGTTGGTCATTTTAACTCGGGCTCTAATTAGGATTCCTCTGCTCTCACAGTCAGCTCTGTGTTGACAGCAGCTTTTTTCTCTTTTTAGGTGTGTCTGCATTGGTTTAATTTTTCCAGAGGTTGTCAGTAGGTCAAATACCACTCTGCCATCATGCTGTAAGGCCAGGAAAACAAATAAAAGCTTTCTAGCATGTGTTGCTGGTATGTATTGTAATTAACAGCTGATGAAGGTGAGAAATCCCAGCATCCTGTGAAGTGGTCACGAGACACTGCTGTGGACCAACATCTTTGTCAAATCCTGCTCTTTGTCTTTTTGAAATCAGACTCACTGAAGCTGTTGTTTGTTTTAGGGACTGAATGGTTCCAATTCAAACAAGAAATTAGTGAAAGCACAAATCAAACTCTGCGTGTCCTTTTTAGGGACACAGCGGGCCAGGAACGGTTCCACACCATCACCACCTCCTACTACAGAGGAGCCATGGGCATCATGCTGGTCTACGACATCACCAACGCCAAGAGCTTCGAAAACATCAGCAAATGGCTGCGCAACATTGACGAGGTGAGACACAGACAAACACACAACCCGGAGATTTGTTTTGCTGGGTCAGACCTTAAGAGAGAGGTTACAAGGACTGTGTGTGAGAGTTGAATGTTGGCACTCCCTTTTTTGTCTTTTGTTTAGCGTAGGCATTTTGACAGAGCTACATTAATACTGAAAAGGAATGTGGCCAACTTTGCTTACTAGCTGGCTGATGTGTGTGTGCATGCATGCGTGTGTGTGTGACTAAAGAACAACAGATGATCCAGATGTCCGTGTGCATAGTAGGAGAACAGGAGGCTGTGTTGTTTTTACTTCATTTATGCTATTAAAACCAGAAGTGTGTTTCAATTGTCTCTCCAGCTGAAACACTCCACTTGAATTACATTTATTGGCGATAAAGACCCAAACTTGAGGGGTTTTCTTTACAGCATTATACCCTCATCTTTGAGCAGCTGTGTACCAGTAATAAGAAGGACTTAATTTAAGTAGAAACATGTTGTATCTGTGTTCAGGTGCTAAGACATTTTCCATCCTTTCCATAAGAGTAAATGTCCACCTGCCTTCTTCACTCTAAGGAAGAGTCACATTCATAGTCTTGCAAAAACTCCTAAAATATGAAGGTTGTCTGTATAAACAGAATGATCTGTTAGGTCAATATTTAAAAAGATGTTAAAGATTATAAGAGTGATGGATGGGAGCTGTTGTGTGCGGTATAGACTGCTGAAGGAGAAACTTTACTTTGAAGGACTCGAGCCCCTTTGTTGGCTGTAAAGAGGCTGCAGGGCCTCAGGGCCTGAGAACCACTCCCAACAGAGGGGAAACAAATGGGCAACACAACAATATGCATGTAGCTGGCTAACCACATCAGATACAAACGTATAAAATAGTTACTCTGGAGTCTGAAACTCAGAGTTTCCCACTTTCCACACTTGGTCAAAGTAAACTGATCCCACTGAACAGTTGTATACTTCAGCACAACTATTTTATCAAATAAATAGGTGAAACTGTCACCACCTTCACCACTTTTATTATTATTATTATTTTTGTTGTTGTTATTACTATTATCATTATTATTATTATAATTATTATTATTATTATCCTGCCAGTGCCTCCTAGTTATACCCCCAAAGTCACTCAAAAAGATAAAGGGCTGCAGTATTTCTGAAGTTTTGAGCTGCAGTCACGGAGGTCGCAGGACGCGGCTGGTTGCTGCTGACCCGCTTCTCCCACCTTCCTTCTCCCTCATATATACATCCCGCAGCCCCTTCCAGCGCTTGCGGCACACATCCACTGCAAAGACACACACACACACACACACGTTGAAACATGTAGCCTAGCAAGCAGGGGAAGTTTGCTATGTTTTCAGAAAATAGTCTGGTCACTGAAATAAATAAACAAACAAACTTACCAGAAAGCCCGACATCATGGGCCACCTTCGCCCATGCCTCCTCCTTGGAGGTGCGGTCCCAGTAGAACGCGCACCCCATGTCGTACAGGACCGAGTGATAACTAACGGCAGTGAAAAGCTGCTCCTCTATTGTGATTCTTCTTCTCCTCCTCCTTGCTTTGCCGGTTTGTTGACGTCAGCAGAGCCTTGATTGGCTGTCGCGGAAAGTCGCTATTTGAACTTTGGGAGCGACACAACTGGGCGTCCTGTGATCTCGGGTGACGCGACATGGCGTAGGTTGCTCACGTCGCGTCTCCGGCAGCCGGCGGTCGCCAAGTCGTGTCAGGTCGCGGCTGTATATAGACTTTGCATTGGGAGTTGTTGCTCAAGTCGCCGAGGTTGCATTTGGTCTGAATGCGGCTTTAGTGTCGAACTTAAAGTGATGAAGTTACCAGGAGAGTAAATGAAGTGAACTCTAACACTGTCCGTTTGTTCTCCTGCTGAGCTCTCCTTTGTTTAAAGTCAACTTATATTCCTGGATAATTATTGCTTGTTTGTGTGTTAGTGCGTCTTTGGCTCTTTGTGTTTTATCCTTCCATCTCCCCACTTATCACAGTAGTTATTATTCTATTATGCGAGCACTCTGGGATCGGTGCCACATTAAACACATCAGATAAACAGCAGTGACATTATAATCAATAGCCCCCACTATCGGTCTGTGTCATCAGCGGCTCCTCCGGACACTGTAATCTGACATCGTGAGCCTTCACCATCAGGTTAAAGGTGTTACACATTACATGATGAGGAGAAGGTGGGATGGCCTGGCACTGGGCTTGTGTGGAAAGCTTTTTTGTAAATTTTCCCACCCTCGCTGCTAAAGAGCTTTGAGCCTGGTGGAGGAAAGGAAACACAAAGAATTTCCTGGAAACTGAAGCCTTGACTCTGTTCTTGTTTAAGATGTTGTTTCAAAGATTGGACTTGATCGGGGGGGGGATTATATTCTTGATCTTTCTTGATTGTAAAACAGAAAACTGATCAGCAGCTATTTTGACAATAAATTAGCATTCAAATAACAAAATGTAAGGTAAACTTTATTTAGGAAGGCCAGTCCCATAGAGAATCACTCCTTTCCCTCCTGGTCCTGGTTCAGATGACCACACAGGGAGGTTCACAGGAACAACATAAAGTGAGGATTTGAGGCTGCTGTCTGTTCTACACTGTAAAATGTGAGTTTAAGACTTTTGACTGGAGCAGAATATGATCTATGCACAATGTGAGGGTGAGAATACAGCTGATTTTACACCCATTTTCAAGGTTTAAATATTAATCAGAGCTGTTTTACTAAATATCATATTTACAGTCACAGAAAAATCCACTTAATTGAGATAACAGGAGTCAGGGCTTCAGAACCTGCTGTTTTCTTGTTGTTATATAACAGATCTGTTTCTCATTTGTCACTGTTTTCTAAAAGTCAGATGTTCCTATTTGTTCCTACAAATACCTTCCACATTCATCCGTCCAACGAGCAGTTTCTACAAGTCTGAAAGTATGAGTCTCTTGAATGATTTTAAAGTCAAAAAATAAAGAGAAAAGAATGCAACCTTCACAATAAAATACTATATTTATTAATATATCACAGTGTTTATAACCCTGGACGTACTAAATCAGTTCGGGATTTAAATCATGAGCCACAAAATGAAAAACAGCATTCTTCTATTCAATAGAAAAAAACCACACCAGGCAAAATACAGTCTTGAAATGAAGCAGCACAAAGAGTGTTCACGGGCCCTTCCAGAAATGGTCGGAGTAGAGGTGTTACCTCTGAAAGTACGTACCATACAAAAAGAAAACAAGGAGAAATAATCTGTCAGTATCAAGTGACCTGATGTGATTCCATGTAATTGAATCCAAAAAAGTTTCTTTGTCCTTAAAACGACATGTTCACTCAACTCTGGACGGAGTGGGTTAAAGACACTGGGCCCCTCCAGAGAGATTTTCATAGAGGGAGCTAACAAAGTACCCTCAGATACTGTCAGATTGTTGCATATCTTATTAGTTTTTCCCTTATTTCTCATTTTTTCCCCTGCCTCATCACTTTTGTAAATCCATCCAAATATTAAAGGGGACCTGCCATCCAAAATGTAATTTTGTGTGTTTTTGTGTCAGATAAGGTCCACATTATGTTCTTCTTATGTTGTAAATGTGAAAACAAACCGTTACGTCGTTTGCACTCTGTAAAGGTTTAAAATAAAGAAACGGATAAACCAGGCCAATTGAAAAAGCAGGTCCCTCTGACGTCGCGCTGACCTTGCTCATTATTATTCAGGAGCGCGTCCTCGGTGAGCCGCGCCCACTCTCTCGTTCTCGTACTCATTCACAGTCAACATCACTCTCCAGCCGGAGCGAGACCCAGCTACCGCTGTATCCGCTATGGGTCTCTTCCAAACGACCGGTGTTTCCTTGGGTTCACTGCCGGGAAAATGAACTTAAAGCTGGGCAGAATGAATGAAAACACCGCTGGAGATCTCCGGCTTCTTCCTCAACTTCCACCTCCTCTTCGGACTCGGGGTCTAAAATATATGGTTTAATACCTGCCGTTTTTAGCCTTTAGCATAAGGTGACCAGACGTCCCCGATTTCCGGGGACAGTCCCCATATTGGATGACCTGTCCCCGGCAAAAGCTGTCCCCGAAAATGTCCCCGAGTTAAGCGTTTCATGAATGAGAGCAAAAATGTTGCGTGTGGGCTCGAACAAAAGTTATTACAGTAGCCGAATGAGTAGGAAGCACAAGTAAACAGTCCTGAACAACAGTTCTTATGGGGGTTATTACAAGGGGCATGCGCTGCTACTAAATAGTACCGAGACTTTGTCTGTGATCACGCAGCCCCTGCAGCCCCTGCACCCTCCTGGCCGCCGCACCAAATACCCCCGGATATCATTACAGACATGGGCCAAAACCCATCTTAGGTTGGTTCTTGATCATGAAACTATGAGCGTGGTCTAGACCTGCTCTTGTTCTTTGAAAAGCGTCTTGAGATGACGACTGTTGTGAATTGGCACTATATAAATAAAATTTGATTGATTGATTGATTGACATCTGGGCACCTTACTTTTAGCACACATTAGCAAAATTGATAAACTGAAATCCGAACCTCCCCTGCTGAGCCAATCAGAGCACAGCAGGCTTCACAACAGCGATCCAATCAGAGCAAAGCTCATTACCATAAATGTTAATGAGCCAAAACCAGTTGGTTTTCCTGTAAGGTTTTTCAGGCATACTAAAACAAACCATCAAATAACTTTCAGCTAAAATTATGTTGCAAACATGATCAGAGGACATTGATGGCAGGTCCCCTTTAACTTACCTGAACTTTAATTATTTAAAAGCCTCAGTTTGCTGTAGGAATAATAATGGTTATGTCCCCAAGAAGTCCAAAACTGTGTGTATAGAAGGTGTGTTTGCAGCTGAAGTTTTTCTTATGGAGTTCTCTTGTTGTTTTAGTTATTTTTGACTCTTCAGTTTTGTCTTGAGACCCCTTAATATGACTTGTGTACTGGTATTCAGTGTCTAAAGTGACAGTTATTTTAAGAGACTTAAGAACAAGCTTTGAGAAATTCAGCTAGTGACCAATGGAAGTTTTGAAGTGTGTGTGTGTGTGTGTGTGTGTGTGTGTGTGTGTGTGTGTGTGTGTGTGTGTGTGTGTGTGTGTGTGTGTGTGTGTGTGTGTGTGTCTGTCTGTCTGTCTGTGGTCGACTGACGTGTTTCAGAAGTAACAGACAACCATGCGTCTTTGGACTGTAGACATCATGGAGAGATGACGCTGCTGCTGCTGATCAAATGTGATCAAATAATCGTCCCTACTTTGTCTTTTTCAGCACGCAAACGAGGATGTGGAGAGGATGCTGCTAGGCAACAAGTGTGACATGGAGGACAAGAGGGTCGTACCAAAAGCCAAGGGGGAGCAGGTGAGATGGTGCAGCCTCCTTCAGCTATAAACCCCCCTTTTTTTAAATTCCTCTTCATCTTTTGACAGTGATGTACAAAAATCTGTTTTTAAGCTCATGGTTCGAAAACTCCGTACAAATGAGTGAGAGAATAGCAGGAGTAACAGAATGGTCTTGTACTTGGTTAACAGAGAATTGATTCAAATGACAGTGATGGAGAGTTCGTTTGTAAGCTTCATTTATGAAAGGTCAGATTACATAATCTCTAAAAACCTCATTTTGAACTCTGCAGTGAGCATCTGTTGGTCTTTACATGCCATTAAAGCTTATTGCTGTTATAACAACCTATCAATAACAGCTACACAGACAACGCTGCTTCTGGAAAACTTCTCATTTTGAATTTCTGTTGACAAGTTTGAGATGTTTCACATGAGTTTCTATTCATGGAAGTTGTTAAAAGTTTTTATTTTCTTCTGACTTAATACTGAAACTCTTTTTTTTTTCCCTTTATAATAATTTGGTGTAGACATGAAAATCTACAAAACAAATTTGCACTGACATCGTTTCTGAGGGGAATGGTAGTTAAGATACTTAACCTGTTCTTGTGTGCAGTAAACACACAAGCAAAAAACAGAGCACTTGATGATGGACAATTATGACTGACTTGACTTTGTCTCCCTATGCAAGGATAAAAGTCTGTATCACATTTCTTTTGTACCAGCTGCGCACGTTACAAAGAAGTAATCTAACTCCTGTAGTCGGCCCAAACTTTAACTATTTCCTCTTCTTTTTACTCATCATGGTGTTATGAGCAGAGATTTTTTCCCCTCTCATCATGGTGACTCCCGCAAACACTGACTCCACTTTCTGTCCATGTCCTCTGTTAACACTCAGGGATTGGCCATGTGATGAAATTCTGATTTAAGCTGCGCCCAATTTCACTCTGACTGCAGATCTAATTACTTGGAACAAGTGAAATCATCTATGTGTGTGTGGTGCATAATACCAGACTGAACTAGCAGTGACAAGTCCATCTGCAGATTTAGCAATAATAGATACAGATCTGCTTACTCATACACACACACACCCCTACCTGACTAGAATAGGAGTGTGTATGCGTGTATGGACGTGTGTGTGATGGTGATACCTGATCTCTGTCCTGCTCTGAGGGTCAGCCACTTTATTTTAGGACCAGCTGAACTCTCCGTCCTGACTCTGATTTCTTTCTTCACAGATCGCAAGGGAGCACGGCATTAGGTTTTTTGAGACGAGTGCTAAGGCCAACATCAACATCGAGAAGGCTTTCCTCACGTTAGCAGAAGACATCCTGAGAAAGGTGTGTGCTCCATGTGTTTGCAGATCCTAGTGTGTGTGTGTGTGTGTGTGTGTGTGTGTGTGTGTGTGTGTGTGTGTGTGTGTGTGTGTGTGTGTGTGTGTGTGTGTGTGTGTGTGATTTAAGAGTGAATAACAAGGCAGCCTGTACAGCTGAAATGAGTCAATTCTGTCTGGTGTCTGTTTTGTTTACTGCTGCAGAATAGAAGCTGTGGTTTGTAGAGTACGAAAAGGGAAAAGACACTTCATCACTAAATAGGTTCAGACTAGGGCTGTGGGGGGGTCCTTTATTTATGCTGGACTGTTTTGGTGCAGATGTATGCAAGGGAGCTGGTTTAGGTGCTATTTACACGGAAACAGATCCACTGGGGCTGAACAATTTTGGAAAATAATTCAATTGCAATTTTTTTTCCTCAATATTGCGATTTTATATGTGATTGTTTTTTTCAATATGTGATGTATTTTTATATGTACGTTATGATACTAATCTACGTACCGATGGTGAGATGTAATCAGTGCCCAAAACACCTTGTCTATTCATTCAGCTGTGCTGCCATCACCCTATTGGATGCATTTTCTGTCGTTATGCAGACATGGTTTGAAGTTGAAGCGCTTGTCGCTGGTGCTTTAGTCATTCAGCTATTGTACATAGCTTCGTTGCACTTTCAGTGTTGATAAAGGTTCGTAGTGTTACCCTCTGATGTAGCAACAGTAGCACGGCAGGTTCTGCACATGTCAACTTTTTTATCCAAACTTTACCTGGGCATATTTTCTGCTAGCACCCTTCTAAAATTCCAGGTCAAGTCAAGGTGAGCTGATGTGAGAAAGTGAGTGGGCGATGGTGTTTATGTAATCCTATGGTTGCAAACTCTCAAAAACGTGTTGCAGCATGAATAACAACATCTGAAGTGGAGAGAGGAGAATCATTTATTCATTTGCACGCTGCATTGATATAAATGCAAAAATTGCACTGTGCTTTGTGTTTTGTGACGTCCATCAGGTGTGTAATAAGTTTTATCTTTGTGTGTTTGCTCCGTCAGACGCCTGTAAAAGAGCCCAACAGTGAAAACGTCGACATCAGCGGTGGAAGTGGAGTCACAGGCTGGAAGAGCAAGTGCTGCAGTTGAACTACTCCTCTGTTTCACTCACACTAACGCACACAAACACAGGCACACAGACACTCACACACACTCAGACACACACACACACACACACACACACACACACACACACACACTCAAACACTCTCTCTCTCTCTCTCTAACTGCGAACTCTAACTCTCTCGCTCTCTAACCTGTCTCATGAGTTTTCTTGCACACTGACACTCTCTGTCTGTCTCTTTATCAGAATAAAAACAATAAACCACTTCACTTGTCTAATCCCCCCTCCCCTCCTCCTTTTTCTTCCCCGTCCCCACCATATTCTTCCACTCCTCCCGTCTGATGATCAGTTTTATTTCTGATAAAAAGAGAAATCCAGTCACGTTTCTTGTCATTTGTTTTAAAGGTTGTAAAAAAAAAGAAAAACAGAAAAAAAAAAAAGACAAGCTCATTTTTTTAATATTTCCTTTGCCTGAGCTCACCTGGTTGGACAGCCTCACCAAATCCTTAACCCCCCACCCCCTATCCCCACCCCCACCCCCACCCAGCTACAGCTCTCACCTTCAGTCGGAGGAAATCAAACTAAAAGAAAATCCAACAAAAAGACAAACGTAGGATTAACATTTTGTACACTGTAGTGGGGTTTCTGTTGTCTAACCGTATTTGGTCATTTACAATTTGTTACCAAGTGACAGAGGCGTGGCTAGCTCCTTTTGTATGTGGGGGTTTATTTTGTCCTGTGCCTTATATGGAAGACAGGGGCGGGGCTGTGTGGTGGGCGGAGCCACATCCACCCAATGAAATTACAGTTTAATATTCTGTCAGCTCTGGCTCCTGAATATGAGGACGCCGAGTTGAGCAGAAGCGTTTGAATTTCTCCTCCAGCCAAGAGAACGGCATTATACAGTATGTCCTGTTTATTGATGTTTTATTTTTATCTGTATGATTTATTTTACTTTAATTTTTTTTTATTTCATTTTATTTTTTCCCTCTTTGGGTTTTTTTTCCTGCATGCATATTTCTTTGGGTTGGAAGCGTTTCTGTAACGTGTAACGTTTGCCACTGGGTAACTGGGCGGGAGGTACAGAAGTTCTCTTTGGAAATTCAAACAGTTTTGCAGATCCATTAAAAATAAGCTTGTTTAAGTTAACTTGTTTTGTCCTCAATGATGTGCACTGTGGAGTCTCATGTCTCTGCTTTTGTTCCCATCAGCTCTGCATTCAGATAATTTCAAAGTTAATCAGATTTCCACTCTGTAATATTATCAATACCAGTTGGTTCATATCAATGACTGGATAAAAGTTGACTGAAATGTTTTTAAAGCCAAAATATTCCCCATGACAGACGCTAACAATTTCAATATTTAGAGCCAGAGTCTGCACATTAGGGATCAGATGGAAGAGATAAAAAGGAAGCATCAGCCTCCAAATTGAAAATTTTAAGTGACATGTTTGGGTTTGTTTTGTTACATTTGTCTCTCCAATGAGTCACATGAGCCACATTTCATTACATCAAATTATGAAAAGATAAAAGAGATGTAATAACTAGAAATCAAGAAACCATGCTGTAAATGTATTTATTTGATGTGTATTTTAATCCCAAAGTCTGATCCACATGCCCCTCATAATAATAGAGGAGGTACGCTTTATGACTTGTGCTACAGTTAGTCAGTAGAGGGAGCTCTAAATATTTTGACTTAGTTTTTGGGGAGCTGTCATGTCATTCATGTTTTTATCTATTCATGGTCTATAATCAACAAATTAAACAAAAGTTGCATTTGAGGTTAAAATAAATGCACCACGGGATTAGAGAAAGAATAGCCAAAATAAATGGCTAGAAAGAGTTTAGACTAAAACTCTGATTATATTAAATATATAGATGGTATTTACATACTTTATTTTTATTTCCTTTGAGTTAGCTAAAAGTATCACACCAAGAACAAATAACAGACCACAAGAGGTAAAACTGATATTAATTTTGAAAGTGTATGAAAACTAACACGTAAAAATGACCCTGAAACACTGAAAATTAACTGAATTTAGCTGTAAAATGGGTTTAAAATGTTTACATAATCCTGAATCTTGGTTTAAAAATCTTGTAATCTGATAAAATATTCTATCTTGAGGTGACCTGGTATCTACAACCAGAAAGAGGAAGCAGAAACATTAAGAACATAAAAAATTGATCAAAGCTTAACGCTTTACATTCCAAGATTGCCACACTGAAGTGTGTGTCAAACTTTGATAAACACTGCTGGTGGAGTGGTCTGTATATTTATTTATGACCCTTTTTTCCTAATTTTTTAAATTGTACACATCCTTTGCTCACATAGCAGCTTATTTAATTATTTGATTATTGTTTAAGATTTGGAAGGATTTATTCACAATTATCGCCAAAAATAAAACAAAATCTACAAGTATAAAAAAATATCTACAAGTACTGAAGCATTTTTAGTATGCCTGACATTATTTAGTGAAGTAATTTTTCTACATTAAAATTAGCTTTTTAATTCATGTTACATTTCCATGTTTCTGCATAGGAAATTACCTGTTCCTGACCACTGAAAGGTAGTTTTAGGGACAGCCAGAGATTGTACAGTTTGAAAGGGAGCAGTTATCAGTGCGTTGCAATCTGTAGCCTCACAGCATGAGGGCACTAAATCTCATGTTCTACTCCTGCAATGGATAAAAAGACGTTTGTGTATATAAATGATAAACAAAATGATCTGTATTATCTGCAGCGTTAGCCTGAGTGAGTTCCAGCAGCAAAGGTTGTTTCAGTGACAACATAATTTCTTATTAATACTGAAATAAAAACATCTTTGTTTGAATCCAATCCTCGAAATGATAACTAGATTTTCATTGATGATATGGGAGTGCATGAGAAAGCAGAAGTCAAGATCTTTGAAGGACTTCACCTTCACAGGTAAAACTAAAAAAAAAAGTTTTTCACCATTTTTGAAATTGTTAATAGAGGAAGAGGAATTTAAAAAGCTTAATACCAATGTGTGCCCTTGCTGCGTGACTCCTTGCAGTCTCTGAAATAATTTAAACCCTTTTAACTATTTACCTGTTAGCTCTCAAAATACTGAATCAACTTGCAAACTTTGAGTGTTTTGATTATGGGAATCCAGAGGGAGAATTATAACTATAATACGTCCCCTTTGTTCCACCACTGCTATTGGTTGGTGCCCCCTAGTGGTCACAGGACTTAATCTCAGCTCAGCTGTTGATTCATGCTGTGATCCTCATTGTTTTATCTGCCTTGTTGTAAATGAACCTTATAAAGATGTTTATCACCTGTGTATAAATTAATTTGATTCAGGGTTCACATATTGGTCATTAAGACCTTATTAAGCCCAAATCTTTACCATATAGATGTCTCCTGTGGTCGTATGGTTGTAAATCCTTCTTTATCCAGATGTTTGGGATGTAAAAGCTGTAAAACCTACTAAATATGTTCCTTGGGAAGGGCAGACCCACCTAAAAGACAGAAGATTTAAAGTTACAGCACCACATGCACGTCTTCTCTAGAGTAGATTCAGGCTGTTTTTGCTTATTTAATATCATGAAGGGAAATAAATATTGTACACATTAGCTGGTTTATGTAATCATAGTCTCAGCTGTGTACAATTTTCAGAGTTTAAAGATTGTTTTGGGAGCTTTTAGCCTTTATTTTGATAGGATAGACATGCACCAAATGACTAGGGGGTGGGAATATATCCTGAAACTAGTGTGAGAAGGACTGTATTTGAACAGTGTTCAACATGTAACTTAGTGAGTACATTTTTGTAGCACCTCTGTAGGTGAAAAAAAAAGAAAGAAAAGAAATCACTCACAAACCAGGCCAGCTGTTGTGCTTGTAAAAGATGATTTGTTCCTTACATTCTTTATTTCTCACCCTCTTCCCTGTACCCAACGATGTACACAAAAATAAAAATTCTCTCTCTTACAATGAAAACACAAAACCAGTGCAGAATGCCAGTGGTCGCCAATAAAGTCCGTTAACTACATTCAGAGATCTTTTCTTAAGAACACACAAAAAAGTACAGCTGGTACAAAATCCTTGTGATAAATGATGGAGGGATGTTTCGTCTCCAGCGTGAGTCCATCGTCCAGTTTTTCTTTCTTTAAATCAGTACATACAGAGGCACCAACAAAGTCAACAACGTGACAGGCAGCTGTAGTGTTTCTCAAAGACATAAAATTGGACTGGGTTTAAGTCTCAAGGATGAAGTGGTTAGATACCTTCAAACAAGGCATTCCTGGATGAAAGTGATACTTAAAAAAGTATATAAACTTTATGCTTATGTTTTTTTTCTTCCCTAAATGTTATTGCAAAAAAAAAAGTAAAAAGAAGAAAAACAAAATCTATGTAGTGCTTTGGTTGAGTTATAAAAAAAACTGTCTACCCAGAGTAATGTAAATAAGTGTTGCGTGTGTGTGTTTTGTGAGTCTTAAAGTCACAAATATGATCATTAGGCAGCAGCAGTGGACACTGACGAGGGCCTGCCCTAAGAAAAAAAAATCATCTTCTGACAGGAAAGAGAAAATATTTACATCAACTGTTTACAACTTAATTTATAAATACATTTTTAGGTATAAATTAGAAAAATAAAACAACAAAAAGCTACTGTAGTTCAATCAGCTACTGCTACTCATTTTAAATCTGATTAACCCTCTTTATATTTGGTGAAAGATGAAGAAGAAAAAATAATCAAAAAGAAAAAAGGCACAGCACTGAATTAGAGCAAATTATCCCTGCAAGATTCTACCAGTCACAGATCTACACATCCCCATTTCAACAGACATTCAAATATAAATTAAGACAATTTCTTAACTGATAAATGTAATTCCAACAACAGAAACCCCTGCGCTCAAACAGCGTCTACACTAGATCACCAGGTTTTCTTTAATAAATTAAGGCTTTGAAGTGGAGTCGGGGTAGACTCATAAAAAGAGCGTCAGGATTTTATTCTGCTTTAGTTCCTCTGCAGCTCATCACTCTCACATAACAGGCAGACTTCACAGCTGTCACAGCCAGAGGTACAGGAGATCGATACCACTATTCATGACACAGTTGGGCTGGACGCAGGACAAAGACTTCAGCCCACTGGTACCTGTAAAGATTATAAGTTACCATACCAAATCTCAGATTTGAACAACATGACTATGATAGGTTTGGTTTAGGTGAACATAAAAGCATCACTGAAGAGGGTTTCCTCTTTCTTTCTGCCTCAGCGATTGGAGAATCTCAGAAGTTTTTTCCTGGATTTCTAGACTTCAACTGAAAACTTGTAAATATATATACACTGAAAGTTTCACCTCAAAACAGGAGAACAGAGAGTGTTGCAGACCAGTGGATTCAGCATACCCCAGTATCTTCAGGATATCTGGCTTCAATAAATGAAGTATCTTTGAATAAATATAGCAAAATGAAGAGTGGCAGTCATTTTCACATGCTTCCTTTTCGACTGAACCTTCAACTTTTAGTTTCAATCTCTAAGATCCTGATATTGTAACCGGATTTTTGACTCCTCTGAAAATATACTCTCCTATGTTCATGTATGTTCTGTCATAAACCCCTTCACACCACTAACACCCTCCACGAACCCATTATTATGTACAAGCAGTTCCAGCTTCATTTGCTACACATAGACTTGATCCCTGCCCTGATTGGCCGAGATGCCAGCAGCCTCCTGCACTGCGCCCTCTGAGTCCCCTTCGTCCTCGTTAAAGTCCTCATATCCAATGGGTTTGGGGCAGCTGTATGGGTGGCCATTGTCGTCAAAGAAGCGGCGGAAGGTAAACTCATAGAAGGCGTGTTCGGGGTGTTTGCCGTTACGGAACCAGCCATTGAGGGTGTCGTTGTGGTTGTCTTCGCTGTCACTATCGCTGCTCCACAGTTTGTCGGGGTCTACAGGGTCGAAGTTTGAGGTGTCTGTGGAGTGAGCGATTGTGGGGATGTACGGCGCCACCTGCTGCCTCAGATCGCTGGAGAAATCGATGCTCCTGAAGAAAGGGTGAGCTTTGATTTCGTCTGCACCATTCTTGCCGAGGCGGTCTTCGGGGCCGCGGCACAACTTGATAATGAGATCTGACGCCTCGGGGCTGAGCTTGGCCTGCGGGGGAATGTGCAGCGTGCTCTTCCAGTTTATCACCTGGTTTCAACAACATAGAGATGACATGAAGACAAAAAAGAAGTCCAAAGATGCGAAACATTTGGCTGCAGGTGCTTCACATACCTTCAGCTGCGTCTCCAGGGGTGTAGTCGCTAAGAAGGGAGGCTGTCCTACAACCATTTCATACAAGATCACACCGACGCTCCACCAATCACAGAGCTGGGTGTATCCTACAGGAGATTAAAAACATCATTCACACTGAAACAACAGGGCTTAGCTGGGTATTAGACTTTCCTTTCACCTCCGTGATCAGTCAAAAGTGTGTCAGCTGAGCAAAAATGATGCCAAGAGGAAGAGGATTTGCTGCTTTACATAAAGATGGAAACAATCCAACCGTAAAATTTGGAGTGTTTCCTTGAGGATGGAGTTCCCCCTACCTGTTCGAAGCAGCACCTCAGGAGCAATGTAGTTAGGCGTCCCCACCAGCGAATGTGCTAAACAGCGCTGGTGCTGCCGGGCCTTCCTCCTCTCCAGAGGCTTTAGGCGGTCCGTACAGCGGCAGTTGGTGGGATCTTCCCATTCCTTACTGAAGTCCATGCTGTCCTGTCTCACATGGTCACCTGGAGAGAGGTCACACAGTTGACTCATTACTCATGACTTAGCTCTTTGTGTTTCAATACAACAGTCTGAAAATGTCTTCCAACGCCTTTGGCTGAACTCATTTTTATCAATCAAAACTAACCGATCAATTTTAGATTTCCATTCACCAGAAAATCACCTGAATTCACAAGTGAACTTGTCGAATGAGTAAATGAAATTATGGTGACACCCACCGCTCTGGTAATACTTGGAGTCATGTGTCCAGCGGAAGCCGGTGCACAGACCAAAATCAGTCAGCTTTATGTGTCCGTCTCTGTCAATAAGGATGTTATCAGGCTTGATGTCTCGGTGGATGAAGCCCATCTTGTGGACGCTTTCCACAGCGCAGGTGAGCTCTGCGATGTAAAACTGAGCCAGCTCCTCTTTGAAGATGCCCAGCCGGATGAGGAGGCTCATCATGTCTCCTCCAGGTATGTACTCCATGACAAAGTACAGGTTGTCCTTGTTTTGGAAAGAGTAGTAGAGACGGACAACCCACTCGTTGTCGGCCTCAGCCAGAATGTCCCTCTCTGCCTTAACGTGGGCCACCTGGTTCCTGAGCAGAACATCTTTCTTGCGCAGCGTTTTCATGGCGTAAAGCGCTCCTGTGTCCTCTTTTCTGGCCAAGCAAACCTCGCCAAAGGCCCCGATGCCGAGGGTCTTGATCCGTTTGAACATGGATTTGTCCATCTTGGCGCGCTTTAGCCGGATGTAGTTGGACTCTTTCTGGCAGAGCATCATACGCATCTGCTCCTGGGCTTCTGATGACAAACCCACCTGAAAAAAGGAATGAGTCAGCAGTGATTTACTGGCCTGAATCATTTCAAACTGTCCTAAAAATACTGCTTCAAAACAAAGTTGTAGTTTTTGTTAGACATAAACCAACTTCAAGGTTAGGGGTTCAGGACTGTAGGGATAAATTAGGCACAGATTTGAGACCACAGACTGACTAGAATGAAAAGTTATGGATGCAGGGAGGGGCTAATGGAGGATGTGTACGTACATACATGGTCGAGAATTTGGTTCAAAGCCCTTGACTGGTAGAATAAACCAAAACTGACAAATAGGGCTGGGCAATATGAGAAAAAGTTTATCACAATAAATTTTTTTCATCAGTCGATATCAATATATCGCAATATAATAAAAGAAATTGAAGAGTGCTTATTGGTAACATGTCTTTTGCAATAAGCTTCTGCATCTGTGAGGTCTTTGTGTCTCTCTAACGTTTTGTTGTAAGGCTGAGTGGTCAGCTGCTTTGGCTGCACAGGCGCCATGGGCTCCTTGCTCCGCACGGGGTTTGGAACCTTTTGCATTGCGTGTGCTCTGCCACGTGGCACTGCTTCAGGTGGTGAAAAAGATTTGAGGTATTCCCCGACTTTGGGGTGAACATGTACTTGACATAACTTGTAGTGCACGTTACTCTGCTTCATGTCCGACCTCAAAAAAAAAAAAAAGAATTCCTTCACACCACGAACGTTATTATGCCGGTGTTGTCGATAATGTCATCATCAGTTTAGTCTTTATCTGCATTTCTGCTGGGAGTAGCACTCGTTTTTTTTTTCTCACCAACAGTGCTGTTGGCTTCACCTGTTTAAGTGCTATGGTTGTGTGTAGCTGCAGTCTGCTACTACGCAGTTGTTTGCTACTTGGATCTAATTCTGCACGATTGGTTCAGCGTGACGCAGACCCGGAGAAACTCTCCCTTTCATGGGCTATTCATATAGTCTTCCAAAACATGGCAGAATGCCGAACATTGAAAAGCATACTGACCATGTTTTATATTGATATTGAGGGAAATTAATTTTCGATATATATCGTTATTGTTTTATCACCCAGCCCTACAGACAGATAATGTGAGAAAATGAATTGAACTGTCAAAGTAACCGTGCTGAAAATGCACAAGCAGTGACATCATCAGTGAAATGACGGTCATGGGGTGTCCTGCATTCATTTCCACTCATTTTAGGCTAACATGCTGAATGCAGTACATTAAAACAAACAAACACCAGGCTCCCAACACAAGACTAAAAAAATGACAGCCATGCCACAGGACAGCAGCGATATCTTTACCTTCTCAGATCAGCTGTTAGTGACAGCCAGGTGAGGAAAAAAGAGAAAGAAAAGCTACGGAACAAGAGAGCAGCATGAAAAACAGTTTTTCTAGGATAGATACTACAACAACCACAGGATAGAAAAATAAGATAGACTGGACTGTGACTAAAGCCAGTTCTAAGAGAAAGTTAAGAGAGAAAGGTTGTTAATATGCTCACCCGCTGCATCTCACTCTCCAGCTGCTTCCTCCGCCGAATCCTCTGCTGATGGTTCTTCAGTATGTTCTCCACATGCTGCTCCATAAAGAACTTGAAAGCCTGGGGGGAGTACAGCGCTATCCTCCCGGACTCTCCCCTCCGTTCTTCATCTTTCTTGTTACGACGGAGGGGCACAGGCGATGTGGTGATCTGCTTCTTCTCCTTTTCTGTTGCTACGGTGCTGTCAGGGCTGTCAGTCGTCTTCTCTCTGGAGCCTTCACCGCCTCCGTTCTCCTCCTCAGCAGCCTCCTCTCTGCCTGCGCTGAGCCTGTTGGCCCCCGGATCATAGGCAGGGGGGCTAGGTGTGGCCTGCTGCTGGAGAAGATGCTTGGGATATGGTGGAGGAGGGCCCTGGTAGCTGGGGACTTCTGCTACAACAGGGATCTGAGACACAGGGGCTGGGGGTTCTGGGTAGGCAGGTGCAGCTGGAGTTGAAGCCTGGTGCAGCCATGGAGGGTGTGTGGGAGCCACAGCAGTGTGTAACTCAGGTTTCTGGACTCTCATGCTCTTGACAGGCTGCAGAATGGGTGCCTGGGTGATGGCGGTGACTGTGGTGGCGGAGGGTTGGGAGCTGGCTGGGTGGGCTTGTCTGCCATTCAGCTGGTGGTTATTGAAGGAATTGGAGCGGACTGGCATGTTATGCTGCCATGATGGAGACTGGTCCTGGTTGCTGGTGTTGCCAGAAGAAGACTGAGGATGGTTGGAGCCCATGGGAGCCTGAGTCCAGGACTGAGGGGGACCTAAATTGTACATGTCGAGGTTATGACTATTTCTGTTTGGAACCAACATGGACTGAGGGAGATTCCCCCCGTTGACATAAGAGGGGGAGGATGCGGGTCCTCCTGCCTGCATCTGCTGGTCAGTGGGACTGTGCCTGCTGCTCTGACTGACCGGGTAGGGGGGAGGAGGCTGTCTGCTGCCCCCTGCCATGTACTCTGGCTGAGGGGAGCCGTTCTGAGACCAGCTGGAGGGAAAGGTAAACTTATTTCCCCCAGAGCCTTGCATTATGATGGGCTGGTGGCTTACAGGCACTGGACTGATCCTATCAGGCCACGCCCCCTGCGGCACAGGAGATATGCGGGGCACATGGTAATCCATGTTGCCAGAGTAACGCTTGGTTGATGGATTGCTGTCCCAGGATGGTGGAGGAGGCATCGCACCTCTGTTTGGTGGAGGCGTGACGCTGCGCACCTGAGGCGGCAGAGGAGGATTGACCCTCTGGCTGTTAGCAGGGTGACCCTGTGGGAAGGAAGGAGGTGGTCCAGGGCTGTCTGAGCGATACAGCATTCCATCCACCATGAGAGGACCATGTCGAGGGGCCAAAGACTCCTTTGATCCTTTCCAGCTCTGCCTCCTCAGAACAGCCTGCTGGATGTGAGGAGCTCCTGCAGATAAAAAAAAGTAACAGAAGCTGAAGTGATGAAAATTAAGATTTACAGCTCTGCATTTCTGTGGAGGACAATTAAGCTGGAAATCATCTGACCTTATTATGTAATGAGATAAATGCTTTTGTTAGTCATGGAAGATATGGAAAACTCTCACACTATCAAGGAGACCAAAAAGCTGTGCTCCCTCACTTGATTCACAGCTGTGCTCTTGGATGCTGTGGTTAACTTGGTAAACTTTTATTTCATCGCAACTAGGCCTGTCGCGATAATCAATAAATTGCCTTATCGCTCGATAAATAAAAACGAGGTCGATAACTTTGCCAGCCTCGATAATTGACGTGCGTTTGTTTTCCTCCTCTCTCGCTACCAAACACGCTGGATGAGAGAAGAGGTCTCACTCTGCGCATTGTTCTCGGCACCTGGGGGCGTTGGCTCTATAGCGGAATGAACGGAGTTAGTGAACCCTCCTGTCAGTCATTCAGTGTCTTTGTCACGAGGGGGCTGGCGCGCACAGGCACACAGACACAGACTTTTTGGATACAGTGCTACAAGTGAGCGTCGTGAGTGAAAAGTAAGCTAACAGAATGAACACGACAGCTTTGGTGTCTAAACCGAACGCAACAACTCAAGTGTGGGAATATTTCGGCTTTAAACCAGTTTTGTTTTCGTCAACCATAAAAACTCCACGTGTGTGTGTGCGCGCGCGCGCGTGCGTGTCTGTGTGTTGGAGGAGCACAGCAGGCTGATGAGAGCTGTCAGAGCGGACTGAAGCTGCTCCTATATGTTTAGCGTTTAACTGACTGAGCTTTGCAACTCTGTTGGTCATTTTCGTCTCGTCCCATCAACATAAACGCACTTTCGTCTCGTCACATTTTAGTCATCTCCGACTTATGATTAGCTCGTCAACGTTACGTCTCCGTCGTGGGAGAAAAGGGAAATATTTTAGTCAACGAAAACAACCAGTGTTGTTCTTGTGTGGAAATGAAAGTTTATCACTTTTGACATGGTGTACTCGCATTATTATGCCATATAATATCATTATCTATAATTTAAAAAATGGTGTCAATAATATCGTTTATCGGCGATAATTTGTAGCACAATTATCGTCCAGCAAAAACTGTTATCGTGACAGGCCTAATCACAACAATGCTAACTACCACCATGAACAGCAAAGACATAAAATTTCTCACAGGATTTAATAACATCAATATTTCCTGACCCTGCGTTCAGTTTTTCCAATTAAAAAAAAATGATGGGAAGCATAAAGTGTTAAAAACATGACAACAACATCTCAGAGGCTGAAATTTGCTGTTTGATTGCTGCGTCGAACGGTTCAGACAACAGCTCTCAAAAGTGAGCCCATGCTGTGATTTCCACTGCAGAGTCATGTCTATTTTGAGCGCAGTCCTGCTGAAGGGCCTGAAGATCACAGCCATACAGAGTAGATTTTTGGCTTGTCCTGTTTGTTCAGAGATTTCTCCAGATTTTTTGATGCTCTTAAGATGGCCTATACTGTATGTGGATGAAATCCTTGAATAATTGCTCACACAGTCTCTCACAGAGGGCTGAACCTCTTCACATGTTTACCTATGAGACACAGACATCCTGGAATACTCTTTTTATGCCCAGTTGTATTACTCACCTGTGCATATTAACCTAATTAGTTGTGACACACTCCTCCAAGGGGATTTTTTTTCAGCATAACATAGTTCTTTTAGTGTTTGTTCTCCTTGTCACAAATTTTAGGTATGTCATACTGGCCTCTTATTTAAATGTCATTAAACAAAATAAGTTTTCAGTTTCAGCTTTTGATATGTTGTCTTTGCTCTGTCTTTGTTTTGGCCATTAAAAAAGAGCAAAGACTAAAAAGCAATGTCCAAACTTCATTGTAACGGGGCTTGTATGTTTACGACAACATCTCAGAAATGAAACTAGGGATGCGCAAATGCACCAGTTGAACATTGATATTAGCAAACAATGCCTCTGTTGACAAACATGAGCAAATGATGCACCATGCACTGATGCCAGTAACCAATGTTTATCCAGCAGTCACTCATTACCATTATGATGTTGCTGTAAATCTGGAGAGCTATTACACCTCACTACCAAATCAGAGGAGGTTTCTATTTTTGTGCAGAAGAAGACCCCAGCAGGACAAACTGCTTTAATTTAATCACCAAGCATGGAGGAAAGTATGTCCAGAGTGGGAATATTAGGACAAAAATTTTCAGTCATCTTTTATTACATGACACAGTGAGTCACTCTCTTTTATCAGCATGTTTGGTCATTTCTTTCAGCAAATGTCCCAAATTCTGCAAACAATATCAAGGCTGAATGAACACGCCTCGATGGGAATAAAAGAGAAACCGCAGAGTTAAGTCCCTGAGGAGAGTTACATACCTGGGGCTTTCAGACCTGTAGTGTTGGGGTTCGACATGGCCATCTGTTCCCTTACTGGTTCCTGGTAGGTCCCCTTACCCATGTAGTCTATAACTGCCCCCATACTGCGACTGTTGCTCTGTTTGAATGTCAACAAAAGAAAAATGAACACTTTGTGCAATCACTGTGTTATGACATGCTGTAAATAGGTGTTGTCCATGTTTGTAGCAGTTTTCGCATCTTTTGGCTCTGCAAAAAAATCACCACACTGTTGAAACTCTTAAGACAGGACTCTTCTCATTGTCAGTTCATCTTTACATGACTTCGACTGAAAACACAGATGTAATATGACACTTGATACAGACACCAGAGAAGCTACACCCAGATTGTGCTGTATATGGAGGTTTTACCTAAACAGCATTACAAGAAAACTGTACAAAAACAGTTGGCCAGATACTGTATCACAGCATATCTGGATTTTATGCACCGCATCAAAACAAGTGGCAGCTGCCAGTGCGGAAACTACCTTTGTATTGGCATCAGCACAACCTGGTCTTTCCACTTTGCATACTTTTCATTTTTCAAATAATTCTCTCATACACACAGCACTCAAAGTGATTATTCTCTCTTACGGAGTTATGTTTAGAATGAAATTCTACCACAATCCTTCACAACAACCTGTCTCTGTGTCAAAAACACGAAAACAACCATCTCACCTCCTCAAACCCAGCACAGGGGGGTTCCAGCATCATGTGTTTGTTCACCTCAGGGCCTGCAGACGGCTCGTTTGCAAAAGGCAACAGGGATTTGCGGATCTCCTGTAAAGCCTTGTGATGGTGGTGGTTTTTGGGGTTGCTGCAGCGCCCCTGTTGCCTTGAGTCCTCTAGCGGCATTTTTACAGGTCCACTAATGTCCACTTTTGGAGGGTCAGAGGGTTTGGACAAGTTGCGCAGACTGTTCCTTATTTCCTGCAGCATTTGTTGGCTGTTACCGCTGTAGTTGCTAGTGGGAAATGTTTTGGGTCTCATCTGCCTGTATCCTTCGGGTTTCTCTCCTCTCTTCATGTAAAAGCATGTATGAATACTATTAAGGAGATGAAGAGGATGGCTCTATGTCCAGGGTAGTAGGAGAGGACAGCAGGTGGTGTCTGACTTCACATCTGCACGCTGACAGAAATGCACAAAACAGGTGAGATAAGCAGGTGTTTAGAGGACATGATATGCTACCAAACAGGTTAAGCAAATGAGATGAACAAAGTAATAATTACTAAACACTTAAAGATAAGCATTAGATGTGATTGTGTCAGACTAGTACAATTACAGGCTTAGTTTCATATGGACTCAAGCAGAGTGAAAGTTTGATTTTAGAATTCCAGCATCTCATTTTGAGGTTCACAGTTGTTAAAGTGTAAAAACACACCATAGTAGAATAACAAACAATCACAAAACAGGAGCCCGGACACTTGCTATAGTGGCTAGCAGTTAAAGCTAACACACCGCTACACAGGTGCTACTTCTCTTACGTTGCGAACAATACACTTTTAAGTTAAATTTGACATCAACGCACAAATATGTCCGATAGAAAGTGTCACACGAGCTGCAAACTAGAGTTTTCAGCATATATGAAACGAAGCAGGGCAGCTGCTCCTTCGCGGCCTGCGGGTTAAAGTCATCCATTAGCTGCCGGAGAATTAGCTCGGTGCTAACTCAGAGGACAGCCGTTAGTGAGCCGTTACTGACAACCTACCAGGGTCCGTAACTGCTGGATCCCTCGGTACTTCTCCTGTTTGGACAACAAGTGATATATTCCTGACCGTTCTCGGCGACAAGGACGCGGGTTTGACACAAAAAATGTCCTTGTTGTGCCGAGGTTGCTTGTTCCTAGTTGCTTTGAATTCCTGGGATGTCTGAATGACAAGTACAACAGCAACAATACCAACATAGTTCACACGGACTGTACTTCCGGTTATTTCAATTTCATAATAAAACATCACAAGGGTATATAGACGCTGTTTCTGCGTTGAGACAGGGGGGCGTTGTTATTATCCTAAATAATACAATATTCAAACAAATGAGATAACCCTATTTACCATTAATAAACTCCCAAGGATATGAGTGAGATGTCAGTCTTTTCATGTCACTAAGCAGAAAAATGTATGGGGAAACAAGCGTATATTAACTGCCAGAGATAAAAATGTCGCACGAAATTTTATATAATTTCAATTGAATTTAGATAGATTTGTAAGCACACGACGTAGTGACAATAATGATTATAACCTTGGTGCATATCTCCTAGTTTTTCCCTGAATTAATTTAAAAGTGTAGTTAACTTGATCTTTTAAAGGAGTAAACCCAACCTAAAATAACATTTAAGAAATATAGATTGTGCTGGATAACACAACACCTCGTACATTGAAAGAGTCATAAATGTTGAAAGAAATTTTTAACACACGCACTGCAACAGTCATCAAAGTCTCGGTGTAGTTTTATTTTCACATGGTGCTTTTATTTTCTAAGCAGGCTAGATAGACTTCCGGAATGGATTTGGGAAACTTTATTCGCTTAGCTGAAGCTTGATTTCTTTTTTTCGTACCTTTCTTCGTCATCTTCCACTTAGCCTCTGAACCATTTAAACAAACTGTGCAACCATGGATGGAATGATACTGACACTTTTTAAAGTTCTCAATTTTGGAAATTGTTTCAAAATACAGAGCTGACAAGTGTTTGGCAGGTTTACCTGAAAGGAACTTATACACAGCCACAATGAAGGTTGGTGTAATGGAAAAGATACGAATCATGATACATCCAGGCAAATTTATTTGAATTTATTTACTGTAAAAAGTTTAACATCACTTTTGTACAAAAGTAGAGTTGAATTATACTTTGCATGAACTGGCTTAAAAAAACAGATCTTTACACAACAGAAGCGCACAATTTGGTTTTGTATGTCACGTTATAGGACAGACAAATACAAAAGTCATATCACAAGAAAACTTTTATTCTAGGCGTCCTGTATGATCAAAGATAATGACAAACCTCTACTATGACTGAAAATGTTAATAAATATCTTATGCACTTTTTCTTTGGTGCACTCTTTTAAATTGGGACCTGTCTGTTAACAAAGATAGCCTCTCCATCGGTCCCACAGACGAGACACTGACCAAGTACGTCCAAGCTGTTGACAGACAGCGTCTGGCTGGGCAGCATGTGAGTTGTCTCCAGGCGGCCTTTGCTGGAGTCACCGCTGAGCCAGGCACTGATCAGGGACTGGTTCCCTCCAGCTGGGGCCATGGCACTGCGCGATATCATACTATTGTTCCTACCACCTGAAAATCGATAAAGGGATTTTTATGAGACTATGGTCAAAATTAGACAGTTGATGTGTCAGCTTTTTAGATCAAAATCATCTGTGCATGTACATGTAAGAGGATATGTCACTGTGGTCACACTAACATCCACAAGATAATTGCGATAGCTGAATGATAAAGAACGGAAATTTATAAATATACAGTGGCTGACATGGAAGCTGAAAGTCAATGTTTTAGTTTTGTTGGTCAGTGATTGTCAACTCATGACAAAATTCTTTAGTGATAAAATTTGTAACTCATTTTGGTTTTTGAGGCCAAAAGTCAGAGTTCACAGTCTCAAAGAAAAGTACTCAAATATAGTGTTGAAAATTTGTTCTGAAGTTCAATTTTTTTCCCCTAAGAGCTGCTTATACTCCACAAGTGAATGTCTTGACCTATATCAGTCCAAAAACCAAAAAAGGACTTGGGGAAAAAAAAAAACAAAAAAAAAAACAGCTACCCCTGAAAAAAATGCACATTTCTATTTTGGACCTCTGTTTCCAAGAACAAAGTGCATCATTTTTTGTGCCAAAATGCATTTTTTAAGCAGCTTACCTCCCTGCTCACTAGGCCAAAGAGCAAGAACTTGCCTTGTAAGAAGGAGGGCATCCCAGACTGTGAGGATATCTCCCAGTGCAGCAGAGAACCGTCCTCTGAACAAGTGAAGAGATGATCCGGGTTGGTTGGGTGGAAGTGAACTTCCCACACTGGGCAGAAAAACAAAAAAATAATTATTTTATTAAAAGTTAGGAGGAAGAAGAAGAAGAAGAAGCAGAAGAAGAGAAAAGCCGTCCACCATCATTGGCCCTTTGGTGGGTGATCTGTGTTCTTGAGAATAGTCTCCACCTTCCTCAGTGTAAATCTTTCCACCACATCCTCCACTGAGTCCAGCTTGAGTCCTACCACAGAGCCAGCCTTTTTCACCAGTTCAGACGTCTTGCATCTTTGTGTTTGATGCTTCCTCCCCAGCAGACTGCAGCGTAGAACAGAACACTTGCCACCACAGACTGATAAAACATCTGCAGCATCTTACTACAGATGTCTACTGATTGGAGTCTTCTCAGGCAAAAGGGGCTCTGCCCCTTTCTGTAGATGAAGTCTATATTATTAGACCAATCCAACTTATTATCCAGATGTACACCTAGGTATTTATTAGCCTGGCTGGGCCATCCTGTTGCGTGAATCACTTGCCGTTCCTTCCCACCACAGTCTGGACTTCGGCCCATTGGGAGCGTGTATTCACGATCAGAAAATAACCGAGCCAATCAGAGACCATGTTTCCACTGTTACCCGGACAACAGGGAAAGGCAGCCCCTGATTGGTCCATGTGTAGATGGTGACGTCTAACACATGCTACGGGACTTTTCAAAGCCCCGTTCATTCAGAACGCCGTTAATTCTGCAGTTGACTTTGCAAAGTCGGCAGAAATCGTTTATATCAGCAGAATACGTCGGATCTAAACGATTTCTGCCGACTTTGCAGAGTACACAATACAAGATACATGATATGTGAAGTGAGGGCCACTGGTCTGTAGTCACTGAGTTCAGCGGGACATTTTGGTTTTGGTACTGGCACGATGCAGAATGTTTTCCCCAGAGTAGGTACCCGCCCCAGCTGTAGACTTTGGTTGAAGATCCTGTGGAGAGGTTGATACAGTTCTGCAGCACAGTCTCTAAGCAGCCTTGGACACACACCATCTGGACCTGCTGCCTTCCCAGGACAAAGTCTTCCAAGCTCCATCCTCACCCCTTTTTCGGTGACAGACAAGGACTGGTGTTCTAGGAGGGAGGCAGTTGAAGTAGTTGAGACATTTGAACGAGATGGAGGAGGAAGGTGAGAAGTTGTAGTGGAGATTTGTTGTGGAGAGGAAGGTGGAGTAGCAGTGGAAGTGGGAGTGACAGCAGTGTCAAATCTGTTGAAGAACAGGTTGAGTTCATCAGCTCTTTTCACATCACCCACCATTGTCTGTCTTTTCTTTTGACTGCTGTGTCCAGTGATGGTACTGATTCCTCTCCACACTTCATGGATGTTGCTGTGTTGTAGATTATTCTCTATCTTCTTTTTGTACTCCAGCTTTGCCATCTTCAGTCTCCTCTTCAACTCTTGTTGCACTTGTTTGAGTTGTTCTTTGGCACCATCTTTAAAAGCTTTCTTTTTCTGGTAAAGGATTGCTTTTAAGTCATTTGTGATCCAGGGTTTGTTGTTGGAGAAACAGCGAACAGTCTTTGTGGGTATAACTGTGTCTCTACAGAAGTTGACATATTCAGTAAAGCAGTCAACCTGTCTGTCAATGTTCATACTATCCACATCTGTTTCCAGCAGCACATTCCACTCTGTTGATTTAAAACAGTCCCTTAGAGCTTCACTGGTTTGAGGTGTCCATCTTCTGATTTTGACTTTGATCACAGGCTGCCTCAGTACACAAGGTCTGTCACAGGTCTGTAGATAGACCAAGTTATGATCTGACTTGCTCAGTGGTGGTAAGGCAGTGGCTCTGTAGGCTTCTTTGACGTTGGCATACAGCAGATCCAGGGTCTTGTTTTCTCTGGTAGGACAGTTCACAAACTGTGTGAATCCAGTCAGGTGAGAGGAGAGGTTGACATGGTTGAAGTCTCCTGATATTATTATTAGTGCCTAATAATTATAATTAAATATTATTATTAATTATAATAAAATTAGTGCCAGGTGTTGAGTCTGTGGCCTGGCAACACTATTATGCATAAGATTGCATGGATTTTTTTCAGTTGATTTGGGTGGGATGTAAACAACTATTGTTATGATATGACTTAATTCTCTTGGAACAAAATGTGGCCGAAGAGAAACTGCCAACAGTTCAATATCTGGACAACACAACTTCTCCTTGACAGTTATGTGTGAAGGGTTACACCATCTCTGGTTGACAAATAAAGCCAGGCCTCCTCCTTTCTTTTCCTTCCTTTCCTCAATGAAAGGAGCTCTTCTCTTGAGTTAACTCTTTGCCCAGCAGAAGTATCCATCAGCAGCCAACAAAATGACAACAAAAATATGAAAAAAATCCAGCAAAAATTACAGATATTACAGAGAGACCAAACTTGCTGCAACCTCTCGGTTCAAGTGCATCATTGGAATATGAGTGAGTTTGTGAGTTCAAACCTGGTACACGATATAATTCACCAGTGAACATCTTACTTTCAGCAGAGTGCGCCTCCATGAGTGAGAAGGGTGTGTTGCCTTGTCTCACGTCCCACACACACAGCATGCCATCCTGCCCTCCTGTGGCCACAATGTGCTGCTGGTTTGGATGTCTGTCAACACAGCGCAAAGGGACTCGATCCCCTGACCTGAAGAGAAAAACAACTCCTGATATAGTTTGTATGATATTAACCAAAGATGATATGATCAGGCCTTTGGCAGCATGACATCTCGAGTTTAATATCTCATTTCCTGTCTGAAGCCTTTGACCTATTTACTGATCATCTGGACACAATTTTTGGGATAAAGTATTGTGCTCCCTGTTCAACAATTAGATAAACAATTCGAATACCCCCAAATTTAGGATGCTTTTTAAAATGTGTAAAAAAAACTTTTTTAATAATTCCCCAATTATCTATATCATTTAAATACTACAAAGAAAACATATGACACACTAAAAATGCAACAAAAAAATTCTAAAAAATCCAGTTGATTATGTAAATTTGCAATATGTTAGTAATATCACTGGGTATAAAAAGGGGGCAACCTGGAGAGGCCGAATCTGAGTCACTGTTCTGTTAGGGACTGAGTGAATAAATAGTTTAATAATTTTAGAATAATAATACTCAGTATAGGATTGCAAAGAATTCGGAGAGTCCATCAAGTATGGTTTCTAATATCATGACAAGATTCAGAAAAATTCCTGTACAAAAGGGCCACTGCATTCAAAACAGACATGACTCTGTAGTGGAAATTACAGCATGGATCAGAAGTCATTGATCAAATCATTACCTGAGAAAACAATTCATTACCTCATCTGCAAACACAGGTTAGAACTATATCATGCAAAGAAGTAAACTAAGGGCTTAAAAAGTTGAGGGGTGATTTTGAGTTTAATCTTGATCTTACAGGGAGAGAATCTGGGACGGTGAGCTGCCTTGTTGTCTTAAGTCCCACAGCTTTAGTTGGCCTATAGAGTTCACGGTCAGGATCTCTGTGGTCCTCAGATAAGTCACAGCATGAATCGTGCTGCTGTCTGCATTTTCTGCAAATGATTCAACAGACAAAAAATGAATTAAACTTCACTCTCTCGACTTAAATGGAGATGCTATTGTACACAGAGATTCATGCTCTGTGTGGCTAAAGCAGCTTGAACTTTAACTCACCTATGACTCTTACGACTCCCTCATGGTCACTTCTGAATACAATGATCTTTCCATCTTCACCCACTGAAACAATCTCAGGACTGCTGCACACGATACTGGTACAGGGAGCGTTGTCACAGGGGTAACAATGCGCTCTTTCCCAGCGCTGAGACAATGACAGCGTCTGCAGAGAGAAAAGGTTAGACTATGTTTTTATGCAGTATTTGTTAGCCCACAAGGATCGTGTGCAGCATAAAGCAGGGAGTTTAGAAAGATTAAGATGACATATACTGCATGTTAAATGTTTGTATTTACGAGAAATTGCCACGAAGGTGTGTACCTGACTGTTTTGGTGGTGGCGAAAGATGGTGACTGCTCCAGTTGATGATGCCGTAACGACTCTGTCTTGGTCCAAAAACTGAGAAATTACATATAAAACATACGGTATAAACAGAAAATACAGGTCAGACGTGGAATACACCAAAACATTATAAACAAACAAGAGCAGAATCTGTACTCAGTCCTGTTAGATAGTCTGGGCTCAGGAAAAAAAATGATTCGAGCATTTCAACAATAAACTTTGGCTTTTTTTTCAATGTTAAAGCAAAGGAAACCTTACAATTCTTTACATTTCTACTATTTACATGCTGTTACATTATCTTACATCCTCAAGAAAGTCTTACTTGAAGGTCTAGAACATCCCCATCATGCTTGTGTTCACATAAAAGCTGTGGGTCTCCCTCAAACCCATCATCCATGCCAGAACTTCCATGATTCCCAATGGACCAAAGAGAAATCCTGTTGTCCTGTAACAAGAGATACATTCCTGGGCTTTACTCAAGTCCAGTTATAGGTTGTTGCAAACCAAAATGTAAATATAAGACAAAAGGGAAGCACAAACAATCCGTAATCCAAAAACAAGCTCTCCACAGCAGTGCTGGATTTGTCTGAACCCTCACAACACAATTCAGTTTTGACTCAAGGTCACAAAGAGATATCAGCCAATGTGGATTAATTCTGCCAATAATCGCCCCAAAATATTAACCTGACTGATTAATCAATGTTTCCATTGTCTGACACTCAGTAACTGTACTTCCATCAGTCTCCCTTAAACCGACTACATGGAGCTTTTGGCAACCCCAGGAAAGAGAGAGGAGCATCTTGGCAGCCACGTTTCCGTCAGTCTGCCCCAGGGCAGCTGTGACTACTAAGGTAGTTTACCACCACCAAAAGTGTGACTGTGTGAGCGAATTAATGATGTATCCAATGTAAAGCGCTTTGAGGGTCTCTGATAAAGCGCTATATGAAATCTGATGCATTTTTATTATTACTTCGTCCTGCATATATGCAAGGATTGATTTCTAACAAAAAAAAAACAACGTAACCTACTTTTCTATAAAGGTCATATGTGCCCAACACAAGGAGTCATTTCTGTTGAAAATACAAGTGAAATGTTTGTTTCTGAAGGAAATGTCACATTTCACATCGACTAGCTAAAGCCGAAAGCCGACACCTAACAAATTGTGGTTCACATTAAGATATATATTTCATGCTAAGTCTTTATATCAGCAAAAACACATTGAAACAATAATTTTTATATGGCGTTTGGATACCACTGTATCCTAAGTATTTGCGATAATAACAGACAGCTCTGCCAACCTCGTTATCCCACGAGCCAGTCGCAAAGATATCCGCTTGCTGTAAAGACGAGTGCGACACTGGACGCCATCTGGTTTTGCTGATTTTCTGAGACACGTATTTGGCATTTATACTCTCCATTGAAATAGAAACAATTTAACGACTTTAAATCACTGAAACATTCAAAGGTATTAGCTTAGCATTCATGGACTAAACCAAAGGAACGCGCCTATTACTTCGTACGTGGCTACGGTGGCCTCAGAGGTCACATTTCCTAGTCCTACAACATTTGCTGCGTTCAGTGCTGCTCGGAGGGTCCCAGTTTCCGAGGTGAGAAGTTTTTATTTTATTTTTTATTTTTTTTCACATATTCAAACAATTCACAAAACTCTCATTGGGAGACAAGTACATGAGAACAACATAATGTAGAAAGGAAAAGAAATAAAACACAAAACTTTCAGCAAGGCCTGCCTTTGGAATTCATATGAAAAACAAATGTAAATATTGCATGGGAACATGGGAAAAAAAGATGTTAAATTGTCTCCTCTTCTTGAGGGCAGAAAACACATGGCTCCACCTCAAACCCAAACCTCTTTTTAAAGATTGTTGCTGGAGGATAGTAACCATTAATTTTTTTAAACTGCATTTCCTTGATTTTAGGGGAAATTGGCCATTTTATAAATTTTAGCCAGTTTCCAAGGTGAGAAGTTTATCCTCTGGCAGTGGTGTGTTTACGTGCTTTCAACTCGGAAACGCTATATGATTGTTTAATTGAGGTTGAGTGCTTAAACATACGTAAATAATGCTTTAGCTAACGTAACAGACTTGTTATTAAGGGTTGAATAGCATATTAATATTTATAAATACATTTTCAAACGAATCTGGGTCCCTATATGGACTGTAATATCATGTTAGATTCAAGATTTGTTTATTTGCCATATGCAGGTTAAACAAGGTCAACAACGCAATGAAATGCCCTGGATGAGAGGGACCGCTAGACTGAAAGGAGTACAGATAAAACACACAACAAGTACTGAGAGGAATACAATAAAATAAGGATAAAATAAATATAAAAGAAGTATAGAAGTATAAGAGAAATATTTAAAAAGTGCACAAGTGATGCAGTAGGTGCTGAGTGTGAATGTAAGCATTGGGGGATAAGTTGGTGGGATAAGAGAGGTGTGAATTGCCATATTGCACATGATAAATGTACAATATTAATATTATTTGAGTTTGAGAGAGGAATGGACCTTGAATGAGTAGAGGACTATCATATTGGTTACAAATCTATAAATGTTATTTAATGTAAGTGCCTTTCTGACTTCTACCGCCATCTGGTAATTTTCATTATTTATTCCATTTATATGTCTGCATTGATTATTGTCCCTTGATTTGTTGATTAAATAAAAAAATAAAATAATAATAATAACACTACTACTACTACTACTACTACTACTACTACTAATAATAATAATAATAATAATAATAATTAGTATTATTATTAGTAGTAGTAGTAGTAATAGTAGTAGTAGTAGTAGTAGTAGTAGTATTGTTGTTGTTGTTATTGTTGTCAATTTTATTATTACATTTTCTCCTATTTAATCTTCTCTCTGCTGAGCTGGTGTCTGTGCGTAAATTGCACACCAGTTTATGATGAAAAAAAGATTGTTTCCTGATGAGACCAACCCCTGAAACTGTTACAATATCTTAAAGTATTCTACAGATGGATAAAATATACATAAACAGGGTCAACATTAATGTATAAACATATATTTGTATTGATCCAATTACATTATGTAGGATATAATTCAAAACTTCTCCTTTCACTTCTGTAAGTGCTGCCAATGTTTATATGTAGATCAACTGCTGGTTCTTATAATGTAATATAAATCTGCCAAAGCCCCTGGTGAACTAACCCTCGAGCAGAGGCTTTTCAAGAGTGAATCTTTCACCCCAAAACTAAACACAGAGTTCCTTAAAAGGGCCCTTGTTCTTTAGGAGAGTTCCAGCGGTCGAAAAGCACCTAAAGAGTTGAAAAAAAATGTCCATAACAGACCAAATTTGTTAACCACCAGAACAGACTTTAAAGTTTTCTTAAATCTTAATGTGCCAATGTGTTTTAAAGAGTTCCAGAGTTATTGTTCTGATAGGTTCACGTGCATATTTCGATTCTGGAAGTCGTTTTCCAGTCTGTCCGACACCACTTAAATGCAGCATATTCCTGACATTACTATTAACAAGTGTCGCACTCCGCTTAGCGGCCACCGTCTACATTACTGCGGCAAATCTGATTATCCACTTAACGGGTAAATTGGCTTATTGCCAATACAGTTAGCCTCGGTTAGTGCTTACACTTTAAAAGATATACTGTTAGGTAGAAATGGGATAATTTAGTGAGAGGGCAGACATTAGACAGGCCTCCCTGCTACAGTGAAACCCTCTTGGATGCCCGGTGACGTATCCGCCGCTCCGCCGTCTCTCCTGGAGGTTTTCCGCTTCCTCGGCAGAACAGTTGGCGCAGGCGCGGCACTGACAGCTGCTGTCTACTTACTCCGCAAAGTCTGCTTAATAATGGCCTGGAAATCTGGAGGAGCCAGTCACGCAGAGCTTGTCAACAACCTCCGCAGTAAGTACGGATTTTTTTCTTCCATTATTCAGCGACAGCACCAATGTATTCACTGACAGGTCTCCCGTTAATGGTTCGGTTCAGGCAAGGGGGAGGGCTGGAGCGAGCGGCGGAGCGGTTGCTCGCTAGCTGGTTGCTAAGCTATATGTTGTGGTTGACCTAGCGTTACCTCTCTCCACCCCTTTCTCAAAGCATGTTTACTTCTAGGATCAGGTGCATGCTTCAGCTGCTGCAAAAAGCGCACTTCATTCTTGTGTTTAGACTTAGATAATTTATCCGCTTCAGTTTTGTGTCAGGTACATTTAGCCTGCTAGCTCTATGTGCGTCATTTGGGACGTTGCTAGCTTTAGCATTGCTGTTAAGAGCCCAGCCCACATCCATTGATGGCTATCTCTAAACAATCCTCTTTAGTTGTAGGTGAATGACAGTGACAGCTGGATACGTGGGCTGATTTCTACAGTGCCTTTGTCAGCAGGTGATTGAAACTCACATCAGCTGTGTCACAGTGGCGGTTTATTTTTTGAGTCTAGCGGGTCCCCCTAAAAAGGGCAATGACTCAGTATACTACCTCAATAGACTGCTGTTATTAGGTGCGAAGTTCACATTCAACGATGCAACATAGTTTATTCTGAAGTCAAACAGTAGTGCATTTGAAGGTTAAGCGGGAAACTCCGTATTTGAAGGCCACTGACGCTGGTCATGTTTCCAGACTTGGATGACATCAAATGTGATGATACCTGCAGACCAGGGTGCATGTCCACCCTCAGTGTTAAGTATCTACCAGGGCTATTTATATTCAATGCAATGCAAACTGATCGCTTTGCTTCAGGCTTTTTGTCCAAAGCCGTAGGGTAAAGGGACAGTGATCAGTCATGCTCTATTTGGTTGTATGGAGAGCACGGTTTGCACATTGTCCTGCTTTCATTGCTGCGGGTGTTTGATTCAGTTGACTGTCAAGCCTTTTGTGCAATAACCATAAAACCTTAGTTATCTGCATGCACTTCATGAAATGCAGGGTAAATCTTTGTTAACATAAAGGGTGGGTGATATGGCATAAAATAACACAGCATGTTTTTTATGGCAGAGCCACAATCTTGACTTTTTGTCATGCTTATTCTTGATTCTACCCAGTAAGACTAAAATAATTTATTTATTCAGAAATATAATCATCAAAGGAAAAGAATAAAAGACCAGTCAAGCCACAGTATGTTCACAAAGATCTAATCTGCGTTTGTAATTTGATTAAGTAGTGCCAGGAATAGTTGATAATAAACAAGAATGTTGTTAAAGTTCAATCGCTGTCAGACAATTTTAACTCAATTCAAAACTTAACATTGCTTAGAAAAGTTAAACAACATTTTTCAAGCATGCATATCAGTCTATTTGGTTCTCCATGTTTCCGAGGCTGCTTTTAGTATGTTACAGTTTAATAATAAATGCATGACACTCTGCATAAATTTCATATTGCTTCACATTTCACTCAGGATGAATTTATTTTTTTGAACACAGAATCAGACTATCTTTCTTTTTACCGTCTTTGCAGAGCACTGTGTGTAATCTTACACAAACGCATAGAGTCTGCAGCTGTGTTTCACACGATTTATCTCCAAACTAAGAATTCACAGGAAACATTTATGTATTTTCATACTTAGTACAGCTTGGCAGTAGGTTGGATTTATTCTGCATAGTGGATGTGCCAGTTGTTTAGCCTATTGTCTGCTTCAGGGCACTCTATGCACATTTCATGATGTCAACATCCGCCTGTGTTTGATTTTGAAACTGCAATAGATGACCACAATTTGTAGTCTTGGACTTGCTCCAAACCTTCACAAGCTAAAGACATCTTATGGCGCACCATTAATTATCATGAAACAAGTATTTAATCACAGCCCGTTAGATCTAGTTAAGCAATAGCCTCTTTATATTTGTGCCAGTTTTGCAAATATAGTTCTCTCAAGCCCTAAAGTCAAACCACGATGTTGATGTTTAGTATTCCCACGTCATTTGTCTGTGAAGTGGTAATTAATTTGATCTGAGCACTTTTACTGGACAATGACCCACAAAGACACATGCCTAGTTTCAGTTGGCCCATCAGTCTGCAGAAGCTGGATTTAAGCAGGTCACACTCAGGATGAATGCTAATTCATGGCCTTTTTTGTATTTATTGTGTCCTATTGATGAGTTCTCAGCACAGGCTGCAATAGGGAACCCACTTGCTTCATGAATTTTTAACAGTCAATATGCACTTATGTGAGGTAGGAAAATCTAATGTGTCAGCACAATCAAAACAAAGGGAGGTGTTGAGCTTAAGAACAACATCAACTCTGCGTAAGTTTCCTGGGGCTTGAAAAAGGTGATTTTGAAATCTGAAGAAAAAAAAGTTGTTGAAATCTTCCTTTATTTCCGTATCAGAAATCAGGAGATGGACTCCACCTGGCAGCCTCTATGGGTCATTTGTAATGTATCCTAAAGCAGCACATAGCTCTGAGGGGGAGCACAGTCGGTAATGAGAGCAGCGCCGGCTGTCGTTGGCTCTTCCTGCTTTGCACCAGCTGCTGCAGGAACCTGTTAAGGGGGATTATTCAGAAGACAGTAACACTTTTGTGGACAGGTGTTTTTTGTTGTTGTTTTTTTTTAACTTAAGGTCTGTAGACATTGTGAGTTTGACCTCTGACAAACTGTCTATGTCAGTCAAACTCATGCTGCAGCTCTTGTCTTAATTCTACATGCTTCATTATAGACTGCTTTTCTGTGACAGTATTTAGGAGTTGCAACTTCCATTAGATTCATGCAGTTTATCATTCCAAGATTAATCTACACAAAATCTGTGAATGTGGATATTGTAAGTTTTCACCAAATTGATTAGAAATGTGTAACTGATAGAGGCTAGAATCTTTATTTTGGGTTGATCAGGTTGTGGAATAATGTACAGTCAGGTAAAAAAGGTTCAAGCAATAATAGGTTCAATTATAAAAATGAAACCTGCTTCACTGCATTGACAAAAAAGCAGACCCTTAAAAATTTTCTACAAGGAAGTCAGGCTCATTTATTTCGAAAAGTACCCTCAAAACACTCTCATTGATGCAGGGATCAATAGCAGCTGGGGTTGCAGACCAACTCTCCAGGTAGATGCTGTCAAATCACCCACCACAACAAACACATTTTGGTTGTGTAACAGTATCCCTCTGCTAACTCTGTCCCCATATTCGACGTCTTCTTCTTTTATGTATCTCTCTCTTTGCATCTGCTGCACCATTATGTAACACTTTTTTTTCTGTGTTTGTACTTGCTCATGTTTCCATAATACACAGTGACACTGTGTCTTTTGCATCCACAGAAAATGGCATTATCAAATCCGACAAGGTCTATGAAGTCATGCTGGCCACAGACCGAGCTCATTTCTCTAGGTGTAATCCCTACATGGACTCTCCACAGTCAATAGGTAACGTGTGCTCATGTTATCACTCACATCTCACTGCAGAGTCTGAAACACAGTCAGTTACAGTCGGAGGAGTAAACTGATCAAAATCTCTGCTTCTTTCTTTTTTTCTTTCTTTTGATCCAAAAGGATTTCAAGCTACCATCAGCGCCCCACACATGGTAGGACGTGTTTATTTTTATTTTTTTTGCTTGTTCCTCACATGAAAGTGGACAACACAATTTGTACATGCACACTACATTTTCAAATCAGCACCTCCATGATTGGAAAGGAGCAGCAAGAAGAGAACAGATTCTTCTATGTGCCTGCCCCTTACTTGAACAGTAAAAACAAAAGAAAAGATGGTCTGAAGTTGAATTTGAATAGCCAACACAAACAACACTTTGATTATGACAACAAAACAATTAATCAAAACTAATACAAGAGAATAAATCAAATAAATTAATATATACTTTTACCAGCTCAAATCAAATGATCATTAACATCTTAACTTGAAAGCACACTCAGACATTTCTGCTTCCTGCGAAGTGTTTTTTGTTTTGCAAAGCTGGCTCCTTTTCAGACCTTCTTCCTGAATCTTGACTGTTTCAAAACATTGAAAATTAAACTTAAATACCAAAAGACAGAAAAGATGTATTGTGAAGTGGGTAAGCTAGCTAGTCAGTAAAATGTGGGGTTAATATGATTCGCAAACCCTCCAAATCTGTGTCTCTCCTTTTAGAAACTGTAGTCATAAATGTCAAAGGAGACAGTAGTTATCAAAATTTACAATTTTTTTTTTTTTTATTGATGTAGAAGAAACTGAGTCTGTTGAACCGGCTCCAGATGTCTCATTTTGAGTCACTAAATTGAGTTAAACTGACTCTAAACAAAAGAGCAGATCATAACAGAAGACTCATAAAAAATTTTCTTTTTCAAGCTGTTTCTTTGTAGAGTTTGAGGCATCAATAAACATTTTTATAGATGTTGAAAGAATTGAGATTATAAAGTGCTGTAATGTCGTTGGTTTTACTGAATGGTAGCCAGTGTTAGTGCTGTAGTAAGTAGTAATGCAGTTTCCCTGTTGATGTCCTCTTCATGCAGCACGCTTACGCCCTGGAGCTTCTACACGACCAGCTGTATGAGGGAGCCAAAGCTCTGGACGTCGGCTCTGGCAGTGGGATCCTCTGTGCTTGCTTTGCACGAATGGTGAGCCACTCATGACGGGTAATCACACACTTCTCTCTGGTGGTATCCTGACTGATCAGACTGGTTTTTAATCAGCAGTTCTTCAGCAAATCCACAGAAAATGAGACCAAAAACTTCCTGAGTGTCACTCTGACTCTTTCTCCTCCTCTTTGCTCTGTGTTTCACAGGTCGGTCCTAAAGGGAAAGTCATAGGTATTGATCACATTAAAGAGCTGGTAGATGATTCTGTAACCAATGTGAAGAAAGACGACCCCAGTCTGATAACATCGGGAAGAATCAAGCTTCTAGGTAAGGTGCCTTTTCATGGGTCTCGTCATATAAAAATTCATTGTTGAACTCAGTCTTTAGTCTGTTGAGTTTATTTTTAGCGGTGAACTGAACCTACAAAAAAAAAAAAAGCTGAGTGGACTGAGTAGTGCAGCTCTAAATAATTGAGCAGTGAGTCCCTCTTTTCACCCTCTTTGCAGGAGGCTGGAAGTGTTTGATTCACGGCTTCTGTCCTTGTTCTGTTAGAGTTAATGTCAAAATGAGGCACGTTTGCTGTTTTTGACAGATTGTTAGTGTGGGCTGGAAAACAAAGCTGTTCATAACAGGTCCAAGAGTTCTCTCTTGTGATCTCTTCTCAGCCCAGGGAAAATTTTATTTTGTCAGTTATTTTGGTCATGGATCATGTAAAAATAGTCAAACCTTTGCTGGATACTGTTTAAAATGAGACATTGAATCAGTTTTGATACATAAGAAATAGTATAAGGCATACTGCTATTGAAAAGAAATTATATGAGACAACAAGGAGTGAGTGAACAGTGTAACACATTTCATTGACTGTGTGCCAGATTATTTAAAACACAAACTGTAAATAAAAGAGTAAAGAGGCAGATTTTACTCACTCAGAAGCTACAAACATGTACTTGTTTTTCACCTCTGTTGTCTCTTTTTTTATGCATATACTAAAGTTACAATTAAGGCTAAACTGAATCAAGTTTCAAACAGTTGGAACCTCCTCATGGAGGTTTTTGTTTTGGTCAGAGAAGAGTCAGTGCAGTCTGGCTTTAAAAAAAGTCCCTGTGCTGGATAAATTCTGACTTGGCAAACATTTTACTCATATGACTCTGAAGCATGCCGTACATTTTATTCCATCAGCCAAAAACACTGACAGCACCAGCAGACTGCAACAGAAACACAAACAAACTTGAGGACCTCTGTAGACTTAATCTTCGTGAGATTAGTCTCTAGAGCCCCTTTCACACATGCACAAAGTTCAAAAAGAAATTTTCTGTACTTTTGCCGGTGAGCTGTAAGTGTGAGAAGAAGCAGCCAACAAAAACTATAACTATAATTGTTAATAACTATACAGAAAAACTAAACTGTGTGTTTGTGTGTGTTTCAGTGGGAGATGGGCGATTGGGCCACCCTGAAGAGGCACCATATGATGCCATCCATGTTGGTGCAGCAGCACCTACTGTCCCACAAGCTGTGAGTTTGTGCACACTCACAGAGCTGATGATGGAGGTCACATTGTTCTAATTCACTTGAATGCCAACGCTTTGAAAAGAGAGAGAGACGATTTAATGTGATTTTCAGTTTGCTGGATCAAAATGTCCTTTCAATCCCGCTGAGCACTCTTTATTTGTATCTCTGTGGCTCTTAATGTTTTTCAGCTGCTGGACCAGTTGAAGCCTGGCGGCCGGCTCATTCTGCCCGTCGGCCCGTCGGGGGGAAACCAGATGCTTGAGCAGTACGACAAGATGGAGGACGGCAGCACCAAAATGAAACCCTTGATGGGGGTGATTTATGTGCCTTTAACAGACAAAGAAAAGCAGTGGTCCAGGTGGAAGTGACTTCCTTCTCCCCCCTCCTCCCCCTCTCTCCTTCTCACAGTGGCAAAGGTGAAACGGTTTGGCTTGGAGCAGGCAATGGATCACAAGGGGCTGCATTTTGCTGCTTGTTGACATTTGTTGCTTCTTCCATACCATACCGAAAAGCTGCACGTTTCGTTCCTCATTTTTTAACTCTGTAGTTCCAATTTGGTTTAATAATAGACATGCCTGACGACTAAAAACTGTAGTTGTTGTTGAATCTAAAAAATTAAGTAACTGGAATAGCAGCTTTTTTAATACGAGAGCATGAAAACATTGTAGTTCAGATTCTAATAATTTAATATTATAACTGTATGGAAGCCCCTAGAAGCCAGTGAGAAAAAAAAGTAGTGATTCATGTTTTACATCTCATATTACCCACAATCCTGTGTGAATTAATTGGTTACAGTCAAAGCGCATACTGTGTATTTTTATTTATTATCATGTGGAACAGATGGGTGGAGTTTTAGCAGAAGTTTAAAAGTACTAAAGACGCAAATATTTTATTTTACTTTTTTCCCCTGGCTGATACTTTTTCCTCATATCTTTTTAAAGGTAAAAAAAATCTGATTTAAAAAAGTGGTCTGTTGAGCATTTTTTCATCAATTTTTTCATCTTTTTAAACAAAATGTAGAAAAAATAAGAATGTAAAATCCCCGGAGCATTTCATTGATTTCAAGTTGTTCTTATTCTTTTTTTTCCCATCTGTTCAACAAATAAAAAAAGTTATTGAGAAAAAAAATTCTCATTTCTACCAACTCCTGCGAAGACTTTCATTAACATGTAACAAAAAAACGATGTAGATGTTTGTCTTTTTCTCTTACCAGATCTTTTTGCCACCTCTAAGTAAACATAGAAAACACAACTTTAAAAAAAAACCTCACAGAACACTTTTTATATCTGTTGACATTTTTTTCTCACTATTTTTTACAAATAAGATAAATAAGTAAATTAGCAGAAAAGTTCCAGGTGAACTTCATCCCATGTTAGCTGGTGAAAAAAATATATGAAATTTGAAATTGATTTTTAAATAATGAGCAATGAATAAATAAAACAAAGAAATTTCCACCGTTTAAGAGTTAAACAAAAAGGGACTTTATCAGGATTAACTTTTTGTCCACATGCTAACTTTTTTTTGGATTACTTTTTATTATGCAAGACAAACTGAAGAACAGCGCTTACCAGACTATATCTCATTGTCTTGAGTGAGAAACAGACTGATTTTTCCTCTTGTCTCTCTGGGCTTCCGTATAACCTCCATTTTTCTGTTTGAGATGTAGACAGAAACCAGTAACTTTTTGGGTTTGACTGTGAGAACTCTTCTGCATGTGGTTTCCACTCTTCTTTAAATCTTGCATGACCAGATACCTGGCGTGTTCATCTCTCAGCTCTCCTAACTGTTTTAACCTCTGTCTCCTCACAGGGATGAACTCTGAAGAGGAAGACGGTCCATAACACATCTTTACGTTTGAACCTGGAGAAAACTCGGATGGGGTCGGACAGCCCTTGGCATTTAAACAAAACATGCTCTTTTTGTTTTAAGTCTACGGTGGACTTGTGTATCACATTGATGACGGCCCAGAGGGGCCAGGGAAGAAAGACTGCTTGAAGCTCAGCTCAGAAATACTTTTGTTTTTCTTTCCAGGCCTGCATCTTCTTGGTTGTTTTTTATTTTCATCTGCTGGATTTATGGTTTTTTTTGTGGTTTCAATATATTTTAATTGCAATCAAGCATTTTTACAGTATTACATTTCAGCGGCATCAAAGCTGAATGTGTGAGGACTGCCGGACTCCAATGAGGAATCTTTCTAATTCACCTAGCTACAACGCGTGTGTGTGTGCGTGTGTGGATCATCCGACTGTAGACTAACATATGAGCTTTCTTCCCTTAGCAGCAGTATTAAAATCAATCACACACACTGGCGACACATGGGCTGATGTAACACTCATCCTGTTTGATGTGCAGCACTCTCACATCATTGACACATAGAGTAAGACGTGGATCATGAACATATTCCAAAGAGAGCACCGACACACACTCTCACATATACAGGGCTGTGCTTCTCACCTGGTGATGTGTTGCTTTCTGCAGCTGATTGGTTTTCCATTTACGATCTTGCGCAGGCTCTTCTGGTGACTGATGCTCAATGCGGTCGTCACTGCTTTGCCAAAATAAACTCCAACAGTACAAAGCAAAATGAATGTCTGTTTTCTTGCAGTAAAAAAAAAGCACATTTTATTTTGGATGATGAATGATATTTGGCTTTCACGGTGTCTGGAACTCATAAAAAATAAAGAGATGCTTATGTTTTTGTCTGCTTTCTTTGTCATTGGATCTAGTGTTTGATGGTGCCCCTTTATTATGAAAATGAGAGTCAGTTAAATTGTGACTGGCAGTAACAGGAACAGTGATTATATGACATTCAATCAGACACTTGGTAATTATCTACCTATTCAGTGATCTAAAAACGAATTATTTGATACAGTTAAACTTTAAGAATTTATAAGCCTATGTCTGCAAAATAATCAGTTTGCTGGTTTACAAAGCAGAAATCTGCGATCATTTTGCACTGACTGGGAAAAAAAGTGCTGCTTTTTTTTTTCTAAATTAATGAGATCATTATTACCATACTTTAAAAAACTGTATGGTCTGTAATATTGATGTATTGCAATAATTATTTCAGAATTTTGAGATCATTTTAGCTATGAAAATGTTACTCTTTGAATTGACAAGATAATCATATTGAAAAAATGAGGAAAAGATTTTCATTCTCAAGTGACAGCAATACCCTTCTGTACAAATCCTTATGTGCCCTTGATATAAAGTCAAAAGGTAATGTATGAAAAGTTAAAACTGAGAAACTGTATTGTTTTATCAACATGTATATACCCCTCTGTGGACAAACTCATACCTTTTATCTCTTTTCTGTACTCATGAAAACAGTGTATTTAGGCAGAAACCTCATCCTTCGGTCTGTTAAAGGTGAAATGTTTTCCTCATTGTGAGTAACTGCCTTAGTAACTCTGGACCAGAGTGAAAAAGACTTTTTCTTCATCCACCCTCTTTAGCTGTGATTTCGGGCATTACAGAGAAACTATCAGCCTTGTTGCTGATGGTCTTCTTTGCTGTTTCTCGGGCAGTAAAAACATCTCGTAGTACCGTTGATTCTAGCAACACATTTCAGTCAGGTTTAGAAGGACGATTAAAGCACAAAAAAGGTGTGTAATAGAATAAAACTGGGGAAACTAATTTATTGGTTAATTTGCAACAGGTTAATAATATGACTTGATAATGACATCAGTGGGCCTTTTGGAGATTCATCATTGGAAGACTGTGAGCAAATACTGTAGTTCACCACTTTAAGGATATTATTCCTTGAGTGTAAAAATTGCAAAGACTTTGGGGATTTCATCATCTATGGTAAATAATCTTTGACAGAATCATAGAAACCGCTGAAAAAGTGGACAAACTTCCTCCAAATTTAGGCAAACAAGCCCCCCCCCCCTCCCCCCCCCCCCCTCAACTGGGCTTATGTCAGCAGACGGCACCAGTGTTCTTGGATTTATAATAAACTTTAATATCTCACATAAAAGACAGCACTTTAAGGGGATACATCTGCATTGTATAATACTCCACATAAATTTTCTTTTGAAGAATGATATGTGACAAAACACAGGAATATAGTATTTTATGGCTTTATAGGATTTGAAGAAAATTTGAGAAATATTTTGTTGATTCAGAATAACCCAAAAAAGTGCACTATAACCTACATGGTGTGTCAAAGTATGTTAAACTTGGGCGAGATATGCAGCACAAATTAAGCACTTTAGTGTCACCCAGTGGCAAAAACATAGCATGATAGAGCAGACAAAGTTAGTGTATACTTAAGTCATCAGGAGAATATAGACAGCTGGACATAAAGGTTCCAGTCATGGATTTACAATCAGAGTTTCTTAAGACAACATAAATAAAAACCCACAAGCATCTAAATATGAGTGTTGGCTTTGAAGGCAGCGTTTTTTGAGCAGCAGATTCACCGGTCGGAGTGGATTCAGTGAGTGAAAGTTCAGGATCAGTCATGACAGCATAGTTCAGACATGAGGAGGATAAACCAGAGAAACAGACAGCCAGAAATTCAGAGTGCAAATTTCAAAATAAGTCCCAGCTCAGGTTCCAGGGACATGACCCGTGTTTCTCTCGCATTTGCTGCTTGTTTCTGATTGGCTACAGGTACATGCCATTAATGAGGTAATCTGACTCCTCAGTTGTCAGTGGTCGGGCTTTCTTGAGTTTGTGGCGGACGAGTCTGAGACGACAGCCTATCATGAGCAGCAGCAGAGCGGTGATGATGATGCCGAGAGCCAGAGGGAGGATGGCACCTGCAGGGGGGATGATCAGCAGTGGAAGAAAAGTAGTTCAGAAAATTGGCAAGGAAAAGCAGAAGGAGTTAAAAAAAAGAGCTAATATATATGTTTTTATGTTGACTTTTACCAGACTCTGGTACTGGATGCCCTCCCATCACTGGGAAGGGCTTGGAGACGGGGGCATCACTTTCTGGCTGCTTCTGGGAGACTTTGGGGGGAGCTTCAAGAAAAAAAGAAATCATTTATAGATTGAAATAATCAACAGTTGACAAAATGTTCCTGAAATATAAATTAATCATGGACAACATGACAGCTCCCCCAATCTGAAGCCAAAGTGTTTAGCGCTCCCCCTACTGGCTCGTTGTATTTAAAGTCATAACATGTTTTTTAACTTTTCACCATTACACTTCATGCCCTTGTGTTTGTTTTTCCGAGTGTAGCTTTCATTAGTTTGAGTCAGTTAGTGCTGTACCTATTTCAGTCTGCTTGGTGATGGGAGGAGCCACGGTCGCTGGTTTAAAAGACGGACCTGAAAGACAGTTTCATGAACACGTATGATTATCAGAGTTTTAAGCAAAGCTTTAAAAAAGTGTATTACATTAAGGGCAGATTCTCACTTTTCTGTATACATTCACTGACACAGTCCGACTCCTGGAGGAAATTGTTATGGTTGCCCTGGCAGCCACCGTAAAGGAAGTGTTTGCATGCTCCTGCACTTTGGTCGTAGTACCAGCGAGGGAAGTTTCCTTTGCAGGGTCCAACAACTGGAGCTGCAGCACACGGATCTGGAAGAGTGAAAAAAGACCAAATTGATGTCTTGTTATCTTAGCTGACAAATAGCACAAGTCGAAGTGAATAATGGTCTTCCAACCCCCCCCTGCACAACGTTAAAGTATTTATTACTCTTTGTTTTTTGTGTTCTTGTGGTGTGCAAATAAACTTAACAGACAAAAAAGAAAGAACAGCTGAAGAGAGAGCGGAGAAAGACATGCAGCAAAAGATTGAGGCCGACCCCTGCAACAGGGACCACAACGTCCATACATGGAGGGCTGTGGAAAAACCTTAGCTAAAAAAAGTAAAATCTGGACATGGACCAGTGGCAAGAACCATGACTCATGGTTAATCTGAAACCTGTTTAATGTCTGCTGAACGCCTAAATAGGTGGCTAACACCTTTAACTGAATGGAGAAAAGTGCTCACAGCCTTTTCATCCAAGATGTTCAGATACTACTCAGTGCAGATCCAAGGTGAGAGAATTTAAAGGTCACTTCTCTTTCTATTTCGTATCATCTTAGATTTCCAAGCTCTCAGATATGGCACTCTTCAGTGGTGACATGAAGAGAAGACTCCTGAGAAATGCTCCTCACCCGTGTCATACCTGTGGTAAAACACTGCTGGGGGAAGGAGCCCTTTTGGTCGCTCTCAGCCTGATTCAGGGATCAGATGGCGGAGGGGACAGAGGCGCTTTGTTCCAGCAGGCACAGAGCTGCTTTCCCAGGGACTGCCGAGTAGCCCTGTGGCTCTGGCAGCGTTTTCAGCTCAGTGTGCTGTGACTCAATGGCTGCCTACAGGGGCTCCATCTGCTTCTATGGCCAAATCTACTCTGAAACCCTCTCTGCCTCGCTACAAAGAGATACTGCACTAATGACACTGTGATGGAGGATCATATTGTTGAACAGGAAGCCGAAGAGAGGGAAATGTTTTTAGATTCCTGCCAGACTGTATGCTTGAAAATCTTTTTATATTCACTCTCCACATGATTTTGTTTGCTGAGTGTGCAAATACAGCTTTAATACTAACACAGCCTCACCTTGACTGGCTGCATCCTCTTGCAGGCTGGGACTCTGTGGAGGAGGAGCTTTGCTCCTGTCCTGCGGTGGCACAATGGCCTCTACAGTCTTTCTGGATCCGGTCTGGACCATGGTGACATCCTCGGCTTCCTCTGTCTGAGCTACAGGTTGATGAGGGGTTGATAGATCAGCAGTGTGGGTCACTGATTTCCTGCTGCTGTCAACTGCAGAAAGCAAAGACAAATAATCATGTGAAGGGAGGATTAATTCACTCTTTACATTTTCACTGACTTGGGTGATGCTAGAGATCATAGGATGGGTGGGAATCAGGCTGTCCTCACAGTTTTGGCAGAAGTCTTCATCAGAGCGGTCCGGACAGTGTTGTTTCCCATCACAAGCGAAGGAGATGTCAATACAGCAGCCGTCATCACACTTAAACTGGTAGCGTGAACAGTGACCTGTGCACACTGTAGGTGCAGAAAGAGAAAAGTAGACATCATGCATAACTTAAAGGCACCCAGATTTACAAGGTGAAAACTGGAGATCGAGACAAAGCGGCTGTTTGTTTTTAGGGTGGAATTCATAGATCGTAAAGGAGCTCATAGAAGATCTCTTTGTTTTGTCATGAGTGCATCACCTTCTGCTTGGTGTTTTGGTGCCAGCACAGTGACAGAGACGTTGTCAGAGCTCTTCTGTCCCGCTGTGTCAGTGACGGTCATCTGGAAGGTGTAGGCTCCCTCCTGCAGACCGCTGACCTTCAGCAGCCCTGGATGAGTTGCCTTCAACAAAACATAAAAAAACACAAGGACAAGCAACAAATGTTGAATCAGATTTTGACTCAAACAGGTGAGGTCTGTCTTTGAAGCATAAATTGAGTTGATCTGTCTCAAAACTTTTTAATTTTGGCAATGGAAGGTATCTATTATAGTCACACTGCAGCGTAGGATAATTTTATTTTCTTCCCCTCTCCCTCTCCCCTTCAGTCTGTTTCACACCCTAAAACTCCTTACAAGAGCTTTAACAGCCTTAGTGACTTTACCCACACCAAAGTCATCATGGTGAGTCAGGAACTTCACTGCTGAAAGGCATAAGGGGGAGATTTTTTTGTCAATTAAATATCAATATAAGTTACCACTTTGATCACAGGGGACATCAGAGTCAACACAGACAGAAAGTTTCTCACAAGAGCTTTAAAGATCCACTGTAAAATATTTAGTGGCACAGCTGTGTTCCTACAGAAGCACAAAATAGACAAACTAGTAATATGTGCCTTTTGTGGGTGCTCATCCCCGCCAAGTTGGTTGGGAGATAAGGCCAAAAATAAAAAATAAAGATAACTGTTTTTGACGCTAAAACCCTGACAAATGGAGGGTTATAAACATCATGCCTCACAGCAGCTTCACTTAACTAATGGGAGGGGTGAGCAAGGGAGCATTTCAATCTAGAACCTAGCTGCTAGATATTGCTGAATATTATCCTTTCAACACACCGTACCTTTGAAAACTAAAATCAAAGAAAGGCAACAATAAAAAAAAGTTAAAACAGCAAAAGCAGAAGGTTCGAATATGATAGTTTTGAATGAAAGCATAAAGATAGAGAACAGATCTGGATATAAGAAATAAAAACTGACATTAAAATGTCATGTCAGTGAAGTTTCCTTTTATTTCTGAATATTCATGTTGAGTGTCCTTTATTTCTTTCACAGTCATCATTGGTTAAGTTTATTTTTTATTTTTTTAAATTTTGTTTCCTGTTTTCTTTTGAAATCACTAACCCCTATCTCTGTCTTCTAGATTTGTTCCAGTCCGGTCTGCCCTGCCCCGGTCTCGTCACCTGTTGCCTGATTGTGTCTCCCTTCCTGTTTCCCATCACCCTCATCACCTCTTGTATTAAACCTCATGTGTCTCTCACTGTCTCATCACCAGTTCGTTGTACCCAGTCCTCAATCCAGCGTTCTCGCCATATCCATATCCTTAGCCATACCCATAGTCATAGCCATAGCCATAGCAATGCCCTGTATTGTACCTTGCCTTTTTGTACCTCCTCTTTTTGCCCCTCATTTTTTTGGATACCTCTGCTTGGTCTCACTGCTTACCTGTGTACTGACCTCTACTTGCTCTGAATAAACCCTTGCCTGTTTTTGGAACCAAATTCAGTGCTGTCCATTTGTGTTCAGAAAAACCTGTGCCTCAGTTCATGACATTAAGTCTTTAAAGGAATCCAATAAAAAGCAGCTGTAAACAGGAGAGTCTTCAATCCAGATTAAAAAGACCAGAGAGGCTCAGACTGACATTTTCTGGTACTATATTCCACATATATAGGGCATAAAGCCAAAACCTGGTTCTGTTTTTTTTTATAATTAGAGATGTATTTTGGTCTGCCTTTCAGGTTTCTGTCATGTCGGTGAAGTTTCCTTTTTTATTTCAGTATGTTTATGTTGGTTAAGTTTCCTTTATTTTGGCACATTCATGTTTTTTTTTTTTTTTGTCATGTCTTTCCTGTTTTATTTTGTAGTCCACTAACCCTTGTTTCTGTCTTCTAGATTTTTTCCTGTCTGGTCTACCCTGCCCCGGTCTCGTCACACCTGTTGCCTGATTGTGTCTCTCCACCTGTTTCCCATCACCCTCATTACCTGTTGTATTAAACCTCACATGTCTCACTGTCATCGTCAGTTCGTTACACTCTTCAATCTTATGCCAGCATTCATACTCATAGTCACATTGTGTATAGATCCTTGCTCATTTTTTGACCTTGCCTTTTTGCCTCAGCCCTTTTTTGGATACCTCTGCCTTTGCTGACTGACATACCATGTACTGACCTTTGCTTGTCCTGTTAAACCTTATGCCTATTTGACTTGCTGGTGTGGTGATTTGCATTTGTGTCTACACATTCTGAGTCCTGTTTCATGACAGCTTCTGCTGTTGTTTTGTCCTCCCAGTATGCCTGGGCTTTACCTGTCAACACACTCTATGGGCTTGGTTTAATTGCTCAGGTGCTGAATAAAGAGGCTATTATTTTTAGAAATACATGAAAATTCAAATACTCCATTGAACCAGTGATCAACAACTTGCCTCTGCTGAGGGCTGAAAATAGTACATTCATACTTCAGATGAAAACATTTTAAGAATTTAACATGCTGCTCTTGAGGCTCCAGTATTTCTCTTGTGCTTTAAGCAGGTTTGAATGTAATGAACTCTTGTCTGTGTTGGAACAGAGACCCATCATGGAGCTGTGGCTGCAGGTCTCTCTGTTGACTTAACCAGTACAAACAAGTAATCTGACACTGGTGTCTGTGAGGGTGATTAGTGAGTATTCATATGGAGGACTCAAATATTACATCATCTGCTCTCTGATAAGGAGAGAACAACAGAGTGAACCCTGTGTACTCCCTTTATTTCCTGTTCAGTCTTTCAGTCTCAGGTGACCCACCAAAAATAAACAGCATACAGACATTTTACTGTTACATGTCCTGGCTTTGTGTGTGTGCAGTAAACACTGACCTTCATATTGATAGCCGTGCCTCCCTTTACAAGAGTCCACTCGTAGTGGCTGATCCTATGGTCATCCACACTGTCGCGTCCATCCAGCACAGCCCAGTCTGTTGGGAGCTGGATGACCACGTCGGGTCCAGCATCACTGCGAGGGGGCTCGTCCACCTCTGCAAAAACACACACAGACAGCTTTTTTAATACGAAGGATGTGCAGCACGTGTTTCTTCCTTTAATTTGTTCATTTGCAGGTTAAGACATTAAATATTTAATCAGAGCTGCAGTAAAGTTTCTGTTTTATGGCAAAATTGTACTTTTGTTAGCTTCCATCATGAGTCAATCTTCTGGTTCTCTTCACACTTACACTGTTTCCTAACCAAAGTTGACCTCTTCATTTATCTAACTGAAAATGATATTTCTGACATCACTGAATCTTCCCTTTGAAGAACCTGAAAAAAATGATTATTTTGGAATATTATCACCAAAACAAATTACTCATTACTGGTTATTACACACAAAAAAAGAGTATTTTTGGACAATGATTTCTGCTTTTTCTGCTGTGATTCAAACCCTGTAGAACCAGCTTGAAGCTGGTAATTAAACACAGGAGGGGATCAAAACAACACCTGCTGCTTGTCTCAGAGTCTCTGGATATTTTTGCTCAGCTACAGAAGGAAAGGTAAATCATTAACCAGCCCTGCTCTACTTTATTACTTTGTGTGGATGACCATAATGTGCTGAGGTAAACTTTAGAAATCTAGAGTAAAACTTTGTAAACTTTTCATCAAATTTAACTCTTTTTAATCTACTTTAAAATGACTGTATTACACACTATAATGTGGCAGCAGAGAGATGACTAAAAACTGCACTGAGAAAAAAACAAGTGAGTAAATCGGGAAAATAATGTTGCACTCAAGATCATGGAGTAAGGTTCAATTAAACCCAATAAAGACTTGTATCTGAGAATTATGCTCTTTGTTCAGTTAACATCAAACTGTTGAACATGGCCCTTTAAAATAACTTAACGCACATCAACTCACCTCACATATCATCATTATAATTCCCCAGTGTATGCCTGTTTACACCCATCAATTTTTAATCAAAATTTAAAAGAAAAAAAAAGGTGTGTCTTTGTGGTACAGCTGGTAGGGCAGGTGCCCCATCTACATAACAAAAAAAATACATACATACACACACACACACACACACACACACACACACACACACACATATATATATATATATATATATATATATATCTATATATATATATTTTTTTTTTCAAGGGTCTCCCCTGCCTTCACCCCAAGATGCTAGGATAGGCTCCAGCCCCCGCCACAACTCCAAATGGGGAAAGCAGTAAAAAAAATGGATGAATGGGTGGATGGGTTTGTTTTTTTTCCATGTTAAAGCTCATGTGAGGTAATTTTGGTTTATGTGAGGAATAATATGTCACGCACTGATATCAGTCACTGGTGTTCATTTACAACCTTTAACATCTTCTCTTTATCTTCATGTGCCTTAAGTCCCATATAACAGCCCCTAATTGTAAAACACCTCTAGGTAAAATGAAAGCTGTAAGCTCACTAAAATTATGCCAAATAATGTTAAGTAATATTAAGCCAACAGATTAGTTAAACTACTATAAAGCTCTGCATGTTTTTAATCATAATATCATCATAATCATAATCATCATAATAAATCAGGACTTTCCTGGTTTGTCTTGTTCAAGCATCCCTCACCTTGAGTATCATCCTCCTCCGGGTGTCCCTCCCCGGGCCTGCTGGATGACCCGCTGGATACAGCAGGGAGGTGTCCAGACTGCGTCGTGTTAGAAGTCCGGCTGTATGTGCTAAAGCCTTGCTGCGGTGCGAAGGAGCAGACATTTTTGTTCCTGTAGGTGCAGTTGAACAGGTAACATCCGAGGCTGTCCCCGGACTGCCTCGGATCCTCCTGAACCACGGCCACAGTGCAGTGCGGCTGGGAGCAGCAGGCGTGCAGACAGTCCTTCCAGGTGTACACCCTGTCCGGAGCCAGCAGAAAAGTGGCCCCCTGCTCAATGGAGGCCTTAGTCTTGATGATGCGCTCCTCTTCAGCGTTAAAGTCGCCCACACAGGAGTCACTCACTTCGCCTGTCCTATACGCCTGGTCCTGCTGCAGCTGCTTGCGGAACTCCTCCAGCAGCTCCTCCACCCCGGATATCTTGGATTTCAGGTCTGATATGGGCAAAGACCGAGGGTGGACATATTGGACAGCGCACAGCAGAACAACACAAACAGGCAGCCACAGCAGCAGCCGGGGATGCTGAGGAAGAGCCATGTTGTTCACGCAGTTAAACGGCGTCTCCCTCTGCCTCCGGCTGGTTTCCGCTACATCAGAGCCCACACAGCAGAGAAATCCTCCTTTTTCTTGTAATAACCTCTTAATATGTAATTAAACGCGATATATTTACCGTTAAACCGTCTCTAAATCAAAATAGCTAATGCTTGTGTCCTCTGACGATGCTGGAAATCTGTCGTTGTCATGGTGAGGGGGAGGTGGCCGCGAGACCACAGGCTGCTCGGGAGAAACCGTTGACGTCACAATGATGATTACAAATGGCGAGCTGAAACGCACCTGTAGCGTTGTTTCCAGTGGGCTCCAGTGTAATTTTGTGTCCTGTTGGGTTGGAACTGAGACTACACCATAGATGCACCTCTGTAGTTCAGTTTTTAGGGTATTGTTGCCAATAAGCCTAAACTTTATGCCATTTTGTGCTGTCACCTGAAAAGCGGGTTTTGTGCATTAGGTTCTGTTGTCCTGTTAGCTTAATACATCAAACTACAGAGAAAACTTAACTCGTGCTGTTATCTCGGAAGTGAGTTTTCATAGCATATCTGGGAATAACAACATGTTGTCAAAACATGGAGAAATAAAATAACACGTCTTGAAAAAGAACTACCACAATTTTTAATCTCTGACTTTCAGAACTAAATTAATCACACCAGCTGTTATCCTTCACACCGCCTCTCTAAAACGCTTCACCTCAACACCTGTCTCTTTAAGACCCCCAGCCTTCCAGGGCCCAGCACTCCATGAGCCTCCTTCACTGTTGTCATGCACGATATTTGTGTTTCTCTTTTTTAAAATGACAGACTTCCCCTTTTGCAGAGATTCAACAACTGGGGATGTTGACTTGAGTATATCTCTTGCTGGCATTTTTTTAAACTTTTATTATCTATAAAAGAACTTACTGCCTCTTTAAATTCATGAGGATATATTGTAGTTTTGCAGCATTTAGATACAAAAGTATTACAGTTTTTCTTTATTGCTAAAACACATTTCACCATACTCTAAACCCAATGACCAGTTGCCTCAACACATTTATTAAAATGAAGCCCCATTTGCCACAACCAGAAACACATTTCACCTGTAGACACTATTCACAAAACCCACTCACTTCTTCTCAGAACACATTTTTTTCTTGCTAAAACACATCCTGCAAAACTCATCTGCTCAAACATGCACAGTTAAGCTCATTTGATGCAAAATGCTACCCACAGTCAGCAAAACTTGAACACAATGCACATACCTTGCGTCCTTGATTAAACACAACGACTCAAAATTGAAGACACCTGGTAACCACACCTATATAAGTCAGTGCAGAGTGCAGAGTGTGCTGAATATTCCGAGCAATGGAGGGACAAGACAGAGGGATTCTCGTCAGAGGAAGAGGAGCAGGCCGAGGAGGAAGAGGAGCAGGCTGAGGGGGGCAAAGAGCAGGCCGAGGAGGACAAAGAGCTGGCCGAGGGGGGCATGGAGCTGGCCAAGGAGCAAGAGGAGCAGGCCAAGGAGGAAGAGGAGCAGGCCAAGGAGCAAGAGAAGGGCAAATGAGACGTCGACGCACGATCATCACAGATGAGATGTGAGCGACTGTTATCAACCATGTCATTGTCCATGGAATGACCATGACTGAAGCTGGCCAACGAGTCCAGCCAAACATAAGCCGATATACAGTGGCCACCATCATTCGGGCCTTCAGACAACACAACAGGTACTGAATGTAGTATTTCTTGGTCACTACAGTAGATGTCTATACAGATACTGTACTGCATACGTAGTGGAGTGCAATTCGATTTACCACAGTTTGCTGTAAAGAGATGTCCATGTATTGAATACATGCCTTTACAGTACTGTATTTTACAGTACAGCATTTACAGTATATGTATGATTCTGTAAACTGCGTGTTTCATTACCTTTACCGTACATTACTGTAAACTTGAGTGCAGTTGAGGGGCAAGCCTTCATTTTCACCTAGAACAATTGCAACCATGGGTAAAAGTGTGACAGTACTGTGTACTGCAAGGACTATCTCTGTACTGACCAAATGTATTTTTGTTTCTCTAGAGTTGACAGACTGCCACATGCAGGTGGGAGGGGTTCCATATTCACAGACGCCCAACTGGAGTCAGTGGTCAGGCTGAGTTTGTGAAGTTCAGATTGTCAGCAAAGATGTTATCCTGTATTTCCCCTTATGATATTACAGTATTCTCCTGAACCATGTAGACAATTCTCCTGAACCATGTCGATTCTTGGGATTCGTCTCCCACCTGCATGTGGCAGTCTTTCAAATCTGTGCAGTAAAACATACTGTCAATACTGTAATAAAAAAAAGTTACACCCTGAACATTGTGTTTTCAATTGTTACTGTACACTATATGTATGTATTGTGTGCAATGGCTCCTCCATGGTGTTTACACTGCTTTGCATTGAGTTGTGATACAGTAACTGCTTTTTCTTCATGTGACTATTCCTATGAAACACACAAATCTAGAGTGCATGCCCAATATATATTTGAGAATATATGTATGTAAGGGTTTCTAAAAAAATGTGTTCTGCAGTGATGAAACTGTAAAAAGAACGGTCTCACACTATGAACATTGTGTTTTGCATTTTTTAAAGTGTGTGTAATGACGCTTGGTAGTGTTTACATTTTTGCAGGCCTTGAGAGGTATTGTGTTGTCAAGGTGGACTTTTGAGAATATGTGAGACTTTTGAGCGTAGGTGCAATTGTTTTGGTGTGCTTGAGTGACTTTGAATATACGATGTTCTGTTTTGGAGTGTATGCGTTGGTTTTGGGAAGAGAATTTGCTGTTGTGCGAATAGTGCTTGAGAAAAGTGTTTTGTGTTTAGGGTTGTGGGAAAAGGGGGGATAGTATGGTGAAATGTGTTTTAGCAATAGAGAAAAACTGTAGCATTTGAAACGTTAAACCCTGCCCTCCTAGTGCTCCTTGATTTAACAGCTGCGTTCGACACTGTAGATCATAATATCCTTTTAGATCGGCTAGAGCAGTGGGTAGGCATAACAGGCCCTGCTCTTCTGTGGTTCCAGTCCTATTTAAATGAACGCAGTTTTTCTGTGCAGCTAGGGGAATTCGCTTAAACTGCAGCCCCACTCACCTCTGGAGTACCCCAAGGTTCAATTTTAGGACCGATTTTATTTTTATTGTACATTTTGCCGTTGGGCTCAATTCTCCGTAAATACAAACTTTCTTTCCACTGCTATGACGACGACGTACAGATCTACCTGCCCTTAAACCTTTCAAATAATGACTCTGTACAGACGCTGCTGGACTGTTTTTTCGAAGTTAAATCTTGGTTGGGGGAAAACTTCCTACATTTGGATGAAACCAAAACGGAGGCTATATTATTTGGCTGTAACCCATCTGACCTCCCAGCCAATTATCTAGGCCCTCTCACACCGAATGTCTGTGCATCGGTAAAGAATCTCGGCGTGACCTTTGACAGTGATTTTGAACTCGACAAGCAAGTCAACTCTGTGGTTCAAAATAGCTTTTTTCAATTGAGAACTCTATCTAAGGTAAAGGGTTACCTCTCTCGAAGAGACTTGGAGACAGTTATACATGCTTTTATCAATTCCAGATTAGATTACTGCAACTCCCTGTATGTTGGCTTGGATCAAAATCTGCTCCATCAACTTCAGCTGGTGCAAAATGCAGCTGCCTGCCTCCTTACTGGGAAACGTAAAAGAGAACATATAACCCCTGTGCTCGCTTCTCTCCACTGGCTCCCAGTCTCTTTCAAAATAAATTTTAAGATTTTATTGTTTGTTTTTAAAGCTCTTAATGGACTAGCCCCCGGGTATTTGTCCGAGCTCTTACACATTCATGCCCCCGCTAGAGCACTGAGATCTGCCAATCAGCGGCTATTGGTCGTCCTGAAGACTCGCCTAAAGAGTAGAGGTGACCGAGCCTTTGGGGCGGCTGCTCCAAGGCTCTGGAACAGCATGCCTCAGCACATCCGTTCAGCTGAGTCGATAGAGGTTTTTAAATCCTCTTTAAAAACACACTTTTTCTCCCTAGCTTTTACCTAGCTCTTGATTGGTATTTTATATTTGTTTTTTATCTACCTACATATTTTATATTTGTTTTTATTTATGGTGTATTTGTACCTCAATTTTACTTTGCTGTATTTTAATCTTGTATTTTGTGTTTTTGGTCATATTGTTTACTGTCTGTTTTATGTATTTCGCTGTGTCTTATTGACCTGTACAGCACTTTGGTCAGCTTCGGTTGTTTTTAAAGTGCTCTATAAATAAAGTTTGAGTTGAGTTAAACACTAAGTTACTAAAGAGTAGGCTCTAAAAAATAAAGACTTGGATGTGCTTTTACAAACTGGGTTGGAAAACAATGCTTGTACCTGAGTTTTAACCTCTTACAACTTTGATAAATAGGTGAAATACCTCTGTGTAATATATCATACTAATTGTACAAATAAAGAAATATAAAACTACAATATTTCAAGTATGATGTAATTTTCTCATTTCTGAAAAGAGGAAAACTGAACACTTTTTTCACAGTTCAAGATGAAAAGTTTTATTTTAACAATTTGACACAAATCTTGAATAATTTTAGATATGAAACAAAATGGACACACTGCTCAGGACGATCTTCCTTATTTCTGACATCATGTTGTAAAATAAAAAAAAGGTCAAGGCTCTTCTGTATGAAACTTTTTTGCAGTTCAGAGTTTTCAGCACAACATAGTACATCTGATTGAATAATTTTGTCTACACAAGCAAGATTAGCACAATTCTGTCAGTGTACAACAATAAAAACAGATGACGTTATACCAGTCACTAACTGAAAAAAAAAATCGCTTGTAATTTGTGACACTAGGAGATACAATACTTTACAATTCATTTCTCAAATGTGTTCATTATAGACTCTTTCCAATCCATGTGGAGACGTACTTCTGTCAGACATTGTATTTTGTAAGTACGTAAATGTCTTTTACATAGAATTCTTTGTAACACAGTATTTACATGACCAAAATAAAAATAAAAAATATAAAAGAAAATGTGGGGGAAAAAAAATTAAATAAGTCGCAAAACAACAGGGCATGCACTGACTTCCTTCAGATCACCATGACAGTTAAATTAAAAGTACATTTAAATAAAGTAGTGATAAGTTTTCAATAATAAAACAACAAAAGCATCAAGGGTACGGATGATTTGAATGTAGTCTCTTGTATCTCAGGCTTATATTAGAAAACGGTCAGTCTCCAGTTTTGTAAACAGTTCATATTGTAAAGACAGGAGGAAAAGTTTTGACTGTTTTCAAGATTTTATCAACAAATTCTCACAAAATGTCCTTTTTAGTTACACACATGTGACAAAATGCTCTGTAAAGCCCGTAGGGTGTAGCAAAACTAGTGGCACTTCTCTGAAATTGCTGCTTCCAAAGTAACTTCTCCTCCTAAAGTATGAAAATACTCCAACAAGACGTGTAGAGGAGTTCCTTTTTCATGTGGGTCAACATTCGCTCAGTGTGTGCTGCAAACACAAGTTCTCCTCCTGAAAGTCTGGCTCCTATAAATACTGAGGTAAAGAGGAGAACACTGAGCTGGGGGAACAAAGGGCTGAGCTTCTCTGAGTGGTTGTCACCACATAAGGCTTCAGGTTGGCTTCTGCCTGTAGTCTGTGATGGCCTTCCAAAGTTTGCACAGGATTCCACCTCTGATAAGAAAGACAGGGAACACAAACTTGATTGGGAAACAAAACGGAGTTGTCAAAATGTTTAATTTCTAGACTTTGAAACAATCATTTGTCTTAAAAAGATCAAGAAGAAATCTTTGAATACCTCAGTCTTAAACTTTTCAGATCCTCTCTGGTTACATCGTGGAGGATGTTGTTCAGTGTGTACTCCTCATCCAGTATCTACATGAACAAAAGACCATGAGAAACAGTGTGCTGCTGTGTTAAAGTGTAATGTTAATGAGATCACAGTGAAGTCAAATCAGGGTCTCACTTTGTTGATGGCGTCCTGGTCGGCACCGTAAAGCCTCAGCCAGCTGGTCAGTTCGGGGTCTTCATGTCGTGCTGCTGGTTGATTTGTTTGTTCTTCTGAGACCCCTGATGATGTGGAAACGTCTGTGCATGAATAAAGACAAAGTGGACACATTTACACCACATGTGGTCACTGTAGCTTATATTGTGCTGTGGTAGGGAATACAATGAAGAGGTAAACAGGGGTCAAGTCTGCACCTGCAGGCTCAGTCTTCAGCCTCAGTAATCTGATCTCCTGCTCTCTCTCCTCCAGCACTTGTTGCAGGATGCCCTGATACTCTCGCTCCTTCTCCAGCAGCTGCTCCAGCAGCCTGAGGTCCAAACAACAGACACACCAGAAGAGGTTATTCTTTTGAAGGCTGCCGTACTTGATCTAATCACAGTATCCAAGTGTTTGTGGCTACCTGTTGGTCTCCAGCTTCATCCTGCCCAGCTCCATGCTCACAGAGCGCTGTGCATTATGAGATTCATGTGAGACAGTAGAACTAAGCGTGCTGACTCCTGACGTGGCCACAGTGTCATCGTGAGCGGCTACAGGAGGCGGCCTGCTCTGGTGGGTGGAGTTTCTATCCTCAGCATCATCGTCTACGTCTTCCTGCTCAGCGGGGTCGCTTTCTGAGGCCAGACTGAAGTGAGGCCTCAACTCTGAAAGAACAGAAACAAAGCATTTATTTATGAATGCAATGAAGGATGACATATAGGATGACTTTGATGCATAAACTAAACATTTCAATATGTGATCTTCAGCTCATGCTGTTCTTAACCTTTCTTTGCTCATGCTTAATCTATTCAGTAACTATTGGATGAATTACTGACAAAATCAATGAAAAGCTGCTGCCTTAAAAGTGCAGTGTGCAGCATTTAGCACCATTTAGCAGAGCACTTGGAATATTACATTCACAGGTATGTTTAGATTGCCTGAAATAAAGGCCTTTTTGTTTTTTTTCACCTGTTAAATCTGTATTAGTGACAGGTCCCCTCCTACAGAGGTCACCATTAAACACCACCATTTGTTTTACGAAGCAAAGAATAAACTATTAACATACATGTTTTAAGTTTAGTAAGTTGGGATGCAAAATGAACTAGTTAGAGGACAAAAAATAATAAAGTGGTGGTTTGTGCAAAAGAATTTGTAATGATAGACTTAAAAACTTCACAAAGACAGCTCATAGTTACACAACATCATAGCAGCTTCTTGTCCTAAATGATTACTACACTTCACCAATGAAATGGGAGCATTTCAGGCTAGAATCTGGCTGCTAGATATTGAGAAACATTCTATGTACTGGAGCAAAAGACAGCTTTACTTGCACTTTGATTGTTCATTTACAAAATAAACACATATCCTGACCCAAGTATGACAAAGCATGTCAACCTTCTGTTTTGAAAGTTTAATTTCACTCAGTCAGATGGTTGATTTGTGTTTGGTACAATATCTGAAAAACTAGATCCACCTCTGTCACTTAATGCATTGCAGTCTTTGGTGATCACCAACATCAAACTTTAAACTTTCAAACATCTGTCTCCCAGCATAAATCTGTGATCGCTCCAGCTTCCAGTGCAAACCCTATATTTTATCAGGCAGTCTGCACGGCCTCCAGAGATCAGCCATAACTGATTTAGAGAAGTTTGGCTCCAGACTTTATTGATGTTACCTGGCACCAGGATGGTGATTGCTGTCTGCACAGCTTTTCGGATGATGTTGTCCAGAGCGAACATCCAGTGAGGCTTGATGTTGTGGTTTCGCAGCACTTTATTCACCTAGAGACATTAAGAATAAAATAGAAAAAACCACACTCCTGCTTTATTTTCATTCGTACTTGACATCCCACATTTTAATGATAATATCTGATGGATGTTACTCTTCATTTATCCATGCCTGCATCTAAATCGAACACTTTGCTCTCCTTATTTCTTGCTTGTCACCTCCACACTACTTCACCATATTCTCTTTGCTTACATGATAAAATCTGCACTAATGCTCCCTCGTGAGTCAGTTTCATTTCCAAATAATCCAATTTGAATAATCATATTTCATAATCAATGCTCTAAAAATCCATCTGTGCAGCATTTCAGTTGCATGGCTCCTTTTTTTTAACTTTAAATGTTTTGCACTGATGACCAGAAGGGGGCATCAGAGCTTCATCTTCTTGCAGGATTATGCAACAACCCCTGAAACCATAAAAACAAGCACTTGCTCTGGAGTCATTTCATCTGCAAAACTTCATTTCTGAGACACAGAGCGCTGCAGCCTTTGTGTCACAGACTGTGCATTAACTCCCTGATAGATTCACCCCATATCTCCTCACACAAAGGTTAAAAATATTTCACCGTCAGCTGTCTAGTCTCGATGCAGGCAAAGCTGCAACATGGCAGCCTGCTGCAGCCTGCAGCTTGTGTGAAATGACAACAATTATACTGGAGTGTCCAGAGAAGACACGGTTTCTGCAGAGGATGAAAAGCAGCCATGCCTTCAGCTGAGGATTGAAAAAGACAGAGAATCACATGTTCCAGCTGGAGAAAGAAAATGAGCAGCATGTGAGGAGAATTTTAGCATCAGAAATGAGCTTGAAGCAACGGCTTGTTTTTTTTTTCCTACAGCATTTTAAAATTTCTTTAAGTTCTCCTCCTTCTTCTACTCTCTATCTGTCTGTTTTCATAATGTCAGTGTTTCTGGGTTTGGCACTTACAGCATCCTGGAAGCCAAACAGCACGACCTGCAGCTGGCTGATGGCAGTGCTGTCAAAGTCCAGCTCCAGCTTGAGTTGAGACAGCGTGTTGGCGATAATTTTCCTGTCTGCCATGCGAACAAAGTCGGCCAGACTAACCACCAATGTAGAGATGTGCTGGGGCTTCAGCCTCATATCTTCAGACCCCTGGAGGTGAATCAGTCATAGCGAGACAGGAATAAAAGCCATCACAGGGAGATGAGGATTTTTTTTCTATCGCTTTGAAGCATACATCTGATTGGTCAAAGTTTCAACCACACACCTGTGTTATTGCCTCCATCAGGTTGGTCACCACCTTGTCTCGGTCCTCTGTTAGGATGCGATGTAACGTTGCTCTTCTCTCGCTGTCTTTTCGGAGCATAAAGAAACCTGAATCCTTCTCATCTGGAGATGGAGGGGCGCTGTGGTCCTCAAAGTTCTCCACCGGGATGCTAAGAATAAAAATGAATCTGTTTGAACCTTTTTTACTTTTTCCCAAATACTCTGCAATTCCATGATGTATTATTAAGCTAGAAATACAAAGTAAATCAATCATGAATGTCTTTGCTTGGACTAGTTGTGCCTTTATGAGTTAATGTATCATGACAGACCTTGACCCTTTGACAAATGAACCTGTCTGGGCCCTACTTGTTCTACCTGAGGAAGAGTGAGCGGGGCCCTTTGACATCCCTCTCGCTGTAGCACTTGACGCTAGGTTTGAAGATGAAGGGGTTGGTGTTGAGGTCATTGTCTGGGGAGACAGAGCCGTACTCGCTGCTGCTGCTGGTGTCCTCAACCACCACCGGCACCGGCAGAGAGATACTGCGCAGATACTCTGAAGGACAGAATCAAATCTTTTACTCCTGCCTGTTGCATCAATTATGCGTTACCAAGCTAATGTTTATTTTTGTAGCACAGAGGAAGAGAAGTGAGGACGCAGGAGCTGTTCATCTCAAAGAAAAAGAAAATCTGTGAAAGTGCTGATGGAAAAATTGTTTTCCTTGTCAGAGAGAAGAATCAGATAATTCCTCCTCATCATATTTAGAGAGTGAGGAGCTTTGTCTGATGTGTCTGGCTGCAAATTATAGTTATTGTGTAAAAAACACAAGAGATTACAGAGACAATCAGAAAGAAGTTATGTTGTCCAACATCTACTTCGAGTTCTCTGAGAGGGCAAAGTCGTGCAAGTGGGACCACTGAGAGAAAAAATGGAAACCAAACCTGGTTTCTCTTTAGCTGATGTTTAAGACTCTGATATACAGATTACACAGCACACCCTTTAGTGGTTAGTTTGTCAGGAGAAGAATTAAAAAGAGGGAGCAAAACATGAAGATAAAGAAAGAGGGAAAACTGGTAAAAGGAAGGAGGAATATGAAAAATAAAAGAGAATATAAATTGAAAAATAAATGAGAGCAAGGGAAGAAAAGGGGAAAGAAAAGAGAAAATTACAAGAAAGAAAAAATGATAAATGGAAGAAAAAAAGGAACAAAAGGTATTAAAACCAAAACAAAAAGGAAAATGAAGAATGTAAGAAAGAAGGAAAATAAAGAAAGGAAGACCAAAAACAGAGAAATGAAAGAAAGAAAAAAAAGGATTGTCTTTATTTCTTTTGTTCTTTAAAAGAAAGAAAACAAAATTAAAAAAAGGAAGGAAGAAAATGAAAAATGGGAAGAAAGGATGAAAAAGAAGCAATGACAAAAAATACAAGGAAAGAGAAAAAAGGGAGAAAGGAAAAAGACAAACTGAGAGGAAAGAGAAAGGTTAAAGAGAAAAATGTGAAAAAAATAATGAAAGAAGAGAAAAAATAAAAAGAGTAAAATAAAGAAAAAAGACAAAAGGGGTAGGAATGAAAAAAGAACTATGAAGAAATTAAAATAAAGACAAACATTTAAAGAGGAGGCAAGAAAGACAGAATTAAAGGAAGGTATGACAAAAGATGGCAAGGACGGGAGGAAGGAAGAAACAAGAAAGACAGGCAGAAAGAATGGAAAAGAGGAGTGTAGAAAGTTCAGTAACTCACCAGTCCCCGGTGAAAGAGCTGTCAGGAAAAAACCCATGAGAAGCATCAGAACACCAAACAGAAGAAAGAAAAACATGATTTCATGTCAGAGATCCAGAAAAACACTTCAAGAATAAAAACGTTTTTCTGATCTGTCTTTCTGAGGCCAAACCACATGAACGTTTCACTACAGCAGCCTCAATGAGGACCTTAATTATTACAGTCCAGACCAGGAGGACAAAGGTGGTTTCAGGCTGTTTTTGTTTCACAGTACGGAGGTTACAGCAGGTGAAATAGCTGAGGAACATTTGAAGACACTGCACAGCCAAAATAAATATTGACTTTTAATCACTAAATTATTAAACTGTGTCAGCTATACCTCAGGTTCAGTGTGAACAGAATGTTCAGGGCTTGGGTAGATAAACAAAGCAAAACTTTTGTTTGAAAAAAATAGCTGAAAAGATAACCAATTAGCTTCTTCTAAACCAAGTTACGTTCTTAAAAATCCCTGAATATGTCCGATTTCAATGAAAAAGATACAAGATTAAAGCTTTTTTTTGCTCCAGTAACAGGAACATATTTGTTACTTTAATATTAGCTCCTTCCGATGAATACTGGGAGTTTTTTGCCAGTTGTTATTGTTTTTAACAACCTTATCTGAACCCCATGTATCCTCACTTTGACTTTGCTGAAGAGGCCTAACCTGTGAAGCTACCCTTGCTCTTCTTCTTGCGGCTCGTTACGGTGAGGAACTCGTCAGTGAGCAGGTCAAAGGCAGTGGCGCGCTTGTCTGGGTCGGGCTCAAAGCAGCGCAGGATGAAAGCCTTGGCCTCCAAAGACATGGACTCTGGGATCTCTGGGTGGATCTTAAACATGCCCACCTGCAAAGAAAAGACACAGATTTATTTTCAGCCAGATCAGAAGTCACTTGAAAGGACTATCTGAGTTAAAGCTGAAAATGAAAGCTGTGAGGACTTGGCTTTTACTGGTAGGAGTCAACTTGGGTGCAGCATGTTTGTTTACCCAGTGCACTTTGAGAGTGTGCTGCAAGGAAGAGAATAATGCTCAAAGTTCAAGACTCTCCTGACAGTAAGAGGGCCAGAAATTCCTGTCGCTGCTGTTGAGGAATGTTGACTCAAGATTAGCTTGGAGATGCCCCTCCCTGGAGACATTCCTCAAGGATAAGTGAAGAATCAGTGAGGATTATTATAGCATTTGTGTCGACTCTGAACTCCAAACTGCAGTCAAAATAAGTTGGAGATAAAGATGATGAGGTAGTGCTTGCAGCTGCATGAATTCTGTGATCTTCATCCAGCAGAAGAGAGGGGATGGCTGTACCTGCACTCATGCTCTGTTTACTGGAGGGTCTTCTGAGCACTGTAACACACTCAGCCTTGGTTAAATGCATGGCCCTTTAATCAAGTTCCATCTTATGGAAAATGCATGATTCATAGCTTTGACAGGAGCCGGCCTGCCTTCCAGACAGCCCTTAAACATCTTTACTGTCTATAATGGGCTGCATGCGGCTCCAAACCATGTTTCACTGGAGCTGTGTGAGAATAGGTTTCAAACACACACAGAGACACTGGAAAAAGAGGGCACGTAGGAAGTCTCTGTGGGCTTGTCTCAGAGAGCTACGCATGTTTGTTTGTGTTCAAACAAATGTTCTTGCACAGACGTTATTTGGAGTTTTGGCTGGGCTTGATCAACATGCAGGTGGTGCCATAGAGCAGGTGCAGAACAGCTGATTTTTTTTTTTACATAAAAGGGAGGCAATATGTAAGGACGTCAGAGCTGCTTTTTATTTAGTTTGATGGCGTTGGAGAATATGTTTTTTTACAGCACAGAGTGAACACAGGCTGTGAAGCCAGAGGGAGCAGAGAAGATTAAACACAATGGGATTGTACATCATTTCAGTGAAAGTTGAATATTGCAGTCTGATGCACATATCAGATCTCTTGAGTAAAAAAAAAAGGTCCACTTCTAATTACGTGAAAGGCTCATAGCTTTTCAATCAATCTAAAGGAACATATTTCCACATCTGATGTGCTACAAGCTCCTTTGAGCCAACTCTCAGTCTGCAGAGTCCTTTCTTTGAACTGTCATTTCATGGACGTGATTTCATGCAGCCTAGAAATACAAAGCCTATGAGGATTCGACTTCAAAGAAGATTTAAAACAACCAGTTTCATAAGCTAACAGTTTGCATGTACACTGTTTTTCCATTATGTCAATATTGAACTGTTTTAACTGTTCAACTCTTATCTAATCATATTAAGTATATTACAGCGAGAGGAGATGTTCTTGTGTACCTTTAGGGTGTTTTTTTGACCTCTTAAGTAAGCTTGTGAGTGTATTTTAAATGATATGTGACTGTAATGTAATCAGCTGTCTCTGAGAGAGTCTCTCCTTTTATTATTTAGTTGAATGCTTAGGGACTTCAGTGAGGCTCACAGTTACAGGTTAGGTAAACTTAGTAAACTAAAGAAAAATCAGATCATACTAAAAACATCAGGGGAGCAATTAAGAGCTCTGAGACGTGAAAACTGACCACATCCCCAGTCACAGCTGTTCACTGGCTCTGTTAATCAAAACTTTATGGAAGATTTCACCACAGGAACAGATGTTCATCTGCCCTCAAAGACCAGTTTGCTAAAATTAAACACATTACCCAGAGGGATGATGGGCTTTTGTTTCTGCCGGTGTCTCTCACCTTGAACATAGCAGCCTGTGGTTCTCCCAGCTCGTAAAAAGGTGGTTTCCCTGTGGCCATCTCGATGATGGTGCAGCCCAGAGACCAGATGTCTGCTGGCTTCCCGTATCCACGAGGCCCCTTGTCTATGATTTCAGGAGCCATGTACTGTAGTGTGCCTGGACAGAGAAACATAAACACAAAGGCCGGCAGACAGACAGTGTTTTTAGTTGGTTTTCAGGGCAAAGAGCTTTCAGAAACTATTGTGACTTCTGTTGAGTGGGCTTTAAGGGGTTTCAGGGTTTCACCAGGAGCTGCTGAAGTGTCACTCTGTCATTTAGGGAATTACTGTACCTGTCAAGTCTCTCAGAAGTGACAAAATCAACCTAAAACTAACCTGCCTTTAAAAATAGCTCAATACTTGATGATTGAAATATACATGTTATTGTGGGCTAGTAGTCTTTTGAACAGTCATACCAAAGAAAAACATGGAATTGAAGAGTTCATGATATCTTTTGTATACGTATATTAGACAAAAAAGATGCATCTTTGTGTGGTTATCTTTCTGTTAACTAAAGTCCAAGCTGTGCGACAGTTGTCTCCAGTCTTTAAGCTAAGCTAGACAAACAGCTCCCTTGATACCCACTCGTATTTAAAAGGCAGATATAGGCCTGGCATCTGTTTTGATATCTAATGGCAAGCAAGGAAGCAAATAAGCTTTTTACCTGATTTATGCAACTTCCTTTGATAGGACTTTGAGAAAGATGATTTTTATATCATTTTATTAGTATGCCATTCTTCTGTGCATTGAATCTTAATGCAAGAAACTTTCCTTCTTGCTTTTTTGATAAATGACCAAGAACACCTAATAAATAAGTTATGACAAAACAAATCACTCCTTTACTGACGCTTGAAAAATGTGCAAGCAAACACAGACTGAATTCCCTCCTGTCTAAATCTGTCAATAGCAGAGGAAGAAAATCAGGACAACCTGCTTCAGTCGACATTGATGCACTTTTTCTCATTTAGCATTTGGATGAAACTCAGACTAAAATAAGTTCAGGTGTTTGAAAAAGCTCTGCAGAAAGTTTACAGAGGTCTCGAGTGCACTTTCAAGGCCACAAAGTGACTCACAGTCAGTGATGGTACAAAGTGACATTGGTAGCATATGAATGGAGCTGACGTAAATGCCAAAAATATCGTGAACCGAGTCTATGTACCGTTTCTGTGTTGTAAATAGATGACATAATCTTTACAAATGACCAGCAGGTAAAGCAAGTTTTATCAGGGCAGCAGCAAAGATCATGTGTGTGTGTGTGTGTGTGTGTGTGTGTGTGTATGTGTGTTGTTATAATCACAGCTGAGTCTAAAGTAGCATTTCAGCTCTCTGTTGAAGGACTCTTTTGTTCTAATAATAGCCTGCTGGGCGGTATTTAGAGGCTTGTGTACTGAGCTAAAAGCAGAGCAGGGGCTCATTTATAGCAGGCCAGAGCTATAAAAAGGAGTAGCCCAGTTTCCTGAAAGAACTCCACCTTTCAGGGCAAGTCCCTGTCTGTTCCAATCAGCTGACGGCTGACGGAGGGTGTTATCCTCTGCAACTGGTCTCCTACATACAAACACAGGCCTGCCCTAATGTGACCGCAGACTCCTGCCAAAATAAAAGCCTCCTTATAGAAACAGTCGGCTATTATCAGTGATGTCACTTAACTTGCCGAGGGGCTGACAGTGGCTGAAATGATGACAGCAGGAGATGAAGTAGTGTCTGCTTGAGGTTATCTCACAGCTCTGCTTTACTTGTGGTCACTAATGTGCAAAGTTTGGCCTGATGTTTACACAGAAAAGGGGATTTTCCAGAGCCAAAGGGGAAAGTTGGGATTTCCTTAAGCTGGGCTGTTTGACAATCTTTGTGATAGTCAGTGGATTATTTACAGGGCCGGGCGGACACTCTGTCATGTGTAATAGGTTTGCAGAAAATGTATGAGGCTAGGTTAGACCTCATACTGAATTTTAGGTTGATCTTAGTGACCTCTGTGAACAAACCAGTACCAGTACCCATCTCTTTGCTTATATTGTCCTGTACATGCAGAGGTCGAAAGAGATCCTATATAGATTCTATGTATGTAAATCCTACAGCAGACAACAGTTGTGTTTATAAAATAATCAATCAACTCTGTGCTGGTGTGGGAGGATTTGATGGATCATGTAGAGGCCACAGACTGTATATTAAACATGGACACAGTCAAACTCATAGGGATAAATCAGTTTCAGTTATTGTTCTCTATCTTTCAAACCTCAGTGAGGAGAAGGTCATATTGTAAGTCCTTATTTGTGCGTTCATATTTGACGTGATTCACTTCTGACAGTTCAACAACAACAACTCATGTTTTTAGACCTATGAGACAAACAACCTCACTTCAAAAAATCTGAACAATAGATATGACGCACTATTCGAGGGTTTTAGTAAACAGGGATCTATGAAGTTTGCCAGTTTTGAGGCATAGGAGCCCACCTGTGAACGTCTCAGTGCAGGGGTTGATCCCAGCCAGCCTCTTGGATGTGCCAAAGTCAGAAATCTTCAGGACGCCACTGTAGGTGTTGATGAGAACGTTATCACCCTGTGGATCAGGAAGACATCAAGTGAGAACAGACTCATCTGTCCCCTCGTTGAGATCCTGACACCGTGATGATTTGGGAAAAATATATGAGGTGCCTGCAAATCCTTGGTGACAAACAGCAGGTTACAACACAGCGTGTGGGAAGAGGGCGGCATAACTAGGTGATTAATATTTAAAGATGACACCTCTGAGACCCTGTTGTTAAAGCAGGTGGATGAACAAGGAGGGGGTGCTGACCCTAATCGCTGTGTGTCATCGCAGAGATCACACACACAGAGGGTGGAGTTTATATGACAAACAGTGGGAGGAGGAAGACAGGATGGGTTTTTATCCAAAACTGTCAAGAAAACATGAAACAGCAAAGAGCAGATTAGATACTCTTAAAGTGTCATCAAACCAGATCTTATTGACTGCATTTAGAGTTACAGGATTTTGTTCTTTCTATTTATCACTGTTTTTACGAGGGGTTGTTGTTCTGTGAAATATATTTAGCTTGTACAGGAAAATCTAAATGTTATTTAAAGGAACATTTCTACAATAACTGACGGACAGTCCAGCCTTTCTCTTTTCTGCTTACAGGTGTTTTTTCCCCTCATATTATTGTTGTGTTTTCGCTGTTACCTGTCAATCAAACTGTGAGGCCACAGATCACCCCTGACTTCTTTCCCTGTCTGGATTTCCTGTTGACAAAGTTTAGTATTTCACTGCTGGTGCCCTCTTTCCTTCGTAAGTTTAGCCACAGTCGCCCTTACTGCTCAGGAAACAGACTAATTCTTCCCAATACTACAAACTGCAAACATGACCTACAATTAAATTCATTTACATCAGAGGGTCATCCCTTTCAGCATCCTCATACAATTCATAAAAAATAATCAAACAGAGTAAATGCTTACAGTAAACCAAGAATGAAAAAGAAGTAAAAGCTCTGACAAGAAGACAAAGTCACTTCTAACTAGCTACTCCTCACCTTGATGTCTCTGTGTGCGATCTGGTTGTCGTGCAAATATTTGAGCCCCTCCAGGATCTGCCGAGTGTAGAAGCCGATGGTGGGCTCGTTGTTTTTCAGAGGACCCCACTTGGACCTCAGCAAGGCAGAGAGACTCCCTGACCAGAGAGGGAAAAGTTCATCAACCATAACTACGCTCAGTCTGACCTGAGATCAGCGGCACTTTTACAGTTTAGGCCTTTTAGCACAAATTGGGATATGTTTAGTTTGCAGTTTGAACAGTTTTTGAATGTAACTTAAGTCATTCCAAGTACATTTACCTGCAGATGTAAAAAGTTAACTCATATGTTTGTCTCTATTTAGATAATGACAAGAAAAGACAGCTGAAGGATTTCTTTAAGACTGAACAGACCTTGACTACTTTCCTCTAAATTTTCTCCAGCATCCTCTTTAACACACTGAATATGTTTTCTTATCTTTATTTTTTCTTAATTCCTCTGGTTCTCACCTCCAGGCACCTGCTCCATGAAGATCTTTATGAAGCCGTTCTCGCTGATGGACCCGAGGTACTGGACGATGTTCTTGTGCTTTAAGTGCTTGTGAAGAGCAATTTCCTCATGCAGTGGCTGAGAGTACCTGTGTTAAAAAATGGTGCCATGCTTTACACTAAGAAAGAATAGGTAACCACGACTTTAATTCCTAGAAAAAAATGCTTGATACTCTGAGGGGTTGGAGAAGAACTGAATTCAGGTATTCACTATTCTTTCTTTGGCTTACGGGTTTGAGTTTACAGCACTCTATCTTCTCTTCAGAGGGATCTTAGAGGCTTTAAATGTAAGTCTCCTTTGAGTCAGTCAAAGTGATTCATCTTTTCAACATCCCAAGGTCTCATCATTCTCAACCAGCGATTATGTGATACTCCTTACTACATAACTTGTACAACACTGACTGTGGAACTACTGCAGTAAAACTTAAAACTGCAGTTACCTGAAACTACCACAATGGAGCAAACATCAACTTACAAACTCTTTTTAGTCCATAACACTTTTTGAATTCTAAATATATAAAAAAAGTTTCACTGCTTCTTGTCACAGACCTTCAAATATTAAAAGAAAGATTGTCAATTAACCTCTGTAAAAAGGTAACAAAGTCAAAATACATTCATACTTGGGGATTTGGCCAGCTTTGCTGATCAAAAACATATGTCATAAGGACCTATGTCCACTTTCTCTTAGTTTTACATAGTCCCACCTTTGGAGCACCACTGTGCTCTTCAATGTCATTTCTCCTTTACTTACAAATCAAAATCAAGAAAGGTGAGTCTAAAAATATCAACTTTATCATCAATAATAATAATAATTTAAAAAAAAAACTAAAAATTTAAAAAACTCAAACTGCTGAGGTGAAACTGAAAAGACTCATTTTTCAATGGCACATTTCAATTTCTGAATCTCCTTGATAGAAAGCAAATATTGAGCTTTATTTAAAAAAAAAAAGACATGACAATTACAAAAGCGAGATGTCAGGAGACAACTTTGGTAACCTTACAACAGTAAATGCCACTAAAAAGTGCTCTGAATCTGCAGGAGACGGAACCACCAATGAAACCTATAGCAGTCAGTGGACACAGGCCCTTATTTTGTGCTTGTTAATCAACTATTTCTATTTCAGCCTCAAACTTGATTGGAAACCACACAAATAAAAATACATAACAGTGAAAATGCATTGATCAACAAGAGTGTAGTATTTATGTGGATGTAACTCTTATTTCACTTAATCAATGCCCTGATGGACTATCTAAAAGGCCAAAACCCGAGAGACAGCAAGGTCTGATCCTGATAGCGTGCCATCCAACAATTTTCTCTCACATTCAGCACTCTGCATGATTCACACACTCTGTTTGTCTCTCTCTGCCTGTCTTCACATTTTGATCAACTGCTAAATTATTTACACAAACCCTCTGTATCCCCTGCAGTCTAGCGCTCTGCTGACTGGCTGTAGTTATTTAGTAAAACAGGGAATGATAGAGGAGTTGTCTCGTCTGTGAGAAAGTCACGAAATCAAAGATGTGGTTTTGACCAGAGACAGTGGTGACAATTTAACTCCAGTTACCAGTCACTTATCTAGATGTGAGCTCAGAGAAATCCACAAACCCTCAGGGACACTGGTGCTCTGTGCTTTAAGCAGCACTTTCCTTAATGATGCTCAACATTAGTGCTGAGCATGATGAGGCATTAACGGCCCGCACACCTGTTTACATCCAGGCTGTAATATCAGCTTAGGAGGAAAACAAATGGAGGATTTGCAAGGATTGCTAAAAATGTTGAGTGTGCCCTGAGGGGGGGCTTCAAATGAAAGGCGTTTATCCTCTGAACACGAATGTGCTAAATCAAGTCCAAAGCAGTCAGATTATGAGGTATACAGCAAATGTTACATTTTGGATTGATGATGGTACAAAAGCAGGATTGCTTTGCTACCATAGTGCTGAGGTCCATCCTCTGGAGACAATGGGCTCTATTTTCGTGCCCACCAGACAACTTAAACGTTCAGAAGACTAATTCTGCAAATGAGGACCTCTCAGATTTGTAGTGGACACAAAATACTGCGTGATCTCTGGTAACGATGGCATCATGATAACAAAAAGCAAGGAAGAACTCTCTGCAAGCAACCAGTGTGTACATAAACAGTCAGAGTTAAACCATTTCTGTTCTGCAGAAGGATACAAGTAAATACCAGAATAGTATGACAAAAAAAATCCTCTGTCATGAACTGCTTACCTTCTGCCAGTGGACCTTTAGAGTCTGTCTGAGTAACACATTCAGATGGCAAACAAATGCAGATTCTTACCTGCTGTCTCTCTCTGGTATTTCTTTGATGGCCAGGCGGACCTGGTTGCTGAGGTCTCGGCCCGCGTAAACGACTCCAAATGTCCCTTTTCCCAGAACCACCCTCTCTCCATGTTCATCATACTCATAGTCGTACTGTGGAGACGAGCGCACATCAAGGTGTTGGTCATGTAAAACTAATGTTAAATTTAAATCATGATAACACACCTTATGAATTGATTACAACCCGTCATTTCTCACAGGATTAAAAACTGCACTTGCTAAAACACATCAAAAGACCACAATGATGATGATAATAATAACAGAGGAGGAAAGGCAAATTAACTGTACCAGCAACATCCATAAAGCGTTTGATAAAGGTCCTAGAGAGCAGCATCAAGTGTCTCTCAGAGCAGTTTATAAAGACCTGAATATAAATTCAAAGAAGGATGAGTGTCCAGATTTGCTCATTTAAACGGCTTTTCAACTCTCAGCGTGCATGAAAAACACTATTTTGTTTCAATGGAAGGGTATAGGTACTTCTTTAAAAAACTAAAAAAGTGTGCCAGAGAGAGGAAAGAAAAAAGCATAGTTGTATTTTTGGTTTTCACGGTTTTTATCCTGTTGAGTCATTTCCAACAAGCTCACAATTATCTTGTTTAAGACCCCAGTAAATAATTACTATTCCTCTCTTTAAGGGATGAAAAACATCTCTTTTTATCCAAACAAACTAATCCAATAAATAATCCAATTCAATTTCTAAAAGAATTGAATGAAACTCTAATGAAACCTAATTTTCTTTTCTTCCTATCATGTGATAAAAGTGCACAGGAGACATGTTATGACCTTGATTTGAAGACAGTTGGGGGGGGTTGGAGAGCAGCCAGCAGTTAATGCAGGCGGCTGATTCTCATATTACATCAAACACAGACACACGGCTCATAAAACCTGTTTGACATTTGATCCCTGCCTGTGCTAAGTCAAAATGGGCGCGGCAGCATTTTGGGATAATTAGCTTTTCTTTCTCCTGAGGCTCCGCTGGGACGACAGGTGAACAGAGCAGCAGGTGTCTGTTCTGTCCTGTCAGAGCTTACAAAGCAAACGAGCAGAATCCAGGTCTCATCCCAGCAGGTTACCCTACATTTAGGCGGGTAGTGCAGCTGGCTGTCTACTCAGTCATAAGAATAAAAACTGATGAACTGGAGAGGAAAACTAGGTGGGAATACAGAGGTCTCTTAGAGGCTCTGTTAAAAACCAAGCGCGTACAACATAAATCAAATGTGGTGTAAGTTCAGGGAGTCTACAAAGCCAAGAGTACATTAGCTGGTCTTACACTAGCCCATACCAGCTGACAGGTCAGCTGATTACCTACAATGCAGCCAATTAGCAAAGGTTCTATTTTAACTAAATCGGCCTGTCTCCTCTTGCTGCTGCCTTCAGAAACTGTTTTGCAACCCACCTCAAACCAACCTCCTACCTCTGATGACAAATGACATTTATCTGTGTTACATGTGTTGTACCTGTACGTCAGGGTCTTTGCTGTGGCTCTCCCTGCCTTGGCTTCTCATTTATGCACATATAACAGAGGGGAGGTGTGCCCCTCTGGCACTCCATGTTCAACATGGACAACAAGCAAGTGATTTTTGTCTTTTTTCATCAGGATGCTGGTACAAGAAGAGAACTTTTTCCATCATTTATATTACTATTCCTGACCATGCACCATGAGTACTGTTTGGACTGCTGGCAAGTACCATAAACTGCACAGCTCCAAGAAAGTGTCTAAAATGCTAAAATATAACCTGGTATGAGCTTTTGAGCTGTTATTGGTGTGAATAAAGTCTCCACTCCTCTCACCTCCAAGGCATCAGCGTCACAGTCCCCCTCCTCTGGGCCTTTCCAGGCCTCCTCTGTTATGCTGTTGACCAGATCACAGAATCTGAAAGAACAACAGTCCAAGACAGATCAGCACACTGCATTTTAACAGAGCTTTATTTGAGTTTTCAGAAAGCCTGTGGTAATGAGATACCTCATTGTGAGTTTTTTTTTTTAAAGAAGAACACTGACCTCACTTTGTACCTCACTTTTTATTTCCAGCTATTTTTTTTTTTTTTTAACATAATAGTGCTCTAGGGCCTGTGCCCACTATCTGCATTCATAATACTGACGGCGCCCACAAACTCACGCACTCACTGTTGCTATACTCCTCTTATTCTCTTGGGATTGGCCATAAGAGCTGCTGTCTATGGTACTAAATGACTTTATTACTTTATGCTTTGTCATAAATGTGTACAACAGGAAAAGTAACCACAATTAATGGTTCAAAACTCAGTTACTGTGATTCCTTTTATTTGCAGTATATTTCGTCAATGATAAATCAGGTTAGACATATTTAACGTGGTTTTGCACATGTTGTTTGAGATTCATTATGCACATATTGTGACGGTGAGTGTTGGTATTTAGCTGATGGCCCTCTCCAGAAGGGTTACAGTGTGTTTACATGCACACCTCCCACACATACAGACACATATAATGACCTTAATCACTGTCACAGCGCCAAAGTGTGAATTATCATGTCTCCTCATCATGCTGCCTCACAGGACATGCCCGCAGGTGTTCTGTGATGCACGTGTACTCCTGCATGCGCACATGCCAATCATGCATGTGCACCTCTTCCTCTTTCGATACACATTTAGTCTGCCTTCTTCCTTCTCACCTTCTGCTCACTCCTTCCTCTCTTTCCCCAATGTCACTCCTTTTTGCTTTGTGTTAAAGGAGAGAAGCATCATGACAACAGCAGGCATGACTCACTGACTCTGCACATTAAAGAACTGGATGTGCGCGTGAGTGTCTGATGTGAGAGCCTGAACACTGTGTGCCTTGCAGAGCAGCAAGCCAGGAACACAGTGGCAGAGAGAAGACAAGGTGTGCTTGTGGTGGCAGAAAGTGTGAAATTTGCCACCTGAGGACAGCGCTGACAACAGTGCCTGTGAGGCTCTGCACAAGCACTGAAGACGTAAATTCACACCTGAGGGAGGAAGTTTGCAAGCTCTCTAGAGTGGCATAAATATTTATAAAAAACATGTCAGAAAATGTTGGCTTGATTTGTAGAAGTAAAAATCTAATCCTTCTTTTGGGTGATTTCGTATTTTTGAAACCAGTTTTTCATCATGCTCATGTTCATGTCAGATATGATGATACACACCATAAGCACATGTTTTAAGTTACTGAAAGATAAACAAACACCATCATAAAACTAGGAGTAAGAACACTTAATGAGATGAATCTGCAGTCAGAGAACAAGGAAGAAAACAAAGTGTGTGTGCTGGCTGACCTCTGAAATTTAAGATCTTTAAAATCATCAAACGGTGTGCCCCAAGGCCCAGTCTTGGGACCATTGTAATAACAACAGCATCAATCAAAACTTGTCAGCAGAAACTTCCCCTACGATGAAGATGATGGTTGCCTAATGAAGTACAGTTCTACTTGGTGCTTAAAAGTCCGTTTTTTAAGTGCCCTACAGGTTAGCTAAGCAGCATGGCTTTCTAGAGAGGATACTACAAAATCCTCCATAAGGGCACGAACAAACTTGCATACTAGAGAGAGGGGGGAGGCTAGGGCGGTGGAGGCAAAGCTTTGCCAGCAGCAGCAGGGTGTGGGAAGCATTATAGTAGGAGGGAAGACGTGTTTGAATGGGCTGCCTTGTTTAAAAAGATGGAGGGTGATTAGTGTTGAGCTGTTGAAAGATTTATTCAGCTGATAGCAGAGGGAGCCTATGACTCCTGTGTTCTGCATGAGGCAACACTGAGCTTCATTCTGTGCTAAACATCACAGAATCAGGCATTTTGTCTTTGATAGGAAACTATTAAAATCGCTTTTTGTGCGTTTTACCTTTCCTCGAATCCTGATGAAGATTACGTTATGTCTGTGACTTTTATTTCAAGAAAATGTTTTTACTTAAGCTGCAAAAATATTGTTGCTGTTACTTTTTTTTCTTCTGATCTACTAAATCCTGTTCATTTTCTCACCTTGTGTATACCATTAAGTAGTTTTCTTGTAGTCAACAAGGCTGTGACTCGACATTGCTGTATGATCAAGTAGGTTGGCTTTCTTAATAATCAGTGGCATGTAATTCAGGTTAGCTCTTGCCTCAAAAAATTGACAGTTAAAGTAATGTTTCAGTTGTAATTTTAAGCTTATTTTGATGAACAGGCTAAAAGAAACCTTACGATGTCAGCAGTCAGCTGTTTGATTTTCGACTTAAAAGCTTCATGATGACAAATGAACTCAGACAGGCTGAGAAGGGCAAGACCAACCTTTTACAGTGCATCTCTGTGCAGAAATAAATCTGGAAGTCCTCTGCATTGTGCAGCACGTAGAGAAAGGCACTTCTCTCATCAAACTTGGAGATGCTGAGGAGAAACAGTTCATGGTTAGGTGGACAATCATCACATGAGAGCTGATACAGCTGAATCAAGTCTTTCACAGGACTTTATGACATCAGCTATCCAGTCTCTGGTACCAAAAAAGAGTTTTTGTTTCAGTGTTTGGAGGCAAATCTAGAAACATTTAAAACCCAGGGGTTACGCACTGGTTTAATGACAATGGATAAAACTGAAATACAAAGAACAAATGCAGTATTTGAGTTTGAGAGAGGACGGTTTGTTTCTGGACAAATTACATACAATCATTTTATTTGCTAATACAATTACACTGCTCCTCTGCACAAAGCATGGACAGCTTCAACTGAAAAACTAAATAGGAACTTTCATATGCTGAAATGAGCACTTGTCCAATTTTTAGCCATTGTGCCAAGGCCAGTTACGCCAAGGCAGACAACGGAGGGACTGTGTGTGTGCGTGTGTGTGTGTGTGTGCGCCTGTTTTATTGCTGGCAGAGCTGCTTTTGTGTCCTGCTGACTGTCTGCAGGCTGAGTGGGCACAGAGAATGAGTAGTTCCCTAGCAACATGTGAGCGTGGCCCTACACTTCTCTTCTCTCATCTGACTCTGAATTCCTTTGAGGACCGAGGAAAGAGAGGCACACAGACGACATGATGGTAAGTGACTGTGGCAGACTGTCTGTGGTATTAATGGAGCAGTCTGATAAGTCTGTGAGAGATGAAGTCATGGTAACAGACATGTCTGCTTGTTTTTTTGTACGCATTAAAAAAAATGTATGACTCTGCTTCAAGGCCTCTGCACCTTAAAAACAACAACTGTGATTCCATTCCTGAGACATTCAAACCTAAAGTATGTGATATACTGTATTTTACTCTTATCTTGAGGTTTTTCAGTAATTTTCACAACATTTACATGATGAGTCAAAATGAGGAATATCTTAAAGAGGCTCATGAGGCTAGACGGCAGACCCAATAAACTCAAATGTGGCTGATTTTGGGGATCTGAAAAATGTGGATGTAGCATCTAAGAGGACCTGACTTTTGATCCCCATCCCAAATGAGGATAAACAAAACATATACAGCAATTACACACATCTACTGTACATAAATGCATATCCATAGACAATGTGAAAGAGGTTTCAAGAATGTTTATATATTTCCAAGTGTTACCCATTAGTCTTTCTAACGGTCAGTGTCTTATTTGTTGTTTTAAAACACAATGCGATTGTCTGAAAATAAGATGTAAATCCTAATGACACTTTTCTCCTCTCTCAGTAACCTGCATTGCTTTCAGTGCATACTAACTCTTAGACTGTGAATGTTAAATACAATCTGTGCACTTACAGGACAGCTGAGCTTAGAAATAGGTGAGAAATAACAAAAACATACAGCCAGAATGACTGAAAACAAGTCGTGACATCTCTGTCTGTATAGCCGCAATGACTTGATGTATGGCTCCTAAAACTCTGTGTGACAAAGTGAAGCTTGACAGTTTTCCTCTTATCTGCTGTCTGATGATAAACTGAAACCAGTCGCCCTGTGGCGACATGTGGAGTCTCTGTCTCATCAGTCATCTACAACATAAGTGTGTCGTTAAAGATGGCAAACACTGACCTGACACCTCGCACTGATGTGGCACTAAAGTTCCACTCATGAATCCCCTTTTGCTGCAGGAAAGAAAGCAACAAATATCATCAGAGCTCCAGGGACACGCTCAATCAAAGTGTCCCCAGTGGATGACACTGCACTGATTGATTATATCATACTGATAACAATATTACAGCAGTGGCATGCGTAGATTAAATCTACAGCAATAAAAAGACATTAGAGGCTTTATTAGATCAGCTGTCATGCTTGTATTAAATCGAAATGTGAGGATGGAAATGCTGATGTGGCAGATTTACAGGGACCAGTTCCTGGTGTGCATCCACTTTCATCTAGAAGCTGCTTTTTCAGAGAGCAAAACTGAACTACAGTATGAGAAAAAAAAATCAATAACACTTCATGACAGGAAACAACGATCCATTATCGCAGCAGAGTCTCACCAAAGATAAATCATGAAATCTGGAGGAGAAAATGGGTTTAACTTTGTGCTGTACTAAGTCATATCATATTATATCATATCATATCACATTTTCTATTATATGGTGTGTGTGAGAGAGTCACCCACTCTGTTCTATTCCCTAAATACTGTCCAAATAATCTAAGGTTTTAACACAAACCATGATCTTTCACACTAGTCCACTTAAGGCTGCCCCAGAAAGTCCTGGATGATCCACTGACACTTTTATAAAATGTCAGTTTTACTCACTTTTTATTTCACTTTGTTTTGAAAGTTTTTGCAATAATACACAATAAATTTGTAGAGCCGAAACAAAGAGATAAAAAGTTAGAAAGCGCAAATTTCCAGCACCACTTTTGAAACCAGTCAGGGGTGTTACAGGGAGTATGTCCCTGTTTCATAAAGTCCCTCTTTTTATCACTCATCCTATTATTATTGGGACCTCAAATCAAGGCTTGACCATGTCACATGTCACTCTGTTTTAAAGCCTTTTGTAAAGCCTCTGAAACTGCTTCAGTTATAGACCAAAAACAGGCCATGGGTTCAAGTAACAAAACTACTGAAGTCACTATTATTATTCACCAACAATACTGTATAAGCAAAATTCTAGGGGAAGATATGAAAACCACCCACCTTATCGTCAGGGGCAACATGCCAGATTGACACTGTGTTGTCATCCACGTCTTTGTTGATGGACAGATATGAAGGCTGGTACACTTTAGTGGGCTCCAATATCAACACCTAAGAAAGAAATGAAAGTGTCAGTACTACAATGACTTTTCTCGGCTGAGCTGCATGATTGAGGTCAGGTGGTTTCCTGTCTGTAGTTCCTTACAGGAAATCGGACAGAGGAAACGTCTTTCTTGGTGGCCTCCACCAGAAAGTCCATCCAGAAGTCCACCAGCTCCTGTTTGGGGGCCGGCTGCTCTGTGCCTGGCTTTTTGAATTGCTGGTAAATCAAGATTGTCTCCACTAGTGAGCGAAGATACCTGAAAACAAGCAAAAGAAAAATGCATCCATTAAAGACCAGGATCAGCCCCTTATTTAATGAGATGAATCTACAAAAAATCATATTAACATTCAGCATCTCAACAGAAAAACATCTGCTGTTGTGAACAAAACAATAATTTGCATGTTAATTACATTGTTTGAGAAAAGATCCCAAAGAAAAATGACATGAACAAACAATATTATCTGCTTGTGTTTCCATGCTGCTGCTCATTTTTCTTTGCGACATTAATGGAAACTTGGGGAGTTTTCTCAGCACCAAAACAAACAGAGAACAGCAGGGTCTAGCAAAAAAAAGCAGCTGCAGACTGTTTACTGTACTCATCACATGTTAAACATCTGGCTTGGTCTCATAAATCTTTACGAATGAATGCAAATCACATCTTAAAAAGACATTTTGCCCAAAACAAAAACGCTTTTACTCTGCAGTGGATAATGGCACAAATCTGACCAATCTCTGAATTACTCAAATGTCAAACTGCCTGTTTGTCCCTTCTGCAGCGGGGAAGCATATCTTTCCGGAGTGTTTGAATTTTTGTACATTTTAAACTCCTTGCAAAATGTTGCAAGCTTGTATATTTATTGAGTCCACACAAAGACAGAAGAGCTGTTTGTGGTGAGTTCAGTGATGTTTCCAGTTCTTTGACACACCAAATGCTTGTGACAATTGGCACAGATGGAGGCTGTGTTTTCAGGGCTAACCATGGCACACAGATGGTGAAGGCTGCAGCCTGAAAAGCTTTTTTTGGCATGCTACTATAAGGAATACTTATTATTTCTCACCAGATGGGGGCCTTGAGTTTGAAGAGTTTCTCAGAGGCTTGGATGACCCTGGTGTTATCACAGGCCAGGATGCTGGCACCCAGGAAGAAGCCCACATCCCAGTAGCTCTGCAGCTTGTCCAGGCTGCCTTTCTTCCCCAACAGGCTACTCAGCTTCACCCCTGGAAAACAAGACAGGGCAGCCAAAGATAAGACTGTTGCATCAAAGAAGTTTGGCTTTCATATTTTTTAATCTATTCTGCCACAGTCTAAAGCAAACTGGGACTATGCCCTTGTCTTTTGCAAAACAAAGCTGCCGCTACGTGCCCTGTTGCAATAACCAGCCACTTGGAGAGGTAGGTGGGGGTCTAGGGGTAGGATTAGCTCAGGGGTAGCTCATGGTCTGTTGGGACTAAGGGTGGGGTAGATTCAGAAGCTGCAGGCTGATTCCCAGGACTGTTCGCTCTGTTTCTCACATTCCTAAGCTCCCCTGAGCCTCAGATTTCAGTGGATGATTTGGAAGCATGCCTGCTTGCCAAACCAAGAAATCTTATTAAAAATGATCAGATTGTTCTGTATTAAGGCAGATATGAGGAGACCGTGTCTGCTTCAAGAATCAGCAGTGCCTACCTGCAAAATAAAACTCTGCAGGTCCTCAGTTTTTAAAGCCTCATACCTTCTTTTGGCATTTATTGTATCATTTCATATCCTATCAAAATGTATGGTATTATTCTGTATCATATGTTGAAATTAAGTGTATTACATCATATCTTGTTATACTGTCTCATATCATCTCACACTGTGTTATATCACGCTTTTTTGCTGTAATTTTCATGTGCGTTACCCCAGAATCCCAACCCTGATCAAGCAGTTTGGAGCTATTGGCAAATCAACAGTAAAACATAATTACCCATGAAAGTTGATATCACAATGAGCTGGCTTTTGCCCATTTACAAATCCAGTACACACTCAACAGAATAACGTTTAATCTGAGTCCTCTTGGTGAATTTAGACACAGTCATAACTATTGCCTAGCAGCTCCAAAATGTAGCTGCTTATAATTCTGCTGTATTGTGCCTGTTTTGCCCAAAACAGGTGCATATGGTACCACAGTGAAAAGAATTGATGACAGTAGTGGCAAAGTGACAAATCTAGACTCTCTGTAGATCGGATGTGATCAGCGAATTCAAGGTAATAATTACTCTCTGAGGCCTGGAGTTAGTGAGAGACTCCTTAAAAGTGATCATTTGTTTATTGGTTCAAATTAAACGTTAACAAATCAATGCATGCAGCTTCAACCTGGAGATTTCCATGCATGGATGTTAAATTAGAAAATTTAAGCATTCATTTTGTAATTTTCTTTTCTTTTTTATTACATACTGTGGTTAATCATAAATAGTCATGAAGTCTAGCGTCTACTCACCAACTTTGCGAAGCTCAAAGGACGAGTCAAACTGGTGTCCGGCTGCCAGGAGCAGAACAGCGTAGTTGATACCAGAGTGTAGTGTTGGCTCTGACTCAAACCCCTTTTTAAACCTGAGAATAGAAGACAAGATGACTCCAATAAACATCCTCCTTCAAGACATGCGTCATATCAAATCCCAAGTCTACCCCTGAGATAACTGATGTCTTTCTCTGAGCTGCGCTGCTTCCTGAGACACTTCATGTTAGAAAAAACAATAACAGCCATATTGAGTGGGGACCACAGAACAACAAACCATAACCACAAGTCCCCCCGCCAAACGAGAAATGTAATTTATTTAATGAACAATCTACTGAACTGAAGGAAGGGCTGTGAGCGCTTCTCTGCCAAGTTACAACATAGATCTGAAAATATTTACCAGATGGGAGCGCAGCAATGTAGGCAGAGTATTCAATGGAGAGAGATATGAGATCGGCAGAGCAATTAGAGGATGAAGGCAATCACCAGCCTGTTATTAAGCCAACTTGTTTGCTATTGTTAGTCTGGTTATTATTAGAGTGCTGATGTGACAGCCAGACTTTGAGGAGATTGCAAACTAGCCAGGGATGAGTGATTTACCCAAGAACCTCCTCAAGTCTCAGTAAGGTGCTGGAAACCCTCCACAAATGTCTCATGCTGTGCTGAGTCACATCGAGCAGAACAGGCAGGTTTTCCAGCAGCTCTATTATGCTGCGAATCTCAGGCAAAAGCATCCAACAGTCCTTAACAGGCTGTTGCAGATAAGGACTGAACAAAGCAACAATAAAAGTAATAATGAGCTAGCATCTCAAAGGGTATCTGTACTAAGAATTAATACAAAATGCTAAACTTTCTGTCTCCTTTTCAAAGTTATTACAGTTTTGATGATTTTTAACTGCTTTCCATGAACCGTTTTAGAGGCATATGTAAAATTCTTTCATAAAAACTGGATGACTATCATGAAAAATATACTCTGCTTTTCACTGTTCCTCTTTAAACTCAATGAAACTCGATTAAAGACATTTTCAAAGCTTTCCCTTTAAAATATAGAAATTTGGTTTATACATGTTACAAACACACTCTTAATCATGGGAAGTTACACAGGTTTTGTCTTTTTGTTGCCTTGAAATATCTGGAAAATAACAGTAGACATTAAAGCAGAATACTGTATAAATCTCCACTTCAAGCAAAAGTCACTATTTCAACTGTATTGTAACCAAACTATGTCAAAGCTTTCATGAAAGTAAAACTTTGACACTATTTCTGTTGGGGGCCACTGTGAGCCAAAAAGACAAAGACTGATTTTTTCGTCCCAGTCCAGCCCTGGTTATGGGTGAAATGCAGAGTAACAAAAAACACTTCCACAAACAGAGGCAGCCTACTCTCTTAGATTTTACTCTAGACTATCAAACACCAAATCAATCTGATGATGACTGCGACTTGCATCATGTAATTATTATTTGGAAGAACAGGAACATCTGCATTTGTTCTTATGATTTTGCTCATTGCATAACGATTATGCAATGAGCATTATAATCAAGTTATTCAGGGGTGGATGCCTTTGGCCTTCTTGATGTCACTGCTGTGATGAGCTGTCATCTATAGCCTTGTGTCCCACCTTCTAGCTTCAATCACACTTGTGGTTCACAATAACAGTGACTGAGCAGTGTTCTAAGGTTTTCTATTTTTATTTTTTGGACGGGGTTGTCTTGCTGTGTCGCCTGCTTTCAGAGGCTGCTCCCTCCCCCTCTGTGGCGCTGAGGCTGAGTGCGCTCACCTGTCCCCTATCTTCAATCAAGCCAACTTTATGATCGCTACTGACCCACGCCTCAGCGCTAGAGTTTTTTTTACACCTTAACGCAGCAGTACACAGACACGTTCTGGTGATCTTGTGAAAACACGTGAAGATTTTTCTAGTGCTTGTATATTTTTTGGTAACTAACCTTCCCTTTCTTCTTTTTTTTCCCAGCGCCTCCCACCGTTCCTCTCATCACCCTGCAACCCAGCACTCTCCCACTCACCTGAACTTCTCCACTTTGCTCGGACCCTGAATTCCTTTCCCTGAAGCAACACCTTCAGCTTCAACAGAACCTGCAAACCCTCCCCATGTCTGTTTTTTTATTCTGGTTCCATCTCCAGACTCAGTCATCACACTATTCTTGGCACTAGGCATGGTTTATTTGTTGAGCTGTGGCACCATGATCAGATAAGTTACCTTGAAGGTATTTACCTGCATTTTTGCATTTACAATCTCTGAGCCCATCAGTTATTATCTTACAGCAGGGACAAAAGACCCCTAATGACAAGACAGTATAAAAAAGATGAACAACAATACAGCTCCCCAAAAGTGAATCCAAAATATTCAAAACTATACTGATCCAAGTTAGCGACTCATTTAGTTGGCAGGTTAACAAGGTAGAGATGGTGTTACGAGCTGGTTTAGTGCGACCAGTACACTCCCTTTGTCATAGGAGGAGGAGGCTGTGATGTGATGATGCACTGACAGCCCTGTGATGGTGTTAGTTTTGACCTGCTTTGTGATAATGTAACACAGAGGACCTGAGGGGAAAAAGCACGAAGAGATTAATTTATCACCTTCTACAGTCAGCTGTTTCCTGCATACAGTCAAAGCCTGCAGAGCTGCATCAAAGTTCTGCATGTGTAGGGTTTATTTCCTTTTTTAGTTTAGGGTTTTAAACTGAGCTGACTGAATACTGCCATCCTCACCAGTGTGTGCCGCTGTCTCTGCTCGCTGTGTCAGTAAAATGAGACTCCAGGAACGTGTCCTTGTAGATCCGCCCCACCAGACAGTAGATGTCTGAGGCCACCTGCTCCTCACCCTCCACCAGGGGCAGCATAATGTCCAGAGCCTTCTGTCTGTCGCCTGGCAGGTTCCTCCTACAATCACGACAAACACACAAAAACATGCAGAACAACTTGTGAGTAACTTCTTTCTTCTGTTTTTCTTCAATGTCTCTCTTGCTGGCCCTTAAATCTAATAGTAAAGTTAAGTGCTTCACTGTGCAGTAATCTCATACTCTTGGGTTGTGATTAACAGTTTTATTTTACAATAAAAGGTAAAAATAAGAACCAACTAAAGCCGTTTTTGAATGCACTAAATTAGTGAAGACTTTCACAAGTATGTGATGGAAAGTAAAAAAAAAAGGATCCAACAGAAACAGCAGAACCAGAAATGATGTTCAGCTTCCTGTTGAGACCACAGACGGTATAAAACATGGACATGGTCACAGAGACAGGTGTGATGAAAGACCAAAGATACTGACAATGTTGGTCCCAGAAAACTCGAGGCAGATCTACAAATCAGCAAAGAGGTGGAGTTGAGGCCAATGGCTAGAACATGCTCACCTCTCAGTCAAATAAGCCAACTCCAAATCTTAAAACAATCAAAACGAAGGATTGATAAGAGAACAAACTCTTCTAGAGCTGCTGTTAGTTATAATTTTGCAATCTTTGCTCTATTACATGACAAGTCAGAGGAAGGAGAAGACTGATTAAAGGTGGGGTAGGCAGGAAATTGTTAAAGAAGCATCGTTTTTTGTGGTGTATATACAAAAAAGTTTTTAATATCAGTCAATAGCTATAAGTTACTGATGACATTTGGTAATATAATGACATTGCTGTGTTCTGTTATGTCTGTGTAGTCAACATTTTACATTTTTTTGGCGGCCCACTCTTTCTGACTGTAAACAAAGCCATTCTCCACCTCCCCAAACCTGGTTGGTTGTGAGGCGGACGCTGCTCCTTTGTGCTAATTGGTTGTGAGGCCGATTCTGCTCCCCCGTGTTGTGAGACACGCGCCACGTCCTTAAATAATGTTCACAAGCCCAAACAAAGTCAGCGTGCTACAATATCGGACAGTAGAAACCAACCAGAAAGTACGGAAAATTGTCTTAATCCTCCTTTGGCCACGACTGCCACCACAAGCAATAAAATGGAGTAAATATCGGAGACTCTAGCAGAACAACAGGTGCTTTAATAGGAGGTAGACCACCCAGACAAGAGCTACGAAGCCAGGTCGATGGGGGACGCTTTGGGTTCTTATGGACCCTGTAACCTTTCTGCTGGACAGGTAAACCGCTTTAACAAAGTAAGCTAAGTGTCTGTAACAGAAGTGTTTTATGTCAAACAGGACCTACTGCGTGTTGTAGCACTGCTAAACTGTTTACCTCAGGTCCTGGAGTATGTCACTTTTTCCTAGTTGTAAAAGTCCTGCAAACATTGTGTTTGCTGGTAGTCTGTTGGGGTCTACAGTAGCACCAATACTGTTTACTTTCACTTTCGTCTGTTTGTGGGCGGGGCTTGCTGGAGCAGAGAGGGAGGGGAGAGGAGGAGCTGAGGGGAAAACTGGTTGGGAGGGGTAGTGTTTACATTCAACATTTGTCCCAAAAACTGGCACTTCCTCAGATCCTGCCTACCCCACCTTTAACAGATAAGTGGCCAGCAGTCAAGAACAATGCTCTCTCTCTCTCTCTCTCCCTCCCTCCCACAACAGTGACTGAAGTGATCTGGAGATGACACTTAACCTGATACACTTGCAGCCCAATTGCACCTCAGAATTTTTCAGTCAAAGTGGTTAGCTCTTAACTTCTGTGTATGATTCTGAATGATACTGATTAAACATTTGGTCAGCAAAAATTGGTGTCACACACTGGATTGAACTAAATCCACTCTTTCTGCCATCAGAGCTGCTGCTGATGAGACACTTTTCCCTGCACCTCTTCAGAGTTTCTATCTGTGGATACTGTTTAACCTCATGAGTACTTGTGATTTGTGCAACATCTTAAGAGTGAGACATCAAGACCAACATGTGAGGAAGTGTTTTTTCCACTCTGCAGATTCCTGCTTGGTTAAACTAAACATGGAGATCAGGTGTGTTGTTATTGATTCTTATTATTTATTCAGATCTGAAGCCCCAGTAAGATCCCCTATCAGAAAATACATATACTGTTTCTGACTGAAATGAATATTCAATAGTGAAAATAAAAAAAGACACCAGAACTAATATGTCAATTTTCATGCAGCTCCCCCTGGAAAAAGCCTTTCCTCAACTTTTTCCATATAAATCGTTTTCTGAAGGGCTTGTGATCACTTGAAGTGTAACATTGCAAAATCAAGAGTCCCCTTAAACCATTTTTATTGTGATTATAAGACATGATGAAAAATATCTGTCTTATGTAATGATGAGTGTCAGTGAAGCATGTTTTGCAAGGTCAGGGGCAAATGCAGTAAAGCAAAACCACTACAAAAGCTGCATGGTCATGGCCTTTACATTTTGTACAACACGATAACGTATATATTCTGGTTTCACAAAAACTGACAGACAGACAGACAGACAGACAGACAGACAGACAGATCAATCCTTGGGTGCATGAAAGAATCACTGGTTTGGACAGCATGAATCAAATTAGCAACACCAGCCGTGTGTGTGAAAGGTATGTGTGTGAGTATAATTATGTGTATGAGTGTGTTTGTGTGTGTAGCTAGGGAACAGTTGCATACCTGCTGTTGGCAGCCGGATCTACCTACACAGAGGTAACACTGGTGCCAGTTACACACTGCTGAGGTCGCTGAGTCTCTACTTTTATTTCCTCCACTGTGATCTGTAACTGTGCTGCTGTAGATCACTCGTACTGAATCTTTCTGTGACAAACCTTAAAGGAAACAACTAAGGCTGTCAAATGAATAACCCATTTATAAATGTAAGAGAGTGTGCTGCTCTTGAAAGGAAATTAAGTGAAGAGCCCTTCAGGGAGTCAATTAATTGAATAAAATGAAGATAGGTTCATAAAAGCTTAGATTCAGAAACAAAGCCGGAGTACAGCTGCAGCATTTGGAGGTGAATAGTGAATTAAAATGGGTCTACCTTCCAGTTAGTTCTCTCACTTTTTCTTACTTCTCTTGAAAATTCAACATTAAATATCCAGCTAATATAACTCATATCAACTTATGTATTTTAATCGACTCAATTTTGAGATAACCAGAAAGGTATATAAAATATCTCTTATCCAGGGATGACAATTGATAACCAGTTCCAGATCAGAATTGGTTCTGACTAGTTTAAGCCATCAGCATCATTTGTCTTTATGCATAACAGCTGCTTAGTTATGTGTGGCTTGCAGAGTAATGACATGAACAGAACGCTCAAGGAGGTACTCAAAAAAAGGCTGCTTGAACATAGAACAGTAAGATGTGGAGACTCAAGGTCCTTACACACCGGGGCCGACACGAATATAGAACGCGAAATCATGAAATATTCAGAGGCCTCCTTTACCTCTGATTGGCTAGAAAAGCTGGAAACGTCATCACACGCTCAAGCCAAACGGTCAGCACTTATAGCCAATCAGAGGCGAAGGAGGGCAGGACGTTCCCTTAACAACCAGCATCCCGGCTGGAAGCGAGAGGACAAAAATGGAGTCTACTTCAGCTTCAAGTGATGGCAAATTGGTACTCCTTTTGCTTTCTCAAAAGAAAAAGAAGCGTAGCACATGAGTGCATCCAATATTACAAAAAAGAGAACTTGGTGAGTTTCACTGCTTGGCCCAGGAGCTGAAACTGTACCACGGTTGCTGATTGTTTTCAGTTCTGATTAGACACTAGTGTTGAGATGGCTTTCTGTCATGATAGCAAATACTGAGTCGGGGCCAGTACCAGATAGGCACATGAAGCTATGCTAACAACCGTTAGCTTACGTTAGCACAGATGAAAGTTTAAACAAAGACGTTTAGCAAACTGTTAAAGCACACAAACCATCGTCATATGAGAGATCCGATGCTATGACTCTCCACAAGATGTCCTTCAGGTCGTTATCTTTGTAATATTTGTGTCTTTTATCAAAATGCACTCTGCTTCCGACACGTAAAAAATCAGCCGGTTGGATATGTTGGATAAGTTGAATATACCGGTGAATCTGATGTCGCAACAACACGCAATCTGATTGGTCAGAAGTGGACACACAGTCTGGGAAACTTTAGAAAAATCGACCATGATACGAAAAAACTAAATGCCGCAATATCGCAGGATGTGAAAATGTTGCTGATGCTAACGCTTGTATCGACAGGATACTGGTTCGAAAAAAAATACTGACGTCCGTAATAATCGCACGACAAAAACCGTACCGGTATGTAAGGACCTTTACTGTAAAATACACACCCTTTTGTGAGACTGGTAGCTACTCCTTAATTACAAAGGTAATCTATGATAGAAAGCCAGGTCACTGGATAGAAAGCCAGTTTCTATCCAGCTACAGGCTTCTAAAGGCCCAATCAGAAACAAGGTTTTCCTGTCCCAGCCAAGCAGTGAGGGTATTAAAACTATGACCAAAATTTGTGTTTTTGTTATATTTTTTTCCCCACTAAGAGATGTTGTCTCATCTTTACAGTAATTTTGAGGAAGGGGTGTAAGTAACCTTAATCTCTTTTTGTAAAGTCTATATTTTTTTGCAGAATCTGTGGAGGAGTTACGAGAACTGTTTTGGTTTCTGTTTGTAGTATGAGCGTGATCACAAACTCATGTTTTGGCCGGCTCTGGTGGTACGAAGGCAAATGTCTGTGGGGAGAGCATAAAAGGCAGGAACACAGCGGCTCTAACTGTATTCTGAAACTCATTAGTGGTCATTTGACTTTGGGTTAGCTGTAATTAACGTTGAGATGGACATCTGCATACATGTGCTGCATGCAATCTGCTCCTCAGTGTCATCTCACAACATCAACTCCAGTGTTGCTTCTCGGACTGTTAACTATGTCAATGCAAGGTGAGGACATCTTGAATGGACGACCTCTAACGCCAAGTCCCAAAAAGTAGTCTATTACTCCCCAAGGCTGTAATACTGGACTAGTTCTGAGGTATGAGCTGTGGATAGTTTTTCTGTTTGTAAGCACATGGTCGTACATGTTTTTTTAAGGAGAAGTCTTAAATAGGTACACTTTGTGACAGCCATAAAAAAAATCCCAAAAAACATAACGCAGCTTCTCTCTGGGGCGTGAAGGTTAAATAAAACATATGAGCTGACAGATATTACCATGGAGACAGTCTGGAGAAAAGACTTCTGGGAGATGAAACCTGCTCTCATCTGTTGCGTCTCTCTCTCTCTCTCGCTGAGGAAATTCTTCTCTTGCTCCTGTCAGGCTCTTAGCAGCGTGAAAAACCTGAGCAACATCCCCCTCAAGCAGCTTTCAACAGTCGCGTGTCTGCCGCTGACAAGAGGCCGAAGCCAATTAGTCTATTCACACTTCAATCTGTGGATTTGTCTCAGAACAATCATCAGGTTGCTGACGGGCAATGACTCAATGAAAGGTCAGCATGTGAACATAATTCATGGATGTAATTTCCATTTGAAGCTTCAGTCTCAAAGACCATCTACAACAGTATCTGCTTTCATATACTGTCAGATGTATTTTCTATTTTGCAATCCTGTAATCACAGATTTAAGCGTGTGTTTAGGTTTTTTGTAACCACAGGATGGAGTCTGCCTGTTTTTGCTCTCCATACAAACTGTTTTTTCACCATAAACAAAAGTCTGAAAGAAACTACAACCTTACTGAGTTTAGATCCAGATCCCTGAAAACACATCTTAAAATTTTATGCAGAATATATTACTAAACATTGGGAAGTGAAAATACCCTCATTAGGAAAGTGATCATTAAAATCCTACTGTGTCTTGACTCATATAGACACAAAAAATGAGTTGAACACAAACCAATCTGTCAAACAGATCTCTACACAACAACAGTCATGTGTAACAACTGTCTAAGTCATTACAACTTTATTTAAAGGATGCCAAGAGCCATCTCTCCCCACTCATGACATCCTGATTGAAACCTGAGGGAAGCAACTCAAACTCTCCATGGGTGTAGTCTCATCTCATTAGCACTTATTTTCTAATTCTGTCTCACATGATGTCTCGGTGTGCCCACAAACGCGATATGACGCGCTGGTAATGGGCCAGACAGTAACAGCGAGAACACACGGGTGTCTTGGCTTCCTGAAGAAACATTTTCCAATCGCTGCCATATTACAGAACAGCACGCTTTATTTCTGTTTGAATCAAAAACCACAGGAAGTTTACAAGAAAAGCAGGTGGTGTGAAAACGGGCAGTGAAAACCTCTTTGTGGTGTACATCTGTCTCTTTCCTAAGCACATCTGCACACGTTACTCATAACGCCACTGCTGTTTGGGAATGTTCAGACTGAATTAGCAGCTGCTTATTAGTTTTTTTAAGATTTCATATGGCTTTGAGGAAATTCTCCCATCACTGCTGTCTATGTAAGCCTTCCAAAAACAAAAGGATGACTGAGAAAGGGTGGGAAAAAAAAAAAAAAACAACAACAACCCAAAAAGCTCCAAACATCTGCAAACTGGGCAACTAAAGGAAAAGTTAAGGATAGAAGATGATCTGTCAAGGATTTTCTGTGTAGTTCTTTTCAAATCCCAAAACATAAAAGAGCTCATGGTGAATGTCTCTTAATGTTTGAAAGCTCACCCAAATCAAACTCTTTCATATTTTTTTTAATTTTTTCCTATTTAATTGTGAAGTATCTGTACATAGAACTCATGCCCCCACATCTCATGTTCCCTCACAGAGAGCAAATTAGAACAAATCAAACAAATCACATCATTCAACAGGCTTGATACCTTGACAAATATGAAAAACAGAACACTCCATATCACCATTTTCTAATCCTAATTGGGGGCTGGCCCCTTTCACAGCAATTACAGGACCAAAACAATATCCAAACATATACCTTTAAAGAACAACAAACCCTGACAGCAAAAAGAAAATAAGCAACAAATGAAACAAATAAACAAAGTGGGAAATAACCCACTGACAACAAACAAATAAAAATAAACACACACACACACAAACTATTTTACTTAGGTCTAGAAGTCAAATTCTGGATGAGATTGCCAGATTTTAAAAAAATTCTGAGGATCTGCCTTAAGACATAAATGAGATGCCAATGGAATAGATAGATGTAAACACCGAGATATCAACTGGATAACCAAATTCCTAAAAGAGGAGAGTGAGTCACATGACCAAAACATGTGAAAATAAGCTCCTTTTTTCTTTTTTGCAGCGCCAGCAGAGAAATGACATCTCCCTGTTCATTTTATGTAGTTTTTCTGGTGTATAATAAATCCTTTATCATCCTAAATAGAGCTATTTACTGCCTTAGATTGTAAGAAAATTTATGAACTTGCCAACAAACGCAAGACCATTCTTCTTTCTGAATTTCCATATAAAGGTCTTGTTCCCACTTTTGTCTCAAATTCTCTGTATTTACCACTAAACAATCAAAAAAGACATGATATTATTTAGAAATAACTTTCTTCTTGTTGTACTTCTTATTGTTTAATATAGCATCAATTTCTGATGGGGTGGATTCTTGAAGAGAACCATTTTCCATATTTACTACACGCCTTATTTGGAAAAATCTAAATAAGCCGGAAAAAGGTAATCCATATCCCTGTTGAGTGGAGCAAATGAGAGGAACGTCCCATTAACAAACAGATGACAAAATTCTTGAACACCCTAATCATGCCATAATTTGAAGGTGTCATCCATACAGCATGTAACACTTTCAAATCAAACTGTTAAAGATGCTTACTTTTGGCTTCTTTGTAACTTAAAAAGCTCCAAATGCGCACAGGTTTGCATGAATGTGGTAAACCATTTTAAACCATTGACCAACTTTTTTTTCTGCTTTCATCATCTGATTTTATGTTTACATCTTGCCTCACTTTCGGAATCAGCCTCAAGTGGTTGTTTGAGGAACTACAGGTTTTTGTATGTAACACAAAAGTTCCTGTACTGCAGATGTCCCAATCATAAAAAATGAATGACATTTGGAGCTCCTCAAACTGACTAAAAGATTATATCATCCATGGCCTCCATGTAAACAGATGGACTATGGGTTTACATTAGTTATTATCTTAAAATGAGTTCTTTTCAAGCTGATCAAAGGTGGGGTGGGCAGGATCTGAGTAAGTGCCAGTTTTTGGGAGAAATCTTGAATGTAAACACTACCCCTCCCAACCAGTTTTCCCCTCCCTCTCTGCTCCATCAAGCCCCGCCTACAAACAGACACTTGTGCTCGCTCATATTGTTTCAATTAAATTTAGATATAATATAGATGAATACTTCAAATAATTACAAATGGGGCCCAGTCAATGTGAAAGTAAAAAGCACTGGTGCTACTGTAGATGCCAACAGACTACCAGCAAACACAATGTTTGCAGGACTTTTACAACTAACATAAAGTGATATACTCCAGGACCTGAGGTCAACAGTTTAGCAGCGCAACAACACGCAGTAGGTCCCGTTAGACAAGAAACGCTTCTGTTACAGATACTTGGCTAACTTTGTTAAAGCGGTTTACCTGTCCAGCTGAATCCCCCCAAATGCTGCAATGGTGTTGACCCGGCTTTTTAGCTCTTGTCCGATCTGCCTCCTTTTTAAGCGCCTGTTATTCTGCCAGAGTCCCCGGTATTTACTTTGTTTTCTTGTTTGTGTGGGCAGTCATGGCCAAGGGAGGATTCAGAAAAATTTACCTACTTTCTGGTTGGTTTCTACTGTCTGATGTTGTAGCACGCTGACTTTGTTTGGGCTCGTGAACGTTATTCAAGGCTGTGGACCGTGCCTCACAAAACGGGGGAGCAGCTGTTTATGGTGACCTGGGGAGTCTTTGGTGTTTTATTGGTGAGTTAAATGTGAGTATTGGTTAGTGGAAATGGTGGGCTGTCAATACTGGGGCTTTACTAGTTAATCCCGAGTTTGCAAAATTGGGCTCAACATAATGAGATATAAGTTTACCTTTTTTTTTATCCATCTTTATAAACAGTCGATGAAAACTATGTCCAAATAAAGTTACTCCATCAAGCATGGTAGGAGTGAATGACGTTCAGCGGATTGCTGCTTTGTTTTTGTTGTGGAAGGCCCACAACCATCAGATAAATAGGCATCATTGTGTCTGTGTCTCCTCCACCAATAGCTGTGCCCGGATGACAGACGTTTCCAGCGGTATTTTCGGGTTACCCATACCCAATTTGACGACCTGTTGGTGAAGGTCGGTGCCAGGATATCCCTCCAGGATACCAATTACAAACGCTCTATCCCAGCTGCAGAGCACCTGTCCATCAGTCTACTGCAGTAAAAAGATTTGTGTATATATTTTCACACAGTGAACATCCTCCAGTCTGTTTTCATGCGTCACCTGGAAACCTTCTTGCTAATTGGTTATCGCGACGCGAATATTTGCTCAAGTTCAGATATTTTCAACTTTCGTGAATTCGCACAACCCGATTCACGTCATTCGCGCCGCCACAGTAGTACGAGCGTCTCATCACATCTTTGCATTAACTTAACATGCAATCGATTTGCGTGAATGATTTTACTTGCGCTTGGTGTGAACACCCCATTAAGGTAAACAAAAGATGTAAGGCCTTGAGTCACGCTCGCCATCTTACCGATTCAGTGCAAAGGCGTAGTTGAATTTCACATGAGGATGAGCCATGGGATCAAAGGTTGGAAGCTTCTCCAGAGTCTCCACCAGCTTCACGATGGACTCATAATCCTGGAGAGAAAGAGAGGAACACACTGGTGAGCTCTTGTTGAACTGTCACTGTTCATTGAGGAGCATTGCTGTGCTGTTTTTGTTTCTCTGCACTAGGTCCTCCAAACATAGCCTCAAAATCATGGAGGCAGTGAGCTGCTCTGAAGGTCGAGGTTGTGAATTTCTAATGTCCTTTTCTTCAATCTGTCTGAGACTCAACTCTGTTTGTAACACCAAAAGCACTTAAATAATTAAGGGCCTCCTTCATCACTTGTTGCCCCTACATGGTTACTATACCCAATGCATGTTGAATAATTCAGCTAGTCCTCAATGTTGGTTGTTCTAATGAATGATTCACGAGGCTGAGCGCTGTCTGTGGTGAGTGGGATGATCTGGACAGAGTGCCATTGCAATGCACAGACTAAAGAGAGAAAGAAAGAGCAGCAGATTTAAGACCAGTAGACCAAAAGCTTTGCCTAGAGCTCTCCAAGGGCGGTTTGCCTGGGCCTCTGTTAGAAAACTGGCACTTAAAAAGGGATAACGCTGATGCAGTGACCCCTCTCTTACTCTCTGGCAGTTAGTTGGTACAGTAGTCAGAGTCAGAGTCAGAGACACAAGCAGCATGCACAAATGATCTGCTCTTAGTTGAAAAGTTGTTTGAACTTGGTTAATTGTTTGATATACATTTTTAGTCCATGCGTGAAGGTTTCAGGGTGTTGTACGAAAAGTACTTGCATGTCCTCTGCTCACAAATCTGCTGACAGGATTACCTTCTTCAACTACTCACATAGACGTTTCATACAAATATGAGACTCCAGTGGGTTCTTACTTGACAAAGAAACACAGAAAAGGGGCCACATTTAACCATGAATTTATTCGTCAGACCATAGGACAGTTTTCCTCTTTACAGCTTTAGGCATGGGAAGCCCACCATAAATGGACTCAAAGCCATCAGTGTTCCTGGATTGTGTTTTTCTTTGCATGACACAGTTCTAATTTGTGGATGCAGCAGCAAAATGTGTCATATACAGCAGTTTTAAGAGGTGAACCTGACCAAATGCAGTGATTTCTACTACAGAGTCACGTCTGTTTTCATGCAGAACTGACCAAGGACTGAAAGATTATGGGCATCGAGTATTGTTTTTCAGCACTGGCCTTTTGTATGGAAATGTCTCCAGATTCTCTGACTCTTTTTATTATTTACTGAAATCTTCTAATTCTATGCAGTAAAGGAACATTATTGTTCATCGGTTTGCTCACACAGTCTCTCACAGTGTGATGAACCTCTTCTCATCTTTACATCAAGTTTTTCACACCAAGTCACTTGTGTTTCTACAAAATGAGCATGTGCTAATGTCCTTGTTCTCTTTTGTAAAATTCATAGGGGTCAAGTGTGTCCATTGCATACAAACACGATGACAATAACAACTAATTATCTCAGTCTGTAATTTCCACTAAAGCAGCCCGCTTAATTACACACATGACAGCAGAATGTTTACGTTCAGATAATCACAGTTGGTGTGTACCTGGATGTCCCTGTACGTGAGCAGCAGGTTGATGACGATGTCGACTGAAAGGCACTCCACATTGTCCAGACGCTGCTGGATGCGGCTCAGCTCAGCAGCCAGCTCCATGCCAGTGTACAACTCCCGAGCTTTTCGGATCTCATTCAGAATCGTCTCACGGAAATACTGACTGCGACGGGAGAAAATATAGGTAAGTGGGCATGGTGACTTTACAATAATACACGTCATCTTAAATTATCCCACAGCTACTTTGTTAAAAGGTAGAAAAACATCTCATAAAATCATGTTTTCAGGTTTTTAACATTAGGCTTTTGTATTCATTTCAGAAAGATGTTTCCAGTCACATCTAATTAATCTAACTGATCAAATTGTTTCAGGTACTTGAGTTTCTCCTTGAGGGGTAATTCTAAAAGAATTAAAGTTTTAATCCATTTCTCTGCTCTCCTCTGTGCAGAATCTTGATTTTTGATAGTTCCCAACTGAGAGGAGCTATTCTGGTTGTCTCTTCACTTTTTTCCAGAGGAAACATAAAAAATGTCAAAATATTGTTTGACTGTTTTTAGACATTTTTAATGACAGTCAAAGTAGATGACAGGAACAAATTGTCTCATTAAAATATGTCAACTGATCACAGCTTTTTTTCAAGAGCCAAAGGCCAGTGAGTAAGATAAGATAAGATAATTCATGATAAGATATGTGGTTAATGGGAGACCATTGTACATGACAGTCTCCTCTACTCAGTGCTCTGGTGTTTCCTGTAGATTTTTTTTTTTTCTCATTTATTGATTTCTACTCCAAAAACCCAATAAAAACTACAAATAGCAGCTAACATTGACTCCTATTCTCACATTTGAAACATATTTCTTACTTCATTCAGAGTTTTGGTCACTAAAGTCATCCTAATGTCCATGTGATGTCACTTTCATAGCACTGCTGTCCTATATACATTGAACTTGTTTTTGGGGAACTCTGATATAAATTTAAGAGAATGCATGAATAATTTTTCGAGACAACGCAAGATTTTCCCGGACATTCTGTTTGTTCTCTTGATTTTTGTCCGTTTTCCGACATATCCTGGAAAATTTGTAAAAAGCTCATTAGGGTTTTCAAGGACATGCGGAAACCCTGATTCACACTCTTTTAAAAGTAAAAGCCTCCAGTTTATAGTGAGCGTATTTCAAAGAGCCATTTGTGGGATCCTCACTCACTCTATATGACTTTTAGAAAAACACACATTTGCATGTTCTGCTCTATTTGTGGGGATCTTTGTGAATGTTCAAACTGCTGTTACTATCAGTTAAATCCGTCTAAAAGCAGAAAATAAGTCTTTGAGACAGTGAAGCTCTTTAACCGCATTAGAGGATGAAAATTGATGAACAAAGATCCTCTGAGGACATTCAGATTATAGTGAGCTTCAGAAATGAGATTTCCTTGTTCATTTACTTCAAAACAGAGTAACAGAGAAAACACTGTGTTGGGATCAGAACCAGAGCTCAAACAGGGATCATGTGATGCAGATTGTTGTCACCTCCCACGCTCCTCTGTGCTCTCCTCTTTGCAGGAAGCCGTAAGGTTAAGGCCTGAATACGAAATAATGACTCACTACATTCTCTCTATTCACACAATAAATCTGTTCCATGTGAGTCGGCTGACTGAAATTCAATTACACTTCATTTGGAGAAGAATTTGTCTGACACTGGTTGATAGCCTGTTTCAAGAATCAGTCTAAGCAGCAGAAGATCACTTATTAGAAAATGAACCCTGTCACCGATAATTCATGGCTCTGGTCTCATGCTGCATAGCAAAATGGATTAAATCTGCGTTCAATTGGTTATTATTTATAGCCATCATAAATAGGAGACATGCTCCTTTGCACAATGTACTGAATGCATGGCTGTAAGATACCAGAGATGGCAGAGATGAAAACTCTCTGCCATGCTCAGCGGCTAAAAATGTTCTCCAGGAGACGACAGCTTTATCAAAGTGTAGGTTTTTCTTTTCTGCAAAACCCTGAGTCACTACTCCAGGAGCTGAATGAGAGCTAACTGGCTGCATCGCCTTGTTGGCAGGAAAAGCTTTCAATGTTCCTCCAGCAGCCGAGGTGCTGATAAATGTTTTCCTTTCTTTCAAAATGTGGCACACCACACAAGCCAAAGTTGAGGGGTGTGCTATGTAAAAATGGGGCGAGTGAGAGTCAAACAAAGCTCCAGCTCCAGCATCATTACCGATGAGCTAAATCACTTTCTGAGAGAAGAGTCACCTACAGCACGGCCCTGGGTTAAACACTTGTCATGTTAGAATTTGAGAAAAAGATTTAAAGTGCTGTTACATGATAGCTTTACTGATAAGCGTTTGCTCTGCTATATTGGTCATTGTTCCTGCTTAACATTATCTATTTGTCATAGTAATAAATATGCATGAACAGCCTGTGTGTTAGATTTAATATGTATGTTATAAACTTTCATCACAGTGAGAATCAGCTGCAAAGATTCTGAAACACAATGTCTTTAATTACAGCAACACACTGAGAATCCAAGTCAATTTTAAAAAGTTTATGTAAATAAAACAAAAGTCTAGTCTTGGGCCCCCTGCAGCCACTTTCAGTGTCATAATGTACTTACTGAGAGTTTGCCTGGGACACTTTAAGCAGCTGGACGAAGCGGTCGAGAAGCGGCATGCAGATCGGTCCCAGCAGCATCTCGAAGCTTGGCTGCATCAGCTCGGTCAGGCCCTTCATCAGGCTGCTCTCACAGCAGTACACCTTGTTGTGAGGCGTCACCATGTACGGGATGAAGGTGTAGTTTGCTGAACATGTCTATTGAGACAGAAAGTTGAACTGGGGTCATATTTTTGTGTCAACATAGGGATGAACTTTTACACTATAAAGAAGAAAGTGATCAGAAAAAAGCAGCACCTACAGCTCTATTTCAACTGTGCATAAGAGAAATGTGTGACTGTGGGTGTATAAACTCTCAAAGCAAAACATCCCTTTGACTTTTCAGCCTTCAACTTTCTCATTCAGAGTATTTTATCTTAATACATGCATGAGACCCTGAAAAATCTGAGTACTCCTTCGAAATGATCCCCACAGTACAAGGTGCTCATTTGCAGTCACATGAAACAATCATTTTATGATAGTGTTATCTTAATGATCCGAGCACTCTTTATGGACACTGTATGGTAAACAATACACTGTAAAAGGAGGAAGCAGATGGCCTGGAGGAAGTCTGACATGTTTCCCTGTTACAGATGGTTACAGGTAATGATATGAGGCTCAGGCTCTGATCTGTCTACGCTGACAATAGTGTTTATGTTGCGTTGTCTGCAGTGAACCAGTCTAAACAGGCAGCAGGCAGGGTGGGAGATGTGCATGAGTGGTGACAGCCTCATTAGTAGCTGCTGCCTTGTAACCACAAACACTCTCAAATTCCTCTTGCCCATGCAGCCTCATGAAAACCCTGCAGAAACAGAAGCTTCTCTGCTCACCTACCTACTGCAGAGCTCTACCCTGTTATTTCCTGCAGCTGTGGCATTCAGGAGTAATTTTGTCTCGAGTCTGTTTTAGTTTTAGCAGCAGTTGTAGCACTAAAACTGTTTGACTTTATTTACTTAGCTCTAATGCTAGACATATGTGTTTTGTCTGGAGGGAGATTCCTGCACTCTGTATCTTTATTTGTTTTAAGTGCATATTATTCTCAAGCTGCAGTCCTGATGCTCCTGTTGTGGTGGCCCACCACCGCTGAATAAACACAGAGGAAACAAGTGCATGTGGTGTTTACAGACAGATAAAGAGAGAGAAAGAAAAATAGAGAGAGGATGAGAGAGAGAGAGAGAGGCAGGAAATCCACTATTGCCATCTTCGAGAAACATCCGAGATCTTTTCAAGGCAAGCTATTCCCAGAATGTCAGATGTGTGGTGAAACAAAAACATAAGAGCGTCTGAAGGCGGTTGGGCTGCTACCCAGCTGCTTCCTGACGGCTTTAATATTCTCTCATGGTTTCAGCTTTTCAGCTGCCTCTTTGAAAAAACACTCTGATTGCCAAGATAGAAAAAAGGAAGTGAAAGGAAGGTTCAGCGTTGAAGAAATGAAAGCCAGCCGTAGACTTCCTTTAGCGCAACAGTGGTTCATGACATCACCTGTTGCTGCAGCATGGATGCATGCCTTTAAGAATAAACCTGTGACTCTTCATTCTGTAACAGGCTGCAAAACTCCTACAGCTATATTTAGCTTCTCTGTGTGTAGGTGTGATTCATGCAGTCATGCGAGGGGATAACATGAGCAGGTTTGTTTTCACAGGCTGATGCATATTTTAGAGCAGCTGCAGGTCACCTGAAAGCCAACCTCTGTCAGTCACCAACAAGTTCCTCAGCTTCCACTCAAACACATCTACAGCTACAGCTCATAGGGTTTTTTAGTGAATATGACAGTCTCAGTTTTTAGTTCAATGAGTCATGTGGTTTGCTAGCCTTCCTGATGGTCCATCTGTCCATTCGCAGATAAATCAGGACAGTATTAGAGCTGCATGCCCACACACTCACCTTTCCAGAGACAGGCACACGAGATGATGTTGACATTTAATTTTTACGACTCCACTAACAGCCATTAACCACTTGAGCGTAAGTAGCCAATAACAACAGTCAGCCACGATCTTCTCCTCTCATGCCTAATGCACTAAATGTTTAAGCCTGTGAGCTGCAAATGTAGATGTAGTCAGTGTAAGGCTGCAGTAACAAAACTGCACCATCACATGCATGCAATCAGTAATTACATACACAACAACAGAGTCAGATCATCTGGATATCCACTAACATGGTAAGTAGTTGCATGCAACAGCTTAATGCTGTTATCATACTGTTTTAACCATAGACTGTATATAGAATGGACAGCGTCTGCCTCCTCGGTGGGTAAAGACACTCAGAGAACAGCACACCCTGGTGACGGGCTGCAGTATAGGTCATAAATCCCGCCTCCTCCAGCAACTCCTATGGAGCTGTGGACAAGCTTTAGCAATTAATTACACAGAATGTAAATTTTTCTCCCCCCTGGTTGCGATGTTGACTTGTAGTTATTAAAAGACTGGTTTGTGCTCAAGTCCTCTCTTTCTCTGTGCAGCTACATTTTGTAAAAATTATTAGGGGGTTCATGTTTTCTGTGATTGACACTTGATACAGCCTATGGGCATACGAAGATTGTGTAGCTCACCGTTTGAGCCGACTTTCCCTCCGAATGCGCACAACACTACTGCGCAATGTTGGTTTTAGTTAAGTGGAGAAAAAATGTGGAATTACCGAGAGCTTTTCGGCTTCAAATCCGTATACTGGCGCAAGGCGGAACCAAGTTGTCTATAATACAGTTGAGGCCAAAATTTTTAGCCCCCATATGAAATTTTAAGTTTTTTTTCCAAAATTTCTTCAGTGCTGTTCAACAGATTGATGATTTTTTTTCACAGCTTTTCCAAACATCCTAGTTTTATTTTGGATCCTCACATCATTTTACTTTGCACACAGAAACAAAATTATTTCACAAAAAGCAAAAACTACCACGGTCAAAATTATTAGCCCAGCTTAAGAACTGACGTCTTCATTGAGCCAAAACAAAAACCACTGTTGCGCAATCGTGTAAATTTCACTTTCGAGTGCTCACAGCTTGTAATCAATCAATCATTTCATTTAAAACAAAGGGTTGTCCTACATTTTACACACAGTATAAAAACCTCGTTATGCATTTGAGCTGTCACTTGAGAAGGCATCATGACAAATACAAAAGAATTCAGTTTAGATGTCCATGTAGATTCTCATTCATCCAGGTCATGGTTATCTTGAAGACTTAAAACAGGCAACTGGACTGTGTAGAGTTGAGAAGACTTATCCAAGAAGCTTCTTCAGTTCTAAAAGTGCTAGTGTCAGGACTAGTGCTAGTGCTCCTGACACTAGCACTTTTAGAACTGAAGAAGCTTCTTGGATAAGAGGCGAAATGTCTTCTCAACTCTACACAGTCCAGTTGCCTGTTTTAAGTCTTCAAGATAATTCAGTTTAGACTTGAGAAAAAGAATTGTTGACGCTCACAAAGCAGGAGAATGATATAAAAATTTATCACGCCATTTCCAAGTGTCAAGAAGTGGAGTGAGAAGTATCGTCAAGAAATTCAAGGAGAGCCACACAGTACAGAACAAGTCTGGGAGAGGTAGGAAGCGAAAAATTTCAAAGAAACTGGAAAGAAAACTGGTGGGAGATGTGTCTAAACAACCTAGAACAACCACCAAAACAGAAGTTGGTGACTTAGCCAAGTCAGGAATTGTGGTGTCAAACAAGACAGTCTCTAGAGCCCTGAACAGAAATGGACTGCGAGGATGCAGGCCAAGAAAAACTCCACTTCTACAAAAGAGACACCTTCAGATCAGACTGAGGTATGCTAAAGACAATCTGGAGAAAGACTGTGCGTACTGGAGATGTGGTCTTTGGTCAGATGGGCCCAAACTAGAGCTCTTTATTCACAGAGACATTGCTTATGTTTGGAGAAAGAAGGGAGAGGCGTATAATCCCAAGAACACTGTCCCCACAGTTAAACATGGTGGTTGGAGCATCATGCTGTGGGGATGTTTCAGTGCATCTGGAACTGGGAATCTTGTCAAGGTTGAAGGAATAATGAAGAAAGAAGGATATGTGAAGATTTTGAAAGAAAACCTCAAGGAGTCAGCAGCAAGACAATTGTCTTCCAACATGACATTGACCCAAAACATGCAGCACTCTTGATGAGGAGCTGCCTCCAGGAAACCAAAGTGAACGTTATTGACTGGCCTGCACAAAGCCCTGACTTAAATCCCATTGAAAATCTGTGGGCTGCACTGAAGACCAGGGTCCATGCTAGAAGACCATCAGGTCTGGAGTAGCTTGAAAGATTTGCCAAAGAGGAATGAGCTGGGATTCTTCAGGAGATGTGCCAGAGCCTTGTTACAAACTACAGTAAATGACTGCATGCTGTGATCCAGCAAAAAGGACACACAATTGACTATTAGCCTCAGGGGGGCTAATAATTTTGACCCTGGTAGTTTTTAGTTTTTGTGAAATAATTTTGTTTCTGTGTGCAAAGTAAAATAATGTAAGGATCCAAAATAAAAAAAACTAGGATGTTTGGAAAAGCTGTGTAAAAAAAATCATGAATCTGTTGAACAGCACTTCGGAAATTTTGGAGAAAAACTCAGAAATTCATAGGGGGGCTAATAATTTGGCCTCAACTGTATATCCAGTCCATGGTTTTAACCAACAGCAGTGGTCTGTTATTTCGGGATAGTATACTGTTGCTATGGATGTGGCTCTAATATCAGACTCCAATACCAGACTATCAGCATTTACATAACTGATGTCTCGCATTTATTTCACTAAAATTGGTTGTAGTTAAGGATAGTCCTTCTTGCATGTGAGAACCCTCTATCAGCCCTCAGGTGGCCTAGGCCCCTGCACACACACACAGTTTGGTCCAGAAGTTGCACAGCATGAATGCACATAGAAGCTGGGTAGTAAACCAGTTGTCAAGAGAAGAAGAAGGAAAGTAAACAAGAGGAAGGTACCATAACATTTGCACAGAGGCTGTCCATGTTCTGAAGTTTTACAGCCAGTCAACCTCTTTGCTCACTTTTTTGTCGACTGTTTTGGTATATGACATTGTAGACTGACTAGAAGAGTAATAGCACTAATAATATCACTTAAGTAATGAGCTAAAAGGGGGCATGTTGCCACTACATGTAGCTGAGGTGGACATACTTTTCAATAACTTGATTCATGAGGACAAAGACAGCAGTCCAGTTAAACCACCTCATCAAAGTACAACTTAAATATAAAAGAAGTGACAGTAAATATAAAAAACTGCTGTAACAACTCAGCTTGTTTAGAGTGGGAGTAACAGCTAAGTTGGCTCATTTTAACACCTTGTGTGAAGTCCTTCTCACCCTGAAGAGACTCTGATCTGCTCTATGATTTGACCAACAGATTGCATTTTAACACATTTGAATACAAAGGGGTTTGATCATCAGGAACAGAGGATTAATCAATCACTTTGAAAAATGATTGATTAATCTTATCTTAGCCACTGTAACTCTGTTCTTTAAGCCTGATGTGGTCTTGATAACATCACTTTGATTTCTCAACATTTGAAGTACTATTGTTCATGATAAGATGAAGCAGAACAGTATCTTTTTAGAGCAAAAAACAAAAACACTACAGTTGGATTTTGAGGGACTAACTGGAGAAGTTAGTGATGTGCACACAAAGAGCAATATGATTGGTATAGCCCAGTTACATCATCATGAAAAAGTCCTGACTAGGTTTAACTCAAACAGAGAAGAGTTTGGGGGACTGGAAATATTCATCCTAAGGTGCCATGTGTGTGTCAAAAAGGACTTAATGCCACTCGAGAGACCAAGTTCTTCTTAATTCTTATCTGTGGTCCAAGAGCTAAAATGTGCTGCAGGTCATGGCAAAATTCTGCAGGAAGGTGATAATCATCTAAGGAGTTTGTAAATGAGCTTAAACAAGCCATGTATGTTAGTTTGCCCAAGCTCCAGTAGTAAGTAATGTTATGTAAGCCTTTGAGCTAGTTTTGAACCATTTTAAGCCCCAAAATATCAGACTTCTGAAATTATGTAGAATGATGTGTCTATCAATGGTATGTACTACATTTCAAAATGACATCTTCTTCATTAAAATCTATTTTTAGAAACGGAGAAGTCAAAGACCAACCATCTTCTCAGTCATTGAGTAGTTCGCCAAAGACTGATAAGTTGATGTTAGCTTAATAACCCCTTTAGTCCCTGTCATTTCTGTCAGAGAAACAGAAGTTGGCTGCTTTTGTTTCACTGACTACAAATTTCTTTGTTACTTACAAATTTGGCATAGTAAATCTGTTTTTGTTTATTGTTTTTGAGAACAAAGAGCTTGACAGGCTCAACGACAGGAAGCTAACTTAGCGTGGGATGAGTTATCATGACAGGCGTTTTTGATTGTTTCCTGTGCCTGTTTCTTGCCTACTCTCTAATACAGAAGCAAATGGTGTTTATATTTGGTGAAGCTTGCTCACAGAAGGGGGTTCTGATAGTAAGAGTTCATTATTATATTTGATTATAGTGTTTAATTTCATCAAACACAGCGGGCTTAAGTGTCATGCTTTTCACTCTGAGTTGGTTGTTGCTTGCAGAAGAAAATTCCTGGAGACCTTTAAGGAGTACCTATACAGTGAAACATGATGAAAATGTACTTCAAACTTTGTAGGAATATATAAAAGACAGCTCAGAGAATATTATTATTCATGCACATGCAGTAAAACACCCTCAGTGCCTTGCAAGAGGTAGGATATGCAAAAGAAGACCAAGAACTCTGCCGATATTGAACTTTTAAGAGCACTTAAACCAGTACAGAGGGCTGGTTAAGAGCACATGCACTAGAGCAGAGGGCAGTGAAGTGTTTTAATAGGAAAAGAAAGAGGGAAAGGGAACAAAGGCAGTGAGGGCACACAAAGGAGATCAGTGGGTTTACACTCTTATACTGCTGGAGATAATCAGCTCTCCTCACACAGTGCAGGTCAGTGTCAGAGAGCAGTATGTTTCATACAGAACGGCGCCACCTCCTCTTACTGGAAAGCCACTTAAGAGAGCTAAGCTATTCATCTCACACATGAACACGGACTCCTGGACAACCATCAGCAGGCTCACAGGCTCCTCTGTTGATCACATATTGAACAAGGGCTGAATTAATGAACCGACAGAATCAGAATAACAGCCCTTGGTTCTTACAGGATTCAATTACTTTGATAACAGATCACATGATTTATTAATCATCTTAAGGGTGCACCAGCCGATGTCTTTTATCAAAGGGCTGTCCAAAATCGATGCAGTCTTCATTTAGGATATATAATCCTCTCCTGCTTTAAGCTTCTGCCACTATGGAAAATAACAACCCCACTGTGCTTTTGATGGACGCCTTTCACTTTAAATTACAAGTGACAATGTTGAAATTTGATGATAAATCTTGATTCAAAGAGTTAATCATCCTAAAGCTCTAAAGGAGTACATTATTATTCATTGATAAGTCAGCAAGAGTTCATGCATTAACTTCTTAAACATGACACAGCTGTGGTCCATGAGCTGATATGAGTGTAACTGGTTGTGTTAGACGTAAAACAGGCCCGAGGCACTGCTACAGCTCAGCTGACAGAGCAGGTGCCCTGCACACACAAGCTACTGTCCTTATCAGACTGGTCAGGGGATCATTTCCCAGTCTGGGCATACACATCCTCTCCTCTCTCTCTCTTCTCTCTCCTCTAAATTAAAAGCACCCCCTCCCTTCAAAAATGCTTAAATGGGCCAACACTGTGTAAATTCAGTCAAATCAAGATGCCATCAGGTCACAGAACTTTTACTAGATCTGTGTTTAGTCTGTCTCTGATCCACCACAGCAGCAGAAGTGGTGGGTTCACTGAGCAAGCCTTTATTTAGCTCTGCTATGTGACAGGTGATCAGCTCGACTTGGAGTCCTGCAGCCTGTCAGAAATGTCCCACAAAATAAGATTGGCTGTATGATTTTCATGATGAGGTTTCACTCTGCGGTTGGCTGTGTGACAGAAATAGATTTGTTGGGGAGTTTCAGAGGGTAGTACCAGACATGGTTTAAGTACCACATCTGGTACCTACAGACACTGGCAATCCCAAAACTTCTGCAGGGGACAGGCAAAGCCTCTATTCTTGCAGTATGCCAGAGCACAGCCCAACACTTCAGTACAACACAGGTCAGAGGTTTTCAGAGGTTACCCATGGATGAGGAGAAGCTCTTCACGAAGGTGGAAACCACTGATTCTGTGATTACTGTGGGAAAACTAAGCTCTTGTGACTCCAGCTGTCTGGCACTGCTTGCTCTGAAAATGCAGCAGGGCATTTGAAGCATGAAGCTAAACTACAGCAGAGCTATGACGAACCAAAAACACATCCAAGGAAGTTCCTAGTCGGACTTTGGGGATTTATGGATTGTGTTATTGTTCAAATCTTTATCTCATATCATGGTGAAACTTTGGATTTACATTGCTAGCATTCATTAAGAAATGACAACTACATATTTGCTACTCCTCCTTCTGCATTAAAGGGTTTAATCATCTTCACAGTCTGAGATTTTCCTCAAAACTATTGCAAATATGATTCCTTTGGGATTTGTGCAGCTGGTTGGACAAAATAAAAACAATTTTGTTAAAAACACTGACTTCACATGAAAAATATCTCGAACAAACACGAGTTACATGAACAAACCACCAAAAATAGTGAGTCAGAATGCTAAAATACCATGAGGTTAAACAGTACTTTACAATTCATGGTTTATCACTCCTGTTTCTATTATTCCATCTTTAAATTGCAGCCAATGTAAAAGCTGTGAAAAACTTTTAAAATTTATAATACTGGTCTAACTACATTATAAAATCTGTTTCACTCTGTGAGTTTTTGATAAATGTCAAAGAACAGCATATAGCATTTGCTAGTAAAGAACAAGACTGTCCCTGTATTATTGCACCACCTTATTTGAATGCTGCAAGTTTTGCATGTCAAATGTTCACAACACCCTGCAGCTTTCAGCATATCACACCACTGCAGCTGCAACAACTCACGAAACAGCTGTGATATAAAAAAAAGTATTTAAAATGAAAGAGAAAATGTTTTATTGTACACTTCAGTGAAAGCAAATACTCGCCACAGCTTCTTCATAAAAGCATGCTGCATGGGAGAAAACCTCTTTCACACCAGGAGGAGAAACATAAGGTGTTAGACACTCTGCTCCCTGCACGTTGCAAAAAGCATATTCTTTGCACCACATAATAATACCGTGTGATGTGTGAGAAATGGGTGAGTAATATGTGAAAGGCAAAGGCGAAGGAGGGAAAAATAGATTGCTTTGTGTACTTACAGTGTTCTTCTGGCAAATTATCTCCTGAAAGATGAGAAGAGAAAAAATTCATTCAGCAGTTTCACCAGAACATTTTGTCCTGAGGGCAATTTTATTTTAGACATTGTGTTTTGGAATAAAACTTGAAATAATGACAGAAAATGCAATTCCTGCCTCCTTGTTGAGTCAAGAACATTTAATGCCACCCCCCCCTAAAAGACACTGACTTTTAGGGGGAGTGGCAGCTTGTTCAGGGTCTTCAGTGAGTCTAGTTAAAAAGCAGTGTCACTGCAGCAAGAGACAGGGCCTTTAAGGTAGAAATGCACCACTGAAGTCAAAGATAATGACCTCAAACTAAAAACATTAACATAATCGCGCTCATTACAAGGCCGTTTCAATTATTAAACACCAAATATTGATTGAAACACTATATTTCCTCTGTTAGGAACATCAGTTACTTAAATTCTTGAGTGACTGCAAGACACCATTGTCTCTGTACAATTTACAAGCTCAACATGCCAAATCATTTTTGGTTTGTGTCTCTTCCAGGCTTAGAAAGTAGTAGCCAAATTGGGTAGACGAATGTAAGAAATAATAGTTCCTATATGAATGAACTCTGTAACAGGCACCGTTATAGAAAAACTGATTATCATTTTTTATGGCTAGCTTAGTAGCTCTATTAGCAACATAGCAAGGAAGGCTAAGGTGGGTCACTTGGAGGAAGCTTAAAAAAGATCAGCCTTTCCCCTATAGTGCATTTGGCAGGGCACCCTGACCTGCCAGTGAGATCCCACCCAAGAAATTGAAGTCGTAAATTGATATATATGTTTATTTTTAATTTTAATTATTTATCAAAATGACATACAAAATATAATTTGCGTAATTTCAGACTTAAGGTTTCTTCACACCGGGAGTGTTTTTTTCGTGCGATTATTTCGGACGTCAACATTTTTTTTCAAACCCGTATCCTGTCAATACAAGCGTTCACATTAGCAACGTTTTCCTGTCCTGCGATGTTGCATTGCATTTTATTTTTTCGTATCACGGTCGAATTTTTTAAAGCTGACAGTGGATATCCTCACATCTGTGGTGGAAACTAACAAGGATTTTCTCTTTGGAAGCATCAAAACTGGAATAAAAGCAGTCCAGAAAACTCCTGTCTGGAGCAGGATTATGGTAGCAGGGCTCTCAAGTCTCACGCATTCAGCGTGTGACACACGCATTCCCACTCATTCACACGCTCACACGCCACACATTGTATTTCTCACGCATTTAAATGAATATGGTGACGTCCCCCAAGTTGCACCTCCTTAACTATGGAACAGGCAGGAATCAACTGAGTTTCTCCGAGAGTTTAGAAGCTGCGTGCCACGCACAAGCCAATCAAGTAAAGTACATCTACTGAACAGCCAATCAAAAAGCAGCATTGCTGTATCCTGGTAGATTTTGATTTGATTTTGACAGACACTCGCCGTAATAGAGCAGGTTTTTATAAGGACGAGATAGACCCGATGATTACAGTAAGTCAGTAACCTACACATGCAGAGACCTCAACACCTCATGGCAGATAAACTCATATGATAAACTAAAGCCCTATGCTATTGCTATTAACAGCTGTATTGATAAATTTAGCCTCTGTACAGCCATTTCCCCCTCCACAAAGGAGCATTTCTCATATATTGTTTTTAAAGTTCTGATACTCATGACAGTGTAATGCTCATGTACCAAAGGATTGAGTATCTCCTATACTAAAGTACAATTCATCTAAATGCTCCTCAGTGCTGATTTTAGCAACTCTCCTCCACAACAGGTAACTGTACGACTTTATTCTTATTTATTAATGACTTTATTCTCCTAAATGATAACTTTATTCTCGAAGATTTAAAAACTTTTTTTTTTAATGTGGCCCTCATACTTCGTTGTATTTAAGAGATTATTATACTAATAATTATCTTCAATCACCCCCCCCCCCCCCCCAAGGAAATCTCACTCTAAGCTTAGTTCAAAACTTGAGAGCCCTGTGGTAGGGTGAACAGCGCTGCCGCGGAATAGCAGACAGTGGCTGAAGTTTAAATAAGTCATTGGTCAATAAGTTGCTCTTGATAAATTAATATCTCATACATGCCTAATATTTTTTAATGCCATGACATAGGGTACGTTGCTCCTAATATTGAAAGCATTTAGTTTTAATTTGTTGCGTCTTTGTAATGTAGAGCAGACTGGAGAGTCTGACAGAGGCTGAACAAAAATAATTATTAACCTCACCAAACGGTGTGTTGCTGCCCCTGAGGCACATTTTTATGGATTTCTATTGGATTTTTATCACTGATTAAATAGCAAGAGCACTTTCTAAACTTATACTTTACATGTCAGAATCCATCGATAAGGTCCTGTTTTCTCTGTACAGCACCTTTGTGGAGTCTCTCCTCGTTATCGTTCTCCGGGCATCGGGTACTCATGTTGCACCGGCACAGCCAACGGCACTCCATTCGCCAATGCAACATTGTGCAAAACTGTACTGGTTCAAATGATGTCCCACACCCTTTCAGGAGTGTACAACAACGTCCCCGTTGCTGGACCAAGACAGAGACACCTGCCTTTTAAGAGTCAAACACCGCGCTCCAAATTGCGCGTGTGTGTAATGTTGAAACGGCGCTCCTGCTCTGTGGCAGTGTTTCTGGGCAGAGTTATCAAATAGGCCTATTCACCAAGGACATAACAAATTTATTTTGTTAAATTTTATTTATGCCTTAATCTTTAATGAAATCTGGCTGATTGTGCTTAATGACAGGTTTGAGGTTTGTTTATCAATTATTTTGAGACAGAGACATTCTCATCAGTGTTGCCAGATCAGATTGACAGTTTCCAGCCCAATCACATCTTAGCCCAATCCAATAAAAACCAGCCCAAACCATGAAGTTGCCAGACACCCATGTAAACCAGTAAAATCATAACACATGCAATAGAAAATGCTCGTAAGAATCCAGAGCTTCATATAGCATCAAATAACCTCACATAAATGATAAATAGGTTTAATTGCAACCAACAAGAGCACAGTAAATCACCCATAGGCTACACAAACTGCAAGATGAACCTCTGGCATCCTAGCGCCAGGCCCAGATTAGTAATAATGACTACTGCCAAAAAAAGGTGCACTTTTACTTCGGAATGATGCTGACTTAGCTAGGTCACAGTTCATTTGACAGCACATTGTATTTGGAAGCAGACCGCCTGAGCATCATACTAAAAGAACCCTAATAAAACACTGTTTAAAAAGTCTTTGCAGGCTTGAATCTCCATCTCTGAACTGAAAACTGGGATGAACTCAATCTTGATGCGTGATGGTAATAGGCTTGCTTTACAATCCTTCCTCTCTGAGGAGTAAAAGGCAGTAAGATTTGATTGCAAAACTTTAGCAGCACATGACTTCAGAGTTCATCACGTCATGCTGAGATGACCTTCACAACCAGAAACGCTCTCCTCATGCTGGCTGTGTTTCAAAATTGATTGGAAGTGAAAAAAAAATCAAAAGCATGTATTCAGACCAACTGTGGATAAAGATCCACTTCAAGCCTTGTTTTATGACTGAATAAACGTTGTGCAGTAATACCATGGAAAATAAAGCATAACCAGCAGAAATACACCCATCATCCACAGGCTTCTTTAGGGTCTTCAATGTGTATTTTCCTTATGAAAGGTCTTCAGTATCTTGAGGAAACCCTGACATTAAAACGGCCTGCTTTGAAACAATTCAGCTGCCTGATGGAGATCATAGGCAACCACCAGAGAGAAGTGGTCTTTAGAGGCAGGGTGAGGTGCGGTTAGCTGACCGCACAGCCAGGGACACGGGCACCAAGAAAACCCACAGGAAGTAAAAACTCATACAAGATATCAGTTAGCATGAGGGCAGGAAAGACTGGCACTCAAGATAACCTTCTTCATGACTTAAAAAGCCGTAATAACAGAGCGAAGAACGCTAATTCACTTTAAATATCATATAAGAGGTGGAGACAAACCTCTCCTGGCAGTCTATTCAAAACTATATGTTAAGTTTACAGAGGAGCCCTGTCGCCATGAATATCTGCACAAATAATCTGCAATAAAGCCTCCGGTGTTCCTCTGCTACACAACAGGAGTTAATGTGTTCAAGTCTGAGCCTCAGACTGTGTGAACTATGTCTGGTCTCCAACTCAGCACCTGCAAGACTCACGCTGTTGTCATTTGATGACTCAGACCCAACCTGCTGGCAGCGCTATAGATTCCAGCTCTGTAAGTTACAGATCTGACATTAACACAGTTATAACGGTTGATTCTTGCCATCAACCTCTCTTATTGTTCGTGGTTCTAAACTATGTTCAAAGTCTAATCTAGAAGCAGCTAAAAGGTGTATTTCAATTTCAACAGTCTCGGAGTAAACAATTACAAATATTTACCCAGCTTACACATTTCTCAGGCTAAGTGATAATATATCAGTTTAACTCATCACAGCAGACTTACGATTATATTTCATTAGCCGAATCAAAAACCGCCAAACCATGTGTCATCTGTGCGGGTTTACACCTGGGTAGTAGAGCATTAACTTCAGCTACAGTATTAATCAGTATTTTGGGCATACAATAATTAAAACTCCTGTGAGGAACTTTATTTTGGTCAATTTTTACAAGTAAAATAAAAGTTTAACTGGGTTGACGACATTAAACTGTTTAGTCAACTAAATGTACACATCCTTGGTACAACTTATGTAAGAAAAAATTGGTTTATGCCTGTTTGAATAACATAATTATCTTCCTGCATCATATCTAGATCTGAAACAGTCTCATAAATGCATTTCCTTTCACCAAATTATTGATGCATTTCCCTGCTTCCTCCACTGAATTTCATTTCCGCCAATTTTACATATCCCCCCTAAATATAGCCTTTAATCAGCACCCTTGGGAGCCTCAGTGATTGTGTGGTAGATGCATTAAAGTGATGAGAGGCAGGATTGTCCTGGTTGTTGTTAATAAGGACGGCTTACCTGCAGAGACTGTAGGGAATTGGTGTTGGTATCGCAGTACAGGATGATGTTGTTTGCCATGCTGAAGCTCTCTCTCACTCCAAGGTGATAAAAGAGCGAGGGCTGGCGGAAAGCATCTGTCATCTCCACAACAGCGATATCTGAGGGTGAGAATCAGAGATGTCATGTTAGGTGAAAGCGTGGACCTCTGAGTGAAGGATAATACCTACTCTGCACCAAGACAGTTGTCAGTTTCCAACCAAGCTTATATTTTTTGATAGCGCTGCAAACTTTTGCTGTTCTCTCAATAAGCTTCATGAGGTAGTCTCCTGAAATGGTTTTTACTAAACAGGTATACCTTGTCAGGGTTACTTTGTGACTAAGTACTTCTGTCATCAAGAGCAAAGGGTGGCTATTTTAAAGAAACTAGAATACAAAACATGTTTTCAGTTATTTCACACTTTTTTTATAAGTACAAAATTTCACGTGCTCATTCATAGTTTTGATGCCTTCAGTGATAATCTACAATGTAAATAGTCATATAAAAAAATAAAGAAAAGACATTGAATGAGAAGGTGTGTCCAAACTTTTGGCCTTATATATATATATATATATATATGTGTGTGTGTGTGTGTGTGTGTGTGTGTATGTGTGTGATGCCTTCACTGAGAATCTACATTTTGACCATAATTATTAGGTATTTGAGTTATTGTTGCTTAGACTTTGCTTTCTTTAAAGTAACCTTCTCTGGCTTTAACAACAGCTTGGCATATACCAGGCATTCGTTCCACAAGGTATGTTCCAGGGATTGCATTCCAAGCTTTCTTAAGTTCATTAAAAAGAGACTGCTGATTCGTGGGACGCGTTTTTCTGACCGGTAGATCCAATTCATCCCGCACAAGCTCAATTGGAGAAAGGTCTGGAGAGTGAGGGGGCCAAACCATCTTTTGAAGAACACCTCCCTCTTCTTTTTTGTCTAGATAACCCTGACAGAGCTTGGCAGAGTGCTTAGGGTCATTGTCTTGCTCCAAAACAAACTTATGAGCCACAAGTCTGAGTCCAGATGGAACAGCATGGTGCTGGAGGATGGAGTGGTACTGTTCCTTCTTCATGATACCCTTTAATTCAAACAAATCTCCCACTCCATCACCTGCAAAACATCTCCATACCATGGAACTACCACCTCCATGCTGAATTGTGGGTGTAACACATGGAGCTTTTAGACGTTCACCAGTTTGTCTGCGGACATTGACTCTGCGTTTTGAACCAAACAGTTCAAACTTGTTTCTAGTCATCATAGGTCCAATTTTTGTGAGCTTTTGCCCACTCGTATCTCTTTTTCTTGTTCTGTGGATGAAGTAGTGTTTTTTTTACAGATACATAACCCTTCAGACCAGCCTTTCTCAAACGTCATTTCACGGTTGTCAGAGATATGGGTTTCAACCTTGTCATGTTGATTTCCTCCCTTATATTTGGTGCTGTCTTTTGCCGATCTCTCTTACTGGTGACAATGTTATGTTTATCCTCTGCTTTTGTAGTATCTCTCTTTCGTCCAGGCCTTTTTCTATCATCATAACTTCCAGGTTCCTCTAGTCTTTTCAGAGTGTAGCTGACTCCTTTGTTAAACACCTTTAGGCATTTTGCAATTTCTCTTTCTGTGTATCCTTCTTTCCTCAATGTACAAATCTGTACTTTTGTTTCTTTACTCAGTTGCTTCTTTCTAGCCCTTTTTGCGGTGGTTTGAACGCAGTTGAGATTTATTTGGATTTTTGTATGCAGACTCTCAAACGCCAAAGAGTTGAAGTGAATAATCCAACTGTGATTTGTTTTTTTTGCTTTTGCACTGAAGTTGTGACTCTTGCAAATGTTTTCAACCCTAAAACTAAGCCCTTATTATCTTTTGCTGACATTTAGCAATGGTCTGTTAACATCAATGAATATCTAAAGGTAAATGGAGTAAAATGGTGCATTTCCATGAAAGCAACATCTGATCATGGAGTAAATACATCCCAAAATACATACAACTCATCCTGGATTTTAAAAAAAGCATTGTGAACAAAAACTTGAAGTTACTCCCGACTGTTTGGCCTGTAATGACCTTGCTTCCAAACTTTTGGCCTGTAGTGTATATATATATATATATATATTTATGTATTCTACAAATCAGCTTTTTATAAGATCACAAACAATAACATTTCTGGACATTGTATCTTTAAAAACATTAGAAATTATGTTTTGAGTGGTAAATAATACAATTCCTGTTTGTTTTCAAAAAATGTTTAAGCTAAGGCAGGGGATTTATAACTTAAGAGGGCTGCTAATGTTTGAAACATACTAAGTCAGAACTAATCCCAAGTACAGATGTGCGTCAGTTTTGGGTGCAAAATTATGAATTAGACCAAAAAAGGAAAAAAAGATGTGTAATTCTATGTTAGTTTTCAACAAATAATACAACAAATACATAAAACTCATGCTGGATTTTTAAAAAAGCATTGTGAACAAAAACTTGAAGTTACTCCCAACTGTTTGGCCTGTAATGGCCTTGCTTCCAAACTTTTGGCCTGTAGTGTATATATATATATACACACTATCTTTTTCTATAACCCTATCTTTATAGCTCTTCTTCTATCTGTCTTCAACACCATCAATTTGTGCTTATATCTACGTGTTCTGTGACAACTCTGACAACTCTACCTAAGCATTTAGAGAAAAAGAGTATCAAACACTGCATTGCCTACAGGGGTGCAAAAACTGACACAAATGTTAAGTCCTCCATAGGAGCTTTAAGTAGTTGGCATTGATTCAACACCTGGAGGTCTGGGTGTCTGGGTGCTCAATAGTATGAGCCCTGTTATGACTGTACACTGATAACTCAACAACTTCTCTATTTTGACCAAAACTAATATATATACACTCACTGGCCACTTTATTAGGTACACCATGCTAGTAACGGGTTGGACCCCCTTTTGCCTTCAGAACTGCCTCAATTCTTCGTGGCATAGATTCAACAAGGTGCTGAAAGCATTCCTCAGAGAGCTTGGTCCATATTGACATGATGGCATCACACAGTTGCCGCAGATTTGTCGGCTGCACATCCATGATGCGAATCTCCCGTTCCACCACATCCCAAAGATGCTCTATTGGATTGAGATCTGGTGACTGTGGAGGCCATTTGAGTACAGTGAACTCATTGTCATGTTCAAGAAACCAGTCTGAGATGATTCCAGCTTTATGACATGGCACATTATCCTGCTGAAAGTAGCCATCAGAAGTTGAGTACATTGTGGTCATAAAGGGATGGACATGGTCAGCAACAATACTCAGGTAGGCTGTGGCGTTGCAACGATGCTCAATTGGTACCAAGGGGCCCAAAGAGTGCCAAGAAAATATTCTCCACACCATGACACCACCACCACCAGCCTGAACCGTTGATACAAGGCAGGATGGATCCATGCTTTCATGTTGTTGACGCCAAATTCTGACCCTACCATCCGAATGTCGCAGCAGAAATCGAGACTCATCAGACCAGGCAACGTTTTTCCAATCTTCTATTGTCCAATTTCGATGAGCTTGTGCAAATTGTAGCCTCAGTTTCCTGTTCTTAGCTGAAAGGAGTGGCACCCGGTGTGGTCATCTGCTGCTGTAGCCCATCTGCCTCAAAGTTCGATGTACTGTGCGTTCAGAGATGCTCTTCTGCCTACCTTGGTTGTAACGGGTGGTTATTTGAGTCACTGTTGCCTTTCTATCAGCTCGAACCAGTCTGGCCATTCTCCTCTGACCTTTGGCATCAACAAGGCATTTCCGCCCACAGAACTGCCGCTCACTGGATATTTTTTCTTTTTCGGACCATTCTCTGTAAACCCTAGAGATGGTTGTGCGTGAAAATCCCAGTAGATCAGCAGTTTCTGAAATACTCAGACCAGCCCTTCTGGCACCAACAACCATGCCACGTTCAAAGTCACTCAAATCACCTTTCTTCCCCATACTGATGCTCGGTTTGAACTGCAGGAGATTGTCTTGACCATGTCTACATGCCTAAATGCACTAAGTTGCCGCCATGTGATTGGCTGATTAGAAATTAAGTGTTAACGAGCAGTTGGACAGGTGTACCTAACAAAGTGGCCGGTGAGTGTATATATATATATATATATATATATATATATATATATATATATATATATACACACACACATATATAACGTCCACATGTATAGTTTTCTTCTATTTCCTATCAACACCTAATATCCCATCTTCATTAAAGCAGCCGTGAGCTGATCTTGATTGTTCTGGGACAAAGACAACGTCTTGAGGTCAAAGGTTAATGATCATGCATTGAACCATAGTATGTGCGTATGTTGGTAAAATAAACCACGGGTTGTCACAGGTGAAATCCCGACAGCTTATCCTGCAGCCTGTGTGTGTGTGTGTGTGTGATGAGTGTGCTATCAGATATAGATTCTGGTGTCAAAGAGACAAGTGGAGCTAATTCAGAGGCTCAGTTGAAAAACAGAACGTCATCTGCAGATGGTTTGACCCACCTCTTCAACCTCATAAATGAACATAAATAAGCTCACTACGGCGGCCACTCTAGCTGGACTCAAGGATATTATTTTCTGGATAAATAGATCATTAGGGGTAAATATTGCTGGTTGTCACTCAAGCTAGACTGTTATTAGCAAAGAGCCCATTCAGAGAAGTGCTGAACCACTGTGTTATTTCATTTTTGTTTTCTTCTTAAGGCACCCGACTTGTTTTAGGGGATTATTATTTAATAAAATGACTACCGCAGGTCATTCCTCCCTTCTGCAATAAGACTTCACAATGAACTGCAATAAAACTGGACTCACACCACCACTTTTTTTCTGGTACTTAAATTGTGTATACTGTATATGGTCTTATTTTCTTTATTTTAATGCTTTACTACTTATTTTCTTCAAAAAAATTTCCCCCATGGGGGACCAATAAAGGACTATTCTATTCTATTCTATTCTATTCTATTCTATTCTATTCTATTCTATTCTATCTATACAGGGTAAAAAGTGAGGCCTACTTAAATATCCATAACAATGTGCATGGCCAGTTTGGTGGCACAGGTATTGGTAAAGTGCTCAGTTTTAGCGTCTACTTCAGTCACCGTGTGGGAATTAGCATCATGAAAGAAAAACATTGGAGTAAGCTCCACAGAGATTTGGAGGCCCACACATACAGTGAGGATGTACAAGCCGTCCCTGAGGCCGCCTCATGCTCCTGATAACAACATAAACAAATCAGCCCGGCGACTGTTCTCCTGTAATGACACAAGGGTTCAGAGAGTCACAGAGATAACACCGCACACTGGTCTCTCATCTGTTTCCGCGATCCTCTTCCTCTCTGTGTCAACAAACACGTTACACTGAGCACAAGAGCGGAGAATCTTTTATCCAGCCGGCAATATATTTTATCCATAACGGGTCATTTCAGGCTTTAGGAGTTAGAGAACTACGACTGGAGGAGAGCAGCAAGAGTTTCAGTCATCATGACTCAGTTGTTTTGAGTCAATGGGGCGATGTAAACACTGTTGTGACTGCAGGCAGGTCAGATGACAGGTCGCTCTGTTCTGAACACTAGATACTGGTGCAAAGGCGTCTGATTGCCTCTCTTTTATAGCTCTTGTTTTGTTTTTCAGCAGTAAATTTGTGTTGTTATTATCAGGGCATATCAGGTTGTTTTGGATTTTGTACTTAAAAGACCCAACTGTGAAAAAAAAAAACATTCAAGAACAGAAAGAAGTGAGCCAGCAAGTACAAAACAGGTCAAAGTTTTCCAAGTTTACATGCACATTTCTGATATTCTTAATATTCTCAACATTCAAGCATTAAGTTCAGTTCATTATATTCTTGGAGTTCCAATTTACTGATAAAATCACAAACTTTACATTTACTTTCCCAAATCCTTAAATTCTGGGTGAAACATCTGGGAAACAGCTAAAGATTATTCAATCTACAACAAGGGGTTAAAAACTTGCTTAAAGACCCACTGCAATGAAAATCATGTTTTTCTTGTTGTCATGTTGTCACATGTTCATATGTCATTTTTCTGATGCTACAGGACATATCATGAGAAAACTCAGAGTGAAATTGCATTTCTGAGTATTTCTGCATTCAAATCGCTGTGAATCTCTGGCAGACCCAACGGCAGGTTCAGACACAGTGAGATTTCCTACTCCAAGCGCTGCCCCCGGGGCTGTGCTAAAGCCGCGGAAAAGAAGGGAAGACGATTGCGGAACAAACGAGTGTGTAAGTGGACTGTAATGCTCGTAAAAATGCTAATTATGATATTAGCTTTCATTAAGTCCCCAAAGACACTAGTGTTCAGGAGCTGAATAGCTTCCATGTTACCTGCTATTTCTACTACACCGGCAATGTTAGGCTGCAAGCTAACGTGAAAAGGAGTGTGCAGAGCAGTGCTGTCTCCGCCCACAACTCAGAGGCGAATTGCTAATGAGCTACTGGAGTTCTGCAGAAGAAAAGCCCTTGAAAATGACACAGGTATTGTGATTTTGGCTAAAAACTTCATAATCACAATTTAAAGACCACTGAGAACACTTTAAGTAGTTAAAAGAAACGATATGAGTGGGACTTTAACCATTTCCAAGGCTTAACTTGATAAGACTTAAATATAAAAGCACAAACATACAAGGGGATTTCAATAAATGTAATAAATCTAAAAAACTAAGAATAATATCAAAATAAGGCTAATGTTTTTGAACATTTTCTGCACATTGACTACAATGAACTGGACCCAACTATGCAAACTTCAAATGCTGGTCACTTCTATCTTTGTATATTTATCTCATTAAGACTTTGACTTTCCCCAAAATAAAACTGCACCAATCAATATTTGGATGAAGGATAAGACAACTAATTAATTACCTTTGTCACTCTTGCTAGTATGAACCAGATTTACTCATTAATATTAATGTGAGCTTCAAATTCTGGTCATAAATTGTGTCTAAGCCACCAGCTGGTCAGTAGTTACTTCCATAATACTATAATGCTTTACTACCTGAATGTAAAAAGCAGCATTTTGATCTTGAAATTAGCAATGCAGTTGAATGCTGGTTGTGTCTGGTTAGACTGACAAATACCACATGATCAGAGCAATAACATGCTTGTGGAGCTAGCTCTGCTACTGTTAGCCAGGAGAAAATTAGACTGAATTTACTCACAAACTCAGCTTTTAAAATAATAACCAGTCTTCCATTGAGGGTCTGCTTTGCTTGTGTAGGTCCTGTTAAAGCCTTTTATAATTTATGTCAGTATGAAACATTGCCTGCTAAAATCTCCTTGCAGGACTTTCAACACACATGCATTGAAAGATGCAGACATTAAATAAATTTGGGCATCTGTTTTGTCTGTTGGATGTGTAAAAAAGTCTCTCATTGCTTACACATTTGCAAGAATCAGACATAAAAAGATGTTAATGTAACTTTAAAACAGCTCTGTTAGCTTTATGCACTCGTCAAATCAATGAAGAGTGCCATCCACGCTTCTAAAACAGGATAATCAGAACAAATTACTCAAAGCAGCCGTGAAACTGCTCGAAATTCGAATGCACAGTTAGCTTAAGCATTTACTTCAACACAGTGCTGCAGAGAGAAGCTGGTTGTAGCAGTGGAGAGCTTTTGTCAATAATGAGGGGCCGTGCAGCCCCCCGCACTCTTCATCAGCACATGCAAATTCAACCAGGAAGCAGGTACTTGATGCTGGCCTCAGAGGTTCTCATCATCAACCCCTTCCTCCACACCAGCATCACTTTTTCATTACAGCTGAGCAGGCGGAGGGAAGGATATCAGGGATTTTGAGTTCAGTGGCTCTTCGCAGTGATGTCAAATATCAGAAAGGTTTTGTTCTCCGGATGAGCAGTCAGCATCTTCACATCAGGACGCTTTCCTTCTGATAGATAAGCACACCTTAGATTTCACTGTCTGACGTAGAGAGGCACATGAGGAAAGAACACCTTAATCTTCCCTTTGACTGACCTCTGCTTAACAACCTCTTGAAAATTCCACATCTATGACGCATTTCCACTGATCATATCACCATCAGGAGATGTGAGGATAACATTTTCTCCTCCCTGATGCTTGATTTGCCTCAACTTATCACTGATATAAAAGAAAAGAGAACTAACAGCTGTATACAACTTATGATATGCTATCTGAAACATGGACATGACATGACACAATAATTACAGATAAAACAACACAAGTCTATTTTGTCCAGGACACAAAGAGGTCCTCTGATATTATTCATCTTGAGTGCTTCTCCTGAATGTAAAATTAATTTTAAAATCTACAGCAAACAAACTCGAGAGGCACTAACTTCCCCTAGTCTTCCCTCCTTGTAATCTGTCTTAGTCAAAAAGCACCAGAGAAACACTCAGTTTTAACAAGATGCTGCTTCATTTGCTGTTTTCACCAACTTTAATTACAGAGTGTGTAATGTTTTGGAGAGGATAACACCTCCGTGTTTAATTCAACTCCAAAAAAAGACCTCCTAAACTCTCCATAATTAAGGAAACAACTGAAACTAGTGCTGGACGATAATTCGATAACAATATATATCGATCGATAGACGTGTGGAGCGATAGAAAAAAAAACGGGTCGATAAAAAGTTCGATAGAAAAACACAGTTTCCCTTTCTTTTTAATCATAGCCTATCATGTAGCTTTTACTACAGTCATTACTTCCTCCCAACCAATCACAAACGCAGACCCAGGTACGCTACGGCACCAAGCCCAGCCCTTACCAAACCACAACAGACAGCACGTGTATTAGAAATAATGTAACAGCAAGGAGAAGCGGAGGAAATTGTCCCGAAAAAAGGTTTCAGTAGTTCACCAACATGGCAATGTTTTGGTTTTTAGAAGTCTGACAAAAAGCAAACAGCGGTCGTTTGCAAAATTTGCAGAGAATTAGTAAAAACCAAGTCTGGTAACACAACCAACTTGTTTTACCATCTAAACCGATCGCACCCGCAGGAGTACGAGCTGTGTCGGCCGCGCCGCGGCTCCACGTCGTCGTCGGAGGAATCCTCTGGAACCGCTGTTAGCACCAGCACAAAGCAAGTGAAGCAGACCAAACTGGACTTCGTTTCTTGCCAAAATACGACAAAGCGTCCAAGCGGCATAAGGACATCACCCATGCAGTAACATGCTCCATAGCGAGGGACATACTGCCAATAACTACCGTTGAAAAGCCTGGCTTCGACCAGCTTCTAGCCACTCTCGACCCGCGATATGAAGTGCCCGGCCGCAAGTATTTCTCAAACACAGCGCTTCAGGCATGAAAATGGGTCAGGGGTTGAAAAGGTGAGAAGGGTGCGGAGGAAATACGCTCCGGTGTAGCTTCTTAAAGTGGAAGAAAATGAGCTCATATTTTACAAAGACGCGAGTATTTGGATCATGGCTACTAGCAGGGGGGGCATTCGGCAGGGGTGCATTCTACGACACAACACCGGCGTGGATAAGTCCTGCTTCTCGTGCTTAGTTTGTTTATTAAGCCAATCACATGATATTTAAAAAAAATAAATCTCCCGACCCCAGGAGAAATATTTCAGTGTTCAGACACCAGGCTGTGGGCAGTTTCCCACACAGTTAAAACTGGTAGTATGCTATTCCCACCTAAAGCTATTCTGTTTATTTATATATTTGTTTGTTTTGTTTATTTTCATCAAAAGACTATTTAAATATTTATTTATCAGATTTTCTGGTCACTTTAGTCTTTATGTTTGTCAGTATTTACTGATGTCACTCAGGCCACTTAAGTTGATTTTTTTTTTTAAGTTCTTTTTTAAAAAAACTTTCAGTTGTGGTAAAAAAAAAAGGTGGTTGAATAAAGGTTTGAATTTGAATTCAGTGCTTGTGTGTTCTTTATTAAAAGTAGGTCATTAAGCAATAGCATAAAACATCCAGGGCTGCAATTAAAATATATGTTAAATAATTATAATAATTATATCGATAATTATCGATATCGATCAATATGATTTATTTTTTATCGATATGCTTTTTTTCTATATCGTCCAGGCCTAACTGAAACCCCCTGATTTTCCATGTTACACTGCTTCATTTAAATGTTCTGTTTGGTTTAAATTATAAGGTGCATTTTTCATTCATGAGTTTACATGAAGTTAATTAGATTCTTATTGTAAACTTGACATACTTGGCCTTATACAAAATAAAAGGCTGTTAAGCTTCTTCGGAGCTGTTACTTTGTACGGTGTGCAGCTGAATTTCAACAGCCTGACAGCACAAGTCGACTATTGAATAAAAGATAAATAACATAAATTTTTCTCTGCTGTTTAGAGACACCATCCATATGACATGCAAACCATATTTTAATGCAAATAGACCATTGAAAGACAGCAGAGTGACACACAGACGTCTACTCTGGAAGGTTGCAGTCGTGTCTTTAAAACGCAGCTTTGTGTTTGGGTGGGGTAATTCTGAAATGCGCTGCTTGGAAAACCTCACCTGCTTCACACGACCACATCTGAGCCAAAGAAAATGTTTGCTGTCACAGGGCAGGGTTAATATAGGAGAGGAATAAAGAACACACACGCACGCACGCACGCACGCACGCACGCACGCACACACACACACACACACCTCAGTGCAAATAGGAAAAAGAATGGCACAACATGAGGGAGTCTTGTTCTGCTGGGAGAGTCAGAAGAGGCAATCAGTCCTCATAAGTGCTTTGTACTCTCAACAAAGCCCCCGAGAGCAGACAACACTTGACTATCAGTGCATGGTGTTGTCAGCATGGAGTGCATCAGTCTAAATGCACACAAGCCGAGCAAGAACATACATAAACAATACATCTACATGGGATTTGATTGCAGGCAAATTTGAAGACTTTGAAGCTCCGCAGTAGTTTTAATGGATCCAACATGTCCTGATCTGAACTCTGTTCAGACACAACAGTCACAGTAAATCTAGAGCTCAAATGCAAAGTCAGTTTACCCTTTAGTTATTGGCACAAATGTTGACTGTTATGTGACTTAGATTTTCAGGCATGCTTATTGTGAGGATGTCAACATCTGTCCCTCTGTTGGTCCACTACCTTGGTCCATGCTGAAGTATCTCAACAGTTCTTTCATGGATGCCCATAACGGTTTGTGCAGATTTTCATTTCTTAGAGGAGAAGTCCTCCTGACTTTCCATGAGTAAAATGTCTCAAAAACCACTAAGTAAATTTTGTTTTTTTCGGTTATTTATGTATAAGCTTAAGTGTCATCTACTTAAGCTAAACATACAGATAAAGGTCATGAGACTTTCTCATGTGTCCTGAATTGCATTTGCATTTGTGTGTGTACTACAAGTTGTCTCGCGAGATCTTACTTGTTGCAGAAACCCAACGGAGGACACATGAATGAGTGACACCGGCAAAGTCAGAGATGTCAGAACAGTTCTATAGAAGAAATAAACCCCCCCCTAACACTTTTTTAAATACCTCAAATTAGTTTGCACATGAGAGTGTGGAGTTTGCATGTTCTCCCTGTGTCTGCATGGGTTTCCTCCGGGGACCCCGGTTTCCTCCCACATCCCAAAATCATGCAGAAGTGGGGTTAGGTTAATTGGTTACTTTCTAATTGGCCGCAGGTGTGAATATGGATAGTTGTTGGTCTCTTTATGTCAGCCCTGCAATGAACTGGCGACTTGTCCAAGGTGTCCCCTGCTTCGCCCCAAGATGTTGGGATAGGCTCCAGCCCCCCCACGACCCCCTGGATGGATGCATGGATAGTTTGCACAGTGTGGTTACCGTAAGCAGAGCTACAAGCACCACTCTGAAGTCCTCTTTGCAGGTTGACATCCTGTTCGATGGTGGTTGGGCATTGCTCCACCTGAGCGGTTATGCCAGTTTAACCAGAAACAACCTGCATACAATCAAATCTCCATTTTCTTTATCAAAATACTGCCAAACCATGCCCGTGTCTCCCCACATTTCACCCTGTCAATAAAGGCTACAATCACCCCAAACAATAATAAAAAACAAAAAAGTCAAACTTCTCTGATAAAGAGAAGTGTTCGAATTTTTGTGCAGCCATGGTTGGTTTCGTGAGGATAATGGCAGCAAATTCTGGGAGGCAGAAATGTAAACCATCAAACAGATAGTGACCGTTGTTTCGCCTGATTCAACAGCAGCGCGTCTGCATGGTTCTGGAGAGCGCTCAGATGTCGTGATTGCTTACCAATGCAACAACACAGCGGAGTGCATGCCAACATAACAGCAGACCTGCCAGCATGGTGTTGACAGAAGGCTGTGGAGTGGAGTAACCTGAGTCATACAACCTCCCTGTTCACAGGAGCCTCCACCTGATTACATGCGCTCACCTCTGCTGTCATTGCAATCACCTCAAATCAGAGTCAGATCTGGGGCAATCGAAACCAGTGACTGATCAGACAAATTGGAAAAAACAAGACCAGAAACATGCATAGTGAAGCCTTGATAATCCTGCTACACCTCCTACGGCTGGACCTGCTGCTGTTGACCAAATCTAAATTGATTCCCTCGCCTACAGCTCAAAGCAGAGGAGGGAAAATAACTCAATACTCTCACACAATATCCAGGCTTTCAGCAGCACTCAGCCTGCTGCTGCAGGTTCCTCAGGCCCAGCAGTGTGTCGGAGGGAGAGAAGAGGAGGGGGAGCAGCACAGAGAGAGCAGAGCTGCATGAATATACAGGGGATTGTTCTGATGTCTGACGGCTCATCTTTCTAGATCTATTTCAGCTCCTCTCTGAGTGTCTGCAGCAGCTCAACATGCACCCTCTTTTTGGGAGGTAGGATCAGCTCAATATTATAATCACAATCGGAACTAAATGGCGGTGCAGACAGTTGAGGTGGATATGGATTATCTCAGCATCTCTAAGTGTCTCTGCAGGGCTGAGAGCCAAACTGGGAGCTTTGCAGACAAAGAAATCTATTTTAAAGACTGTGAGCTGTTGAGAAATGTAAACAGCCGCTCCCAACAGCCCTCAGCTAACGACACTCCAACAGTCTGTTTCATCTATGCAGTACATCCCTGGAGCCGAGCGCACACTGATCATGTAGATGCAAAAAACACAAAGTGGGTGTCTGTCTATGCGTAAATCTGTGGCTAACATATTGATCATGTGTTCATTAAGGAGTAAAAGCTCATTTCTGTCTTTCTTTGATCAATTTTTAACACAACGTTCACTTGTTAGCCTTTTCTTGAGGGCCTTAGACCCTCGAACACAACCTTCTTTTGGATTTTTGATGGGGCTCCATTCATGAGTACTAATACAGTCTTTATTCTTAGGTGAACAATAATTAGCTTTAAAAAATACACAACAAAATCTGAGCTACTTTTTTATTCAAATTAAAATATTTTAGTGTATGCAATGTGGCCTCCTAACCTCTTAACCACCAACCAATCATGATCAAGAAGGGGCGGGACTTCTGATAACATCTTTGTTGAGGGAGAAAAAGTGACCACTAGTTTTCCAGGAGGAGCTCAAACCTTTATCAATTGGTTTTCTGTTTACTTAGTAAAATATTGATGAATGGAGGCAAATATGGAGCATACAGAGCATTTTAGAACGGACCCAATGGTCACTGTTGAGGGAAGCAAAAGTGCTGGACAACCACTCTATTACACCAGCGACAATAAACACCAGGGAGAAGTGCTCTGAAAATGGGGTAGTGAGTTCTGCCAGTGCCAAAAAACCTTCAGTGGATGTGACCGCTCACAGTTGATAGTAAATAACACAAAGGCTTCACACAGCCTTACATCAGCATTGCAATACCAGGGTATGAATCTGGACTCATTCCAGGCTGTTAGTAAACTTAATCCAGACCGACCTTGTCAAGTTTAGTTCTTTGTCTAAACGTATTATTAGCTGAACTTTTATCAAGAGATCTGTTCTTAAAGATTAAAAAACTGTCATTGATTACCCAAATAAAAGCAAGGACGTCATCATCACAGACTCTACTCTTGCTTTTGCTCTCAACATAAACTCTTTTTCCTATAACCACCAAAGCCCACTGATATATGATTGGTCAATTCTTAATAGACTTCAAAACAAATGACAAACTCTGGTCTGGACATATCCAGTCAGTATAACCTGTTAGAAACTGGTCTGAATAGCTCATCAGTTTATTTATGCACACTGTAAAGGGGCTAAATTTAAATAATAATGAAAAAATCTTTTAGTTTTGAAGATATAAAGTTGAGCAGCACAATATTAGAAAAATCTTATGAGACACTGCTACAATATGATAGCTTACAATACGATATATGAGACTACAATATGAAACTTTACCATATGATACAATACAATAAGATACAAGTGGTATGATATGATGCAATACAATATCATATGATACTATACTACCATATATGACATGATACTATATGAGACAATACATGGATATGATAGGATACAATACAGTGTTTTCCCTAGCTTTTTCGCTTTGTGCGGAGTCCACATCACTACATATCGTCTCTTTAAAGAATGCCAATATTTTCAATTTGGGTGCTGAACGAGGACAGTTCAGTGCTCCATGACCAGTTTTTTTTATTTAGTGACCAGAATACTAGAATCAGTGGTGCTGACATGCTGCACCTCTGAATTATGCAGCAAGCGTGTATGTAAATGAACTCTGTGGGAGTTAAATCAACACTCTAGTTTTCGCTGTGTACAAACATGAGAGTGTAACAACAGCAACTGTAACAGGCTGCATGCATGGCCGGGGCATGTATACTAATTATACTGTCATATGACATGATATAATATATGATATAATATGAAATAAGAGGATATGATACACTTTACTGTCCTCCTGTTCCCTTAGGGAAATTTGTGAAGGACTTCAGTAGATTTGATCTGCTGTCTTTAAAGATGGGGAAACACATCAATCAAGAGGACCCTCAACAGCAGCCAGACTCATGGCTGCCTGCAGTGTCTGCAAACATGAACTATTTTCTTTTTGTATCAGTCTCATGAGCCCAGATGTTGACCATCACCATTGTTATTGAAATACATCAATCTATCCCTACATATTACTATTTTTGTCTGCGTAGTACTCTGCTGATCTGCATCACCTGAAAAACTGTGTTTGCATGTGTGGGTATGTGCCTCTCTGCAAACACTTCATACTTGTTGAATACGTGGCTTCACTGCAGTGCTCTAATTGCTCAGTGAAAGCTTGGCTCACACTGGTCACTCAGGGTGAAGCTGTAATGGTCTCCGGTTTTGTTATGTGTGAGTATGCAGGTATGGAACAGGTGGAGTAGGTAAATACAGCACTCGTTACAAGGCATTACGTAATAGCCACACATAGTATGCTGTAACCATGGACACTGCTGTAAAACCTCGGAGTGAAAGCCTCAGTGTGCTGCTGCCGCTGCGCTGTGGTGCTTTTTAATGGAGATAGAGTGAGCCTGGTGTTAGTGGAGCAGAGTGCAGTGGGAGGATTTCCCTGGAGCTTTTCCCACACACAGGACAGAAAGAGAGGAAAGAGTGGAATTACTGTCTCCAAGCTTCCCTGGAAATAATTTCCCACACTCAAGAAGCCTTTTACTCCCCTAAAAAAGGAACTACTGGAGAGTAAAATGTATAAACTTTCTGCCAAATTTCCAGGAAGGAGAGGCTGGTAACTATGTCCTCATGTCTCATAGCAGCTGTATGATTACTCCTTGAAACAGAGCCAAAGTTGATGTTTCACTGTTGTCGGGTTTAAGCAACATGCATAACAGAGAGACAAACTTGAGATGACAGATGAGGACTTACTAGAAAGCTACCCTGTGGATTTTTTTTGTAAACAGACAGCTTTGTTTACATTCTGTTTCTCATTTAAATGCATTGTGTGAATCCTTGAAGCCTTACAAGCTCATTTTTATAACCCCCCCACTCTATAAAAGGACTTTAAATGTGTTATAACAGAGCAGCCTTCCCATTAAAAGACTGTTGGCAGAATATAATTAACAAAACATGCACATTCAAACCAAAATGATTCCAAGCACACTAGGAAACGCACCATACCAGATGAGGCAAAAAGGTAATCATAACCATGCAACACCTTCTGACTTGTTTTAGACTTTGCCTTCAGGGTCTTGCCCTAAGGTGGCGTGTGTCAAAGCTTTCTTGATGGGAAAGTTTCAAAGCGATCCGTGAGATAAAATCTTGGTATTCATTGATCAAAGACGGATGGTGATAATCAGATACTTCAGAGATTAGACACCTCAACCTGTCCTGGAAATGTCAAAATCCTAGAAACAGTTCCAGAGAAATACAAGACGGGTCATGTTTGTCCCTGAGGGCGACTTCATTTCTCATGCAAAGAGACAGTTTTACTGTGTTTTTTTTTTCTTATTATTTGCCTAGGAAGACCATACCAACTGCCCCTTTACCATATAGGTAAGCAAAAACTCAAAGAAAGTAAAAATGCATCCAGGAAGGCTTTTATTTTTGAAATGGAGTGGAATTTTTTTGCAAATCAGTCAAGCATCTGCAAGAAATTTCAAGATTTAGCTACACGTAAGACCACACAATGTGTAGACAACATTTTCCATGAAGTTACAGTCCCAGGAATGAAGGAAAAACACCAAATAAGTCTTTCGGCTGTGTGTTTCTAGCCAAAAATACATCTGCATTCCCACAGGATCATATGGGAAACAGGAGACAATGCTTATTCTGCTGTTTGGATGCCCTGCCCAGCATGGAGATTAATGTTGCCTTTATTTTTGTCCCTGAGTCCTGGAAACACCATGATGCAGGAAATCAGACCAAACCTGTCAGTTGCAACCCCCCCCCCCCCCCTTTTCTTTTTTAAACCTCTGCCTTTTCACCCTTTTCACACAAGGAGAGATTTTACAAACTGAGATGCCACATCCCTGAGGGGGAAAAGAGCTGAGAACAGAATGTGAATTCATCCACGGCTGACAAACACACTGAGCAAAACCCGTGCTGTCATGAAAGCTGCCCTGACTTGCCTTCTGAATTGAGCTCCTCATCACAGTTTCGGTGAAGAATTTGCTGAGACAAGAGGTATCTGTATGTATGCCAAGTAAACAGCGTCAGTCTTATCTCTATCCCTTTATATTATCAGATTAAGGAACAATAGGAGCAAATTGCAGCAGTGAAACAAAACTGCACTGTGCAAGAAAAGGCTATAAAAACACGTGCTGAGTTCCTGTAATTTATGAGTGAATGCAAACTGTGCTAGACGTCAGTGTATTGAGCTGCCCTCTGAGGTGTTGATGGATTTTTTGCAACGTTGCACTTTTACCTTCACAACATGGGTGCACAAAAGTCTTCAGCAGCTCAACAACTCCAGAGTTGAACCCATGAACAGATGCTCAGGGCAACCAGCAGATAAACCTCCATCTATTTGGTGTCCTTTACCAACATGTTAAAGTTTTTACTCAGTATCTCAGTATTTTACTCAGTAAAACCTAGTATGTCTTGTAATACCCTGAGATTTTTGCTACTTGCAACACCAGCATAATGATGTTTTTACAGTTCCAGATATATCAAAACATCTAAAATATTAGTCTGAGCAACTTCTGGACAATTTATGGTTCCCAGGGCATGAATTCTAACCACTTTTAAGTTTACAAGTTAAGTTAATGTTAGCAACAGCAAATTTTTACACATCCCTAAAAGTAGACACATCAAAAAGATGTATTCTCACAAACTTTTGAACTCTAGTTCATGGTCCTTAGAGGATGATTCCCAACTACTTTTGTAATACCCTGAATTTTTATTACTAGTTTTAGTATTACTAGTTACTAGTTTCACCTACAAATCAGTATAGGTTAGTGTTAGTTAAAGTATTAGTTTGAACAAACTTTTGGATAATTTGTGGCTCCAAGAAGATGAATCTTAATCTCTGTAAAAGTGCTTAGCTTTGTTAATATTCATACTTGCCAGCATATGTAACTTTTTACACATCCCCAAAAACCACAAAAATTACTATGATATATCCATACCAACTTTTGAAAACAAATCCATGATCCCCACAGGTTACACCCCGATCACTTTCATTATACTATGCTTTCTTAAAATCACTTATGTTACAAACATTTGAATGTCCATTGTGGTCCCCGGAGGTTGAATTCTGATCACTTTCATTGAATACTGATTCTTGTTCATGCCTGTGTGTTTAAATATTTCCTTCAACAAAAAGTATCAAAACTTCCAAAAGATGCATGCATCAAACAAACATTTGAACATACATTTATGTTTCCCAGAGTATGAATCAAAATCACTTTTTGCACTTTTGATTACTGGGATATGATTTTTCATATTATATTTGGCATGATATATGGAAACATCAAAGAAATGTACTGAATCAAACTGTTGGATATTAATCATCGTCCCCAATGGATGAACTCTGATCATTATTTTGAATACAGTTTTTTTTTTTTTTTTAATATATATCTATAACTATCAAAACATCATTTGAACAAACTTCTCAACAATAATTAATTTTCCCAGAGGATGAATAATAACATCTTTTATGATTCCCAGGCTTCATCTTTGGCATGAGCATGAAGGAGGTGGAATGTTTCTGTGAAATGTTAAAAAAACACTATTTTCCTAAACATCTCAGATATATTGTGGAAAAAGTGGCCGCTACTCAAAGTGTGGGAATAACACGCTGTAGATTTATCAACAACATGATCATTGTGATACTTTTACCTCACCCACATTTTTGCATTCTTTTTTGTGCAGCAGTGTTTTTGTGTGGACTAAGTAATTGGATGGCCAACCTGCTCTATTATGATCAATATCAGTATCAGCCATTGAATAACTGATATCAGTGGATTTGTGCACAATAAAACACACAGCTTGAGGATGAATGCATAAGAGACTATTAATAACTGATTGAGGCCTAGCTGTTCTTACAGTTTGAGTTGCTACAAGGCCTTCATCCAGTATGTAACCAGTTATTAATGTTTTAATTTACCTTTCGCCTTCTGAATGAAACTGTGCTTCTCTGTCTCCACTGTTGGTATGTCTTTCTCTCTAGGTCTGTTATCACTCGGCCTCACTTAACTCTATCACATTACCACAGCACTATCTGATTGGTCAGACGCCACACAACTGTGACACAACTGTGCAACTGGTTAACTGTTGACTATCATTTAGGTTTCACTTGTGATTCGGTAAGGCCTTTAAAGTACTTTGTAAAATTCCAAATTATTAAAGATTTTCATTTAACTGCAAATACATACCAATTCCATTTACTGTAGGATAAAATAAAATAGCATTATCAGCATTAAATATCGGCCATCGACAGACCTGCCCTCACATCATTGATATCGGCATTGGTTGTTGAAAAACTGATATCGGTCGACCGTTAAATTTTGCACCATGCATGAAAATGTTTTTATCTCTTAGCATGACATTCTTCTGCTCCAGTCTATCTCGTCTTGTACACATGTACTCCCATACACAATGAAATCTCATCATTCTTTTGGGATAGGTTAAGCATACTTTGTGTTTCATGGTACCTTATCATTATTCTGACAAATGAGTCACTTTCTTTTGCTCTCCACAAGCTTAGTTTTCAAAGACTCTTGTGTCCCTCCCATGCTGTTTCTTCACCTCAAACGAACCCTGTTAAGATCTGAAAGTAAGCTTTTATGCTCTGATTCTCCATCTCCTGTCACTCTCCTTTAGAGCCACTCAAGAATTCAACCCCCGGGGTTCACAGTTTACAGCACTTACTACAAGCTTAGGGTATGAGGAATGCTGTTTGAAAGACTGAAATACTCAGAGACATGGATGATTATTGTAATGAGTCTGCAGAGCATGCACACAATGTCAAAGCAAAAAAGCTGACATGATAATACATTTACCAGTTAGCTTCCGATTTTGTGTCTGCACTTAACTTCCTGTTGAGTAATCTCTGCATGAAAACACAAACTCACATTGTCTACTATCTACAGTACTTCTCACAATGACAGTATGTCACTTTTCCTCAGACACCAATGAGTGACCTGTGGGCTAATTCCCTCTGACCTTGTGCTCTTTCACCTCTCTGGAGCAGCCAAGCATGCAGAGTAAACAGCAAGGAGGATAAACAACTTAGCAGAACGCCAGCTGATGGGATTTCTGAGTCTCTCTGTCAGGCGTACAGTCCTATGCTTAGGACACTCTCAACTAGAAGCTGTCAGCTGAGGCCATGTCATGTTGACAGTGGAAACAGTAGGAGCTCACCTGCTGTGAAAGGATTACATCTGCTCTTCAGGGCAACTGTTTTCACTTTTTTTACTCAGCACAGCTACACTGTTACCATCCATGCACTGAATCTGATTAAATAAAGAAGTTTAGTGAACTTATGATGGCTAAAATGCTTTCAAACTCTTTCCAGCAACTGAATCCTTCACCTCCAAGCGCAGCCTGAAAACAATTTGTGTGTTTTAACCTGCTCTGCTGGCAGAGTGGTGAGCGGTGGAGTCGTGCTCTCAGCGCAAACAAGAGGCGGGCAAACACTCAGACTGAGCTACAAAGCTGCTTTCAAAGTGCTCAGGAATTGTTTAAAACCCATTGTGCTGGGTGCAAATTACACAGTAATGCAACATAATCATCAACTAGAGAGATAAAGCCCTGCATACCACAGCTCTGACCTAACAAACCTCTTCCTGGTAAAGGAGGGAACAACAGAGGACTGCACAATGTAGGGCTGATAAATCTCAGTATTAGCCACTACATTTTTAAATTGCAACTTGAAGGTTAATTTTTATGCTGCATTAATATATAACTTGGGGTGAAAATAGCTGCTGGGACAGTTAATCATTCTTTTACATGTTTAACAACTGATATGGGTGGATACTTAGAGAAAAGAGGCTGTTTTTTCAGCTTCACTCTAACTTTTCTGACACCAGCACCTGTAAAAATAAAGTATGAGCACACTGTTATCACTCTCTCTCCCTCCATGTCTCTCTATTTGTTTCTCTTTTTCCCCCTCATCTGTCTTAAATATGAGGCGGGAAAAGACAGAGGTGCAGAAACACACATACAGGGAGAAAGCTAAGATCAAGTGCATGAGCTGCAGGGTGGAGGAAGTGACAAAGAGAAAGAAAACCATGTTCACACACATGATGGTTCCTCTAAAGTTTCATGATCTATATACTTTCTGTCTATTTACTGACAATATACTGACTCCGTAAGATACAAGGCATGACAATGACAATTATACACATATAACTATGTTAAATCTGCTTTTCCCTTTCTCTAAATCATATGTATCTTCACCGTGTTATTATAAACTAACAATCTGTGACGTAAATACAGTGTTAGATATAATAAGCTAATGTTGCTCGCTCACTGTGACACCTACACTCTTCTCTGTTGGGTCCCATTGCACCTCACCTTACCCCAAAGTCTAGTCTGACTGAAACTGGTCTGTCAAAATATATGTTAACACACGGGCTTGACTGAAGTAGCACTAAATCAAATATCCAGTAGTCAGGCTAAGGCCTGCTATTCATCAGAAGATTTGGGAAAGACTTCTGGAAAACTATCAGCTTACACCTGCTCACATCTAAAGACAAGTGTTTAGAGATTTTAGTCACAGCCTAGTCTCAGACTGAGATTTTACAAAGACTGTTAATCTTGCAGGGTCACTATCTACAAGACTACAACTATTGAAAGACTAGAACCAGATTCTTTTAGCGCTTCTTGACAGTTCAGTTCAGTGTGTGTGTGTGTGTGTGTGGGGGGGGAGGCATCAATCAGCTGTGTGTTCACAACTCTTAACTTGCCTATAGTAATTCTTGATACACGCGCCCTGCGCCGCAGCCCATGTGCGCTGCATATACTGATACATACTGAGTATGAGGTAGCGCTTCAAAAAAACGTTATTTTTGAATTTATCGCCAGTAATTCTTTATACATTCTTGTTCTTCTTGTTTTGACTTTCAGGTTTCCTTTTCTGCTTTTGTTAGAGGTCATATTATCGCAAACCCAAGACTAAGAAAAGACTGATATAAAACAGCGCAGATTACCACCATAAATTGAGATAACAGGAGTAAGATGTGACTCCAGTAAAACTCCAAGATTTACTTAAGACATTCAGTCTTTAGTTTGGGACTGTGAAAATCTTTTGGCGGAAGCCTAGCACCATCATATTTAGACCGGCCTTAAGTGTTCTTGGTATGCTCTACAGTTAGCATGTTGGATTTTCAGCATCTAAACTTGTGGTAAACAAAACCTCAACAGAGTAAAGGGGTGTTCAGACCAAATGCGACCAGGTCACGTCGCGTCGGTCAGTCACGTCGCGTTGTGTGGCACCTTGGTGTGTTCACAACGGGTCCAAAGCTGCGGTCGCAGGACGCGGCTGGTCGCCGCTGACCCGCATCTCCAACCTTCCTTCTCCCTCCCTTTCTCCCTCATATATACATCCCGCAGCCCCTTCCAGCGCTTGCGGCACACACACACACACACACACACACACACACACACACACACACACACACACACGCGTTGAAACATGTAGCCTAGCAAGCAGGGGAAGTTTGCTATGTGTTCAGAAAATAGTCTGCTCACTGAAATAAATAAACAAACGACCAGAAAGCCCGAAATCATGGGCCACCTTCGCCCATGCCTCCTCCTTGGAGGTGCTGTCCCGGTAAAACGCGCACCCCACGTCGTACAGGACCGGGTGATAACTCACAGCAGTGATACACTGCTCCTCCATTGTGATTCTTCTTCTCCTCCTCCTTGCTTCGCCGGTTTGTTGACGTCAGCGGAGCCCTGATTGGCTGTCGCAGCACGGAGTCGCGGATAGTCGCTCCCAAAGTTCAAATATTTGAACTTTGGGAGCGACGCGACCTGGCGTCCTGCGACCTCGGCGACGCGACTTGGCGTCCTGCGACCTCGGCGACGCGACCTCGGCAGGTCGCGTCGCAGGCAGCCGGCGGTCGCCAAGTCGCGTCAGGTCGTGGCTGTCCATAGACTTTGCATTGGGAGCCGTCGCCGAAGTCGCGTTTGGTGTGAACACCCCATAAGAAGAGATGTAAAATAAAACAAAGACATTGTATCATGTGTAGTAAGTTACAGAGCTGTAGGGTTGTCGGTGTTTCGATGTTGGACACACAACCTGTTAGCCTCTTACTGGCACGGTTGTTTTGGTACACTAGCTGAAAAGGAGCATACCACCACCCACTGGAGTGGAGGTGGACTTACTGGACTCTATTTTCATGCTTCGCCGGAGACACGCTGCAGGCGTGGCGTAAGTCAGGTCCGCCCTGCCGACAAGGCGTTCCCAAGAACAATTTGGTATTTTGGTGAGCGGCGCAGCCCGGCTTAAGTATCCCCCCTCCCTAACTCAGCTCCTCCGAGCGGCGTAAGTCGTAGCGAGGAAGGAGAGAGGGCACAGCCGAGACCTGTATTGACCAATAACATAAGCTCCTCTCCTCGCCTTTAAATCCGCCACCGTCGAGGCGTATTACTATTTTCGTGAAGTAGTCAAAGAGATCAAGAGATGTCTGAAGACAGTAATGCCACACTATGGCGACAGCTGTGCTCCACCTGCGCTGAAAGCTGACCAGGTTTGAATCAGCGAGCTTTCAGCTCATTTTATACGCCACTGGCGAGCACGAAAAATTCACTGCGGCAGCTGATTCTGTCGACACCTCCCTCTGCCACGCCTTCTGTAACTGTGTATGCAAACAAACTGGACTTCTCTCTTATGGTCTTTATGTTTCCTGATCCTGCTTTTTCTGGCACCTAAAAAGGCTCATAAATACAAGTTTACCACACAAGCAGATTTTCTTCATGTATTTGACAGGACAAGATTTATATTTCTTAATTCTGAACATTAGCTTAAACAGTGGGACCCCCTTGTGCTGCGTCACATCCAATGTGTCTGTTTATGATCTAGAAGTAAAAAAACATTCACAAATAGTACTCCAGGACTTCTTCAGTGTATTACTTCAGATATTTTGGGAAATACTGTATAAACTTTCAAAACACACTGATTTAATAAGGTTTGATACCTGCAAGTTTCACTTTAACTCTGTGGTGATGCTCTGAATCAAATTGCTGAAAGGACTCTACACAGCAACCGTAACAACCTCATTGTTTGCTATTTTACAGCAAGAGGAAGTCATTCAAATGGGTTTACAGTGAAACCGAAATCTCATTATGAAATTATCTTTCATATATTCAGTCTGACATTGACTTCTTGTGAGATAATTTGTGTGTAGGAAAGAGTTATGTTGATCTCACACATCCTTTTTTGATAAGTCCGCCCTTCCTTTGTTGTTTTCACCCAAGATTTCAGTCTCTGTATCAGTTGCAGCCAGGAGCTTGTCAGTTATATTTTAGCAAATAAAATACTTTATTGCTAAACTTCTGCTGTACTCTGAAAATGTGCTCAGTCAAACAAAGTTTTTGGCTCCATGCTCGGGCCAAGGCAAACTCAAAGCATGACTTAGAGTGAGTCAGGAGGGATGGAGGAGTGAATCAGCAGCTATGAAAAATGCTTGCAAGAATATTGATTTTATCTGCTGCTTTTTTTGGACCCAGAATAAAAACTTTTCCCTCAGACCACTGCAACTGACCACTCAGTGCAGAAGGAAATTTGAAAGGATGACAAAGGGTTTTTGTTTCACTGATAATCACTGTTTAAGTGCTGCAGCAGATCATTCTAATGAAGATCAAATATTAAAGTCATCATTTTTTACTTCTTAAAGTGTTCTCAGAAGTCTTTAAATTGTGATTATGAAGTTTTTAGCCAAAATCCCTTTTCTTCTGCAGAGCTCCAGTAGCTCATTAGAAATTCACCTCTGAGTTGTGGGCGTACACATTGCTGCTCTGCACACTTCTCTTCATGCTAGCTAGTAGCCTAACATTGCTGGTGCAACAGAAGTAGCAGGTAACATAATAGCTTTTCAGCTCTCAGACACTAATGTCTTTGGGGACATTATGAAAGGTAATATCATAATTAGCTTTCTTATGAGCATAGCAGTCCGCTAACGCAGACGCTTGTTCCGCAATTGTCCTCTCTATTTCTCTTAGTCTGGCCTGCAAAGTGGGGCTCTGGGGGCGGAGCTTGGAGTTATAACTTAGGAAATCCCACTGTGTCTGGGCCTGCCATTTGGGTCTGCTAGAGATTCACAGCAATTTTAGTGAAGAAATACTCAGAAATGCAATATTGCACTTACTTTTCTCTTGATGTGTCCTCTAGTATAGGAAAAATGCCATATGAACATTTAGACAACAAGAAAAAAATGACTTTCACTGAGTGGGTCTTTAAGTCCTCAGCAGGGATAGTAAGTACAAAAATACACAAAGTTTGTAACTTTTACAGCTTTTTTTTCTTTATTTAAAGCTACTTTAAGGAACTGTTGGTTTGAGTTTGAACTGTCAATCTTGTTGCTAATGATCTTGTTTGCATTTGAATAACAGAATAAGGCATCAACATGGATTTCAGCCAAATTCATTAGGATCAATGAACTCCCCACAGAAGATTTAATTATTAAATTAAAACTCAACTTTTCAGGAAATTAACACTTGAACATAAATCTGCACAATAAGAACTAACCATAATGACAAAATCATGGTTGAAGAAACTTCATTTGTGGTGTATTCTAGTTTTCTAGCCTGACCCATGTCCCATCTGTTTGCATTGAAAAGGTGGGCTCTGTGTCTACACTGCAGCCAATCGTAAGGGGGAGCTTTAATTATTTTGGCTTTAATTTAGGGGTGTTTCTTTGCCGCTAATCTTCTTACACAGGCTATGGTTGTGATCAATATAGCAATAGATTGACATGGCAATATTTTATCAACCTTAGCCATGAGGCGCAGCAATTAATCAAAAATAGAAACCAACAATCTGAACCTTCAACTGCTCTAACCTTGCCCCATGTTAAGTATTTGTGCACATTCATGCACTGTTCTGTAGTCATGTTAATCCTCCTCAACCGGTCTGCAATACATGGGAAGAACTCAAAAACCAAGCTGACTGAGCAACTCGTACCCAAGCTTGTACCCAAGAAAAATTGACACCCAACAAAAACTGTCAGCAACTACAGGAAACCACCTATTAGTTTCAAACTTCAAGCACAGCCACATGCAAGTGCCTCCATAGAGCAGCCGTCTATAACAGGTGTTAACAAATGCTACAAAATATGAAGAGGATTCAGTGAATCTATTTTAAAATCACAAATATTGTATATGCACTCCTCTGTTGGAAAAAAATACTCTATTTTAACATTGGAGTAAATTTACAGCACAAACTTAGCCAATAAACTATAAGGATAAAGAGTGAAACAAACAAAACAGACAAAATAAAAAAATCAAGGTAAAATGCTACATTAATCATGATACTGAAGCACAAACATTTTTTTTCAAGTTTCAGACCACTAAATGTGAAAAGCTGCTGATTTCTTTTTTAATTCGATATTGTTTTATAGAGGAAATTTCTGCTTTAACCAAAATTTGAGACAACAAAGGACCTCAACATACATCAATTCTGGCTCCAACTGATATGGAAAGTAATTGCTGGCAGCAGACCTACTTTTAAAATCTTGTTATACTGATGATTTACACCTTTCCATGACAAAAATCAGGGCATTCATTGCCACATCCCTTTTGACTGGTCTCCACCAATATCATATGATCATCTGTGGCTCAGTAGTAGAGTGGGCCATGTCTCAGTCAAAGGGATGGGGGTCTACTGTCTACATGTCAAAGAGTCCAAGGGGATGACAACGAACCCCAAATTTACCCCAAAGGAGTCTATATGACTAAACAGGAACCATCGGCACTTTACACACTTTTCACTGTAACTTCAGTGATCAATACCTGAACCACAGGAAACAAACCCACATTGATTTGTTACAGTTAGTCATCTCTGCTGGCAAGTGCTTCCATCTACAGTTTTCTCAAAACCTCCCATGGCTGGACGATTTATTAGAACGGCCTCTGCCAACCCTCCTTTTAAGGACACTTGGGAACATGAAGTGCTTCAATCTGGCAAAATCATCTCTCCAAACTTTAACAGAGACCCACAAACTTTCCGTCTGACTCTCTGAGCTCATTGTTTAAAGGTTTTTGTTGTCTGGCCTTCATCTCTGCCACACACTAACGCAGGAAGAGGATGAGGCAGTGTGTGTTTGAACAGATACAGCAGCAAGTTTCTGGGAAAATACCTCGACCCTCCCATGTGAATTATGAGAAAATTCCACTGTAGTGAAGAGGAAGACAAAAAAGGGAAAAAGAGAGAAGTTGTTGTATTTGTACAACTAACAATGTGATGTTATTACAAGAAACAGTCCTGCTTGGTGTTGAACAGAAACTGTACAACTGTCTAGTTTCACTGCTGTGCTTTTATTGTGAAGGTCCGATGGAGTGTGATAAAACCTTTCAGTAAAATGTTCAAGGGTAAAAAGTGTAGACACAACTATGTTAAATTTTGATTACAGCTTATTGTGTTTAAGTGAGGAGTTTTAGGTTTCAAGGTTTGAAGTAGCATAAATGCATGTGATGCAGATGTGAAATCATGGGTTTGTAATAGCCACAATATCAATACCAATCAATCTAATCATGATTTTAATTTTAGTCATAATCCAGCAGCCCTACCTAGCACTGACTATCTTGTAGTCTCTTGCAAAAATTTTTATCTTTGATTAATGGGGGCTTATTTCCTCTCATTACTCCTATCAAAATCAAAAAGCCAGGCCAGTGTTCATAGAAGACTTCTTACAGTAACTCTCTCTTCCTTCACCCCCCACCCCCAACTTTCTAAGTCCAACAGGGTCACAGCAGGTGGCTGTTTAACATGCATACAATTCCACTTGAACCCAATGCATCTAAGCACCTATATCCAGGAACTATGCTTTGTTTAATACCATTAAACCTGCTCAGAAAACAAACTACACCAAAAGGTTTTGCACTTTATTTTATCTTCTTCTCTTGGATTAAGTCTTCTTGGGTAAATCTGCACCTTCTTTGCGTCTCTGTGTTCATAATTTGTTAAACAAAACGATTACAGCGTCACTACTTTGGATCTGTAAACAGTGACACAATCATTTTTGATGCAACCATATCCTTTCTTGTATTCTTGTTTTGCCAGGCCAAGATTTTATGCCTCTTGATAGCAGTCGTACATATCCGGGTTGAGTAATCCCTGCAGCATGAACTGAACAAATCCTCATGCCAAATATCTGAGTGAAAAGCAAACACTGGCTGCTGCTCCTGGCTCCTCTGCTCACTGACAGACTGGCCCTGTACATTACAGCTGCTTTTTATTTGACCACCACCCTTTAAAACCTCTGCTTTCCATAGAGTGTTTTTCACTGTTTACTATACAGCTGCACCTTTCCAGCAAGATTAAGAGCCAACTAATACACATCCAGTCTGAGTAACAGAGGGGAAAGTGGGTTAGTAGATTCCAGTGGAAAGTCCTGCCTCATGGCTCAACCCATGACACTCAGGCATGATAAAAGAGGCGCACAATGTAGGGGAAAAGTATGCGTGGTGGGGGGAAAATAAAACAATCACTCACATATTTTGGGAGCGAATTAAAGAACGGCAGTGATGCTCTCCAGCTCTGCAGAGTGGAAATGAGTGGGACATGAATGCAGCAGCCTCAAGCCCTGACATGCAGAGCTGTGTGCTGTGTTCAGAGACGTGGGGAAACCTGTCCTGCAGGCAAACTGTTGACGAGAGAGGTGACAGAGCATGGCCTGACCTTTGACCTCTGACACTAGCATGGGAAAGGAAGCATATCTGTGCAACATAAGGAGGGAGTAATCACGGAATTGCTTTCCCCTCCGTGGTTTTGTCACAAACTGCAAAACCAGAAATCGTCTACCTGATGATGCTGGTGGTACAATATCTTCTGTGCCCAATATTATCATCTTATCATTATTTACTCGTGCACACAAGACCATAATAAACTTTTTTCTAGCAAGATAACATCATGCAAACAAGTCTTTGCTCTCATGTGATAAGAACAAAAATTGTGCATGTAAGATTCTATTTTTTCCCACAAAAAAGCTCAAGTTAATCAGGATTTCCCACAAGATCATATACACTGGGTGCACAATGACATTATCTGGTAAGGACAAGTTAATATCTTGTAGCATGATTATGGTGTGCATGCTCAAGCTGTGCAGACAAGATGATTAACCTGTTCTCACACAATGTTTTCAAATTAATATCTGGTGCAAAGTCATGTAAAAGTTATGTTTTAAGAACTTCAGGAGCTCCACAACAGAACAACAATCCGATCAGACAATCTCTCTGGTACAGCCTGACCTGACCTTTGACCCCTGAAAGTTATTAGGAAGTGAGGCAAGATTTTCTGTGAAATACCATCATGAAGTAACTGCATGCTAAACGTGACTATTTCTTAACAAAGCCTGCAGATCTTATTGAATAATCAAAGGGATAAAGAACATGTTGAGTTAAACGCAAATGTGCATGTCAAGTGTCTAATGTGTAATGTTTAACTGCTAATTCAGGCATTTTGGAAGAGTTTTGAAGGGACCTCACTGACTCACTTCCGACCCTTTTCGCACTAACTCACCTGCATTATAGAAGCGATCCAGTACTGCAGTCTCCCCAAAGTCCAGCTTCCCAAAGTTCACTGTCTCGAGCTTGCTCCCCACGGTATCACAGGCGTCCTTTAAACACTGCAGCGCCATGCTCTCCGCGTTGCACTGCTGGCTCGGCTCCCCGTTCACCACATAGGCCACCGTCACCGGCCTGTTTTTGCTCGACTTCCCAGTGGAGAGCAACCCTCCGCCGTCCATCGGACACCCCCCGGCTGCTGGAATCAGCCCCCCTCCTCCTCCAGGCACCACAGAGTCCTGCCAGAAAGTCCCAGCTGCGGGGATTACAGGGGTGCCTCCTCCACCTCCACCGCTGCAGGAGCTGTCCACAGCTAGGCTCTGTCTGCCGGGACATGCTCCAAAACACGGCACCGGTAAGGAGATCCCGTCTTGGTCTTGACTCATGTTGTTTCGAGTGTCTCTCAGTGTCTTAAAGTGTCGGTTTCAATGAGCGGCTTCTCCACCAGTCTTCCATGGAGAGCCAGCGTTACGCACGGCAGTGACCCATGGAGCCCCTGCACAGACACGACGTGCAACCTCGCTCCGTTTTAACGCAGGTAAACAGTCTGTCAGAGGCTGGGGAGCGACTACACACCATGCTGCATGTCTGCTGTCGACTGCACGCCAAAACAAACACCCGATAACGCCGAAGTTGGCCGAAGTCACGACACTCACTCGAGGAAGAAAACACTAGAGAAAAATCCTGCAAATCTACGCATTCCCCCTCAGCTCTCACAACAAATCCTCATACTTCCAGAAGTTGAGCAACGCCGCCGGTGGCAGCGCAGCAACGCCCACAGGAAACACGAACAACAGGCGCAACAGCAGCAGGTTCGAGTCAAAGCACTGTCTCAGCCTCGTGTCAGCGCAACGACTGCTTGTCATCTAACGAAACAGAAAGCTGAGAGCGCACGCATCCAGGCTGCTTTTCTGTGAAAACAGACCCTGCCCTGTTTCCACTGTTATCTCTTCGTCCACACACTCACTCACTCTCTCACGCGCGGGGCGGGGAGCCTCCTGTCTGCTGGGCGGAGACATTATGACCATATGTGGAGCTGTGTGCGCTCCAAGAAAAGGACAAGTTCACTAAAAACACAATCAGCAACACCCTGTCTAATTTCACAACAAAGATTAAATAATAAATGGTCAAAACACCAATAAATCAGCTGTGTATTAACAAACACTGGCACGAAATGAAAGAAGAAACAGCTGTCCCCATAATAAATAGTGTTCTGGCTAAATGCAAGTCAGTAAGTTGCAAACAATTTCATGACTTCGCCCATTAATCTTCTGTGATCGAAACTAATAAAGAATGGTAATAATTCATCTGTGAGAAAGACACACACACACACACACACACACACACACACACACACACACACACACACACACACACACACACACACACACACACACGTTTAGCTTTCTGTATGAACTGTTTTGTCACCTGCTGTAACTTGATGGATGGTCCTGTCCTTTTTCCGTCACGACGAGGACCTCTTGTGGTGAAAACAGGTTAGTACATGATGTAGGAGAAATTTAAACCTCTAAACTCCGGGGATGATTTAGAGACGCCTTATGAAAACTCTGACTCCGATACAACAACCGTCCAAAAGAAACCAATGACGAAAATAAACAAGCAAAATTATGAAATATTATTTGAAATAGTTCAGTTTATTAATAAAAGAAAAAAAATAAACAAAAATATAAAAAATAAATCAATAATTAAACGGACATAAAATACAATTAATAAAATTAATGAAATACATACAAAATAAGATGAAAAAATATTGATAAGATGAATTGAAGTTTCAATAAAAATACATAAAAACAATAAAAAATAACAAAATTAAAAACTAAAATTAAATTGGAAACAAATTAACACAGCATTAGGCATGAAGTTGATCATTTATTGTGTTGTGTAACATCACCATCTACAGTAGAAGTTATATTTCAGAATGAAAGCAAACTTTGGCAGTTTAGGCTAAACAGCAACCTATAAGCAAGACAGAAAAGATTATCAAAGTAAAAGCATGATAATGACTTGTTTAACAGCGTTTCTGGCACAGGGTTGATAATTTATCATATAGGGGAGAGTGGGGTAAGTTGAGCCATATCCCTACACATTTCAACAATCTGAACTGAAACTCTGATTCTCTCATCAGACTCCTTTATTTTTCTCAGTTGAGCCACTGGCTCAACTTACCCCAGAACCACTGTTATGACTTTATTAGTCCTCTAATCTAAAATGGTGGACTATCATGTTAGGTTTTTGACCTCATGTTGTAGCTCATAGATACACCAATTGATGTATAAAACAAATTTAAAAAGATGTTTTTTGGTCTGAACACAATTTTAATAAAACTCAAGACAGACTAAATTCACTTTCAAGAGTGAAAAATGTTTTTTTGGAAATAAATATCTATCCCCTTTGCCCATGTGCTTCTAACCTTTACAGACTCTATGAATTGATGCCCATCTCCTTAATATTTGGTCATATGATCAATTTCTTTTACCATTTCCAAGCAACAGGGGGTGGCTCAGCTTACCTTATGGCTCAACTTACCCCACTCTGCCCTATTTGAAGATAATAGATGACAAGTTAACTGAGTTTATTAGTTAATGTTTGTAAAGTAATGAGTAGCCCGACGCTTATCTTGCACTCTTATCAGATTTGAATGACTGTTTTTTTGGTTGTTTGTTTTCCTTAAATTTTCTACAATATCACGATAATTTCAGTATTGAGATTTATTATGGCCACAATAACCATGAGGTTAAAATCTAATATTGTGACAGCCTTATTCCTGCTAATCGTATGTTTGTGTCTGAGTCAAATTTATTTTGTTTTCAACAATATTTCTCTAATTTCTTAACCTCTGCTTTAAATTAGAGATGGCAGGAGTTCAGTCTGTAGAAATTTGACTATGGAGCCAAAGAGTTGCCAGCACCAGACTGGACCAAGTCTGGAATTTGTACTGGTAGCTGGATATTTCATTTCACCTCCTGTGTAGTGCTAAGATGCCCTTCACCAAGGCTTTTTACTCTCAACTACACAGGATGCTCATCCATATGCAAATCCCTTCACTCTGCATGTGTCCCTTAGTGCACCGCCACAACACCCTATTAATGCATGTGAGTGTGTCTTAGCCTTTGTGTGCAGCATAATCAACTCCAGAGTGGAAAACTTGAATTTCCCCTCTTGATAACCAAAGTACTGTATATCCTCAATATATCTCCTCTTTTTGGTCTTTAATTTGAAGAAAACTGGTCAAAGCTCGTGTGAGGACATCTCTGATTATGTTGACTGGTGCCCCCTGTGGACAAAGTGATAACTCTTATTCGCTGATTACCTCCTGTGCATGTGTAAGTTTTGTTTTTTTCAATGTAAGATTTCAAAATGCTTTTTAAAATCAAACATTTTTGTTATGGAGCAAATAAATGAAGGTGTTGTCCTTCCCTGTGCTGTGAATTCACATATTAGAGGGTATGTTGTTTCAATTGAGTTTATTCTATTTTGTTTCATTCATTTATTGACTTGTCCATCATCACCCACAGGACTTTTCAGTTGCCCTTATTTTGTGTTACCGCCTTCACTTCGTTGAGATAAATGACTTTAGTTTACTTCCCTTTTACCTAAAGAGCCAGGTTAGAACATTATGGAGTAGTCATGGATACAGCAGCTTATAGTTCCCATTTTCACCACAAGATGTCTCACTCTGACCACACATTCATCAGCAGTACCTGCTCTCAGTAACCACAGCTATCCACTGGGCTGTGTAAGTGTTTTAAACACATCTGTCTTCCCCTCACCATTCAGCTGTGGGCCAATTACACATAATAAAACTCATTGCGCACCACTGAGTTTCTGACTGACACTGAAATCAAGTGCTGTGAATGTGGAGCTCACACTGAGTTAAATTACACCTTATTGAATATAATGAACATTTACATAATCTAATCTTCTTCACATCTGTTCCTTCTCACTCACATAGCCGTCAAATGAAAATGGTTGCTTAAAAAGATGAAATACAAGACTGACTTAACAAGAATTAAGACAAACTAACATTAGGAAAACAAAACAGCAGAATGGCAGCAGGAGAAAAACAACAATAGTAACTGTTAACAGTTGTCTTTCCTTTTCCAGCAAATGCTGCCTCATACATCTGGCAGGCAGAGTGGCTGATCCGCTGAGCCTCCACATCCTGCAGTCCGTCCTCAGAAGTTTTGTGTCTGCAGGCAAGAAGAGTCTTCCCTGAAGCTGTGAGCTTCTCACAAGATCACACCGTCTCAAGGTTTTACAAAATGCAAAGAATCCTAACAAAGTACTGCAGTTAGCTACACCTTAATAAAAAATACAATTCATACTGATATACCAAGTTTCTCAGTTTTGTCCTTACTCAATGTATACTTGGCTTTCTATCACAGGAATGTTAAACATACCTCTAAAGAAGGAGCATGCTTTTGATTGACTATACTATCTATACTATCCTGTACTATCTATACTATCCTGAGAAGTAGGAAAAACATGAAATAAATCTGAACAAGTAAGCAGGGCAAGAGAGCACTGTGTTGCTGTTTCATCTGCCACCTAACAGACACCTGGTTCAGGGTTTGAACCCCAGCAGAGGCTTTGCATTACAGATCTACAATGCTCTGGACTTAACTTTTGAATTGCCATAATTGACCAGATATCAAATAAACCCAAACAAGCAAACCCTCTATGGCTGATGGGTTACGTCAAGTAGGTCTCCAACATAGTGCTAGAAAGTCCTTGACCCTACCACTGGAGGATGAATCAAGCATTGGAATCACCTTAATCTTCCTGAAAGCAGATAAGCTAGACAACTAACTTCTTTTTCACTTTGTAGTCTGACCAAATCTTTAAAGCAACAATAAACTGGTTAGTGGAGCTCTAAACAGGCTCAGCTTTTGAACAACCTTAACAAAATAGTGAAGGGAAAAAACCTTAATAAGCAAGCACAGACAGGGAGTTTGTGGTCTAATGGATTGAACTTGTGCCTTACTGTGAAAAGGTTCTGGGTTCAGATCTCTTAAAAGGGCTTTCCATGTAAAGTAGGGAAATAGGGCTTTATAGGGCATTGACACTGAAGTCTAAGCTCTTGAACAACCAAATTAAGGCATTACCCCTAAAAAGATACACTGTTGTGTTTTTCCATAGACTGTATACACTATGGACAACTTGGCTCTGCCTTCTGTCATTGTATGAATTTAAGGCCGAATAGCTCTCGGTATTTCCAGGATTTTCTCCACTTCCTTGAACCACCACTCGCGAAGCAGCATTGTACGCATGCAGCAGGAGAGTCCCTTTGATGATGCTTGGCTCAAACAGTAAGCTACACAATCTTCGTACTCCCATAGGCTGTATCAAGTGTCAAACATAGAAAACATGAACCCCCTAATAACTTTTAAAAATGGAGCTGCACAGAAAAAAAGAGGACTTGAGCACAAACCAGTCTTACACTAACTACATATCAACATAGCAACCAGGAAAAAAAAAACAGGAGAAAAATTTATGTTCTGTGTAATAAATTTCTAAAGTTTGTCTACAGCTCCATAGGGATTGCTGGAGGAGGTGGGATTTATGACCTATACTGCAACCCTTCACCAGAGGGTGCTGTTCTTGCGGTGGCTCCACCCAGCGAGGAGGCAGACAGCGTCCATTCTATATACAGTCTATGATTTTTACCGAAAAAGACAAAGATAAAGAAAATTTACACTGGCAAACTATCCAAACAGTCAAACAAAAATGTTATTCTGAATTTGGTCAATATGTGCAAATTAAAATTAACAGCCTCAGAACTTTTAAAACTTTGTGCCTCCATTTTGATCTCTGACACCCTTCTCTAGAAGAACCAGAACTCCAGATTAAGAACCAGTGATTTAATGGAAAGGAGTTCTGACCAAAAGCAGAAGGTCCCAGCGTTCAAATCCCTGCACCCTCCATGTGAAATGGCGATGTAATGTTTTTCTTACACTGTTGCTGTTTTCTTAACTGTTGCTGCCTTGACTGAATTACTTGAATGACTGCTGAAGTTAAGTGAAAGGTTCAGGGTTCAAATCCTGTTTAGGAACATTGTTTGTGAGGTGAAGATAAAACACTTCCCTACACTGCAGTCCGAGTCAGGCTTTTGAATACTCATTCTGAAATTGTGAAATGAGATGACCAAAATAGGCAAACACAGCCACAGTGTTGTGGACTGGCCTGCTATCATTGTGTCATATGGTTTCAGGTTTAAACCTGGAGATGCAGGCCTGTGGCATGGTTGATAGTTCTGCTGTCTGCGGCAACATGTTCATACCCAGGAAAGGAGTTTGTCGTGTGTTGGAGCAATAAAATGGTTTCCTCACAATTAGTCTGAACCCAGAGTTTGGAAAAAAAGATGGTACAATGAAAAGGCAAGACATCCCAGTCTGGGATGCGAAGATTGGTCTGCAGTCTTTGACTCAAATGGTTCCAGGTTCAAATCCAATGCAAGGTTGAGGCGGGGAAAGAAAAGGAAGAAGAAGACTGAGGTGTGACAGAGGGCAGAAATAGGAGCTAAGATAAAAAGAGGGCAAAAAGCAGAAATATATAAACATCTGAAACCAAAAGAGAGTAAAAAGGGTCATCTGGCTATCTGGTACAGAAAGCTGCAAACTCTAAATTTTGACTTTTAAGCTCTATCCAGCCTACTTTGTCCCCAAAACAGACATGTAGAAGTGTTCATAAAATAATCTTTTTTTGACATTTTTTCTCTGATCATTAAAAAAATAACAAATAAATAATTAGATTTATTACCCTTTTTATGCCAGTTCTTGTGCGCCATGTCGTATTTATTGATAAAGTGTACGTTCTAAACAGGTGAGTCTATTGGAGTGAAAAAACACGCCAATTTCACCTTCTGTTCTCGAGCCTCGTCCTCTACCAAACCAAATGCGAGCGAATTTATTTGTTCATATTAAATTAGTTTTATATATAGGCATATAAAATCAGAAGAAATATGTAAGAAAGGAACTATTTCCAAGTAGTTATCCACCTCTAACCAAAATATGACCACAATTACGCTGATTGCAGGCATATAAAAAATAAATTCATATTTGAGATGTGATATCTTCTCACCTAATGATCCGAAGGACATGTGCATCCTCATGCATGCCCATCCACTTGCTCTGAAGTGAGGGCAAAGTTGAAATTGTCCAAATGTTCCACACTGCAGAACATGGACATCATAGTCCATCAAAATGGACGTGGTAGGAACCAAGGGTTAAACCAAAATCATCTTGAAAATTCACACCTGGACATAAATGATGACATTCAAATAATGCGCTTGAACTGAGAGGTTGCTGCAAGTCTGGTCTCTCCGTATTATCTGTAATTTTTATAATTTCTACTAGATTTTTTTAATATTTTGTTGTCATTTTGTTGGCTGCTGATGGATACTTCTGTGGGGGGAAGAGTTTACTCAAGTGAAGAGCTCCTTTCATTGAGGAAAAGCAAATCTGGACAACAACATACAATTCCAGAGGACATCAAGAGGTGTCATTGTGGTTGCCGTGCTGGTGCAAAGTAGATGGCAAAGCTGAATGCTAGGAGGTGGCGATATAAACCCTTTCTTCCATCAATCATCATGGGAAACGTCAACTCTCTGCCCAACAAAAGCAATGAGCTGGAGATATTGGTGAAGACTGAGAAAGTATAACGTGAGTGCAGTTTCCTGTATTTTACTGAAACCTGGTTGAATCAAAACAACTTGGACCCCAGTGTGGATCTACCTGGCTTCACTCTCATAAGGTCAGACAGAGATGCTCAAGCTAGTGGCAAGAAGAAAGGAGGAGGTCTGGCTTTATTTGTCAACCAGAGATGGTGTAACCCTTCACACACAACTGTCAAGGAGAAGTTGTGTTGCCAGATATTGTTGGCAGTTGCTCTTTGACCATATTATGTTACCAGAGAATTTAGTCATATCATAACAGTAGTTGTTTACATTCCACCCAAATCAACTTAAGAAATTCCATGCGATCTTTTGCACAATAGTGTTGCCAGGCTACAGACTCAACACCTGGCACTAATTTTATTATAATTATTAATAATATTTAATTGTAATTATTAGGCACTAATAATAATATCAGGAGACTTCAACCATGTCACCCTCTCCTCTCACCTGACTGGATTTACAAAGTTTGTGAACTGCCCTACCAGAGAAAACAGATCCCTGGATCTGTTGTATGCCAACGTCAAAGAAGCCTATAAAGCTACTGCCTTACCACCACTGGGCAAGTCAGATCATAACTTGGTATATCTGCAAACCTGTTACAGACCTTGTGTACTAAGGCAGCCTGTGACAAAAGTCAAAATCAGAAGATGGACACTTCAAGCCAGTGAAGCTCTAAGGGACTGTTTTAAATCAACAGAGTGGAATGTGCTGCTGGAAACAGATGTGGATAGTATGAACATTGACAAATAGGTTGACTGCTTGACTGATTATGTCAACTTCTGTAGAGACACAGTTATACCCACAAAAACTGTTCGCTGTTTCCCCAACAACAAACCCTGGATCACAAATGACTTAAAAGCAATCATTAACCAGAAAAAGAAAGCTTTTAAAGATGGTGCCAAAGAACGACTCAAACAAGTGCAACAAGACTTGAAGAGGAGACTGAAGATGGCAAAGCTGGAGTACAAAAAGAAGATAGAGAAGAATCTACAACACAGCAACCTGAGTCTACAGCTGGGGAGGGTACCTGCTCTGTGGAAAACATCCTGCATTGTGCCAGTACCAAAAACAAAATGTCCTGCTGAACTCAGTGACTACAGACCAGTGGCCCTCACTTCACACATCATGAAAACCCTGGAGCGGCTGATTCTACGCCTTCTGAGGTCTGAGGTCAAAGACAAACTGGACTCCCTGCAGTTTGCATACAAAGAACACATTGGAGTGGATGATGCTGTCCTCTACATGCTTCACCGTGCCCTGTCTCATCTGGAGGAACCCGAGGTTTATGTGAGGATCATGTTCTTCGACTTTTCAAGTCCATTCAACACCATTCAACCCACCATACTCAAAAGACAAGCTCACAGAGATGGGAGTGGATCCTTCCTGTGTTTCCTGGATTGCAGATTACTGAGTCCTGCCACATCCAGAAATACTCAGATGACACTGCTATTGTGGCATGTATCAGAAATGGACAAGAAGCTGAATACAGAGATCTAAAGAGCGTTCAGTGACTTGAGTCACAAAAACTGCCTCCGCCTCAACACCTCAAAGACAAAGGAGATGGTCATAGACTTCCATAGATCCAAACCCTCTCTTCAGCCAGTGAACACCTATGGAGTGGATATTGAAGTGGTGACATCATATAAATACCTCGGTGTACATCTGGATAATAAGTTGGATTGGTCTGAGAATATCGACTTCATCTACAGAAAGGGGCATTGCCGCCTCTTTTGCCTGAGAAGACTCCAATCAATAAACATCTGTAGTAAGACGCTGCAGATGTTTTATCAGTCTGTGGTGGCAAGTGTTCTGTTCTACACTGCAGCCTGCTGGGGAGGAAGCATCAAACACAAAGATGCAAGACGTCTTAACAAACTGGTGAAAAAGGTTGGCTCTGTGGTAGGGCTCAAGCTGAACTCAGTGGAGGATGTGGTGGAGAGATCTACACTGAGGAAGGTGGAGACTATTCTCAAGAACATGGATCACCCACTTCACAACACCTTGATGGACCAAAGGGCCAATGGTGGTGGACGGCTCCTCTCTCTTTGCTGCAGAACAGAAAGATTCAGAAGATCTTTCGTACCAACAGCCATCAGACTTTATCGCTCTTGTGTAAATTGTAGATAACTTTTGGAGAGATATTATGTGAGGCAACAGACAATTGAATTTCTCTTTGGGGATTAATGAAGTTCTTATCTTATCTTATCTTATCTAAATCAGCATGTTATGACATAACAATAATGATGTTTATGTTGTTTTTCCAGTTTGGCATGTTCCATCTGGTATCACTGGGGTGGGGTTTATGGCCTTTTCTGCAGTCAGGCAGTAGAGTGGAGTTCTGACCATAGACTGTATATAGAATGGACGCCGTCTGCCTCCTCATGGGGTGAAGCCACTCCGAGAACAGCACCCTCTGTTGATGGGCTGCAGTATAGGTCATAAATCCCGCCTCCACCAGCAAAGCTTTTGGAGCTGTGGACAAACTTTAAAAATGTATTACACAGAACATAAATTTTTCTCCCCCCTGCTTGCAATGTTGACGTAGTTATTGTAAGACTGGTTTGTGCTCAAGTCCTCTTTTTTCTGTGAAGCTCCGTTTTTAAAAGTTATTAGGGGGTTCATGTTTTCTATGATTGACACCTGATACAGCCTATGGGCGTTCAGGGATTGAGTAGCTCTCCCGGGGGATATGCTGTTTGAGCCGAGCGTCATCACAGTGACTCTCTGCGACTGCGCGGCCGAATGCGCACAACGCTACTGCACAGCGCTGGTTTCAGGAAATGAAGAAAAATCCCGGAAATACCGAGAGCTTTTTGGCTTCAAATCCATATACAGGCGGTAGGCGGAACCAGGTTGTCTATAGTATATACAGTCTATGGTTCTGACATATTTGCCTTCACAGTCAATGAATATTTTTGCAGTCAGGATGTTGCAACAAGTCATAAAGTCATACCTTGAGAATGAGCTTGGAAATCTAAAGTTTTTGAGTGGCAGAGTTGTCATAAATGTAGAAATAGGAGCGCAACTGACTCAAAACTACTATTGAGTCACGCTTGATCATGACCTGATTTGGCCTCATGTCAACTGGCTCTTTTTAGATAAAAGCAGGCTTAGAGACCCTTATGATATTAAATGTCAAGTGCCAAACAGTTGCATTTTTTGCTCTGAATTGCATGCTATGATTCAGTCTTTCCTCTGTCATCTCTTGATGCACATCATGTCTGATAAATCACAAACAGATTCCCTTTTTACTGCTGAAAACTAGCATCCTATAGTCTGGAATAATGGGTGAAGTTTGTTAGGGTTTGAGTGTAGTTAACCATCAATAGTCTGTCCATGCTGCAGCCTGCAAATAAAGCTTTCCATTCTGCTCTGCCACAGACCATGAAATAGTCACTCAGCTCTGAAATGGAGGGAATCACTCACACAGAGAAACGGCAAGAAGTTGGGTTAGTTCTGCCGTGCAGGTAGGAGATAGATACTTGGAGGCACAGACTTATTGCAGCCCTCCATAGATATCTGCCAAAGTCTACACAAACATTAGGAGGGGAAACGGGGAAACAAAATTACAGAAATCTGCTAAGTTTGACAAATGGTGGGCTCTGCTTTGCCACCAGCTATTAGCCTGCAATGATTAATAAGTGAGAAAATAATTGCACTTCATTGAGATTGATGACGCCCCATTTAACCTCCACTCTCATCCCCGGCTGCGCCACAGAGCGGCGAGATGAGCCTCGGACACACTGCTGCTCTGCCGGCCTCATTGGCAACAAATAGATCAGCACACACACACACACACACACACACACACACACACACACACACACACACACACACACACACACACACACACACACACACACACACACACACACACACACAGAGGCTCTGTAATGATCCTGCGGGGCTTTTTTTAAAAGCCTTGCAGCGCTCTGATCATAAGTTCATTGTTAGTAAGTGAAAAACAATGATCTCAGTGCTAGGAGGCCTCTGGGAATCTCTCCCTCCACCAATATAGAAGCATTTAAGTCAAACACCATGGGGAATTAATGACAGCAGAGTCACCATTAGCTCCTCCGCTAACGAGTTTGTGAGCCCTGGCCCTCTTGTTAGACACATCTTAAGTGTGTGTGTATTTGCTTGCTTTGAGTCAGAGAATCTTGTTGATCTCAAACAGACAGCAAATGTATTCCAAAGTGATTTTCACGACTAAAAAATGCAAACAAAACAGCAACAGTGGCAATTACAAGGAGTGCGGCGGCAGTGTTGTCGTCGTCTTATCCTCTCAGCCTGCAAAGAGACGTGGCCAAGGTTATTAAAGAAGGATGTAGCAGAGCAAGATGGCCGCTGTTGTGACCAGAGGCGGTGTGGAGAGATAAATGGTTGACCCAGCCTGGTGTCAGGTTAGGATTGATGCCACTATCAGCCCCACTGCTTTCCCAATGATTTTCTCAAATCTCTGATAGAGTGTGTTATCTAGTTACTGGCATGAGGGCAACGGCCTGCAGGCATAGAGAAGGTCAATCTATGAGGACAATCTTTGTTGGACTAAATGAGAAAAAAGAGCTCACAAAAAAAAGAATAAAAAGCAGCTGCTAGGTCTCTGGGATAAGATAAGCCAAATTACTTCTCTTTAGTAGGATAGGCCTGGGGCCAAACATCAAAAAGAGAAAAAAGAGGAAAAATTAAGTGAGGCAGCTGGCATGCTCTCTAACTTCAGTGTTGTAGATTTCACCTGGAACCTTAAACTAATGTCGAATCAGAGTGAGAGCTTGAGGAATCTGCTGCAGGAGAGGATTTATCTGCCCTTTTATCTGCATGCACTTTATGAAAGTCCCAAAAACAAACAAACAAACAAAAAAAAAAACCCGGACTGTGAAACCCAGTTTATCAGCCTCCAACATCATCATCTCACTCCATCAGCCTCTCCCTCTCTTTTCTTTCAAAAGCAGGCGAAAGAGTTTGACTAATAGGTTGTAATTTAGCAGCCGAGGTCCTGATCAATAATTCGGTGTCAATAATGATGTAGAGGTCTGCACGAGGGGGAAATGATTCCACTCATTGTCTGAGAAAAATGAAGGTGTGGACATCACCGCCGGCTGTAGGCAGATGTCCACAGGTGCTGGGTTAGTATGATGGTGGAGTTGATGAGCAGGAAGACAAATAACACACACACACACACACGCACT